TGCAGAACGGTTCCCACAAGTCCTCGGACACTATCAACCGCGAATTAGTGCAGTTTTCGCCGGTCCTTATGTAGCTTGTGTTTGACCTCAAATAAGTCACCGAGAAATAGATATAAAAAATATCAGAACCCGATTTCAGTATTATTTAAGCTCAAGAGGTCTTAGGGTATGAGTCTGAGCTATGTTCAAATACTACGCTGTGGTCAGATTTATAAGTAAAAATGGCGAGCTCTGGTGGAGTTTTATGATAATGGGCTGTGAGTGTCTGTGGACTGTGGGAACCGTTCTGCCATGACGAGCCTTGCATTCTGCAGTCATGGCCAGGACTTGTTCGATGCGCTAAGATCGATCAAACCAATACAAATGCCGTCAAAGTGCTGGATGGATAAGTGTGGGGTTTCCGAGCAAAGCAACTATGTACTCCAGCTACATCATACTGCCTAGGCTAGTGCCCCCGTACTTGTCATTTTCTTGAGACTTCCTTTGACTCTCTAAGGTTAGTAACGTATCAATACTGGGGGTTGGCATGACCTAGCAAAGTGCTCCTAATCCTGCTGTCAACTCCCAGATGAGTACAAACAGTAAAGTTGAAATGTTTTGCATACCGCCGTCCAACGATGAGATGCGGAGTACTTTTTCAAGTTGGGCACTGCGCTCTCAATCACAGTGTAATTGGACAATGCATTGACTGTGCGCTTTCTTTCGATAGTTTTGTTGTCATTAGCCTATTGATAGAAGGCTCTCAAGTCTTCCATTATATTTGTTAACAATTGTCACACCTTTGCTCCTGGCTACTCGCCAGCACCATTAGAGCCCATATTCGAGATTTCCCGTTCACGGCGCCAGAGCGCAATTCGGACAAAGCTTGTGTATTGTCACGTTGCACGACTTTAATATGCCCATTAACTGCTGCGCCAAGATCTTCAGAGTCGCAACCAGAGTAGCATAGGCATCCGCTTTGTGTTTAAGTAAATTCTGTCATTGAATCTTTTTCGTCCATATTCAGCATAATATGTAGAGATGTGCTTGAATCTCCACTGTTGTCAGTAGTCATCTAACATTAGTATTTACAACATGACCACGTACACGGCCAGTTTACCTCGTCAACTGGACAGATATTACATTATTATGCTACATCGCCATCCATCGATAGACTCATGACGGCCTTCTTAACGTCCGTCTTGTGGCTGTTTACAACAGTTAAGTTGACAGATGTCATATTTCTTAACTTCCTGACAATCGTGGCTTCTCATCTGTTGTACTGTAACCCCGACGCAGAAATGCGAAATGCAACCATGTACAATGTTTCTCGAATGAAGAACGATGCAACCCTCCACCATGCTGACCGAGTTTCCTGCATAAAATGCAGCCAGAACTCAGGCTTCCGGGGCATTATTCAGTGTTGATCAAAGTTTGAGACCGGCCAAGCTGCATGCAGCTCAATGCATGCAATAAATTACACGAAACTTCAGGGTTCAAGTTTTTCGACACAAGACCGTACTATGTACCCTGCTGAATGTACAACGCCACCACTCAACCGCTGATGTTCATTCAAAACAGCTTTCAGGGCAAGAGTAGAGACATAGAGTATTGGTGCTTGCAACTTTCAACTCATGTTGGCAAAAAGCATGGATCCATTACTGTACTGTAGATGGACCTGGGCAGTTATCCACTTTTCCTGTTCGCAAGCTTCATGCTTATGGCAAATCACAACGCTGACATTAAACATGTCCCACAATTCAGCCATTTACTTCATGACTACCATAATTCCAGGTTATGCGAGGTGTTGAACGAGAAAGTTGTAATTCCTCCCTCAAATTCAAGCAAACTACACAAACCGCGAGCGCTGGAGTAGCATCAGATTTGCTGAACCCATGATACTTAAGCGCAGTCTGCATCGCATGCTTCTGCATAATATGCAGGCATTGTGGAGGCTTTGCATCTAACATGGCTGGATCAGATGCAGCTCCTAGGATTATAGCTGCAACTGCTAGCCCAAACGGAATGGTCTGCTTCACCTGCGATTTTAGTCCATGCCTAGCGACGACAAAAGAGATGGAGAATGAGAGGGAAGAACCTCTCCGTGTTGCTGCATTGTGCATCCATCGAAAAGTCGTCAAATCTAAATTCTAAGGTGGGCGTGTTGGCCATTTCATCCCCCTTCCACTACTGGAACAACGCTCTCGGAGCATAAGAGCTGGGGGCAACTAATTAACCAACCAGCTCGCATGCCTCTCCAATCCTGGACTCTGTGTGCACGTACGGCGTCAGGGGCATTACCCCAGATTATCTGTCGTTTTGTCATATCCGCGAACCGCGCGCCCTAAAAAAGGCCCCGACGGGCAGCCTTGGCCCTGAACTAATCTCGCAACCGTGCCCCGAAGGTAACCTCACCACAGTCAAGCTTGTCACGAACCAGTCTACAATGCCGAAACATTCAGGATCATCGTCACGTTCCAAGAGGCCAAATCACAAACGAGCATTTATCGTTGAAAGTATGAGATCAAATATTCGGCGCCGGAACTCGGCCGACCGATGAAAGGCACACGACTTGTCTTGAGCGCTGGTTCAAAACAAATCCTCCGTTGCAGACGTCCACCTGCAGTGCTACGGTAATCCAAACCGTCGCGAGCCCCGCACTCCATCCAAGTATTTTGTTTCCTCCCACCTATGCACCACACGTTGAAATCCCGAGCTCTAATGAGATAGCGTAAAGTTACTCAGATACAACGCTTTTTCGCTGTTCAACGTTAGCACAAGTAATAACTCGACTAGTTTCGAGTCTCGTGACAGTCGCCTTTAGAAGTGACGTAGCAACAAGCAACCATAACGGTACGGAGGCGAGACAGTTGCAGGCTACTTTAGAGCTCGCATACTTGACCATGTCACAGGTGGGTTGTTCGACGAACTGGGCATAAATGTTGGCTGCTACGCACACCACCGGCAGTAGAAATCTTTATCCGAACATACGTCATTCATTGGATCTCACTTCACACACAGTGTGCGTCGAATGGTTTTCTGAGGACATCTCTAACCTGATTCCTTGGTATCATCGTCAGTCGACTGTCGAGTGGACGTTGCCCCAGGAATTTAACCCATGCAAGCTGACGTCTCATCGCCAGGGAGGATCTCAAGCGCCCTTAAAGCAGAGATATGTGGTGGGGGAATCGAGGGCCATGTGATTACAGCCCCCCTCGAATCCCCTCAAGCCCCCTCAAGCCCCCTCAAACCCCTCTGAAAGTCTGGAAACGCCACATAGCCTTACCAAGGCCTGTTTACATTCTAAAGTGCGCAAGCTTCGATTGTCGCCGATCAGTCATAAATCGAGCGTACTAATCTAGCAGCTCAGGGTCCAACCTCAAGCTAGCCTATCCTGCGTGTTGAAACTTTCTAAATATCACAAAAACTGCTGCAACGTCGACTTCAAGTCCCACAGTCTGGGCTGCAACGGTATGGGGGGGGGGGGGGGGGGGGGGGGAAGATCGACGAGAAGCCTAAGCCTGGGCCTGCCGCTGACATGGGAATTTCTGGGGTGCGTTAGCTTCCTTGATGATCCTTTATCACACACCTTGGTGGTAGTGGTGTGAATTTCCTCACTCCCAGTCAGACATGATGAACCCCGCCATCGGCACCTTGGATATGGGCATAATGACAATTCCTATTGGGTCTGGTTGTGGAAAATAGACTTTGACGCAAATAGTATTCCCCGAGTACCCCGTACCACAAGGCCTATACTTAAAATACATGGTATTGGCATACAAGAGTACTGACCGAGTACATAGTATGTCTCTTTTGGCCTCAAAGGTTTCCAACGAAAGGTAACCAAGAAATAAGCAGCGCTCGCCTTGGGATCTCATTGCTCGAAACCTATGATGATTATTGACACTACAATCCACCCGTTGAACCTAGTAGTAGGAACTACGCTAGTACAGCCACAAAACCCAATATCTTCCGAAGCTCGTCTCGTCTAAGGCGGCTGAAACATGTGGCCTTGTTGATCCCCTCGTGGGAAGGCCCCGTGGAAGTGACAACTTGAACCGCACGGGGAAATCGGCACCACAGCCGAGAAAGCGTAGGGGTAACTTTCGAGGGGCACGGCTGTAATTGCTGCGGATTGAAAGCTATATTTATTCGCGCGCCTCGAGAATGATATCGCGGACACCCCAGAGGCTGGGAGTAAGGGATTCATTTAATATAACTTGGCCATGTGTATCACGTGTTGATTTACACAACCATGGAGATGACATGGGCATGCGCATAGTCCAGTATACACAAGGCCCAGGAAGTTGGCAACTGGCCTGGCAACAGCAACACAGCCTAAGGGCCGGTTTACATAGTTATAAAAAAATAATTAGGGATTATAAGAAGAGGCTGCGGCGGGTTCATGCTGTTTCTGCCTGGTGGCATACTCCATGTGATTACGGTCGCTTTCCATATCTGCAATCAGCCCCCGTAAATGACATACGCAGGCAAGCTCACACCGTTACCACGAATTGGCTTTGTATATACGTGTATAATTCAGTAGGGCCGGTTGAGATGGGCCTTCTACTCATTACAACCCCGTTGACTCTGGTGCGTTCCAACCGTTGCCGGGTATGGGCAGCCACCAGGAGCTGTGTATGGGGAGACTGGCCAAAGCAGTCAGCTAAAAGTCGCCATTGAATGCCGTTTTGTGATCGGTTCTTTGTACAGATGGAGGAGCATCCAGGCCCACAACGTCGAAGGTGATGGGGTTTGAGGTATAAATGAAGCCTGGTCGGTTTGCGAAGCTCTCATCCGCAGACATGATCCAAACAGCTCGGCGAATGGTGTGCACAATATTTGATTTACGTTGGTAGTGACGACAGAGTAACGACGAGATGATTGCGATTCGCGGGCTCAAAAGTTGGACTGAGCAGCTCAGGCGATTCGATACGTTGAAGATTTGATGCTGAGGTTACGATGGTGGTGTAATTACAGCCCAAGAAGATTGATAACATACTGCAATGGCACGCAATAATGGTCTGCTGTATACCAGAAAGACAAATGGAAACTCGCGAACGTAAGCGCCATATCTCATGCAGGCGAAATAATGAAATTTCCTATATCGCAATGGCTATGTCAAATGCCATTTCTATGTCATGAACCTCATACCCTAGACAATAAACCGGTAACGCCAGTCAATCTATATCCATGACTTACTGAATTTCTACTGCACGTCCTCGTCCATCGCCTGATCAGCCTCCTGGACAAGCTCACCCTCGCCCTCTTCGAGCAGGCGCCCATTGAAAGGACGGGCAGCTCTTGGCCAAACGCGCTTGTACAAGCTGACACCGACACTGTCTTGAGGGTTGGTGCGCCCGTCAAAGTTGGCCTTGAAGTAACCGTGCATACCAAGCGCTTCCTTGACGTAGCCAGACCTGCCGCGCCTGGTCCACAGTGGTAGTGCTTTGAACCACTCGACGTCCTCGCGGTTGAAAAACATGTACCGGATGGTAACAACCTTCTTGTGGATGTGGTATGGGTGACCAGTGAGAATGACACGCTTGGCAATGACTCGAGAAGTCGAAGGAGGGCGAGCTGTGCCAGTTGCCACGAGCTGGAGAGGAAAGTCGGAGGATGATTTGTCGTCAGCAGTGCTGCCTTCTTCGGGCACTACGCGCTTAAAGAATAGAGTCGGCACGGATCCCCAAGTGATAGGACCCATAAAAGTAGCCGTTGCGGATTGTCCAGGGTGCAGGAACCTGCAGTACTTGTGTACATCGTTCTCAGTCCTGCCGCTGAGCGAGAACAGAGGGTTGATTACAAAGCGACGCGGCCCGCATTGGACGATCAGCTCCTCCTTGGCCTTGATGGACTTTTCAAAATCCTCCTTGTGCGTGATATCAAAGTTGAGAGATGTCCTCTTGTTCTCGTGGCGCAGAAGAGAGAACAGAGTAAGGGGCTGCGATGGCTTGTGGCCGTCCTTGAACCCTGTGGGTACACCTTTCAGGTACACGTGGACTCTTGTTCCTGGTGCCACTCCTCCGACGAGTGCTTCGCGAATGGATCGGTTCCTCGACGATTGAGGATCCGAAATTTTCAGCAATCTCGACCAGTCTTCAGGCTCGTAAGGCCGATCCTCTTCCGTGTTCCATGGACTAGTTGCCAAGCTCTTGAGACCGCGGTATTTCGCCAGTCTTTCTCGCGCGAGCACATTAGGATGTAACTCGATCTCATCAGGAAACTCCAAATCTTCCTCCGCCTCGTCTCGCTTCTTGGCTCTGTAGCTCGCCAACTGTTCAGCCTCTTCGGTCTCATCCAGCTCCTCAAACTTTTCGGACTGAGGATATTCGGACATGGCAGCCTCCGTGGGCTCAGCGCCGGCAAGGCCCTCCATACCATCTTCGGGGGCGGCTTTCTGGGCTTCCTCGTCAGCATCCTGCATCTCGTCATCGTCCATCTCGGATTCGGAATCAGACACGTCCTCCAAGTACCAGGCTGCTTGGTAGTCGGATGTACCCTTGGGCACCTTTACTGGTCTTGCTGGCTTGTCGAACTCATCCTCGGAGAAGTAGTGATGATCATCCAAAAGGACTCCCTTCTTGGTTGTGGGGGCAAGGGACTCGGAATCAACATCGTCCATTCTTGCCTCCTCCGGTGCCAACTCCGCCAAGTCATCCTGGTCCTCAGTGGGAGTCTCCAAGACCTCTTCGGAACCAGCTTCGTCCACGGCCATATCACCGTCTCGCTTTCTCTTGACGACCAGAGGGGCTGCTGTGATCTTTTCGATCTGGAAGGTGCCCCAATCTCCAACTTGCACCAAGCGGTCAGCCTTCAGGCCCTTTCCACGCACAACACCAGTGATGACAGTCGAGCCAGATGGCGTGGTTGGCCATTGAACTTCATCTGCCAACATCCAGCTCCTCTGATCCCTCCAATGTACTCCCTTGGGGGTGGTGCTGCACAAGGACCTCATGAGATTCGAGCATTCCTGCCGCGAGTCAAGGCTGTAGACCTTGTCTTGGTCGGGATGGAAATGGGTCATGAAAGAGACAAGAGACTTCTGAACATCAGGCCTGGCCTTGACGGGTTGGATTTTGTCGAGGTTCTGGACGACGGAGAAACATGTGGACAAGCCTTGATTCTCGATGCTCCGGATGATGAGTTCGCCGAGGGGATCAACCTCGACGTCGGCGGACAACAGGAAGATGACAAAGTCGGCGACACGAGAAGCATCCATGCATGCGGTCAGGTCGCGTCGCAGGGGGACATATTGTAGCTTCTGCTTGAACCGGTCGACCTGGACTCGGAAACTTGTGTCGAGAACCTCGGAATCGATATCGAGGCTGGTGTTCAGTTTGCGGATTGCGGCAGGGACGTCTCCGTCAGGGCACAATGGTACAACTGCAACGATCCGTGGTGCGCCGTCTTTGCCCTTGAATATAAAATTCTCCTCTTGATGCTCTTTTGCTTTTTGGACTTGGCGCTGCTTGGCCTGATTTCTTCGATCGAGTTTGGACATGACTTGCTGGTGTGGTGTCTTGCGCTGGCCCTTCTCGCCGGATAGTTTGCCTGCGAGGTTTCACGTCAGCATGGTGGAGTGAGAGGGCGTGAGCAGCTGCGGCCGGGGAGGGGTTTGTATGGCATTGTACCTTTTGCTTGCTCGCGCAGTTCGCCTTTGGTGGCCTTCTTGGACTTGTAGCCTTTGTGCGAGACCTTGGTGGTAGGGCGGTGGGAGTGGGATCCCACGGCGGAAGGCATCTTGCCGTCGCCTCCTGATTTAAATCTAAATGGAAGAGAAGCCAGATTGAACCGCGAACTCTCGAATGACGTATTTGACGAGGGTTGATTCAAGAAAGAAACAGGATGATCTCGGACGACAACCCCAAGACTAAACCGAATTTGCGGCGGATAGGACGATGTAAGTGCAAATGCAGTATTCGCTCGCTATAACTAGCGGGGCAATTGGGCAAGCAAAAAAAATTATAATGTTGGAGGGGTTTTTCCAATTCTTGTGGTTATCACCTGGGCTAGTCCAACCTAGCGCATGCACTATGCAGTGCCTATCGCCCCGCCCCCCGCCTGTCACAGTCTACAGTCCAGCACTCCCAGACTCTGAGCATGGTCCGCTTATCGATAACCTGATAACAGCTGCGATTAGTACGATTAGTACGCGATCGGCGAAAAAGTCTCAATGAGCATCCTGCGCTGGGCTGGGCTGTTTCTTTCTGCGCTTCCAGGTCACAGCTACGGTACGAGCAGTGTTCGTTCTTAGGACATTCTCTACAACATTATCGCCTCTACCACACCGGGCCCCCCCATAGGGATTTTTGCTTCACATCCTTTCGCCATCAACCCGGTTCGAGACCTCACGCACAATGGCCGACAATGGCGCCGTGACGGTCAACGCCAGAACAGACCTGGTCCCCAAGCATAAGCGGGAAGAGCTGAAGCGACTGAAGCAGGCCCGCCGCGATTACGGGTACGAACCGCCATCACCCTCTCAGGGGATATGCTAGCCCTAGCCATAGCCATGTACTGATTCCATTGTCTAGTCGAGGCAGTCGCATTGATGTCAAAGGGTATACAAACCCCCTCTACTTTGCCCAAGCAGACCAATACTGACCTGCGTCGCCCCAGTGTGAAGGATAAAAAGTTACGTCGCAACCTCAAGGGAATTGTAAGTCACTTTCTCCCTGTCGCCAAGCCAGCCTCGAGACAAGCAATAGCTGACCGCCAACATTGTGTAGGAGTCCAAATATCAAACCGCTGCCTTGAACGCCAAGGACGCCGAGATCCTTTTAGAAAACGATGCTGGTTTCTTGGAACCAGAGACCGAGCTCGAACGAACATACAGGGTCAGGCAGGAGGAAATTCAAGAGGGCGTTAGTACGTGAAGAACCCCACCTGCGTCCTCCAAACTTTCTTTTTCCTCTGAGAAAATACTTGCCGGCGGCCCTTCTCAGCCTCCAGGTTCGAGAAGAGATGCTAGTAGCGCCAAGCAAGCCCGGACCTCGAAACGCATCCCCTATGATGATGAGGAAATAAACTAACTGGCATGTTTCAATAATGCAGGCGAGACAACGGCAACAAAGCGCTTCGATCTGACACTGGGTCTCGGCCCCTATGTTTTCGAGTATGATCGACCTGGAAAACACATCTTATTGGGCGGAAGGAAGGGTCATGTTGCCCTGATGGACTGGCGGGCTGGCAAACTCAAGTGTGAGTACTCGGTGTTTTATTGCCGACTCGTCAAAACTATATTGGAGCAACATCCACTAACTCCGGACGGTCAGGCGAATTACAGCTTGGCGAGACAATCCGTGACACAGCATTCCTCGCTGACCAGTACTTCGCAATTTCGTACGTTGGAACATCCCCTCGTCCCAGAAAACTGTATACTCAAGATTTACCAGTCAGAAAAAATATGTCTACATCTACGACACATCCGGCGTTGAAATACATTGTATGAGGAAACTCCAGGAGGTTAGCCATATGAGCTTTTTGCCATATCACTACTTACTAGCGACCGCGGGACTCTCTGGGTATCTCAAATGGCAGGACGTGTGAGTAATGATTTTGGAGCATTTCCCGTCACACCTAGCATCATATTGGCCGCATCAGTCTTTTGTGTTCCCTCTAACGACTCTTGTCGATGCCGAGCTGCAACAATTGTCTTGAAAGAAGTGGCTACTGACTCCAGAGATTTCAGGTCCACGGGCAATCTCGTTACCGAGACACCAACGAAGATGGGACCACCGGTGTCCATGTCCCAGAATCCGTATAATGCTATTTTGCATGTTGGTCACCAGAACGGACAAGTTTCTCTTTGGTCACCGAATGCGCCAGAACCATTGGTGAAACTTCTCGCGCATAAGGGACCTGTACGATCCTTGGCGTGTGATCGGGAAGGCAGATATATGGTCAGCACTGGCCAAGACAAGGTATGACTCTCAAGAGCTTCATCGCCGCATTTTGAAACTGCCTTTTTTGTCCAAATTGGGTAATTGCTGATCTGTCATAGAAAATGTCCGTCTGGGATATTCGAATGTTCAAAGAAGTGGTATGTCGAAAACAGCCTGCGTTGTCAAATATCATTTGTCATTCGGGAAAACACTAGTCCATGGCCTCTCAGCCTGCAAGCATTCCTAGAATCCAGACTAGTGGCTCTGACCAAATCAGAACCCTTGCGGTATACCCCATCGTGATGGAAAAATAAACTAACTGAGATTGCTTTCCCGTACCACAGAACAACTATTTCACACGCACCCCCGCATCATCTGTGTGTATCTCTGACCGAAACCTCACCGCTGTAGGTTGGGGCACCTCTACAACGATATGGAAGGTTGGTAAAGCATGATATACTGCTGCATATGCAACCACTGACGAGATCAGGATCTTTTTGTCAAGCACAAAGCAGACCAAGAAAAGGTTCAGTCGCCATATATGTCTTGGGGAGGCGAGGTATTTCATCCTTTCTTTCCTATCTTGCTTAGTTTAAAGAAATATTGACTAATTATTGGTATTATAGGGGAAGGCCATTGAGAGAGTTAGGTGGTGTCCATTTGAAGACACTCTAGGCGTATCTCACGACGAAGGCTTTTCTGTAAGTCGTGCTCTATGGAGTTGCCTACCTCTACTATGGAGAATGTTTGCTCACTCATGATCAGTCGATTCTCGTCCCTGGTGCTGGTGAAGCCAACTTCGATGCACTCGAAGTCAATCCATTCGAAACTGCTAGACAACGACAAGAATCACAAGTCAAGGGTCTGCTCAACAAGCTGCAGCCTGAGATGATTGCGCTTGACCCTAACTTCATCGGCAATCTTGATCTGCGTAGCGATAAGCAGCGCCAAGCCGAAAGGGATCTGGACGCCAAACCAGTCGATATCGAGACGGAAATCAAGCATCGCATGCGCGGAAAGAATTCTGCCATGAAGAAGTACATGAGAAAGCAGAAACACAAGAACATCATCGACGAGAAGAAGATGAAGGTTGAGCAGCTCTGGGAGGAACAAAAGGCAAAAAATCAACAGAAGCACCAAGACAAGACGGAAGAGCTCGGACCGGCTCTCGGCAGATTTGCCAGAAAGGAATAGAAAATACCCACTGGCTGACCCAAATGGACCTGGAAGATATTTCGCTAGCCATTTTCCTGGAGTGTGTGCAGCAAACACGATTTGGGTGCATGAAACCAATAGCTGTTCCCGCAATTCCAGAACTCTGCAGCGATGCAATGAAGTTCTCATACATGAAACCAGTCACAAAATAAAGCACGCTAAGCTGAGCTACTCAATCAACGTTGTCAGCTGCAGGGTTGCCAGTCAAGCAGGCGAGAAGTGAGGTTACCCTTCAGTGGTCTTCATGGCTCACATTGTAATAATTCCAATGTCCGAAGGCCTGGTTTGAAATGCGCCGTCATGATGTGTCCGGCTGTCGCAGTGGTGATGTCGTCTCTTCAACCGTTGGGACGGTTGCATGGAATGCGACTCCAAGGCACGGCATGACACCACTTTCACGAACTTCATTTGCCGTCAGCCTTCGAGCTTCAGGCTCGAGAGTTCGTGGTATAGTCTTGAACCTAGGCCATCCTGAGTACTGCGTATTACAGGCTCCTACTTTATATCCGGACACTCAAGGAAAAGTAACACATGTCACCTTTCTCAGTGGTGTTCATCAGTCACGGTGTATCTTGTTCAGTAGAATTGTTTTGCATGAGTGCTGGGGTGACGGGGTTCGCTCCAGGGCTTCACTCGCGAATACCCCCTTTCGAGCTTTATTATTATTATTATTATTATTATTATTTTAATGATGATTGATACTATGCGCTCTGGTCTCTCGTGCCCTGCCGTAACTTCGACTCTCATCTTCCGAGACGTTATGTTGAAATGTCAGACACCAATAGTCTCTTGCAACATAGATTCGAATCCAATGCCATCTCGCCACCTGCCCAAGTTACTGGTCGACAGTGTCATCCTAGCAGTAGTGCAGCGACTGGATTTTCTAGTCTTGTTGGATTCCATTCGTATGCACCATGCAACGGAGCTGGCTACGAACATAGAACACGGGTGTTATGAGCGTTGGGATCGCGGATCGAGAAAGAGATTTGTTCCGAAGTGAGTATGGATCCGGCGCTGGTAAATGCTAACATTGTATGGAAGAGTGTACGCCAGGTCTTGAAAGAGAATATTGGTTTCGATATCCAAGCGATGGGTAAAATATTCTAGACCGAACGGTGCAGTGTGCACCAGATCGTCTGCCACGGCAGTATTACACGCGATGTGGCGGTCATGGGGGTTTCTGAACCTCTATGTGAAATGCATTTACATTGCCTTGATCCGGCTACTGATACACTCCATATGTACACTTTTTCCTTCCTCTCAATTTGTGACCTATGCATGGGCGGAATCAAGGACAGGTGACGATGCGACTGCATCCGGTCCCTTTTGAGCTTTCAGCTTTTGTTCGAATTTCTCGAACTCAGCCAGCGCGATTTCCTCCTCTGGGTCAGTGACCTGATGGACACCCTTGACTTCCTCAATCTGGGAACATGTTAGCTGTCACTCCGGTGTAGTCCACAGCAATGCGAGTACTCACATAATGCATCAACATGCCCTCGATGCCATTCTTCAATGTCACGGTGCTCGAGTCGCAAGTCCTGCACGCTCCTCGTAACTTCAGGTGCACGTGTCCATCCTCGGTAAACCCCCTGAACTCAATATCACCTCCATCTTCCTGGATGGCAGGCCGTATCCTCGTCTCGAGGAGCTCCTTGATCATGCCAACAACTTCCGAGTCATCCTCGTTGTATGCCAAGCTGTCAGCCTCCTCTGCCGCCTCTTGCCCGTCTGCCCCGACTTCCTTTTTGGTGACTGTGACCAGCGGCTGTCCGGCTGTGATAGCTTCTGTGATATGGCTGAAGATCTCAGGACGGATATGCGCCCAGTTCGCGTCGGCAGTCTTGGTGACTGTGATAAAGTCGGCACCGTAGAAGACGGCAGTTACGCCCTCGATGTTCATGAGCTGGGCGGCGAGCGGCGATGGATACGGAGGGGCGATTGTGCTCCGTGGGTTCAGATACTCGATAAACGGCGTGGAGATATCCTCCGGTAGCACACGGTGGTTTGGCAGAAACTTGAGCGCATCTGCGTTGGGAGTATTCTCGGTCTGTATAAATATGCTTCGTGTGCCACGCGGGGCGAAGGAAGCGGCTCCTGATGAGGACAGAACAGGCCGCAGTATCCTCGAGGATAAGCCTGAGTTCCTAGAGCTTGTATGCGCCTTGCGCGCAGCCTGGTAGATTCGGCATGTTTTCGAAGGTCCCTGGCGGGTTGCCGACGATAATAATGCGACAGCGGGGCGAACAAGGCGGTTGGAAGCGGGCATCGTGCAATGTGGGAGAGAAGGGTTATAGCGAGAAATACAAGAAATACGGGGGTTCCTCGATAATTAGATTAAAACATGTATTGTTGTTGGTTTTGTAAGAGGAAGCTTGCGCCGCGGTTTGAAATGTGTTGGTAGTTGGTTGTTGGTTGCTTCACTCGTCTTGTAGAACTAGAACTAAAGTTGCCTCCGGCTGCCGATATCGATAACAACAAAGCCGCTGCTTGATTATCAATCTGCCCAACGGCATGACGCAAATTCCATCCTCTTCAACTTCATTCGCTACTGCTAATGAACCCCGATCCACAATAACTGCAAGACATTTTCAAAGCAACTGCCGACAAATGGATTGATCCAAATCCCGTTGATAAACGAGCTTTCTTCCCAATCGATTCTTCAGTGCGAAGCCTTTCACCACAAAGGTTCTGCCGCCCTCATAGGATCACCATTTCATGTAAGTTTTCGCCGTCCGCCCTCGATGAACTGGCTTTCAAGTCAATGTAGACCTTACACTGGCCGTATCAAGACACCAGTAGTGTTAGTCATCAGTATGCAGTTAGATCTTCATAGCCAGAAATACAATCGTGTCTATCCTGTCCTTTTTCGCGGTCAACGAACCATTCTGATAAAGTGATCAGTATGCTACGGCGAAGCATCAACAACTCATAAATCTTATGTTAGCTAGGCAAGCACAATTACTCGGGTACCGTAAACACTGGGGGCATTCCGTTCGATACGTTGGCTCGACTACTTCTTCGGACCTACGGCATTAAGGCACCAAGCTGCCTGAAAGGGAGGCCAGGGCATTCAAGCCAAAAGGAGAAAGAAAACGCGACAACTAAAATTCCATCTCGACGAATCAGCCTCCTTGGAACGTCCTCCCCAGTTGAACTGTTGTGTGCGGATATCGGAGTCCACAAATTCGATCTTGTTCACCGACCCGCCAACCAGATCGTAAACAGCTCTGGTTGCCAGTCAAACAATTGCCTCGCCCTTTCATCTGGCAAAGGCAGCATTCAATCCAAACGCGTCCAAGCACTGAGCAAGCTCAGAAAAACAACATCTCACGTTCCATTGAAAGCTTCGTCATGCCTGCCACAGTACCAGCAGACCGGATTTGTGTGAGCTGCGAGGCAGAGGACGGCAAATACAAATGTCCACGTTGCCTGAAATACACGCAAGTTCTTCCAGATACCCTTCCGCCGTCACCCTTCTTACAGTCTTAGATGTTCCCTCGTCTGTAGCAAGAGACATAAGGAAGAGCACCCCGTCGAGGAGGAAAAAACACCTGCTCTGCAAGCTGCTCAGACGCCAGCTGATGGCACCTCCAACGCGGAACAACCGGATGAATATAACAAAATCTTCGCAAAGTATCCCGTCCTGGCAACTTACCTCAATCAGATCTATGATGAGACTGAGCCACCTTCAAGCCTGACTCCTAACCCTGACGACGGCGGTAAGAGCGGCGGCCTCAAGCGCAAACAGCAGCGCAAACCTTGGACGCGCGAAATTGGTGTGCAGAATGCCTTGCACAAGCTGCGCCATCTGCGTGATCAGGACACCACTGGTGCCTTGAAGGAGTTTTGCGCGCTGGTTCATATGTTAAACGCCGAGAAAGCAGAAGAGGACGCCAGGAAGCTGGAGGCACAAAGGGATGCGGAGACGATTGCGCAGATGATTCGGGACGAGCGGGACTAGTACGACCGAGCCTCGGATCGACCGTCAGTCATCAATCGAATCGGTTCAGACGTCTCGAGATGGGGCCATCCTCAAAGAGACACAGATGCGCACTGGCGTAGCAATGATCGAGGCCCACGGAGCATATGGGCACCAAAAAGGAAGTGAAAAAGGGTCATATGCCTTGCCTGACAAAAGGTCACACTTGTGTGGACTGACACACCGGGCGCTTCAGTCTTTATATGGATGCGTATTACACAAATGCCGAGGAAATTGGATGCAAGTATGGCCTTGATCAAATGCAAATCGCAAGACAACAATTAGCTGACATCTACAGGTTGGTTTATAGTCGTTGACATGGCCTTTCGATGCCTCAAGTGTGCTTGTCGCGGTCGGAATGGGACAAAGCTATCAACAGCCCGAAGCGCTCAGTCGCGTATTGACTGTACACCCGAATTCAGGCTACGATATGTTTCTGAATTAGAAATTTGTGTTTTATGTATGCATTTGTATTAAATTTCGCTAGCCACTCAAGCATGAACAGCAGCAATGTGTCGCCTGAACTTCGTCCAAATCCCCGACTTGACTGGCTTCGGTACGATCGTATCGACCCTTTCCGTCAGGTTCATCGTCGTACCTTTTTCATGGCCATGTCGTCCAAACCTGTCCTTCAGTCCCCATAGCGAGTCCGCCTTTTTGAGCAACGGGCTCCTCAAACCCCGGCTCTTCTCCTCCATCTCGTCGCTTTGCGTCCAATCGACCATACGGTAATCGTTCGGATTGATTGTTGCGGTCAACGGCACTACCTCGTCTTCTGGAATCTTCTCGTCCGACTCCACGAACCTGGTCCTCTCTCTTTCATCGCACTGCAGCGAGTGTCGCATGCTGAAGCTCCTTGCCGCTATGACATCGGCTATGTTCTCATTGGGTATGGTATGTCTCTGCTTCGATCTTCGTGCCGCTTCTACTTCATTTGAGCCTTCCAGTTTTCGACTGTTCTGAAATTGATTGCGCTCCCGTAGCTTCTCTCTCTCGCTTTGCACTTTGCGCAGGGCCCGACCTTGCCCAGCCGGGCCTATACTGGTATCCAGGGACAGGCTCTCCGTATGCAATCTTAATGCCTCGTGCGACAATGTATGTATACGGCTTTTATCCCTAGGCACGTGCACCGAAGCAGTCCGGGCGAACTGCGATGCAGCCTGCTGGGGAATATATGGTTCGTTCGGTCTGCTGACTGAGTCTGACCTTTCCGGTAGTTTCTCCGGCCAAGTGTTCTTAGATCTGGTGCCAACACGCTGTGGCGGCACCCAGGGCACATCCAAGAAAGAAATATCGGGGTTCTGAGCGCTACTGCTGACATCTTTTTGTAATGCCGCGGTACCTTCTCCTCTTCCCTCAGCTGCCCTCGATTCTGTTTCTTTCGTTTCTTCAGCTTCTTCTCCGACTTTCCTGGCCGTTTCTTCTGCCCTGGCCTGCCGTCGCTGCTCCTTTGCTGCGTCCCTCTGCGAAATGACGATGTAGAGCCGTCGTCTCAGGTCATCCGCGTCTACAGGTTGTGACACTGGTTGGCGTGGCTTCTTCGTCACCGGCCTCTGTCCAGGACGGCTTGCTGGTTGTTTTGAATATGGTTGTGATTGCCGCACAAACTCTCCTAAGGGATGTGCCATTTTGAACTGCATTACGGCACACCCGGCCGGCGTGGGTTCATACGCCAAGCGCAAGGGCGGATGTTTGTATGGTAACGAATTTCTCTGAGAAACGTCTCAGTAATAACGACAAGAGACCTAGCACCGAGTTGGTAGCTAGGTTGTACTAGCAGAAGTGCGAAAGTAGTCACAGTATGGAATGTGGCGAGTTATCCCAGGTTACGTGACGCAAATAAACAAATAGATGGATAAATAAATAAATAAAACTTCGAGCTGCACTGAGACAATCACCGGAAAGCAAATTTGGTGGTCACAAGCAACCAACATGAAGAAGCAAGTATGAATAGAGTTAAACAACTGAGCCCGTTTCACGCACAGGCGTACCCGCTACTTTATGAGGATGCATGCGAATGCATGCAAATCATGGTCACGATGGGGAGACTGTCACACGACGCATAGAGCGATCCCATACTGCTTCTGGGTTGGTACCCTTGCTTAACGTCTCGTCCGGGGTTGGGTGCCGCCTGCACATGCATCGCGCATCGTTCTGACAGGGGCAGCTGGCTCCATTTGCTTAGAGGCGTTTACTAGTTCGCTTTGCCTGGCTCCAGCGAGGGGTTAAATAGTCCTGCAAACTAAGCAAAATTGCATCCATTTGCGTCGATTCCTCTTGTGGACTTGTCCCCCGTAAATGTCTTCCTCGCGGTCGACGGTGGACCAAACGCGGTCTAAATTTTCGAAGAGGGTCTATCGAGGTCAACCTCAATTTTCAGGGTCGTTGGCATGAATCTAGACCTCGGTCGAGCTATTCTGTCTCGGCTGCGACGACTCTCGTGTTTTCAAAGGAGCTTTGCCGGCGGTCTGCTGGGCCTATACCGAATGTGTTTTCAAGGTCGCATTGTGCGGTAAAGCTGTTTGGTCCCGTGACACTCATTCGCTACATGCTATGCATCAGGGACGACGTCGCCCAATTCGTGAGCTCTGGTGGGTTGCCTGCATGAAATTGATTTGATTTTGGTTTTTTTTCACTTCTGGCTTGCAGCTCAGAAGGGGGAGCATGTTTCTGACCAACACCATGACGGATTTCGTGCCGCAGTCGATCTTGTCCTCCCTTTTGCGGCCTTCACAGACGCCCACATAACATGGATAATCTGCAGTGCGACTACAGTTGTTGTACTGCCCGCATGCTCTCCAATTCACAATGTTCAGGACTTCGGCTACTTTGAATGGAAATCCCGCAGCGCTATTATGTATAGGGTGTAATGATGGGTGGTCGTGGCGGTGATGCTAAAGTGTGTCTATTCAGTCTAACACACAAAGCAATCGGTCATGCGCCAGGCATTTTCTTGGGCGTCCGGAGAACTAAATTAGATTACAACAAGGCTATGGTGGCGCCCACATCAATTAAATAATCGTTGGTCCAACTGGTATTCAGATCTGTCTCAACGTATCATCATATGAGATACACGGCATGTATGTTCTGCACATCGATATTTCAAACGGCGATGACGCAGCATGGCGACCACACATATGTACTGTACTACTCCGTAGATTGAATCTGCATTGTCTGGGGCCCCGCAAAGCTAGAGCCACATACTGCAGATCCGCCGTTTAAAGCTGAACAAAGAGTGTGAAAATGTCAGCCGGGATCTTGGCTACCTCTAATAACGCCTTGATGAAGTGGACAAATTAACGGGCATAGCATGTTGAGTAGATTTGCAAGCTTCAAACGACTTCGAGCGCAATTCATCCGCGCCTTCAGGACTAAAACTCTGTGGGCCTCATTTCCACCCAAGGGTATGAACCTCGAGTTGTGTGTTCCGGACGCCGCCGATGTAAAGCACGTTCAAGGAACCGAGAATTTTTTTGACGGTTCTCAGAGTCTCGAAAGCTGTAATGCCACAACATTATGACTTCACCATGGTTCATAATGAAACCACCTGTATAGTAGAGTGGCCAGAGGCCAGGTCAACATTGCAACATGTAAAAACAGAGTGGAGTTTCGGCAGCTTTTCATGCAACCACAGTCCAAATCATCGCAAGAATCCATTATAAGTATCGGGAGACTTGAGACCGGATTCAGAAAGTATTGTGCGTTTTGCCAGTCATTTGCTGACCGTATTTGATTATTTGTCCATAATTCGTCCAGATAGGATTAGTGCAGTTCCTTCATCAGTTGCATGTAGAGTTCACGGAGGCAATGATTGATTTTAGGTAGTCTTCTGATACATAGTTATTATGGCTATATCGCCAGCAGGAATCTCCCCAACGACTGAGCTACTGTAGGTTAGACTTCTAATTGGGGATAGCTTTAAGCCAACCACTCGGGGTGCGTTCTCTAGTTCGTAGAAAATATGGAAATATGGCCGCATTAGAGTGGGTAAGATCCTTACCGCGCACAGTCCTATCTCGATTGCCAGAAGTAAAGTCAACTTTACCGAATTGGCAATAGGCAGTTTTAATAGTGCTCCGAGATTCTCCTTCTTCTCTTGCGATATTTGTCACATTGTGGTTATTTAATTACTAAGTGCGTCAGGACAAACATTCACATAGAGCTTTTGCGACGCCTGCTTTTCCACCTATACCTTTTCAGACTGGGCGCGCAATCGATCCCTCAAGCTACTCTCTCAAAATGCCAGGCCCCAAAAGACGTCTGCTTGCAGGTAGTCTAGTCACTGAGATAAGCTTTTTACCACTCTCCTAACCGAGGCAAACAAGTGGATCAGAATTGTAATCTAGTGTCTTTTAATTGACGTTTTTCCAACTGGATCTCACCGAGATCATCGTCGCATCTCGATTAGTATAGTGGTCAGTATGCCAGCTTGTCATTCTTCACTCAAGTAGTGGAATTTGAGCGCTGGAGACCGGGGTTCAATTCCCCGATCGAGAGCTTGTTTTGTTTTTTGAAACTATTTTTTATTATTTACCACATTACATGCCCTCGATCTAGACTAGTAAGTAGTTTTATTGTCTGTATGTGGGTGTATAATACATACATACTTGTCGAATAGACAGATCAAATTCCATGTGCTTATCAAGTCCTGCTAGAGGGATTACTTGGACAAGAAAATTTGAACAAACTATTACTGTCATTTCATCAACTCAGCCACTTGCAAAACCCAATTGCCAAAGTCGATATATAAATATCTGCCTTGAAAACAACACGAACGTCACCCAGACTCTAGTAACGTTCAATAGTCAAGTAATTTCTCAGAAAGTATATTCCGACGCTGTAAAACCAGCAGACCTCCGTGGCACGTAGTAAAACTCAAATATGTATCGTATCCTCCTCTGTATCTGATAACATATCTTGTGGAACCAAACGTATTGATCATTGTATCTAGTTAGGCTTACATAATAGTAGCTTGTCTAGTAGGAGCGTGAAGATTCAAAGTAAGCGCTCTTATGCGAACTCTAAAATGGGGAAAAAGAATTTGGGATGAACATGATCAAGTATGGATTACAGATCATTTTCTACCTCGACGGGGCATCATCATGTCATTCTAGGGCTGCATCGTGCTACTCTACCTATAGACGATTGAGCTTACACCGTCGACATGCCAAAATATGACATTGGCGGCATTCGTAAATGAATTGGGGCATCTCGTCGTTGCATTCTTCACACACGCGCGGTCCGGGTCTTCCACGCCATCGATCGTGGTCGCACTCATGATTAGCTCGAAGGTTATCCATAAGTCTGTTCAGGCGTTGATGGCGGCGCTCTGTATTTCGGCGTTCCTCTTGGGGCTGTCCAATTACTAGTTCCGCCAGACGATCATGATCGCGAGCATCAATCTCCTCTGCGCGTTCCAGCAGGCGATGCTCGTCCCATTGCTCACAGTTACATTCTTTCCATTTAATACCACAATTGTAGCAGAATTGCGAACCACATCGGCATCTGTAAGTACAGCGTCAGGCTTATCTACTTCTGAACGGGAACAACGAGCTGAGTGAAATCTGGATTTGGTTAACCTACGTCATGTGATTGCAGCCGGTATTTAGTTCCACCATTGTCCAGCAGTTTCGGCATCGCTGCCACCCAACTTCACGAGCAAGTGTAATCACCTCTTGCAGCGCCTCATCATGGGGGCAGTCGCCGCTGTGGCGCTCACTCTTGCAAGTGGTACAGGTCTGTGCCGCGCACAGAGTACAGGTAGCGATTCCGTTGGCACAACCCGTCGGAGGCACAAAGGCTGAGCAGGTCTTTTGATGGCAATACGTACGATTAGGTGTAGAGAACTCGACACTTTTTTCGCGAAAAAGGATGACCACACGCTCTGGAAGGAAGAGTATGTTCCTGTTCAGAGGTATCGGTTGTTTGCAACAACGGGGCGGAAACAAGCTCTCGTCAACCATCGCGTCCTCGAAGAGATGCCGCAGACAACCTCTGCAGTACTCATGCTGACATGGAGCGCGAGCGACGTCGGTGAAAAACCAGTGTTCTCCGCAAGACACACACTCGCGTTTCTGTGTAGATCTTCGCGGGCGCGATGCAGCCCAGGCGGAGCTTTCGGCGTGGTCACTGGCATTGGTTTCCTGACCTTCACTAGATTCACCTTCGCTGTTTTCATCATGGACCCCGGTAACATAGATGCACGACATCTTCTCAATAAGTTCCATATCTTCAGCCAAGTCATTGGCTGTAGATCCGTTTGTGTTGGCCAAGTTCGTCCCATTCGAGAGGGCGATTGACATAGCTCGATCGTCTTTGGCGGCATTCTCTGCGTTTACCACTTGATTCAAAGCATCTGCGTCATCCCGAATAGCCATCTGGATACTTCTAGTCATTCTGCGATCTAAAGCAAAAGAAGCTGCTCCTGCAATCTCCTCCAAGTAGATCTGGAGTGCAAGTTCTGCATCATTGAGTTCACCCTCCCTTTTCTTTCCCTTCGCGCTGTCAGCAAAATGCTCTCCATCTTCTTGCTGTAGATCAAGTATAAGAGCTAGGCTTTCATCGTCTATGCTCAACAGTGTGGCTTGGTGGGACTCAATAGTTGCCATCTTATGTGTAAGGCTCAAGATAATTCTAAGCACGAGAGAGAAGGTTGCTTAAAAATCGCCAAATACGGATAGAATGTATGCTTGCTATAAAAAGCATTGCTCGTAAGTTTAGGCCTAATGCGTGTCTCGAGCTTGTTTACACAGCACTGATATGCTGAAAGCAAATTTGAAGCTGAGCTGCATATATGACTGGCCCTGAAAGGATATGCTTTGCTTATCAGTACGGATGCTGATCAGCCACGCTTAAATAAATTGGAGATAATGAGTTCACTGACGACTAATATGAATGACCTTGCAGCAGAAGCAAGTCAAGCACTACGTGTTTTGATACTCTGGTAATCAAGAAAAATACTCTGCGCCACTCTCGATAGCCTCAGATTATGGTGCTTTGATGCCAGCTTGAAGTCGGTCAACGGTGCACCTGAAAGTTTTGGAGAGCCAGGAGGTTAGGGATATCTGTGAATCAAGCATCCTCTGGAGAATTGCTTTACTTTTAATACCAAGCAGTAGATATAAGAAATGGCACCTATGTACATCTCAGGCGTAGTCTATCCGTTGACTATCTATAATCATAATGTGAGACAAGAACGGTAAGGCGCTGGAATTTACTGGGAGATCCAGAACCATTCAAAAGAACCTTGTTAGTGTAATATAGGACAATGTGGATGGGTGATAAGGGGTGATGGGTATTATTGCACTCCGGAAGTGAGACACAATAGTGTGACGCTGCAGATATGTTTATTACACCGAACAAATCAATAATGTGGAAGGGTCTGGGAATGTGTCTCAGAATCCAACTACAATTTGTCAATCAATCGCTAAATCCATATTTATCTAGTAGGCCTCCTGCCTTTTAATTAAATAGACCACGCTGGAAAGCAAACATGCGCAGTCTTAGCACCTAATCACCAAAGCTGTATTAACAGCTATCAGCCAATTGCTCCTAGGTGTGTTGTCAGCAGTTACATACCCCCTTTTATTGATGACTTCTCCTTAGGGAGCACTTCGCACTCGGCGGCGTTCTCGAGGCATGCTAATGATACCTTCATGGTAGCTTTGTCTTGATGGGTTTAATCTGGTTTCTTAAATCCCTTTGCATGAAATCTCGCACAGAACTTTCCTTCTAACACCCATTGCCTCATTATATCCTGAGACTATTCTAAACTGCTCTGCTTGTTCAATGTAGTTTTTTCATTCTTTTTTTCAACCCCTAGACCTTTTTTTTTTTTCTTTTGCATTTTTCAAGCGGTAATAGTTGCATATTGTACCAACGCGTCATCCCCAGGTAAGATGAAATGACTTCATTGGCTAGATTAGAACTAATGCATGGTTTGTCACATATATTAAGCAGCTGCTTGGTCAATTGGCTCATTCAACTTTCCTAATTATAGGAGGAGAAAGAGATGGGGAAAAAAGGAAGAAGAAAAAAGGGAAAAGGTAAAAAGAAAACACCTCGGGTGTGTGCAAGCGGGCCGGTCGGAAAAGTCTAAAGATTTTGAGTACTGTGTGCCGTTACGGGATTTATTTTTATTTTTTGAAATATTTTTATTTTACAGCGATAACATTGTTGGATGTCGCCTTGCTTCATTTCAGAATATCGGGCCCAGCTCGTATGTTTGCTGTAATATGGAGCAAGACTTATATGTCAAGTGTTTGATGATAATTTTTGGTTTAGACTAGTTTGAGCACTAACTTACTATGCCTAGAATGGAGGGTGAGAGATCACTCGGGGTAGGTATCGGGCTGCTGGCAGAAGTGTTTGTCCACGCTATTGAGCTCCGAGTCAATTGTACATCCCTATTATGCTTTTCAAGGCCTGATAGCATAGTGGAGTCAACGCTTCGCCACGGACTGTTGTTGAGGGTACCACTATGGGCGCACCTAATAATTTCCAAATTCTGGCGATGGACTGATTCTCATGACATAAACACAGTCAACGCACAGATAGACTTGCTTGAGTCCAAATATTCAGCCTCCTTGACATCACTAACAACACATTAATGCCTACCATAGTAGCTCCACAGCTTTGGGTTTGGACTGCCAATGCATTTGTGTACTTCCGCGGCAAAATGAAGGAGGCTAACCAATATATTTATAACTGCTGGTAATCTTGGGTCGCACTCCTTGGCAGTGTTCACTTGCCTGAGCACAAGCTTATTATACAGAGCGAATTACATTGCCTCATCATATTCCCTGAACTGTGAGGGCATCCGACCACCCCGGGCTCTTCTGCCCAAGAGGATGAAAATGAGTTGTCGTGGGATGGATCCCATAATCATCGCATCGGTCTCAAGGCTCCTGAGCGTATCGCAGGAACTAGCCATGGAGATGTTAACAACAGTGAGAATACTGAGGAGCAAGTTGGAGAGCAAAAGGAATTGCAGCGAGAAGAATCGCGTAATGACTTCCTCAACTTTCGCGATATTACAAAGAATCAGGAGGCGAATGGGATTGTTCAATATAACACTATTTTGACAAGCTTACTTTTGTGTTAGGACTTTGATATAGAGCATCCCGAGCACCATTCTCTGGGTTGGCGCTATTATGTACTAAACACAACGGAAAGACTGGGTCAAAAACAAAGAGGAATGGCCAGCTAATATTGAGAAACGAAAGAAAGAGAAAGAAGACAAGGAGAAGAAAAAGGAAGGAGGAGGATGCGAAGCAGACCTGATGATATGGTTCGGCTGACTGGCAAGCCCCCCCCTGAACGCAGAGCCTCATTTGACACACCTATTTGAAGCTGGGCTTATCACACCAAATGAGCTCCGTTATGTGAAGAATCATGGTACTGTCCCACGTTTGATGTGGGGATTTCACAAGCTCGACATTTGTAACGGTAAGTCGGTATTCCTATGCAATAGCTGCAGAACAACCACGAAGCGATCAATACCGCAGTCGCGTTAGCATGTGATGGCAATCGCAAGAAGGAACTCAATATGATTAAACGCAGCACAGGCTTCAACTGGGGTCACGGCGCTGTTAGTTGTACATATTGGCAAGGCCCGTTGTTAGTAGGTGTACTCAAGTCTATGGGCATTGACGATGTGATGAAGGACGACGGGAAAACATGATACTGGGTCAACTTCGAAGGGGCCGATGAACCCAGTGAGGACAAACACGCTACTAGCATTTCCCTTCACTATATATGGACCCAAACAACGACGTGATTCTCGCGTACTGGATGAACGACATAGCATCGTCCCCTGACCACGGGGTTCCCGGTGCGGTTATGATTCCAGGCTATGCTGGAGGTCGATGCGTGAAGTGGTTGCACAAAATTTGGATCAGCAAGAAAGAAATAAGTTCATATTATCATATATGGGATAACCGTGTCGTCTCTAGCTTCATAGCTGGAAAGGACGGCAAATTTGCAGAGACACTCTTCAGCTATCCGGGCCGCGTTTCACGAGCAGGATCTCAACTCTGATATCGAGAAGCCATCTTTTGGCGAAAAACTTTCCTTAACAGAAGCCAAGAAGGGTCACAGTTACCGCATAGCCGGATATGCTTATGATGGTGATAGCCATGAGGTACATCGAGTCGCGGTCTTTTTGGACGATGGAAAAACTTGGTTGTATTGCATTCGTCAATTCCCGGCCCGATCAGATACGGAAAGAAATTCTGGACGAGGGTATACTGGCACGTAAGTATTGAAGCGACGCACCTGTTGTGCTCGAAAATAATTGCCGTACGATGCTTCAATGGTGGGTGTCTGCTGGATCCTGCTGTCTAACTCGTAGAATTGTAGCTACTGGTGTGCCTTTTTATCACGAACTTAGCTAATGATCTTGGCAGTCTTCAAGAGCACTCAGCCGGAAAGCCAGCCTGTAACGTTATGTGAATGATTAATAACTGCTGGCAAGTTTTCAAACCAGAGCTCGTCGACAAAGAAGACTCAGGTGTTGCCTGTATTTAGTACCTGTGCCTTACTCAGCCTGGAACTGGTGACAGCGGCTGGATGAAACCGAGCGTCGAGAATCAAATCGGAGCCTTTAAGCATGACACCGGGACACCGCAAAGTAAGCCACCATCCCCGAGACTAGCACTCTTGACTTTATTGATTTCAGTTAATACTACTGCAGAGAAGCCGTTGCCTTCTGCCCAATGCAGGCTCTTCGACTAACAAATCTACCGCATAGAACAGTTCACAAGACAAGACGACAAGCAGAAACACGAACATGGGTGGAGCTCCGCATTCGATGACCAATATGGACTAGTGCGACTTTTAGCAGTCCGGGAGTCAGAACAGGGGGAAAACATGCATCTGGCCATCTGGTTGGTTATCTGGCATCTCTGGCATCTCTGGCATCCGGCGTTGGCCTCGGCTCGCAGAAGCACTTCCCCACACGCAAGCTTTCCCCAGACTCCCCCAAGATGCATATCGCCGCGGCAGGAAGCTGGACTTTCCCAGCCCATGTCTCATACGTATCATTCCTGATGTACACAGATGCTGAGACGCCCTGAAGCCTCCCAACATGTCCGACCAAGCTAGACAACGTATCGAGGCGCTCGGAAAGCAGCTCGCGCCCGTGAGGAAGGTAGCCGGCGCATCAAGTGGGCCGCGCCTCCAGGGCAAAGTGGCCATCGTGACCGGTTAGTGGGAAGAGATCCAGATGCGCCCCCCTTTGCAGACGGTATGCTGACCCTTCTTCCGCAGGAACAAACTCAGTACTGGGGATCGGACGAGCGACGTGCCACCAATACGCCGAAAACGGGGCCAAGGCCATATACTTGTGTGATTTCGACGATTCCAACTTAGAGTCGCACAAGCGCGAGATCAATGCTACGTATCCCACTGTCGAGGTGCACATACGCCGGTTTGACGCGGCAAGTGAGGACGCCGTCAAGGACGTGGTTGAGCATGCAATCCAGACGTATGGGAGGCTGGATGTCTTCTTCGCCAATGCTGGCATTATTGGCCAACCAATACATTTCAAAGATGTCGAAAAGAGTGACTTCATGAAAGTGATGGAGACAAATGCTGCCAGGTGAGTCGAGGCCTACACCAGTGTGGATTTTGTCGGTTGCTGATAGCACTGCAAGTGTATGGTTAGCTGCAAAATACGCAGCACCGGCAATGATGAAGACTTCGAGTGACAAGCCAGCGCCTTGGGGAAGCATCATCGGCACTGCTTCCGTGGCAGGTATCCGCTCCAATGCGGGTCCTACTGCCTACTCTGCAGCAAAGGCGGCTGTTGTGTCGATTGCCCAGACTTGTGCCTATCAACTTGCTGGTACTAACATTCGTGTAAATGCGATATGCCCGGGCTTGATCGAGACTGGCATGACGGCGCCAACATTCGAGACAGCCAGAGCTCGTGGTACCGAGAAGAAGATTGGCCAGCTGAATCCTCTGAGAAGGGGCGGCAACGCTGACGAGATTGCGCGTGTTGCTCTCTTCCTGTCAAGCGATGAGTCAAGCTACGTGAACGGACAAGCGTGGGCTGTAGATGGTGGGTTAAGTGCGGGACACCCCTTCGTCCCCGGTAAACTCGGTTAGTATCCACGTCAATAGTCAGCATCATATTTTGCTGAACCCTTCCCATAGCATAAGTGCCGTTCTGATGCCATGCCCTTTTGTGGCTCACCCATCCGTCGTTGCCGGCGCACCTTCCTATAGGTGAGGATGACTACAAATAATCGTGGACATAGTTCTCGGCATGAAGAATGGTCCCAGAGGCGACGCGCCCTAGTAGGCTGTCATTTTCGGCGCTACATGCCTGTACGCTGAATGGAAATTTATCTGTCCTCCACAACCGAACCCCACGCTTTGTTGGTACTTTGATCATCAATTTCCGGTGGAGTTTCTTAGCTGATTCCCCAAGAATCCATCCCCATTCCAGAGAAAATTATTCAAGAAACGATCACAAGGTATTGGCCTTGGCACCCACAGTTAATACGTGGTATGGGCATAAACATGTTCAAGTGACTATACCTACGACAAGCTCAACTCAAGGAGTATGAGAGACGATTACTCGGTATTGGTGATATCTCTTACGTAAAGAAGCGCGCCTGAATATTCGAACCGCCAGATACTTAAAAGCCCAATGTGCTTCCTTCCACCAATGTTCGTGTTTCATGATGATTAAATTGGCATTGGGTTCACCGGTGGAGATTTCTCGGTCGAGCAGCAGTCTTCATGTATCAAAACTCGCAATTTCTTGGCGTCGTTTCCATGATCCTGAACCTGGCTGACGGGCTCCTCCCGCCATGCGACTCGCCAAGACTATGTAATTGCCTAAGATCTATTGGACCTTCGTTAGCCTTGGCGATGGCTTCGACGTTTCGAATATCACAACATTGGAGAGGACGCGTAAAGATCAGAATGGTTTGCAGTTGTCCTGGCCTGCGTAGTAGACATGACGCGATCCAACGCCAGAAGTAGTCATGCATGATTCTAGTTACCATACATGCCAGTACGGTTACATTCGTCTCTATGTCGATGTTTCCCTCCCACGTTTCCACGAACAGAAGAATATGAGTCTGCATAGCCAAGAGACAACCCCTTGCGGCCCATGGACGCTACGGAGAGTCGCCGAGGGGAGTTCGCGGCTCGAATAGCGGCTGTATATACCCAGAAGCCCTTAGTGCTGCAGTCTTGGCGTTGACTCGACCCCCGAATACCAAGCAATTGCCGCGTAAGCTTTTGCCCACTTCCCGTTGTTCCTCAACTGTAAATCGACATCATTTTCAGAGCCCCTAACGCCTCCCCCAGATTATACAAAATATCCGTCCACCAATCACTTATTACTAGTCTTGCCGTTTACAAATCAATGCAGGTGATTGGCGAGTTTGTGTCAAAATTCTCCGATGGGGATCATATCTTGCATGAGACAACTCGAAATGATCGTCCTTTATGTGGACTACTGGCTCAATCGCCTACGCAAGGCCACGCACACCCATGTGATATCTTAAGGGATTAGGGGAACGGACTTGACAATCATCATCAACACCATGATTATTGTCGAGACAACATTGCGTACTACTCACTCTGCCGCCGCGGCGGTACTTCTCCCGCAGACGGACGGGGTTAGGAGGCCGTGGAGCCCCAGGGAAGAGCCGTTGGTCTTCTTCATAGGGACCCATGCAAATAAAACACAATGCCTACTATACCAGACAACTCTATAAAGAGTTCCTGAGCCACTCGACATCTCACAGGACTTCTTGTGTTCTTCACGCACCTCGTTTCTTCACTCCTTCGCTATCACATTTGCACCTGAGCCGACAATGGTCAACTTCCGCAACATCGCGGCCACACTGGCTGCCGCGTCCGTCATTGGCTCCGCAGTCGCTCATCCTGGCGAGATTCACACACCTGAGGAGATCAAGCGCGAGATTGATGCTCACAAGGCCCAGCAGATCAAGGCTCGTCGATCTTTGGCTCAATGTTCCAACTCTCCCGCTGCGCTCGCTCTCAAGGAGCGTGCCGTTGCCCGACGTGCCGCTGTCGCCCAAAAGCTCCGTGAGCAGCGCGGACTCACCAAGAGTAAGTTTCTTTTTGAGATCTCCACGGGCTCAGCATGATCGGTCTCTGACAAAAGCTCAGAATCTCTCAAGTCCAAGCGTGACCAAGCTGCTTTGGAGCAGTGGAGTGCCCTCAGCCATGATGTCTCCAGCACTGGCTATACTCTCAACACTCCTCTTGATACCATCTTCGGCTCCATCTCCACCTGCGCCCTGGTCCCTGAGGTCACCATTGGACCGTACTTCGTTTCAGGCGAGCTGATCCGCCAGGACGTTACCAATGGCGAGGGTGGTGTTCCTCTTCACCTCGACCTGCAGTTCGTTGATATCTCCGACTGCACCGCCGTCGAAGATCTCCTCATCGATCTTTGGCACTGCAATGCCACTGGAGTCTACTCCGGTGTCTCTGCCACTGGCCAAGGCGGTCTCGACACCACGGCCTTCCGTGGTGTTCAGGCTACTGACGACGATGGCGTTGCTCAGTTCGACACGATTGTTCCTGGCCACTACACAGGCCGTGCTGTCCACGCCCAGTAAGTGCTCTCATTGCAGCCGCATCATTGTGACAAGGTCGCTAATTTGAGTTCTTCAAGTCTCTTGGCTAGCGCTGATGACACCATTCTGTCGAACAGTACCTATGAGGTCGGCACCGTCCGCCATATCGGTAAGTCGCTTGTCTGACCTTCGTTTCCCAAATAATGTTCCCGATCGACGATGACTGACGCTTTTCGGTACAGGCCAGCTGTTCTTCGACCAGTCGCTCATCACTGAGGTCGAGGCTACTTCACCTTACAACACCAACTCTCAAAGTCTGACTCAGAACACCGCCGACAGCATCGCCGCTGGGGAGGCCACCTCCGAGTACGACCCCTACGTCGACTACGTCTACCTCGGCGACTCCGTCGAGGATGGTCTCTTGGGCTTCATCACCATCGGTATCGACACCACTGCTGACTACACCGACAACTACACCCCGGCAGCTCACTATGAGGAGGGCGGAGGTGTCGACACTGGCAACAGCGGAGGTGGTGGCGGAGGCGGAGGCGGCCCTGGTGGACCCCCTTAAGGTGTTGGGACGAGTTTTTTCTTCTTTTCTTCTTCTTCAATCAGTAAGCTTTTCTGGGGTGAGAGTGAAGCTGACGAGGGGGACATTTGTGTGCATGGTGGGACATTCCGCGTATGCAGCGATCAATGTAAACCCACTGCCTGTCTTTATCGCATACCAGCGACGCCCGCTCTTTCGCCTTTGTATTGACGTCATTTCTTCATGTTACGCGCTCACGAGCACTGCAGCTGGCTCAAACAATTGTGATGTGCACCGTAGCGAGCGACAATGGAGTTCTAAACGCCCTGCTTCTCATTCCGTAATTTCCAATTCGGGGTATCTGTGGAGAGTTGAGTCTCGGGTTAAGCGTGCCCCGTTATTGTTTCCACCAATCAGCATTAGCCGACGGTATAAGAATACCACCGTGAGGACCACAAGAGTAGTTAGACTGATGTTACGATGCACAGCTCAAAAAGAATGGTCTTGATGTAAAGAGAGCTTTCGAGGCTCATCCGTTGGCCTTCATGTTGTTGGTGGCACATATGGTCGCTGGACTTGGCAAATAACGGGATCGTTAAGGACTGGTATAGCCCTATCGCTTCCACAGAGACCCAGCAGAGTCGGTGTGCTCGAGTATACCCAAGGAAAACAAGATGCGTTCAGCGGCCTTTCTCGCCTTGGGCCAGCTGGCCCAAGCCATGTCTTTGTCTTCATACTACCCTCGACAAGACTCAACACCTACACTCCCTGATCGGCGACCGTTTGGGTTCGCCGAGCAGGTGACCGGTGGAGGAAATGGCACAGTCTACATCGTGGAAAACATGATGGATTTGCGGGCTGCGTTGACAAAAGCCGAGCCTCGCACGGTTTACGTCAAGGGCGAGGTCACGGGCAACCAGATCAACGAAACGACCTATGGAGACTGCCAGCTCTACATCGACACGAGCAATGTGCCCAGCTACAACTTCACGCTCTATGTCATGGCCCTGAACTCGACTTATACCGATGCCGTCAAGGCCGCCGTGGCTGCGGGGGAGGAGTTCGAAGGAAGGAATGCCACCGAGTATTTAGCCCTTCTCAACAGGCAAAACGTAAGCAGCAGTGAATTTGTGGCCAACGTAGTGCCTCACTAACTCGACAGCAGGGCTGGCGCGGGACAGCACAGAATGTGCAGAAATCATGGGAGTCCATAAATGTCCAAGGAGATCTGACGCTGGTCGGGTGGGATTCCAACGCCTTCCTCAACGGCGTGTCATTGGTTTTCAACGTACAGTCGAACATCATCATCAGGAACCTGCGCATGACCCCGCCGCGAGACTGCTTCCCCGCGCCCGAAACCTACCCCAGCAGTTGGAACGCTCGGTACGATGCCATCAGCGTCGTGACGTCGAGCCTGATGTGGCTCGACGGCAACATCTTAGAGGACGGTCCTTCTGCGGTGGCGCCGGAGGATTTTCTCTGGGGTTGGAAGGTCGACAGATATGACGGCCTCCTGGACGTGGAGGACGGTTCGGACAACATCACCTTTTCCCACAACATCGTCGCCAATCACCACAAGAGTCTCCTCTGGGGTGGAGGAGAGAAGGAGGGTCCGCGCGATATCGGAAAGATGAGGTTTACGGTCTTCGGCAACCACTTCGTCAACTCCATGAGCCGGAACCCGCTGATGAGATTTGGCACCTTCTACATCGCCAACAACGTTTTCAGCAACTACAATAACAAGGCCCCCATTTTCACATATGACAACTCTTCGTCGACAGTGGCATCATCGCTGAGGCGGCGCAATGACTCTTACACTCCTGACTTCCAATACGACCTGGGCATCTATAACATGTGAGCATATTAGTCCCTGGTTATACACATGCGCGTCTAACCCTACTAGGTCATCTGTACTGGTATCTGGTAACTACTTCGACCAGTCGGGCACATATCCAGACGACCACACGAGGATCTTCACCTTCAACGACCTCGCGACGCCGAATGCACCAGCCACATTTTGCTCCCCGCCTGACCTTTCCGCTCAGGATGCAGCTCTCTATCCTCAGCTGAGCAGTCTCGCACAGCTCTCTTCCTCATTCAACGGCCAGCCCGTCAACTTGACAGACAATGTGCTACAGACGTTCGAGTACTTCATCAGCGTAAAGACCGACTCGGTTGCGGGTGGGCTGGTAGAGAGCTGTGCGAAGTTCGCCGGCCAAGAAATGCCGGAAACGTTCGGTGCGGCAGAAGATGTCTTGGAATATGTGCAGAGCAGTGCAGGCCAGGTTGGGCGAAATACACCTTGAGTTTAGAGCTAGAGGACGTACACCGAAGGGAGCTTCACCTAGAATATTACATGCTTTAAGCTCGCTTCTCCAACTAGTGAACGACATGAAAAGAACAGATACAAGTTCCAAATTTGTGCGAGAGACATTCATTGGAAAAAGTTGCTTATTTACGGAGGACTAACGAAGAAACACCATTTCCCAACCCTATGCTCAACGCGCTTCACTATGGCCTGTTACGTGAATCATATAGAAATGGAATATGTTAAATTCCCGAGAAATCTGCAGCGCAACGAGAGCTGACAAAAAGAAAAGATACCGCTTGTTTAGACAAAACAGTATTCTGAATTTCTATTTAGATCGCACTTAAGCCAGGGATATGATCGATTCCAGCATAGCGAAGTGCTGCTCCTTCAAATCCTTGAGTTGAAGGAGAAAACCTTGCTTTCTCTGGGCACGCTCTTGACTCCTGCTTTGCTGTTGTGATGCGATTGCCAGATCCAGATCGTTCCTAATTTGACTGATTTGTTGTTGCAAAATATCCATCGCATCCTTCTCAATCTCCTTCAAAGAGAATTCCATTCTGTTTGCAATCGCAAAACCTATGTTAGGGAACAGTGTTCCGTTCTCAATCCTGCCTTGTACTATATCTGTCTGGCGCTTAGCTCGTCCAGGTCCTGTCAAGACGTTAGCATAGCCTCCTCTGGTCAAGGGTTATGGTACTCATGGGGAGGATTTCAATCAAAAGCACGCATACCTGTGAGGCTACAAGCAGAGCGGTAACCCGGGATCATCTCATTGAAGATGAACGAGTTGGAGTTTGTTTCGGAAGCGTGGCTCCGGATAAGTCTGTAAGCATTGAGTATCCGCATGAGAAATAGCCGCCGTGTATTCTGATGGTGATTTACCTGACTTCTTTGGCAAACCGTTCTTTCAGAAGCTCGAGGCTATATTCGATACCTCTGATCCTAGCATCAATTGACTCGAGTAGTGTATCGCATGTATCCGATGGTGCGGAGTCTGACACGTGTGAGAAGGATTCGGAACATATGCTTGGACTAGACTTACTTTGAATCTGATCTTTGAGGTATTCCAGCTCGCTCTTTACAGTATCTATCAAGCTTTCAAATACTGCAGGTATTTCATCTTCCACAATGTCCCACTGGAATTCGAGTTCCATACGCATCTTCCACAGCAACTTGGCATTCCAATCTTCTCTCGGTCGTTTTGGGGTTTCGTGGTGGCCATTATGGAGACAAAAAGCGTAATACTGGCCTGTATAAAATCGATGATTAGTATGTAGAGGTTGTATTTTTTCTAGGTTAGACTTGCTCCAGTGCCACTAAGAATATATCAGCGATTGGTTACGATATTGTGCTGATTGTGCTTACAGTAGTCCATAGGCGTCCTTCCCCTGCAGCCACTTTCTCCCACTCTGGACGTCTTTTATCTACCAAAAGTTTAGTGTTTCATAATACGTCGTCATATTGGATGTATATTCGCGTACCTAGAAGTTGAAGTATCTGTTCCTTGAAACATGAATCAAATCCACTGCGAAGTTCTGCAGAAGCGTTCCACATCTTAAAATGTCAGTATGTGCTCTGTGCTTGACGTCGATAGCAATCAGACCTGTTCAGCAACATCATCGAGTATTTGATAGATGGAACTGTCGAGCCCATATTCTTGCTTCTGAGATAGAGTGCTGCCGCTTGTCAAATAAAGCTCCAAAGAATTGAGGAGACTGAGTAGAAGTGATCGGAGGGAATGCGACGCTTCTCGGAACTGTGCGTCTGCGGTGGTCCCATAACAAAATTGTCGAAGTTCAGGAATGCAGCTCGCTCGAACAAGCTCTACATTACCCTTTTGTGCATATTTTTCGTACATCACATTGGAGACACAAAATACCTCGAGTTTCTGGTTAGGTACTTTCTCGGCATATGCATTTTGCAACCCTTCCGTGACATATTTGTTTCGCGCTTCCATAAGAAGCGTTTGCTGTCTATATTCCGGTCAGATTCGCATTCCCTAAAACAACAAGTCGGAAAGGGATGACATGCTTCCATTTGGCCATCTTTTTGCGAACGGCGTCGTTCGTACTTTTTGCTTGTTGCATGTCATAATCAAGACCTTCCATCATAGCTTTGGCGATAGGCTTGTTCGAGCCGAAGAACTCATTCCGGGCTGCCTTCATATTAATTTCCTAATGAGATATCAGTTTGCTTCTGGAGCATCTTGGAACTATGAGGTATACTTCAGATCTTGTACAGACAACCGCAATTCTCAGCCCCTTTGCGCCCGATTCTTCCCAAGCCACTGGAAGATGCTGGGACAAAACCTTGTAAAGCGAAGACTTCAAAGACTGGTCCGTGATTGCGCGCGATATGTTGGTAACTAGGAATACTGTATTGCACTTGAGTAGATACTCCTGCGTTGCGCGTACCCTTGCTAGGTTGGTATCTTGCAAACCTGGAGACAAAATAAGCCGCCATGGTAATTTCAAATATTGTAAATCTTATAATAACGAACCTGGCAAGTCGGCCAAAACTAAGCCGGTCTTCAGAACCTTTGAGTTTATGTAAATGCTGTTATTAGCATACGTCAGCGTAGTCTCCGTATTATTAGGCAATGGTGTCTTACCGAACGATTTTAGTGAAAGGCCAATGTCTATCTTGCATGAACATGCTTGTTTTCTCGCAACATTCGTCTGCCGTCGTTGCTGTCGACTTCCAGAAGCCAGCATCACCACTACTTGGCCAAGCTATGTCGTGAGTCCATTCAATCAGGCGTTTCAAGATTATCTCGGAAACCCCTTCTGACATGTCCTGTAGCATCTCTTTGCGGAATTCTCGGCGATGCTTGAATGCGGCTTCGAGTGCTGAATAAGCCTGTTCCGCTTCTCTCATATAGCGGGCATATTCAGGCTCAGATGTGTCTGCAGAATCGACCCCAGGAAGGAACAATTGCCGGTAGCTCCACAGAAGCTCTTTCAACATGTACTCAATTTCAGGCTGCGATAGATACTCCACCTCAATGGTGATGGGTGCAGAATGATCCTTCTTTTTCTGCCGATATTCCGTGACAACAGATGTGCAAGCCGAACCGAGGTCGCCCTATGCATTCCAGATCAGACATGTAGCGTTTCAGACGCAGAATGATCAAAGAGACTTCCATCTGCAGCGGAGAATTTCAAGCATCAAGGGTACAACTAACTGTTTTAGCAATATCCGGAAAATGCAGGAGCGAATTGATAAGACTACTCTTGCCTAAAGACCGATCAGCTCATGCCCCCAATTCCTACAATTAACACTCACCTTGGCCGGAATCTCCCAAGATTGCTATTGTCCTCGTGTCTAGGCTAGAGAAGGTCGAAAACTTTTTTGCTTCATGTAGCAATCTTTGGAGGTTATTATCCGACCCGAGGGACCCTTCAATTGCAATGATAAATTCTGCCACCCCTTTTGCAATATTGACGCCAGATGTAAGGGCAGACTGGAAGGTTGAAGTAAAAAGAGGATGGGCAGGTGCCTCTTCATCTAAGACATTATATGGCACCCGTGAGCCCTTGTTCAATCCATGTGCGGTGGAAATTTCGGTTGAAAGGTTCACAAACCCCTGACTCGATCGAGACTGGGCATTCAAAGAGGAATCCAAAGCATATGATGAGCTTGGAACTGTCTGTGGTTGCGTGAATAGGCCATAGCTAGCTGGATTTTCATTCAACGTGAGTTTTGAGAAGTCAAAAGGTTGCACGTGCAAAGATAGTTCGGCCGAGAATTGCTGTGAGGGTGCACGAGAGTATGGTTGAGGTGACGGAGATGGTGAAGCGTTATGCAATGACCGAAATGTAAATAGTTTGTTATCCTCCGCAAGATTTCCACTGTGAACAGCCGGTTGAGTTCTTGGCGGCGTGTGGAGGCTGATGGCTGGTCCGCTGGCTGGGCCAGAGGCCAGATTGGATTGTAAAGATGGAGAGATACCCTCTCGGTCAGGAACGAGGAACCTGGGACTTTGTGTTGCCAACAAAGCCGCTCGGTTTGGGGCTGTATTTCTCGAAGTGATTTTAGCCTTGGGCTTCAAAGTACGTCGCGAGGCTGGGGTTGGGTTTCTGCTTCCAGGAACCCCAATCCCATCACTACCAGTCTGTGGAAGAAATGACATAGCGATACATACCAAACCGGTTGCTTTCAAAAGTGAAGTTAGAGGAAGCCTTTGATCTAGAGTCAGTCATTTATCAACTCTTGTGGAGGTTGCAAGCATGTTTCGTGCTCGCATAAATTTACGCAAATGCATAGAGGCTTCCGCCCACCCCTGGAACTCGGAAACTCTGATAAGCACGCGTCCTTGGGTTCATGCAATTAGGTACTGAAATAGTGTAAGTTATTTAAAAGCTTCAGAGAATTATTTCATCTTATAATAGTTGTTGAAAAAGAACTGGGGTTTTAAATATGTAAAATTCGGGCTTACTTACAACGACATAATTTGACGTATAATGCCCCGCACAATTGAGGTGGCTATGCAAATGATATACTCTGACACCGTGATCGTATTAAGATGCTAGGCTACACTAGTTGGATCGATTCATAACACGGGTTGCGGAGACTTGTTCCTAATTCATTTAAAGGTTTGTTCGTTCGACCGTTCACATTATCGGCTGTCGTTTCTCAATATTTAGATCATTGATACCCAGTTCAGAGCAGCGTTCGGAATAACCAGATCTATTATACAACCTCCAAGTGGAAGTGCCGTTGTATCTGCTTCTAGGTGGTGATTCTATGCTCTATGCATGGAAAATAGGCGGAAATGCTAGAAATATTTCCAAATCTCCACCCGAAACTCTAGAGGCGCAGGCGACACTTGCAGAAGAAGTCTGCAATTCCCATCCGGCGCCCAATCTAAATGCGATAAAAAAAAACAAAGCCTCCTGGAAGTACAGCTTCTCCATATTGCAACCATACGGGAGGCTGCAGTGACAAGGGCAGCCCTGATGCCTTGTTCATATCAGGCGAACCAGGAAAGTCGTCATATCGTTGTCAACAATTACATCCCCTCCAACACCCAATCCCTAGGGACTCCCGAGCGCGATGGCGCGCTTATTTGCCAGCAGAAGAGATTTCTACACCTCCTGTTGCGCCCAGGGCCTTCTTGATGTCACCGTAGATGGCGAACTGACCAGCGGTCAGAGTACCAACCATGACCAGACGAGCACCAATACCAGTGTACGAGCCACGGAGACCAAGCTCCTTGGCGATCTTGATCAGACGGCTGGTGGTGCCCTCACCGGGGAGACCCTTGGTCTTGTTGATCTTGGAGAGCATGGTGTCGGCGGGTTGGGAGACAACGGCGGCAGCCATACCGGCGATGAGACCGGAACCCAAGTTGACAACAGTCTGCTGACCGTCGGAGAGGGAGCTCTTGGGGAACCTCTGGAAGATAGCCTCAGAGACCTTCTCGTAGACGACGAACTTGGCCATGGTGTAGGGAATCCTGGAGGCGTTTGTTAGCTTTGTAGAGGACATGGTGTTGCTCTTTGTGGGACTTACTGCTTGAACAGAATGGGGCCAAAACCGGCGTAGAAAGCACCGGCACCCTCGTTCTTCAGCATCTTGCCAAAGCCAGAGACGAGACCCTTGGCGTAGGTGGGGTCAGAGACGAGACGGATACGGGTGGCCTCAAGGGGGCAGAGGGCAATATCAGCGAAGAACTCGGCCATGGCGGAGGAACCAAGGTAGACGAGAGTACGGTTGTTGGCAGCAGTCTCGTAGCCAAGGTAGTTGATGGCCTGCTGCTTGAACAGCTCGTAACCTCCGAACTTGAAGGCACCCTGGAGGAAGTAACCAGCGAAGGTGGGACCAGCACCGGTCAAGAGAGCACCAGCACCCTCATTCTTGATGACCTGCTTGAAGCCACCGATCATACCACGGTTGTAGGTCTGGGGGTCGAGTTGGATTCTGGTCTTGACGCTGTTGTTGGAGTTGTGTTAGCGAATCAAAAGTCAATTCTGAGGTGGGTGATATCAGTGCGTGCCGCACTCTCGAGCGCCCAGGCGTTTCATGAGAACAGCTAGATCTGGCCGCGAGGGATTGCAACTCGGTTGCATGTCGACGGCGCATCTCCCATCATGGAGCTCAAGCGACGAGACCGCAAGCTCCCGGATTCAAGACGACATCAAAATGAGACTCAAACATACACATCGACGGGGGTAAGACCACCGTGGGTGACGGAACAGCAGATGGCACCGGCCAGGGCGAATCTGGAGTAGAGGGAGACGCCGGACAACTTCTCGGGAGTGTTGGCCTTGGCCGTCTCGAGGACGGCGTCGATCTTGTTGGCAGCCATGTTGGATATGATGCGAAAAGAAGAAGTAAAACAGGAGGAAAAGGCTGAGTGGAGAGAGGAGGACTGATTCCTGCCGGTTGAGAGGTCTCAAGGGTATCTGGGGATGGTCAATTGACGAATCCTCGCTGGGTTGACTTTGCGGCTTTTTGAAGAGACAGGAAGTTTGTCCTTTGTTTCGGCTCTAGCGACGTAAATTTTTGCGCTCGGGCTCTCGGGAGAAGGCGGGAAATTTCTACTGTAGCTACAATTGGTTTTTCCAAGTTAGTACGGCTCCGTAGCAAGGCAATCCAGCGATCCACTCCCTGCGAGAACCAATCCAAGGCTGCTCCGGTGGCTGCTCCAGTGGCTGCTCCCCTTTTGCCCACCTGGGCAGCTCCTGGGCAGCAAACCCAACCACCCAGCAGGGGTTCGTTCCTCAATCAACCAATCGTTGCCGACGTGAATTTGCCGGGGTTCCCATTGTAAGCTCTAACCTACCTACATACATGCATACATAACAACAGCGACTTGGCGTTGCAAGGCGAGAGAGAGAGGCTGCTTGGGTATGTTGTGTTGGCGTTTGTTTATCCCCCCTTAAATCCGATTAGCAGGTCCAACGCAATGACGACAGCCCGGCGAGTTAGCGCCCAGAGATGACCCGTCTGCATCGCGCATTTGGCGTCTTACCATCGGCTGTATGTGAAAAGCATTAACCTGGCAATGTAACATCAATGGCAGGTCATACATACTAAAAATCCGACTTGACATTTGCTGTTGATATTTCCTCTAGAGTGAACACTTCGCTACCCGGCATTAGCTACCGGAGTGGCCGCTCGAATGACCATGATATGTGCTGTAATTCGATCCAGCGCCGCTCCCCCAACTCGAGTCAGTAGTATTGCTTCAAATGATGCAATGCGCCGTACTAGACCTTGAGTCAAGAACTACCCAAACATGCATCGATATTTCTGACACTGAAGCAGACCCTCCCAGCTGCCTCCTACCAAATCTGTGCAGATTATACTCGTTAGGCCCACCCGTTTATAGTGAATCCTTTTTATTTTCTTCTTTTCCCTTGACGAGATCAATCGCACTAGACTAACCTAGTGACTAGTCTACGTTTAAAACTGCTTACCGCTCCCATCGACGTCATTCGAATTGTCTTGCCCGGCTCGTCGTCGACACTGCTCTTGTTTCCGTCTCAAAAGCCATCCAGAACATCATGCGCCCATCTTTCGTAGGTCTCTAAGGGCTACCTAGGATCCTATACACTTGGAGCCGTCTGGTAGTGCCTGCTGAGATGTGCCTTTAATAAGCCTCAGCACCAAACGAGGCCTGCTCCGTGCTTAGGCTGTGGTCCTCCGTTCGATATTGCTTTGCTTCGATCGTATTCCGAGGACAGGATTGAGAAGAAAAATAGAGTTGCTCTATCTGGTTTGTTTATACCGTTCTTCAATCAGTCATCGTCTCTCATAAATTTTTTTCTTTAATTAATCTAATGAAAAAAAGGAGTAATACTGTAAATGGTTTCATCTTTATAAAAAAAAAAAACCGAAAGTCTTTATACAGAATAAGCACTTCGACTTGTAAGTAGAGTATTATTCTATCAGATACAGGTAGGGTTAATAATGTCTGATCACCCTTGGTCAATTAGCTCTCGATTCTTGGTCCTTTAGAGCCGCCTGTCCGATACGAACCAGATCCGCATTCTCCAGCGGCTCTTTCTCAAACCCATTCACGGCTTGCTGTAACATAGCCGCCGCGATTTCCTCGACCTTGACATTCGGAAACGCTCCGGTGACTCTCATAAACGTGCCTAAAATTGACCTTGCTACCGTTTGATTTGAGCTGATGAGGCCCGGCTTAGCTGCAGCCGCCTCGTAACCATGTTCCGCGGCGAAGGTGAGAACTTGCGTTTCGGTCTCACCCTACATGATATTGTCAGCCTTGCGACATTCATAATTCATATGGAGTACTTGAACTCACGCGCATCAGAGTGTACTCTGGTAACCAGCCGGGCTTCTTAGTCTGGTCCCGCTCCGCCGTCACGCCGCTCACGTAGAGGAAACGGAACGGCTTGTTTGGCCCTGCTTCATGTATCGCCCTCATACCTGCAATTGTCGAATGTTGGCATACTCGTTTGACTTCATCCCATGGATACGTCTTGGACTTCGTGGGAGTTATGGCTACCGTCCTGTGCGCAGCGTTTAGACAACAACAACCTCGACGGCTAGGCGTAAGCACAGGGGCCAGACCCACCAGATACACGCGTCCGCGCCAGCAAACTCTTTCTTCACCTCCTCAGGGTAATCCGCGTAGTCCTTGATGATGACGCTCTTTAACTTCGACGTATCAATGCCCGCGCCGGATTCTACGGGCTTTCGGGCCACCGCGATGACCGAAGAGATCTGATTTGATCGTAGGGCCTGGCGGACGACTTCCGAACCTACAAATCCAGTTGCCCCGGTTATGATGAGCTTCATGTTTATTGCTAGGTATTCGATAACATCAAAGAACCGAGGACGAGAGGATTACATGAAGTGGACAGGAATTGTTGAGCTGACATGATCGACATGTTTGGCGAAAGTACAACCTTTATATCCGCTGGGCATATCTTATGTCCGTGCATGGGAAGGATGCACTGTGGGGTACCTAGCATATATACCAAAAGAACGGGTAGACCTTTGCTCCGTCTGATGTGACATAGTAAAGGCGAGTCGCGGATTGTCATATATCAACCATTTCAGCAAACCTGTTTTTTATTTGCGTGAGTCATATATGACGGATGGAGACCAGCTGACAGCGATATGTTGTCGTCGGTTCATAGTGTTCTCCGTGCGGACCCCGGACATACTTCAGCCCCTTCTCACCGGGAACGTTTGTGCTTCCGCAATTGATGCCGACTCTTGTGGCGCCTGAGTCGGATACAACGGGGTGCGTCACCAAGGCCGTATACACGCCCCCGAGGCCTCGAGCTAGGGTGAAATCGATCAGTCAACGAATACTCAATTGAGAGCACCTTCTGGGATCTATCAATACAAACAAGGCTGACAGTACTTACCTGTGGCCTGCTTCTAGAGGAATCTATCGCTAACGGCGTTGCTTTGACCAGGCTTCTTTGAAGGTGCCATATTGTACGCGGATTGTGGAGCGGCTTTGGTTTCTGCGAGTGCGTTCTCTGTAGATATTTGTGCTTACTATTCGAAAGAATGAGAGTGGTCGATTCAGTACTTATACTAGTTACTACTACCACTCCACTACGTCAGCTCAATATCTCATTGTGGTGGTAATATAATTCGGAGCACGCTCCACAGCGTTTCTATTTCTCACAATGAAGTAAAAGTTGTGGAAGATAACAAGTTGACAATGACATATAGATGCGTTCAACCCGAATATCTTCCTGCGAACCGAGTGACCAAGCACTGCAACACGTGTATGCTATCAATAACTACGTCCGCCGGCGCAGCCTCTTCTAAGCTCGACATGGTATCTTACTACCATTCGCAACCTTTCCATATTGCCTGACGGAGTTTGTCATCTACTGACACATTGCAATAGGCACAGATCGTATGTGAAGGATTGGGAGATGCCGCCACGTAGTCACATTGTACCTCACCAGTCCTTGTATATTCCATTGCACTTCCGGAGCATCAGTGACAATGATATCTAAGTTGTTAGAGAGAAAAGTTTATTCAAGGGCGGCCGGGACAATTTGAACCTCTCTGCCTGTAAGGAGGGTGCCAGCAGCAGCCACTCCGACGTGGAGATCGATGCACAAAGGAAAGCACCGGTTGTTCTGGATCATCGATTGTGCCGGCATTTCCTCCGTCTCCATGCTGTCAATGGTATTGTAGGAATTCGGCTGGTCAACAATGGTGTAGGGTGTTTCTGATGGCGTGTAACCATCAAAATAGTCGCGCACTTTGTTGTTATTTTAGTATTTGGTTTCCTTTTTATGTGAAAAATCTTTATTTTGAGATAGGTCCCAGCAACTTATATTTCGGGTTACGTCAAACCCTTCGCGGTAGACACGACAGCCATGAAGCGACAGCTTCGGTCCCCCAAGCCTAGGACCTCAATCCATTCCTCACGCGAAAGACTGGCCTTCACCCCCTGTATGGGCCGTTTGCTTGAACGCCTCAACCTTCTCGGAAGCCTTCATATATAAATAACCTTTTAATCTAGCCTCTTACATAAACTCCATCTATACTTACCTCTCTTTATATCATCTCACTAAAAATCAAATTTGAAGGAAAGTAATACTAAACAATCGACGATGCAATGAATCTAGTTATAGAGTTATTAATACCAGTGTTACCACTAAGTGAACCTGGATACAGCACTTTAGATTGAAAAATTGTCAAGAGAGTATAGTGTTATACATATACAAGCTCGAAAAACAAATGCTAATAGTAAAAAAAAAAAGAGTTGAATCATTTCTCGGTGGAAAAGCTCACGTGGCCTTATAGAATGACAAGATTCCATCGGAATAATAGAAGAATCACAAAGAACAATAGGGCAACCAGGGGCCGTGAGAACAACAAGTCTTTAGACACGGCTACTATATCAGGTATGGAGAATGTGGGCTGGTGCCCCGAAGGTATTGAACAAAAACGGGTGCTCCTCCGCCCGTTTCATACGTGTCCATGGATTGTATACATATAAATCCCTACATAAACGTTATATGCAATCGATGAGTCTCAAATCTGCGGTACGTGCTAGGTTCTCGCTAAAAGGCGTATTTGCTAGTGTCTATAGCAACCACTTTACCAGGTTCGACAAAAGTTCCGTTGACTGGCAAGGCCTGGATTGATCGGGTTAGCTTAACAGCTTCAACTCGGAACTGGATTTCTTCTCAACCTACTAAACCTCCAGAAGTGACAGCGTAGAGGATCTGCTGGTCCGATCTGGTGCGGCCAAATGCGGCTGCAATGACTCCAGCAGTGTCGGAGGACTGCTGCGATCCTGCCACAATTTCCATCTTCTTACCATCACTGTTGACCGCAACTACCGTATTGTTGGGATTGGTAGTGACCCACATGGTTCCATCCGGACCCATAGCAAAGTCATCGAGGAAGGTCCCAGGAAGTGTGGCCACAACTTCTGCTGAGCTTGACTCCGGGACAATGCCATGAGCGTCGATTGGAATCCTATAGATGGTGGAAGCGAAGCTGTTGGTCCAGTAAAGGTGCCCGTCGCGTATCTTGATGCCGTTGATGCCCAGAGGAAGAATCGCACCGGATACCGGGCGCATCTCGGGCAGCTCGGCGGCAACGACACAGGTGCGTGTGTTCAAGTCGACACGGTACAGGGCGCCCAGCGAAGACGCCAACATGACCACGCCAGTCTCACCTGGAACAGCTTCAAGTCCGTTGGGGAACGCCTCATATGGCAGGTCCATTATCTTAGTGATGGCGGCACTGTCAACATGGTTCAAGTCAACAGTCCAAATGCTGAAGCTTCCAAGCACAGGGTTGGCAGTACTGTAGAAGCTACCGCCGACGACCGCAAAAACGTCGTGGGCAGATTCAGCAATACCAAGAAGGCCAGTCATGTTTGGAAACTCATAGATCAGTTCAGTAGTACGAGTCTCCTCCGACGGGTCAATCACGGTATAAAGTTGTGGCGTAGGTTCCACCATGGTGAAAAGCAGATCACCATTCTCGCGAGTGGCGACATTCTCAATCCAAGTGCCCACTTCCTTGCACTGGAATATCGTGGACACATCAAGGAGGGTGTTTCGAGCTGTCAAAGCTGTGACAGCTCTAACAAGGCCCAATGCCAAAGACAGGAGCGATAAGAGTTGAACGGCGAACATGATTCGATAGAGGTTGTTGTCGTTAAAATGGGAAGATGTTATGTTGTGGTTTTATAAGAGTTGAGAATGGTGACCGCTGTGAGAAGTGGGATTTTCATGCCGCGAAGTGTACAAGTATTAAAATTGAATCGTCGCTTATATATTGGACGTAATAGAAGTTCATCACGTGTGAACAAATGTTGCCCGAGGAAATGAGACCTTCCATGGGCCATTAAGTACTTAAATCCAGCTCAGAGAACAGCCTGCCTTTTCTTGCCAAAAGTATGCGATCGGATAGTCCTCACCCGCAGCTAAACGCTATCGTAGAAGGGATGATAGCAATTCTATACTCACATTTCCAGCGTTTAACTGGTCGCGAAAGGCCATTGGCTATCACTTGTCGTTGGGGTTAGCAGTCTTTCCCTTGCATCCCTCTATGCTCTTTATGGATTTCTCGATTTTCTTACCCTATCAGAAAGCACCATAATCCCTACGACTATCAGCATAAGCTGGTCCAGCCATGGAAAAGTTTGCCTCCCTGCTGCCATGCATATGGCTTTTGCACTATTGATGCATAGTCCAGATCTAGTTTAGCCAACGGCCGTAACTACATTCGCAACATTTAGGCACATATCGATGTTTGCAAAGATCGATGGCAGCTTAAGTTTGTAGCAACTTCTGCCGAAATAGATTTGAATTGTGTAAATGCTCGTTATATCGTGATCTACCTCTTTCAAAGAACAACACTCTGTCTTACGACTTTCTTCCGGGGTCGTCTCCTAGGTTCCACGGCCCTTATCTCTTCTGCCCATTTATTTCTTGTTAAATACAAGAAAGAGTCCCGACCATGCCCGGTATATACATAATTGTTACCGCTACATATGATGTCTCGTAGCGACACTTAACGGGTGCGTTAGCCGGGATATTGGTGGGATGCATGGATACTAAAGCTCTTTAAACGATCCCATTAAACGATCCCAAATGGTACAGGGGGCCTGTGTTACAAAAGTTTTCCAATTAACTAATTTCCTCATAACAATAAATCAACATTTCGGAGCCTGGCTTGATCAAGACAATTAGTTGCACTTCTCGAAAAGCCTCGCAGGCTGGGAAGGTCATAAATCAGTGTTTTGTCGTATGCCAAAGAGAATTTGGGGGTGCAGGTTGTTTTCTATACATATACTAAAACGAAAGGTAGACACCGTAGCCGCAGGCACCTTGCCTTTCACGCCATCGTCATCCCACTCGCCGTCAATTTTTCACATCTTTGACATGCTTCTCAGAAGCTGAGGGTTCGGCTCCTGTCATAGCGCCATCGTAAAGCTGTTCGTCCAGGGAAGTGACAGTAGAATAGCTGATGTTCAACTTTTGACTCTTCTTCCTGCTCCTAATCTTGCTGTTACACTTGTTCGCAGGTGCTGCCGTAATATTCTTGGAGCTGGCATCGCCCGCTGCCTCCTCCTTCTTTTGAGTAGGACCAATGGCATTGTGAGCCTTCTCATCGTGCTTCTTGTTGTTGGCGCCCTGGTACATAGGCTACTGGGCGGATATACCTTCTTGATGTGAGCAGGGAGCGTTGGTAAAACCGTGTAAAGACACGATGTGTGGCGTGTGGTGAGAGGGTCTTATTATTGCCGCCAGGTAGAGGAAACGACATAAACAGCGATGTATTCCCAGGGGACAAATTTACTAGATAACATTTCAAGATGAACCGATATTGCTTATGGAAAAGTGAGTCTTCAGGCATCATAATTACATTGATGAGATAATAAGTTCTGGAAGTTGTTGACGTTCGGTCCAAAGGCAGACCTATTTTTGGGGGGAATACAAACCTATAGTAGGTGGGTGATCTTCAAAGGAAAACCCAGAACCTTTAGTCATAAAACAGGGATTCAAGGGGTGCAGAATGCAAGAATGTCCTGTAAAGGACAGACGAGATTCTATTTGAGTGTGGTTGCATTGCAACGGAAAGAGTACCTCGGAGCCAGCTAGTGGAAATTCACAAATATAAATCCTATCAAGTGGCAATTCTTTCATCCAAGTAAGCTTCTAGCGAGTAAGCTCAATTAGTATATCATGGGCTGAAAATCACACTTAATATACAAAAGGAAAACCCCGATGGATAGTCATTCAAATAATCTCAATGGTTATTTATACCATTCCTTTACTGTGAAGACGGTGGGCTTTAAATTCTTTTTACATGACAGATACTCTAATGCCAACTGAGAATACCAAATATGGAGTGACATGTTCTCCCGTACTTATTGTGTCCTTCGATAATCAAAAATTAGACACGAACGCGATTTGCGTGGTAACCGAACAAAGAACATCCCTCTATGAGATCCAAAGAATTGTTCAAACCATCAGAAGTCTCACTAGTAATGCAGCTTAAGATGTAAGTGAATACAGGTAGGGCCAGGCGAAGAAGGAACATGGTGGTCGACGGTTGATGTCTACGAGCTTGCCGCCTTTTTTGCGCTCATTCTAGTAAGTAAGGACTCATCTCTCGCTGATACTGCTCGCAGTGCCGCATTACACTTTCTATATCAGTGTGTGTAATGATTTTTTTTTTAGAAAAGCCACCATTGACAGTCTCAAAATCAGAAATACCATCTAGAAGTCCTCGGTTTCTGCTTTGGCGATCATGTGATGCAAAGTTCAAAGTTGATATTGACACTGTTGTATATCGCAAATGAAGCTTTGTTCAGCATTATTGACTTACGATAGAGAATGTGATGCATCAAATAATTGTCATTCATTATTACGGACTTCGATTGCGTGTCATCAAGCTTCAAGTGATACGATGGGGACGAATACAAATTCGTTCTGCATTAGACCTCCGTCTTTCAATGCCATGCTCTAGCATCGACGACACAACAACCAGTACAGCAAACGTATACACAAGTCATTACTTCTTAGCCTTGCCCTTGGCACCTGCTTTGGCGCGACCTTTGGCCTTGGGCTTCTCTTCCTCATCCTCCTCATCAACATCTGCCGCCTTTGACTTCTTGGTCGCTCTCTTCGCCTTCGGCTTGGGCTGCTTAATGAGCTTGTCGGTCTTGATATCATCTTCATCATCTTCGACAACCTCGGCGGCCTCGAGCGCCTCGCCCTCGTCCTCTTCCTCGATAGCTTCCTCCAAATCAGGCTTTTCTGCTGCTTTCTTTGGAGCTGCACCGACGTTACTAGCTTTCATGAACGGAATTGGATGAGCCTTTTGGTTATAGCTAGAGAGTGTTAGTCTAGAGTAAGTCTAAAGAAACGGGCAGACTTACAGTCTGGTGAAGGTGGCTTTGGCCTGAGTCTCGATAGAGACAAGTTCCTCATCCATGTAACCAACTCCTAGCTCCTTGATCGAGTCGAAGTCCTCACGAGTGAGAAAGTAGCTGTCCATAAGATCAATGACCTCGTCCACGGAATCCTTGCCTTCCTGGGCGAGGCGTTTGACTGTGCGTGACCAGAGGGTTGGCAGGTATTGTTGACGGATTTCGGTGGCATCTCCTGACGATCGCAATCGCATATGCGAATGGATTTCGCGAACGTATCGCCCGAGCTTGCCATATTTGCTGTTATTGCCGAGCCATGATGTAAAGTTTGAGCCCATGAGCTGACCCGCAACGTAGCTTGATGGACGAACTGTGCTGAAAATAGCATGGGTGGGCATCAAGCTCCATTGTTGCTGAGGGCCATGGATCATGCGGTCAACGAGGTCACCGTCGCTAATGCTTTCCGCAGCCTGGTCAAACAATTCCAAGCACTTCAGGTTTTGTTCTCGCTTACTGTACTGTTGAGCGCTGAGTGCGGCGGGCTTCGTTCGAAGGTAGTTCTCCTGAATCATCAGGTAGCTGAACTCGTGATCGTTGAAATAGAGCTCAATCTTGTCGTTCAGAGTCGCCTTGCTAGCAGGAGAGAACAGGCCGCCGCCGAGCATCTTTTGACAGATATCCCAGGGCTTGAGTACTATGGATTTCTCCCAGGCCTTGGACATATTCTTGCTCTGATCAAAGTCCATTGACGTTTGATCCAGCTTAACTGTTGAAAGCATGTTGATGATCTGTCTGATGTCCCTGTTGCTCCCCTCAATCAATGCGTCAAGGACTTGAGGCGATAGCTTTAGGCCTTCTCTGTGGCAGACCGTCATCATCCGGGATCGAATCTGATCCACGGTTGGCCGTTGGAACTTGACATCGAAAGCAACGAAATCGAATGGCTTCATCTTGGGCAATTTGCGCTCATTGCAGATCAGGATAAGGGGCACCTCGGTCTTCTTGGCGAATTTGGAGAGGGCACCCACACCACCACGATCACCGCCGGACATTCCATCGACTTCATCCATGATCAGAACAATTTGTTTCTTGCCCAGATCGACCTTCTTGCCGTCGCCAGCGAAATAGCCGTTCAAAGATGTGTTGTTCATCACCTCGCCGAGGCCGTTCTCGACCATCTTCTTGCTACGAGCATCACTGGCATTCTGCTCTATAATGTCGTAGCCTTCAAGCTTCGCTGCGAGATGTGCCGCGGTCGTTTTGCCAACACCAGGAGGTCCGGATAGAATGATGGCACGATATCCGCCCATGCCGTCGGCACCTCTTTTTTGAAAGTCGTATCTGCGAGACTTTGACCAGTTCCTCAGCCAACTCTGTATCCTCTCCACTGCTGCCTTGTTGCCACAGATGTGGCTCGCTTGAGTGGGTGCGTACTTGACTGTCCACAACAGTGCCGTAGGTGCAGTAGTGGCCGGTGCAGGGCCCGTGGCGCCACGAGCAGCAGCAGCTTTGCGTGCCTTTTCAGCTTCGATTTGTCGCTGCTTTTCCTCTTTCTCCATCTCGAGTGCTTGCTGCTTGATCTTGTCCTCTTCAGCTTTGCGCTTCTCACGCAACTTTTCGGCACCCTTGCCACTACCACCTCCAGCGGGAAGTCGACGAATAAGCTCGAAAAGACCATTCTCGTCGATAGTCTTGATACCAAACTGTTTGATCTTGGCCAGCTTGCTCGGACCAGCGTCCGTGCCTAAGACGACATAACTTGTCTTGCTACTCGGTGCAGTGGTAGTCTTGCCACCATATCGCTTCACCAAGGCTTGAGCATCTTCGCGAGAAATCTGCTGCAACTGACCAGTGAACACAAAGGTCAGTCCGGAGAGGCAATCCTCTTCACCTTCTGGGAGTTCTGCGACTGGATTTGGTGCCGGGCCGCCATTTCCTGGACCAGCTTGAGCCTTCTTCCAGTCGAACTTGGGTGCATTGGGGTCCTTTGGAGGCGGCGAAGGTGGTCGTACCGTGGGGATATCGTCGAAAATAGCCTGGATGGTTGCATCTTCTGGTTGGTCTGCCTTCTTGGACTTGGGCGGCGCCCTCGGCTTCTTGGCGGCTGGCTTCTTTTTGGAGACTGGCTCTCCGTCTTCAGATTCAGCTTCCGGGGTTTTCCGCTTCTTGCTGGCGGCGGATGACCTCGCTTTCGTAGACGTCGTAACAACTGGTTCGTCGTCCTCATCGTCCTCGTCGACTGCGGGTTTGGCTCGTGAAGCAATACGCTTGGGTTTGGGAAGGAACTCCTCTTCGCTCTCTTCTTCGGCATAGTCGTCGTTCTTTCTCTTACTCCTCCCTCTAGCATTTGCAGCGAAGATATCGTCGGCTTCTTCTGCATCATCGTCCATAAAGGCATCTTGGTCGTCGTCCAAGTCGTATTTGTTGAATGTGGTAGATGTACGCTTCTTGGCCGCTGCCGTGCCATTCTTTGTGGAAGCAGGCTCCTTCTTGACGGGGGCATCTGCCTTCTTGGTGTCTGCCTTTTTGGTGTCTGCCTTATTGGTGGCCTTGGGGGTTGGTAGTGCCTCTGACTTGAGCGCGGGCTTTGTCTTGCTATCGGAATTGGCGGCAGGCTTCGGTTTCGAATTGGCAAAGTATTCGCTAGCTGTAGTTTCCGTTCCCTGCGCTTCCTTCTCCCTGCGAGTAACGAGTCAGAAGGCTGCCTGTCGGCAGGTGTTTATTTCATGTTAACTTACGCTGCCTTCTTCTTTGGCGTAGATCGAGTCACTGGCCTCGGCTTCTTGGGTCTGAGCCAGCCAAGTATCAGTAAAATGCCCAAACCGGTAACGTTATTAAAAATGTGGGTGGGCTTACTGTTCTAGCACCTCGTCGTCGCTGTCATCTTCAACTACCTTGCGGGCCTTGCCTCGACGCTTGGGAACGTCGTCGTCGCCGGTCTTGCTCGCAGGTGGCTTCGGGGCTGCCGGGGCGGCACCTCCCTTGGGCCCAAAGAACGAGCGAATATCAGGCATATCGAATATGATGCAGAGTTCAATTCGGCAGGGAAGCTCGAGAAAACATGGGCGAGGGAAACGGCAAACGGGAATTGGCAAATGTGTTGGCGCACTGCAGGTGTGCTGTATGGAGCTTCGATAATGAAAGACGCGACGGACGCGCTTGGGGGGGGTTTAAAGTGGTTTTCGACGTTGCTCAGCACTAAAAATGGCCCAGTGCAACGCGTGCTTAGTTGTAAGTGAGCCTTAGTCTAGCACCATGGACTGCTTGCCTGCTTGCTGTCTTACAGCAGGCAGGGCTAGGCAATCAGCAGGCACCTGCAGCTTCAGCCTGGGCTTGATCATTGCCCGGGCCGGCCAGGTGAGTCTCCACTGTCCCAGTCTCCACTGGCCAGTCTCGAGGAAAGACCGAGACCCGCCCCAAAACAAGTCGAGGTACGTACCTGGAGGTCGCTTGCAAACGCTAAATCCTGGGCGACAGCTTCAATTCCCGAAATTTCGAGTCTTGAAGCAGAGCTCCAAGCCTCAACCCGCGACTCATTACGCTTTACGGCCACCATGGCTTCCAACACTTCCTTGGGCCTTGTCGGCGCTCTCAGGGGCCTCACCATCTCCGCAGCCAGACCCTCGCTCGGTCCGTGTCTGACTGCCGCCTCGAGGCAAACCACATGTCCCATCTTCACCAGCGTACGGGCTTTCTCTGCCACAACGGCCAAGGCCAGTTGGTTAGAGCCTCGACTGGAGCGCAAGAAGAAAATGATGAAGGGCCGACCTCGAGTTCCCACCGGCGGTTCGATCAAGGGAACCACTGTCGCATGGGGCGACTACGGCCTGCGCATGACCGACCACGATCGACGAATAAGTTCACAGCAATTGAAGGTCGCCCACGACACAATCAAGCAAAGGTTACGTGGAGAGAAGTACCGCATCTACACAAGGGTGAACTGTGATGTTGGCGTCTTCGTGAGCGGCAACGAGGTTCGTCTGCCCATCTTTTGCCCTATTGCCCGGGCCCCCCTGCTAAATATCACCCATTCAGGTGCGTATGGGTAAAGGAAAAGGTTCCTTCGACCACTGGGCTACTAGAGTTGCCATCAACCAGATCGTCCTCGAACTGAAGGGCATGGTCCACGAGCAGGTTGTTCGTGATGCATTCCGCCTGGCCGGAAACAAGCTACCAGGTAGGACCCTCTCGTTTCCCAGCTTGGTGCCCAGCAGCTAATCCCCTTTTAGGGCAGTGGGAGTTTGTAAAGAAGGGAGAGCCCCCCATGGTAGGCATCACAAAGTTGGACGGTATCACCCTGGAAGAGTTGAAGAGACCGAGGAGGAAGATCGATGCTGCTCAACTGCACCCAGTACCATCCCCTACTACCACCCTTGAGGCAGAAAAGCCTCTGGATGCTACCCCGTAGGTGCTCAAAACTTCAGATGTATTATACCTGTACTCTACGACTCTACATCGCCGCTAGCACCTCCATTTCCGCGGGGACGCCCCTGTTGACGTGTATGACGGGCCCGGCGTAGAGTGCCTATGCCTCGGTAAAAATAGAATTAAACATGAAGGCTTTTCGAGTTGCTGGGTGTATCAGTATGCGCCCAACACAACCGCATGAGATTTGTCTACCTAGGTTCATATACCTATTACATCGAATCTTGCTCATTGAGGCGAACAACTGTGCCCTTGTTCCTCTGACACTCAGTCTCAAAGGGAACATGTAATATTTTGAAATGTCAATGTTAGCAATGCGAGAACGACCCAGGTATGTGTCTAGTGAAAGAAGTTTGCATCAGCGTAATACTTCGGCGTGGATAAGCGCGCACGTTTGAGTCTTGTGTAAGGGGAAGGTGTAAGTGGGTGACAAACTCTTCAGCTTCAAAAGGGGGTGAGGAGTGCCTTCCCGACCCGCTACGCTTGCGTACTCTACTTCCGTTTCTTGTTTTCTCCCACATATCAAACCTCCTCTTCCGCATGCCAACCTGAAGGCTTTGTGTCATTTACAAGACAACATGAAGCAGCTTCAACCTTTGGTGAACCCCTGCCTCAAAGCTTGATATATTCAACAAAAGTCCAGCCCTAAAGCCTTCTACTCTTATGAAATACTAGGAACATGTCGCAATGTGTCGAACTAGACGATTTCGAGCTGTCCGCGCGTAGTTCTGGCTTGCACTTGGTAGTATCATCACATCTTTTCGTATCAGGTAAGGATGCTTCTCGACTAGATTGCCACCAACTATACGACAGTATTCAAGCCGAGAAACTATGGCTTTTGCCGCCCAACATCTTCTATCTTCAGCTGTCTCTGCGGTTTGATGGTCATACGACGAATGCAATACCACCAGAAAGTAATTTCCTCGAGCATCTTGCCATCACAATTGCTCTCTCGACGGTAAGTTGGTTTCTGCTATCGTTTCATGATGGAACACTAAAAGGGCAGCTTTGGGATATGCTTGGAGTCTCGATCAAGTGTACAGAAGTCACGTACGACCCCGAATCCCAGGGCGATCCTGATCTGCTGTTTGAGGTCGAACACCCAGACAAGGCCTCCGCGTTGTTGTCTCCGCCCGGCATTCCGACCAGCACGGCAAACGGACTGGTGTGTTCCCTTGAGTACCACTCACGTTCGACGCCGGATGACGATTGTCTCCTGAGCCATGACGCTGAGCATGAGCCTGGATTTCGCGAAGAGCACCCTAGTTTTGAAGGACAAGAAGAAGAATTGGCGCCACTCGAACAGCCCGTCGAGTACTCACCAGCGATATATGGGCTGGACGGGCATGTCTTGCTGCACAACGGAACAGCAAACAGCGACGCCTTACAGCTCCGCCGCAGCACGGGTGACTTGGCTCTCGCAACTCTATATAAGATCTTTGGCCTGAAAAGAACGTTTCGAGGTATCCGAGTCGGGCCTCCAATCTCACCAACATTATTGGAACTAGCACCAACAGTATTCAATGCCCATTATATGCAAGTATGTAGAATTTCATACTGGGACACATGCCAAGACTGAACAAGATTTCATATCAGACAACAGCGACTTATGCCCGTACTTTCTCGGCCATATCTGATACTATCATCAATGCTTCGAATTGGCGATTGTCAATACATCGAAAAGTTGAAGGATTTACCGGACGCGGCGATGACGAGTCGATAGAGAATTCCCACAGACCGCATGACAAAGCGCGGACACCCATACAACAGCAACTATGGACGATGTTACGTGCATCTCTAGACATTGCAGTTGGGACACAGCCTGCTTTGAGAAAAGTTGATCAGCATTCCAGGCGAATGGAATTAGAAGATTGGGAATCTCATCTCTGCGCGGATGCGACTGAGGATAGAAACATGATGCATGGCTCTCCCATGCACTACGATGATTCCCGTCCAAATTCGCAGGATTACGACCTTGAGGACCGTTTAGAAGAGTCTGAAATAAACACTGATGATATCGGTGCTTCTGTGAGCGAGTGGAATGCCAACATGGAGGCGAGATGTCTTAAAGCGGCATATGGGGATAAACGGGAAATTGAATGTGGATTCTGGAACGATCCAGATTCGCATGTTTGGGAGGCGAATCAGGATGAACAAACAACTCAACTGACAAGATTCTCTGAGGCTGGCATTGACCGTCTCCCATTGTCACATCGACAGGAATATCTAACACAGAAAACTCGAGGGAGCAGCGAGCTCCAAGAGGATCTTTATGTTGAGGACGATGAGACGATAGATCAATTTCACAATATATATTGACAAGTCATGGCCGTCTGATAGCATGCGAGATGACCTATATAGGCCCTGCAAGTGAGGCTACCATCTCGATCAGAGTGTGCGCCTTTTCAGCTGTCAAATAAAGCTCCTTGCTGGTCTTTCCAGCGGTGACATCGAACCAAAAACAAATCATTGCGACTCAGCCGCCCTTCCGAACCCCCAGAAAACATTTGGCCTTCTCGCATTCTATTAACCATCAACCACATCGAATACGTCTTGCAATCTAGTGTCCACCGCCAACCCATACGACGTGAGATTGGCAATGAGCGACTATCTCGCAGCTGGTGGTTTGGCGGCGCCCTTCTTTTCTTTCTTCTTCTTTTGCTCGGGCTTCAGAGTGGCGTAGTGGATGTACCAATGGCAAGTGATTTGCAGAGAGATGATAACCAGAACGGCAAGGAGCTGAGGGAAGAGAAATGTTTGATCGTTCAAGACGGCAACGGCCTCGGGGGTAGCACCAATTTTGAGGAACCATCCAAACTGTCCGCCACCGTTAATTTCGTTTCCATTTTGGTCTTTGACCAGGGCAGCCATTCTTGTGGTTTGAAAAAGGTTGCCTTTATTAGGTGTTGGGAAGAGTGTTGCCGAGGTTGGCTTGGAGAGCGCTTGCGACGTGCCTGACGTTCCTTGCGAGTCGGGTATCAAATGGCTTGAAGTGCAAAGGTATCGATTATTACAAAGTGGTAAAAGGACGGTGGTCGGCAGATGTCGATATCGGTGCGCCAGTCACGAAGAAGAGGAAGCAGAAGAAGAATAAAGCGAAATGATGGAATCAACTGAAGCACGATCCAGAAAACAAAGGCAAAAACAGGAGAGTAGGAAGGACGTGATGGCAGCCGCTTGGCTGATAGAAGAACCTCAAAAAATCGAAACCAGCAGGCATCGGGGTCGGAGGAGGAGGCTCGAGACAGCAACCATTCCTGCTTGGGAGGTTCCTGAAGTCGTCGTGGTGACCCCTGCGAAACTCTGGCGTTTCAGAGATGCAGCAGAGTCGACTGATTTTGAGCTCACGGGCATGATTGGCCTGGCTACAGGGGATGTCGCGGGCGCCAAAGGTGGTCCGCTAGCTGTACGACTTGTGGTGTTGAAGAAGGACGGCACGGCAACATCCCCATGTCGCGTCATGATCTCATCTACGAGACTATAGCTTGTGATGTGCATCAGATAACATGGCCATAGAGCCGAAGGCGTTTGGTGACTGCAGCTTCGATACTTGCTTAACCTTTTTGTGCTGACTACATAGTCTAGACTAACTACATACATAACCTGTCAGGGGAGACGCCCCCACCCCCTACCCCCTGTTCGGAAACCCCCTAGCAGCTTTTAGCGGATCTGCAGTGACTGATAGTACAGTGGCTTTCTCCTCCTGTTCGCTACGCCGCCTGCAGCCAATTTGCTCAGCTGGTGCCGGCTGAATAGTAAATCCGTGCGCTGCAATTGATCCTCAAAAAATTATTGAAGCTATCCAACTGGACCTTGGGTAGCCAGCATAGGAGTGAGCTATCTCGACCCAATTTCCGACTTATTGACAAGAGCACGCCTGGGCTCTGGACGATGCGATGAGTGTCGCCACTTCAGCACGATCAGTGCTGTCACGGCGCCTGGCCGCCGCAGTCAGACCATCTGCCGCAGCATCGATACCACAGTGCTATGCCGCCTCCTTTCATAGCTCCGCCCGCCTCGAGAAGAGGAGGAAACCACGCTTCGCCAGTATCAATGCAGAGGAGATGGGCCTGGTCGACCCGGCCAAGCCGAGGACATACAACGAATACAGAGCAGACTACGAGGCGACAGTCGAGAAGCACGCCAAGGAGCAATTCCAGCCGTACACCCCCGAGGAGCTCGAGATCCTGAAGAAGCACTACACATCGGAACAGATGGAGGCGCTCGAGGCTGGTGAAGCCGCCATAGACCCCCAGGATCTGTCCGTACAAGGCCGTCTGAGAAAAGACCCGTACAGGCTGCCGTACCTGGACGATTTCAGTCGTATCGTGCCCACCATCGACAGACAACCCAAGAAGTCGACACAACCCAAGGAAGACGCGAAGTGGTTGACGGAAGAGGAGCACTTGCTCGACTTTTTTGAGGGCCAGGACGCACACATCAAGTCGCTCCTGGCGCGAACCTCCTTCACCGAAAAGGAGTGGGAGGCAAAACCGCCCCAGGAAAAGAAGAGAATCATAACCGATGTCGTACGTCAAGTCAGAGAAAATGCAGAGAGGCAGAAACTGCCCGAGAGCGTTCAAGCGGCAGCCCATTTCTTCGAGACCTCGATGCTCAACGATGGAAACAGGCCATCGGCTTCTGCACTGGCACCTAGTCTAGGGAAGGACATTCCTGGTGTTACCGGCCTGTACAGCAGCCCCATCGATCCCGAGGATCAAGGTCTGGACGATGATGGTATCTACCAAGATCTCAAGAAGCGAACCGGCATGTCAGTCAAACAGATGAAAGAACTTACGTGCAAGGTTTTGGTTGTGCGCATGGTCCACAACCAGACTCGTCTAGGAAAGATTCGAAGTGTCTGGGTCATGGCCATTGCCGGCAACAAGAACGGCCGCTTGGGTATTGGAGAGGCCAAGTCAGTTGAGAACGGTGTTGCCGTTCAGAAGGCCAAGCTCCTTGCCATCAGAAATATGCAACCCATCAGGCGGTACGAGGACAGGACAATCCACGGAGACGTGACGGCCAAGATCGGCGCCACCATTGTGAAGCTACAGGCCCGCCCCCCAGGTAAGAACCCCCACTTCCTTTTTTTCCTCCTCATGGTGGTGATTAATCTTGCTAATCATCCTGCTAGGGTTTGGTCTCCGAGTTCCCGCCCGTCTCTTTGAAATGTTCCGCGCCTGCGGCATCCACGATATTGCCGGCAGCATGCCACGTTCGAGAAACCCAATGAACTCTGTTAAGGCGACCTTCCATGCCCTGACCAACCAGAAGGACCCGAATGAGATCGCCATCGGAAGGGGCAAGAAGCTCGTCGACGTACGAAAAGTGTACTTTGGCGGCAATGTGTTATAATTAGAGCATCTTCATTGTACCAAAAGCTGTAGATATAAGACTTCCTCCCGGCTTCGCGCTGTGTATTACATGAATGAACATTTTGTGTATGTGTATCTGTATCAGATCCTGACTAGAAAACGGCATAAGCTGCATTCCATCTTGCGCGTCTTGAGCTTGGGGCATTGTGTGACACCTCCCACATCAGGCATTATCTCTCTCATGTCCAGCCGGGTCTCACCCACGGCGCAAGCCTCTCGAGCGCCATACGTGCTTCTCATATCGGCTAGGTCCTCTTACATCTCCCCCAAAGGCTTTCTCCACGCTCGCACGACCGCTCGAACCCTACGCCTAGTCGCATAGCTCGACGGCTGCGGAGCTTGGGCTTCGCATACTATTGCGTCTCCGTGTTTTGCCTCTGAGCAACGGTATATGTTTAGTCCATACCTCCCCCATCCGTAGTGCTGACCTCTTGATGGGCTAAACGTACAGCTTTTTATGTCTGCTGCATTCCGAGAAGAGCACCTAACTGCTGTTGTTGTTGCTGCTGCTGCGGCCGCGGATCTTCTCTGTTCATCCTTCTGGCGTCGTAATCTGCGTCTTTTCCGTCCCTCCGATGGCAACACGCTCAACGGCCCTGGTTGCCCCACTCGATCTCCTGCTGCAGCACTATGCTGTACACGCTGGCCTTGAGCAGCGTGAACACCAGGCTCGTCTTGCGCTCGAGCTCGCGCAGGCCGTCGAGGATCTCGGTCGTGGGCTGCTTCGCCATGGTGTCGAGAATCGATGCTAGCTGGATACACGTATTTGTTGTCAGTCACCACAGAAGGGCAGGGAATTGGATGAGATGTTTTCGTGTCCCAGGGCTAGATGGGAGAAGAAGCAAAATAGAAGAAGAAGGAGGAGGAGGAGGAGAAGAATAAAGGGGAGAGGAGGAGGAGAAGAAGAAAGGGAGGAAGAGAGGAAACTACCGTACATTCTTCATATTCTCGGCCAGACGTTCGTACTCCTCGAGCACTTCCTGCTCCAGCGGAGTGAGCTCGGGGGCGAGAGCAGGGGGTTCGGCTGCGGCTGTTCCATGGTGCCGATGGGCGAGGTCCTTGACGAATGAGATATCAGGGGAGCTGAGCCGGCTGGCCGTCTACTATCACAGGTAGAGTTGCTGGAGACGCGTTGCGTCGCGTTCAAGTTGCGGAGGTTGCCTGGGGCGTTTGGTGTTGCAACAAATGGACCCCGCCAAAAAGACGTTCCGATAGTGGACCGGCCGACCTGTGCTTATTATAATGAATTCGTGGCGGGGCAGATGTGACTTAGATGCACGCCTGCAGCGTCCCATCCTCTTCTCGCTCGCAATCTTTAACCCAGATCTCTACTTAGCCATGAGGCTCTTCTTGTGCAATGAATCCATTGATAGCTTGTTAGCCCCCGTGGTGTGTAAGCTATGTCGAAGTGCCCTGAGTCTGGCTCGATAAGGTCTCTTGGCGGGAATTCTTTCCACTGTGATCATATGAGAGATGCCAGCATCCCTCAGGACTGATCCTCACATGATGGGCTTTCTGTCGTGACTGGGGACATCAAACGATGCGCTTCCATGCCCATTCTCACAATGGCTCAATCCGCACGTTCATCTCGGCCGACTGCTCTCACGGTCTCAAAAATTCCCATTGAATGCATCGACTTCATCGAGGAGTTCCCTATCGACATCCCCGCCCCTCCCTTCTTTTTTTTCTCCTCTCTAGAAAGAAGAACGATGACCTGCTCTCTGAACTCACATACTTCCAATTCAGGATGACGCAGATGTTTTGTTGGCTCGTGATCCGACAAAATCTTTAACACAATGTGACAGTTCAAGAATAGATGCTTCGGATGCTATGAGAGCGCAGATCATACAAGGTCTTTTCATGTTCCCAGAGAGGCCGCAGAGTATCTTACATTTCCTGTCACGATCTATCATGGTGACTGCTCGCAGTGATGCGGATTCTCATGAGTCTCAACACTTATACATCATGCTTCGTACCGCCTATCTCCAAAAGGCTACTCCCCAAGTCAACGAGACGGCAAATGCTAGAGCCAATATCTCTATTCCAGACCAATTTCTATGCCCAATTCCCCTGTGCCCTCGACTTGGGACTTCACCCATTTTGTGCGCTGTCACAACGATATGTGGGACGTCAGCAGTATGCGTAGGCTGGGCACCGCCTGTGTCTGACGGCACATCGTCACCGTCGGGTGCGTTTTGACTCCATATCGCACATCCATCCGTGAGACAGACGGTACCATAAGGGCAACATCCGCCGCCATCATCCAAGCTGCATTGTGTGAGGTCGACAGCGCATACTGCCGGCCGACCTAGGTGGTCCTCTTCGGGACAGCTCGCGTTTTTGCAGCAATATGTGCCAGAATTGCTTAGATCAAGGTCTGTTTGCTGGCAGTACATCCCAGTCTCGCAGCATATTGCCTTCAATATGCATTCTTGTTAGTCGTCATCAAAGCAAGTTGGTGCAGGAATGAGAGAGAGACAGAGAAAGACAAAGAGAGAGAGAGCGAGAGAGAGGGGGGGGGGGACACGTTCTGGCTGATCAAATCGAGCACAACTCCATCGAGGGTCGCAAAGGGTCGTCTGCCGAATTCCGGCTATATATCTCGCCTTGTTGTCGTATTTATCATCTTTTCCGGCCAGTCTCTCCGTCGTCTGTGCACTGGCTCTAGCAGGCAGCGTTTCGATTTTGTCCACGATATTTGTCGAGGAAACAACGGTCTGAGTGATATTCGTCTTTGCGTGAGCCCAGACCCAAGCCCCTGAGGCATAGTACCAGGAGTAGTATTCCGCCGTGAAAACGATGCCCACGATCATGATAGCAACGATGATGACTGCGGAAACAATTGCCAATGCCCATCTCAAGTTCGGATGGTCACGCAGAGGAACCCAGCGATGCCAATCGAAATAGATCTTGTCAATCGTCCATTTCTTGCGCTCATGGGAAGGACACTTAAGACGGTCTGGCTGACCAGAGGCTTTTCGAGAGCTCGCCACGCCTGGCCTGTTTTCTTTCATCTTAATCTCCCCACTGGTATGAGCGACTTTCGGGATGACTATCTGGTACCAATACCAAAAATAATTAAAAAAAAATTAAAAAATTTTTATGTCGTGTGATCGAAGGTGCAAGGAGTTCTCTAGGTCATAGGAGCGATTTAAAGCTAAACATCCAGAGTGTGGTTGTGTTATAATCGAAGTGAGGAACCATGTATTTCCCGAGTCGGTCACAATATGTAGACTGTTTCAATGACGACCTCCTGTTAACAGCAGCACGTTCCCCAGGGAAGTCGCTACAGGCCGGACTGCACCTAAGCCGTGGCCATGACGCCGTCTCCCCAGGTGTCAAGAACGACGAGAAAGGGACTCATCAACCCTGATTCATTTGACATTACTTTCGGTTAGTGCTGTGCTTCATGTGGAACAGACGTTTGTGGCAACCGCAATAGGTGTCTGAATTCATGTCATGTGATACCAAAATGCCTTCTATTATTTGCTCAATATCGAACGTTTTTATGAGCTGGTTGCGAGATGTCCGCAGTACAGATCAATACGTACAAGTCTGTTTTACCAGTATTCATGACAAAATGCCGGGTACTCTTCATTACATGCAGCTAATGTATCACAATCAGAGTGGCTGTTCAAGAGTTGAGCAATATTTCGTATTTCAAGCTGCATAGCTATTCCTGGGTATGCATTACTCCACTGCCATTAGCAATTAGATAAAGCTATGCATCATACTGCCAGCCTCGTCACCAGGTAGAAGAAGTCCTCCTGTAAGGACCTTCCATGCTCCCCAAGCTCCCGAGGTGAAAAGATCAAACCTCCAGGTGCTTGAGCATCACTGCGAAATTGGCCATCAATAGATGAACCTCATGTGCAACGCCGAACGCGACGCAACTATATGTACTCGAATGCAAAAAAGCGACGCCGTGCTGTGTACCGTCATTCATATCTCTAACGCATTATTGCTTCCTGTTCCAGCGCAAGTTGGCGAGGAGTCTCTCTGAGAACCTCGGTAAATGCCACCCACGATCAAGCAGATGAATTGTGACACAAAGAATTGAAAGCTACTGTCAAATAATCTTCACTTCATCTTCGTCGGTCGGGCGATCAAAGCCAGAATGTGAAAATAAGAAGGACACTCGCGAGACCGGCGGCCATTCCAGTGAGCTCCTTGGTGCCAGAGACAGCTTGGTTCCCCGCGTTCTTGGTAGACGATGCTGAAGCTGCAGTACCGGTTGCACTGCCTGTCGCCGAAGGTGTGCTAGAATATCCCGCCGTGCTAGTGAACGTAGCCCCTAGACTGGGCAGGGCCACATTACCATCGATCAACCAGCCGCCGGATGTGGACGCCGGGCAAGATCGAGTAGAAACACTTGAGGCATCGTAGGCGGACTTGGCAACTCCAGTAGGCGTGATGCTGGCCCATTGGCTCTTCAGGTTGCTGAAGTCGGGGCTAACAGGTGTCGGCGTTCCCTTTCGGGTGTATCCGCCGTCAATGTCAGTTCCAGTCACGGTGGCGGCAACCGAGGGGCCGTATGAGATCAAACCATAGTTGTTTGCCTCTTGAATCCACTCATAGACGATGGCTCCACTCCAGTCACTGACCATGTTGGAACCAAAAATGGCAGCTTGATCATCGAACACACGAGGGCCGGGGACATTACATCCTGTCTCCGAAAAGAAGATAGGAACCGGGAAATTGCCTGCGTCTGCTTGCAAGTTGGCATAGCCAGAAGTCTGGTATGTTGCCGGGTCGCACCATTCATATGAATTCAGACCGAAAAAGTCAATGTTCTCGGAGGCGTTTCCACCGCATGTCAAATAATCCTGCAACATGGGTCGAAGCTCGGCGATGTCTGCAGCAGAATAGCCAATGGGGATTTCACGGTAACCTTTGGACTTTCTGTGAGCCTTCAGATCACGGGCAGCTGCCTTGATGAATGGAGCAGCGATGGACTGGTTGTTGGTAGCAATAATCTCGTTGCCCACGAAAAGACCAAGAAGGTTGTCATATCCTTGAAAGGTATCCATGACCTTGGCGTAGCTCTCATACTGTGTCTGGTTCCAGTATAAATCACCCTATTGCGGTCAGCAAGACGATTTATAAAAAGACATAACATGCAAAGATGCAACTTACCGGCAAAATGTAGCTTGAGAACGTGTCCATGTCGATCATGGCGTAGATACCAGCGTCGGCGAAAGCAGACATGCAGCCGTCGTGGTCAGCATCAGCATCGACATGGTAGACACGGATCGTGTTGGCTCCCAGTTCGCTCATCAAAGTAGCATCTCTGGTGCATTGCTCGGTGTCAATCAGTGGGTCATCGGGTACCAACTGATACGCAACACCTGGTCATACATTAGCAATTTCGCGCATTGAAGCAAGTTCGCGAACATACCCTTGATGAAGAACTGGTCACCATCACTAGTGAAGAACTTGCTGCCAACTGCCTCGATCGTGGCAATGGCCGAGGTGGTGGCGCTGCCAAGAGCGGCTGCGAGCCAAAACGAAGAACGCATCGTGGATATCGTGTAGAAACGCTGAATATATATATAGCCTGTGGTCTAATGGTATCCAAAAGGGCGAAAAAATTCCAGGGTTTCAAGCAATTGGTTCCAAGATTCTTCAAGTATATTTCTGCCAGGAGCCGTGCAAAAAGATTTGTCGGCTGTGGAAAGCTTGCAGTTCTGAACGTCGATACGGTTCAGGGCAGTATCCAACTATCTGCGCCTCGTCGAAAGGTCTGTTCTCAGCAACAAGTGTTTGCGATAGATTCGAAGAGCGAACGACAACAGCTTGGGAACGCGAAACTGAACGAACACAGCGAGTGAAAGTTGTGAGTCGACTGGGAACTCTACGCAACTTCAGGAATGACCGACAATCCGCAGACAAAAAACGATCAAACAAGTGATCCGTTCACACTTCAGCCTCTCCGCAAACGAGGGATATCCAACAAATTCGGCGTGGGGAGATGTGGAGGAAAGAGGGAAAAGAGACCAAACGCAAGGCCATGATGAGAAAAGTCATGATGCTGGAGTGAATCCACTGGTGTTTGCACTACTCATTCTGCCCCTGGTCTGCATCAAACGGCTTGCGGCTTTTGCCAAGCTACAGGGAGCTATCCATAAGCCATCATTGGCTAGTCCTTGCTAGCGAGCATCTCGAGGTACCTGGCAAAGGAGCTTTAGGATGGCATTGCCTTGGTTTCTGGTGAGAATCCCCAGCAGACCATCGATGTGATAGGCCCCGTCGGTGAGCAACTCCGGACATTTTGCTGCAATGCACAAAGCTGCTAGGTTAGCACTATGTACAGTACCCACGTCTGGAAGAGACCGAGATTGCTTAGATCACGGCCCTTTCCAGCTTAGTTCGAGTCAAGCTGGCAAAGCTCGCAGGCTCCAGGGGCAGCATTGCGTGGATAGTATCCTTGGCACGGCTAGAACGGACTAGGTCCTCATAGTATCCTAGTGCTTGCTTAGCTTTGACTTCTAGCGACTCGTGCCGACGAATCGTGCCAGAATGATTTTCCCAAATTGTGTTGTTACGGAGAGGTGCAGGTATCGAGTGTGCCTCTGTTGTCGCGCACATCTTTTTAGGCCTATGTCACTCGGCAACAATGGTTGCTAACTTTGGATCCGGCTGTTTCGTGTCGTGTTTTTAGGTCCAAGCTTTAAGCCCAGACCATGAATCAAAGAGGATCTGAGAGGGATCCAAGACATATCGCCTCAAATCTTTGCAACTTCACCCACAGCCGCCAAGACCTTCTCCAGATCGCCAAACGCGATGGGTCGTTCTCTTGTCATTGCTTGATCCGAGTCCAGCGTCTGGGCGTGGCGGAATTCAATAAATTGAACGAGGATCGCGTCGTCCCACCGATAGACCATGGGTATCTACTCGCGAAATTGGCCGTCCTTACAGAACCATGCTTTGGCGTCTGTCGTTACAAGGGCCTGAGGGAGTCCAAAATAAGCGCCAAGACAAAAACGTGAAAGTCGGTGGCACTTTTGAAGCGCCAATTGCCGACGGACATGGTTTTCTCTGCTATGACGCAACAATGTCGCGACAATCTGAGAACTGCACAAAATAACCTCATGCAGGGGGCCCCGTGTCTCTCAACAAACACCCCCAAACAAGCTGTTATGCAGTCCAGGCTAGGCTATGTTGCATGCCATCTACCTAACTCAGTCAAATGAGAAGCTGCAACCCTGATTGTGAACTTGATTGGTAAAGGACTTCGGAAGGACAAGTCGCTCGTGGAACATGGAATGTCGATCGCATTGGTATTGGATAGCCATGTATAGTATTGTTTAGTATCAGTAACATCATTCCCAACTCCGCTTCACGAACTTGTATAAACTCGAACATTGATTAGTCTAACCACAATAGCCGGTCCTATTCCATATTATGCTACTGAATTTCCATTTTGGGACCACTTATCTGGTTAGTGACTTTCGGAGTTATCTATGTTATACTAATATGCCACGTGAGATGCTTAGGAATTAATTATAACCTTTATGAATTTATGTATACGCCACTTGCTCTAGCACAACCTCTATCGCTTCAAGTCGGCCATACATGAATCAGATACACATTATTTTACCTTCCGCGAATGAGAGTCATACCCCTTCCGCGTACCATGGCAACATGGATCATGCTTCCCCTTATATGCGTCGTCAATATATAGTATCGCTTTGAAACATATCGCGGGAAGACATGATGTAAAGACTCACGTTTGGTACAGAGCTTGCAGTCGATACCGAGCTCCGCACACGGGGCGGCCTTCGGATTGCTTGAGCAATATAGATTACAGTGACCCCCACATCAGCCTTTGAGCTCCTTCATGCTCAAAGCATATCCCCGCTGCCTTCGTGGCTTCTTGTGTTTCAAACTACTACAGCTTGCATCTACTGAATTATACCAAGTCAGCATACTTAAGGTGCATGAAGCGCGAATGCGTTAACTAACAAGTCTAGTGCCGGACGGGACATCGGTTTGTGATAGAGCACAAGTGTCATGCATTTGGTTGAGATCTCACTGCTGTGGCTATCATGACTCGCTGCTGATCTTCAATCACAAATACAATTAGCAGAAACACGAGGTCTGTGCATTATGATATACTGTACTACAACAAAAGTATCAAAGAAGATATGATATTATTCCTTGATGGTTTATATGATTAGAGGCCGACTCATTGGGAGATACACATGATGATTCTTTATTCGAATAAGAAAGGGTTCAAGTATAACCATACGAAACTGCGGAGCGGGGGTGCATGAATATATTTCGAACCTATCTCTCATTGGTATCTTCCACCATCTCCTAGGCCACATGTCACCATCAGGTATGGACAGGTGCATCCCATTCCGCCGTGTTGGCAGCTCGTGGGTCTCGCACTATAGGCTGACTTCTTGACATGAGATAAAGCCCACTATCCCTGGGACTCAGCGGCCTCTTCCCTCCACTGCGAGATAGCCTATGATCACTGTGTCGTCTTGTCGAAATTGATATAGGCACGCCATCATCCCTTATTCTGAGATCGTGAAAGCCCAAATCGAAACCCTCATATTGATGTACACAATGCGGCTCACCTATACCATGGCTTGTCAAGGCACGGTATAACTGCTGCTCAACCACACGTGCAGTCGGTCGATCCTGTGGTGCGACAGATAACATGCGAGCCACTACCTGCAGAATCGGTGCGACACCGCGAAAGATCAACTCGTCTTTCTTGTTGGCTTCTTGAACGAGATTTGTCATCCATGACTCGACCTGGCCAAGGTTCTTGTGAAATGATGTGTCAAGTGGTGCACCTCCGCGCCCGGCGAGTTTGTGCTTGGCGCCTCGATGAGCGGCAAACGACTTCGAGGGCCGCTTTAGTAATAGGCCGATCAGCTCGAGGATGACACAGCCCAGGGAGAATATATCTGCGGCTTGAGGATCTAAATGTGGGGTCGTATGTATGATGTTCGACTGATCGACCTCGCCTCGATTGACAGAGAACGCAGAGGTGGTCGAGATGAGTGAAGTTCTGCCATATAGTGACAAATTGCTTGCTGGTCGAAACCATTGTTCAGGGGCGGCATAGTCGTAGGATTCCTTATTAAAGGCGGCCTTCTCTGACACACTATCCAGGTTTTCGAAACTCAGACTTGCCATATCAGCGAGCAAGATGCGATGAAGTGAATCCAATGCGATGGAGGATGGCCTTATATTTCCGTGTGAACGGTTTCTGCCATGAAGATAGCAAAGAGAGTCTGCTAGACAGTGTATCCAGTTCAAAATATGGATTTGTCGTTCGCGTTTAGGTAGTGCCTTGAAAGAAGCCGGTATATTTGAAACGATAGCCTTAAGGTTGTATTCGCCTGGGTATGTGAGCAGCACATATACTGACCCCAGATGAGTATATGAAGCGAAATATGATACAATGTGTTCGTTGCAAATATTCTTGGTACTTCTTATTTCTTTCAAGAAGTCTTCGTGGGACATACCAGCTGGAATATTGCTAGTCGGAAACCTGCGACGACAGAAGGCTCGCTCCGGTACATTCGGAAGTGTTACCCTGTCGACATAGTGATTATGATTCATCGCAGTAGCGGACTGCCTTTTGTCCACAATGTCGATAGGGACGACCTCGTCATCCTCGTACACCACATGGGCGCCCCCTTCGACTTCTCTCAGCACATAGTAGAATTGCCTGTCCCAGAATTTCCAGTTCAGCTTATGGTCGGTCTGAGCAGTAACTCGTTCGACATCATTCAAGGAGAAAGGGAGATCGTCGTCGTCCCATGAGTGGTCAACAGCGGCAAAAATTTGGTCTGGGATTCCAATGTCAAGTAAAATCAAAAATATACGCTTGGCCTTGGTCTCTATCCATTCCCAGTATGTTCCATCTGTCAAACCATCGCCAAAACCCAGGGCTTCATCCAGATTCTCAGTGTTCGTTCGTTGAAGATGTGAAATGACGAACTGCCGTGTAACAGTCGTTTCAATGCGAGAGTTATCCCACCAGGCCATCATGAGTGGATCTGGTGCAAGGTCATACTGATCGAAATGGGTTTGCTAAGTACATCGGTAAACGCAGGATCGCAATGGTTGAAAGCAACGGACACCAAGATATATGTAACTCAGAGAAGGTGTGGGGTCCTATGATTGTAATGAATAGACCAATTCTCATTTGCCTCGTGTCGAGCGAGGAGATATTATATCTTCAACTGGGCTGCCTCTTCCAGGGGCAACACAATATCGTCCGGGTACGAAATATGCAAGGAGGCTGCAAGCAGGCATTGGCGGAAAGCTGCCATGAATATACGAAGAAGAAGAAGAAGAAAAAGCAAGCAAAAGGCGACATCAGATCCGACCTACGTTTTAGGAGCGAGCTGATTGTGAGGACCATTACTTGATGTTATTGGTTAGTCGAAGGTAGAGATAAGGAAACTACAGCTGTTGGAGGCGTGGGCATCTTTAGCGCCCTGCACATTGGACTGGCGTTGACAACGGGTCTAGGGCACGTATCACAGCTCTGTTGCCATCCGATTATTTTCGGGATTAAAAGAACGGCATGACATTGAAACTTGGCCAAGCGTTGGTCGGTAATTAATGTATATTCACGTGCAAGCATGTTGGTACGAACAGTTGTCGCATGCGTGTGCGAATAAGATGCCTCTTGGCATCAGAGTAACGGCTGGCCCTCACCTGAACTACCGTAAAACTGTAAACTACACTAGTCTAGGTACATCGGTCGGTCCGGCAGGTTGGTGGGCAACGTGCTTGGCGATCAATGCTCCCCCACGTTTCCACTCAGTTGGGATTAACCCTTGTTTAATAGATACTATGTATGCATATGATACAGACCTTCTCACATAATATCGGGCACCAATTAGGAAGTGAAGTGTAAAGCCAATGTACACTATGTCGAGATAGGAAATTTTTTTATTTTTATTTTTAAACAGGTTACGATAGGAAAGTTGTTGTGTATATGTGAATTTTTTAAAAAATAAAATAAAAAATTTTATAGATAACAGGAAGATTTGGAAAAGAACCTCGGTTGTCAAGATGTTCTTCCTACACGACTATGCCGTCCCATCACTAGGTGCTACTATCTCTAGAGGGTGGCTGCATGGTGGCGGCCCTAACGTTATGTTGTCTTGAAACGGTATTATCCCCTCGAGTACTATGTAAGAGGAGAGTCAGCCTTATTGACCTTATTTGAGGACAATCACTGCGGCTAATGCACATGCATGCAGGGAGGGATCCCCTTCGATAAGGCGGTTCGCAAGCATCGACAAATTGGGCCTGCTAATGAAATGGTCGTTCCTAATCAGCTAGCCATACTATGTACAGATCTATATTCAGCCCGTGTATTTCGTCACATGATCAACTTATATCTTAGGGACTTGAAGAGGATGGCGTGAATATAAACTCCAAATCGCGGGCGGCAGCTCGCTGCTTATCGGCTCACAAGGGCATGCGCTTCAGCCAGGTGACGCTCAGCATTATGCTTCGTAATTTTGACAGTAATCACCTAGCTGCTCCATTTTTCTCACTGAGCTCATTGCCCTTCCTCCCGATGAATGTCTGCATGCTCCTATCGATACCCGACAAGTTCCGCGCGATTCTCTGCAAGCCGACCGGCAGGACATTATACCAATCAATCCACCGAGCGTAAAGAGGTGCACTGATGTGGTCGCTTACTCCCAAATCGATGGCAGCGATGACTTCTTTCGCTACATCAACGGGCTCCACGGTTGGCGCGATGAACGAGTTGGGGGATTGTACACCATAGAAAAGTGGCGTGCTAAGCTGTCCAGGTGTCACGAGAATGGTCTTGATCTCGGAATACTCTCTCAGCTCTGCAGCTAGTGACTTGTGTAAAGCGGTGACACCGGCCTTTGCAGCGGCATAGTCGCTAAGTTGAGCAGCACCTAGATGACCAAGAACACTTGAAACAGTGACAATAGTGCCTCCCACTTCGCTACGAAGCATTCCGGGAAGGAACTCTTTGATAGTGTAGAAGTGGCTGAAGAGATTCGTCTTCAGGCTGCGCTCGACCTCGTCAACATCCATATCCAGAAGCTTCTTGCCGACTACCACAGCGGCATTGTTGATCAACACGGTCGGTAGACCAAGATCGCGCTCGATATCCTTGCGCACCTGTGCAATCTGGTTCTTGTCCGTGACATCGCACTTGTAGTAGGTTATGCCCCTCACATCTGTGCTCTCCAGTTCGGCCTTGTCGAGCACAGCAACCGTGGCGCCGCGCATGCCATATACCTCAGCAATGAGCAAGCCCAGCCCGCTGGCACCGCCCGTGATTACTATTACTTCCTCGCTCAAGTCAACCTCGCGGTGCATGCCATAGGCAAGCTTGTGACTAAACTTATTGAGGAGCCAGAGGAATGTCACTAACACCGCCCATCCTATTGTGGTCCGCATGGGCGCCGCTTCGTATTCCATATGGCGAGCGCGAAGACATAGTGGGAGTAGCCATGCTATGAACGGATGGAAGAGCGTGATGTTCAAGACTTTGAGAAAGAGATCGATCGAGAGCGGCGCGAACCACGAATCCTGCTGGGGTGGTCTGTGGTAATTCATAGTGGGCAGATTAATCTATCGTGGGTTCGTTGTAGCGTGACGTCGTGAAGAGAGTTGCTGGCCAGCAGACAGGTTCTGGTATCGAATATGAGAAAAGACTTCTACAGTAGATATATTATTGGGAAGCGAGACGCCTGGGGTGCGCTTGAACACCATGGGATGAACAGGTATGGATATGGGCTATGAATTGACAGTTAGCGAGTAGCTACATAGCTGCAAAAGGTGCCCGCCCCAGCTTGGTCGCAGTGTGCAGCTCCGTGAAACACAGGGCCCTGACTTGCGGGACGCCCCCCCTGTGACGTTTCAAGCCGGATCCACATTCCCCGACGCGCAGCCCCGTGCCTGTGCTGTACCTAATTCCTACGACTCAAGGATCTTCACGAAAATTATCCTACTACATTGTATCGTGTATCCTCATACTAGCATTGATGCAGTTGGCCAGATGATGCTGAGACTCCGCGTTCCTTTGGGTCTTCGCAATCTCTGCCAAGTCCGCATACCCGCGGCTGGCAAGTTCAACTTTGGACGTCAAATTCGTGCTACACTAACTGGAACCCTTGTTGTCTCTGTCATCAAGTCGGGCTCAATCGGAGAGAACTCCGACTTTGCCATTCGGGGATTGTAGTGGGAGTGTCTCTTTGTCGAAATGATTTGGCAAGGAGGAATCCAGACTGACGTAACCATCCGCTACCTGAGGATGATCTTTGGAGCCTGCCTACCGGAAGCTGTATGTAGTAGCTTCGGACCGTGAGTCAGTGTCTTAGAGATTGTGGCTCCCTTTATCGATTATATGGCTGGCATGCTAAGATAGTTATGTGGAATTACGCGGGGACCGCCAGATTTGGATTACTTATCTTGAACGCTTTCCCAGGTCTTCTAGAAATGTCAATCTAGGCTTGACGATACTTAGTGTCATCCACCAGCCAGTAACTAATTATACGTCTGTTGAGTTACCTGGGTTGACGCGGCTGAATAAAGCTCTTCTCTTTCGAGCCTCACGGTCGCGGGACTGGTGATAAGGTGCAGTCATTCGCCATCGTTGTGTTTCGCAATGTATATGACTCCCCAGTATGATTTGTCAAATTTCGGCGGCTGTCGCTTTCTTTATTTGCAGGGGGTTAGGACAGCTGAGTGCAGATCAAGTGGAAGCAGAGGTAGAAGCTGTTCCAGGGGTTTGGTTTGACGGTCAGCTTCGATCAGTCTGCTATACCTATATTACGACGGTGTTGATCACGGTCCATTCTGATGGCGACGGTACCTCACTCGCTGAGGAACGTCCATCTAAGTCTTCGGGCGACGACAAGGACGTGACACGTTCAGCCGACGGGATTTTGACGGAGCCAATGATTAAGAGCAATCTCGTGAGCTATAGCATGACAGGAGCACTAGATATCTCTAGAAGATTACAGCCAGAAAGTGCAAAAAGTGAAGGGACCTCAGCTGGAGGAGTAACGGACACTGGCGCAACCAACGTAGGCACGTCAGGTGTAGGGGTATCGGATGGAGGCACTACATCCGGAAGAGAAACGACGGGCGGTACCTCGAATGCAGGGAACAATACTGCAGACGCAACGGATGGAAATCTCATGAACGGACTACCCCCTGATGTAACTTCCACAGATGAAATTCCTTCTGATGGAACTCCCCAAATTGGAGCTCCTCCACAGGGAACTCCTGCACATGAATTTTCCACTGTTCGGAATTCCACTGATGACTTTCTCACAGGTGAGTTTTCCACAGATGAAAGTCACGCGACAAAAGAAACCTCGTTTTCAAGCGAATATATAGCAAATTCCGCCACATCTATGGAGCAGTTTGCCAGCTTGGTGACTGTTATGTCTGCTTCGGATTCAAATTCTTTTGCTACAGGGAGCCAAATTTCTTCCCATCCGGCAGAACCGTTATCGATTTCAACTCCCAGCACCGCATTTCAGCCACCAGCTACGACTTTGAGTGAGAATATTTCGAGCCTCACCCAGCCGAGATTATCGATTACGAATATTGCCAGCGTTGTGTCTTCTATTTCTGATGCCATTGGTCTCAGTACTGGCGGTTTAAGATTTTCTAGCATTTCTGCTTCATTATTGACGGACATACTAACCACTTTAGTGCCGACTGCCACATCTTCGACCAGCGCCCTTACAGCTTCCGCTATATCCACTGTAATCTTAAGTGTCGAACTTCAGGTTGTCAATGATACACAAAAACGAGATTTGGAGCTGCAGACAAGGGACGAAATATCTGGCTACGTTGGTGATGAGACTATGTGGAACCCAAGCAATTGTAGTGACGCGACAGTATATCGCCAGAGCAGAGGTCAACTTGTCGCCATTTCCAAGAAGCGAACTCTTTCAGTGGATCCTGGAGTGCCTTATATTAATATGGCTGACTACCCAGGAGGATCAATCGAAACATGTGTGTATTTTTCTATCACTGTGTACACGTACTAGGCGTTCGACTGTTTGAGGCCATGACCAATTTGCTACCACATTTCGCAGACACAATCTTGTTTCATAGTCTATATGGTTTGCTGATAAGAAAGCAGCTTTTAGCGTTTTAGACAACGCCCTTCAATGGAAAAATGAGACCTTCTATAACGGTAGCGCTGGGTTTTGTATGTACATGACAGGCGAGGTTTTTGCTACCTTTACAGAGGCCGGAGGTCCGTCTGAGTGCATCCCAATTCGATTGGTCGTGTGGGCAGGTATGTCCTCCTTGAAGCGATCGACAATACTTGGAAAAGTACCACTAATTTTGTACATTTAGTAAATGCATGCAGAAATGGGAGTGTTCCCATACTGATAACCACAGACACAGCAACATTGTCAGGTACTGAGTTTGTCTACACTTCTATCTCAAGTAGCATCTCGGAAGAAGGCACAGCAGGCGATAACATGAAATTATCCACAGACGCCCAGCCAGCTCTGAGTATGGGTTTGAAGTCTGATGGGGCATTTCCATCTTCTTTTGCAAACAACAGTGAGTCGAATTATGAGGGGACTCAAAGCTCGCCAGGGCCTTTAGCCCAGTCTTCTGCTTTCATTGTTACTCAGCGCCACAGTGGCAATAGCGTGAACAGCGACCCTGCCATACAAAGTACCGATTCCAGGACAGCAAACGACTCAGGACCTAATATTCTCGTTTCTACTGTCTCGGACGGCAGCAACAGTTCAGACCCAGGAGAACCCGCCTGGACGACAGTATCCGATCAGCCACCAATTCAGACACTACATGAGTCCTTGACAGTGCCAGGCGCCTTATTTTCTTCCACAGGCACTCTATCACCTAAGGATATGACAAAAAGTTCCCCTTCAAACTTAACACAGAACGAAGGAGATACGTCCAGTACGGTGAGTGACACAATACCAGCAACACCAACCTCCGAAGGTCTAGTCACTACCAGTAGCCTGCAAAATGGAAGCACCACTAGTTCTAGAAATGACGGCAGCAGTTTGACTACTTTGGCGAGCAAATTTTTGACTTTCGATTCTGGTATCGCCAGCATTCAACCAAGTGAGGACCTAACCACACCAAGTGTAACCACAGCCTCAAGCTCAGTACCTGATGTTGTCACGAGTAGTTTATCAGAGAGCGGAATCAGCACTTCGCATGCAGGTATGACGAGTGGTGTATTTGCTGGTTCAACGCTTCTGGGGTCAAACGATGCTTCGGATTCCGCGACACTTATCTTCTCACTTCCTGACACGAGTACAACTAGTTTATTGCCAGCCGATGGGTTGTCATTTACGAAAAGCGTCTTTCCGATCTCTGATGATATGTCTTCAATCATCACGAACAGCGCCGCGTCGATAACCACAAGTGGGCAATCCTTGGCGAGTACGCAACAGGAAAATGGTCAATCTACAACAGAAGAATCAAGCATCTCATTCTTAAATACTGCTGATGCTTTGAGTAATACACATACAAACTCAACCACCTCCGTATTCACTTCTGAATCCGAGACATCTCAAACAGACAGTTCCAATTCACTCACTCCCCCAACTTCTATATCTACCCCTGAACCCGAGACATCTCGAATGGACAATCCCAACTTACTCACTACCTCGGCTTCCCGTGGTATGGCGTCAATCGGTGGTGATATCTCTTCTGACGTCAACCTAGTGACTGGATCACAGAATACAGAGTCTAGCGATAACTTGGGGCCATCATTATCAAATAGTACGACAGTTATTGATGCGAGGATGCCAACTTCCATCGAGGCATTCCCAGCTAACTCGACCTTGGCGGCGGTTCCAAATGGTGCCGCCTCTCATACTTTCGAATTTGGCGCAACCTCAGTCAGCCTTAATACGTCAAACGAGACCATTGTGGCCATCAGTGCCGTATCAACTTCAGAAATGGAAACGACAATAGATCCTAATATATGGCCAACAGGGCTTTCGTCTTCAGATAGGACTCTTGCATCAGTCAACACATCCAATTCTATAACAAGTCTAACATTTACTGTTTCCAGCTTGTCAACTGACACTGACACTCTCACCACAGCGTTTACCGTGCTAGCCAGTATTACAGAGAGTTCTCTCCTCACCGCTAAACTGTCTGAATCGTCACAATCGGAGTTCATTACAACTACAGGTTATGCGCCAGCCAGTATTGATACAAAGAGTCAGTCTTCGACTGACGACCAATCCAATACAACGAGTAACCCTGGTTCTGAGGTAAATAGCCACCCTGGAAATTTAACCTCATCACCAGGATCGTCAGAAAATTTGTCCAATACTGAAGCAGTATCTTCTACATTGAGTTTTAGTACCAGTACCCAAGATCTCGTTACGACAACGGTATTACCTCCTAAGCCCGGCAGTCCTAGTGAAACTCTTTCAAGCACGGGAATTAGTTCTTCGGCGCAGGAAGTAGCGTCGGGATCGCTCATAGGTGCACTGTCTCTGAGTTCAACCACGGCAACCCCCATTTCTGAGGGAGTCAATGTTAGCAATGGAAATCCCTCTACTCCGTCAGCCAGCACAGCTACGGAACTGTTGAGTACGATGGACAGCTCTGGGCCACCTTCTCAAACTCCAATTATTCCCATTGATACTCAAAGTGTTGGTTCAGATAGACTGACAAGTGACAAAAAAACGCCTATGCCTACTGACACGGCACCAGGGCAGGCAGCATCTTCTGAACAAGTCAATAATACGAGCGGTTATACCTCAAATACTGAGCCCGCGGTTTTATCATCAGCTACTACATCTCCTGGATCTGGGAACACAACGGGAGCTTCAACGAGCAACTCTTCATTCATCACAACAATCATCACCGACACAGCTTCACCCTCCGACGATCCAACAATGAGCACAGGGACTTCGGTATCCACTGATACAACCTTCATACTTACGGAACCTCATAGAGAATCTTCCCAAATAAGTATCGGTACTTCCTCTTCCTCTTCGACGTCTAGGCATCGCAGCGAAAGCAACCTTAACAGTCTGGCCAGTAGTACAGCATTTATCGAAGCATCAGGAATATCTGTTTCATCAGCCACCGACAGACCAGTTGACTCAGACAACCAAAGTACATCCATTGCAACAAACCTGGACACATCATCGGTCTTTTTAACATCTTCCTTTACGGGCTCTAGTTCCGAGACGTTCAGTACAAGCACGGAAATCCTGTTGTCTTCAGCTGCGCATACTTTGAGCGACATAGGACCACAATCCGACGCTTCAACTCAAACCCCAATCACTACTATTGTCTCTAGTCAGTCTCTGGACACAATTGCGTCCGACAGTATGACTACCAGCGTAAATCGCGATACTTCTTCAGTGATATCTGACTCAACAACTACAACAAAACCAACAGACTTGAAAATCCAAAGCACGAGTTTGACAAGTATAATACAAATTCCAACTGCTAATCCAGAATCAGCTTCGGATACAGCTGTTCCGTTATCTATCTCGGACTTTTCCACGACAAGCAGCGTCATTGGATTCTCAAGTCTGTCGCCAGGAACGGACTGGACGGATAATACCCCGGCACAGATCAATACCCACATCATCACCAACACAGGAACAACCTCAGTGTCTACCTCGGAGGGTATTATCACTATATCCACAACGGCACCGAGCTCTCTCGACAGCAATAATTCAGATAGTACTAGTGGCAATTTCACCAGTATTACTACTACTATGTTTACTGCCCAGAGCACTAGCCCAAGTTCTTCAATAAGATTTTCAATTTCAGAGGGCACTGCTGCTGTATCCACAACGGCACCGAAGTCTTTGGATAATAATAATTCACTTAGTAGTAGTAGCTATATTAGTACTACTAGTATCATGTCTACCACTCAGAGCATCAGCCCGAGTTCGTTAGAATCTTCAATTTCGGAGAATGCTGCTCATCCACCGACAACAACACTGAAATCAGGGGCTTCCGATAATTCAGGAATGGAAACCAGGTCAAATTCTATTTTCGACAGCGATACAATAATTTCAGGCACACTCGTTTCAACTGGCGGCCAGGAATTATCCAGCACAGAAATGACAAACTCGTCCACGTTAGAGCCAGCGAGTAATGCGCCTTTGACTACGTCAACCGCCAGCCAAGCGACAGCATCTACTGTGGTGACCGACTCGGCTATAATATCACCGACTGACTTGCCTCGAATATCGAGTTCGCAGACTATTCAAAGCAACGCAATGGTTACCGGAAGTAGTCGATCTAGCTCAGAGGTGGAAAGTATGATGTCAAATGAAACTCCTTCTATGCCAGCCACATCAAGTTTTGTTCCTGCTGTGGTCAACACGTCGAACAGCTTGGAAATTCCGCCACACATAAGTGACTTGAGCGGGCTGGGGGGTGGAAGCGCTCCAAGCACCCTTTCAAATTCTTTGAGTAGCTCAGATGCCTCGAGCTCTTCAACAGTCACTACATCTAGCACGATATTATCTTCTCTGACGATGGTTTCGATTCCAACTAGCCTCAGTAGCAACCACGAGCAGCAATCATTCAGTGAAAGCGCCTCTAATACCGCAGATAGCTCAATGGAACCCAGCACAAGTAGATTGGCTCTAGCTTCGTCTAGTTCAAGTTTATTGATGAGCGGCAGTACCACAATATCGAGCGGTACCGAGAATTCTACTTTCGGGATCATCACTACTACGTCTGCTCCGATTTCAGGATCCAGTTCACCGATAAGCATGTCTACTGCAAGCCCTCCCACAATATCCAGCCTTATCAGCACTGTCATAAGTACCGATATAGCCTCCAGTGGAACAGAAAAAACCATGATTTTGAGTTCCATCAGAAACACCGATGGCGGGCAGAAGACCACCGCTAATACATCAAGCAACAACGTGCTATCGTCTAGCAATACTTTCTCAAGTAGCAGCAATATTCTGAAATCGAGCAGCCTGACAGTGACTAAGAGCAGTTTGATATCGGCCAGTAATACACCCTCGAGTAGTAGTGCGACTTTGGACAGTACCTTGGGCCCAAGCGGTAGTATAGCTTCGAATAGCATATTCTCATCTACTAGTAGCACTACTTCTAGCCCCACTGTTCTATCGACAAGTAGTATAGCCTCAAGCGGCAACGCTACTTCCAGTACTGACGCTGTGCCAATCACGAGCACAAGTAGTGTGATGCAAACAGTTATACCTTCGAGTTCTGCAACTTCAGAATCGTCTATTCGGGCTACAAGCGCGTCAAGCTCAACTACATCTGGCCTATCCACTAGTGTATCTCAAAGTGCGACCAACAGCAACGCAGGCTCCCTCAGTCTCTCAAGTTCTTCGATGGCTGGTGGTTTCGTTGGTACGAGTATCACCACTTCTAACAGCGCTTTTTCTACGTCTTCCAGTCAAATGAGTTCCAGTCTTTCGTCAATTATTCCATCAGGATCAACATCAAATTTAAATACTATAGCTATTAGTAATCCTCTTGGGGTTACTACCACCAGGAGCTCTTCCAGTCAAAGCAGTTCCGGTCTTTCGTCGACTATGTCATCAGGGTCAACATCAAATACAAATACTATGGTTACAACTAATCCACTCGGGATTACTATCACGAGTAGCTCTTCCAGTAGTAGCGTCCAAAGGACGAGCAGCAGTATTGCCACCAGCACTACTTCAGCCACATCTAGTATACCGTTTACGACAGTTCCAACGACTTCAACACCGTCTACTAGCTACTCAACACGCTATACAACAATCACAACATTATATTCTGGAAACAGTACGACGACGACGACTGTTGCTCCAAATGGTGCAACGCCTGGTAAGTAGTTACGATACAATAGAGCCTCACCCTCATTTTTGTCAGGCTATTTCAAAAGCTGGGATACCCATCATGCCCCGTCTGTGTTTGCGCCACTCAAGGCTTTCATATGCCCGTGTATGCGAAGAGAAGCTGACAGAGTCTTCGTAACTTAGGAACTGTCATAGTGCAGAATCCAGCCTATATAACAACGACGACTGTTTATACAGGAAGTACGACCAGCACATCGACGCAATTGGCAACCGGCACGGTACAAGGGACAGTCTACATATATACACCATTGCCGACACTGAGCTGTGATCCTTTCGGTTATCTGATCCAAGCCATGATTCTATACCGTGTCAACATCACAACAGGCACCACCACGCAGGTTAAGACTGGGGTAGGCGACGGCAGTCGCAACATCCAAGCCATAGGCTACAACGTTGCGGATAACTTCATTTACGGCTCAATAGGAACGACAGTTAACAATCCCGTCGATTTGATCCGCATTGCCGGCGACGGCAGCAGTACAATCCTAAAATCACTTAACATCAGCAGTTCGTGGTATCCCAACTCGGGCGACGTTGATGAGAACTCGTTCTATTGGGCCTCGTACCGCGGCCAACAATGGTTGCAGTTAGATCTGAGGCCTAGCTCTCCCACCTTCGGCACTACCCTCACGGGCGGCACAGCCAGCCCAACACATGTCATCCTGGACTGGGCCTATGTGCCTGGCGGCGGTAACTATCTCTACAGTCTCGGCTACGATACAACCAGTCTGGGAACCGTGCTGACAGGTACACATACCTATCTTCAGCGTTTCGACAGAACAGCTAAGACATGGGAGGTCCTTGCCGATCTTGGTGTCTTGGCAGGCCAACAGACCTGGGGCGCTGTATACGCAAGCGATGACGGCTATCTATTTGGCTCAGAGAACAGTAAGTAGTCTAGAATTATATTCCTACACCCCAATAGCCAGCGGAAGATGTAGAGAGACCCGATGCGTTAGCGCTGTTGTGGCACAAAGCGCCAAGTACGAAGACAAGTCACTAATTTATCCTTACAACATAGATAGTGGAAAGATATACAGGTTTAATATTCCACCAAATGGGAACACGACCGGCTTCACACCATCCGCTGTGTCGATAGCGGCGGGACCTGTGGCCTCGTCAAACGATGGCGCCAGATGCATCAAGGCTAAGTTCTAGCTAATTAGCTGTCAAATCTGGGCTGCTTACCTGGACTTTATACACATGCTATGATCGCATAAGCTAATTCTATTCGACAAAACCAAGATTCTTCGACTACCTGTCATATATAAATTGTGAAACGACGGGAAGACTGTCCGTATGCTGTACATCGTCATAATTAGACACAAGCATATCTAGGCACTGCGATAGTCGGTACAAGAATGCTTCAACACTGATTGTCATATTTTAACGCTTCAGGATCCCCCCTTGTGAATTTCTCCATTCGTAGTCCAAGAGGAGAATGCCAAAAAATTGCATAGCGGAGAACTGGATAGGAAAGTGCTCGGCGTGGGACTTTAGTCTTAATGTGATGGTTTGGAGTGGTGACGTTGGCCTAGCAACGTTAAGCAATGCGAAATCATAGTGATTGCGAACAGCTCTCCATCAAACTTACCTGTACGGTTGGCAGTTAGAGGAAGGCTGGTGCTCTCTGGTTCACAAGACGCCCGCATTCCGTATGGGAAACTTCATCCTCGAATGTAGGCATGTCGAACTTGATCAAATTGGTTTTTCTTCTACATGTATAGCTAAACTACCACTCATTGCAGAATAATACGTTGCAAAACTCACGGGATGTAAGCTGAAGCTCTCGGAAATAGTCACGGGTCGACATGACCAGGGTATTGAATTCTAGCGACAACCTTATTCGACCAGAACCTGTGCTTGACACTGCGAATTGATAACTAATTGCCAGCGGATTGGCTTTACGAAGACAGTATCCGGACGTGGGCTTTCTTGGTATAAGGCGTAACAACTAACGAGTCCAACGCGCCAAAAGAGGAATTGTGAAGAGGCTCTCGTTATGTCAGCGAAACAAGTTCTTGAGGCATTCATCACTAGTGATGGCGGGGGAGTGCAATCCCTAGACAATATGTAAACGTATGTCTTTCGTAAAGACGGATCAGATGCCAACGGTAGTAATTTTGGGGCGGGGCGGGGGTGCTTTCCTCTGTGGATTGATATGGTCGTGTTCGAACTTGTTCATCTTTGTGCCATTATTTTGAGCCAACGGTCGCAAGCCAGTTTTTAGAACGCCGTCTCTATATGCCTGGTATTTAAATCATTCTTTTGCCAGCCAGCCACAAACGCCATGCAAATGCCATTACAAGAAAAAGGAGGCGAACGTCTTTATTTCTCCTTGGCCAAAATGGCCTTCTCTCTTTCGCTTTTCCTCTCTTCGAACTGCTTCTTGGTGTGCTTCCGCTCGTTCTCTTCGCGACGCTTGATAGCCTTGAGCTCTTCACTCTTGATCTCGCCAGCCTTCTTGACGACCCTGGGAGTATGCCTGTGCCTCTTGATTCTGCGAATCTCAGGCATGTGAGAGTAGCGGGTTGACAAAGCTTCATTGTACTCGATAGCCTGGCGTTGTCTGCCCGACATGACACCCTCGCGCTTTGAGGCATTTGCTCTCCAAAGACGGATATTTCCATCGTCCGATCCAGAGAGGACGTATTTCTGTTATTCTCGTTAATATACCGCTTAGGTTGTGAGACCCGCGGGGGGGGGGGGGGGGGGGGGGGGGGGGGGACCACTAACCGAGTCGGGAGTGAAATTGGCGCAGAATACTCTCTGCATTCTCTTAGTGTGGTAGATGTCTCTTGAATGTCCCTGAGAGCGATTCCAAAGTCGAATCGTTTTATCGTACGATGCTGTCACGAGTTCTTGACCGGTTGGTGAAAATTCCACATCCTGTTTGAAAGTTAGCATTTTCCTTTTCGGGGGTTTCAAGTCTCGGTTTGGCTTACCATGACTGCGGCGACATGATCCTTGAGAACATTCCTGCGGCCATGTTAGCTGTAGTTGCTCAGTTCATGTGACATGGATACATACAATGCTCTATCGAACTTCCGAATATCGAAAATATACACATTATGATCCTCGGACTTGATTACACGTTCGATTAGCATTTGTCAAGCGTTTTGGCAGCATTCAACCAGAGCCACCAGTACACTCACCGCCGTTGCTAGGTTGAAAGCTTCCATTGGGTTCCAGCTAATCTTGTTGGTAGCGAAGTTAAGCAGAGTTTTAGCTAGGGGCTGTGAGCTGCGAGGTTGTCAGTATTTCGAAACTGGTGAGCTAGACTGTAGCCGAGTATGACTTACGTGCGTAGATCATAGAGGACTACACTTCTATCGCTGGCACAAGACGCTAGGATACTGTGCTCTATCTTTTCGGCATTCACAAGTTAGCATCACTCTGGAACAACAAGAGAAATGATTGAGAAGGGCGCTCCGCCTCCGGGAGTTGCCTACCTGATTGAATGAGACGTGATTGATAGTGTCAACGGCGTTGGGCCAGGCAACTATGTATACTGATTAGTCACTTCCTCGATTCCGTCGGGAGCACCACCTACGAGTATCCGGGGCGGCACCTTGGCGCTCTAGGTCGTATATCTAGCATGTATGTTAGTGTTGCCGGTTTCCGGTGGGTGGGCATGTGACTGTTACGTACGCTTATGTTCAGCCCAGAAGATGCTGCAAATGCATTTCGTTGGCGGTGCATACTCAAGGATGTAAAGGCTGAAGTCCCGAGAAATGTGCTCAACGGTGCTGAGCCACTCGACTGATTGTAAGGGTCATACAACTTGATGGTCCTGTCGGCCTGCAACATGTAGAGTGTTCAGTACATGTTTGGGGCAAGACAACGAACGAAACGGAAAGTCACTAACAGCGCAGGTCAAGAGCTTCTGATCCCTCGTCCATGCCATTCCTCTGACTACGTTCTCGTGGGCCGTAGTATGCCAGACCTCGTCCTTTGAAACCAAGTCCCTGGAAGATCTAGGGTCAGTCACTACGGACAGAGCACAAGACGGGGAGGGTGCATACCAGGCCTTGACGACTCCGTCACCGCTTCCAGATGCAAATCTTTCTTCGGACCGGGGGTCTTTTGCGAGACAGTATACGCCATCGACGTGGCCATCGCCTAGCTGAGCGAGAAAGGGCTGGGCGAACATGCGATCCATCTTGGTTGCGTTCAAGGCCCTGGTGTACTCGCGGGCACGCTCGAACTAGAGTCGCCGTTGTTAGCCATTCATTGCGCCTCGGTCGCGAACATGGTGCAGGGCGGGCGGGGTTACGGGATGGATGGCAGGATCAAGGTTCCTCGGGGTCTTGGTGGCTTTCGATCCTGCCCTACAAGATTGAAGTCAGTAAGGATTGTTGAAGTCTGGCTGGAACGGGCAGGAGGGAGTTGGGAGGGTGGCTTACGGGGCATAAGCCTCGACGGAGCGAGAGATTGCCTTGATTTTCATGGCTGCTGGGCAAGCGGTAGTGTTCTGGGAGTCGGGACGACGTGGTTGGGAGAGTATCACGATATTCGCGACACAACGAAGTTGACTGCACTCAACTCAATGCCTCGAGCTTCCAGTGGCGTTATCCCACTTTCAACTTTTTGGTGGGTCGCGCTGGATGCTTTATCTTATCCAAGCCCATCTTATCCATGCTCTGTTTATTATGTACTGCGCGCGTACGTGCATGTATGCACGTACAGGTGCGTACCGCTGCGGCGGGGTCACATGTGTACCGCAGCACTTGTAGTTGGTGGGCCGGAAGGTAAGTTACCCGCCGTGTGCGTGTGCGCGTCAGAGTGGGAGCCTGTCCGCTGTCTGCTGTCTGCTGGGGGCCACTAAAGGTCGCTCACCCACCCACCCACTCACTAAGCGGCTCTGCAAGGCTGGGTAGACATGCACTGTAGTTATCCTTAGAAGGCAAGCTGGGAGCTTCTTCTATCTAACCTTATGTCAGTGTGCCTATCAATAGCTGACATCAACAACAAAACACTCACTACTGTACCAACAAAACCCAACAACGTCGTGTATTCGAACCCGTCCGCACCACCAGCTCTCAGCCTCCGCGCCAATCCCAAGTCCGCACATTCTATCTCTCGTCACCTACAGCAGTCACCATGGCGGCAAGCATACCCTCTGTGAAGGAGGCGCAAACCCTCGAGAGTACCGACCCCCGGAAGGCCGAAGCCATCTACAAGGACATCATCTCGAAACCCCCCTCAGTCAACTCAGATGCCGCCATCAAGGAGTACGAGACGGCTCTCTTGAGGCTGGGTGGCCTGTATCGTGACGAGAAGTGAGCCAATCCCTATCCCCATCGCATCCCATCGCATCCCGTTCCACCCCCGTCCACTCCTCTATTTGTCCCGACTCGTCCCACTGACCCAGCAGCAGAAAGTCGCAAGACCTTGTAGACCTCATCACAACGAGCAGGACCATCCTCTCCTCCTTCGCCAAGGCCAAGACAGCCAAGTTGGGTATGTTGGAACACCCAGCAGCCATGCCTCGCCCTGCCGTGCTGACACCCCATCTCTAGTCCGCCAGCTATTAGACTTCTTCAACGACATCCCCAAATCTACCGACACCCAGATCTCCATCACCAAGTCATGTATAGAATGGGCCACCTCAGAACGCCGAACATTCCTGCGACAGAACCTCGAGACACGGCTCGTGTCCCTCTACATGGCCAAGCAGTCCTACTATGAGGCCCTCACCCTCATCAACGGCCTGCTGAAGGAGCTCAAGCGTCTCGACGACAAGCTGGTTCTCGTCGAAGTCCAGCTCCTAGAATCTAGAGTATACCACGCCCTGGGTAACACATCCAAGGCTCGCGCAGCCCTTACCAGTGCCCGCACGAGCGCCGCCTCAGTCTACACCCCGCCTCTTCTCCAAGCCAACCTGGACATGCAGTCTGGCATGTTGCACACCATGGACCAAGACTTCAACACGGCCTTTTCCTACTTCATCGAGGCTCTCGACGGATACCACACCCAGGATGAAACTGCCAAGGCAACCGCAGCTCTTCAGTACATGCTGCTGTGCAAGATTATGTTGAACCTTGCCGACGATGTCAACAACCTCATGGCCTCAAAGCAGGCCCAGAAGTACGCCGGCCAGAACCTTGAGGCAATGAAGGCCATTGCGCGAGCACACAACAACCGCAGTCTTGAGGAGTATGAGCGCGCCCTGGGTGCCTACAAGTACGAGCTCGGCTCCGATGCCTTCATCCGCAACCACCTGCGACGTCTTTACGACACCATGTTGGAGCAGAACCTCATCAAGGTCATCGAGCCTTTCAGCCGTGTCGAGATTAGCCACATTGCCCAGCTCGTTGGTCTTGACACGCAGCAGATCGAGCGCAAGCTCAGCCAGATGATCCTGGACAAGGTCATCATTGGTGTGCTGGATCAGGGCGCTGGCTGTCTGATCATCTTCGACGAGACCCAGCGCGACGAGAGTTACGATGCCGCCTTGACTACGATTGAGAAGCTAGGTAACGTTGTCGACGTACTATACGCTAATCAAGCCTCCTTGCTTGAGTAGAGCTTTGCCCAAGCATGAAAAAAGGATTGTGAACCCAATGATGGAGCTGGTCAGCGTCGGGAGCTGTGCGCGCGGAGATCAGAGAGGCCGCAAGCTGCAATTCTAGATTAGAGCAACATATGGTCATCTAGCGAATATCAATGATAAAGTGCTGGACTGGCACAGTCTGGAGCACACCCATCCGCATCATACCACCCCAGTTTACCTCTGAAAGGGATTGTCCGCGAATTGATCCATAGCACTTTTCCTAAGCCAAAAGAATTCAGTGCGAGGTAACCTGCCACGGGGTACCTTGACATGATCATCTAGAATATTGTGTAAACAAGAAACCACTTGGGAAACAAATTATGCATGATCTGCGGAGCCCGCAATGTAATGACATCATTTTTTTCATATTCTTTGATATGTAATTCAGCAGGGGTTTACAGTACTGCTTCCTATAGGACCAACGATGCGTGTCGGGGCACCTGTATCAAACGCCTATGTGACCCGTCTGCGATGCGATTCTATGCGATGCGATTTCGGGTATCCTGAATGGGGAAAAGAGCAAAAAACCAAAAAAAGAAGAGCAAGAAAAAGAAAAAGGAGAAACCACAACCAAGTTATCCTTCGAACGCCTTACGAATGCCGGTTCCATATGCTTGTGTTTCCTTCATCCTTGTTCCAGAAAGCACGACGCCATTACCAACCCATATATATTCCTCATCAAATTTTCAAGTCTGGCCGCCCTTTCACCCTTGGCGGGAATTTCCCGCGCGTCCGCTGACGTACTTTCCGCTTCTCCTCCTCTCCTCGCCCACCATGAGCGCGAAGAGCCGCTTGCTGAGCGCCTTGTCATCCCATGCATCGTTGGTTTCTTCCTCGTTCTCCCCAAAGGATTTTGATGCTGCGGCGGTGAGCTCTGCCCGGAAGGCCTCGACGACCTCCAGATGCCAGTCTTCGAGCACCATTTTAGCGTCCTGTGCAGCGACCTCGAGGCCGGCGAGGGGATGCTTGTATGGGGCCACAGACGGGAAATACATTTGGAACTGCATCGGATCTCTCTTGCGCAGCTGCAGAATCTCGTCGAGACGCATCCAGTGAGCCCGTGTCCAACTTGTGGGCGAAAGCTTGGCGGCGGCCGCAGCCTGGGGGCGTGTCGCTGGCGCAGACTGGTTGAACTGGCGCCCGGGGGACTTGGACGGCGAAATGGTATTCTCCTTGTTGTATTCGCGCGACTGATAAGAGGGGGGGATGCGGAGAGGCGACGGATTGATGATCGCGGTGCGCGGGTTGTTGGTAGCGATATTAACACTGACGTTGCTGACGGTATTGAGCACACGCTGACGGTCAACACGAGCCTTCTCCTGAGCCCTGGGGCTAAGAACGGTGCTGGTGAACTCTACTACTCGGCCCGGTGTCTTCGGTTTGAGTGGAGAACGCATGCAGGATTTGGTAGGGCTGAGGTTTTTGTCCCAGTGTGAGGGCTTCTCACGAGGCGGTATGTGCTCGAACGATGGACCGTCCGTAAATCCCGACTCCTCCGCTTCGTCACTAAAATCTTTCTCCCTAAAATCATCATATTCTGACGAAGGAGTGCGGAGCTCCTGGGCTGGGGTAGATCCTTGTCTGCTAGGCGTGAACAAAGAGGCAGTGTTGCGTGATTGCCCCGAGAGTGGTGTGAAATTGCGCTTCTGCGGTATTGAATCAAATTCTAGTTGCTCTGGTGTCGAGGGAGCCTCATCATACGTGTCTGCTACGGTATCATTCGATCGTAAGGCCGTTCCTGGAGAGAACAGGTCAACCCGTCGCTCGGGGCTAGGGTTGAAAATCTTCTGTCGAATTGATGGGAACAGACCAGTAGCACGAAGGGCAGATTGAGGTTCTTCGGGCAATGAATTTTGAATGCTTTGCACCGAGCGGGGCAAAGGCTTTGCAGTCGTTCGATGGACAGGAGTCTCATCAACTTGCGTCCTTGGTGGATCATTAGTCGTAGGAGGTGGTCGAGGGGACGAAAAGAATGACAGAATGTCAAAGCCTCTGCCAAAGAAGCTGCGCCGTGCTGGCGCTGGTTGCTCTGGTTCCTGCTCCTCCTCAGCTTGGTTCCCCTCAGCCATGGAGTATTCTTGGACTACCGAATGTTCAACGAGTGGTGCTTTTCTCTTCATCTGATTCAACGCTTGAGGTGGTTCCTGAGGCTCATCAGATTCCTCACGCTCCATAAGCTCGTGAGAGTATTCGACCTCGTAATCCTCTCCTGTCTGTTCCTGTTCCATATCTATCTCCTTTTGCGGTGGCTCTGGAGATGCTTCAATGACTCTCTCCTGTTGGCCACCACGGGGAGGAGCCGGATGAGCTCGCTCTACCTCAATTTGAGAACGCGATGATACTTGCTTTGGCTTAACCTGAGGTAACGGGCTAGCACGTTCTGCATCGGTTTGAGGAACGGAAGTCGCACGCCCTATAACACTCGGAGGACTGTCCTCCATTTCGATCTCCGATGGGCTCCTAAATTCATCCTGGTAGATCAAGCGTCTAGCATTTCGCCTCCATGGACTGGTAATCTTGGCGGGACGGGGAGGGTCGGCATCAACAGCAGCTGGTGCGGCAGGGACAGGGGCTGCGGGTGCTGGGTGTAACACTCCAACTTGAACTTGTGACTGTCGAATCTTATTCGCCCTCGGCGTAGGTCTTGATGCTTCGATATCCCACAAGTCCACGTCGTCGCCGTCATCGTCTTCTACGTCAAAAGACGTCTCACCCGACACTGTTTCCTGTTGCTCGCGTTCAGATCCTCCTTGATCCGCCACTTCTTGGCCATTATCTCGATCAATTTCTAGACTGTCCTCCTGATCAAGTATATCGTCAAATATGTGCTCTTCCTCATGTTGCTCCTCTTGACTCTCTATGACTTCCTCATCATGTCCGTCAATTGGCTCCGTCGTTTCCTCTTCGACTTGCTCTTCTTCGATCTGCTCATCCTGCTCCTCGATATTTTCCTCTTCCAGGCCACTGTCAGACTCGGAAACGATGTCACGAAGTTGACTGCTGCGGAACCCGCGTTTGCCGAAAGCGCTGGAGTTAGCTGCCCGTAACGAAGCAGAGATTCGCCTAGATCTTTGCGTTGCCGGACTACTCAAATCCTCCTGTCCAAAACCCGAACTCGTTTCCTGATGATGACCTTGCTCACTAGGCAGAGCCACCCTGGAAGAGCTGGGCGCTTCCGGGTTGGTCTCTGGGCGATCGATCAGACCATTTGTCTGACCATGCTCAAAGCCCTGATCTGGCCTTCTTGACATCTCGATATGAGAAGAGTCAAGCATGTTTGGCCGGGAAGAATTCTCAGTCTGGACTGGCAGGGCCGCAGGTTCGGGTACAGGTAGTAGAGCTGGAGCTAGATCAGGAGCTGGGAGCGATGACGCGCGTTGGCTAGATCCGAATGCCGATCGTATGCTTTGGGAGAGGGCCATCGAACTGAACAGAGCCCGAGAATCTGAACCTGTTCTTCGGTGGCTTGCTGCTCGTGCAGGTGATCTCGAAAGCGATGATTGACGTGAATTGCTCTGTAGAGATCCTCTGAAAGGGCTTCCCAAGCTGCCCTGCTCATCTGGAGACGACCTATCTGACAAAATGTTTTGGAGCGTACGTCCTGCGCGCACAATTGGCGACAATGTGGGTCGTCTGCCATGTTGAGGTGGCTGCAGCATCTGCGCATTCTCAGCAGAACCGGAATTTGCCAGGCCCAGATGGGGAGAAGAGGTCTCACGCGGAGGGGTGCCAGCCATAGTCTGGTCAGCTCGTGACTGTTCTGATTGTTCAGACTGGAGGGCCATAGTATCGAAGTGCCGGCTAATCGTGTGAGCAGATTCGGACTGAATATTCATGGTGTTGAATTGCCGGCTTATCGTGGGTGGCGATGAGCGGATGTTGAGGTCAGAAGTGTTAACAGGTGCAGTTGACCCTATCACTAATCTCTGCGCATCTTCACCATGGCCGTTCTTAGCGTCCGTGGCAGAAGAGTTCGTGTCGTCAGGGGTAGGCAATCTGTCAGATCCAATGTTGGTGGATCTGGTGGCGGATTGTGTTTCTCCCTCTGGTGATGGAAGATCAGCTTGATCCAGTTGCATCGCTGGGCGAGCCGGCTTAGGTGTTGCAGCAGTAAGAACTTCATCTGGGATCTCTGAGAATGAATCTTCATACATGTTCTCGTCTCTATCTGCGACGTGTGTGGCGGCTGGCTTCATAGGTAATCTGCCTGGCGTGGCTGCTTGTAGAATACTGTCTGGGATACTGGAGAACGAGTCATCCACATGCGGTGCTCTGTTCAGGAGAACTTGTTTGCTCAGAGGCATGACTTTCTGTTGTCTTCTCGGGCTCCTGGTCCAAGAAAGCTGGCTTGAGCCAAGATTTGACGGGCTGATATGCACATGCCCCCTTGGTTCGTGCTCTCTAGCCGGTAAGGCTTCATTCACTTCTGCTTGATGTATATCTTTGTGGTTGGATTGATTGCGGGCTTCGCTTTGAGTACTCCGTCGTAACGATTCCAAGGTCTGGTTGATGATCAAGTTTGTCTCGTCACCAGCCTCAGCAAACCGAGGAGGGACCTCTGTCAGGCCACTTCGGTTGCCTTGAAAAGAGGCTTGAAAAGACGGCAATTCCTCAACTGCAATCATGCTAAACTCGGACGCATGAGTAAGATTATCTTGACCGCTATATGTTGCGGCATCCGCATCGTCTGCTTCCGATTCAAAGTCGCTATGCTGTTCCCCAGTGAAATCATCGAACATTGGTTGGTCAAATTGGCCTGTGCGAGCTGCATGGGCTGGTGTGTCCTCAATCCCGGCGAAGGAATTCGATGGCTCCGGCGAACGACGTAGTTCTCGCCGACTGGAGAACCCCTGAATTGTGTCCTCTGGGCCCCTGGGACTCACCAGAGCGGCACCATGGACTTTTGTGTTCAGAGCGTCATTGCTCCTTTGTAGTTGCGAGCCACCTTCGGAATGCGCTTCGCGAATCGTTGATAACTCCTCTCCATGATTGACATGCGTATCGTCACTTCGTGCTCCCGCTTCGCTGGTGAGGCCAGCTACTTCTTCAGGCATTAGAGCTTTCCGAGGTCTACCGCGCTTCCTTCCAGTGGCTTTGCTCGATGGTAGAGCAGGTGTGCTAGCTTTCTTGGGTGTCTTTCTCATGCGTGCCTTGGGCTTCGGTGTAGGTTCTGGGTTGGAGTTCCCGCTTGCTTCCATGAGCGCATCGCTAGCCAATGTCGCATCTGAAAGGGGTATTTCCGCACTGTGTCGCTTCGCCCGAGACGTCGGTTGTAAAGGTGTGCCAGCTCTCTTCTTCCCCCGTGGACCCGGTGTACCGTTTCTGCTCCCAAGACTTCCTCTGGGCCTACCGCGGCGGCGTGGTGTGGGATCGTCGCCTAAACCGCCACCTTCGTCGTCCGTCAATCCCCTCAGAGGTATAACTGTGGTGGTAGTCTCCTCTCTTCTGCGGCTCAAGCTGCGACTTGGGGACGCAGAAAAGAGGCGTCTGTTGACACCGCTCCGCCGGCCCCGCTCATCCTCGGCCTCGACGGTGACGAGTAATCTTTGTGGTGAGCGGCCATTTCCAACGTCAAGCTCAAAGGTCTGCTTTCTAGGTGACTTGACACTCGATCGGGGCTTGATGCTGCTGGGAACCTGTAGCGATGATTCCCGGTGGTTTGATTTGAGGTTCCTGGCCGTGCGCCGTGTGATTGTCCTTATCGAGCTCGGGGCCTCGTCTCCCAGCGGATCCGGCGACGAACTGAGATCTACCAAGCTCGCCATCGTCGCGCCGGGGTGTTCTAAGGTTGTTGGATGTCGCTGGCGATATATTGCTTACCAGGAAGTCGACATTTCTGGTTCTGGTTGTGGCGGCTCGATCGCGACACACGTGTCTATCAGTCGTGGGGGCAGCGGACGTGTGTGTGGGAAACGGGACCGTCTGACAGGGGGGTCGTTGACTAAAACAGAACTTTGTTTACTTTCAACACATCGGGATTAGTGTTGCCTGTGGCCCCTACTGTACCTAAAAGTACGTACATAGAGCTGTAACGGAGTAATCAAAAGACCAGCGAAGACCCGTCCTGCCGTCTGAAGCGAGAACATTGTGGACGCGCTAGGCCAGGTCGGTAACGATTGCATAGAGAGACTACCATACAGTACTGTTCTGCTGAATGTATGTATGTACAGACCCCTTGCCGGGTCATGTTTCCCCGCATTATCTCAGCTTGCTGAATAATAATGAGCTCCACGTCATGGCATTGATACATATCCTCGAGCTCGGCGGTTAACCAATCAGTGGCAAAGCATATGTTCCTCTGGCATCCATCCTTTTTTGCTTATGCTGTGTCACTTGTGACCATAATGTGTATTCTACGCCTTTCCATTAGCAATTAAACATGGCGACATGCTTTAGTACTCATATTTGCAATGGCGTGATCGCCTTTGGTATGAAATCTAATTCAATCGCATCCAATCGAGTTTCGGCAACGATTCTTTTGGCCCTACCTTGATTTGAAATACCATGCATCGCTCCAAATCATAATATCACTATATAGGCCATGATCCCTCCCAAGCCGGTCTCGTCATAAGCCTCAACATCAATCCTAATCATCGTTGATGAGCTCAGAACAAAGCTTTATCCATCTCGAGTGTCCATCTTCAACCGTATTTGTTGTGTTGCCTAAGTGTTGCCCTTCAGATTCCTTTATACGGTTCTACCCCGAGCTTCCCTTCCAAGGCTTTTCCTCAAGGATATTCTTCAACCCCAGATATCTCATTGTTAGCGAAACATAATGGCCATAACACCCGACCCCGTCCCACGCGGCCCCGTGACCGCTAACATCAACTTCGCCCATCGCCCCGGCCCGGGCCAGACAGCCATAAACTATGTAGAGGACCCCCCGGCCGGCGAGCCCAAGCGTAATCTCGTCGTGAACGCCCAAGACGTCATCATCGAGGATATCCGGGGCCGGGAATCGCAGTTCAACCTAGACACGGACGCCTTCGCCGCCATCTCGGGCGTGCCGCCGTCCGCGGAGAGAGACTTTGTAGACGATGCCAGCATCGCGGCCAACTATTACCCGGAGGTGGAGCAGTTCCTGCTGGACCGCATCCCCGGCAGCAACCGCATTTTCATCTTCGACCACACGATCCGGCGTGCCGGCCCGGACGCCAAGCGCCAGGCCGTGCTGAACGCGCACATTGATCAGACGCCCGTGTCGGCGCCGCAGCGGGTGCGCAAGCACCTGCCCGATGAAGCTGAACGGCTCCTGCAGGGCCGCTTTCGCATTGTGAACGTGTGGAGATCTCTGAACAAAGGTCCTGTGGAATCGACCCCGTTGGCTTTTGCCAGTTCATCAACGTTCAGGACCGAGGATGCCGTTCCGGTGGAGCACAGGTACCCAAATGGGTATACGGGGCAGACCGCCGCGATTGCTCATAACGCGGGCCAGAAATGGTATTATTGGAGCGGCATGACTGGTAACGAGAGGCTGTTGCTCGAATGCTTTGATTCTGAAGGAATTAAGGATGGCTCAGGGGTAAAGGGGGGCCGTGTGCCACACACAGCATTTGTGGACCCACGGACTCGGGATGGAGCCGAGGGACGGGAGAGTATAGAGGTTCGAGCTCTGGTTTTCGGGCCATGATAGTCATGATTTACCAAGGCATGCATATAGATGGAACATGGTGGTATTGTGTTTTGGTGGAGAACATGATATCAGGCGCATCTATGCAATTAAAATACTGTGCATTATTTTGTGTTATTCAGATAAGAGTGGTTTCGTTCCATTGTTCCTATTCGTATACTTGGATGGCATGTCCCTGAAATATGGCATGTTCGCACTGCGCTTCAATTTGGCGAACTGTTGAATATGCCCTATCATTAAACGTGATCACCATAACCATGGCCCTTCCTCTTTGCATTGACAAACGGGAAGTTCAGCCGTCGTGGCACCACCTATGCTGCTCGAGTGAATCATGCTTTAACTGGGCATGGATTGCCGAAAATATCATAATAACGCCCAGCCTTAGAGAGGCTTACCCATAACGCCTGTTTTTTTCAACTCGAAAAGAGACTCGTGTGGACATAGATTGATAAAGTCGGGCGATTGGGCTCTAGCCCCTCCTCCTGCCTCTTCCGCTGCCTGACCTGCTCATGGTAACACCACCAAAGCTACTCTGTCGAGACATGGGCGGGGCAGCAGGTGAGGCATGACTGCCCGTAGCAATGCCTGGAGCCAGGCCGGCTAGTGCACCTGGGCCAGGTTCGTCCCGCAGAGACGAAACAGAAACGCCTAATGAATCTGCTATTTGATCGACATGCGGCCGTGGACCTTGGATGAACGCAGCAAATGGCCTGCCATTTTGCTGCGGTGTGATCATGTTCTCAAGCAACCTTCGACCACCGTTGGGAGTATCAATATTGGCGCCCGTGCCTCTATGTTGTCCATAGGCTTTGAAGACTTTCATGATATGGATATCCTGAGCGACGTCATCATGCGCGAGAGAAGTCGGGGTGTTTGATTCGGACTTGACGTACGCCTTGGAGTACTGCGAGTGAATGAGAGGCGGCAGCCTGGGCTCCTGAGCATCCATTTTCTCTAGGTTTCCGGGAAGGTCAAAGTTGGTCAAGCCCTCAATACCCAAGACCTTGTCGTCAAGCCAGTTTTGTCCGAGAGTACGGGTGCTCCTAGTCTGGTGTGAAGGTTGGCGCTCCATAGAGGGCGCAGCAATATCTTCCTTGTCATCTCCATTCAGCTCGCCATTTCCTGCCTCGCTCTCCTCAGGCGACGGTAGTGGATTGCCGGAGGCGTCCCTTCGGGTGAGTAGGTGCTTGTAGGCTGCGACTGCGGCACTGTTGTAGTTCATGGACAACTCCTTGTCGGTGAAGAGTTTATCGATGCTGTAGATTGGACCAGCCTCTCGGCGAACAGCTCGAATTCGGTCATTCTGCCAGAGTGGGGTGGTGCCGGCCGCATCAAGCGCCCTGCGAATGGGCACGGGCGAGCCATCGTCATCAATGGCGTTTCGTTTTCTCTTCTTGCCATCGGCAAGACCAGCCGCTTCGTCGGCTTCTCTTCGTAATCGCGTCGTCCGTTTCGAATGGGTACCGCCAGGGCTCGCAGGGTTTGTGAGGGTATATTGATTGGGGTGTAGAAATAAGGCTGAACTCTCGGAGACGTCGAGTGCTTCTTTTTCTCGGCTCAGTCGTAGTTTCTTGGTGGTGATGGCATTCATGAGTCGATCCTTCAGAGTTGCTGACAGCGCTCGGTGTTCTCGCTTAGCGACCTCAACTTTATAGGCATAGGTATTGCGGTGCATGAGAGTTCTCGCTTCGTGCTCGTGCTAAAGTAATTGCCGAATTAGCTCCTCGTCGCAGGACCAGTATACGCATGGCGCATCTGTGGCCGGTGGTCTGCGGCCTGAAGAGAACCATACCTTCTGGGACGTCAGTTCGTAATCACGAACCTCGAGCATGTCTTTGACGTGCTCAACCCATTCCTGGAAAGAGGGTCCTGCCATTTCCAGCAAGGTCCTGGTGGTGCGGTCTGTTGCGCCGTTGGCATTTGTTTGTGCTACTTCTTGGAGTTCTCTGTCGATTTCATCAAGGGGACGGTCCGAGTATGGGTCAACTCTGGAGACTAGGTGAACATCGGCTTGGATCTTCTGTAGCTCTTCTCTATAACTCCGATCGCGGTCGCGGCTCATGTCTCGTTCCAATGCCACAAGTTTGTCCTGTATCAGCTGCTTCTTGCGCTCTCGCTTGGATTGAGCAGGAGGGGACTGTGCTCGATTTGACTTGTGTGAAGGACCTGTTAAGGTCGACTGAGAAGTGTCGGCGGTTGCCATGGCGAAGGTAAGGGTCGTATGATTTGTTATTCAAGGACGATGGTAATGGTGCGTATTGGTTTGGTTAAGGGTTTCTTAAGTGTATGGCGTTACAGAACGATCTCAACTAGAATTCTAAGAGCTGGATGGCATGAAGTCGTTGCAAATGCTCGGCGCTTCAGCAGTGATGTGATGTGGGCGAAAATGGCAGTGGAAGCAGGAAGCAGAAAACAGGTGCAAGAGTGCTTCACAAAAGTCGTTGACCTGGAAAGGGAACGGAAAGATCTTCCCAGGTCTAAAATAGGGTAAATATATGGCAATTCTCTTGTACCAGATCAATCAGCTTCTTCGATTGATTGTTCGGTTCAAGCTGTGCTGAAAAACAGGAGTAATCGAAAGAGTTCCGGATTAGACGCAGTATTGTGCTGAATCGGAAACCGAGCCTACAGTGCTGCAAAGCCTTGCTTACATGACTTGCAGTACTACTTGACTGAACAGAACAATCAATCAATCAATCAATCAGTCAATCAATCCAGCCCCAGCATCCGAACAGTGGGGCGGCAACCCCCCAAAACCCTCTCAAGCTAGCTCCGCCTTGAACTTCACAATAGCGCAGCGAACATTGCCTTTTTCGGCGAACAAATCCTTGCCTGTAATTGGGCAAAGAAGCACTTACACATTGTGTTGGACTGGAGCAATCTGGAGCCTATGAGTTGGATCATAGCTAGTCTGGATTTGAATGTCCCAACTCGAATCAATCATATGCAAAGCACTATCTCCATCACTTCATGTACTCAAAGTGGCGCAAAAGCTCTAGAGGACATCGCTGAACTGATATCCACCCATCTTGCATCTGTGCCACTGCATTTTTGACGAGACTAAGTCATGACAGAGGCCGTTGAGGCGTCTAATTGTGCTTATCCTCCAACTCTTCGCAGGTTTTCCTAGCAGTGGAATTATACTCAAACATGGAGTAAGCTCAAGCATCGCCTGGTGAGAGTCGTTTGTGAAGCCTCACAAGTCCATACTGAAACTATACATAACGGATACAGTGTCTTGGTAAGTACAGTAGTCAGAAAAAAATTGGTGCTCAAGTGCAGGTCTCTTAGTGCTGCTGCAGCCTGAGGTTGTTGGCCCAGGCTGCAACAGGCAGTGCAGGCACCTCCAGGCTCACAATGCTAGGTATTCTTTGTGCCTTGCTTGCCCACCTTGCTTTTCTAATCCATACAGCACAGGCGCATTCATGTTCAACGACAACTTAACCTATGTATGAAACCTCATATCGAGTCCAGAAGACGCTGCATTGGAACAGAGCCATCAGTAATCCATGGTGCGAGTTGAGAACGTCACATTGGAATGGAGCCAGATTCTAAAGTGGTTTGTCAGACTGTGACTTGGCCATTGACATCCTTGGTTCTTTGAGATTGGTCGTTTGCCAGAAACACTGCACTCGATCAAGACGTGGACAGGTCAACAGCTTAAAACCCATTGTTACCTAGACATTCGAGTCAAGCAGATATACGATCGAATACAATACAGTTGATTTGGAGGGTGGTTTTCTTTCTCTATTCCTATCTTCCCCCCTCCCCCTTTTTTTTCTTCTTTTTTTTTTCCCTTTGCCTTCAGTGTTCATCGCTGGGGGAGGCTGCTTTCTATTTCTCAGGCTGTGCGACCCAATCAAGACCACAACTTTTACCTCCCAAGAAAACGCAACCGGTACTTCACACCCATCTTTCTTATCAACACCTCAATCACGCTTCCTTTGTGTGCTCAAGTTCGTATTCTTGTAGTCAAACATTCAGCAAGGTAAGCTTTTTTATTTCCTCGTTGTATACTAGTGTGTCACGATGCAGTAGATCTTTTTATTGAGCATATTTGGTGTTCCCCTGTGTGCTTGCGGTTTCTCTCCATACACTACACTGTAATACTCTGTCCAGATTACCTCGATCATCAGCTTTCTTTTTCCATATCACTGGAACAACCCATGGTATCCTACATCATGCCAAGAAGGTATCCTCCATGATTCCAGATCATCCACCAGAGTCCAGCCACTTAATATTCCTATCTTTCTATATACATTGAATCTTGAATCTCCATCCTTTAGAGTTACTAGCAAGCTGATAGATTCAAAGGGAAAAAACTACCACACAAATCGAACCCTCAAGTATGGAAAGACCTCGACGCGGGCTTGCCCGGTACCAGGCAGACCATGATGATATTCTCACGCAAAATATTCCCAACATCACCAGCATCTCCCGAACCAATAGTGATGGCGAATTCTGTTTCACTTACAGTCATCCCAAGTTGACTTCGGCGTCAGTTCTGGAGGTTTGTGTTATTCCTCAAGAGCGTTCGGGTTATCCGAGTGAGCACTTTTTTCTAGTCTTCGCGACCAGCGAGGTACCGCCAGCTGTCGCAAAGATGTTGGAAAATTTCGGCCCTGCATCTAGCGGGCAAAAGCTGCGTGATGCGCTTCTTACCTTGTCAGCGGAAATTACGTCTTCCATTGAGTGCAACTCCACAGAGAATGCTCACGACGAAGATGCTCCCGATACACCCATGACAGATGTGGAAGACGAAGAGTTGGAATGCGATGAGGACGATGGAGACTTCGAAGATTTCGAGTATGACAACTATGACGATGACATCGATGGCATATTCGGTCTCAGCAACGATGGCACTACGGATACTCAAAGAGTTTCAGGCGAAACAATAACAGCAGATACAGTCGAGCGTACTTGGAGAGACTTCCGCGCTGTGCGCCAAGCTGGATTTAAGATCAGCAAGATATACGGATTCGATAAGCCCGTCCTATATCACGTCGTCTCGGTATCAGTGCGTGTCAATAAGCTCTGCTTATCGGAAGAGACTCGAGACGCTTGGAATCTTAAGGCAAACGATTACATCGTTCTTCTGATACGGTATACTGGGCAATACTTGACCTTCGATCAAGCACTAGACAGAGCTGCGGCGTCTACCAACATTGATTTTCGTTTGCGAAAGTGTGTGAAGTACAAGCCAACTATAGAGCAAGCAACCAAAGTGTTCTCCGCCTCCAGCACCAACCCAAAATTTTCCGCCACCCCGCCTAGTCTGCTCAATGATCAGACTGGTGATGATGATGATGATGATGCAGGGCTTGCTTTACTTGGCATCGGCGAGTCGATTGACAATCTCATGAAGAATGACTTTATCCGCATGCTCAAGCTAAGATGCACCAAGGAAGCAACAACATGGGATGCTGCTAAGCGACGGCTTATGGCTTGGGATAAGATGCTGCCTAGTCAACGACAGACTAGTGTCGACATCGACTCAATAGGGTCGTGTGTTGACGATGATAAGAGCGACGATATTGCCAAACTGCCAGGGTTTATTGCAAAAGAACATCTCTTATCCGACGGCGAAATCTCCTTACCTCTCATTGCTGCACAACTTGCTATGCGGTACTACATCAGGTGCACAGACTATTGTATGGTCTGCCACCAACAGGTTGATGCCAATTTCGAGGCTCTCAAACCTTATGTCTGCGCTAATTCTCTATGCCTTTTTCAGTACATGAGCATGGGATTTGGACCTAGTATCGACCTCGAAGTTTTGAATCAGCCCAATGTGGTTGATCTACTGGTAAGTTTTTGTTATGCTGGCCTGCAAAGGGTCGGCTATGGTGGTGCTGTCACCGGGCTTCGAGAGTATCCTATAGGACTCGATCTCAAAGTTCCTAAAATCTTCCCTCAAAATTTTGTCAACAGTGCCGGATCGGTATCTTCGACCCCGAGCACGGAGGGAATTCAGGAGGTAATCATAAAAGGAGCAAAGCTTGTGGACCCTCTACATGGCAGCTTCGACCGGGCTAAATCATCTTTTATCCTTGATTCTCGGCCGTCCCTTTTCAAGGTCAAGGAAGGAAGCTGGGTTGTCGTGGTTTTACCGGCGCCCAAGGACAACCATACCGCACAAGACATCTTGTATCACTGTCGCGTGGAGTGCATCATCGGAATTGTATTGTCACTGCACATCGCATCAGCACATACACTTCCTGTAACGTCAACAACTGATGCTCCTTTCTCACTGCCGGGCACAGAGTCCAGTTTGGAAGCGTACCTGCTTCCCTACGATCACAGCTTGGATAATGTTGACGATGCTACAAAAGCATTGGCCATGACCATACTTCTCGCAGCGACTCCTTCGATAGGTTCTATGCGAGAGTATCTGAAAGCATCGCCAAATCGACAGTTGGACAGTTGGAACCGCCTGGTTCCTTCGGCTTCAAAGCTACTGCGATGGGTGGTTGCCTCCAATCGGTCATATATCGTCCAAGTCGATGAGTTGGCATCTACAGACAGTGCAGTAGCCGACGTGTCATTAGCAAGACACCATGAGAGAATATCTGGAGTTGATGGCTGGGTTCAATTTCGATTTGCCCAAGGGTCTCCTGAGAAAGAGATACAGTTCCAAGAGGAACTGAAAATGGTCCAGAAGCCTCAGAAGACGATCCTTGCCTGGCATGGAAGCCATATCAGTAACTGGCACAGCATAATTCGAGTGGGGCTTGACTTTAAAATCATTGCGAATGGCCGGTCTTTTGGAGATGGCGTCTATTTTGCTCGAGACTTCAACACAAGTCTAGGCTACATTGGAAACAGATACCCAACTAGTCAGGGCGGCTCGACCTCGCCATCGTGGCCAAACTCCGCTCTCAAGATCAATAGTGCGATGAGTCTGAGCGAGATCGTCAACAGACCAGAAGAGTTTGTGAACCATGCAAGAACAGAATGGTGTTACGTGGTCGACAAAGTACACTGGATTCAATGCCGATATCTTTTTGTCAGGCCCGGAAACCCCTCTCTATTAGCATCTCATGCACCTCCGACATGCGAGCAGGCTGAGTTTGTACAGCCCTCTGGTTACGTGGCAACCGGACCAGGTAGTAAGAAGATATCTGTTCCAAAAGCAGCAATTCCTTCTGCCAACGAAAGCAACTCCAAGAAGACTTCAGTGGCTTTGAGGAAACACGCAAAGGGTCACGTTGGAGACAGCGATGGTGAGGAGGCTGAAGACTTCGCCTTCGCTTGGAACAAGCAACAGTACATCCTTCAAACCGGCGAGACGGACTTTCGTCCCGGCTTGTTGGACCTTTCAACGCTACCGCGACTCTTACCACCATCATATGCCACAAGTCACGGCCAAAAAACAATCGCTCGGGAGATCAAGAAGCTGCAAAATGTGCAATCAGCAACACCCATGCATGAGCTTGGATGGTACATTGATTTCAACAACATCACCAACATGTTTCAGTGGATAGTGGAGCTTCATTCTTTCGATCCAAAGTTGCCCTTGGCTCAAGACATGAAAAAGGCAGGCGTTTCTAGTATTGTCCTAGAGGTTCGCTTCGGCCGCGACTTCCCATTGTCTCCACCCTTTCTGCGTGTTATTCGTCCGCGGTTCCTTCCGTTTGGCAGCGGCGGTGGTGGGCACGTCACTCTTGGCGGCGCTATGTGTATGGAGCTATTAACAAACACTGGCTGGTCCCCGGCAAGCAGCCTAGAGAGTGTGCTCCTACAGGTTCGGATGGCTCTTACGAGCGTTGACCCCCACCCAGCTCAGCTCGAATCCAAGCATAGTCCAACAAGGGACTACGGCATTTTGGAGGCGTATGAAGCGTTCATACGAGCAACACAGGCCCATGGTTGGCAAGTTCCCGAGGATCTGCAGGAAGCCATCACTGCCATGACGGCAGGTGCTCCAGAAGGCCAGTAAGTCACCAGAGTTGAGAAGATGACGGGTGGTTCGTTCGAGTTGTTGCATGAGTTGTATAGCCATGGAAACGGCGTTCAGACACCAATGGTCCATCAGGATGATTTAACTGCATCACACCAGGGAAGGGTGTAGAAGACAATTATGCTTTTGCTTCGCAGCATGAGAACAAGCTATTATACATGGATAATTGCTGGCGTATAAATCAATAGACTGCGAGATCGAGTTCTAATTTCTTGTCCGCTCATGCAAGTGATTTGAGGTTGTTTGGCTAATATCACTTGGTATTCTGATACCAGTCCACCTGGAAATGGCCTGGTAGCCCACGTCATACAAGGGTCTTTACCTTGGGGGCTGACATGTCGTAGCACCTTGTTCGCACGTCGTACTCAAATGCTTTGACACGAATGCTGTACTTGGGATTTCATTAAAATCCGCTCCGACCAGGTCTGGAGGAGGTAGATGGAGCCGCAACGGACGACTACAAGCTTCGGGTAGGAACCGGCCGAGGTGGTGTGCGTCTTGCCAACAGGAACACCTAGAGCGCTTGAGGCTCTACATATGCCGGAAGGCTTGATAACATACAATACATATTACAAGCCATTGATGTTGTGTTTGTGATATGGTTGTCAAAGAGTGGATACACGGATTATGGACATAAGTACATATGTACATATGTAGCGTACCTAAACCCCCCTGTGTAAGCACCTCATCTGCAGCTACTGTGGCTCGTTTACAGGGGGTCATCTGGGGGTTTTTTTTGGGGGGGGGGGGGTCCCGTCCCATCTCGCATCATGTTGTGGGGGGTGTACGAGGTTTAGCGGCGAGCTTCTTGAGCTTGACCTTTGACCTTTGAGCTTGAGCTGTGTGACCTTCAGCTTGGGTTCCGGTTGCAATGCCGGATCAGGATGGTGGGGCACCTGCTTAGGGACCAGATTTCCGCTTTGTGACAACCTTGAAGTCCAGGACTACTACTGCATGTGGATGGCCTCGATATTCCAATCCAGCACGCGACTCGAATATTTCGAACCAAATACAACTCCACCGAGCTTCGGAGGGACCAGCAGGTTGTAGGGAATCGTTTGGCTCGTAATCTGCACCGACCGATAGATAATGCGACGTCGGCAGAATAGCTCATTGAGCTCATCATCTCGAGGACCTCCACACCACACACGGCGAACCTCGAAACTATCACAGGAGCCCATCGAGCCAAAGTCACCACACGTCTCCGACAAGTTCTTGCAGAGCTTTCTGTCGCCATCGTTCGATGCCGCCGACTACCTGAACTCCTCTCTCCCTCCGCTTCAGGCCCATGTTTCCTCGATAACGCCGAGTCAGGAAGGGGCCGTGCCGCTGTCTGATTTGTCTTCGCAGGCGCAGACCTTGTTGTCGCAACTGAACGCGCAAACAACACGCCTGACGAACACACTGACGCAATTGACCGATGATATATTAAGAAGTGGGAGCAGGTTGGCCTATGAAGTGGAACTATTGAGGGGCGAGACGCTGAGTCTTTCCGAATCCTTATCGGACGGGCTGCATGACGACGTCGTCAAGTTTGTTCCCAGCGGGCTACAAGAGCACGCCGACGTCAAGCCCAACGGTGCAGCCGAAGGAACGCAAAGGAGGACATCTGCGCCAGTAGTTCCAGATGGCGCCACGGACACGGTCGCGGGGCAGGATGTGGTGGAGGACCCTGCGTACATCACGCACTTGCGCACCTTGACGTTGGTACGCGCGCGCTTGGACTCTGTGATCAAGACTTTCGGAGACGCCATGGAGTTTGTCTTCCCGCCGTCGGAGCTTTCCGTCAGCTCTGGCTTCTTGTCCGTCTCTGCTCCAGATGCAGGGGGGCATGACCATAGCACGGAGGAAAAGGGACAGCAGGTGCTCAGGCAGCTCAGGGATGAGATATCTGACCTCCTCAAGAGCAAAGACCCGGTGGCAGGCGTAGAGAAGGCGACGCTCCGAGTCGAGGAATTGAAAGAGCTGAACGAAATCTGGAAGGGCACGGCCGAGGAGAAGGGCAGGGCAAAATTCATAGACAGCTTGGCCAAATTGGTAGAGGACAGACACAAGGAGTTGCTGCGAGAAATGGAGCAGAACGGCAAGCGCGATACCCGGGTTGAAGTCGAGAGCAGCCCCCGAAAGAGCACAGAAGGGCCTACGGATACCAGGGGGGCTACAGGATATGGCTTCATGAGCCAGCTTCAGAAATTGCGAAGCGGTTTATGATGCAATTGTATGAATGCTGAGATACCCAACTTTTGTTTCCGCATTTCTTGTGCCCATGTTTGTTGCTTATACTGTGGTGTACCGGGATAGTGGCTCTAATTCTGCCGCCAATAAAAATTTCTAGTGGACCTCACTTTCATAACAGCAGCATCACTTCTATAAAACCACACAAAACTCCTTGCTGTATTAAGGGAGCTCTGTGAAAGGCTCAGAAGCTCAATCGGACCACACATTCGTCAGTAAGCATAACTACAATGGCCTGTCCATGATAAATGCTGACCTTTTCCCCCAGGCTGTCTCGAGGCCGGGTTTGCACTCTCAAATAGACGTCGCCACAGAAGCGAGTCTTCGGGGAGCTGAGCATCGCAATACGTCAAGCAGCATTCCTCTTTCTTATTCTCTTGATCAATGGCCGACCCTACCTCGGCAGAAGCAGGAGCGTCGTCCGCGTCGGGCTTTGATCCGGCCAGGGAGTTCCCAAACATCGTTTGGAATTTCGACAACCTCCAGGACCCGGCGGCCGCCGCCACTGCCACTGCCGTCCCCACCGAGGTCGCGGTCCCAGATCCGGAGTCAGACGTGGAGATGAGCGGAAGGGGCATCATGACCGCCCCTCCCACGCCGTCGGCGCCCCCGTCAGCGCAGCCCACCGCCGAGGCTGCGTCTCCGGCGAAGAAGGCGAGGAGCACGCCCGCCAAGCGCAAGGCGGCGCCGGAGGTGGTGGCGGTGGAGGGATCCTCTAGAAAGAAGGCCAAGACCGCCAATTCCCGCCCCAAGAGCGACGCCAGGCAAAAGCCATCGGCACCCGTCGCGCCGGCTGCCCCCAAGGAGGATAAGGTCAAGGCCAGGGCGGCCAAGAACCTGGCCAGGAAGGAGACGAAGCGCGACAACCGGCGGCTGAAGCGCAAGGAGATCCGGTCCAAGCACGCAGGCGAGGGTCGGGACCAGTCCGCAGGGGCGGAGGAAGTGGTGGAGGTGCTCGGGAAGCCCGAGGTTGTGGTCCTGGAGGCTGCCGCAGGGGATGCCGAGGATACCGACGCACCTGAGAGCAAGGCTCAATCGAATGCTACAGGGGTCCAGGAGAGTGCTTCTAGAGCTGCCGCCCCAGCGGATAAGCGCGAAGGTGAGGTTTCGGAGCCAGCTACACAGGATGCCGAGAAAGTTGAAACGCCCTTCTCAGGCCGAATGACTAGAAGACGGGCCAAGATGGCAGGTACCAGTTGAATATAGGACTAGACAGAGGGTTTGGGTTTTTAATTGGTTAAGATATATGGCGTTATACAACAATTAATGGTCGAAATGGCGCCCTGATCATGTCTTCCCACGGTTCATTATCAATCTAATTATTGATATATCGCGATTAGAATACAAGTCAGGAGTTGTGCATTCCTTATTATGAAACTGTGTTAGCTGTCCTATCTCCACCACACGGAGGAGCGAGCAATTGCGAGGTCGTGAGTCTTACCAGGCAGGGTCGTTGACAGTTCGGAGATAATAAAGTGGTCACGGTCTCCTATGTACATCTGCAGTCATATCACCTCGCGTTTGCCACTTGATGGGATCACACAAATCCGTATTGTGTGATTTGACCGTCTTATTTCCACACGCCTGTTCAATAGTTTGTAATGTTCGGGATACAGAAGACACTAAATCAAGCTTAAATTTAGTAGGAAATTGTGTTTCCTCTACCCAACCTCCAAGACATCCGGCATGTCTCCTTTGATTACTTATTTATCAAGTCTCGTGTCATGATTCTGTCCACAACATGCCGATGGGTTGCGTTTACCAGCAATTATGAAACAGTTGAAAATTGCAAATGGGAATTGGCCTTTTCCGAAATTCATCTCTAGGTACGCCTGAATGATTCAAGTCTTGCGACCTTACATAATTGTTCATACCTCATCTGAGGGTTTCGTGACTGTAAAGGGGGGTATTATGTGAGGGACAAACTTAAGCGGCAACCTTCTTGCCATCCTTGGCGGTCTCCTCACCCTCGAGAGCGGGCATGTCATCGTCGCTCTCGTCATCCTCCTCCTCCTCCTCCTCATCGTCACCGGGAGCGGCACCACCACCCAACTTGGAGAAGTCGATACCACCAAAGTCACCACCACCCATACCTGGCATGCCTCCTAGAGAATGTATTAGTCATTTCTACTGTAGCTGTAGAAGAGCAGACAAGAAAATGTGCCAGTGGGAAAAAAACCCCCCCAAAAGGAAAAGAAACCAAGAAAAAGGGATTTTGTAAAATGAAAAAAGAATTGAAGATTGAAGAAGGAGAAATCCATTCACGTACCCATGCCGCCGAACTGGCTGAAATCGTCTTCGGGGGCCTCATTCTGCTCGTCCTCATCAATCCACTTGTCAAAGTCGGTCTTGAGGAATTGGAGCTTCTTGGACTCCTTGAGCAGGCGGGGCCAGTACTCCTCCTTCAACTCCTTCTTGCGCAGCTTGAGCTCGACATTGCGCGAGGTGTGGTTGATCTTGGAGTTCTCCGGGTCGATCTCGGCGTAGAACTCGAGCTCGAGATGGAAATCACGCTTCAAGGTGTCGGAGTGGCCCTCGAACTTGAGAGTGGTGGCCTTGAGGTCCAGCTTGAAACTGTTCTTGGGCACATCAGGGGCAGTGATGGTCAGGTAGATGAAGTTCTTCTCGGGGTCGGTGCTCGAGGAGCGCTGTGCCCAGAGAACTGGTTGTGGTATCTGGTTAGTCAAGAACTGCTTGCCCATAATCCGAGGTCCGCAGGCGTCCAAGATGGACGGAAGTTGGCCTGGGCATGAAGAGCCGGAGTTGCCGCGACGGTCGCAAGCTGTAGCTTGTTTGCGGAAGAGGGGAGGAAGAGCTCACCTTCAGGGTTGGACATGATGAGAGTTGTTGGTGGGGGGGGGGGGGTCTTTCAGGATATCACAGAGAAACGTGGATGTGGTGATAGCACGAGGGTGTAGCCGTGGAACTGTAGCGGTTGACAGAAAAGTCAATGCGGGTCGCCAGGGATGTGAAGTGTACAGAGTTGGTCCAAGAAGTTGGAAGTGAAGAAGTGATGGTGTAGGTGTAAGGTCTCAGGGTCAGTCAAGTGGGAGTGTCGGCCTCTAAATCTGGGTGCTAGGTGGTGTGCAGGTAATTCCCGTCTGTGCCTGCGGTGTGATGAGGCTGCAGCAGAGGATGGCAGAAATTTGGGGCAGTGAACGAGGACTCCAAAAGCTTCTATGGCTAGGGGCTATGCAGTATTGGAAACGCTGGGCTTCTTCTGGACTGATGAAGATAACTTTGCACCTGAGAGAGAGAGACCAAACCAGACCCTTCACCGTCGTTCGTCACTGGTCTTCATGGACCCCTCAATGGAATTTCTAAGAATGCCTAAGAACGGTGACATTGACAGGGCTGAATTAAAGCCGTCGTACTACTTCTTTGGGTTTAGACTGCTCGGATACTCATCTGCCGACCATTTGCAGGTCGGATTCTTGTGAGCAATGAACAGGAGAAGCTCGTGTATACATGGGAGTCATGTGGAATTGATCCCAAGACACTCTCTCGAACCTCTTACAACACTTTTGCTTCTCGTCCTCGAACAGACGGGCATGCATTTGCCTTGGTCAAGTAGCTACACTGACTGCGGTCGGCTGTTGGCCGCGTACAGCTTTGTCTTCCAGCTCAGTACCTCGGCGTGTACTGTATATATACATATGTCGGAATGGGGATGCGCCCTATGTATGCCAACAAACAAAAAGGAAAAGTGATCCTATTTCCGAATTACCAAAAAGAAATTATTGTTTCGCTGGGAAATGGATCAAAGAAAGCCGTGAGATATCACCACCGTGGTTTAACCGCAACGGGTATGGTTGGTTTCTCTACTTGGATGGATACTTGCAGACGAGAGATGGCGGGGTAACTATCGTCAGCCGTGCCTGGACATGGCAAGTCTCCACTATAAGATCGGTGCGCCATTGGCTGCGGCTCGTAGGCATGAGTGGGATGAGCTCCAGCGCTCTTTGGGGGAGGTCTGAGAGCCGGAGAGCCTGGGAGCCAGGAGCTTGAGAGCCTGGCAGCCTGGCCGCGGTTCGGGAGCTAATCGCCAACGTCAGACGTCAGGTCAAGATTATGTAGTTATGTACCCAGTCGCTATGGAATCGCGACCAAGCGCTTTATCGTGTCTCGCTTCACCATTTCCAAGTACAAGCATCCAAAGCGTTGTCCTGTGAGAAGCTCACGTATGAGGCCCTGCATTATCCCGCCAAGCAACACTATCTCGTAATCTCTTCACATTGGCACACATAAGATGGAAACCTTGAAATCACTATTCGTCAAGCCGGATCCCAATGCCCAAGTATGCGCCCAAAATGCCGTCCCTTGCGAATAGCCCCCAGACTGCCATTGCTAACCACAAACCACCGTTGCAGTTTAGGAAATGTAACGCCATGATTCGCTCAAACATGCGGAAACTCGATCGCGACATCAACTCCATGAAACAAGTCGAGATCAAGACCAAGAACCTCATCCTAGCCGCCGACAAGCGTGCGCAGAAGAGCCCAGCACAGTCGAGACAAGCACAACGGGAAGCACGCGACTTCGCAAAGGAACTCATACGTGCAAGAAAGCAGTCAAACCGTCTGGTCACCTCCAAGGCCCAGCTCAGTAGTGTCCAGATGCAGGTCAACGAAGCGTTCGCCGTGCGCAAGATCGAAGGCTCCATCCGTGCCAGCGTGGGCATCATGAAGGATGTGAACCATCTGATCAGGCTGCCTGAGCTGGCCGGTACCATGCAAGAGCTAAGCGTCGAGCTCATGAAGGCTGGCATCATCGAGGAAATGGTGGACGATACCCTACCACAAGACGATCTGTTTGAGGACGAGGAGACAGAGGCGGAAGGAGAGGTCGACAAGGTCCTAGGCGAAATCCTCAAGGGTCGCATGGAGAAGACTGGCGCCCTCCCTAGCGCGCCGATTGCTCAAGAACCGACGCCGGCCGAGGAAGAGGAGGAAGATAACGAGGCCATGATGGATCAGATGAGGAATCGCTTGGAGGCTTTAAGGAGCTAGTTGGCTGGCGTAGCAGCATATAAACCGCCTCTCACAAACGGCGGACAACATGGCGTTTGGAGTCTGAAAGGGGCTTGCATCATTCTTTGTTTTCTTATCTTTTGGTTTTCAATTTGAGATGGTTTACGGACATGGACACATGTAGCATGCATCAAGTTTTGGCGTATCCTTCTCCCGTTATGCTCAAGATAAATTTTATCTGGTAGCCGACCCTTGACATCTTGATGCCTGTGCTCTACTTGAAGTCAACACGTCGCTTTGCTTTATACCTGACGATGAATCAAGTAACGCGCACGCCTCCTCCAGATGGAAGTATTCTGCAATATCATCCATAATGACTGATACTATATATTGAACATGTGACTAGTGATTTCGTTACTAAGCGTGTTCCTAGGCTTGCAGGTGAAGACACCATTTCCTGCTGATCGTTGGTTGTGAAAGCTCTACATTGTGCATTCAAATGTGGGAAACGACGCCAGGAGCGGTGTCAAGCTGTGGAGCAGCGTATTGCCATGAAGGTAATCTGATGGAACGGATACTCGTAGTGAGGATATCATGTACGTCCATCATCGCAATCTTGGTACAGTATCCTTGCTCGATTTGAGAGCACGTAGACAAGAGAAGAGAAGGAAAAGAACAAATCTAAGCCAGGCAAGCTTATGACGGCTCAGTTGATGAGATCAAAAGATGCATGGTCCACATGTCTGAGTGATAAACCAACTGCAGCACCGTTACATATGGTTTCGCAGGTCGTTACTTCACTTGTTCTTGTGAATTGTGTAAGTAGGACCCGCTGGTCCAATCTAGGCAAGGCTTGTGGTGGTCCTTCATGATTGTTCTCTGGCAAGCTCACGAATCTACTCAATGCCAGGCTGGCCATTGTGCACATGTCTCGTCGTGTCTTCTCCTACGCTCATACCCATCTTCGCGATCCGTGGATAGCGGTCTCTATATCGTCTACAAAATAGAAAGGCGCAGCAGCACGTCTGTAGTACGATAAAGATAGTCATAAGGCATAAGAATATCGTCTCGATCATTTCTGTGTGAAACGGTGAAAGCAAATTTGTTTAGGCAGTGACGAAACTAGGAGAATAGGAAAGGGGGTCTCAGCAAGTAATTTAAATCAAATATCGTGGATTATAACTTAACGCTTGGTCGCGCCACATTGTCGTGAAAAGATGTCTTGACAAATGCAAAACTAACCACACCACCCTTCATCGTGCTGCGCAATCACCCACAGCCCAAGTCTAATCACTATTATCGTGAATCATGCGCAGTACAAAATCAATGCGGTTTCAAGAGTACCAACTGCATCGATTTTCGTAGTGCTTTCTGTCTCCTACCCCCGACCCCCGAAGCTTATTATGTGACAAAGTGATCGGAGAATCAATTAGCTTATCCCTCAAGTTGTTGATGGGCCTGTCATGAATCAATTTACCTGCACCATAATTGTCTTTCATGGTACCGGCTGTCTGCTGGTCCACTGCGGAAGACGAACCTAGAACAGTAACGCCCAAATCCAATCTTGTTGCGAACACAATGAATCAATACACGACTCCATCCTTCATCGACCCCAGATCATTGGCGTATTAGAAACTGGACATTCGAGAGCATCAACAAGTCAGTATAATCTCTACGAGGGGTATTTCAAACTCCAAATGGCAGAGCAATCACGAAACGGCTAATACGTCCGGTAGGGTTGACATTTTGGATTTCGATAGCTCATCATGATATAATCGTCACGGGTATAGAACCGCATTTCGGTTGGCTAGGTGGCCATTGTCTATTTCTTACAATTGAAGCTTTTGGAACCATTCGTCTTGGACGTGAGATAACTAATTTGGACCAAAAGAGCCAAGCCGATAGACTTTATGAATGACCAGGACCATGAGAATGTCAGCAGGTATAACAACTGAAGGTGTACAATAAAACTTGTGCAGTTGAGCCTCATTCCTAATGATTCGAACAACCCGGCTGCCTGGCTCATGCGTCGTATACCTGTACGTCAACATGCATGAAACTGACATCCTAGCTTTTGATCTGCATCGAGGTATAGTCAATGTCTTCTTATATCGTCACTATAAAGACTTGGCCATCAACCCGAAGCAGTCGTCACCGTGCTTCGTCACTGTTCTCGCCAAGGTAGGCAGCATCTTGTCATCCAATCAAGGTCAACACAAGCACTAATCATAACGATTAGCTCAACGGCGTTGGGGGAATTGGCGATGACCAATATGGTATAGCTATGGGGTGTCCCCATAATTGCGACATATGTTGGGTCTAATCAACCAATGATCAACTCCTTGGCCAGTATCGAGCTTCCTCTTTAGCGTCTAGTCCGACCAGTCTGGGCAAGCTTGAATCAACGCCGAACCCCGCTCAGTACTTGCGGATGCAGCACGTCTGTCAAGCAAGACAAAGTACTCACGACTTAAAGGAAAACGAATGCCTGGGGCAATGATCTTCCCAGACTGCAAAGGTCTGCGAGAGTTCCTGAGCGACTGATAACGTCCCTTGATATGTGTATTGCGTAGTCCTGCATCGATCGGAGCTGCAGCCAGAAGAGCCTCTCGGCCGCTGTCTGACCGACCAAAATTGCGTCTTGCTCACGTTGACTCCATCTGCTTACTTCCCCATGACACAACATCATTTCACGAATTGACACCAGTCGCGTGCACCGTTTCAACTGTTGTTCGAGTCCTGTCACTAGAGCCGTTGAATTGCCCAGTGTATCCTTTTGAACTTCAAGGGTCGTTTTCACCATTGCGGTAGGACGGGCTATCTGTTTCGTATAACTCCCGTTCACTCTTGGCGATAGTTTCAGCGACCCCGCCAAGCCTGTTTCAACCACCAAGTCATGCCTAACTCTAACGATTTGTACAACACTGATGGCGATTCGGACAATGACTTCGCAGACCAGCTGTCACCCTCAGATGGCTACTTTGCCTCGGGCTCGTCGTCTAATGCTGTACCTAACGTCCCAAATGTGATCGTCCCTGACCCCACAGCCCGGGAGTCCAAGTCCAAGGCCGTAGAGTCCAAGGCCGCAGAGTCCAAGGCTCAAGAGGCAAGGCAGGAAGCTCTATTAAATAACCGTGGTGACCTTCAACCTCAAGCATTGTCAGCTAGTGACTTTTTGTCTCGTGCCGAGCAGAGCTCTGCCCCATCCTCAAGGTCTGATTTTACAATCCCAGCCCAGTACACGCCACCTACATCGTATGCTCCATCGTCATCTGCATATATATCGTCAGCAACACGACAGCCATTACGAACACACCAGGCAGCAGCGCGTACCCCTTCTCTATATTCGGAGGCGCCTCCAGCGTACACACCCTCTCAGGCCACGCCCCTCTCGCCCACAGCACAAACCAATCAGAGTAACCAAGGTGGGAACTATAACACCTTCTCGCCTAACATGGGTGTCGAAAATGAGCGGCTTCTGGGGAGAGATCCCGAAAGTATGGCTGAACCAGACGGCGAACAATTACACTCACCCCGTTGGAGTAGACGATTCAGGAAAAGGCTCCCACTTTGGCTGAATTGGAAGATCGTGCTCTTTGCTCTAGTTTTGATGGTAGTGGCTATTGGCTTCTTGACCAGTGGCTATAAAGCTATCAAAGATGACAATGTATGTCAATTTTCTCAAGCCTCGCTAAAGACATTTGCCTAACAAAATGCAGAAAAAGACAATTACACCAACCTTGCCTAATAATGGTACCACAAGGCCCTCTGATCCGACTGAACCAACTGAGCCGGAACAACCCTCACAACCTGCTCAGCCAGGCTCACCTGCAAAAGACCCCTTGGTGTCTACATACTGCCTAAACGCACAGTATCGCTTCCCTGACCAGATCTGTGAGTAGCTTCATGGATTTTCTTGTGTCTCAAATACATATCGCCTATAAACAATCATGGACGGTTCTCCTTACTACTATGGGCTTCAAAGCACATCAAACTCTTGAACGGATTGCTGACTCAGTACATCGTAGTGGCTGTTGATTTCAGCCAAGGACAGAACCTTACTTTCGTTCAAGACATGTCTAGCAATGAGGGGAACGTGAATGTCAAGGTCGGTGGCCAAGTTAACATAAGAAAACTTGACGATGGAGGCTATCCACGAGTAGTTTTGGAACTTGTCACCAATGATGACATGCTTCGGCTCGACTCTCTGGTTGACCAAGATAACCAGGCGATGAAAATCAGCATTCCCAAGAAATTTCATTCCGACAACACGGAAGAGCCACCGTGCGTAGAAATGCGAGCGACCATTTGGGTTCCTGAGAATGGCAACTTGGAACAACTCCGTGTTCAGGTGATCCACCTCGACATCCTGACACTGGACGACTTATCTATCCATGTTAGTGACTTTTCGAAGTTATCTACTATTGTGGGCGATGTTGTCTCGGGTGCCACTAAGCCACGGACTTACGAGCTTCCTGGATTATCCTCGGACGATACCCCCGACTTCGTCTTCATCCCAGCAAAGCAATCATATACTTTAGACTCGAGGATCATCGAAATCGGAAGCACAACTGGTGACATTGTTGGAAATTGGCCCCTGTATGATCTCCTGGGTCTACATGTTACGTCGGGCAATATCAAATCCAGTATCACGCCCAAACCTGTTTTGGAGTCAAATCCCAAATCGGCGGTGCTTTCAGTAAGCTCGGTTTCTGGATCAATCCACGCCAATGAGCCTATCCATGAGCAGAACAACATCCCTATCCGCGATTATCTGGTTGATATCAAGTCGACATCCGGTGGCATTCGTGCTGCGTTGGCCTTTGGAGAAGGCATTGAGCTGAAGAGTACAGCGAGTGACATTGCAGTCGATCTACTCCCAGTCTTTGATGCGGATAAACTTTCGCCTACGAGCCCAGCTCAACTTGAGACGGTGACAACTAGTGGCAACACAGCCGTTCGCATTCTAGAGCCGATATGGTTTGGTCAACGGGCTGCAGCTGGTACACCTAACCTCGACTGCCTCCAGGCGGTGCACAAATCCACCAGTGCAAATGTTGGACTGAAGTACCCCCAGTCATGGACGGGCAATCTCGAGGCAGAGACGACATCTGGTAAACTCAAGATCCACGGCAAAGACGTGAGAGTCACAAAATCCATTGGCGGATGGGGCAGGAACCTACTTGAAGGCTACAAGGGCAAGAACGGCGGTGGCTCGACCATATCGGTCAAAACCATGCTTGGAAGCTTAGATGCGTTGATTGGTGATGAGAGATAACACATGCTTGGAGAACTAGTGTGGCATATGATCGTGTAAGAGGGGGAAGTTGTAATGATTAGAACGAACAAATACCCAGCATTCGCTAAGTTCATTGGCCATTGGCGTTACGGTTGTCTCGAGGCAGGAAGGGGCAGGTTTATGTTAGCCTCCATCAGTAGATATATGGTACTCGAGAAGTCACAAATTTTAGATTGGCTAGCATAGCCTAGGCCATGATAATCGCATGTCTACTCATCGCCGGAACTAAACTGTGAGCACGGTTTGCCTGTAGCCACGACTGATACATCAGGAACTTCCTGGCACTCGCAGACACTAAGTTGCAGCAGGCAGCAGACAATAGGCTTCAGGTCACGAGCTGCTTGCCGCTTGGCAAGCTGAATGGCCATGTAACTGAGGACGGTGCTGACGCCACTGAATCGTTCATGCGTAGCGCAGTCATCGAGCAGAATTTCTCTTTTGGACAATAAAGACTACGGCGGTTATGATAGACTTCTTCGTAAGCAGATAGACCATTGAAATCCTATCCTGCTACTGGAGTAGTTCCTCTTGTAATCCGGCATCCCGGACCAAACTCCGTTGCCAAAGAGCAAGAAGTCTGTATCTTCTGTCGCAGGTGATAACTTAAGGTGTCAAGAATGACGCAATCTATTCTAGATACCACAAACCTCACGAGATTTCGGTTATATTCCGTTACATACTAGACTAAGTGATTCTTGGAAGCCTAGCAATGTAGGGTGGTGCAAGTGTGAGGATAAATCGCAATCTACTAGACTAATACAAAGTTCACCAAGCTCTCTCGGCTCAACACACCAGTCTAATATTCCAAGAATCACAGACTGGATTTATTGCCTGCCCCGTCCACAGTGATTACCACCACGGTCAAACGCTTGGAGTAATATCATCACCACTACGGAAAGGGACTTGACTCATTCTTTGCAACTTCCGAATGCCGTGACCCGTGCCAAGCCAGTGTCTTACAACTACTAATACTAGTACCTAACTCTGTTTCCCCGTCCCGGAGCCATTCAACCACATGTACGACGACATGGTTTGCGCGGGGGTAAACTGTGAGGCAGCCTTTTGAGCACACCCAGTAACACAGTCGAACCACCCCGTGGCAGCACGCACTGGATCGTACCAGTGAAAAAGAGTATCGACAAGAACGACTCGGAAGCACGCGGCCTTCCCTTTGAGACGTCTCCGGTGTGGACGTTTAACGATGCCCGTCAACAAGCGTTGAAGAAACTTTCCTTCCGGCATGCTCTCACCGGCTGCGGCAGATCATCCTATCGGCAGATATTCACTTGGCATTAGAAACTATTAATGTTAGGGAGGACACGAAGTCATTTTAAAAACCAGCACTGCCTGTCTTCAACATCCGCATATCGTCGGCTGCAACGTCAGGTTGGATTAAGCAATATACGGCTGCATATTCCAGCAGGCCGAGGTAGTATGCGCATCATCATACCAGGGGGGCGCCAGCCATAGCAGGTGAAGCCTCATCCTGCATTTCTCTGCGACGAGCTTGGCGGTTATAGAGTACCACATATGGAGGATTGTTCTGGAATACCACATCCGCCGGGGCCTTGGCGAGCCTCGCTCCGCCGTGCATTGCATAGGGCTTGTTTCTTGTCTTCCTTGGCCCCCCACAGGCGACTGCCTAGAGCAGCAGGCCATTTCTTTTCCGCCTCGAGGCCTTCCGGCACCACGGTGACATTGAGGCTCTTGATCCGAGGAGTTGGCCGCGGGAAGGATCTCATGCGATCACACCTACCACATATTACGCAGTGAAACCCTGCCTAGAGACGGGGAAGATACAACTACGACTGCATGCAAGTTATGCTTATGTGTATAGATAGGATCATGCTATGTAATTAGCAGCTCATGAATACTGTGAATACTATTGGTCGCGATGACCCAGAAGTGGGAGCCCTGTCGTTGCCGTATTAGGCAGCTGCGCGTCAGCTCGGCTAAGTTAGCGGTCGAGCACTGGGGGCCACGAAGTTCCAGCCGACTGTGGTCGATCACAGGGTTTTAGGTCATCTCGAGCATAGAGCACTCCATATAGCGCCCAGAACCTGGTAGAATTTGGCCCTGCTGCTCGCGAGGGAGGATCGAGGCCCTGCCGAAAGTTCAACCGGCAACCAACGACCATGGTTGGGGGCATCACGTTTGTAGGCATTGAGATCCCGGAAAGCGCCCTCGTTGGAGATTGTGAGTCGCTTCTGGCTCATGGTTGGTTCAACACTTCTAATGAGAAGGTTTTTCTCTTCTCCCCCCCTCGGTCTTTGAGACCAACCAATGACAAGAGCGGGTAGTTGCCGGATGAACTTCAATGGCTGTGGCAGCCATTACCAACGAAGGTTCGATCATCAAGCATGCGACCGGGGGGAGGCCCTTGGGAATAACGGACGGATGAGCCCGTAGTTCTATCGGTTTTGAACCCATAGGGCAGAGACTTATGCCATCGAGGTCTGTTGAATTGCATTAGTGTTTGAGCTTGAGGCGCCCATATGGTCTGATTTGTTTCAGCCAACACAAATAAAGGTGTAGGTTTGGACGAGATAAGGTTTGACAGGGCGAGCTGGGTTCGCATGAAACCCAGCTTTCCTGCATAAGGTGGCGGGCCATGAATCGTCTTTGACTCGTTGAGGTTTTGGAAATCACAAATCTTGAATCAGCTCGACTACCGTTGCTTTGAGAAGATAGGGACCAGGGGACGTAGTCTCGGTAGCGGACAACAAACTTGCAAGCGTTTTCGCCAAGGCGGATGTTTAGTACGGCTGTAATCATAACAGCCTATCTACGGAGTAGTTATTACGGTTAGGGGGGAGTGAGGCTGTAGGAAATCTCATGTATGTCGCAACCGTGATACTTCCAACAGAAGAGGAAGGTGCATTGGTATGTTGTTCTTTGGTCGGTTCATAATCGGCCTTCACTATGCATTGCTCCCTTTTTTTTTTTTTTTTTTTTTTTTTTTTGGGCTAGATGCTGCGCTCTGGACCGCGCACCAACAACCGACGTGGCGGGTGCCCAGACACTAGAGGAACACATGAAATGACAGCTTGCAAATCTTTACCAGGTCTTTCAACGGCTACCGGTAGCAGATTCCAGAAGTAGTCAAACACTATTGCGTACAACTTATCACAGGTCGAGCGAGAAGTCGCGCGACACAGCCGTTTGGCTGTTGGGTTCTTGGGACAAGCTGTGGCTACAGGGCTAGCAACGGAGTCCACAGAAATACACCGGGGCATTGGGTCAATTGGGTCTCATGATTCATGTTATCCGGTCGTCTGTACCGGCTTCCGTGCATGTTCGGGTCATTGCTGTTGCGATTGATAGTATCCGCGGGATATTTCAAACCTAATGCATAGGAATGAGAGTCAGGTTTTCTTCTCGAATCATGTGTCTGTGTCAGGAAAAACGGTTGCGTACATGGGAACTGACGCCCATGCCAACCCGTCGATGCCCAGTTCCTGTCATGGCACGTTAGTCATATGATCTCCGTTTGACAGCAGCTTTGCGTCTGTCATACCCGGACCCGACTTCGGTGGACTGGCAGCTGCAGTGTGACCCGAATTCATGAGCGTTAATTGTCTGTGGTGTTTAAGCAGCGGCGTGTAACGATCATGCTTGGTTTTGCCAAGCGCGCAACGTTCAATTGTTGGACCTAGATATGGAACTGCTCAGTGATCAGAGCGGTTAGGAGATCGAGATCATCCCAGTGAGAACCTCGTGAACAAAAAGGGGCACGGGAAGGCCGTTTGTTTCTCATATTGTGTCACGTAGATGTTCACGAACCATTGTTAAGCCACGCGTTTTGAACGAAAGGCTTTGGATCGGCATGACCGGGGAGGTGACATCGCAAGTCCAGGTCGCAAGTAATCCACTAAATTCTAGAAGCCATCGAAGTCTTCTCGAAGCATTCCACAACTATACCGAAGAAAGCTAATCACTTCTTTTACCCCTGTCATTGACCTGTCAAGGATTACTTCCGAGGCCAAGCAATGCCGAGTAAAGCGGCAGCTCCATCAAGGATCGATCACCCGTTCGATCTTCTCGTAGTACAGTCCATTTTCAACGACAAGCAATGGTGGATTCGTATGGGGTAGCCTACGAGAGAACGTTTCCTGTTTATTGTCGATTACTGCCTGATAAATGTCAATGATCACTGTAGGGCTCCGTAAGACCGACTCGCACAGACTTTCGCCAGCAATCAAGCGCGTACGTACGTAATTCCATTACAAAATAAGGTTAGGTACGCAAAGCATGTGTGTCCGCGACTCCGGACAGCATCGTGGTCAGTAGTCTCTTGGACGTTCGATGCAAGATCATGCGACATTGTCTGGATCAAAATGCTGGCATGAAATCTATAGCGGCAATAAGTAGCTTCTCGTTCAGCCTGAAGATGGTCAACTACTGGCGCCTCGCCAGGACTGCTCAACTCTGGCTCTGCAGTAGCCATATAAACTAAGCTACTGGAATTAGCTGGCAATTATCAGAATTGCGTATCGCGTGTTTGATCAACTCTGGACACAGTCTTAACCCTGAAGACGTTGAACAGCCCTTGATTACTTGACGGGCTACAATCTCTAGTCCTAACGAAACATAACATATGCAATGCATAGGCGACAATCACTTGATTGATTCAGAGAGCGTTGGCCATGATTGATAAGACATTGCCCAAAGGTCGATCATCCTTTGCATGTTTGTATGCATATGATTAGCAACCACACCAATCACTTCTCGCAGGGCTGATCTTTGACTAATCTAACTTTTGGTGGTGTCTAGGTTGGACTGGGGTGCCGCGGCTTGCGATTGATAAGTAATTGTCTTGGAAATACATGTGTATGAAGTAGCGCTTATGTCTTATGATGCAATTTGTCGACCCGTCCAATCCGCATCACTGAATATAGTTTATCGCACTGTAACATACACGCCAGAAACTCGTCGAGGCTCTAAGGTTACGGGGCAGACTTCCGTGCGTTGCTGTCAAAGATTCAACTGCCGATGCTAAGACTGGATCTGCAGCAGCGGGTGCTGATTTGGCACTGGCGATGTTTTGTGTGGCGATCAGCAACACCAAATTCCAGCTGGAAGCAATAGTATGTGTTGTCCAAAGATGGACGGTCGAGCTGTCCAGTGACGCTGTGACGTGACAGCCCTGCTCGAAGCCCTCAAGGATAATCCCGCGTCTGCATAACTGGTACTATTAACAACGTCTGACAATATACAGGGTGGCCATTTAGCAGACGCGTAAGATGCACATTACACGCTGAGGACTGCTTGAAGTGGGCGCGGAACCTGAGTGAGTTAGGAAGGTGACAACAAGCGGTTAAATAGCGGCCAACACGGGTGTCTATTTCTTCTTCCTCGGCTCACTGAAATGGGCAGTCTGTGGTGCGGCAACAGTGAACACGGATAGCTATTGGACGCAAGGCACAAATATTAAAATCGTCATCATGGTTCAACGGGAAGCACTGTTCGAGAGTGCAATCCAAGTGCTCCACAACGATGAATGCATTCTACCAACATGACACTGGCACAGTTGGGATCGGCGCAGTAGGCGGCAATAGTAAAAGGCCGCCGGTTTTAAGTGACCTTTGTTGCAATCGGACATCTGAGAAGCGCGCCTGGATCTACAAAACAAAAGGGAAACGGCATGCTTCACACAGAGAGGCTTGCCCTGCTGTAATTGTAGCTGTAGCACGGACGGAAACAGTATATAGTCGAAGTCAGGCGATGATGCGGGGTGAAGTCTAGTTTCACATGATCAGGAATCAAGGCGTCAGTGATTGTGGACATGTTGTGCTAGGGCTTGCAATTACATCAGAGACATATGTGCACAGCATAAAGATTGCGTAGGTGATGACAACGACGCTCTGCTACATCCATCCCACTTTACTGGACATGAGATATTTGCTTTGTTCATGGCTGTTCACCGTAGCCGTCGTCTGCCTCGTCAGCCAGCGGCATCAGGTGTCTTGACGTCGCAGCATTTCTTCGCAATTTTCAACGCTGCTTTATTGAGCAGCAGGGCGGGGCCCGATCCACCACGCCGGATGGGGTATTACACTGCGTCAATCTCTTTAAGCCCCGGTTAGGCGAGAACGATAATTGGTTCTGCACCTTTTCCAGAAGCATTGTAGCGCCGCGCCACAGTGGCCATTTTTCCTTGTTCTGAACATGAGAGTCTTCGCTGGAACGGCTGAGTGGTGGGCCTGCTTGGCCTGCCCTGCCTGCTAGGTTGGATTGGCTTTGTGTGTGTTGGTGTGCCGTTTCGGTTTGCACGCTGAAAGGAACATTCTGCGCCTTTTCCAGAAGCCTTTTGCCACCTGCAGGAAGAAGAAGGTTAGTTTGGAGAACGCCTTGTCGGGCAAGTGCCCCGTGTCGCGGCTGTCATTGTTGGTCATGTCGAGTCGGGGTTGGTTGGGACTTGAGACTCTGAGCTTATTCACTAGTAGAACCATGTATGTATCAAGATCTGATGTTTGAGAGATCCCGTCTCCTTTGCATACGCTGAAAGATTAATCATCTAGGTTAGCGAGCTAACCTATTGAGCAGAAGAATGTACGTACAGAACCCTGGGTGGGTTTTCAGTTGGAGTCCGGCTCAGAGACCATCCATGGATGCTTCTCTGTACCCACACTGTCAATCCCTGCCATTCTCCCCTCTGAAGAAAGTACGGAATATGTGAAGTACACCGGTTCCCCCCCAGCCTAGCTCGAGCTACGTACCTCTCAACTAACTTACTAGTTATGTATCCCTTTTTCACCCTCTTCAACCACCGCTCCGGCACCCTAGAGCCTGTCTCTGCCTGCAGTGGTCTGAGCAGTTGAGCGGCATCAGTTTGTTTCAGTGTCACAGAGTCTCTCTGCCTCCTTCACCAAACACCTTCGCAGGTCAAAACGAGCCCCGGCGTCTGAACGACTGGTCATCGTGACATCGCCCTCTGTCATCTCTTGCCCGGATCTCTCTGAATATACATACAGCAGATTCAGAGGACACGAGACGAGACAGCCGTGCCGCGCCCCCCCTCCAATCCACCCATCCACCCATCCACAAAACACTACGCACTACACACTACTAATCGCACCGCCCACGGAAATAGCGACGCTTGACGCTACCTAAGATCACCGTCGCTTGTCCAACGCCGATTAACTGACTAATTGGCGCTGACGACACTCCACACCTACCACAAGACGGCTCACTGCGAATGCAGACCGGCCCGCTCGTTCTTCTTTTCTGAACTGCGACACTTTGTGTAATCATAGCATCAACTTGCTTGTCGACCCTCCTTTGTACAACACTTCTTGCTCCTTTCCTCGAGTGTCACTGTAACCAGAGCACACTCGTACAAGGCCCGGAACAACTCGCCTTTACCTTGCTCCAGGCTCAAGTTTCACAACATTCTTTAGCCTAGCACACAACTTCCAGACACCCACACGGCAGTCCTGCCGCTTCACTTCAAACTCTATTTCTGGTCCAGATTCGCCTCCGAGATTCGCCAAACGTACACGGAGATTCTCGTGATTCCGATTTACTCGTCGTACGAGCTATTGAGTCTTGACGTGTTTTTGCTCGTCTCAACCCGCTCTCGTTATCCCAGAGCAGACAAGGGGCTTGTGTCAGTGGTAAACTGTTGAGACGCCGCGTTGGAAATCAACCTGTTATTTCCATTCGTTTATTTCTGAATGGAGCAATAGCTTCTCCGGGGCAGATTCGTGGTCGCAGGAACCTCTTGTGTGCCATCTGTCCACCGATCCAAAGGCGTACCGCCAAGTCCTTTGCAGGCTTATTTTTCTCACTTGGAAGCATGGGAAAGTCCAAATCACGAGCCACCTCGCCGACCTATTTGACCCCCTCACACAGGGAAATCACACCACCGTCGTCAGTCCACGGGGACTGGGACGCAGATACCGCCATGTCTCTATCACGACCACATAGTTTGGCAATTCTCCGTACATCATCTCCTGGACTCAGGGTACCGTCTTTGGGCGATATTCTCTCGAATACTGCACCTCCACCATGGACCCTGAGCGCTTTCACAGCTTATCTGTCGCAAAACCATTGTCTAGAGACTCTCGAGTTCTTGACCGAGGCGGAGCGTTACCGTAAAGCATACGAAGCACAGTCTGCGGCGGGATCCGAACAACAGCAATGTGAGGAAGGGAGCCTCTGTTCTTTGTGGCACAGGATCATGCAAGCATATATCATGCCCTATAGCCCGCGAGAGGTCAACCTACCTGCCCCGGTGCGGGACCGCTTACTGGCGCTCGAGTGCTCGAGTTCGACTTGCCCGGATTCACGTGTACCACAGCCGTCAGAGCTGGAGGAGGCCGTGGGTATTATTCATGAGCTGATGACTGACTCACTCTTGTTTCCATTCTTGCAATCTGTTGCGTCTCACGGCATGGATTCAAACCACGACGAATCTACGGCTGGTGAGCGAAAGAGCAGGTCGAGGTTGCGAATTCCCAAGGATCTCATGGCGTCATCTGAGGAGAGCTCGCAATCACCAAAGACGAGTTTTCTTCCGCTGTTCCTTGGTCGTAGCAGTGTTGTAGCTCAAAGGTCCAATTCAGGGTCTGGTTCAGATCACACGGAAGTTGAATTGGTCACAGACGACAGCAGCAGTCCAAACACAACTCCTGGAGCCGAGCCCATGACCCCTCCGACGACACCGCCCACTTCAGAATTTACCTTTCATCCATCCCCAAATACCTTGCAAAAGGCGATATCGGGAAACAGTTGGAAAAGAATGGGTGCGAGATTGGGATTGGGCCGAAAAAACCACTCTATTCGCCGTTCTCAGCCCACTAATGTACCAACATCGAGCGCCGTCCCTGAGCCACTATCTTCTACCCGCTCGGGGCCAGCAGCCTTATAGGAATTACAGGTCACACCACTACAAGAAATCACTAGCACAGACGCTTCCCACGTAAACGACGAGCCTCGGGAGTCCCCGAGGTTCTCCTGGGATGATCCACATCCAGGCCAGAAGATCCCGATTCAGATTGGGATTGCTTCTGGAATCTGTGGATACCAGACAGTTAGTGGCATTTCAACGGGTGGTGTGGCCGCAAAAGGCGTGGGCACTTATCATAATTTTTCAAGGCCCTTGGTGCGCAAGAATCCCCGGACGAGACATCGCAATACCATACCGAAGCCCGTCAAAGTTCCAGCAAATGTTCCCGAATACTCCGAGAGCAAGAGTGCTCCGCTGTGTGTACCTCACTCCATCGATTATCTGATACCGAGTTCTCCCATGCGTGTTCCCGTTCTCCCAACAGCGGGATCCTTAAGACCTGCACCAATGGAAGTCGACGCGGATGCAGAAACCGAGGTTAGCATACGGCTTGATGGCGCGGATCGAGACGAGGCCAACGCATTGGACCTATCACCATCGTTGTCCGATCTTTCCTGCTTTCTAGGTGACTCTGTTTTGGGAGAGGACTACGACGGTTCTTCCATCACAGTCGTGGACTCTGAGGCTTACAGCCACATGCAGTCGACGGAGGACCTTTACGGCTGGGAATCGGAGCTGGACCGTAAGGTCAGATGTGGCATCAAAAACACCAACGTGTGCACTTGCGATGAGTTTGAATACCGAAGAGCTAACGGGACTAAACGGGGCTTACTTCACCGAGTTCTCAATTCCGGACGTCGACCATTGTAACGGAGCTGACAAGGTTTCATTCGTTTCATTATAGGAGCACAAATGAGGCCAAGGGAGACACAATTTTTAGGACGCACACGTTGGCGTCGAATCTAGACATTCCGGACAACCACAGTCTGGACGAAATACTCACAAGCATCAACTACGATAGATGAGGTCATTTTCGAATTTTTGGCGAGGCGTTTGAGATATCACGGTACGGAGTTATGTTTGAAGTCTGAATTTCTGGATATGGATATCCCCATTCCCACTCACTCTGGGAATTAGCATCTCTGTACACGTGACGAGCATTTTTACATGATATCGGCCCTGGGGCACTCAAAATTTCGCATTGTTAGGAGTTGGGTGGGCAAGGGAAAACACATAAGAGCATTTCGAACGGAGTTGGAATGGCATTTGCCCATGGGCATGAAGGGAGCTGCGGCTGGTGAATGGTCACGATGCATTTTTGGAGCATGTAGAAGGTCTGGACAGATCATGATCATCGTACGATGTATATGAGCGAAGCGTAACAGCGTTGTTTGTCTTGTAATGTCTTTATCAGATTCCCATCTGTATCCAGGTCTATCAAACACTACTACATTGTGACTCTTGCCAAAATAATTGCTTTCTTCGGCTTGAATTTGTTTGGATTATGGCTTGATCAAGATTTGGCTGCATGGATCGTGATGCCTACGGACGACGACAATGCTGTTATCCTTGAGTAGCTCTGTTCATCACAGTCGGCACTATGACGATATCTGCCACGGCCGCACAATGCCATCATCTCCGGTAGTGACCAACATCTCCTCTATGCCTTTCCTATGTGGCGGACACGCTGCGTCGTAACGTTTGCACCATGCGACGTGGTTGATCTCGTAGGGCCCATGAGCGTTTGATGTTGTGGCCACGATGCGCCATGCCTTTGACCCCTCGGCGCCCCCCGACCCTCCGCCGAGAGTGTTGCCGTTTGTCATGTGAACATCACCGTCGAGCTCAGCGGCAGCCTCTGCAGTCGTAGCATGAGCTTCGCCACCGGGCACATTGCGGTCTTCGCGGTACACGGCCAGAATGCCATCGCTGCCCGTGCTGGCCACCAGACCTGAGTCGGCGCTCCAGGACACGGAATAAATGTCCCTCGTGTGCGCCTTGGGTAAGACGGCAGTGCAAGACCAATCCTCCTTGAGCGACCTCCTCATGGTATTTGGTATACCTCCGAGCCCGCCCCATGCATGCTGCGGCCTGTCCTGCTCGTCATGCTCGTCGCTCTCCTCGTTCAAGGTCCACACCCGGATGCTGCGATCGGCACTCCAGGTCATGAGGCGTGGGAACCGTCCGTCCCTGGGCTTCTGCTCCCACTGCACGCCCCAGACGGTGCCCTCGTGGCCCTCCAGCACCGCGACGCACACCCACTCGCCGTCGCCGTCCTCGCGCCATATTCGCACCGTGTCGTCGTAGCTCGCGCTGGCCAGCACGTCGGAGCTGTACCTGCCGCGGCCGCCGCGGTTCGTCTCGGGGCACCAGGCGACGGCCTTGACGTCGCCCTCGTGCTCGTTGAGCACGGCCACCGTCTCCCACTCGTCGTCGGCCTCGGTGGCGCCCACGTCCTCCCAGATCCAGACGCTCTTGTCCCGGCTGCAGGTGGCCAGGTACTGCCCCGTGGGGGAGAAGACGACCGACTTGACCTCCGAGTCGTGGCCCTCGAGCACCAGCGTGAACTCCCAGTCCTTGTCCCCCTCGTCGCCGTCATCCGAGCCCGCGGGGCGCGAGGCCGTGACCTCGGTCTCGAGAGCTGGGCCCGAGTCCGAGGGTCCCTCCCACCGCCACAGGCCGGCTGTGGAGTCGAAGCTGCCGGTCACGAGACACAGCTTCTGCGGGCCCAGGTTCGGTTTCCACGCGACAGACCGCACGGAGCGGGTGTGGCCGCCGGTGAGGGTGCTGTGCGAGGTGAGGGTCGAGAGGGAGAAGACGGTGACGGCTTTTTCGTGCGCCGTCGCGATCAGCGGGAGGGTCGGGTGCGGTATCGAGGTCCATGCGCGCTCGTACAGGTCGGGCTTGAAGGGCGGCAGGGCTGCCAGCGTGAGGCGCGAGGAGGGTGCTGTGTTCTCCGGATCGGTGGTCGCCATGGCTATGAGTGTGCGGGGTTGCCGCAGGGTGTGGGTACGGATGCGCGGGTGTGCGGGTGTGCGGGTGTGCGGGCGCACGGGATGACGGGCGGTTCAGCTGCTACGAGACGGTTCTGGGGGCTATGGGATGAGAGAGGCTATGATGATTCGAGATTGCCAATGCCAGATGTGTAAAACATCTACCAGAGAACGCAGCGGTGCGATTGTCGCAATCGGATCTCCAAAATGGCGGGACACCGTGAGCGATAAGCTATTTTCTCTCCCTTATCGCCCTGCATCGGACTGACGTATGCGGGGCATTGAAATGGTGTCTCCCCCCGGCCACTTCAGAGCATCCATGTACATAGAGTATATAATTACAAGGAATGCAGTTGCCCATCGAATTTCGAATCCATGTGACAAGGCTCGGTGTTTGTAGGCAAGCAAACGGTCGGGAAGCCTCACCCTAGCATCAATGCATTCAGTCAACGTTGTCCCCCATCTGTTAGTATATCGTGGCATGACGGCTAATTACAGCCTAGCTAGCTCTTCCAGAAGTAACCCAAATTTAATTGGTTCAGAGAGCGCCCGGGGAGGAGCAACACATACAAGCCACCCACGAGACGTGACCGACCTGAAGACATTAGGCGGACTTCGTGGTTCTTTTTCGATTTTTACATTTTTCAATCATTTAAATCAAAGAGACCATGCGCCATGGAACAGATTTGGAATAGTGCGTAACTCAAGGCAGCTCGAGATATCATTCGGGTGGTCTGCTGGCGACATCGCAACCGCCATATCGCAGAAGATCGTGGAACCAAAAACCACAATCGTCACATCTGCGCTTAGTATTGAACCATGGGACGCACAGCGGGTCCTTCTTAGATGTACGGAAATTAGGTATGTAGATGTCCTCCGACAGCTTCTATGGAGGTCCTGGAACAAATAGGTCGTCATCTATGCTGTATTATGCCTGGCTGCCCCTGACCTAATACAATTCTGTCTGTGATAGGGAAGAGCTCTTTCAATGCTCCAGATCTTTGAGGAAGCACAACCTAGAAGAGGCCGTCAACGCTTAACCCGGTCCAGGAAATCACACTCTTGTCACGCAGAAGACTGCCCTCCAAAAAAAGAAGAAAAAAAGAAAAAAGAAACAAATCTTAAAATTCAGAACAATCTGGCTAGACAGACAGGACGGCAGAAAATTGCAACACAAAGGAAGTTGCGAGCCTTGAGATAGGAGTAAACGGGGCATTTATTCTTCTACTCCCATCCTAACCAGAAGAGTGTATTAAGTGAACGACGAGTCTGAGAATAGAAAACAGAATACATTTAAACCATTTGTGGAAAGTCGTGCATCCAGGAGGAATCACTCAGCTGAAACGGGGCGGGCGTACTTGAGTCGGACTCTATCCCAAGCATATTTCAGCCATCAGCCAAACACAGCTAGATTTAGCACGCAGAAAGGACAGCCTTGAACGGCTTGCGGCTAGCCAACCATGTAGCTGAAGTAAGGTTGATGTGGAACAAGTGGGCAAAGAGTTCGTTGTCGCCAGGTTTGAAGTTTAGAGGTGTTTTAGACGGCGACACCTAACATGTAAGAGCTTGTCTCTTTGTTTTCTGATGCCTACTCGCTCAGTTTCTTAATCATGTATCCCAAACACACATCGCGCCTGAACCTTAGGCTGCCGGAACTCGACATGTTGGATGGATAGACCGGCGGGCCTGGTCGGCCACCAAGAGCTATCGACAGAGACCAAAAACATCACGTCCAGATTGGATTTATTACTCAGAGAGGGCAGCCGCCCTGTGTGATACTATTGTACGCCAATGCTAACGAAGATGACCTGATTGCTGCTAGTTGTTAGTGGGCGGGACAGCCCACTTGCACGAGACACAAGCACAAAGTAGCATTCACAAAATTCTCATATTGAAGATGTTTTCTCTTGTATTTATCTTTTTGACGCAAGGGCATGGCCTTACAACGATATGCGCTTAGCAATCGTATCGTACAATTAAGAGATGCGGGATGCACACCCCTACGTATGAACACGCAACAGGTAGTCTACGACATGAATCACGAATATGCACAGGAAAGCAGACCTAGTAGGACTGTTTTCTATATGTCTAGTTTACCGATTCCACTCTTTCTCTCCGGTGAGTGAAAGACGGCCTTTAATGCAGAGGCTCGTGCAGACTTTATAGGAAAAGTCACGAATGCGAAAATGACCAAAATTGAGACTCAGAACGCCAAGATCTCGGTATGCACGATAGCAAGAATGATAGCCACCCATCGAATGTGACCCTCCTTGCTGGGTTCTGTCGAACGCCGCCGCCATTTATGGATAATGCAAGAATAAGTCGAGTTGGTAACAGAAACGTACGACTTATTCGTACTGGAAAAGAACGCTAATGGATTCGCCATGGTGTACGCGCCTGATAGCCTCGCCGAAGGCCGGACCAATATCAAGCACCTCGAGCTTGGGGCACATGCGCTTGTGCTCTCCTTGCGGAACGGAATTTGTCACGACGAGCTTGTCGATTGCAGAGGCATTGATGCGGGAGATTGCGTCGCCGCTGAGGACGCCATGAGTGATGAGAGCATACACGGCGGTAGCTCCTTCCTTCTTCAGGAGCTTGGCAGCTCTCGTAATCGTGTTGGAAGTGTCGGCCAAATCATCAACCAAAACACAAACACGATTGGCGACATCTCCCACAAGCATCATGGTGGCATTCTGGCGGTCCGTGATCTTGGTGGGACGACGTTCCTAAATAGACTTAGGGATGGAGCACTTTTATGAAAACGAGCACATTACCTTGTGAATTAGAGCAAAGTCCATGTTCAGACTGTCTGCAATGGCGGTTGCTCTCTTTGCACCACCGGCATCCGGACTGACAACAACGGCATCCTTGTAGTTGGGTATGTTCGATGTGATGTATCGCTTCAGCAGGGGTCTGCCGTAGAGATTGTCCACAGGCACATCGAAGAAGCCTTGGTACTGCGGATCATGCAGGTCAAGTGTGATGATGTGGTCGGCACCAGAGCAGGTCAAGAGATCAGCGACCAAGGTACCAGCCTGTGCAACCCACTGCTTGTAACCAGGCTTCGGTACGAAATTCGGAACAGGCTTCTTCTCGTAGTCGTGTGTTGTAAAGCTTCTCAGCGGGGTCTGAGGAATAGCTGGGGCGGAATCCACGCGCTTGAAGTAGCTGTCACCTGCGTTGCCAGCTGCCGGTGTCCTGCTGTTGCCATTGGTCTCTGCAAGGGTGGACTTGTTGAGCCTCTTGCTGAGCCCGTCGATGCCGTTAGCAAGCCCGGCACTCTTTGGGATCCCGGGAGCGGGCGTAGCCGGGACGCTTTCGAATGTGTATTGTCCATTAGGAAGCGAAGAGGGCTGTTTCGACAGAGGCGCGCCTACCTTGTTATAGGGCAGGTCAGGTTGTCTGGAGTATGGGAACAATGGCAGGACTGCGGTGACTCTTCTGGCGGATCCAGTTTTGCAAGCAGATATCATGATACAAAGATCGACGAAATGGTCGTTGACCTTTCCGCCTCCCGACTGAATGATGTAGACATCCTTGCCGCGCACGGAATCCTGGATCTCACATCGGGTCTCGCCTACAGAGAAACTCGAGAGGATTCTATCGCAGGGGGGAACTCCCAGGATACTGCAAATGCTGTTGACGAGCTCCGGGTGGGAGTTACCACCGAGAACGACAATGTTGCGCACCATATTGTCCGCGTGACGTAGTAACCTGGCTTGCAGACAGATGGTGGGGTCCTCGGGAGATAACTGATACGACACGACACGCGGGGAGCGCAGAGCAGAGCAGGGCAGAGCAGAAGCCCTCAAGTTCTGTTGATGGAATAGGTGTATGCGCTCTTGCCTTGTCTTGATCTCAGCCAAGCACGTTCGTCTAGAAGCTGAACGGGACTTCCAGAGTGAAGTTCGCCAGGTTGTAGAAAAGTGAGGATATTACTGACCGGTCGCGGAGGTTCGACGGCACAAATGAAGCCGAGGGTAGCTTTTCGAGACTGAGACCTTGGGATCGGGGGAGGAGCAGTACTTTGCCGGCGAAAAGCGAGCTGGAGGCAGGCAGCGGATGCAGTCAGAACTGTGTAGTGTGTTCGCTGCTCAGGCTCGTGCTCGTTCTCGTGGGGTAGAGTGAGGAAAATTATGGGGGCAGATTGTTAAAGAAAAGCCATGACTTCTATTCCAGAGCCCTGGTCTATAAGATATTTGGGAGAGTCTTGGGGGATGTGAGGTACGGATCGAGATAAAAAAAGATTTCTCCCGGCAGCGGGCGTCCAAGTCAATTGAGGTACTGCACCTTAGTGCTAACTTAGGTGCTGTTGGTTCGTCTCCAAGCTCTCCAATCTGACTCTTTTTTTTTTTTTTTCCCTTCGCTCTTTTCCTCCTCACAGCAAGTCGACTGTGGAGAAAAGATTTTTTGTCTCGCTTAGTGGGGTAGGGGAGGCTTGTGGAACAGTAAGAGAGAGGGGTCAAATTGCCTAAACCTCACTGACAAGCACGGAATTGACGAATGCCAGCCCCTGGATCTGCCATTCGAAGTGGTGCACAGGCAATGATGCAATGCCCTACCTGCGCGTATTAGGTACCTACAGTACATAACTAGGTACTCATCCGAGTATGCCACCTGAATGCAGCCAACAATAACAGCAATTAGTCCCGTGGTTCAACGAATTGTATTACTAGACTAGTAGGAAGCATCTGACTGGTGTCAGAAATGCACCAAACAATGAAAACAAAAAATCCTCCTCTTGAGAGCTCGTGGCCTCTTTGAACACTCTATTTTACATACATATATGATAGAGCTTAAAACTGTGTACCCAGACCGGTTGCTTTCACATGTAAGTCAAAACGTTAGCTTCAGGTTGAAATTCATGCTCGCTCGAGGCCTGGCCCTGAAAAATCCAAAATCCATTTTTGAGCCCTGGAGATCCAGCAAACCCCAAGCAAGAAACCCCACTACACTGCTACAATCTGACAAGTAAGTTACTATGAGCCATGAGTCAACCACTTGTGGCCAATCCATATCAAATGCAAATTCGGCGCTCGGCCTCCCTGCCCTATGAGTAAGGAATTGCTTGAATGGAGGCAGCCGGCAGGCCTCACCGCAGCTTTGTCTTTCATTCCAGCAAGAATTTCGGTTTGCCACACGAGGCTGTTGTTAGCTTCTGCGACTGGGTTACAAAGCTGCACCAGTCCCTGCTTGTGTTACAGTTATTATCACCGCAGCGCAATCTCGAGAGCTAGTACCAAGGGAGAATTTGCTAAGCCATATACCGCCCAAGCCACTACTACCTACACCACCATCAACACAAGGGAAATCTCGGAACAGGTTACCGCTCTTTATCCTAGACGTCCTAATTAAGCACCAATCTCATATTCTCGATCGCAATGAAGGTATTGGAAGCGCAATCAGCCGTTTTGACCAACGTGGAGGTCTACCAATTCCTGCAAAACCAGGCAAAGCAATATCAAGAACAAAAGCGGAGGGGCCCGGGCAACTTAGAGACATTGCGCAGAGAGGTGAGCAACCATGCCCTGGGTTTCTGCTACAAAATAACCATATCTTTGTTTAGCTGCTTCAATACTTTGAAACACATCCAGGACCCTTGAGTCAAAAGCCAAGCACATATGATGAGCAATCAATCACAAAACTGCTGGAGAAACTGAGACCTTACGATATTACAAAGGGTGAGATGATCATGATCCTCAATGTTCGCCCGACAAATCCCGTGGCCCTCAACACGGTAATTGAGGATATGGAAGTCAGATTCGGAGAGACGGAGCAAGAAAACATTTCCGCCGGCATTGCAGAAGTGCTTGGTCAGTTTCCCGAGGATGAAGCAGCCGAGGAGGACGTGATGGAGACGACCGAAGACCAGTGAGGACCGGAAAGCTCCCGAAGGATACTCCAAACTCGAATTCATGAGGCGAAGAAGAAGAAAAAGCTTCCCCTCCGATAGCTAGTGAGATTTTGGCTTGATTACATGGCAACACAGCCACCCTCGCTCTGCCCGCCAACAGCCGTGGTGGTTTTCATGGCTGTGCTGAATATCTCCTCGAAGGCTAGTTTAAACAGCTCACCAGTCACAGCTGAACATTCAGCATACTTGTCGGCCCTCATCTCCTGACTCACTTTATACGCCTCTTGTGGGTAAATAATTCCGTTGGGGTCCTGCTCAGATCTCAAGTCCCGCTTGAGACCTAGTATCACGATAGGCAGTTGGTCCTCGTGTTGGAAGGTTGAGCGGACCTCGTTAATCCACTGCGAAAGTATTAGCTGGAGGGGACCGGGGATGTTCATCAGCGATTACTGACAATTCTTTGCATATTGATCAGGGTCAGCCTTTGACTGATATCATAACAAATAATCACCAGATCTGGTTTGAGCAGGCGCCAGCTCTCAGGACTAGATGTGTCATAAAACTCAAGTCGATATCCTCCTTTCTTATTTCTTGCTTCAAAAACGAATGGCTGATCCATGTCACGTAATAAGTGGATGTCGGTTCTCCCCTCAAGCTCTGTGCTTCCTTTACTCATGCGACTTCAGTGAGGTATATGGTTAGACCACACATGAACGGGGATTGAAACAAAGCGTTGACGTACGCTAGAAACGTAGACTTTCCAACCTTCTCATCGCCCAATAGCAATATCTTGATGGGCAGTAACTCCGCCATATTCTTTGAGAAATAAAATTATTCAGTTACAGCGTCCTGCAGCATTGTTGGGCCGTTGAAATGTTTGAATCGCCAGGAGGAGTTGTTCAGCTTATCGGTGCTGGCAATTATTAATATGTAACGCAAGTACTTACCGCGCCTAGGTTTTTGCGGGGCGGACTAGAGCAGTTGTGTAGAAGCGCCACACACTGCACGATTTTGTTGTGCAGTATTTCACAGTAGTATAAGACTGAGTCGCCGAAACAGTTCCGGGGAAACTCTTTCCTGAATAGCATGTATGAAGGTACTCAATAATCACACTGGTCGCTTTGGGCTGTTGGGATTCCTTCCGCCCGGTGTTCGCTTACACAACGCGACAAAACTTTGCCAGAATCGCTTCATTGCAACCCAATCACAAGCGCAACCCAAGGGGCTGCAGGTCAAGCCCCTGAATATGGACAGGAAACCAGATTATCTGAGATGGACCAAGGAGGCCCTGATCAAACGTGTTCATGAACTCGAGGCAGAGCGCATCAAAACCTCTGCTTCTGCTTCAGCATCGGCTGATGTTGCTGCTGCTGTTACCTCGTCGGCTCCTTCTCAGGCATCCCAGTCGCGAGAAGCACCGTCAGGCGCAGCGTCCGGCGACCGCGCGCTGAAGCCCAGAAAGAGGAACACGGACAAGAAGATTGACCCCTCCAAGTACACAACCCGTCTTGTTGCCTTCAAGCTTGCATACATTGGCAAGAATTATGGCGGCTTCGAGTTTCAGGCCAGCTCGTCGCTCTCGACCATTGAAGAGGAGCTCTGGAAAGTGCTCGTCAAGAGCTGTCTTATCATGCCGAAGGACCCGGGGGAGGTCCGCTGGGAGGACTGGGAGTATAGCAAGTGCGGGCGCACAGATCGTGGCGTGAGTGCTTTCGGACAGGTCATTGGCATTAGGGTGAGGAGTAATCGGCCGCTGCCGAAGGAGAAGGAAGAGAATGCAGCTTCAGAAGACGTGGAGATGAAAGGCACTGTTGCATCAGCCGCAGAGGGAAGCGACGCCACGAAAGGAGAAGCACCTGCGGATGGGATGCCCGAAGCAGAGAAGCCATTCGATGACTTCAAGGACGAGATTCAGTACTGCAAGCTCCTGAACCGTCTGTTGCCCTCAGATATCAGGGTACTGGCCTGGTGCCCGACTGTCCCGGCACAATTTTCAGCTCGTCATGACTGCAAAGAAAGGCAATATCGATATTTCTTCACGCAGCCGGCTTACTCGCCTATTCCAAAGAGCCTTGAGCACCCCGAGGCGACGCCGAAGATCAAAGATGGCTGGCTTGACATCGAAGCTATGCGGGAAGCGGCCAAGAAATTTGAGGGCGCCCACGACTTTCGTAATTTCTGCAAAATCGATCCGAGCAAGCTGATCAAGAACTTTGAGCGGAGGATCTTCGAGTGCGATATTGTCGAGGTGAAAGATTCGGAAACAGCGCTGCCATACCTGAGCCGGCAGGAGTTCCAGCCTACGCCCACCGGGACCGACATGGCGGAGGAGACAAAATGTCCCAAGGTCTACTATTTCCACGTCCGGGGCTCAGCCTTCTTGTGGCACCAGATCCGGTGCATGGTAGCTGTGATCTTCATGGTGGGGCAAGGGTTGGAAAAGCCCGAGATCGTGGACCAGCTACTCGACTTCAAGGCACAGCCGAGAAGGCCGAACTACGTGCTGGCAAACGAGCACCCGTTGGTCCTGTGGGACTGCATATTCCCCAAGGAGGGCGACGCAGAGCGGAAAGACGCCATTGACTGGGTATGGCTGGGCGAGGACAACCCATTGAATAAGCATGGAGCGTTCGGACTTGTGGACGACATGTGGGAGTTCTGGCGAGAGAGAAAGATGGACGAGATACTGTCTGGCCAGCTCCTGGATATCGTGGCTGGGCTAGCAGACATCAACAAGAGGCTGGACCCCAGGGCGCCGCCGCACGTAGCTCTCAGCCAGAGGACCTTCGAGGGCGGTAACAGGGAGCGCCTGGTGGGCAAATACCGGCCCATGTCACAGAAGTCTACCCTGCCGTCGCCGGAAGAGACATATGACCGGGAGGCCAAGCGAAAGGGGTACAGAAACGCTGACCACTGGCGGGAAGAACGAAAGAAACCAAAGTTTACCAAGAAAGACGACGTAAGCGAACAGTCGGGGTGACAAAAAGAAAAGAAAAGAAACCAAGGACGTCAGGGCCCTTGTCATTAAAAGATAGTATAGATAGAAGATGTGCCCATAGTCCGCGCGCAGCAATTAAATCGTGGATGTATTCATCTAATCCCGGGTATCATATTCCAAAACTCCTAGTATGCATTTTCTTATCGCTTTCTTTCTTTTCTTTCGAGATACGACCTCACAACGTATTTGATTTCCCATTCCTCCCCATGTTCCTCTGCCGCGCCTCAAACAAGCAGCCCCTGACGCCCCTCCAGACCTTCTCCACGACGTCCCGTCTCGGCAGCAGCTTCGGGAACACGACGACGACCTCCTCCTCGCCCTCGACGACGACCACGAGGTAGTACCTAACCTCAAACCCGCGGAACGCCTCGTTGATCAGCACGTCCTGGATCTTCTCCGTGGGGATGAACCGCGTGGCGGGCCCGCCCAGTATCGTCGCGCCCGAGCTCGAGGTCTGGATGCCGAGCCCCCTCAGCACCAGCAGGGACTCCCTGGCGTGGATGCGCTGGACGGTCGCGTACAGGAGGAACAGGCTGGCGGGGAGCAGCGCCCAGAAGGGCGTTGCGGAGGCCAGGCGGCCGGCGAAGCGGCCGGGCGGCGACGTAAGGGATAGGTGGAACAGGTACAGAACGAAGTCGAGGGACACGGCCTCAGAGGGACGGACGGGGGCGGTGGCCGGGGAGGCGGTGGTGTAGGGCGAGAGCGTCCATTTTGCGTAGAGGAGGAGCAGGAGCAGGAGGCCTAGGAGCAGGCGCGCGGTGTTCACGACGGCAAGGAGGAGGCGGAGCGGGAGCGTCTGTGGCGGGAGCGTCGAGACGGTGAACTCGGTGGTCGTTGGCGAGGGGCGCCGGATGTGTAGGCGTGGTGCTGTTGTGAGCATCTTTGGCGGAGAGACTGCTGCAGCCCCCTTCTCTCTCAAGGCCAACTGATTGCAGGGTTTCCCCGGTATTGCCGATTTCGAGTGTCCTATGCCGGGAACGGTATCATGAGCGTCTGGCGAAGTGTTTGGGAAGCATCTTGAGTTGCGCAAAGAACAACCGGGGTTACACCAGAGCTTGAAAGTGATTACTATAGCGTGCACGAGTAGTCAGTCCCTCCCCCAAAAAGCGCGATGCTTATTGCCTATTGTATGCAGTCATGATTTCGGCGGGCAAATCTTCGGATGAAATTCGGCAACGACCCGCTGTAGTGCTCTTAGTTTAGATTTAAGCCAATTTCTTTCGACTGTAATGGTCAAATTGGTACGAAGGCACTTGTAATTCTCAACCCGCCATGTTCAATTCCGTCAGATCCCCCGATGCTTCGCCCAGTGCGAATGCTGCGGTGGTGTCCCATCCGCGTAGGAAACTCGTGTTGATTGGGATTCCTTAGGAAATGGAGAATACGCTTCAGGGAGGTTTCACTCAGCAGAGCATCTCCCCCGTCGCATGGCGCGCTGGATCACGTTCGCTCGGGGATTTGAGCTGGTGGATTGAGATGGAGATTGTCAACTCCACTATTCTTTTTCTTTTTTTCTGTTTCTTTTCTTTCATCTTATTATATACATACCTAACAAGTCTCAACATAAACGACATACAATGTTTAAATCTTTTTCTAGATTTCTTTATTCTCGACTACTTAAGGTACCTGAGGTGCCTTCCAAAAGAAAATCAACCGAAAATTAACATAATCCTGTCATTGAAATCGTAAACAAGGTGCCGTGAGGCAGCTTTGTAAATGTCGTTAAGTTCCTTCCCGCACATTTCATTTTCTTCAAATTTTGTTAACCTTCAACGCTGCTTTTGGAGTACCACCATCCCCCAAGTCTCCCGCGCGTTCATTCTGTACATTGCCGTGTGGCCGTAACATGTTGGTAAAAAAAAAGTGGAAGTCCAATGCTATCCTGGTATCGTTTATGCCCATCCCCTACTCCACCGCTCCCTGCGTATCGGGAATCCACGTCAAATGGTAGATGCGAAGTTTACAAGTGTTCTAGAATGAAAAGCGGCCGTTATTTGTGCTTGTGCAGAAAATGCTGTAGCTTGAAAATGAATAAAAAAGTTTTTGCCTGTCTTCCATTGCGGATGCAAGAATGGAGGCAAGTATATAAGTCGTGAGAAGAAATGGTATCAAAAAGAAGATTTCGAGCAACGAAAGCGCCAACGCCATGCATATGTGGGAATCGGATTAAGGGATATGTTGTTGTGCACGGACGATATGGGTGAATGCAATCTAAAACATCTCGTTCTCTAAAAGTCCAGTGGAATAGGCTTGCTGCTGCTGTTGTTGCTGATAGGCGGCTCGGACTTCGCGGGGGTGCCTCTCCACCATCTGGGCCTGAACGGCTTGTTGTTGGGGGACAGTGTAGCTCACTGGAGGCAAGACACTCTCATAGGGAGAAGTCTGCTCAGGAGACTTGGTCCGGCTTCCGAGGATGGAGTTGCTGCGGCCACGGCTGGCTGATCGCATGCGTTCAGTGGCGCGGCTAAAGCGTCCAGCGATGCTGTTGTCTTTGTCTGAGATGCTGCGTCCCCGAGCGTGGCTGCTATTTCTTGGTGCTGGGGGTGCGATAATGGGTACGACCACCTCGCTCATGGGAACCGCGACAGGGACATTTTCGTTATCGGATTCGTCCATGACGATCTCGATGGTGCCCGATCCACCGAAGACCTGTGGTCGCATGCCGGGTAGAGGAGCAGGAGGAGGCGGCGGAGGGGTGGCCAAGTGCTGTAACTGACTCAAGATCGGAGGCGGCGGTGGAGGAGGAGGGATCTGGTCCTCACGTGAAGCTTGTCGTGAGTGCCTTGGGCCGCCCATGACCTCATCAATGCCACGGCTAGGAGTTTGAGCATCTGGTACGCTCATCTTCCTTGACACAGAACTGTGCCTCCCATGTCTGCCGGTGGACTGAGAAGGGTACAGTGGTAGACCGGTATTGGACGTGGGCTCCTCCGGAATCGGGGCAGACATGCATCTTTCAATGTTCGGGCGTGTCGGAGGGGAGTAGACAGTGGACGGAAGCAGCGTCAAGAGTGACTCCGGCTCCTCTGTTTTCGGCGACTTATCGGGAGAGCTGTGGGGAAATCTGTCTGGCGACGGCTGGCCAGATGATGAAGGCGACGATTTGACATAAGCCGTCGGGATTGGAGGAACACTAGGCTTACCCATACCGCCGCTTTCGAACTGGAGTCTCATCGCCTTAGGGGTAGCTGGCAGGCCGATGACGGGTCTGTTGCCACTCCGTGTGTAAGAAGAGGTCCTGGTGAAGTCTGCAGTTTGACTCCTCCTTGGAATATCCTGAGGAGGCATAAACGTGGTGGATGGGAGTTCAAAGGCCGTCGGCGGACGCGAGTAGATTGGGGAGAGTTCATGGGGATGAGGGATCGGTGGAGCTGATGGTCTGCGAGCAAGTGATTTGCGGCGTTCTTCAAGCTCACGAGCAGCAGCCTCCTTCTTCAGTTGTCTCTCGGTCATGATTTGCTTCAGGTCGCCGCTACGTGCAGGCCCAGAGACAGCTGGAGTCGCTGGCTGGAGAGGGACCACAATGTTCTCAAGCGCAGGAGTCTTCGCACGTCTCCGTCGTGGTTCAGAGGTGTCGCGGGCTCGATGAACCGCAGGAGAAGTGGGTTCTTTTACGCCACGACTGCCGTTGTGCTTTGCTCGGAACGCCTCTTGTGCTTCAACAGCTGCCCTGTAATCCTCCTCATCGTCTGAAGCGACGTAGAACTGGGCTGCTTGACTGGACATGGGTAGTGGCGAAGAAGGGGATCTCACAACCGATCCATCTCCGCGACTTTTGCTTCTGCCACGTAAATCGAGAGCCGGAGGTCGCCTCTCAGCGCTCCTCCGTCGCCCTCGACTAGATGTCCTGCTTGAAACCCGGATCTGGCTAGATTTTCGGACTGTTGAAGGCTCGTGACTGTCCAGATGTAGAGGAATAACCGACTCGTTGCTGACAGTTGCCTCATTCATTCTTGGTGTGCTCAGATTAAGCAGATCCTCAGGGGACATTGGAACCGGAGAAGTGGGTGAATGCTTGGCTGGCTTGGGGGTGTAATTTCTGGCAATGCCTCGACCGCGGTCGCTCGAGGACTCACGAGTGCGGTCCTTTCGGTTTCTGCTGCTCTCTCGGCTACGAGCCTGCCGATCATCCTTGCGATGGCGACTACTCTCGCGGCTGTGCTGTCGTTGGGAATAGTGCTGTGCTGTTTCCAAGCTGTGGATGTAGTTGTTCAAGCTGCGGCCACCATGGCCACTTCGTAGACTTCGCCCAGCACTTGAGTTGGACGTGACAGAACTTGCAACAGACCCAGGACCACGTCTACGACTAGGCCAGTGGAAACGATTTGACGACGCAATTGACTGCTCTGGTGATGTTACATCGCCAGTGACTGCGGCATCCATTGATTGAAGCTTTAAATCGATGCCGTCCGGTACTCTGTCACGTGCGCCATTTCTGCTGCTACGGCCAGAGGCCATGAGCGCAGCGAATGACTCTGGAGAAGGTGATGGTGGCGGTGGCTGCTTGGCGCGCTGGACATCTCTCATCATCATAGGGCTCGCAGTAGCTGCCCTGGCCAAAGAGAGGCCAGCAACGACTTGCTGGTCTTCGTAGGACGATTTTCTCGAATGAGAACGCTTTGATCGTGTTTCCTTCACTTGCGGTGATGAGACCTCTACACGAACCTCACCGATGGATGGCAGTCTTGGGCGTCCAAATCCTCCAGGCGTCATTACACGAGCAGACGCGGGAGTGTTGAGAGCACTCCTGGATGATGGCTTGAGGAATGCTGTTGTAGGATCACGACCACCCGGCGAAACTGCAGACTCGGCAATGGGGGTTACGCCCGCAGCGATAGGAGTTTGTCCACCATCCCCAGCAGCGAAAAACTTCGACTTCGATTGCTGATCACCGAAAGATGTAATGAGCTTAAGTGCAGAAGTCTTCGCAATGCTGCGTTGCGGGCCACGATTGAGTCCAGGAGGAGAGAGCGGTGGACTCAGCACTTCAGGGATCGTGGCGTCGAGGCTTTGGAAGGTGACCTGAGCGGCAGAAGGAGAAGTCCACGGTTCGCTGGATTCTTGCCCAGTGCAAGCAAAACTATCTTAACTCAGCATAATCGTAAAGTAGTACAAGGGAGATAAGCTTACCATCGGATTGCTAGCTGCTGTTGGCCATGTTGAACAGCGAATTCCCCCCATTTCTTGATAATCTGGGCTTGCCGTTCCCAAACGTTGGGGTAGTAGAGACAAAGTAGGATCAGTGCCTCCATGTAACGCTTGTGCGAAACGTATATTTCAATAGCATCGTTTTGATCGCCCATACCAATCATGATAGTCGCAGCTGCATGAATGTCGCCCCCTTCTAGAAGCCTTTGAACGTAAGCTCTGCCAAGTTTGTGCTGAGAAGCCTGTCCTCCTATGCCGCTCAATGCGAGTAACATCCAATCCGATGAGGTCATGTTTTCCGCAGAGGCCGTCATGATATCAGAATCGATGTCGCCAAGCCACTTGGCCAGGAGGATGCGAGCTGAGGAGCCATTCGGATGGCGCGACATCTCATCACGGACAAGATCCTGGATCCCCTTGTTCCAGCCGAAGATGATGCTCAGCATTTGCCGCCGCAAGTCTTCATTAGTTAGGCGAGTCTGGTCGGCCAGAGGGACTCGCTTGTAAGGAATGTCATGAAGTCTGCTGCGCGTAAATTTGAACAAATCATGGACTTTGTTATCATCGGGACTTCTGGGAACTTCATTTCTCAGTCGCGAGGGCCGCTGACGGCGGGATGCATGAGAGGATGAGGTTATGGATGCTGAGCTGACGCTACTGATTGAGTAAGCGTCCTTGTCTCCAAATGGCGGCAAAGCTGCGGATCTCAATGACGATCCAGTTGAGATGTAAGTGTTCTCAGTCATTCCACGCGATAGTACAGATGGCGGGTGCCGTCCATGGGTGCTTGATCCAGCAGAGGATTTAGACAATGTTGACGTCTGGCTTCTACTAGATATCGGACTCGCAGCCATGTAGCGATCCTGCTCATAAGGATCAGCTCCTCTAACAATCCTGGCTAAAGGGGACATGTGATCTTCATCACTCTCAGAGACTTCCGAGTTGATAGGAACTGAAGCCGAGTCCGAATCGGTGGCGATGACAACAATTCCCTGCTCGACCTGCTCCTCAATAGAGACTGGAGGTGAGGGCGGTAGAAGGTTGGCTGGATGTTGCACATTTGCCACCATCATTGATGGGGTGTTCAGATCGAACTGCTGCACTGTGTTGTTGGCGCCCAAGGTGAACAACGTTGCACCGGGCCCGTAAACAGCGAGACCTCGAACATGCTCAAGCGTTGGTATGCTGTCATAAGTGACGTGCTTTGTTCGAACATCCCACGAGAGCGTCTCACTGTGGCGAGTGATGTTAGTTACTAATGTGACTAAGCGCGCGCGTAACATGCATGGTGGACATACCTATCGGAATACTGGATAATGCGACCATTCTTCGACCAACCCATCCAGTTGGGTCCATTCTGATAATTATCTGTGCGCTTTAGTATCCTGACAACTTTGGCAGGATCATCACCCGTCGTAGACTTTGCCACGCTCCAGACTCTGAGATCGCCGTCATTGGTCTGTACCGCCAACATGTCTGCTTTTTGGCGGGACGAGGATGCATGCCACGCCAGATTGACAATTGGCGACGGTGCTCTCGACGTACTCAAATTGTGCAGAATAGTGAACCTTGGTTGCAGGGTTGCTATCAGTAGAGAACCGTTCTGATATCTATTATATGGTCAGCATAGCGTAATGCGAACGTACGTTCCAGAACTTACCCAATAGCAAAAGTACGACAATCTGCCGAAGGGGCAATTGCCGTAACCATTATTTGATCAATTGTTCTTGCCGATATATGTTCCGAAGTAGTCGGCTCGAATAATATAATGTTACCTTGGGAATTTCCTGCAATTGAGTCAGTGAAAAGTATGTCGAGCAAATTTCTACCGAGCATACCAAATGCTACATTCCCGTTGCGCATCCAAGCTGCGCAAGTCAAGTTTTCGTACGACGCGAAGCGAGCCACTTCGTCTCCAGTCATTAAATCCCATACTATGGCTGTCATATCGACATCATAACTTACTACCAGTCGACCAGCGCCAATTTCGCTTTGAGTGTCGACTGCTAGTAACGTCACTTCTGAGGAATGCCGCGAAAACCGCCTTTCTATTGTAAGGCTATCATGATGTGCAACGACAACGGAAGATCCCTCTGAGGTGATAGTTAGCGGTTAATCTGTATGGATGGGAATACAAGGTCACATACGCCCGTACAAAAGCATAGAGGCCGTGGCCGCTGTGGGCTCAAAGTACTTCATCAGCGTTGCCGAAGTGAAATCCTTTGCCTCTCCAGCAATTTTTCCTTTTCTCGAAGACCTCCCAGCCGAACTGACTGAGGTTTGGCGATGGCGAGACATCGCCTGATGACTCGAGGACGACATCAGGGTGGTTTCGTTCTGGATTGCCAAGTCAGCATATCTAGCCCCGGGGAATGCTTCGCTCATGATGCTTTGGTATGAGGATGCCCAAACAAGGTCTTATAAATCCGAGAATGTCTCGTCATACATCCGTATTGACTCACCTACACGTGCGATTGCCTCCTCGAGTTTAGTCTTCGGGTAACCTGAGCAGGCGGGAGCGCTACACAATACGGCTTCCGACCATCGAGCGCAACACCCAGCTGCCCGTTCCCGGACCAGTGTTCTCCCAAAAAGCTCAGTGTATCCAGAGAATGCCAACAGACATACAGCAAGCGAGAGCAATCCAAGGTTATCGCGAACCACCTCAAGTAATACGGTAGCGTGGTGTCTCGGGGGGCGGCGCCGGCGACTGCTTTATTGCCTTTTCTTTTGCACGATTAAGTTGTTCTAGGGAAGAATTGGAAGTATAGTGGAAGGGCAAAGGCCGGAAAAGTTTAAGCTGTGCGGCGCAACGTTGTTCTGGGGCGGTGATCGCCTCGTGGGAAGTGCGAAGCGTTAGTACTCGTGTAACTATATTGGATAGTCGGTGTGCTGGCGCTTGTCTCGCAGGAGACCTCGTGGAATTTTCTGCGGCCAGATTCGAAAAGCAAAATGGCAGCGTTCGCACTAGCAAGATGCAAAGAAGCAAAGAAAATGCTATGAAAACGGAGCTTGGGGATGTGTGAGTGCAAATAAGTGCTCTATCGCCGTGTTGAGAAGGTCAGCGCCTAACAGGAGAGTCGTCCTGGCCTGTCAATGGCTCGAGTTGCATATTGAAGCGAGCGGCCAAATCTAGAGCGGATACGGTCCGGCTAAGCCAAGGTCTGCATGGCCCAGCGACTCGCAGGGGTCTGATCAGCCATTGCATGCCGAATTGACAAGGAATAAGATCAGGGTTAGCAAGGTGATTGAACTGCGGTGGTTGAAAGTAACTGGCTGGTTATGCAGTAGCTTAAGACAAGGGGATCCCTAAACTATCAATATCCGATATAATTAGCCTCGCTACTGTCTTTGGTGCATTGTGGCTCCCCTGTGCTTGATGACTCTTTCCTAGACTTGTCACTTGACAGAATATGTGGCATATAGTAGAACAAATCCGGGCCCATCAGCGGAGGAGGTAGTAGAGATGGACGCAAGCGAATAGTGAGAATTGCATGTTCCTTGACCAAGCGCAGAATGAATGCCTCGTGAAATCTTCGATGAGAGGCTTATCTTCCTGCTCGCTTGAAGTCACGAGTGCTAGAGATAGAAATATGCTCCACTGGTTTGCCATGATATATGCTATCCACGCCTCTCAGTGGTGCTTCAGACATATAATCATGATCCTCTGCGGATCCTCAACGGTAAAATGAAGTCCAGTCATACTGCGAGCCCCTGTGTCCCGTGATCCAAGAAAGATTCACCTGTGAGATTGATGGCTACCCAGGACAGATAACTGGCTTGTCGAGGTCGCTGAGGAGATGGCTCCTAGGGCTGGCCTGACAATAGCTTCGAAGCATGAATGGGGGCGATTAGGGCCGGTTCCCTACTAGTAGCTCACTTGTGAATCAACGATTGTTAGCTGATGGCAATGTTCTCTGCGAGAATAGCAAGGCTTCGCCGTGTGGTTGGGCAGAGATGGTTGATGGGGACGCTTTGAGAAAGGGATTGTGGACGCACGTCGTTCCTCGCAGTAGCGCGTAGATGTGGTGGAAGGGCGTTTATGGCCGAGGATTGGCTGGTGAACTTCAGGGGTGGGTAGGAGACAGAGGGGTGATTGGCTATAAATCATCAGCTAATACTGAGCGCGGCGGTAAAGAAGCGTGACGAGTAACCACATTGGCTGACAGATGCAGGGGTCCGTTCAAAATTCCACAGTCGTTTTCGCGAATAGCACAGCACTTCGCACGGCATTTTTACTGCTAATGCCATGCCATGCCATGTTTAAATCAGTGAATATCTCCAATTACAGCATCCTCACGTTCGATGCTGGCCCAGGGGCTTGATACGCTTGCAAGGTACCCCGCCATAAGGAAAACCCAATGCGTACCATTGCATGTTCTTCACCGATGGCTATCAACGTTCATCCACGTTACCTGACCTGACGCCACTCAAACACGACGACATGCTCGAGTCTCGTGGCTCACTGAACGAGGTCGCAGTGTCAAAGGACCGTAAGTCAGGCTTTCATAGCATGCATAGAGTTCAATGACATAAAGCATAGTTGCATACCGCTTCACACAAAACAAAACAAAAGCAAGTGTGAGCAGACATAATCACGAGATTTGACCATTATCTAGAGTCGGTTAAGCTGCTTGTCGAGAGTCAAATATCGTCCGCAAGTCGCGGCGATTTCGCGCGCCAGGGTCAACTCATTTCGGGTTACCTAAACAGGTCAATGACCGAAGGTTATATCAAAAAAGCATGATTGTTCGTCTTGTTAGTCACTGAAAGGATACCCGTCTCTCGATGGGATCAAAAGCGTTTCATGGTACTCTTTGTCATCATAGAAGAAGAGAGAGCACATAATTACGGGCTGCGCTACTCCCTTGATCCCCCCCAAAGCTGTATCTTGTCTGCTAACTCCCAATTGTCGAGTTAGCCCTGCACGCATCAAGCCACATGCTGCAACTGCGAAGTCAAGACATGAGGTCATCTTCGTTGGACAGCTGTGCATCAATTCATTTATACTCGTGGAGAGATTGGCTAGTCCACGATGTATGTACAACGCAGGACATCTTGCGTTGGCTGTTACCCCGCGGTTCTTGCTGCAGACTTTCTAGAAGTATCTGCAGATGGCCGGCCGTACAAATGATATTGATATCGCATCTCATCGTGAAATGGTTGTGCGAAGCCATGTCTGTGTTAGGCCCCTTGCATATCATGCCATACGACGCTACGATCCTAGTTAGCGGTGCTCCGGGTTGCGAAGGGGCGCGGCGCATCTCAATCTCGGTACCTCTTGCTCTGTCTAGTCGCCACCCTCCCCAGTGAGCAGGGCGTGTTGCACGACGGTTGAAATGATGCCGCAAGTGAGAGCTACAGTACAGGAGAAACCCCATCAGCACCTGCAGTATCATCGACGCGGTAGATGCTGAGTATCTGGGCCCCTGCTACTATACTTGACAACGGTCAGGGCATCCCTGACTGGGTGCCCGCTGACGACCCCAAATTCAACGTACAAGGGGCATGATGATGCGAAGACTCGCGGGCCGCAAGGCATGATTTCTTTCCGCTATGGTAAGCATGGTTAGCCTCCGCCGAAATGCAAGCAACGGCGGAAGAGCATGCAACCCTGTTAAGCTCCCGGTGCCGTACGGCTGAGGGGACAATGTCTAGAATTTGAGGGCTTTTGAGGCGAAGTGCAGACTGACCTCTAAATTTAATGACGTTCGCAATCCCGCATGAGAAGGATGTCTGCTTTTATGTTTGTGACCAAAGAGATAATGCAGGTTAATTCGATCTTTAGATTATGTGGTATTACTTGGCGTATCTCAGTATGCGATCTACAACCAACAGAACAAGCATTTGATGCGCCTGGTCGAATGCCCAACGCGACAACGGCTGTGTCAACGGCGGTAGGTAAGGATATCTCTAATCTCACCATGGCCACTAACCGAAGTTCCGCTCATACCTCGCTAAAAACCTTGTATGTGAGCTGTGATCAGATGCATACAAGCCTCTGGTGAGTTCGGCCTCTGGAAATCATGGCGACGAACGCCACGCCGTTCTTGTCACACTCTATGGTGGAGTATCATGAGGTGTGATAGTGATTAACTCGGCCTACACCTTGAAAGGAGTTCAATTGGCCGAAACACTGTGATTATATGGGACAAGTTTGAAGCGGTCAAACATTTAGCTCTCAGGAAGTTCCATGATTTCTCTACGATTACCATGTCCGTTCCGGCGGAGCGGTGTCTTGGCGGGCAGAGAGGCTGTAATATCATCTATTTGGAGATTACCATATGCATATTGCAGACCCATATGATGTTTGTCCCAGCCACCCCCAGAAAGATGTGAACATGCAAAACATCAGGCATCGGGTGCAGCATCTTTTGCAGTAGGTCTATTGATAACTTCGCCAGCCACGAGTAGGATGTTCAGGGGTTTTATGTTATGCGGAATGGTAGGCCACACACGGCTCTATTTTCTACCAAGGGTATTCCCGCACTTCCGAGAACTTCTTAACACTGATCTGTACATCATAGGTGAATGTGACTCAAGAAACAATATTGCCCATTTGTGGTAATGCGAAGTATTGTATTATCCTTTAAACAGCATCGGCTCAGGATTTGGACGAAACACCAAAATACATGACGAATATAGTAAAGTTCACCCTGTTACCATACTGCCTTGTGCAACAAACCCCAATAAGGTGAGCGAAACTACCCGTTCACCCCTGTCAGCCTCAAGGTTCCTCTATGCAGCTAGGTTACTATGGTAGAAGACGAGGAAGACTCCCAGACTCCCAGATGCTTGTCGCGGTGACGACCATGGCAACATGCGTTGCATGCTTTTCGACAGGAGAAGCTAACTGAACTTCGTTAGCTTTTCGTGTTCGATAGTGCTGCCTTCAGGAATTAGCCAATATATATTCTCATCACTTCCGAGCATCAAGGATTATTATTGGGGGGAGCTAGGGGGTTTAGGATGCTTGGTTTTTTTTGTTTTTTTTCCCCCCAACTTCGGTTGTACATAAAGCGAGTCACAAAATTGTCAGGAACAGGCCGCTTCAGTGTTGTTCAGGTGATTATTATTTAATTGTTGTAAGTAGATCAACGTTGTGAAGGCTTGGCTATTCTCCGCATTTCTCCAAGAACACCATCATTTGCACACAGCTATATCAAGGCCAAAATCCATTATGCGACCCCCCTTATCGGCACGAATCCAACACACCATGAACCCTGAAGTGCATGCGAAAAGTCGACGACACTTGCTCATCGATTATTTTCCATCTTCTACTTGCGTCTTGGCCCTGTCAGATTAATGGCCACAGAGGATAAACTGCCTTCCCTGATGTACAAAGACATCACACCACCGCATCACATCTGGACCGCTCCAACTAGCGTCCTCACTGCACACCACGTGCATTGGGACGTCGACCTGATGACCAAAGCACATCTGGCTCGCCTCCTTCCACCAAAGCGCTATCTCCACAAGTCTCTCTCTGATGCAGACTTGAATGCGCCGGGCGCTAGCGAGCTTGCGCTCTGGGGTATCAATGTTGGGGGTATCATTTGGGTATCATAAGATCGTAAAGGTCATTCTCTTTCTAGTCATGCCGTTAGTGTCAGATGCAATGAGTGTGCGGGTAGAAAGTGACTCACCATTCCATATGCGCGCAAAAGCAAAACGTCATACATCGCTCACTCAACAACCTCGGAGATTGGTGCCATGGCGCTACTGCTCTTTGACTTCGGGCTCTTCTTGGCCGAGCCGTTGGAGCCACGACGCGTGTGCCTCGCGACCTGCTTTCGGCGCTCCTTCTCCTCAAGTACGAGTCTGAGCGCCTCACGCTGTTGTGCTGCCTGCTGTTCTCTTTGCATGCGCAAAAGCTCCTCCTCTGTTACGAACGGCGACCCTGAGGCGGTGCTGCTGCTCGAGCTAGCAACGCTATGGATATCGTCCTCCAAATCAAGCAGATCATCGTCGGAAAGGTAAGACGAGGCACGCGATTGTTGCGGCCAGGAAGGGAACGCGCATGTTGACTGGTGGTAGGCTGCAGACCTCGAAAGGTAGCTACTAGGACCAATGTCGAGCGGTTGTGCCAACGAGCTCATAGAGCTATATGATCCGTAGGAGCCGTACATTGTGTTTCGTTCCTTCGGTAGGTCGACTTCGGGAAGAAGAAGAAATAATAACGTGGTGGTGATCAATTTCTACTGATCAGAATGCGCCACTCGGGTGTGCGCGTGTAAGCGGTGCAAAGTGTTGCGTATTATAGTCGTCGGGAAAAGGAAGCAGCACAAGATGTGGCCGTACTACGGAAGATTGCTAAGAGCAAGACAAGCTTGACTGGCGTATTATGGATATTATTGAGTGTCAAACAGCAAATCGAGCCAGAGCCTGACGTGAGCGAGGCATAACAATGATATATAACAAAGGGAGGCATGATTCATATTGCCCCGAGACTACGGAGGCAACAGGGGGCCTAGGGACGCCTATGGACACCCTTCCCCCACGCGAAAGTAGCGGTAAGATTGAACCACGCATTTTCTTGTCCGCCTTAAAGGGATTGTATTAACCTAGGATGCTGACACCGCGGGTATCGACCGCCTAACTGTAAGGTCCGTGGGGCCGCAAATAGGGCGGGCTACCCACTAACTAGGATCAATTCTAGGTGTGTGGCACTGACTTGGGAAAGTGTCAGAGTCCCAACTGGTTCAAAAGGCCCAGACCGCCACATGGAGTCAGCACAATGGGTTGCTCCCCGGGCCAATCAATATCTTTCCTATTGCTGCTTCTTACCGTTTCTTTTCAAGCCTGATTTCACCCGGCGACGTTTCCGACGCGCTAGGATGACCGTCTCCCGCGGTGAAAAGGGTCTTTTTTTGTTCGCGGTACGAGCACCCGGAATAACAATTTGCTTTCTGCCAGCAACGCTATGCGAAATGGGCCATGGTGTAAAACTATCTTTCTGTTTGCTTTCCAAGCCCCATCGTCCATCCTCGATGCGCTGAAGTTCAGTCATTTTTGATCAGTCTATTTTTACATGGTTGCTTTTACAGCCCCCAACTCCTGACTCCTTCATGTTACTGTATCATTAGGAATCCCCCGGATCCAACATTGCCGGCTTTCAGCCAACGACGTCAGCATTGCCCCGGCCCTGGTGAAAATCAAGAAAAACTAGACCTAAGCAGCATGTTACGAGTTTGTGTACAAATAAAACAAAATTAAATGTTATTTCATGTCCCGACTGGCTGGTTGGCAGGCATTTGAACCGTGTTGTCGGCCCATGAGCCAATACACGCAGGACGTTCAGACCGCCTAAAGCCAACGACTCGCACACAAGCCTATTCCAGCCAGTGGTATTCCTCTCCGTTCAATAGCGTCACACAATAAGTTCCTGTTGGGACTGGACCACACGGCCTTAGCTCAGCGAACACACCTACTCATATCGGGCACCGAATCCTATTTCATCAAATGGGGATTTCATCACACCTGAGTCATAGTTGTTGTTGCATGCAGTGCTCCGCCTTTCGCCGTGTCAGACCTTTCACACACTGAGTTTATTTGCTAGCCAGTAATCATAGGAATGCTGACGATATACCGGGCTAACGTAAGTCTCTCCGTACAACCTACTGGATATTGCTGCCTTGCCGCTGAATCGTCTTCCCTACCAGTACAGAGATTATGATTCCGTCCGAGTCCTGGGATTCACACGAGGATTGTACATGCGAAACTTGGTGTCGATCGAAGGCCACCAGTCGCGACCTCGAATCCAGATCTCTGGTGTTTCGAATGACCAGCAACGTGTTCGGGGTTGGTCGGTCCCGATTGTAGATCAGCGGGGGACGCTATGCCGGCGACCTCCCGTTGCATGTCCAATACACAATGCCAGGACATTGCTTGCGGTCTCGCAATGTAACGGTGTTCTATAAACGTGTTTCAACGCTTGACCGCTATGTCAGGTGCGTCTGGCCACTGCCTAGATTACCCAAACTAGGAATCTGGAATTCCTTTTTCTTATCCGCCTCGGCTGTCAGTTATTTCCATATTTGGCTGGACCGTCAAAAGAGGCATCTCCACAAGCTCGCTGACCACCCGAATGCCCGAGATTAAGATAGCCAGACTGACGGAGAAGCGGAGCGCAGCGCTGATCTTGTCCAAGGCACTAGAAGGCGCATGGAAGGCCAGGCAATGACTCGTTTGTGTAATCTAACCCTTAACAGCATGCATTCGCGGTTAGATCGCAACCATTTACTCTATACAAACTCATAACGAGCTGAGCGTTTCGGTTCGGAAATGCTGTCCAAAAGTCTCAGTGCTTTGACGTATTGCCTGACTCTTTTTAGGTGAGAAATTCTCAAGACGCGCTTGAGACAGACGATCTTCTTGTGGCTGAACGCTACTCCGGACTTCTCTCCCGCCTCCCATCAGCCCGGGCCATAATTAGGTCTGACAAAATAGCCAGAATCCTGGGGTCTAAATCTGGGGTAAAGGTTCAATAGATAAAAAGTATTTTTGCAATGGTCATGATTGTTACTGATAGTTGTGGGCCGAATCCTGAAGAATTATTACTTACCATCCCTCCTTCATTTCTTGACAACGCCAAGATCCGTGGATGAGTCTGGGAAAGTACTTGTTTGCTCGTAGTCGCCTAAGTATCAATATTTGCTTCTTTGCCGATGGCTGAATTCCGGTTCTTGGTACTTGGATTCCAAGCATTCGATATATTAGAGGGTACGTATTTCCCACCAACCAGAACACATCGCGAAAGTCCATGGGGGTGAAGGTGGTCTTCTTCCGACCGGTTTCGCTTATCAGAGCGAGCAAGCTCTGGTATGTAAAATATGAAGAGTTGCACGGTAAAGTAGTTCCACGAGAAACACGACTCAAAAATCCATTCTTGACTCAGTTCGCAATTCAGGCCCTGGAAATGCTGACCACCACCAACCCTTGCTTACTAGACTATACGAATGTGTACGCTTCTCCTATTCCCAAAATAAGTTGATAATAATGAAACTCATTAAACGTCCCAAGTCGTCAGTCAGCCTTTTTTGCTTTAAAAATCACTATCTCGGACTTGATTCTCGTCTTGTACATACCAACTGCCAAGAAAAATAAGGAAAAAAAGGCCGTATGCTCGAAGGCTAGTAGATAGACCTCCGCCTATTTAGAGTACATGTATCTGGAGTAAAACTTCCAGGGTTACATAGTCTGTGTTTTGTCATAATGCTTACCTCGAGGGCGAAAAAGTCCGTGAATTCCGCAACTTCCGGGGACAGTCAAACTCTTGACGCTCTATGTTGACCTTACTTATCCAAACGTTCCGCAACGAGTGCTTTGCCTAGCCACAAATTGTATTTCATGTCAATAATGCGGAGGTGCTGAATTTGGCATCGTTATCTGAAGCGAACTCCGCCCGTATAAAATCATGCCGAAGTGTGGGGGGTCGCGGACAGGTTTCAATCGTGGGCCAGAACTGCAGCATCGTGGGGTTGACCACATCTAAAGTTTGAGAGGCAAATGAGTATTTTGACAACGAGATCGATGCATGCTATCTAAACCAGTACAATCAAGATATGCATAGGATACGCTCAACGGAACGCACTGCTACTGCCGCTGCGGTCCACTCAACGCCGCGATGCCTGGTCTATGGCAATCTAGGGGAGTTACAGGGTTGTAAAAGTACCGGATCCCCATCGCGGTGCTTGAAATTTCGAGTTTTTATTGCAGGATTCTGCAAGCAAGCACTTCAGACGACATACAGCACATAACACATGGCGGTGAAACGTTACCACCAGCTGGGCTGGCCAAGCTGGCCGCACATTGTTGCTTTTTGGGCTTCTATCGATATGGGCAAATCAATCATATCTAACACCACCTTCGCAACATATTGTACCGATCCCAAGGTAGCATGTAATTATTGCTAATCTCATTGCGATACAGTTCAGAAAGACTTGCATCTGCTGAATCCCTTTGCACACCACGTCGACACAGGCATTGGAGTCGCGATGAACGCTGATGTGCAAATCCGATATGCGGTAATATGCAAATTGTCAGCGCGACGCCAGCTGTAGAGGAACAATGCCATGCAATGGTGGCTGCTGTACATATCAGATGGGTGTGTGGATGGTCAGTCGTCGAACCTTCTTGACTGCTCTCAGACCTCTCGTTGAAGCCCAGTACTAGTACGCCGTCTCGAGCAGGGCTGACAGGGGTCTTCTGAGGACGGGGGACTTCGGAACATGGCCCCCTTTTCATCCTCCGTGAGGATCCTCACGGATAATACGTTCAAGATCCCGGTCTCATCACAGTGTTCAAATGCTCTCGTAGTCCCAAAAGTTCTCGCTAAAGTACTGTGCTTCCTTTTGATTGTATTAGAAAGCAAACTTTTTCAATGTCTTGCATCAAAGCGACAGTGCTCGCTAAGAAGCTGGATTGAAGAGATGAGAAATGACAAGCAAGAACTTGCGATCTTGAGTGGTACTCAAGGATTGCACCAAATTTGTTAAGAAGTCACTCGTTGATTGCGATTTGCTACTGGAGATACGGGGGTTGACGGGCAAGTGAGATGCACACAGGCGCGATATGCGACGCTTCTGAATCAATCACATTGTCTACAGTACTCCATACACATATATAACTCCGCCTGTCAATATTTCCCGCACCAGTAAATCCCTTTTGTCGAATAGGGATGAAGGAGAAGCAATTCACCATTCACGTGTCATTGGAATATCATCCTGCTTGACCTTGCATTGCATTGCGATGCCGGCCGCAAAGCGTCTTTTCAGACCGGCCAGATGATGGGAGGTATCCCATCACTCGTGGGACGCATGCGCAAGGCATGAAATTGCGACAAATTATTTCACGCGCTGATACAGAGCTGGACCACTTATAAGTTATCTGGGTGTGATCTGAAATGTGATGTTCTGCTAGTGTCGGGAACTGTCACAGAGACGGCGTCTCTGTTGTCAGCAGACGGATGTGTGGGCGGGGCATTCTGCGGACCGCTGAAGACGATCGTCAGCTTACAGGGTCAAGGCGGTTGTTGCCGGGGTACCCATGAAGAGCTAAAGAATATGTGGTGTGGCCTTCGTGTTCAGATATCGCCAAGGCTAATGAGCTCGACTATACTGTTGTGGCGCAGGCATAACCAGGTCTGTTTGGCAGCTATTGACAGCCTGCGTGCGAATGCAACGAAAATTCAGAGATCGTACAGCTTTGGGCATGGATTGTGATGATTATGCGAAGACTTAACTAGCTAGCACATTAACGAAGCGTGTTGAATCAATAGTAATTCAACTCAACAGCTGTGGCACCCGAGAACCAGCAACGTCATACCAATACGTGTAATCCACCATCAAGGTCAATCGCAAATACTTAGGCGTCTATACAATTGTGTAGCTGGGAGAATCGTAAACAGATGAGAACGCATTGTGCTTACTATTGATTAATACATTGTTCACTGGTAAGTTAACCCTAGCCATGAAAGTGTTGATTGTTTATCCAATTCTTTACCCTTCAGGAAAACCTTTCAGACTTCGACAGATTGATACAAGCTTGGTGTCAGTTTCATGGTATGGATAGTCAGAATACTTCCTAGAGTATTCATATAGCAGGGTGTTGAATCGTTCGCGGCTGCGGGGGAAGAGGCCCGATATTCTTGGCTATGTTATGAATGTTCTTGGAACCTGATTTGCACCAGATGATGGGCAGCTGTTTTATTAAACCAGTTCCCGAAGATGAAAGACTTCTGTTATAACGCAGAATAAATGCTACACAAAAGAGGTTGTTAAACCAGTCTTATAATCAATGGCACGCTATAAGATGCAAGCTGCTTCGAAAGATACACAAAAACCTTTAAGTTAAGTTCAGTGATACCATATGAAATTATGAGTTCTATGATTCAGAGGAAAGTAAAATCGCAATGAAGATCACCACTTGCTTTGGCTAAACGTGATATCAACTATCACAGTTCTGCAAGAGTATTGTTGACTGTCCATTTTGATGCAAGAGATCATATCTGCAACGTTATTGCACCTGATCCCACTGACTGAACATTACACTTCTGAATAGGAAGATTATATGCATGTTTTACAATGTCATGGTCTTTCTTAACCATAACACTATAGGCCCAGAATCCTTCAAAGATTTCTCGATATGCGAAACTTGTGGATGTATGGCTATCCTGTCACCTCCTTGACTATCCTCTAATATTATTGTATAAGTGCCGTTCGCCGAAATATATGCCTGAAGTCAATCGCAGCTTTCAAGTCTACCTTCACAGCCACAAAAGAGGAAAAAGCTCAAGCGAAATGGGGAGGCTCAACTAGCTGACGCTATTCTTTTTCACGTGTACTCCTGCCTACACTACTGCGACTGTATTGCATCACTCTCCCTTTGACTTGCGGCGCAAAAGAGTAAACTGTCACACATGAACAATCAACTGGTATCTACCATGCCTTTGCCTACTCTGATTCTATTCACTACGTGGTACTCGAACTGTTGTTTACCATTACGCCGGACATCAGAGGCTTTTGTTTCTTCTTCGCATGCATTTACGTTGCCACTGAGACAGTATCCTTACATCAATGCTGCATATTTAACATACCTCTCATCATTAGATACCATTAAGCTGGCAAATCTCGACACCAGATCCTAGACGCCGACAGCTTCTGCAGAGCATGAAACTATGTGCAACAACATCTATTGGCATTTTCAAGAGTGCGGTCATCGGGACCTTCAAAACACCTTCCCCTGTCACGTCGCCAGGCGTTGCGGGCCAAAGGACGATATGCTTCTTGATAAACCTGTTCACCTGCCACACCGTCCGAGAATACCTGCCGGTTTGCTGGACTGCAAGCAGAACACCCTCCTCACAGGTAAAAAGGGCCTATGCCCCAGCTGCAAACGTGGCGGAGGACGTCACGAGAAGCGACCGTCAATCGCACCAAACACACGGAACGCCTCGATGGTCCACCCGTCACGCACAGCCGACGTCACGACGGATGAAGACATAAACTTGTTATTGGGTGAGTATCGATTATTAGTAGGAGAGTAAACGAAACAGTGCTAATCCGGTAGCTCAGAAGGGCAAGCACGAGGCAGCAACACAAGTGGCCGAACGCCCAGTCCTGACCTCGAAGCATCGTACACGCTAAGAAGCTTTTTGCGTCTATCAGTGATGCAAGAGCGCATCCACGAAACACTGGAAAGAGTAACGGAGGACAAGGACGAGGAGTCACCTCCAGCAAAACGTGGTCCTCAGGGCTGAACAGCTACACATATCGAGTGAGAATGACGGGAAGGTACAAGTAAGAGGCGCGTGAGGCCATGTATGTTTGAAGGGACTCTTGCACTCAAGCTGCAGAGTCAAGTAGTTGTCGAGTTCAGCAGAAAACACACAAAACTCATACCAAAATATGTCACAGGAAAGCTTAATGCTGAGTCAGAATCAAAGAAGGCACAGTCTTACTCTAGAAGCGTGAAAGTATATTTATTGATCCACTGAGGTTGAACAGTGTTGCTCATCAGCAGTCTGCCGACTACGACGAGTCATTGCCTTCCGGCCGACGGTGACTGTCTTGGCATTTTCCCTTCTACCAGCATTCCGACTGGCAAAAGACCTGTTACGGTGGCTTGTCATAGCCCGTAATGTCTGCCGATCTGCCCTTTTGTATCGAACCTCATGTAAAAGCCAACTTTCAAGTCCGGGCAGCTGAATATTGAAAGTCGGTAAAGCAAGTAACCTCATTTTCGAAGGGTCAATTGGCGCTAGTGGCGGTGAGTTCCCCTCTCTCTTCAGAAGTTCGCCTGGAATATAATCATCTTCAGGTACGGGATATCCAACACGGGGAACAACGTTCTTGAGATCTAAATGTTCTTCGGAATATATCGCTGGTAGGGTGTACCTAACCTTTCCAGGCGCGAATTTTTTGAGCAATATGGCCAAACGTTTACGGTCTTTTGAACTTAACGATGCACGAAAATCTTTTGTGTGATCAGACAAGAATGGCATGACTATGACACGATAGGGAAGACGGTGTGTTAGTCGAACCCAGAATCGGTTGTCCCAAAATTGCCAAGGCATCCAAGCCGACCACTTCCACCGGACATGATGAGTTGTACGCGCGCTTGGCTTGATCGCTGACCAATATGACACGCGCCAAGTAGGAAGCGGTGAGGTTGTCGTGTATGGCTGGCGTGAGATATACCAAGTGCGTGGATGAGACTGGCTCAGCGCAGCCGTGGGACGTGGCGTAGAATCGATAGGCATGAAATGGAGTCCTGCGATATTGAAAGCTTTAGGAGGCGTTGCTGTCTGGCCATCAGAAGTGTCTGCAAGACCTGGGAAGAGCCAAGAGACGACGTTTTGTAGATTCGCAACGGTAGGGGCTTGAAGCTCGGGGGTAACGAGTGCAATAATCCGCTGTATAGCTAGGGCCGTAATCAGACGCATGCGTGAGACACGACGCCGGTAGCGTTCCTCGGTACGCGTGTACCGTCTTGAAGTCACTGCCGGAATATCAGGCAACTGGACTACCAATGAGCCGACGTGTGGCTCGAAATCGTGAAGTATCGTCCTTTGTAGTAGTCGTTCAGCCTCGGCATCTTGGGTTTCGGCTCGACGTTGCCAGCTTTTGGACAGTGCAATGATACTTGGTTTTTGCAGGGCTCTTGGTAAATCGCATGACCTGTGCAGGTGCCGTATGGAGTTCCTTGTAGTTAGAGTAGGGTCCTGATTGGTAGCGTCTTCGAACCAGGGCACATTATTTTCCAAGCACGTTGCGATCAGCCTGTCCTTGCTGAACTCTAGCAACGGTCGATAGATATTAACACCTCCGTCCTCGATGGGAATTGTACCGAGCTCGGTCGATGCGTCAAAATTCAGCAGTCTGCCACCGATTCCGCATTCGTCTCCAATATTAGTGTTCTCGTCAAGATCTTCATCCACACATTGATTGATGCTTGACCTGAGGTCATACTTCAAATACTTTCGTTGTCTCTTAGTGAGTCGGGTACTGTAGAATGGATATTGCCGGTTCTGATCATCAACCCAGCCACTATCATAAGCACCAAGTAGGCCCTCACATTCAGGTATACCAGCTGCCTTGCGCATTCCTCGTAATGCTCGGTTACGATGCCCACTCATCAGGCGCATGAGCACCGTTTCATACTGGTCGTCTTCGTGATGCGCAAGGAGCAAAGTGGCCATGCGACGGAAGGCTAACGCTTTGCCCAGCTTACGGTATCGAGCCCTGCGGGCCACGCTTTCGATGTTGGTCACGTCACCGATTTCAACACTGTCACCGAGCTCCTTTTTCCAGTTGATCTGAAGAATGTCACAGGGGACATGGAGATCGTTGAGTGCTGCGGCAACGTTTTTCGCTTCCGCAGTCGACCCCCCACGCAGCATATGGTCAACCACAAAGGCCCGAAACCCCGAACATGGGTTGTCCGTGATCTTTATATCAGGATCGAAGCGGCGGATCTGGGAGCAAAGGTAGGCCAATGCCATGGAATCAACACCGCCACTTATCGCGAGAGCTGCGAGAGAATTCTCGGTTAGCTGAACCTGTAGCAAACTGCCTTCTTCAGTGACACTTACCGACTTGCCGGTGGATCACACCTCTAGCCTCGGGGAATCGTGGCTTGCATGTTTCTCGAACCGCATCGGCAAACTCGGATAGGCTGATAGCCCGCGCGCTTCTATGCAGGACCTGCTGGGCGACGCGCATTCCATTTCTGAGCACTCGGTGATCCGTAGGTGTCGGTCAGTGGGCTTTCGAAGCCAAGCTGCGCTGCAGCTATGGTCAAAGGTCAGGAAGATTGGAGCCAAAATTAAGGGAGCTACAAAAGGACCCACCCCGACTGAGAAACAGCTACACATTGGCCAAGCTGCGTCACTTATTTGACCTTGGTCTAACCATATAGGGTAGGGGAGTTCCGGTCAATTGGCTGAGCTTAGGTACAGTAGTTTCCTACGGACTCAAATGCCAACTACTTGTCACTCACTGTATACATGACTACAACTCCGAACTGCAATATGATCAGTGACCAAGTAGGGCTCGTTGTCGACTTAGCACTAGACTGGTGCTTTGATGACACTGCCAGTCGCAAGTAACCTCAAGACATTCTCAAGCTTTGTCCCACTACAAATCTAATGTTTCTGTCCCAAATCTAACATGAGACTAGGGGGGATAATAACGTCTTATATCGCTCTATGACCTTTTTCTTTCTTTGCCAAATTTTTTTTTCCCCTCCCTTTTTTTTCAAGGCGGATATTGCTGTATAGGTAACCCTTTAGATGCTTCGTAGACCAGGCATCATAGCCATCCGCCGTCCACCGAGTATACACTTCCACTCACAAATGTGCTCTCCGGGCCAAGAAGGAAGGCAATCACGTTAGCCGTCTCCTCCGCGGTTCCTTGTCTTTGGAATGCACTCGGGTCCTCGAATGGCGCATCGGCCGGTCGTCCTCTTGCATCCCAGTTCTTCTGCATCAATGGCGTGAAGATGGCTCCCGGGGCGACGCTATTGACCCTAACCTCTCGCTCTCCGTTTTCAAGTGCTGCAGCTCTGGTAAGACCTACGACAGCATGTTTGCTTGCGTCGTAGGCGGCATGTCTCGGGAATCCTAATCCATTGGTCATTGCCGGCTTCTGTATCGTTACTGCAGTATGCTGGCTTACCCTTCAGTCCATGGATCGATGAAACGTTCACAATGGAACCTCGATCCGCAACCTTCCGCAACTCGGCGCGCAGACAGTACATCATGCCGGTCAGATTCACTGCAATGATCTTATCCCACTCGTCATCATCGAGTTCGGCAACAGATGCAATGCCGTGATCCTTTCCGATAATGCCTGCGACATTAGCTGCACCGTCTAGCCGCCCGAATCTTTCCACCGTTGAGTCTATCCAGGAATCCACCTCCAATCTCTTCGATACATCCACTCTAGAAACCGTGAATGGTACGTTGAGTGAGGAAAAATATCCCTCTGCTGTTTTTAGGGCTTCCGGATCTACGTCAGCAACACCCACTGTAGCTCCGCGTTTCGACAAGAGTTTGGCCGTAGCTAGACCAATCCCGCTTGCGCCACCCGTAATAACGTATACCTTGCCCGTGAGTGGTAGCGCTATATCACTTGAAGATGCCATGACTTGGGCCGCAGTGTGCGATTTGAAGGGAAATGTGAGTGTATGAAGGTGGGAAGCTCTTCGGATCATGTACAGGGCACGCTGGTTGTTGCAGTGTCTGTCTTTGCATGGCTAATAACAGGTTGCTTACAAGAGACTATAGCACAGCGCGGTCCTCGGGCTTCTATCCTCCCAAACACCGACATGGAAATGGCCCAACAAGTGCCTCTCTGGCACCCCCCTCGTGTGAGATTGGGGTAGTCGATGTGGAGATAACTGCACCGCTATAGGTGGGGATATTGTAAATCTCGTGAAAGAAATATCCGTCGGCTACTTTTTAAAGTATTTGGGGTATTTGGGGTATTTGAGGCGCCTCTGTGTCGAAAGTCCACTTCGTGATGGGTAACCACATGCATCGGGAAAACGTGTTAACGTGGAATGCAACCTTTATTTCATATCAACGAAAACGCACATTCCTATTCGTTCCGTCAGATTGCCTTCCAGGCAAAAAGAAAATGAAAAGGAAAAGGAAAAGAAAATACCCCTCCTCAGTTTGGCACTATTCCTGTCTTACAAACAGTAGTATGCAGGTTTGACAAAATCACAGTCAGCGAAAAGCTGAACAATACCACAGCTACCGGCATAACGAAAATGTATTGAAAGATACTAGAAAAGGCCATGATCGCCCAGATTTTAACGACTCTGAGACTGGACAAAACTGGAGCATCCAACGAAAATGCTTGAGAACATACAAAGTGTGCAGTAGTAGTCACGATGTTCGTAGCATTTTACTTAGGATTATTCGGTGGGTTTGATATAGTATGAGCACGTCGTATCAAGCAATACACAGATTCCGCGATAGAATCTGGACAACGTTCTATGTGATTACTTCAAATATGCTTGGAGTGCTCCAACTAACCTATGTGAGTGTAATCGTATAAGTGGTTCCCGCTGTTGTTTCGATGCTCTTAATCGACTCACCGTTGATCTTGAAGTCGACCCCGTTTGCGACTTTGACCGCCAATGGGCTGCCAAGTCTCGAATAGATAGAGGCCTCAGCGAGAGCTCCGTCCTCCCAACTAATGGTAACTTCAAACCCACCACGTGCCACAAGTTTCGTGATCGAGCCTTTGGGTACTTTCTGCGCCAGGGCCGGAAGTAAATGGACGAGTCCAGCATGGCTCTGAAGTAGCGATTCAGTGATCGCTGCAACAACCCCGAAATTACTATCAATTTGAAACAGGTTGCTGCCAACATTGATCATGTGGAACATGTTGGTCATGACATGGCCTTGTAGAAGAAGTTGGGTTTGGTTGTATGACTGATCGCCATCGAGTAGTCGAGCAAAGCACGCTGCAACCCAACTTCGAGACCATCCAGTAGCTGCGCCTCCGGCAGCAAGACGTCGTTCAATAGATACACGCGCCGCATCTGCTAGAGTCTTATTGACAAGCGGTGTGAAGCGGCTGTTAGGAAAGAGGTCCCAGAGATGAGATATATGGCGATGATCGGGAGCAGCTTCTTCATAATCGAGACGCCATTCTTGGATTTGGCCATATTTCCCGATCTCTGCTGGCCGGAGCCTGTCGAGGAGTGACTGAACGTTAGAGAGAACTGCGTCACCCGCAAGCGCGATGCCAAGGTCCGACGCGATAATGAGTATGTTTGACAAAAATTCGCGGAGAAGGGAAGTATCCAGGGTTGGCGAAATATCAATAGATGCATCCTTTCCTTCAACGGACATGTTATTGGGAATCACGAAACTATTCTCTGGGGAGATCGATGGCCCACTCGACGTGTGACCGTCAAACTCAAAGAGGTAGCAGTTCCAAAAAGTGGCGGCGTCGTAAAACAGATCCCATGCCGTCTCTTTCAAAAAGGTTTGATCGCCAGTAAAGCGATAATGCTCCATCATATGGCTCAATAACCACAAGTTGGACATTGGCCACATGGTCCACTGAGTCCCGTTATCATGAGGTGCAGAGTCTCCAAAAACATCATGGTTGTGATGAGAAACATATCCAGGACAGCCGTACATCCGCTGTGCCACTTCTTTGCCTCGATCTCGCGCCCGTGCCATGAGATCCCAGAGCGGCGGGAGGGTTTCAATCAGATTGGTGGATTCGGCGAGCCAGTAGTTCATCTCGGTGTTGATGTTGACAGTGTATTTGCCGCCCCTGTATATGATTTAGACATTGTTGGTGAGTCAGGAACTTTTCGCAGTTCAGTACTCACCATGGTGGTAAATAGTTATCATTCCAGATACCCTGCAAGTTGGCTGGAACACCAAGAAGATTACCGCCCGTATCTCGCGAGGCAGCCACAAGGAGGTGGCGGCCAAACTGGTAGGTTAACGCAACGAACTCTGGATCGGCGTCCGGGTCCTCTTTGTAATTGGCAATCCGTTCGACTGTCGAAAGAAGTCCCACATCGCCACTAGATCCGAAATCCAGCTTTACACGGCCAATTAGCTCAGCGTGGTCTTCAATGGCCTCGGACTTGAGATTGTCAAAACCACTTGAGACCGCAGCAACAAGCTTGTTTGCGACAGATTCTTCATACAACACTTGACTAGGCCATTGAAACTCAGTTTCGGCATCATAAAAGAGATCAATAGCCGTTGCGCCGCTAATCGTCAGGGAGGTGCCGTTGGTGCTTATGTCTGCTTGATGTCAGTCGCCACACGCAGGAGTTATGGCTTTGATCAGTTTACCTCCATCTGTAACCACTCGGACCCCAGATGAAAAAGCTATTGAGCCAGCGTCTGACCCTCCAACATTCTGCGTCACAGTATTGTTCTCTATGGCTGCGCCTTGCCAGAGAATACCTCTAGACCGTGATAGCCCGACCTTGACATTCAGGGCACCTTTTCCGCTTGCATTTAGCCTGACGGCGATTATGCCACTGTCGAAATGGGCAATAACCTCGCGGCTAGATTTTCTGTCAGCAATGAATCATGACTTACTATCCATCAACTTGCCTGTAGGTAATGCTGCCTATGGTGTAGCTGACCCCTACATTCCCTTGAAGCGTATCTAGCCAACGCTCATAGTTCTCCCAGTCTCCTTCTGAATGGCCAAGGTCAATGACAAGATTGTTAGTCACACTGTAGGCTCTGTTCACAGTTGGATTTGCCGACATATTTTCTAACACAAGATTGCCAGCCTCGGTCAAGTTGCCATCTCTCAGTAGCTGGCGGACAACGGGAAAAGCTTCCAGGGACGCGTTGTTAATGCGATCTTGGAATGTGCCATTCCAGACCGAATTCTCGTTGAGGATGATGGTTTCAGTCGCAGACCCTAGAATGAGTGCGCCGATGCGACCGTTCCCGATGGCGAGGCCCTCGTTGAACTCGGTTCCAGGTGTGTTATACCATAAGTGACGAGAACCATCATACCCTCGGACTAGAGATAATGTGCTAAGACCTAGGAAGGCCTTGAAGATGTGGGTATGCATGGCTAAAGTGCAGCGCTAGGAAATCCAGGCAGACGCGAAGCGATGTCTTCCGATCGACTCATATCCGATGGGGGGGGGTTTGATATTTAAATAGGGTTTCGACCTTGGTCATCTACATAATGCTATACTATTAGTAAAGATCGACGGTATGCGCTGATCTCTGATCGAGACATCATGGCCATACCCGTCGTGTTTGCGGGGAAGACCCTTGACAAAATGGCCGGTGGATATACCCGTCGGACATCAACAAGCATTCGACAACGGGCAAAATCATGTCTGTTGGAGACCAATTGCAGTTAAGAACGTCGACGTTGGGCAAACGGTTATGTAGGAACTCCACCATGATCGACGAAAGGAGACCAATTTCCGCCAGTCATAATCGCTGATGCTACCCCACGACTTGCTTCCCCGGACGCCATTATACGAGCCGGAGCGAGCCGAACAATTGGAATAGTCAGCCTATCGCAACAGGCTACTCACTTAATTACCGGTTAATGCACTGCCAAAATCTAACGGCAGCTGAAAGGACTATTCGGCTCCGATCATACCAACAGCAAAGTGCTCAAAGTATATCCGCATTAAGCGTCTTTTATAAAGCCGTCAGAGGCGCGTCTTAGCCTGGACGGTCGAATGACTAAGGCTAGAAAATGGGAACAAAAGTTTATACAGACTGGGTCTGATTCCTAGTATGCTTCCATCAGTCAAAATAAGAGAACGAGATGAACTGCGTATATCAAGATCACACGTGGCACTGTGATACAATGGCGGGAAGATCTCGATTTATTATCTATGTCTCGTTGCTCTATGTTCTATTTCTCATGTATTGAGGAAGTTTGCATTTGCTAGAACCCGTACGGTGATTTTCTATCAGCCGTATAGTAGATTCGATGGTGTCTTGAATTTATGATAGCCCGTACCCCGGTTTCAACGTGGCTTAATTTGGAAAATGCCTTCTGTCCTTTAAGGCTGCAAAGAATGAGAATAGCTGCTCAAGTACATCTCAAAGATAGTCTCCACGACAGCATCAGTCGCAGTAACTGGGAAGCTAACTTGATAATGGGGAGAAACGAATGAACATCTACTTAATGTACATGGAGTTTCTTCTTCTTACAATAGCATGTCTTTGGAATACAATCTTGGCCTAAATATGGGAATTGACAAGTCTCCCCTACCTAGCAGCACCTATATGGCCTGCAGGATAGTCAACGCACCGACGCTCGCCGGTTTTTTTTATGTGCCATGAACCCTACAAGATTTCTGCTTCTTGAACATCCCGGCGATCTGACATATTCGGCTGGTCGAAATAATTGAAGAGCGATCCCGTCAGCAATAGGAGGCGAATTACACGCTAAGCTGTTTGCTCCGGGTAAACCATTATTTTGAATATTCAAGAAAGCTCCTTTAGAAGTCAAGGTAGCGAGCTTTCATGTGAGACTTAATTAGAGCCTAGTGTGAACCTGCACCGTGGATATAGGGCATGGTTGGAGGGCTTTGGACACCGGGAGAAAATCCAGCAAGGAGCTGCATATCTAAGCTAGTACCGCATTTATAGAATTTATGTAAAGCACGACTTCACTTGCTTCGATGTGGCGGTTCGCGGTGACGCCTCGACCTTTTGCCAGGGATCTCGACAATATACTACGGTGCACCATTGGAGCATGGATGAATTTGCTTGCGTAAAGAGAACATCGGCAAGATCTCCCAGGTCCGACTAATGCTGTAGTGGAAGAAGGCCGACCAATTGTATTTCATCACCTCAGAGAGTACAGCGTATAATTGTCCAGCATGTAAGTTGCCATATGCGAACGGGGCAATGCACTTATGTATTAGAATTGCTATAGCACTAGCCTGTTGAGGGCAAGGCGAACTCCAATGCAGTTGGTGTGCCGGCTCCACCAAAAAGTCCAAAGCTCCAACGGCCCCCAAGCTCTGAATGACAGTATCACCAACACGATCCGATGCCGGCAGACTCTCATTACATATAGGGGTCAGGGCCTCGACGCTCACGACTTGACACTCACCGACCGCATATCCAGCAGCCCAAGATGTCGAACTCTCCTTCCCAGCCTCCATTTGCGACAGCCCTCCTCGCCGGCGGCTTAGCCGGTACGACCGTCGACCTCTCGCTCTTCCCCCTCGATACCTTGAAAACCCGACTCCAATCTGCCGCCGGTTTCTTCCCCTCGGGTGGATTCAATGGTATATACAGAGGTGTTGGCTCAGCCGTTGTTGGCTCGGCGCCTGGTGCCGCATTCTTCTTCTGCACATATGAAGGCGTCAAGAAATCGTTAGCTGCACGGCGGCAGCGGCAGGATGACCTGCTCCTTTCGACCGGTGGTGGGCTACATGGAAAGCCAGACGGACTTGGCAAATGGAAGGAGCCATTTGAGCACATGGCTGCGGCAAGTCTCGGAGAGGTGGCTGCCTGTGCGATCCGAGTACCTACAGAGGTTGTGAAGCAGCGCGCACAAGCCGGTTTACACGGCGGGTCGAGCTCGGCAGCACTCGGGGCGATTCTGGCGCAATACAAGACTGTCGGGCTTGCAGGTGTGTGGCGAGAACTGTATAGAGGATGGGGCATCACAGTCATGCGGGAGGTGCCATTTACCGTCATCCAGTTCCCGCTTTGGGAAGCACTCAAGGCTTGGGGGAGGAGGCGGAAGGGAGATGGGCATGAAGTCAGTGCGGGTGAGAGCGCGCTTTATGGAAGCATGTCGGGTGCGGTAGCTGCAGGTATCACGACGCCGTTGGATGTTCTCAAGACCAGAATCATGCTGTCCAAAGAGAGGGTGGGAATCCTGACGCTGGTGAGGAGCATACTGAAAGAAAACGGCATCCGGCCGTTCTTTGCGGGCATCGGGCCCAGAGTAGGCTGGATCAGTGCAGGTGGTGCTATATTTTTGGGTAGTTACCAGTGGGCAGTGAATGCGTTGCAGGGCACTGTGCGATAATGTAGACCTTGCGTCATTTGACATCTGGCCATGGGAGTCGCAAGATACTCGTGTACAAATGTATTATATATGGAATAGAGGCACAGACGGACCGGCGGGGCATTATAGATTTAGAGCAAAGATGGCCTGCAGCCAACGAATAGGGCTTGGTTGCACGTGAAAGCCCTCCGCCTCAGGAAACTCATTGGTCATGGAGCATGTTGGATGTATAGCTTGGTTTTGTTAGTCCAAGTTTTGGTGCTGTTCTACATTGGTTTATTCGCTTGAGACAGGTCCATGAGTGAGGCCCGGCCTCCATGAAAGTTGTGACTTGTTGTATATTTCGTATCAACCGCTCCTGTAGCCTTTCCTCTGCGGTCTTCTACGAAACTTATTGAACAAAGCGCCAACCCGGGTTCAAGCCGTGCTTATTCGCTCTACTTCTGATCTTACCCTTGGACCGTGGCAAGTGTAGGGGGCTACCGATAGTGATGTTTGTAACGCTTCTGATGTTTGCACTGTCGGTGTTACCAGAGTATACAGTGTTTCAAGGCATTCGTGTTCATTGACAGGCCATGTATGTTGAGGGTTACACAATTGAAGCGCGCTTGATATAATTTTCAGCAAGAATGCGCGGTCATGATATTCAAGTTTATTTGAACGGTAAGTAAAAGGCCATGTACAACAACAGAAGCAGAAGCAGAAGCAGAGGCAGAGAGAGATGAGAGCGCGGATGCAGGTGCAAGCGAACCCCATCTTAGGCTTGAAGCTATTTGTCAGGGATGCCGGATCTGATGGGGGAACCACGAGGACGCTACACCTGGATGGGGAGACTAGCGGTGCCAACCTGCTGGGATCAGCAGGGCCCAGGGTCTCTCCAGCCTTTTCTTCCAGTTAATGGTTGGTACTTTTCTGGGGTCCTGCAGGGCCTGGGAGCCGTTAGAGGCCATTGGATGCCAGGGGGAAGGCCATGGGAGCGTCATGCTGCCTGTCTCTACGGTTAGTCTAAAGCGAAGCAGGACCGCAGTAGTGTCGAATCTTTGGAAACTTCCGCCCGCCTACAGGCCAGTCCAAGCTTGGTTTCCAGCTTGAGCACAGCATGCAGCAGTAGGAGCAGGAGCAGGAGCAGGAAGCTGGAGCTAGAGTATCAAGTACCAAGTAGGAGTCCGTCCTTATCCAACCACCGGCGACAAGCTCACTTATTTGCTCGAGGTGCAGCATCAGTCTAAACGTCAGGCTGGGCGCGCATCGATTTTTGGTCCTCGTTTCTGTTCCTGTCGCATTTACCACATCCATTCACGGATTGACTGCTCTCCCGTACTGTAGGTTCTAAAACCCAATTCGGTTACCCATAACACTCAAGTTCGCATGACCCTGAGCTCGCACCCTCAGTCATTATGGCCAAGAAGGCACGCCAGAGGATAAGCTATGGTTCGTCTTGTCTTGTCTTGTCTTGTCTTGTCTTGTCTTGTCTTGTTCTCTCTTCGAGTGAAATCACAGCCACTCAACAACAGAGTGCCATGGCTGAGCTCGAAACCCCGCATCCGTATCCGAGTGCTTGCTTGCTTGCATGTCTGTTTGTTTAGACGGCTTCCCGAGACTACATGTTTTGGTTTCTTACAAGCAGGACGCCGGCGCTTCATTACGAGTCACTCAAGCCTAGACTAACATGAATGCCACATTGCAGTATGCGCCCTCGATCATTCGTCGTCCGGCGGCCATAGACTCGGCGTGAATGGCCTAGCCGTGGACCCGGACAATGCAATTCTGTAAGCTCCCGTCGCCAGGCCCGCCATGTCCCTCGAGAACCCGCCGACATCTAATCTTATCTTGTCGCACACAGCTATTCTGGTGGAAGAGACGGTGTCGTGTGCGCCTGGGATTTGGCCACAATAGGCAATACTACCGATCCCAAATCAAAGCCGGCAACCAAGTTCAGGACATCAACGCAGGCACACACACATTGGGTCAACGACATCGTCCTCGCAGCCAACAACACAGCTCTCGTTTCCGCATCCTCCGATCTGACTGTCAAGATCTGGCGACCCCATGCGGCCGAGTCAGAAGCACATACCCTCGGCGAGCATGCCGATTATGTCAAGTGTGTCGCAACCCCCAAGGGTGGTGATTGGGTCGTCTCCGGCGGCCTTGATAGGAAGATCTATCTCTGGGATCTGAATGGCAAGGGCAAGCAGTTGGAGATCGACGTCAGCGGCGAAGAAAACAAAGAGAAGGGCTCCATCTACGCTCTCAGCGCCGGCCGGAACATGGTAGCAAGTGGAGGACCAGAATCCGTGGTTCGCCTATGGGACCCCAAGTCTGGCAAGAGGATCACCAAGTTTGTTGGTCATACCGACAACGTCCGTTCCATCTTGGTCAACGAGGCCGGAGATACTGTCATGACGGCAAGTTCAGACCAGACTGTCAAGGTCTGGAGCGTGACAGCTGGAAGATGCATGTACACCCTCACCATGCATAATGACAGCGTATGGTCCTTGTTCTCAGATCAACCAGATCTTGGCGTCTTCTACAGCAGTGACCGTTCGGGATGGGTTGTCAAGAATGACGTCCGCGGCGTTCCCGACATGGACGAAGGTTTGTCTGTCGCTGTTGCACAAGAACATAACGGCGTTAGCAAGATCGTTGCATCTCAGGACTGGATATGGACGGCCAGCACTAGCTCATCGATCAACAGGTGGAGGAATGTTGAGACAGGACCAGACGCTTTATTGCCCGAGGCTTACAGACGTGCAAGGGCAAATAGTCTGTCCTCGAGGACTCAACAGGCCACGGTTACAACCGTCGATGCCTCCAAGAAGGAAATACCAGCCAAGTCGATACTGCGACTATCTCATGCAGCCGCCTTTCCACCTATCCCAAGCCCCCCTGATAGCAACGCAACAGCAGCAGCCACTGGTCATGGTAGAAAGGGTTCCGAGGTTCTCATTGAACCAGAAGCACAAGCAATAGAACCCTTAGATCATTTACCAGAGGAGACAATTGAAGGTCAGAATGGACTGGTGAAACATAAACTCCTCAACGACAGACGACGAGTCCTGACGCTGGATACGGCCGGGGATGTCTTGTTATGGGATCTCATCAGGGTAAGCCCTAACCCAGTTGCCGCAGGGTCATGAAACTGAATTGAGTGCAGTGCGAAGTCATAAAAAGGTATGGCAAAAAGCATCTCGAAGATGTCGAGCCAGAGGTCAATACCCTTGAGGCTGTCGCTCCATGGTGTTCAATCGACACTAGCTCCGGTAATTTGACGGTTGTCTTGGAACCGTTCAATTGCTTCGACGCCGAGATGTACGCCGATGAGATCAAATTGGAAGAGCCTGTGGAATTTAGAGACGATCAGAGAAGTACAAGATTGAATACCTTGCCCTCGGAGTAGTGGCTAATAAAAGAAACAGTCAATCTTGGAAGATGGGTATTAAGATATCTGTTTGCGAATCTACTAGATGAGGAGATCAAGAGAGATGAGGCACATAGGCAGAAGCTCAACGAGAGCGTAGAGATGCGCTTGGCTGCTGCATCGCGAACGAACGCGCCAAACTCAATATCTATCCCTCCGATTCCAGACTTTGAGGAATATGGGTCGACTGTCGCTACCCCAAAAGCGAACGGAGCCTTTCCACCTATGACACCAGGGCTAGGAATTGGAATTGCAACGCCAGGGCCACATTCTCATTTGGCCGGGGTTCCAGAAGGGGCTGCAACGCCTGGCACGCCGCTGGATAAACGATCTTCTCAAGTCAGTCGACCATCTGATGATTACTTCTCCGGCGGTATCAGCTCTGCAGATGCACCAGCCAAAGCCCCTGTAACCCCCGCAGCGGACAAAGAACCAGCAAAGGACGAAACCCCCAAGACCCCAGTAGATAGCAAGGAGAAGGATAACACCAAATCTCCAACCGCCTTCGGGAAGAAATTCCGTATGGGTATGTCCTTCGGGTCCAAAAAGTTGGGACGATCAGCGTCCTCTACACAGCCTGAAAAGCCTATCATCATTGAGGAGAAGAAAGACGAAGAGAACAAGTCCGAGTCCTCGTCGAATCACGAAAAGGAGGTTGACGACAGCTTTCTTGGTGTGATACAGAAGATTCACAACGAATATGAAAGACAGCTGCTCGAAAATCCTGATAAGCTCGTCGAAACCAAGATCACGCCAAGCCTATCGGTTGATACTCCAGTTTTGAAGCTGCCGTCGGGTACCCGCGTTATCATCCAAGAGGAGACATCGGGTGGTAGTGCTAATCTGTACCGAGGCACTGTAGAGACTGTGGGCAGGGATGCGGACATCATCGAGCAGAAGGCTCCGATGTGGCTCGGCGACGTGCTCCTCACAGTAAGTTATGAGTTATCCATTACCTTCTTGTACTAACCACTGTAGAATACTATTCCGCCCAAAGAACCCGTCAAGGTTTCGTTTGTGCTTCACCCATGGCAGAACACTCTACCAGCCATATCAACGACCGACGGCAACAACCGCTTGAACGCCAATAGAATGCTTCGTGTGAAGAAGATTTTGGCCTACGTGGCTGAAAGGATCGATCCATCCTCGGATGAATCAGACGAGGATGCGCTCAAGCCAGAAGAGTATTTAGAGTTGTACTGTAATGATCAGGTGAGTGTGCTTCTTGGTGCTTCCTACTACCCGAACTCTGGCTAATCACTTTCATTAGTTGTTGCCTAACACGATGAGCCTTGCAACGCTCCGGGCTCATATTTGGAAAGGAGGCAACGACGTGGTATTGCACTATAAAGCAAATGGTCGAAAGGATATTCCAAAGGAATTGCTGAAACAAACGGAACAGCCTGCCCCTCTCGAACTGGAAGCCGCACCTACTACTTTGCCAACGGCTGCAGTCAATGGCTGATGAGCTACTTCGTGGTTGATTGTCAGTCTCCATTTTCTCATGTTGATATGTTTGGAATATTCAAATTTTGGTGTTCAAGGAACCTTGTGGTAACAGCAGATCATCCCTCTGTTAGGCGGAGGCTTAGCTTAAAAAGCGATTGTAAAAATACGTGGCATTGCAGAACGAATGACTACCGTGAATTATCAGGCACGAGCAGCCCATTCTCACGTCCCAGTGCTCCTGCTAACAGCATGCCAAGTGCGGTGTATACCTTTCTGTTATGCGTCTCGGGTCTGCTGCCTATAGTCTACGGATCCATGTCCAGGATAAGCAGCTCGCGTGACCAACTCCTGATAGAACCTATGCCTCAGTTCGACAGACCCCTGTGATGACAAAATGGTATCTGTGCCACAAGCCTGGGAATACGAAACAACGTTGCGGGAAAAGATGTCGAGTTCTGAGGAGACATCTGAATAATCATGTGCGCCACTTCGAGTTGGGGGCGGAAGAGCAGTGTTTCCATGCAAGCCATGTCGAGTTCCCGCATCTATAAACAGGCGGAATTCGGCAAGGCGACTGGCATAATGTTATGCATAAGTGGAACCGGGTACCCCGGGACTACTCGGGTATACTACATTAGCGTCACACATCACCGCGGAGAATTACGAGCTTAAGTCAACAAATGAAGTCATTTTTAAATCCAAATCTTTAAGGTTGAACGGTTTGCTGCTGCGCTTCCTCAACAGCACTGCACCAAAAAATAAAATTGGACCTGGTTCCTCCTGCACAGCCTCGCCCCCCCCAAGAGTCCGAACCAAAGCTTGGGCGCGTGCTTGAAACGCCGGTCCAGGCACGGTAGCTCTTGCAGGATGACGAGCGACGATGTCATCTCCCTCTTTGGACCAAACAAACAAAGCTGAGCCCCAACGTCACCTCTGAAGGGACCACTGAGAGGCCTCAGCTCATCAGTCCCCGGTGTAGCACGAGCCAAGAAGAGATGCTTATAAGCTACGAAGTCCCCAACCCGATTCCCAACTTGAGTCATACCATATACCAAGTACTTCGTCTTGTCCAAAACAAACTATCTCTACCCAGCATATCAACTTTCGAACATCAAGTCCCACGTCCCTAACATATTAGCAATAATGTACGCCAAGTCTCTTGCACTTCTTTCCCTCGCGGCCCTGGCCACCGCCCAGGAGTCTAGCACAGCAATCATTCCAACTACGTTTACATCAGAGGGTACGGCCATCATCTCATCAATCATTTCCGGCATTGACGGCGCAGCGTCGACTGTCACATCAGCCGTTGGCGGTGCCGCCACAACCATCGCATCTGACGGCTCTGCCATCGTTTCCAGCGCTACTGATGGTGCTGCCGGAGCTCTCACGACCTTGACCTCTGGTGGCTCAGCGATCGTATCGACCATCACTTCGGGAGCAGGCGGTGTTTTCTCCACGGTTACATCAGGCGCTGGGGGTGTTGTATCAACCATTACATCAGGCGCTGGTGGCGTTGCTTCAACCATTACATCTGGGGCCGGCGGTGCCCTCACCACACTTACCTCGGAAGTTGGCGGTGTCGTATCAACCATCACAACTAAAGCCAGCGGTGCCGGTGCGACGATCACTGGTGCCGGTGGCAGCGCCGTCTCGAGCGCCACGAGCGCCGTCGGTGGAAGCACTTCCGGCAACGCTGCTCCTACAGCAGGACCTATGATCGGTGGTTTGATGGCTGCCGGAGGTCTGATCGGTGTAATGCTTCTTTAAGATGCCGCAAATGGATGTTAATAAAGACTACGAGCATATGGATTTCCGATATAAAAGCGCTTAATCTAGATTTGGGTACGGCGTTGTCACAATTGGAAGTTGGATTTTAATAGCAAGAAAGGACAAGGAAGATACTCGCACACTTCCGTCCTCAATAAAACATGTGTATAACTACATCCACTGCATTGCCGTTCTGTCCATGTGCTATCTTCGCCATTGCATGACATGACGGTAGAATACATGTGAATCACTGCGCTACCATGTACAATACTCTAGCCTGGACTAAATGATAATCGACAGAAACTACATAGCAAACAACAACTATCCTGTAGCCCAGGAGGCATGGGGACTCCACAAACAGATCAGGGTATTCTTTGACAGTGAGGCGAGGTTGCGAGGCTAGCTGCGTTCAGCTTGCCAAGCCCCAGTGATACGAGCAAAAACGTCATGGTACACTATTTCTGGGGGCCAGTGCTTATTGGGCGCGGCTGTACGGCATTTTTCCCACATCCGTTTTGTTCAAACATTATGCCGTCTTGGGGAAATGCTGCCCCTGCCGCAGCTTGCGCCCTTTTCCCGTATGCTTGCCAAATCCGGAATCAATTTACATAAGGGCTAGAGATTCAAGCAAGAAATAAAATCCAAGTGGCTTAGGTACTGGACGTGGAAACGCGGCCAAGGTTCAGTGCTTGGCAAACTTTGTTTTGTGTGATTGAGTTTACACGCTGAGACCCTGGCGACAGGATAGGGGAACAAATGTACGCCTCCAGAATGCTTTGAATAACGCGAATCCTTTGAGACACGTCCACGGCACACTACAACTGAAGCTCAGATTTCATAGCAGGGCTACTTCGAAAGACTTCATATACCGAGCATAGATGGCCACCTCTCCAGATAACTTCTGGGATGCAGATACACAGAACACGATCGTCGACCTCGTATCAGCTCCATAATGGTAACATCGGGTAGCTTCGGTGCAGACGACTTCCTACAGGTAATTGAGGAGATCCATCAAGTCCTTGAGGGCCATGCCACAACCCCGATCCCTCTTCACTGCCGCATCAAGCGATGGAATTTGGTTTGACGGCGGCCGCGACGACAGTAAGTGCTGACACGCCCAACACCGAAAGGGTCTGTCCTATGCAAAGGCTAGTCCGCTGGCCTCGCGCGATGGATTCGTGATGAGACCACATGCTTCAAGTGCCAACGAGTACTGCCTGCATAATTTGTATAGATGGGAGATGGGTCTTTTCACCCCTGAATTGAAGCAGTTATCCCGTGGTCACAAATGAATTGGTCGGCGACTTGATATAATGATTGATATCACTTGAAGCCAATTCAGCAAGCATTTCCCAAGGATTGGCCCCGGTGAATATTAGAGAAGCTGGCTTCGAAAAGCCCTCATAATCGACCAGCCGTAACATGTTCTACCACGGGTGGTGCTCAATTATTCCAGCCTGAAAATAAAACCTGCACGGCCACTCATACCAGCCCGTGCTCATTCTGACTTCGCCGTGACATTATCAATCCCGAGTCGTCAATATAATTTAACGACCAAACAAAAGCGTTTAACAAAGACATTCCACTTTTTGTCGAGGTAGTCTAGATCATCTGACCAAGTCGCGTAAGAAAATAAAAAGGATCATCAAATCGTGTAGGTGGTAGGCGGACGAGACTTGAAAATGTGAATTCGCCTTCAAACCCCAACCATAACGTGGTGACATATCACTCGATGCTTGTTGGCCTGAGAAGAGAGGCAAACGAATTGTGGATGCTAGACAACTCGTATGATGACACGGCCACGAACGCTATGCCAACCATCGTGTCTGCCGGCCAGACGACTCGGGTCATATTGACGTGATTTCGGTAGTTGCTGACCTTTGGGAGGTCACGGTGAGGAAACGAAAACCTCTTAAATGCTTGATTACAGTCGACAGAGTAGGTACTATAGCCATTGTTGTGCAGACTACCGCTGCCAGTGCTACTGGCAGAAAGGAGAGACTCGGCATACGCTCGAGCACGGGTTGCGTTGAAGGAAAGATACGGAATCAACCGTAATCGATGCCCCTCCTGCAGTACTTTTGCCGTAATCATGCGTGGCATGGGATGTGCCCTCAAAACGTCGTCTTGCTATCACCAATTATAGCAACGTAAACCGCATTTTGCTGTTCCACTGACAGCATAGACTGAGGCTGACCAAAGATCGCGGGCATAGGGAGCGAGTCCATACCTTAAAAGGCAAGTTGGAATAAATTAGAAAAGCACTTATGGGGGAGGACGTGAGCGCATCTACTTCCAGGGTCAATATTTGTCAATCGCGTGCCCTATCCAGTCAGTTCCTCCAGTCGTTCTGGCGAATCAAATACATGCACAGAAACATGACCGATGTTCGGGCGCGTGAATATACACACAAACGCTGTATCAACGTTTCACTTTTCGCCACAAATTCCACGGAACAAGCAGCCAATACATTCCCTTGGCTACACTACGGAAGGTGACAACTAATACTCGCTGCAATAATACACCAGAGGGCCGAAATGTCTCTGGTTTCTTAAATTCTTCATTTCAGGTTGCCACACCCTCAGGGCTGGTCCACGGTTCACGGACTTATTCGTCAACGTCTGTACCTACTGAAGGGGTTGTGCAAACCGTATACTCGCTAGACTAGAGTAGATGGGACTATGGTTAGGTCATCATTTCCTTAACCCCGAAGTGGCATCTAGGTACATAGTGTACGGATTCGTACTTAGTACGGATCAATACAAGGTATCTGGGCCATGGAAAGCTCGCAGGTGCAGGTGCGGGGGGGTCCACTAACGTTAGTCAGACGGTCCCTGTAACATGGCGGGCCCCCCCGCTGAAGCCGAGGAACCTGACTAATACCAGGTCATGTCTCTGGCAATTCAGGAATTTCTGTTGGGATTGGGGAGGTCGACAGTAAAATACTACTGGGAAGCAGCTTTCGGGCGTCTAGGGAACTTGGCCAGGAGATACTCCCTTGCGGACAGCAACTCATCAAGCGCAAACGCCGCCGCCATGGCGGACCCCTCGTCGGAATCGGCGCTGCTTACTCTCCCTCCCGAGATCCGGGAGCAGATATACCATGCCATCCTCAATCCGGATGCCAACAGGCTCTTTGAGGAGGACGAATATACGGACTACGACTACCGCGATGCCCTGGTCCTCTTCAAGCTGAACCAGCAGATCTACTACGAGGCGCGCAAGGTGTTCCGCGACCTCAACGTCTTCGTGCGCATCGAGACCCCGTTCCCCAACGCCCAGGAGTATGTCGCCTTCGAGGGCCACGTGCCCATCCTGATGAAGGGCCAGCGCGCCGAGAGGTTCAAGGGCTGGAGCATGAGCGCCGAGATCGGCGCGCCGCAGACCCCCATCGCCGAGGCGGAGCCGCATCACATCGTCATACTGCTGGACGACCTGGAAAAGTTCACCAGGATATGGTTCTACTCGGACCTGTCGAACCCCGGACTGAACCGCTACCTGAGCCTCAAGATACACCTGCGCGACCCGTACACGCCCGAGTGGGAGGACCAGCGCATGCCAAAGTGGCTGCAGCGCCAGCTGATCATGCCGTTCGGCATGGTCAAGAACCTGCGGCAGGTCACCATCACGGGGAACCCGAAACCCCTGGCCTCCATCGAGGCCGAGATGCGCGCCGAGCAAGGGAAGCCCTACCCGACACCGGAAGAGTGCCTGGCCGAGACGACTCGGCTCAAGGACGAAGGAAACAAGGAGCTCAAACTGGGCAACTACCGAGCAGCGCTGGGCCTTTACACACAGGCCTGGGCGGCAATGTTCATCGTCCTCAAGGGCAGGCAGAGACACGTCCATGGCGAGGCGTACTTTGCCGTCCAGCTCCGCGACGAGCCCTTCAAGGACAAGTCGGGCCAGCTGGAGCGCCTCGCGCTCCGGATCCAGCTCGTGGCCAACACCTGCCTGGCTTATCTGAAGCTGGAAGAGTACGACGAGGTCATATTCTGGGGCATGCGAACCATCCACATGTTCCGACAGATGTCGGGCGCAGACGAGCAAAATGTGACGCCGGAGCGCGAGGCGCTACCTGCCAGTTTCCCGGCGAGAGCTCATGTGGGCAGGATATATTACAGGACCGGCATGGCGTACAAGGCCTGCAAGGATAGAGAGATGGCGAAGGAGTTGCTGAAGGTTGCGCAGGCCTACATGCCACATGACCAGATCATACAGACGGAACTCGCAGCTTTTACATTGCAGCTTGGATGAACGGGGGACGGGGCTTGGGATGTACGATTTTACGAATAATGATGGAACACTGTCAAATTACAACCGGAGGCTTCGCTTCATATCTCTAGCGGAACGTTTTGTGTCAAAATACACTGATAGACCACTTCCGTGCTTGTCAACTCGAGTGCCTTAACCAGCCCAACATCATGCTGCGGACAAAGACTTTGTCGGACCTTCGGTATCTTTGACGGAGAATACCATTGTCTTCCGTTGAGGCTGTTTGAGGGCTGTGCATCTGTTACTATATAAACGCTATGCTTGCCCGTTACGCGCTCACCCATACTATTGAAACAGCCTGTCAATAATGTTTACTCCCGACAACACTTGCGAGGAGAGAGGTAGAGGAGAGGAGGGGAAAGTGCCAGGCTCACTGCAAGTTTGGGATGACCTAGACGCACAGATAGACAGTTACTACTGTTGCCTTTGGTGGTCCTGGGCCATCTGCCGTCGCGCCTGGTGACCCGTGAGGCGTCTGATCATGGCCATAGTAGTCTATGTTTACAGCAACCCAAGTAGTTCTGGGTTGGGCCATATGTTGGGGGTTAGATCCGTCTCCTTACAGGCGGTGGCCAACGGAGATGGAAAGTCGGCGGCCGTTGAGGGAACGGAAACCCACCGTGACTGTGGCAGTACCCGTACAAGGTAAGATACAGATACCTGCCAACACTTAGAATCGACGTTGAGCAGGCCATGGTGAACACAAAGGTGAGGACCCTTCGCATCACATGCTCTATGCTGGTGCGCTTTTCGAGGAAACGCTGTACACAGCTTTGCTGCGTGTTTCGAGGTCTCCGAGGGCTTGCATGTGTAATCGCTGCGGACAGGGGAAAAGGCAGAGTGTTTTGTCACAATCAACGTTGTCGTCGACAGAGTATAGATATATGCCAACGTTAGCGCGTCTTACACACGATGGTGTGCATCCAGACATTCAAGACAATTGCTCTTTCAATAGAAACAAGCCTGACGGTTTGGCTTGGGTGGTAGCTAGTGAGTTATAGTCACCATTCGCAAGTATATATTTCAGGAACCTGCACTAACCCGGGACTCAGAAGTGAAAAGCTTAATCCTAGGAGCCTCAGCCGCAGTATCGAGATTCAAACATGGGACACTGATATAGGAGGAGGGACCTAGAGACGGATCATATGAAGTTGAACTAATGTGATACCTGTTTGTGCTGTATATATAACATGGACCTGTGCGATTAGAATGTGTTCATTTCGTGCACTGTCAACTCTGGAGAGCGGCTTTTATTCGTCGGAACAATCTCGAGCCACGGATAATATCCTATTTCATTTCTGGCTGTCCATATTATGGGACTAGGTTTGGGGTATCTTCGCTTACTCGTGCATTAGAAAGCTGATCCAGTGTAACTCTCTCCTGACGATTTGGCAACAGCAGCCTCGGTGAGATCAGTCCTAAGCTTCAAAAGTTCGCACTCCCGCTGCCCTTTTCTGAAATCAGCCATCATAGCCCGAGTTCTTTCTTCGTTCTTCTCAATCTCCTTGCGGAGTCTGTCCGACTCCTCCTCTGCAGCCTTGAAATGGGCGAGCTGTTCAGGGAGAACACCACTCATCGCGGCCTCGTCTTCCGCCGTCATTTTCCCGCCTGGCATGATGGGCGTCATTGTAGCAGCTTCTTTCTCGAAGACCGTCAACTGACGCTTCTCAGCCGCCGGACCCTTGGGCGGGTTGAACGGTTTTGACTGCGCTGTCGGGGTTGAAGGAATCGACGTAGACGAAGGAGTCTGGCCCCGAGGACCGGTGGGGACAGGGGCGTTGCTATTACCGTTGCTAACAGGTGCCGGTCCAGGTACTGGAGCCGGAGAGTCGTTACGGCTTTGGGATGGGGCTATCCAAGTGTTGCCTCGGCCCCCGCGACCGTAACCGCCACGTGTAGATCCGTAGCCCCTGGGCCCAGAGGGAGGCGCACCGGGACTAACAGCATCGCGACCAGATCCTGGTGCCGGTCTGTTAGGTGCGTCGTTGATCGATATAGAGCGTCGTGGAAAGTCTCGACCATCCCTATCATCACGAATGTCCCGCCGAGGTGCTCGGTCACCTCGAGGTCCGGTGGGAGGGGGCCGTAAGGCGGCCGGACCTCTGGGTGGTGATTTCGAGGCTATTCTCGAGACAGTCCGGACTGGGCTTCTGTCTCGAAGGGGTACTCGCTGGGGGGATCGAGAGTGATGTCGGGACGACAGGGGCGACTGTGGGTTAGACCGATCGTCTCGACGAGCAGTCGAAGGAAGCGGCGATGGTCGGCGGGATTGATCTCTGCTAGGGTATGTTGAAGCAACTGCCGGCTCTCGCGGAGGTGAGGGCCGTCGCTGCGCGGGGCCGTAACGGTCATCGCGGCGATCCATGCTGGGCGAGCGGCGTCTGTACGATGCACCGGGTCCTCTGGGAGGGGATACGCGGCGAGCAGGCGGGCTTCGCCTGTCCCGATCCCGTACATCGCGTCGGTCTCTCTCTAGAGATCTAGATCTACCTCTAAGCATGGTGTTAACATGGTCCAGGCGAGCATGGGAAGTAAGATGGTGGTAAGGGCTGCGGTAGTACGATTGCTCCTTCGTGTGACTCTGAGAAGCGTAGTATGACCCCGACGATATGACTTCAGGGACATGACTACCAGTGTGGCCCTGACGCTGATCAGGGGCCATGCGAGCCATGCTGCGCATCTCGAAGCGACGCGAGGGACTCTCACGGCCATACATGTGGCCACTGGGCCGAGTACCATGGATGCGAGCATGCGGCGACTGGCTAATGCGCTTGCGCTGCCCGATGGGGATGTTGTTAGGATTAGCTTCGCCGCCATCGAAAGCTGCGTGGGCTACGGGTTGGAAAGAATGAGACTGGGGTATTGACCTTGGATCCCTTTGGTTGAAGCCACGCCGATCCCTATCATCTCTAAGATCCCGTCGCACAGGCGAGAAGCGCCGAGGAGGCGGACTGTTGCGTCGAATCGGGGAGCGTCGCGGGGGGGAAGAGCGCCTGATCGGACTGCGAGAACGCTGTCGTCGCCACGTATCAGCAGCCGCGATACCACCTCTATCGTCGTCTCGGCCATGGTCCCGCGATCGGTCTGGTCTGAACGGGCTCCGTGACCGCCGCCGCGGAGTACGATCAGGTATGTAACGGTCTTCGTGGGCTGGGGGGCTTCGAGGTCGCTCTCGTGGGGGCAGAGGACTGCGAGCTCTCGGGGCTCGGGGAGGACTTCGCGGTCGTTCCCTCTGAGGTAGAGGACTACGAGCTCTGGGCTCTCGTGGGGGGCTTCTGCCGACAGGGCGGTCTCTTTGGGGCAAGGGACTGCGAGGGCGAAATCGTGGTTCTCTAGGAGGACTGCGAGGTCTTATCCTGGGTTCACGCGGGGGGCTTCGGGCACGATCTCTCGGCTCTCGTTCTCTGGCTATGGGGCTTTCACGGTCTGGCCCAGCGGGAGACTTGCCCCGTCGAGGTGTGCGATCGTTGAAGGGTCGATACGACTCGCCAGCGCCGTATCTAGTGACCTCGCCATCGTCGTATCTGTGTATAGATGCGAGGTTAGCATCTGGTGCATAGTTGAATATTGAACAAAGTGTTTTACGGCAGAAGGAAAGTTGGTCTCGGCATGGGTCGCTCTCGTGGCATGATGCATATTTCAGTGGAAAAGATGACTGGGCCCGCGGATTGGGAGAGGCGTCGCAGGATCATGGCATGGACCCCAAGACGTTGGCGCATACATGCCTACTCTGGGGAACGCAAGCCCACGACCAAGTTGTCCATGCACGCCTGGGCGAGGGAAGCGGAAGCAGAGGCAGAAGCAGAGGCAGAAGCGACGAGGAAAAAGGAAACAGCGATCCCATCCCGTTGCATTTTCCGGAGCCCCGAAATACATCTCGGGCGGGCGAATGCGGCATCAGAGAAGGAATATTCGGTTGCCTACCTTCGACTCATTTCGATCTCAATCTCGTTGTTTATTTCCTGGAGCTCGATCTCTCGCTGGCGTTGTATGCGTTGCAGGCGCTCGACGGGGTCGTCCTCAGGAGCGTTGATCTGCGCATAGGTCTGCACAGGTCTATCGGGTTGGTAGGCCTGGGGCTCTGGCGTCGGCGGTCGAGATTCGTAGCCCTGGCTGTCGTGGCTTCCGTTGTGATTATGGGGATAGTTGGAACCGTTGGACACGGAGCCAAAGTCCTGGAAGCCCAATCCTGATCCAAATGCGCGACCGTGACCGCGGCGATAGCGTCCGCCGCGGCCACGGTACCTTGTACCAGGACCAGGACCAGGACCGGCACCAGGATAGTGGTCGGGCATTTCCTCCCCCCCTGCGCTAGGCTCTAGTCGTATGGTATCGATAAGAGCTTCTGCTTCCCGCGTGGCACGTCTTTTTTCTTCTTCTTTTTTGGGGGGGCGGACTTAAATGACTTTGGAGGCTTGACAATGCTTGGCGAATTGGCTTGTCACCCAGAAGTCCTCCTACCCATTGGCTACTTAAGGCTGTGGGAGCAGTTGGTGAAAAGAGCGTTTGAACTCTCCAGGTTACCGGACAGAAAACAGTTCATGGACGGCTGAACCTTCGGTTTTCTTGCTTGACTCGAGTTCCTTTGTAATGGCGACCTTGACTGTTGGGCGTCCTCGGTTTAGGCCGGCCGATATTGTGGAACCAACAAGCCCAAAAAGATTTAGAGCGTTGCTAAAGCTGCAGGGCCAATCGTAGATCCGTTGTGCGCCGTCCAAAAACTTCATGAGCTTTTTGTCTATTTTTTGTATTTTACGAAACTTGACCCGCCACTTCTGCCGCTCTCAGGAAACGTGTGCAAATGTCTGGAGCTGCCACAGGCCAGCAAACATGGCTTCTCAGGCCAGGAAATTTATTGGTGTCGACTGGGCACGTCATGTCTACTTCAACCCCATGCACACAAAAGACATCTAAAGACCAAAAACAGGCCCGCTCCATTCTCGCATTCACCTACGGTGCAGCACGGTTAGTACCATACATAGTAGTAAGGTTACTACGGTGTAGTCTGCGGCAGATCGATTGTTTGACAGTTCAATCAGTGTTGGTCATTGAGTTGCCACCTTCTCGTCCTACCTATCATAGACCACGTGCCAAGGACACCCATTTATTGATATCAAACTTGCAAACATTTCGATTGAATGAGTCATTGAACAACTACATGTCGTCCATTCCTGGCTTGGATCTTCATCTCACCGTACAGACAAGCTGGGAAACGCTGGCAACAAATACTTTGTATAGGCGAACCCGCCTATATGCATGTGACCTTACTGACATTAGCATAGCGGGAGGCGCCCAGCTATCCTGGTCCAAGGCCTCACCTATACTACTCGTATCAGTTCAGCACGGAGTTCATCGGTATCAAGCAAGAGGGCGACTGGATTGTTGCATTTGCCACTTGCCTTGCTTGACACTCTGGGCAATCATGCCTTTGTCATGGTGAAGGTATTATATAGCCAGTACTACGGTTTCAATTCATGCTAGACTAGTCTAGGGACATGACCTGGCTCAAAGGCAAGGCGCCTAAGCTGTCTTCTCATCCTCCGTAGTGTATCCACTTCTGGTAAGTCGCTCGACGATGAACTCCTGCACCTCGCCTGCATGCTGTTGCATCATGCGATTCAATCCGACCTGATCACTCCTCTTCACATCACCGAAACGTCTCTTATTCACCTTTTTAGTGAGCTCCGGGTCCGCCCAGCACGCATGGTCCCGGGCTACATAGACCAGCGAGTTTCGTTTATACCACATAGACAGAGTCTCGTCAGTGGCCGACTTGACCGGTCGCAGGTTGCCAGTGACAAAGTTGACGACCCCCGAGATCCTTTCCTTGCAGTGTCTTTCTGTAAGCAGGAGCTTTACTCCCAAGTAAGCATTGCCGATGCCCATAAGGAAGAGGTCATCGCAGTCGTAGAGTTGCACGTAGTTGTCCCAGATGTAGTTCATAAGCTCCTTCACTTGACTCGACAATGATTGTTCATCTGCTCTCGGAGTAAATGGATCCACATCCTCTGGTTTTGTGATGTAGTGAGGCACATTAGCATCGATTATACCGAAACCGTTCTCTGTTGCCCATTTGATATAAGTGGTAACGCCATCCGACTAGTTCAGTCAGTAAGTCGAAGTATTGGTTGATAATGTAGAAAACTGGACAATACAACACAGAAAATACAATGTAGAACAGGAGAAGCACATTGGTATGATATGTATCGCCGAAGGACTTACGATGAAAGCATTATGCGGGTCGACTGTATTTTCAATCAGGTCCGGCATGGCGACGAGTTCAGGTCTGGTGAAAAATTAGCTCGCGATAGAGTATATTGGTTCGAGATTTGGCAGGTCGTATGGTGAAACTTAGAAAGAAAGAAAAAAAAAAAAGGGGGGGGGGGGGGGGGGGTGGGTTTAAGAGCCACGGATGATAAGATGCAACAGCATGACATAGTTTGGCTTGTTCTGCGCAGTAGGCTGAGACGGCACAAGCGAAGGCAACTTACGCATCGTGAATAATGATGATGACCTTCTTCTTTTGTGAGATACCAGGGGTTATAAGTACTTGATTCTCGAACGACTTGTAAAGAGCCTCGCGTTGGATGAATAAGGGTATCATGTTGAAGTGCTCCGCTAAGTTCTGTCGTTGGTAGCTTCGGATGGCATCATGGAGCCTTAAAGTGCCAGCTGCGCCCATGTCCTGAACATTAATCACTCCAGGGCGCATGCATTCCCAGTAGGGGGCTTGTGCGGCTTGTACCTTGGCCAGTACCTTGGCTGCACCTTTGTCGATTCGTGGCATGCCCATCTTCGGAGGCGGTTCACCCATAAGCGTTCGTGCCACCGCTAGAGCAGAGTGTGATATCGCAACCAGGTTGTAGCCACCCTCAAGACAGACGGCCACCCTACCACCGGCAAGTGACATAAGCATGTGCGTCATGTGAGCATAGCAACCCGGAGTCACGAAACATCCGCCAAGCTCGTCTCCGTCTGCCGCATCAAATCCTGCGGAAATGATGACTAGATCAGGATCAAACTCTCGAGCGATCGGCATTACGATCTTCTGGAACGCAGCCAGATATTCACCATCCCCCATTCCTTGGTTGTCCCAGCCAATGTTGACATTTCTCCCTTTACCAAGATCGTCACCGATAGCGTCGATACCGCCATCTGGTATCAAGGGGTTATCTGGCTTGCCAGGGTAGAAATTACCGTTGTCATAAACATGCAAGGAGATGTATAGGACATTAGGGTCGTCGTAGAACATGTTTTGGATACCGTTTCCGTGATGCACATCCCAATCCAGAATGAGTACTTTGCGGCATGTTTCCGGGTACTCTTGTTGGCAGACCTTTGCTGCAACTGGCACGTTGTTGAAGAAACAAAATCCCATCGGGGTATCAAATTCTGCATGGTGTCCAGGTGGTCTGATGACAGCAAAGCCGTTCTTGATTTTGCCCTCAACGACATTCTTACAGGTCTCGATTGCCCCTCCAGCTGCTAGCAAAGCGGCCTCGAAGGACAATGAACCTACATAGAGGGATGCCCGACCTTGGTCCAACTCATGACTCAGCTTGCGCAGTTCCTGGGTATCAAGGTTGACAAAGTCTGACACATAGTCATAATGGCGTTTAGTGTGTACAGTGGTTATTTCCTCCTCCGTGGCCTCACGAGCTGGAATTCTCCACATGTACTTTGTTGGAGTGTCTCGAATGACATCAGCAAGGTCAGTGTCGGCACCCGTGAAAATGAGACCTTCTTGCTTGAAGATCTTCATTATCTCCTCGATTCTCCGTGGATCTTCAGGATGATGGGGCGTGGGACCAAAGTCCGCGTTTGCGTGTAACTTCATGCGATCGTCGTAACAGCAGCCCGTAGGCAAAAGTTTCTGGCGTGCCAGAGACCGCAGAAACTCCAAGTTCTCATCAGGCGACTCGTACTCATCAATTATGAGACTTTCCTCGTCTGAGTAACCTATAACATTGCCAACCTGATGCACGGCCGCGCCATTGGGTGCATCTGTCATGTTATGGTCGATCTCCTCGTCAGCCATGATTTCGTGGAGTCAGTTAATTCTTCCCAGACTGGCAGGGGATTGACGCTGAAATGATGACTCCTAGCGGCCCTGATGCGTCACACGCACATGCTCCTACACAGACCCCGTCGAGCACACCAATACTCCAAAAGCTGTACCGCGAGTCAGCGGTTCTTCCACGTTGACAGGCAGTGTCAAAGTACGAGTAATCAAACTGCTTTTGGTTCAATGCCCAGCTGGAACAAATCGTCACGGACAGATTGTTCGATGGTGAAAAGGGATATTATAGACTAGCAGAAAAACGTGGGTGCTATGATCCAGGCCTCGTGGCTAAAGCGTGTTATAAAAGGGATGACTTACAACTTATCACCAGATAGTGGCTTTTCAGGTGAAGGAGCACACCAAGCACAGACCGGCGGCGAGCGCAATCGCGCAGGACGTCCACAAATAAGTGATGGCGAATTTGGGCTCTACTTATTGCGAATCAACATATTTTGCTGTGAATTTGACGCAGACTCAAGAGCGCGCAACGTACTGCGCTTGGCGGGTGCTGTGGTGGTTTGATGGTGGTAGATGGAGAGAAATGTAGCACTGTCGCGCTAGACTTGGAAAGCGCGGCTGGCGACCGGGCAGCGGTTCCCGTCAACGCACCAGCCACTCATGCTCTAATAATGCCTACCTTTCAAGTTATCTGCCTTACAAACGAACAAAACGCGTGGACGAAGCTGCTTACCGTATCTTTATTCTATGGATATTGGTCTCTTTTCCCGTTTCTTTTATCCTTATTAATGCGATTTGTGCAGCTTTAATTCCCTTTTTGGGCTGTGAGTTGGGGTGTACAGCATGATATGGATCCGTACACTAGGTAGATCACCAGGTAGACCACGACTTATCACTTGTTTTTGAGCAGAGATTCAAGAGCAGCAATGGTGGTATAGGGCAAACACCTTTCATTGAAGAATTAATTTGGATATTCTTTCCAGGCCTATGCAAACACAAGTACTCCTAGCAGACTGTCCTCAGATGTTCATGGTAGGTCCAAGATAAACCGTCCCGTCCTCCTACTTAGAGAATGCAAACAGTTGTCATGACCAGGCAGAGGCGAGCCACAAACCACAAACGTGGAAGACAGACCTATTAGTCTTCAGTGGTGACAGAAAACGGCAAGGCCTAGAAATGAAAGTCGAGCTCACGCCCATCATCGCCAGGACCGATGCGCCTAGGTGACCCCGTTGGATAAGACAGTATTTCCTGTCTGGTCAAGGGAGGCTTGCCGGTGGTCCAAGCATCTGTCTTAAAAATGCCTTTCTCGTCCTTAAAACAGTCCTCGTCAAGGATCCCACTTGCTGGTATGTCTGTGAAAGCATTAGACATCAGCAAGAGTCGTTCTTGTAGTACGATATTGATCGACCACGTCAATGTTTCCTGCAGCTCGGGAAAGTCGCGCTGGCTTTGGCGTGCTCTGTTGATGACCGCAGACTTGCTGAGACGAGGTGTGTTCCTAAAGAGGTACCTGAGCTGTTGCGGGTCTAGCTTCAAGTACGTGCTGACAATATCTTTAGATCGCCAATCATCCCAGCCCCAGGGTTTGGGCTGCCAGTCCTGCGAGAGTGTAAGTCAAGTTCAGACAGTGCTGATATTGAGCCTTTAAGCTTACCTTTGCGTTATAGGAGGAGCAAATATCGCGCTGAATTGCACCACGAAGGGTCTCCCATAAATCGTCAAGCTCCCGAACTTCAACGGAAGTCATGATTCGCAGGTGATATAACCTGGCATCCGTTTCCAGGAGTCTTGGCAAGAAGATGGAGCGATCATACCTACCATGAAAACATTCCGAATAGAGCCACCATCTGGCAACCGCCGTCCGTAGCCGGTGCTCTTCACTTGGCCGTAAGCATCGAGCGTCTTCAGGGTTTTTGTGCCAGCGGATTCTCGGGAATTCCTCCACCCACCAATCGATGACTTTGATCTTGTTCCAGAGACGAGCAAGATCACCAACGCCTAAGACAATCTTGCGAGGGCAGATGAGTTTTCCGTCTCGAAAACCTACTGCGGCTTGCATAAGGTCAATGTGCTTTTTTGAGCCACGATTAATATCGACGCTGATTCGGCGTGGATGTAGCATGGCGTCTGGTGAGAAGTCTCTCCTGTCAATGGTGTGCAGGAGGAGCATGGGGTCTAACTCAACCTGATGAATTAAGACAGTTGTCATGATGCTTGCTTGGTTTTCCATGAAAATCTCATGGAACTTCTTGTTCGACAAGACAAAGGATGTGAGATCGCTCACACCCATATGCTTCATCATTTCTAAGATGAGCTCTGTAGGGACCGCTTGGAACGGACTTATAATTGAAGGCACCATGCTCGCTATAGACCTCAGGTTGCAAGAATGAAAATCAGATAAATTCGCTTTGCCTGGAAGGACTGGTTTAGCTGATCTGGGTTGAATCGATGAGCTAGATACCACTTTTGAGAAATAATGGCGGATCTTACCTGGAGCCCCCTTTATCGCGATAGGTGTAGATAGCGCGTAAACAGCGTCTCGCAGTGAGTGCTTCGCTATCGGTACGTACAGCAAGCCGCAAAGAATCACTCTTTACAGTATAGTGAACCCCGTACAACTTTCCTCCTCTGAATACAAGACTTCCCTTCCCCTTCCTACCCGGAAGCGAAACCAACTGCCCTGAAGTGACGAACAAGAAGACCGGGTCAACTGACTAAGGCTAGGTTTCGATCTTGTTCTGAGACCTCCAAAGCCTACGCCTACACCCTTTGATAACGAGAAGGATCAAAGGGTAGCGAGTTAATGCACTCAATCAACACAAACCCCAACTTTGGGGCTATCAACTATATAATAGATGTACATAGACATTGTCGGTGGTGGTTTTGCAATCGCCATGAAGGCGTGATCGGGGTGTTGTGCCATGATGATGTGGTTGAGAAAGAGGAAACCACCCAAGAGTTCTTGACTCAGGCGACTTGTCGTATAACGATCCCGGTGCATTGGTTCCCCTGGCACCGTCGGTACCGGGTTATCTTAGTGCCGTTTCTGCATTGAATAGCCAAGGACAGTTTGCGCATGGCTTGTTATCATCTACAGATATATCGTAACTTATGAGACGGGTAAGAGTCAAATGTGATGCGGTCTTTTCTGTAGAGAACCCCATAGTACTTTTGGATACCTACGCAGTGTGGATGCATGATATTCGACAACTCGGTAGATCCGTACTCCGTAGACCAAAGAACGTTACACACGTTACTCCGTTCGCATAGTGCACTTGCCACACCCGTGCGCCACAGAATGGATAAGAGTATCCCAATCGCTCTTATCGCGGGTCCCTCCAAAAAAAAGTCCCGCCGCAAGTTCGCGAACATCTTCATCTGGTCAACCGAAGCGCTTCATGCTACATTTCACGATTGAAGCCACCATTAACTTCGCTCTGAAAGCTTGAATACGTTTCTTCTTCTTTGCACCCCTTGCAATCGAACAATCGACCGTGACCATGGGAGCATCTGTTTACAAGTCGCTCTCGAAGGGTAGCGCTGACAAGAAGGGCGAGGCTCCTACCAATGGCGTCCGCAAGAACAAGCAGAAAGTGCTTATTCTCAGCTCGCGAGGTGTTACCTACAGACATAGGCACCTTCTAAATGACCTGGCGGCTCTCATTCCTCACGGCCGAAAGGATGCGAAGTAAGCAATATCCGGAGTCTCCACGGCAATACTCGCAAGAAGCCGTTAGGCTGTCTTGATGAAGCAATTACTGACTTGGGGTGCTGCAGATTCGATACCAAGAGCAAGTTATACCAGCTGAATGAGCTGGCTGAGTTATACAACTGCAACAACACCCTCTTCTTCGAAGCACGAAAGGGCCAAGATCTATATGTCTGGTTAAGCAAGGTTCCTAATGGTCCTACGGTCAAGATGCACCTTCAAAACTGTACGTTTATTGCATGGAATTGGAAGCTGAACTGGGGTAGAACTAATTCAATACAACAGTACACACGTCCGAAGAGCTTAATTTCACTGGCAACTGCCTGAAGGGCAGTCGACCGATTCTCAGTTTCGATGGTATGCGACTCTCAATGCCCTTTATCAATCACTCTTTCAGTCATTCCTTTCCACTGTATCAGGGTGGTGGTTTGAACCGCCCAAGATTTCTATCCAAAGGAAAACATACTGACCTCGCATTATCGCATAGGTGCCTTCGATGAACAGCCTTACTTGCGCGTTATCAAGGAGCTGTTCCTGCAACAATTCGGTATGCAACTCCTAGACGTCTTCATCACCATTTCCAGCTATTATACTTTCCTGTCTTGAGGGACTTTGAATTGGTTATATCTCTGTACAAATAGAATCCTACTAACATGTGATCATTACATAGGTGTCCCGCAAGGTGCAAGAAAATCGAAACCTTTCGTCGACCGTGTCATGGGTTTCAGCGTTGCAGATGGTAAGATCTGGGTGCGTAACTACCAGATTAGCGAAGTAGAAGCTTCGAAAGGCAAGGATGGTGAAGATACAGAGGCTGCCGCATCAACAAAGAGCAAGAACAAGGAGACCGAGATCTCATTGGTGGAAATCGGTCCCAGATTTGTTTGTAAGCAATTCTCACATTCATTCCCTTTTCTTGCCTGCACGTCAATGGAGTCGATACTGCCTAACAGAAGCATTTACATGTTTCATGGCTGTATTTGCAATATCTCAGCAGGCTTTATAAACCATGTCAGAAATGTTTGCTAACTCCCGGTTCTGTAGTGACACCCATTATTATCCAAGAGGGATCGTTCGGTAAGTAACATCCACCTGGAATCTCTCCAGCTCACAAGAAGAGGCAACTGCTGACGCTGACATACTGTAGGTGGGCCGATTCTTTACGAGAACAAGGAGTTCGTGTCGCCAAACCAGGTCAGAGCCGATCTGAGAAGATCCAAGGCAGTCAAGCACAATGCCAGGGCAGAACAGTACGTGGACAGACTGGCCAAGAAGGGCGACCTTGGTCTACGGACGAGTGGTGGCAAAGCAGCGAAGCCTGATGCTCTCGACACGAGACATCTCTTTGCTTAAGACTTCGAAACTTTCGCAGTTTGGCGTTCGGTGTTTAAGAGGTCCTTGCGATCCAGGGAACAAAAGTAGGAAGATACCTTTAGACTGTTGGACTGTTTCGCTTGGGCTATGCATGATACAAGGTCCTTTGCTGAAGAACGAAATCTGGGATGTTGCAATAGTAGGAGTACATGCGTATATTTTATATGTGAACCAGACGGACCGGCGCATCAATATCACTAGCACCACTGACAGCCATTTTGACCGTGAGCGCATCCGTTGCAGGTACTCGTCCTCATTTCATCTACAAGAAACACCAAAATCAAAGATGTGGCTGAGTACCCCTTGGTCGAGACGGGGGGAAGATTGTTTGGGTCTCGGAACGTCGAATTCATCATTAAACGAAATGCGGGTGAGGTGACTGTCAGGTTCTCTAAGTTCCTCAAGTCCCCCTCTGAATGCTGCAACGTGCCCCCGGATACAACGCAAGACAAAAATCACATGTATGACGCCGTAACTCATCATTCCAGCCCTATGAACCATTCTCAAAGGAACATTATGAGATATAGCCCCCTCATACAGTAAATCAACAGCACTTGCCCCCCTTAGCCGCGTCGCCGTCTGCGGGCTTGGTGCTATGAGACAGGTCAGTGCGTGTCTTGAGTGTAAGTCGTATCGAACTTCCCCTAGCTATCCGGGCAAGACCCGGAAGGCACGAGGGCAGCTGGTTTTGTGACTTACAGAGGAATGGTGGTGCCTGCTGTGATCGGGTTTTGAGCCTCGCCGCTGTCCAATGCCTTGCTAGATACGATACGGTAGATTTCTAAGAACCGAGCATTTTAGCAGGGGGTTTCTCAAGGGGAGGCTGTAGGAGACGTACCAGTCAGAATGTTTTGGAAAGCAAGCTCGACGTTGCTGGCATCAAGAGCCGAAGTCTCGATGAAGGAAAGGTGGTTTTCGCCTAGAAGCAGGATCAGCACAAAGAAAACACCAGTGTGAATGCCCCAGGGGCAACATACTCGCAAAGGCCTTGGCCTCATCTGTGGGAACGGCGCGCAGGTGTCGCAAATCGCTCTTGTTTCCGACCAGCATGATAACGATGTTGGCGTCGGCGTGGTCGCGCAGCTCCTTCAGCCATCGCGTGACGTTCTCGTAGGTCTGGTGCTTGCTGATGTCGTAAACGAGGAGGGCACCCACTGCGCCACGGTAGTAGGCAGAGGTGATGGCGCGATATCTCTCCTGGCCGGCTGTGTCCCAGATCTGCGCCTTGATGGTCTTGGAGTCGACCTGGATCGAACGTGTAGCAAACTCGACACCGATTGTGGACTTTGAGTCCAGGTTGAACTCGTTTCGGGTGAAACGACTAAGCAGGTTGGACTTTCCAACTCCTGAGTCTCCGATCAGGACCACTACATCGTCATGTCAGTATGTCGCATTGCGAATATGGCCAGCGGCGCCCGGGTGGATCGTCGCACCTTTGAAGAGGAACTGGACATTGCTCTGGTTAGCGATATGTATCCCTCGGGCAGTAGAGGAAGCAAGCAGGAGGCCACCGAGCAGCAACGAGCGGGTTGCAATTGCAGAGCGGGATGTGGGACAGGGGCAAGGCGCATGAGGGGCAGAACAGCAAACCAAGCTTACATCATATTCATCGTTGGCCATGCTGGGCAATTAGTTCTCGGTCTCGGGGGGTCTCTCGAAGGAAATGTCGGTGGATGAGAAGGCGTATGGCGGGATGTTTGTTCAGGAGAGTCGAGTGTCGACGGAATGCGGGTCGCGTTTGGTTGCCCCCAACTGGAACTGGAACTGGAAATGGACTGTTATCGGTGTGGTCGATAAAGAATCAATCAAACCAAACGAAACGGAGAAGGAAGTGTAAAGTCGGTTTCAAAAGTAAGCGCAGATAGATGCCTGTACTTTTACAGCTCCGTGCTGTAGGTTAGGGAGGTAACTTACTTGATTAGCTGCCTACAGTAGTCCAAGTGGGAGAAGGAGTGGGAGTGGGAGTATGTACCGTGATTACAATAGTTAACTTAACATGTAGGAATCGTCCAAGGTTAGGCTACTTTACTTGATAGACGTCAGCCGATCGAGTATGTATTTCGCTCCGACTTGGGGTGTGCATCACAAAGATCAGTTTGACGTCGATCAACCTCCAAACTCTTATTACGGCTGCCTCCAAATTGAACAAACCACTGTGCAGTCTGATGCATTTTGGCCACAAGCCTGTCGTGGTCCAAGATGTCGGTCAAGATGTCTACATACATACTTCAGTACTCCAGCATGTACTTACTTACTGTAACTGACTTGAGGCAGGTATGGTGCCTTGTCTCAGCGCTGCTTTGGCTGCTGTTTACTGGGGTTCAAGCTAGGATGGTTGCTTTCAGTGACCCATCCACAGCAGACATTCAGGGAGTTCCAACGCTACCAGGCTGCCAGGCGATTTAAATGACAGCTCACAAGGCCCTTTAGGGTCCAGGTTGGTTCCACTTTCGTGTCTTTGTTCTTGGTCCACACCAAACCCCCGCCGCAACTGTCAGCCGGCTGCGGCTGGAATCATCTACCGAGCATGTCTTTTTGTTAGTGTCCCTGGTGTCCTACCTAAAACACATATGCTGCAAGCTCTGTTGGGCGGTTTGCCAAAAGCAAAAACACACGGTTCGTACAACATCATGCATTTTGGGGAAATTCCACAATTTGGCGTAATTACAACTAGTATCTGGTCATAAAATGTCTCACTATCTGCTGTTACATTTAGCTTTTCCATAGTATTCATGCTTATCCGCACGAGAACTCGCCTGTCGTGGAAATTTTGGACACTACCTGTTTCCATGGTCATGTTGGCTACAACTAATTCTTTAATACCTACCGTAATTAATGTATTAGCTAACGTACCTAGCCTTGACTTTTTCGCATGCATTGAAAGCGCTACAGTTACATTCAATGTAACAAACTCAGTCAAATGCACAACTCATTTGTGCATAGTTTCAGGATTAGTGGAACTCTGTTTATGCAGCCAGTCAGTGTTACTGTTGGTCGCAGATCCCGCTTGTGTCACGACAGTTACACATGCGTGAACCAGCATTGTGGAGGGTGGCTAACCAAGACCGCGGGACTGTATGTACCTATGCATTCTGGCACTCAAATCAAGACTCATTAATTACAACCAAGAAGGCCTTACATATACACAAGCGTTTCGAAAGCTGCGCTTGTTCATCATCACATCACCCACGTCTCCAAGGGCAACAGAATAGTGCCGGTTGTATATATGGTCTCTGAACGCGCATGGTAGAACCATACTCGTCTTCCGTGCATGTAAGTCACAATTTCAATCCGCAGTCAGAAAATGCAGCTGGTGAGTGACATATGCTGATATCCACAGATTCCAGTCAGGTTCTACATACAGTACTCTGCAGGCTTTTGAGCCTGATTTCAGTGTATCTAAAAGAGCCTAGGAAGGGACGCGTCAACGCTGTCAATTCGACATTAGGCCCAACGCAACTTCTGCATTTTGGCGCGACAGGGTTCGGAACTTGGAGCACATCAAAGAAGCAATTTTGGTATCATGCGTCCTCAAAACTCTCCTTCCCCAAATCATAATGCTTAGCTCTCATGAGTGAGTGTCGTTCTATTGTTATAATCTATTATCGGCGTATGCCTTACATTTCAAGTACATAATGGCTATGATAGATGATAGTGTTTCATCTCTCTTCGTCGATGGCGGTGACGATGTCGAGATGGGTGATGATGCCATCTCTCTGACCTCGACACTCGAATCAGAGCACGAGCCCGATGAAGAGTTCGTGGTGAATGCCATTCTAGCTGAGCGGTCCCTTGATGATCCGACTCAAGCTCAACAGAGCAAAAAGCAGTATCTCGTCCAGTGGGAAACTTATCCTCTGAGCCGAAGCACCTGGGAAGGAATAGAGAACCTCTCAGACGAGCTATATCAGTCATGGCTCGAACAGCGAGAGCAAGAACTTCAGGGCAAACGTCGGGCGTTTGATGTTCAGATCTTTGAAAACGCCATTGCATTTGCACAGCAACGCAAAGCGGAAAGACACATGATGCGTAATGATGAACGACGGAGACTTGGCTTGCCAATTACGGAGCCTTTTCCCGACCAATTTGACGGCAAGGCAGATGCTTCCATGAAAACTGAACAAAGTTCTGAAGTGTCTGATACTATCATCGATGAAATGACCGGTGGTCAAAACAATGGCAAAGTAGCTACGCCGATCGACTCATTGAAGGTTCCAACAGCGGCGCTTTCTGCAAAGGGATCGTCTTCACCCAGTAGAAGCTCGTCATCTGATACTGGTGTTTCCGAGAAACTACGAGAGGCATTAGGTACGATTCGACCGGGCACAGGTATGGGCCCAGTTGGAAGTGTCGGCGGACAAGAGACAAATGCGACAAGATCCACGACCTCTACAAATAAGCCATCATCTGTAGCACCTTCCACAACCTTGGCCAACAAGTTCGCTGGGAGACGCCTCAAAGCCACTCGCACAGTCTCTAAGCCTTTGCTCCAGAGGTCAAAGACGATCGGTACGGCGTCTGTCCGCACAATACCTTTACAGCAGCAACAACAACAGCAACAACAGCAGCAGCAGCAGCAGAAAGTACGTAAAGCTCGCATGAATCTGAAGGATGCCATGATGGACCCTACCAAAACACCCAAGCTTATGTCAAATTTTCACCGTGTCAATCAATTGCGCAAAAAGGCAAGTGAGCTCAACGACTCTGCTCCTGCGGACCCGTCTGCCATTCCAGCTGGTTATTTTATTACGCCCTACCCACCGAGCAAACCCCACGTCACTGGAGGCAATTCCCAAGAGGCCCAGCAACTCCCAGCGCTAGCACCGCCAGCAGGTCCCACGAAGATGCGAAAGACGGTACGCTTTACGGAAGAGACCTCAACTTCTTGCGACAAGGCGCGGTCGCCGGTGGCGCTGGAATTATTGACTCCCGTGAGAAGGGTCTCCTTACAATCCTACCAGCAAAGGGCGGTTACTCAGGTAGTCACGAAGTCGGCTTGTTTTGGGTCGTCCCGAAGTATTCGTGTTGATTTTCATGGGATACCTCGCACAGGTGATTGGTTGATTAACATTATCAATGATGAAGTATTACAGTTCAAGGCAGTCTGTGCGTCTGCCGATTTCTTCTCGGGAGATGCCCTATACGATGGTGACGATACTCAATCGAAGCTAGCATCAGGACGAATATTGGCATCTAGCCATGAGGATACAGCAGAACTGAATAGTGAGTGTCCTTCCGGCAGTTTGGATAATCTAGAATGATCTTGCCATTTCCTTGATAGTCGTCCCAACGACAGGCACGATGCCAATACTGACGTGTTTATCCTAGTGGTCGCCACCAATCTACGACGAGATTCTTCTGGACTTTTCGTGGCACTGCACGGTTGTTCGATCATTTTATTTCCCGGCCAGTGTTCTGCATGGGCACCTCTGGCACCTCCTCTAGAGTTGGCATGTGAACTTAGATATCTGATGTTCAAGGCTAAGTATAACTTGGTTCCTGACCACTACCCTACACTATCTCACGACACTATCACCAGTAATGAAACTAGTTCCACTGGCGTCCGATTGAAAATAATGAACGAAATTGGAGCTATCGACTACGACACTCTTCTAGCTCCGTCAGCCCAAGAGAAGCACGCCTTCTTCCTGCTCTTCCATCCAGGAGAGATTACTGTCTTAAATGCATTGTCGCTCTGGCTACGGGCATGCAGACCGGATTGCAAGATATTCTCAAGTCAAGTACCAGGAGCTTGGAAGGCTTACCAAGAGGAAACGAACTCTGGTGCAGTGATTCTTCAGGAGTCCGCCGAGAAAAGCATTAGGAACATCCCTAGATTTTGGGACATGCTCAATCACGGCGCTCACACTTTCTGGAGTTTCTCTTCGTCCGACCATGAAGCCGTTCTGAAGCATTCTGCACTGGAGAGCCAGCTTATATCAGGCGTGCCCAAACAGCTGAAGTTGACACAGCTATTCCTTGCGGGACGCGCATTTCTGATTACTCCAAGCTTTGTGGTCTCTCAGCCAGGAAAGCTCTGCAAATTTCTCGAGTGGTTCAAGCAGAGGGCGATATTTGCTCCCTATGTCCTTGTAGTGTGCACAAATTTCTCACAATATCTGTTTGAACTTGCTATGGAAAAGGCTCGTGATAGCGATAAGTTTCTGGAAGATAATTCCAATGATCTTCTGGTCAAGAACTGGACTACTTCAGAAGGAATATCCCGAAAAGACCTTGAAGACAGAGTACGGGCATGGGAGTTGGTCCAAGATCTGAGCGGTCCGGCTTACTACGGGTTGAAGTCTTACGAGGAACCATCAAAGGATATTCGTAAGATTGTATGGGCTGACGAACTTATTTCGCCGGATGACGAGCAGAGTCTCCTGAATTGGTATGCGGCCTGGTCGATGGTAAGTACCCTGAATCTCTTATGCATCCCAGACCCTAGAATATCGGAAGAACAAAATCTCCACACAATTTAGTATTACAGGGTTTTGAACTGGATTTCGGCATCGACAGCATGTGGTCGCCGAGGTTTTCCACTCGAACACAATTATCTCCTTTGCGCATTCGAATTGCAACTAATGTTCTCGCAATTAGACAAAACTGGGCACATATCGTAATTTCCACGTTATTGGCTCCAGCGTCAATGGTATCCAATGGGCCAAGCGATCTGTTCGGGTGCCCAACTATATGCCAGGAGTCATCAACAATCCCGATGGAACCACCAACGACTCCGTGGAAATTGCGGCAGCCAAGTATAAGTTTAGAAGCCACCTGTTCCAAGCGGATAAACCGTCCGATTTCAGGCCTTGGTTCGATACCTTTAACTCCCTTAAGGGCACATCCTCGTTCTGGATGTTTTTCAAGCCAGTGAGCTGGCTTGATAGGGATATGGCTGATATGCATAGAGACACTTACACCGAATATGGCACCTACGAGCAATGGCTCCGATGCTGCCCCAGATTCTTCGGGAAGGTTAATACTCTCGTTGGATTTTTCTACACCACTGAGTCAGACTGGGAAGGAATGTATCAGCCAGATACCACCGCACGTCATCCCTGGATTGCGCTCTTGAGACCGGTCAATCCCCACCTCGACCCTACACAATTCTCTAAGCTAGAGTTGTTGATATGGGACTGTGCAGCTAAGGACCGCTGGCCTGCCCATCCGAGGCGTGAACACCTCCTGCCAATGCAGCGCAAATTGATAGATTTTGTTCGGGCTGAGGTTCCAAAAGAAACGATGAAAAGCAAACTTGGTGGTTACCACCTCGAACGTATCTTTGTTGGCGGCGGGAATATCGAAGTGGATGCCGATCCGTCGTGTCCGATAGATGTTACCTGTAAGGCTATGGAGGCAATTGTTCAGGGACGCGAAGGTCGCGCTAGATACGTACCACCCTGGGATGAAGTCATGTTTAGAGCCGGATGGAAACTCCTTGACGAAGGCCGCGCTGCAGACATGCCTCAATTGCCCAGAGTCTCTGCCGACGACGAAGAGCCGGAGAGAATTATTTTTCACCCACCCCGCGGTACCTGCGGCTCTCACTCTGCTTGTACGAACGACCTCTACGATATGGCATTGAAGGCACGCATCAAAGACCTGCAATGTACAAGCTTCACGTACCACTACAAACCGACGCTGCAGTGGTATCAGGAACTCAAAAACGAGAGGCGTCTGTATAACCATATCATGGTGGACAGTTGGGATCATGTCTTCAGAGACCTAAGAATAGATTAAAAAGTGGATAAAGCTAATGGAAAGACGATTGCCCAAGCGAAGGTTTGTTGAGAACAATCTGCTTTCACAACATTGAAGAATTAATGGTCTGCTCACGTACACACTATGGCTCTTAATGCAATTCGTGGTGTACGCTGTGTTGTTTTGCATTGTCTCAGATGTCAGAGTCTGTTATGTCCTTTCCAGATCGCCTATTCCCGGAACTCATTCATACTTCTCTCAAAAAATTTATAGGACGCAAAAACTCAGTCATTAAGTGGCCTATACGCCTTTGATAGCTGTACACAGTGTAAGAAGCACTGGAGAACTGCTTTGGACAACAGACCACTTTCACAGGGATGTAAGGGACAGCGGCCACGGACTTGCTCAATTGTCTGCCCAGTCACGGCAATGGCGCTTCCCCGCGATAATCGAGAAGAACGGGCGACGAAAGGCCTTAATGGCTGGCGATGCGTGACCTGACGGGCAATGCAACCCCAGCGCATCAGTAAGAAATGTCCAAATACATCATACGTTTCACCGGGCTTGCCATAGAGCTTGAACGGCTTCCTCCGGACGGTGGGATTCCACAAACTGGTGTTCTATCCAGCTGAATTGGGAGCCCGTTAGCGGTCAAAGAACGTTGCAAGTACCTACTTATCTAGCGATCGGCATGATCCACATGTCACAGGTTGGCCTTATGCATGGACCGACATAAGGTTGCTGAATTTGATTTGGCGCCCACAATTTTGTTAAAGTTGTACCGGTGTATCTAACCTTTGGTTTGTATTGAACGCAATCTTTCATACGGTGGGTGTTGCCAGTCTGCAAAGACAATCCAAGCCCACGGATCCCAAGCAGAGACGTTTCTTAGGGAGCTTGACGGATTGCTTTGCACATTGTAGTGCTTGGAAGCATTTGCTACTTGGTGCTGCCATACATAGATCTGCTGGGCCTACAGTACGTAAGCCGTTCGAAGCCAAACAGCGGAGAAGGTTGGAGCTTGCAGGTTTTGTGTCACACCCAACGACCCTTGGCCATCTCGCATCAAAGCGCCTCCACTTTGAATTTCAATTCTGCTTCCTGGCCATCTGTCGATCATTCTTCGTCGTCCATCTGGCCAGGGCCTTGTCTGACCTTCTTTCTTGGGAGCACGAGAAGTATCACACTGGGCAGCGATTCATTCCAGCACGTTGTTCCTGCATGTGGCCGCCTAGCATCAAAAGTGCTTTCAGGAACTCCTCTGGAGGATCATGTCCGAAACATCGTCCCATCGAAATTCAGCCCTAGTGGTTGATCCGTCGAGCTTGTCCCAAACTCAAAAGAATGGGCTTATTAAGGACTCGGATGCACCTTTGACAGGAGCTCATACTGCTTCAACCACAAATCAAGCCTGTAAGTGAATGATTGTGCTTGTTTGGTATACGAGCCATGTTTTGTTTGTCTCATGATTTACCTCGCCACGGCTCGTCCATACCTGCTGCATCACTCCGAATCGGAGCCAGCGGAATACACTAGAATATGACAAGCTTGAGGCAATTGCCTTTCCTAGTAGTCCCACGCAGTATGACTGCGTCCATAGTCTAGATGTCTAGGCTATATATTTTCGACTAGACAGCTGGAGCTGGTCCATGGGTGGTTTCCAGATTATGATCCCAGATCCAGACTGCCAGTCTACAAAGTTTTACACTTACTTGCTTGCTTTCCTCCAAACCCGAACCCATACCCTTGCCACCTTAACTGACCGGCACCCGCAGCCAAGCCAGGTTCAGAACCAGCCATGCCTTCAGTGGCAGTAGCCGACACCACCACTCATGCCATTGCCCCGCATTCTGCATTAGCTGGGGTTGCTTCCAGCCATGCTATAAGTTCGCCTCCTGCTGCATCGACTTCACGCGACACTCCCTCGTCTGGCCCTGCTGGCCGTGTGTCGCACTCGAGGAAGTACTCTGCTTCGTCTCCCAAGATGATTTTCTCGGATCTATACAAGTCAACCAGGTTACCACTAGCAAGGTTACGTCAACAGTCCAACCAAGCAACCCCTAGTATAGACTATGATGCAGATCTTGTAAGCAAGGACAAAGCCAAGAACAAAGAGGCGGTCAAGAAGTATCTGGCCGACAGGATACGCAACGACTGGGAATTCAAATGGCCGCGAGCAGACAAACCCACCGACGGTAATGGCTCCAAATCAGATGGCGCAAACTCTGAAGACGCTAAGCAACACGACATACAAGAGTCTCGTGAAATATCATCACATGACCTTGAAGGGCGCTCGGTGGAGAAAACGGAGGATGATGGCGATGACGACGATGACGACGACGATACCGCTTCGACATATAGCACCGTATCAGAAGACATAGCGCATTTCAGGCCTCGACTCGAATGGTGGTCAGACTTCTCAGAGGATGAGGTCACTGTACACCCGTCTGCTTATCGGTTTGACACCCCCGACGCAGTCGGCCCTACGGTACAAGCAACTGCGCATACAAGGCAAACGAAAATACGAAGAGCGATCCGTGAGGAAGCATCTTGGAATTCCGGTTTGGCTTGTTTCAACGCACGTCGCGATGCATGGACAGGTGCCAAAGTCGTGCGGGTGAAGCCGAAGCCATCATCGGCTCCGACTTCGCCACTTTCAGCATCACGGCGCATGTCCTTCTTCCGGTTTGCATCCACGTCGCCCCCGGTTTCTCCAGGTGCACCATTGTCGCCTACGACCACCCGCACATCTGGAGACACTAACGCCGTTACGTCGTCGGATGGCGATCCAAAAGAATATCCACCAAAGGCAGACTCCTCCCAGTACCCAGTAGAGACAATATTACCCGTGGCGCATCCTCTTCTGCCGCCGGCGAATCCCATGCGTGCCTCGATTACTCCCAGTAGCTATCCAAATCTCTACGACAGGATAATCGTGCACTCGCTGACCCCCTCGTGTCCTGTCAACCTTGCCGATGTCCTGAAATTTTGTGTGGTGGGCTGGAAGCGTGATGGCGAATGGCCGCCCCGGCCAGCGGAGGTTGCGCCGGTCGTTGCGGTGCGCAAGAAGCAAAGGGATAGTGTCACGAGTCAAAATCGCAGGCCCAGTACAGGACGACGTATGAGTCTTGGCTTTCTGGGGCGCCGAGAGAGTGCTACTGGAGACACCCCAACGGGGACCGCGGCTACCGAAGACTCGGGCAAAGGTATCAAAAAGAGCATTCAACGCGTGCTCGGACTTGGCCATCAACGCACCGGCAGTAACGTTAGCAATAACGGCTAGGTAATTTGAAAATTCGGCCGCGGATGGTACGCCACAGCAGCTTCCAGCGGTATCTGACGAGAACCACATTTTTGAAGCACATGGGATTCCCGGGATTCTTATACAGGATTATGACGAGCATCAAAAGGATTTTGGTACAAATCACGACATCATTTTATGGATAGTAGGCATACAGTTAGTTCAGTACAGGCATCGCATCGCCGGGAGACTGTTCCTCACATCGGTCGGGTATACCCAGCATAGGACGGCGTTTTCTTTTCTCACCTTTAATGAGAGGTTTTCCTTATGTATCACTTCTTACATAATTTGCGTTCATAGCATGATTTTGTTTGGTCAATCGTTACTGGGCTCAAATGGGATCGTTTAGCTGCCCATCCGGAGATCAAACGTGGAGGAACGCTAATAATTATTAGTCACATCGAAAGCGAATGTCACGACTGTCTGTGTGCGTAGGAATCGTCCTCTCCAATTGAGCTAGACTACACTATTTTCCATCTGAAAGGATTTCCAATCGCGCTGTCCGCTCCAAAATGTCGCTGAGCCAAATTCCCCTGAAAAGGCTGTCCTGCCGTTCGACCGATAACGTTACCCTCAGGAGTTCCAACCGTGAAATACCAAAAACCAGGTCTTGTGCAAAATACAAAATGCAAAATGCAAAATGGGTACCGCCGTTGCGTATCGTATCCCGCTGACTGGGTCTGCTCGTGCAAAGTTTGTGTCATTGGGGGGGTTCTTTTTTCTTTTTTCTGGGGGGGTTTTTTTTTGGTTAGTAAAGATCTCGGTGCTCTGGTCTTCTGTCAGGCTCGGGCCAACATCAGCTATCCTGTTGAAGAACTGGCGAAGATGTCGGTCGGATGACGTGAGCAAGCTCAAAGACCGGGTCGAGGAAAAGTCATGAATGAGTAGCTACCATGCGCTGAAGAAACTATTCCAGCCTAAATGGAATATTCGTCAAGTCGGTGAGAACTGGGGGGCAACGTCGCAGAATCTGATGACGACCGAGCCCGGAGAACCTCGTGAGGAACAAAGAGCTGTCACCTTCTGCTGAAAACCAGGGACCATTGCCGAGAAAACACAAAATGAGACGGAAAGGGAGAATTAGGGCAAAATACAGAAGGAGAAAAGTATTGCTCTGGTTAGAGAACCACAAAGGAAAAGGAAAACTCAGGCGAAAACAGAAGAAGTACAACAAGGGGGTGGTAAGCGCAAAATGTGTTTTTATCCTCCGTACCGATGTGAAGAACTCAAGACTCCGAATTGAGAAGTCGACAACATTGTTATCTCCTACATGGTCAGGATGCAAACGTGAGAGGTATGCTTGTTTCTAAAGATATTGCTCGCTCTGAGGCATCATCTTGATGACGGCTCGGCCGTTCTCAAGCTCGGTCAATGTGGGAGTAATGACCTGTGAGTGGTTGGCACCGTGGGCGGCGGCGGCAGCAGTGTTGATGGGTGTCATGCCGTTGTTCGTGGTATAGTAAGCCTGGGCACCGGGGCTCATGCTGGCATTGTGACCACCTCTCATGGCGCCGTACATCTGACGTTGGTACTGCTGATACTGAACACGGTTGGCCAGGGCGCCAGCGAGACCATCAACATCAGATGTGTCCAAACCACCATACGTCTGGGATCCGACCATAGATGTCAGGCTAGATCGCTGGTTAGGCATGTTGATGCCCTGGGCCGTGGGCAAGGAGCGCTCTGCGAAAAAGGTGGCGGGGTCGCCCCTAACGTCAGTGCGAGTTGCTAGGCGAGGGTCGATGACAAACCCAGAGACTGGACCTCTTTGCAGAACCGGCGGGGGCTGTGTACCCTGGCGATGAATTTGTGCCAGTTCTTCAGCGTGGGCCTTGATCTCGGAGCGAATCTCGATGAATCGGTTTGCAGCATGCATGGCGCTCAAGATGTCGAAAGCTTCGATGCCACGAAGGATCTCGGCGCGGAGGTTGCGATCTTGAGTACCTTCAGCGAACGATACAATCTGCGACCAAAGCTTGCCGGTGAACTGAAACTCAGTGATCAAAGTCTCCTTGTATGCTGAGATGCCGTAGCCGATACCAGCCTGCACCCCCATCATGTAGAGTCGGTCCATCTCGTCCGATACTCCATGGTTCGTAATGTAGTCTTCGAGGGCCACGAAGGGAGTTTTGGGCCAAGTGCTGGGGTCGAGAGACAAGTTGACACCCTCGGGTGCGAGGAAAGTTCTACCAGACGCGTCAATTAGCTTTTGAGGTTGCGGATTGCCGTAGGTGTCGTTGGGCTGTATCTCAACGCGAACAGGGCCGTCTGCGATGAGTGGAATGCTCTCGTCGGCGCTGTCTAGCTCAGGTATAATAGTCTCTTCGTCGGTGTCTAGTGCTCGATTGTTGCTGATACTAACTTGAGGTTGAACGTCCGAGATTGTTGTACCACCAGAAACTTTATAGCCACTTTGAAATTTGGCAGCCACGGGGTCGCGCTTCTTGGTAGGACCAGATTTACGTCCAAGCTTGCTAACAACACCAGTCGTGTCCTTGGAGCTGACTACACTGGGAGTGTGGTTCATAGGGCTAGCTTGGGTAGCGGCAGTGGTAGTATTGTCATGCATCTGACCGGTTGGTGTGGTTGGACGTACGGCAGAGTTGCTGGACAGACCGTCTACGGGTAGAAGATCTGGCCCATCGCGGTTGTCAATGGATCCACGCGTAGCCATCCTGCGAGAAGTAACAGATGCTAGATTAGCGGAAGCGCCTCTTGCACCACGCTGACTAGTACTGACACGCTTCTTAGCTGCACATCGAGAGCTGCGCCCCGAGGGTGTGGGAGTGGTGGAGGGTGATCTTTTCATCATGGGATTGTCGGATGCGTGGGCGGTATTGCAATACAAACAAAAACACTTTGAAGTTGGTACTTGGCTTGGGTCAAGTTGATCAGATGTCTCTTCAAAATCTAGTTTGAAAAAATCATCGCCGATGGGAATGGAGGCGTACTCTGACGAGCGGTTATTAGCTCCAGATGTTGTATTGATGGGTTTAGTTTTAGTGATGACGAGTTTTGTTTCGTTGGCGATGGTGTCCGCAGAAGCTGTGGTTGTGGTCTGGCTTTGAGTTAGAGCTTTGCAAGTTTGAGGAGGGATACTACTCTCGTTTTCATCAGGAATCATCCGATCAAAATTAAATTCGAAGGAATCCTGGAGCAAGCAGTCTAATTCGTTACCTGTCAGGTGTAGCTCTGTGGCTAGAACAGTAGGCTCGCTGGTTGGAAACATTTTGTGGGCGGTGATGGTCGACGATGATGGTTGAGGATGATGATCGGCGATGATGTTTGGTTGGTGCAGTGTGATGAGATGAACAGAACTCAGATGTGGTTGTTTGAACATAAGAGGTCAACCCAGGAGATATCTACAAAGAGCCATAAGATTGTCCCATACAATAAATCCGAATAACCAATACCCCCTATGAGCCTTAGGCAGGACCTTGACTGTCATTGACGAGTTACCAACATTGGTGATTATTAGTGCATGTCAAGCAATACTTGACGCTCTCAGAGGCATTGATCGTATCCGGCATCACCATGATTGACCGTTCCCATGCCACCAAGGACAGCCTAGGTAGTTGTAACAATGATTTGATTGTCCATCCTCTAGTATCGTCCATTGTCTCTTGAGCAAAGTCGTTACTCATGAGAGCAATGACAGGAACCCATGTATTTTCTTGCTGACCCTGGCCGTCCTTCTCAACATGCCATACTCAAGATATGTCCAAACGTGTCAAGCCAGTAGAGTAGGAAAATCAACTGTGAAACACAGCAAAGGATAGACTAATGTGAGATGTATGTGTCTCTTATTAGATCTTTGATACGTCTCGTTTCTGAATGTGGCTATGCATGGATATAATTAGGGATACCGTGATTGTTCGAAATAACTGTGGTACATAATATATATGTCTATTTCGACTTTCAGATGAGTTACCCTAGTTCTATCTAGGCTAGGTCTATAAAGCTTGTGAGTTGGAAAGAATCATTGAACATAATCATACATATTAAGTTTACCCTACGAAGCATAGCCCTAACAGGTAATTACTATTGCTGCACTATCATTCATTTCTGTTGGTTTGAACTGATCGAGTCAGCCCTAAGCGTTTCACTCCTGAAATGCAACCTCTCTTAGCATTAATAATCCTAGAGCTCAGCTTTTGGATCCATAAATAGCAGAAGTAAGAACATTTAAGACACAGTGGTAGATGTTCGTCTATGTGATTCCGACTTGAGCAATCGCTGTAGCTATTTTCACAGACGTTTATCTTTGACCCATCAGGTATAATTCTTTTAGGATAATGAAGCAGAACAACCCTTTGACGTGCTTAGCTACTAGAAAATAGTGCGAACGTAGCTTCTCCGGCCGTTTGGGAAGTGTGTATATATCATGTACACGCTTACCTGGAGGGCAACAATATAAATACGCCAACAATAATGTAAATATGCTATTAATGTGTGTGGTATGGGCGTTGTCGTATGTATGGAAAACAAATTCACGTACTTCGACAAATAATCCCGTAGGCCGCTACTCCGGATAAGTCATCCTTCTCGTGACACCTCCGTCAACCTTGAGCTCTTCGCCAGTGATAAAGCTGTCGCTGTCAGAAAGGTACTCCACTGCCTTCAGGATATCCTCAACCTTGCCAACTCGCCCGGTAAAATGCCACCTGTGATCGTCCTCGCTCAGGCCATTCTCCCACTTCAGACCGTTGTCGTCTCCTTCCTTGCTCTCGTGCTCCACATTGATCCATCCTGGCAGTATCGCATTCACCTTGATACCATCGTCCGCCAGCGAGCAAGACAGCGCCTGGCTCAGCCCAAGCAGTCCCGCCTTGGTAGCCGCGTACGCCTCGCTGTTCGGCTCAGACTGATACGCGCGCGTCGACGAGATCATGATTATGCTTCCGCCAAGCGGGCTGTCCGGCGGCTGCCTCCTCAACATCGGGAGGCACGCCCTCGAGATTAGCGCGCTCCCCGTGAGATTGACCTGGATACTGCTCTCCCAGACCGACAAGAAATCGTCCGTCTCGATTCTCGGCCCGTGGGCCCCCGCCGTGATTGCAGCATTATTGACCAGCACGTCCAGTTTCCCGCTGAAAAAGTCCGACGCCGAATGGACTGCCTTCTCGATGTCCTCCTTCCTGGACATGTCGGCCCCGAAGATCCTGAAGCGAGACTGTGCGTCCGATGACGATAGCCATTTCGGAAGCTGCGTCTTCATGTGTTCAAGCTCCACGTCGTTATTGTCAAGTATAAAGACGCGGTGGCCCCTTTGCAGCAGCAGCCGTGACAGTCCTCTGCCGATACCGCGACCGGCGCCTGTGATCAGGTAGTTTTTGGACATGATCCAGGTTGGTGCCGTAGTCGGCTTCGAGGTTTTGTCCTTATGCCCCCCGGATGTAGTCGCGCTGAGATAAGAGATGCAGCTACAACAAGGTCTCCCGGTGTATTGATCAAAGCCTATACCGACGAGGACTAACCGCTTTCACTTTGCCAGGTGAAGGTGAATACGTCTCAAGTAGCCCCAGACGCTTTCATAGTGGATGTTACGAGTACCAACAGCTTGCGAGAAGCATCAGTTGAACTTGCACAAAAGATGCCTGACGTCATAAGCACCCACATCGGCCGTGCCAAACTCAACGATACACACACAACATGCTTTGAACATGTGAGTATGGACCATTCGCAGAACTCCGGGCCTCGTAAATGAGACATAAGCAGTACAAAGCGGCGCACACTACGAAAGTCGACTGCTTATCTGCCACGCAGAGTATATGATATATATACTAGAAAAGGACGCATGACTATATGTATTGATCTCCCGTCGAGGAGCACCATACAACCCCACGATGTAATCCGTCAACACCAACAAGCCACACAGACTACTGCAGCGACCCGTCATGCAGGAGCACCGATGAGGCAAACAAACCATAAGCACCTACCCGCGTCCTGGCTACCAGGGACAATGGCAGCAAGCTCAGTGAGCACCGCATTTTTGCATTTGCCCTTGTGCGGAAGAATCCATCTTGTGTGACGCAGTGGTAGCACAGGCCTATACAGCAGTAGAATATTCAATTAGGTAAGGAGGCGGTCAGGCAAGATACCATCATCATTTACAGTTTTATTCCCCCCTCTGGAACCTTCCATATGTGCCGCGCTGACAAAAAATTGTCCTGGGGGATGTCAAAGCCATGCTTCGAGCGATCATATGAAGCAAGGTGGTAGTAGTAGTAGTATATGTGAAACACAAATCTCGAAGTAGTATCAACGGCACTCACAATGGTTGGCATCGTCGATGTTCAAAAGTGTAATTCAATATTGAATGAACTGATGGTAGCTTCTTGCCAAATTCATATTTGGTTGTCTTGACTGAGGACAGTGAGTTGCATGGTTCTGAAATGTAAAAGCCATCTCAACGTTTTACGCCCGATAGGACGCCGCTCAGTACTTGGGAAGGATTCAACCGGCACACAATAGCAAATCCTTCACCAAGAAAATTCATGAATTCCAAACAATGTAGGCAGGTTTCTTTTCGCAAAAGACCGCCAAGATCGTACAAACAGAATATATAGTGGAACGACAAGATTGCCCCTGTATTTGCACCGCAATCGCAATCGCTCAATGACGAAACCAACTCCTTTCTTGCCATGAGCGCAGAAAAGCACAATCGCCATACCCAGTAACCCCGAACCGTTTGTACTGAAATCCTCTCTGACCCGGATATTTCCCATGTAATGAAGCCGTTTCCCAAGCAGCAGAAACACCACCAATGACACAAAAGCCCCGCCGGCTTTGTGAGTACTAGACAATAACACAACCCAACCCCATTGCCGCCAAAATAGAAAACACAAGTCGTTCTATATGTAGGAATTCTTTTCTCGAGACGTCATGACCCATCATGATGACTTTATCGTTGCGCTTGCCGTATGAAAAACCCAATACTCCGTGGTATGAACCGATGCGATACGATTAGTTGTAAAATGCAAGAACCGTCAATTAGTTGCTGGAACGCCGTCTGCCCATTCGTGACCCAACACAACCTCATCTTTCGAGGTCGAAACACCGAGAATGATTTTTAGCCTGTTTGGAATTTCTTTTCCGAGAACCCAAAAACGAAAAGGTATCGATTGATCTTCATTTCATGCCGCGCGCCCATCGTGAAAGCTCTGATTGCAAAGCTGACCGATGAACACAAGAAGGAGGTTTATGTCGAATAAGGATGTTTATACAGGTTGAAGTGAGGGAGTCAGCAGTGGAGCCCTGAGAGAGCCACAGTGCCCTAGAAGATGAATGATTTTGTCGATGCCTCATGTCTTTTTGGTGTCCACCAAGATGAACGGATGTCGCGAGGAACGAATGAGCAAACTGAAACATAGAAGATTCATACCAACGAAGATGACGGTAAATGGACTGAACTCCCACTAACATACGGTAGCGAGACGATCAGCCAGTTACCATCGTCGACCGAGTGGCTGCTGCATCCGCGCTGGGGACACCGACGGAGGTGGACTAGACAGGGTCAGGCCGTTGGCGGGGTTGATGATGGGAATAGCGTTGCGAGTCCGGGTGGCCGCGGGCTGGTGCAACTTCAGGGTCGACTGCTGAGTGTGGTAGGTAGGCGGGATGAAAGCAGGCGACGAGGAGTTGAGCGAGAATGCTGGTGCGACTTGCTGGGGATGTTGTGTGGGCGAAGAGTGAGGAGAGTTGCTGGAGAGAGACGATCGGTCCGATCCAGAGCTGCTTATCGAAACGAGCTGAAGCGGAGAGCACGGTTAGTGACAAGGCCTTCTCTCATGATATACCGACGTGATGACGAGGTCTTATTCCAATAGCGACAGGGAACGAGAGACGTCATATGCCGTGGTTGTGCGGTAGTAGACTTACATCGCTCTCAGTCAACAGCTTAGGGCAGAACTCCATGTCATCCTCCAGATCGAACGACCGGCTGGTCTCGAATTGTGTTCGGAAAGATGTGACGGCGACGGACTCGGAGAGCTCCTTCATACTCCGGACGCCGCGGAATTGTCTGTGCGAGTTCTGCGAGACGGAAAGCCTGGGTGCTCTCCGGTTACGTCCTCCATGGTGGTTGTTGTGCGGGACAGAGGGCGCAGCAGACGTTGGTTGATGGTTGTATTGGTAGTATGCAGACATGATGGGCAACAGGATGAACGCAAATAGAAAAGCTCGATGGGGGCTGTTGTCTGTCTTTTCTTCTTCTTCTCTCTTTTCTCTTCGTGGCGTGTTGTGTTGTGTTGGCTTGTCAGCAAGGTAGATAAAGAATATAGCTCGACGTTGTTGGCGGTTGCGTTGCTGTGCGTGACGTGACGTTTGGGGTGGCGGTGTGTTCTATGTACTCAACCGAACGTCTTTGGCTTTGTGCTCTCGTGTTTGGGGGGTCGGCAGGTGGGGAGGCACAGGCCGAGTTTTTGCGGTATTAAACGAGTTGACTTGCGTTGCTTTACTTTTGAGACAACAACAATAACAATGGAACGAGAGTGCTCAGATAGGAGTCGCAAGAGATAAGACCGGACCGGATCAAGAGTGTGCTTTATGTGATAGCTTATAGTTACGCTGTGGGAAGAGTATAGTTTGGCTTGGTTTGTTTCTTTTGGTAGTCAAGCGGTTATGTGCGTGTTGAACGTTGGATGTGACGGATGGATAGCGATAATGGATAGAACCAGAGGAGGGAGAGAGGGTGAACCAGCTCAAGCGTTCGGAGAAGGCGAAGGATTTTGTTGGACAGGCGAGAAGACAAAGCACTCGAGCAAGAACCGAGAGATGGAGGGTGGCGGCGGCTGCTCACTGGTCCTGACGGCCTGCCCTGGTCCACTCTGTCTCTGTCCAGCCAAGCCAGCCTGTCGAAAGGGGGGGGGGCAGCTAGCATTGTGGAGGCAGGCGGACGAGCAGGTATCCAATCACTTCATTTGCCACCACAGGCGACTGGGTTTGCTATGCCGCTCATGGTCTAGCTGGTTAAGTGTGGAAGCGCAGCGCAGAATGCGGTGGCGAACCTTATGATGTAGAGAGTGCCCTAGGGTGCACAGTCTCGAGAGCACGGAGTAGCAACAACAACAAACAAGAGCAAGGATGCCACGCCCAATCTGGTGGCATGTTCATCGGCCGTGCGCCCCTGATCCAGAGTGGCACGAGCTAGTCCAGAGCAACAGAGAGACAGTGGTTCACTCGAAGCCCAATCGAAGCCCTCCTGAGACCCGGGAAGCCCACGCACATCTGAATACAGCAACAGCAAATATGTATCAAGCAACTGCACCATCATATCGAATGAGACCACCATAAGATGGTGGGTCGAGTATGCACATGAATGGGAAAGAGGCTTGCCCGCTCGAGTGCCTTTGTAAACGAATTCGTCAGATGTGTCATCACCCATGGAATCCTCCTCCAGGTGAGAAACTGACCAGATCCCCAAACCACCACCGTGGATGAGAGTACACACTGTTGGGACTGCTCACCGTGAAACACATACCGTATGCTAGACCAACTAACCTAGATCAATCGCTTGCCATCAATCTGTCGGTTTGTTGTGCGTCGTGACCCGGAAATTGTGTCCATCGTGACCTGGGTGCAACATTTGGCGTCGCCCGCCCCTATTTTGCAGCTAGACTAGATGCTGGAGAGCCCCGACTTTGCCGACCTAGCTCAATTGCTCAGGCAGCTCTGCTTACTGGGCTGCTGGGCATGTCAACAAAATTCCCACTTGGGTCCATCATCAGTCGCTCACCAAGCAGAAAGACCACGAGAAATGTACACGACTTCAATACGTTGGGTCGCAAGCTGTGTACACAGAGCGGAGCAGTCTGTTTCGCCTGCGTTTCTGCTGTCGGCGTCCTCCTGTTCAAAAATTCGGTTTATGTACTTTGAAACTTCCTCCTCACCGCACCGAACTCGACTTGTGCAAGCCCCGAGCTGGTGGTCAATAGCAGAACAGCCAGCCGCGGGCAGCAGAAACGGGTTTGACCAGCACCTTTCACAGCCCTAAGGTTAATGGCGAATTGATCCTTTGACGACGTTCCAGCGACTCACAGCTAACTATCTTAAATTTCAACAGCCAGTCAAAAACCGTTACTGTCTGAAGCACTGTGTTTACCAGCGCGAGTCTGACCCTGTTTTGTTGATCTAACTAACGCTTTGGGCTGCACTGCAACACCAGCCCACATAGTTGCTCCGATCCTTGCAAGCTTCTGTGCAGAAGGATGCACAGGGTCACCGCTGTGGAAATGATTGTTATCAAGTGGGCACCGTGAGACCAGCCTTGCCAGCCTATGGACAGTATGCTTTTTGAGACAACGTGGTCGTCGAGGCTCTACAAGTCCCGTATTTTAGAGCAACCATTGTCACTCGCCACGTCGTACTCATAACCTCAATGGCTGCTGGCAGTTCAGACAACGCTGCGATCCCGCAGTAGGCGCCTGCATAGTTTCTGCGGCTTGCCTGTTCGCATTGTTTCAAATGACTCGTTTCAAGCTAGGTCAATTTCATGCGATGCTTTGGGGCTCATCAACTGTCCCGCTGAACTTGGCGCAGTTTCGTTCGAGGTCACAGTGTTTCAAGCGTCCAAATTACCCGTCCCTCCACTGCAATCTGCATCTGCAGCCTGGAAGAGTCCGCTAGTTATCCTAATAGGTATGGCAGAAGAGGTCACTGGCCACAAATAATGAGCTCGTATCAATCTGCATTTGCAAATCTCCCGTGAAATCGTTGCCCATTTAAACGGAGTCATCAAGGCTATCATGACCAGTACTCAATTAAGAGTCTAGAAGCTACATATGTGTTGTGTTGCTGGGCCTCTTGGAGATGACGACCGAGTGTCCAGTTCAGCTCCTCGTACCCCTTGAATTGGTGCTTAGATCAGGGGTCCAAACGAGTGACGCACAGTCTTTAGTGGTGCTCTTTTGTCGTAAATATCGGCACAATGTTTTTCAATCTCTTCGAGGCGCATTTCCAATAGACTTTCAGCTATATTATCCTCCGTGCTCGCGTGCAGATGACTGATGGTAGATGGCGGAAGGAAGATAGATCTGACCGTTGTAGTGCTGTTACCTGGCGTTTGCAGATCTAATGTGACGGAAAAGCAAATTGCTACCCCGGTTTCCTTCAATGCTGTCATTGATGGTTCGCTGAGCGGAACGCCTGCCATATAGCGTGATTACGTGTATCCTGTGTCCTACGAGATGAAGCCCAGCTTGATCGACATGCTCAATCCTGCAGTCATGCTAATCAAGGAGCTCTAGGTCATGCCAATCCGTCCGCACGATGGACTACGGAGACCTACTGGGGTATGGGTGTGAAGTCTGTCAACTTGCCAAAAGAGTAAGCATCTATCTGCTAGACCCGCCATGGCCGTGAGGGTGTGACACACCCGCGTTCGAAAACAGTTCTTCCTGGATAATTGATTTGTGACAACCTACCTTCTTTTTTTCTTGGGATTGGTTCGTGGGAGAGAGGCTGGACTGGCGCGGGGCAGTACTTAGCATAATGAACTGATCCTATTTTAGTTGCCAGCAAGGTTCGCTCGCATGCCTGATCAGATTCGGGAGGGGTTGCGCTTCGGAAGCCAGATCTGGGAGACAACCGCAGGTACCTATGTGGTCTGCGCATACTTTAATCATCTGGGAGACAGCATTTCAGGGGTCACAGTTACAGGTTGCCTTCTAGAAGCATGCCTGTCCTATGATTGTCCTCGAGTTCTGCTGTGCTGTAGTATGTGGGTTCAAGGCACCGGTATCATGTAGAGTTCAACTGGTGTTGGCCGGACCCCTCTCGGGGCGCTGTAGTCTTGCTCGATGCAAACCCAAAACGTCTCGAGAACCACTTACTGCACTTAATAGAGTTCTCTCGTCATAATCGTAACTCCCGAGAGCTTAATGCTTTTCAAGCAAGCTTGACGTACAGACCCATGCCCATCTGGCATCAGAACCCTTCCACACAGTCTGGAGAGAGCGCTCATGGCACTGCCACACCGCTGGTTTGGTGGAAGATCATCAGCCATTTGAGCTTCTGATTGGAGACTCAGAGGCGCAGCTTGCCAAGGTTTAGTGAGCAGTTTATGCATGCAATTGTGCCTGGGCTGCTGGCTGTTCCGTCGGCGCAAGAGGCAGCGGCTTTGCGGCACTGCCCCGGCAAGAGTCAGGAAGTACCGTCAATAATGAAGGGACTGGTGTCAAGCCAAAGCGGCAGCTCAAGGCGGGGGTGCCAGGTCACCTGCAAAGTATTCCCTGCAAAAGCGCGGTTCCAAGAATGCAAGGGGGTTTTCAGCACGCATCTAGATTCCAGTCTTGCCAAAAATCTAGCCACCCAGCCACATGGTTGGTCCTGGCTTCTGCGAGCTTCGGGTGGTCGAAAACGCCCATCTGATCGCTGTTAGTTCCCGTTGGAGGTCTGCCTTATTAGGGGCGGGCAGCCCGCAGGAAGCTTCTTTGGGCGAGCCGTGCACGACGGGATCGCCATCAATGGCAAGGGAATATTTCGGGGACCATGAGCAGACATGCAGTGTGTTGAGTCCGAAGATGCCCGCCGCATACGAGCAGCTGCATCCGTCGATATCTTCATTGTTCGATTGCAGGTTGCGTGATTGAAGTATAACAGCCATCGTGAGATATGGCGTGGTGCCTAGTGTGTCTATCATATTGTGCGACTTGACCTCATGGCAAATAAGAGCAAGGACCCGCGGGGGGTTTCTTTCGATATCAGGCAGTCTCCATTGGCGGACTCGAAGACTGCTGTTGATTCAACGACATGTCTGTCAAAATTGTATGCGTAATCTCATGCTAAAGACAATGCACCGTCTGCGAATACCTTTATTGTTCACCAAATGCGAATGCTCTAAGAGTCAACTTTGACTCACACAGTCGCTAATGTCATGTCGAGGGTCAACTGTCCAGTCAGGGAAGGCACGAAATTTTGCAACTGGCTTCTGCTGGGTTTCACAAGGCTGATGATGGCCTGCGATGCGACATGTCATGCCATCTGGCTTGAAGCCACAGACCAAACATTCATCTAGATACCTCCTACCGTTGCCCTTGTTATCATCTATGCTAGGGACACATAAGCCTAGTGCTCGATTTCTTATCCAGATATGCTTCTGAACAACCCACCAACACTAGTAAGATGGGATGCGGGCGTCAGTCATCTAGATTCGGGCCCGTTGCGAATGGCGCTGATAATCAACTTTTTTGAGGTTGTTTTGGTAGATGTGACCTTGTTAGCCCTGGCACTTTGGCTTCATCTAATTCGAGTACAGCACGGCCAATTCATGCGTGCTTCCCCTTCCTCGTAGGGTCTACTCGGTCATAATATTTGCGGTCCTCGAGCTTGTTTCCGAAATCAGCAGTGGGATTTCAGCCCTTGTCTAATCCTCGGGCTTTGATGAATCTGTTGACCTGGTCCCTGACTGCCTTATCATTGTACTGCTCGTGGACTTCGTAGAATGATATCAGCTCCTGCGTACAGTCAACCATGCCTTCGATATCAACATTGCTTTCTGCGAGGAAGGCCGCAAATCGCTGCAGCTTCCCGACCCTTGCCTCGTTTGACTTGTCCTTTTCTGTAGAACCAACTGGGGTGGTCTGGCCACTGCTCATTCCAGAGACCAGCCCTCTGGCTCCTTGTGCCTGAGCCAAAGCTGCTTGTGCCGCTGCCATGCCGGTTGCCTGCCCGCCTGGCACGGGATTCGGTCGGAGAACCAGTGACAGCAGGATGGCGGTGAGTGCGATAATGTGAGGCGGATAGAGGAGAGGCAGATCGGTCATATAGTGGTCGTTGATTATGGACCAGGAGAGGTTTATCTCATCCTGGGAGAGGTAGAAGTCGGACTGTAGAGTCGTTAGAGTTCGGTAGGGTTGGTGTATGATCATCTGGGCGCTCATTTCGGAAATAAGGAAGAATTCGCATTCGCCTAGTCTTGACATGTCCAGAGTGAGGAAGTCTGCAGGTCTTGTGTAAGTGATTGAGTCGATGGAAGGACATGTCAGGAGGATCAAGGGGTATCACCTGGCCAAAGGGATCGAGCCTCCTGAACTACAAGCCTAATGTGTTGAGGTGACTCCTCCATCTTGCATGCCAGGTACAGCGCCGTCGCACAGACAAGATACGGATTGGTTCGACGAACTTCAACCTTTGTATAGAAGCGTTTGATGTACATCTGAGCAGTAGCTACCACTTGTTGCCGAAGGGCCAGCCGTCGAGCGAGGCGAGTGACCTCTGTGGAACAAACAACTCAGTATACAGTAGAAGCGGGGCTATCTGGGAGCGCAGCAGCTTACGCTGGTTGAAGTAGATGCTGAGGTGTCTCCATTCGGGCAGGGGGAACATGTGCACCAAGTTCTGCTCATCTTCCTTGAGCTTTTCCCGTGTCCTGCCTATCTCGTCCTTGTTGAATATCCAGAAGCGACGCTGGGTCGATTCCCAGAAGCTGGCGGCCATGCCGCAATAGTGTAGAATCAGCGCGGTCCCAGGGGCGATGCCGCAGGTTGTGTCGGAGTCATTGGTCGACAGTCTGTTTCTGTTGCCGAGCCCTCAAGGTCAAGGTCGATGGAGAGCTACGGCATTGTGGTTGAGATACGTTGCGACGGGCTGAGCAAGGCTGGTTGGTAGCGGTCATGTTGACACATGAGGCTGCCGAATCACAACCGAGTCTTAATGGCTTACACAGTGGGCCTGGACAGTGCACCACTGGGCTTACCACCGAGCTTGAGAGCTCAAGAGCTTGCATAAGAGCTTATCACAGGGGGAGGGGACCTGGGGGATGAGTTGGCGTGAGCTCCCGCCTGCTCCCGCCTGCTCCCGCTTTGGGCATAGCGGGCCACGATATGACGGAAGAAGATCTTGTACTGTGCAATTCGGAATTAATTGGACTTTTGACAGCGCCCCCCCCCCAGCAGACTGAACACAAGATCCTTGCATGGGGTCGCACAGCCAAGCACAGCGCACCTGGATGAGCTTGCTCCGGCCTTGTCGTGTTCCCTGGCCCGAAGAGCTGCAAACCGAGACGACGCCAATCTCCAGCATCCAGCTTCGATAAACCCCCCTCCAAGTAGCTCCTGTCCATTCAATGCATGCCATCAGCCTGGGAGACAACTTGACGTCCCAATTGCCCATGCCCTGAAAGCCCCAGCACATGCGACAGCTATGCCGAACTCGTAACGACACGCCATAGTCCTGCGATCACAGCCTGTATGATCTTCAGCCATGAAGGTCACGGATGTGGTCTCAGAGATAGAGTTGGAAATGGAGGAATCACAGAACGCGCGAGACGCCCGAGTCGAGGCCTTGTGGAAGAGGCTGGACTATCAAGGCAAGGGCGAACTGGACTGGAAAGCATTACAGCGTGGCCTGAAGAAGATCGACCATCGTCAGTTACTCCTCGCCTTGCAGCACTTTGACTTTGACCTTGACCTGGGACTTGTCGCATCGTCTGACTGATCCAAATGACAGCTCTCAAAAACGCCGACGGAATGCTTCAAGAGATTGTAAAGGTCGTCGACAGTGATGGAGATGGGAAAATCCAATATGAAGGTTGGCGTTAACCAAGCCCTCGTCTGTGCAGCACTCCGGTGTCATGTTGCCATGCCCTTCGTAAGCTGTGTTTGACTGACGCCAATGCCATGCAGAATTCAAGAGCTTCGTGAGAGCAGCCGAGCGCCAACTTTACCTACTCTTCAAGACCATCGATCATGACAAGAACGGAAAGCTCGACAAGCACGAGCTCCAGACAGCTTTCCAACGAGCTGGCCTAGCAATACCAATGCGACGACTTGGCTCCTTCTTTGAGGACATCGACATGAACAATGACGGATACATCAGTTTTGACGAGTGGAGGTGAGCACATAACCTTTCATGCACAGTTCATCAGGGCCACAGTGGGGAAGAGAGGTTTGGATTGTCCTGCCCTGTGCCATCTGCCTAATCGTTGATGCTGTGATTCACCAACATTGTGCAGTGGGGCGGTTGACTTGAACTTCCTCGCCATTATCCAACTGGGCCTTGAGAGCTCAAAACAGCTCAGCTTTCTCAAATTGCTAATGCAATCCGATGTCTAGGGACTTTCTCCTGTTCATGCCGAACCAGGACGCCTCAGCTACTTTGCGTGCTGTCTTTACCTTTTACTCAGACATTGTGACCGTTAGTGCTGAGGGGGATTCAGTGCTCAACAACGATACTCTGCAAAGTATAGGTACGACTTTAAAATCTCTTATGCTACCTCTCTTTGGTTCGATTATCAGAATTGCCTCTCCTTCGGACCAAGACCACGATCGAACCCATGGGCCCCATTCACGAGCACAGCCAGATCTTGCAGCGACTTCCAAGGAACTGCTTCTATCATCACAAGAAAACCATCAGCAGCCAGTGCGTCAACTCAGCGACACTACCGAAATGGAGGCAGGTGGTAATCGTCAACTTGCTACCACCGCAAGCAAAACTGCAAACGCATTGCGCGGCGTTACGTCGCCCTTGAAAACGCCTACAACGTCGGCCAACCCCACTCCACGAGGCACTGATGAATCTGAATTGAGTGAAGAGACAATTAGCGTGACAAGTTGGCTGATTAAGCACCTTCCCGATTCAGGCTACTTTGTCGCCGGTGCTGTCGCGGGAGGTATCTCACGTACCGCCACTGCTCCCCTCGATCGATTGAAGGTTTACCTCCTGGTGAATACTAAGGCCACAAACTATGCCGCTGTTGATGCTGCCAAAAATGGCCGCCCATTAGCCGCGGTAACAAACGCTGCCCGATCTTTTTGGGGAGCTACCACAGAACTCTACCGAAATGGAGGATTGAAGGGATTCTTTGCAGGTATTTTACCATGACATGGGGGCTCTTGTGCAGTCAAGCTCACCTCCTCCACAGGAAACGGCCTAAATGTCATCAAAATCATGCCGGAGACGGCCATGCGCGTGAGTCCATCTTCATGGGTACAGCCTTTGTCAGGCTCTAATCTGTGTCTAGTTCGGAGCCTACGAGGCCGCAAAAAACACCCTCGCACAACTTGAAGGTCATGGCGACACGAAACATATTAACCCTTACAGCAAGTTTGCTGCCGGAGGTTTGGCTGGCATGACAGCTCAGTGAGTTCACCAGGTACCAACGGCGTACAGATTAGCTAACAAATTGCTGTCTAGATTCTTCGTTTACCCTCTGGATACCCTAAAATTCCGGTGCGTTATACCCACATGGTTGCCGTGACACCCTTCCTCCAGAGAATGCCGCTGACAAAGGCCTAGGCTTCAATCTGAATATGTTGCCGAGGGAAAGCGCGGCTTTCCCCTACTACTGCAGACAGCAAAGAAGATGAGAGCTGAAGGTGGACTAAAGCCATGGTATCGTGGCGTCACAATGGGTCTCATTGGCATGTTTCCCTACTCGGCGCTCGACATGGGTACGTTCGAGTTCTTCAAGACATCCTGGATCACATATCAGGCGAAGAAACTGGGCGTACACGAAGAAGACGTGCCTCACCCCTCTGGTGTGTTGACCGGCATCATGGGAGCAACATCTGGGGCTTTTGGTGCTTCAGTGGTCTACCCTTTGAATGTCCTGCGAACTCGACTTCAGACCCAGGGAACCAGCATGCATCCGGCACGCTACACGGGCATATGGGATGTTGCGCAGAAGACACTGAGGAATGAAGGTCCCCGTGGACTTTACAAAGGGCTCCTGCCGAACTTGCTCAAGGTTGCACCCGCGCTTAGTATTACGTGGATAGTATACGAAAAAGCAAAGGACATGCTGGAGCTAGATTAAGGCCGTCGAGAGGAAGCGGGCCGCTGCTGGTTGTGTTCTCAGAGAGAAGCAAAATGAGGGAGCGACCGACTGACTGTTTGGAAAGAGCGAAGGGGGATTCTTGCACGCATTGCGAGTTAGATGGTGACCCTCGTATTTTGATTGCATTGGAACCGGCGTATGGAAAGGCATTTTAAGAACGCCTCAACTTTTCTAGTAGAGCTGAACAGAAAGAAGAATCTCAGCTGATCTGATGGCCGCTGCGTTGTATGGTAGATATATGGTAGAGGCAGATGATGAATTCAAAGATACCCTTGTCAGTGTCTTGTTGGTGTACGGGCAAATCCTTGGTGCATTCTCCAATTGTGCTGGCGGTGCCAATGGTGGCGAGTTAGTCCCGGATGCTGAAATGTGAATTGTTCCTTCAAACCCCAATGATGTCGCTCCTAACTCGATGGCGGTATTGCAAACCGTTGCAAACGACACAGCCTTGTGTGTAGCCGTAGATCATTGTCCATGTCCCACCAAAGTCCATAGCTTGGTACCGGGCATTGCATGTGAGTCTGCTTCCTGTCCATATTGTGCAATTGCTGAAGGAAACAGGCATTGCTTCGATAGACCGACACCTCAGCTTCCATGTGGTATTTTATTTAGCGTAACTACCAAGCACGGATTTCAGGTAAATACACACGGTGACATGAGGCAGACTGGTGAATCGAATGCAAGGTCAACGAGCAAAAACATCGTGTGACAATATGAGCAGGCTTGAAGGCGCCATTTGGTAGACAAGGTATTCGGATTCCGTATTCTATAACGATCAGACGATTATCAAGGGACAAAATAGAATAGCGACTAAAGAAGCAGCCGGATAAGACAAAATAGCATGAGACAATCAGTGTGTTACTATGAATACCAGAGTTGAAAACATCAGTTGTCCTATTAAAAAAAATTGTAACGCCTATTCGCCTATTCGCCAAGTCCCCGAGTCCCTGTACCAATGGGTATGAATGCTTATGCCTTTCTCCATCAACCAGGATAAAACCTGCTTTACTCCAAACACCAATATCTATTTCCATATCCGAAAAAGTTTACCCTATAGAGATGACAAGCTGAAATCGCCATTAAATCCACCATTCAAAATGACAGCTGCAATTCGACGCCTCTGAAGAGGGAGGTCTTCCTGCTCATAAGTGTTCGGATCAAGACCGAGCGCCAGCAGGATGGAATTTGTAATGACAAACATCCCGCAGTCATAGCTGTTGCTCTGGCGCGGTGACTTGAAAACAACTTCCTTCCAATCTGCGTCCTCAAATTTGTCGCCTAAGAAGGCGGCAACAAATTCGCGTATTTTGTTAAGCCGGAACTCGTTCCTCTGCTGAAATGAATCCACATAAGCAATCTCTCTACGTTGTGGACGGATCAGTACAAATGTCCAGTGTGAGTGTTCGTTGATTGGGACAATGATTGATTCAACATCGAGAAAGTTCTGAGGAGTAAGGCCCCACACACGCTTCAACATGCGTTCCTTCTTCTGAACGCCGTTGGTGAGGAGTTGAGCCCAAAAGAAGCTGTTGAGAGCAACACACTTTGGCGTGTCTTTCTTGATGGTCACGCCCGCAGCCTTGTTGATGTACTCGGCCCCAAACTGTGTTGCAGCCTGAACACAGTTGTCGTTTAGCCATTCGGTCTGAGGGACCATGCGAGAGAAGTCGCGGGCACTGAGATCAAGATTCTCAGGAGGACAAGTCTTGACAGAACCCGAGCCACGTTGAGTTGCAGCTGTGACCTTGTCATCCCACTGGCTGCTCAGCGGGGTGATGAAGGGACGATTTGCCGTGCGCAATCCCAGCTTTGCCAGTTGAGCGTCTGCCTCTTGACGGCGTCGCGCCTCTGCCTCCTCCTTCTCCTTCGATTCGGCAGCTTGGCGTGCTTTATCATCTTCCTCAAGTCTCCTAGGATTAGCTTGGAGTGCTCCGACACCCTGGATCGAGTGCTTTTCTTCGTTGTCGAAGAAATCTCTCGGGTTCTTGTACCTGGAACCGATATTGGCAGGCATTTTTCGGCTGCGACTGACGCCAAAGACACGCTTAGAAGCTTTTCTGACGTTATCCTCATTTTCCTCGTTTGAGCAGTAGGATATGATGGATTTTTTCCTTCGCATAGTTGCTTCTTGTTCCGCAGCATATGCTGCGTCGAAACTTTCGTGACAGACTTGGATCTCCGCATTCTCATCGTTTTGCCATTCTTCGGGCATGTCTAAGAATCGACGATCGGGTTTGTTGTTTGTAGCAGTTCTTGGAGACCCGGTAGTCACAGGTTTATCAGGACACGACTGGTTCAGATTCTGCTCGATGAGCTCTGGACTCCGATATGCGTAAGTATCAGGTAAAGCGATAAGAGCTGTTGGCTGCCCGGTGGCCACAAGCTCGGTCAGGCGGAGCGGATCCAGATTCTGCTCCATGAGCTCTTGAATCTGAGGTGACTGAGTATCATGTGAAGAAAACTCCGAGTCCGATGTAATGGGAGAATGCGTTGTGACGGGACCATTCTCCTCATCTGTAGCGTCATTTTCAGATTCCGATCCAGCGCATGGAGCTTCATTACCTGCTATTCCATCATCCTCATCGAGATCCATAGGATCGTAGCTTGCGTTTGGAAAGGATAGATCTGCATTGTTTGTAGTGACCCCGTTAGATGGACGGTACCTAGCAGCCCAGTTTGTATCATTGCCGTCGTCATTATTATAATCATCATCATAGTCTTCTTTGGTGGCACCATTCTGTCCTTGTGCACTGCTACCGGTTTGCTGTTCTGCAAGTCGGCGACGCTTGGGCGCCTGGATCCCATCTCCACTGGGAACTTCCTCTCCATTGCTGTTGAGGGAAACGTTTTGGAGAGTTGGTTGCACCTGTGGGTGCTCCTGTGACGGCCATAAAAGCTTCAAGGGGTAGCTGACAATAGCCTTGCCGGCACTGACTATCGTATTAGTGATTCCCATGCCTGCTCGTGCCAGAAAATGCACAGACTGCGTCGGCTGCGGCTCCGGGAGGGCCTCGAAACCAAGGGCATCAGGTTGCTGCAGGGGTTGTTGACCTGGCTGCTGGGGTTGACGTTGATTTTGCTGTGTGGCAGGCTTCTTGGGTCTTTGAGAAAGCGGTCGGCAAAGGCTGTGGAAATCCGGGTAGTTGTAGTTGCTCTTGTGAAAAGGGATCCTTTGCGTATGCTTAACCTGTCCAACGCGTCGGAATTGGGTAGAGAGCTCTTTCAGGTTGAGGAGGTTTTCCTCTAGTTCGCGATAAATTGTGTGACTGGCAGTAGGCGAGTCATCATCCAGCTGTTGGGTGAAGCTTCGCTTGAGCGGGCGGGTAGACGGCGGTGTTGGGGTGTCGTTTGGTAGAGAAACCTTGGTCTTGCCAGGAAGTTGAAATCGAGCTCCGTGTGGGTTGGGAGCTCGGAAGGTGTTCGATCTTGGTTTGTGGGTGCGTAGCCCTGCAGGCGCGTATTTGTAAGGAAGGTAGGGAGCGCCAACGTCTCTGGCAAGGGCTCGAGCACGGTGGTGGGCTCCGCGCACCTCGAGATGCTTACTCATGTCCATGTTAGCGTCGGTTCTCTGGTGAAGTCGATGGAAACTGGTGCAAGTGTGATGGGAGTAGGTCTTCCGAAACGATAAGAAAATCGGGCAAGTGCGTATGAGGAAGTAAAACGCGGGGGGGGTTCAACAGATAGTGCTTCGACAAAAGCTGTTGCAATCGCGATGCTCAATGCAAAGTTGGGTCTTCGTGAGGGCAGGTGAAGGAGGAGAGAAGAAGAGGCCAGAAGAGGACGACGGGTCCATCGTTTGTGAGTTTGGCCTCAGCCCGCAAACGCGTCTAGCACGTTGATTATTCGGGTGGGCTTGAGGCCGTACAGGAGTAGTCAAATGGAATAACCACATTCTGACAGCTCACCCGACAACCTCACCACAGACCATAGGCCATAAGCCATAGGCCTTAGGCCACAGTGCCTCAGCAGCAGGTCAAACGGCCAACAAGCACCTGGTCAGGCCGCTGCGTCCTTCCCACCATCAAGACAGTACTACGCAAGCTGCAGCACCACCAATCCAGCTGGTGTTGAGGGTCCCTGATGCCGCTTCAAGCCTACAGTCATGCAACGACAACCCTGGGCTCACTGGAATTATGCGCAGGAGGTGCCAGCCTTTCATGGCCACCACCCATACACTACTTCCTCATTCTTCAAGCCACTGCACCATTCGCCTCCTTTTGTCATAGAAGCATGGCATAGCAACGAATCTTGAGCTACTACTACTCAGTAGGAACGCATCCGATCCATCGCCATACCCCGTCCTCAGGGGAGTGCGCTCGAGGTATGGCTGCGTTATCCGACCCCCCGATGTTCATCGTCCATGGAGCCGCATTTATCACCACATCGTCATACACGTGTTGGGTGTATCCAGATTTGATGTTCATCGCGCATATGTAACAGACGGCCTTGTCCAGGGGCAGTATAGGGGCATCACGACAGGGGTGGAGACACCGTTCAAGAAGCACAGTACTTACGAGGTTGAGGAACTGCCCAGGGAAGATATGCGTCTTTCTGCGCTCGAATCAGTTCGATCGCGTCTGCCTGATTGACTGCGCGATGGGACCTTGAGTTGGACGCGCTCAGACGAGTCGGCAGGCCAGGTAGCGATGGACGACGATATGAGTGACCGCTGGAAGTTGATCGCGATGTTTGAACGTTTCAATGGTTAGAGGCGCGGGTTGGCCTAGCCTAGCCTGACGTTTTCAAGATGCACGGACCACTCTTCGAGCCCGATCCGTCGCCGCAACCAGCCATGCTTGGCACTGCATGTCATTAGACATGGCGCTAGTGGATGCCTCACCACATTCCGCAGTGTACCGTATGTACTCCATAGCCAGCCCTGGCGTAAAAGCAACGTTGAATATGCGGCCACCGTTGTGCCCGAGGAACGTGCACGGTGAGACGTGATGGTCTCTTTGTTCACGATTGTGCTTTGTGTGGAGCCTAGAACCTGTCAGTGGGAAATACCCGGTGGGTGACACTCGCTTCGCCTCGTTCTTTCTGTCGAAGCTTCCACAAATTGTTCAGTGTAGTATGATATATCGTCACAAACCCCAATTCTCGCCATCACGTATGTAGAAGCGATACTAAAATATTCTGGGGGGCGCTGTTCTACTGCAGCATGTACAGTCAGTTACCGCAACATTTTCGAGCTATGCCGAGTACAATTTGAAGATCGCCATCATCCATATATGATAACGCGGGCAGTTAGGTCCCTGGCCATTCGGTCCCGAATCCATATGAGCGCAGCCCTTATCAGATATTCTTCTTCTGTGAATGGTTCAGATAATCGATCTCATACATTTTTGTTAAGAGTGCTCGGCCAGGCCACTTACGTCGGCTCTAGGCCCGCAAACGCGTAATTCAAGCAAACACTCGTTTCGACCCTTGCGTGCTGGTTTGGCTTGAGTCGCTCGGCTGACCTCGCGCATCTACTTTAGACCTGCTTGGAAAGACGTATTTATCATTGCACAGAAACAAGTAGTCACACAAGAGAGCCAACAAGATTATGTAGGATATTACTCAACGATTCGAAAGATCTAGATATCAACTTGTACCGCCGGCGAGAGAGGGGTGCATGTGAACCAGTCTGGAAGTGCAACATCCGCAAGCCGACCCTCGGCACCCGTTGGTAGCAGGTTTAAGATGCAATCATACAGCCGAGGACTTTGAGATATTATAGCGAACCAACAGGTTCGCCTAGATGTTTCTCTCGGTGTAAGTCATCGACAAGGAGGATGGAGAATGTTACAGTAGTCTACCGTTGAGTATTTTATCATCTCTGAGAATATTACGACCACACAACAAATAGGAACTCGATGAAACAGCGTGGGAATACCAGAATATTAAATCTGAATAAGAAGTATGCAAATCATTTGCGCTAGCAGAAGTTATATGAGTGTATACAATACCCGCTCTGGCTATGCAATAAATTCAAACGAGAACTGTTCTCCTTCGCGTATACTCGTATATTGGACATTCCCAAAGACTTACAGCTGAGATCGCGTCTCGCCCAACTTCTTGGTAACAAATGCAGAAAAGTACTCATTGAGCGCATCCACCGTGCCGCTTCCCTCGACCAAGCTGGTGACGGCACCGACATAGCCATCAGGGCGAACTACAACGACACCCCCTCTCTCCTCATCCAGACCCATCTTTGCGTGAGCAGAAGCCTTGGCGTCAGGTACGCGGCGGTCCCACCGCTCGTCAGCAAAGACATTGTCTCGGTACCTCGCCAATAACTCAGGGAGGTCCTTGGCAATCTCGATCTTGCTGCGCTGAGCAGCGAAGATGGTGCAGAAGGAGAAGAATAGACTGTGTGGGTTAAGACTATCGTGGTGGGAAACGGAGTCAATGTCTGTGCGCTGGTAGGCCCCGAAGAAAGAACGTTTGTCGGCCAGGCTCTTCGCGAAATCTCTCAATGCCTGTTTTGTTACGGACGGGTTGCCGGCGAAGACAAAAATGCGGAAAGAGCCATTGAGTGGGATTTGTTGCTCGAGATGAACCACGTTGGCATCCACAACCCGCGTCACATCAGCATTCATCATGATACGGCCAGTACGTAGCTTGTTGCCATTTGGGTGGAGCAATGGGGATTTCGCGGGATGCTCGGGCGACCAGTTGATTGAGTTGGGACCATATGCTACACCGTAACCACTGGTAAACTCGCAAGACTCCTTGAAGGTTTTGATAAAGTCGTTATCCTCAGCCTTCTCGTCTGCTGAAGCTGCCTGGACGGTATCCGCGGAGGGCTTTGTAGAGAAGAGCTTCGCATATTTGTTGTCGAAAGCCAGTAAGCTCTCAGCGACCGCTTTTCTCTCCGGCTCGTAGGTCTTCAGCAGTTCTCTGTCTGCAAATCCGGCTTCCACAGCATGAATCTTCCAGGCCAAGTTCAGAGCATCGAGGAAGGCCGTGTTCATACCCTGACCGGCTTTGGGGCTGTGCGTGTGGCATGCATCGCCTCCCAGGAATACTCGGTGATCCAGAGTGTACTTGTCTGAGATACCCTGGCCAATGGGATAAACAGAGTACCACTCGACTCTTTCCCATTCGATGGTGTAGGGCGCCAGAATCTTCTTCGCAGAAGTTTGGACTTCCTCTATAGACGCCGTCTTGCGCGGGTTAAAGTCGGGATCCGTCGAAGAAGCAATTTGAATATATAAGCGGACCATGTTGTCCTCGCGCGGAATGACCATGATAGAGCCGTGATCAGAGTGAATCGTACATTTCATCTGTGCACTGTTAGTTGCATACAGGGATGTGTAAGTTGATCGCCAAACTCACCTTGATATCTGGGAAATCAGTCTTGACAACACCATCCATGACGCCCCAAACATGAGCAATAGGATCTTTATGAGTGATACCAATCTTCAATTGGTCTCTCACGAAAGATCGAGCACCCTCACCGCCAAACAGGTACTTTGCGCGGATCGTCTCTTCTGCAGTGCCATCAATATGCTTCAGGTTGACCTCGACAGGATACTGCGGGTTCTCCTTCTCGTCGGACTTGAAGCCAGTGATAGTCCATGGCCTTTGGACCTTGGTGTTATTCTTCTCAAGATCTGCGATAAACACCCGCTCGATAAGACCTTGGTGAAGGAGTGTGGTAAAAGGGTATCTTGCATCGATAAAACTGGGGCAACTGGCCCAAGTACCCGTTCTAACAATGCCGCTATCATTCTTTGGAGGATCCCAGAACGCGACCTCATAGACTCTGGCAGGCTTGTGAGCCATAATAGCAGATTTCAAGCCCATATTACGCAGTAAGTCAAGTGACCTTGGTTGAATGCCATCTGCTCGTCCAGTTGGCGTTGGCTCTGATCTGTTGTCAATGTGTTTAATCTTGTAACCCCATCTCGCTAGACATGTGGACAGCATGAGCCCTACTGGACCAGCTCCGACGATTACTTAGGAAACGTTAGAACTACTTCTCTCGAAATGACATCTGTCGCTTACCTATATCGTAATGTGGCGGCGCCGACTTCTTCGCCGGTTGTGTCTCCATGTTTTCCACGGTAGTGAAAGGTAGATAATAACTCAAGTATTGACGTCAGGAGTACCAATAAGAGATGAGGGTCACAGGCACTTCTCTTGCTTGTAGTAGCAAAAAAAAACCCAATTGGATGGTTCGTCAAATTAACAACTCGTGACACCAGATGAGACGGACGAGCCCTATTTATCAAGATTTAGCAAAAGCCCAGTTTCACGAACCGAGCTGGCATCCGAGAGAAGTGTAAGTGTCTTGTACTAATCCAAGTCGTGACTTAGGATCCCCAACGGCTTATGATTCGGCAAGAGCAAAAAGCAGGCGCGAGAGAGCGAGCCCCCGAACAATGGAGCACGTAATTGGACCATGCAGACAAACATAGAGGTGGACTCCACTGAGAAACGCCTGTAGACGAATGATGGATACCATTTTGTCACGGATAGTACTCAATTCATGCTTAGTTAGACCAGGTTGGCTGCCCCAGATCATGTCGGGACATCGACACGGGAATGAGGAGCGGGGCCCCGGCGCGGGGTGTACGGCTGAGAAACTCGGGAAGTGAGCTTTTCTAGCAGCAGCTGTTGCCAGCTGAGACGCCTAGCACGTAGTCTTGGCGCAATTCCGACCATTCCAACAGCTGCTAGAAAGGATGCTGGAAATGGTCTCGCCGTCACATCCGATTCGCTGAGTGCTGATCAAAGCGACCTGTGCAGAGCACTGCATACTTGTGGGCTTCACACTACATGACTAACCTTGAACTTTTTGAGCCCCCTACGTCTTTTGTCGCCTCTACTCATTGAGCTAGCCATGACTAGATTGGTCACTGGTGGTGAAAGCATGCCTAACTCGGGCGTGCATTCCACGCCTGGAAGAGGCAATAAACTTATTGCTCGCATAGCTCTTGAAATACGAGTTTTTGGTATAGCGTATCGAGAAGTCTCATTATGAATAGTTTGAGAGACCGATATAGACATGTGCAAATGACACAGCGCTGCATCGTGTTAAGCGACGTTCTGATGCTATATCTGTGCATGACAAGCGAACTATGTAGCCAACTCCAATCATTCCTGGGCTCTAGAGAAAACTTCGATGATGCAGACTTCAACCTTCGGGCTACGTGATTGCCAGCCCCATATGCACTTACCTGAAGATACCGAGTTTCAGGGCTAGGGCAGCCACGACTGCGTAATTCTAGGCAAGGAACTTGTTGTCGTGAGGGAAGGCGCGGGCAGGGCTGGTCGATGGCCTCAACTTCAGGATCTTCAAGACCCCCAGCTCTTTTATACCTCTGCCCCTTACATATAGGGTTTTTGACTCGATGGAATGCCACCAAAAACAGTTCCACCAATCTTTGAGCAATGAGTTCGAGACAGTTCTTCGACGACAACAGTGAGTGTATTGGACCAACCCTTCGTCACCTTCGCTGACTCACTGCAAGAATGCAGGAATGTGCTCGTGAGGTACTGTGGCCATATACCCAGGAACTACCAGTACAAGGATGGTGTCCAGCAGGTCTTCCTCATCTTGCGGGAGCATCTGGGGGATGAGAACCTCGATTTGGCTGGCGGAGTACTTTACGAGCTGATCGAGATCGAATGCGAACATACTCACGATTCTGGCGCCGCATTTCAGCGCTGGCGGCATGACCACATGACCCGATATGTCAGTATTTCCTGTCAGAAGACTCTAAGCCGCTAATTTTGTGCAGTTTGATCTTGAGCTTCCTCACGTTCCTCATATGACAACTATCACCCTGTCAGTTGTGCCGACCAAGAAACTTATTCAGTGGCGTGCAGAGCATCCAGACAGATACCCTTTTGTCCTTTCGGATTCCAAACCCCCCGAGGAGAGGATCTCGGTCGAACACAGCTGTATTCGAAACCGGAAACCATGGTTGATAGAGAACACATTCTATGTGTCTTCACAGACAACGGGAACTCTCCCCCTGAGTTCTCCAAATCCCAGAGAATTCCATGAAATGCAGTGGCAGCCGCAAAATAGGAGCGTAGGTAGGTTGGTACACGAAAAAGAGATCTCGATCGCGAACTCAGATCACTGTAGTGTTTGCACTCCTCCAGGGATGGCTACTACCAAGAGCAGTATGGGAAAGCCCTTCCGAATATCCCGCTCCAGTCTTATCAACAAGCTTGCGGATAAAATATACAGAGACAAGAAAGAACCTGTGTCGGAACAGCACCGCCGGAGTTAGTTACCCAGTAACCTCTTCGATTCCAGTTCAACATCTCAAAATGAGTGTGTCACTTCCACTCATTCGCCAATTCCTCTTCCGGAAGGCTGTCATGTTCCCAACGCAATCTTTGCAAGGAAGCATCATCTTGTAAATGATGGAAAATCTTTGCCCCTTGATGTACCCATTAATCGGATGCCTATTGCTGAATCAAAGGCCTCGGAGACCATCACTGAGGCGGCCAGGTCAGGACGGCACTTCCGAGGACCCTTCACACCACAGCTAGGCTATGATGGTGGGCTAGACTACAGATGGACAACTGGCGAGGCTAGAGCAGCAATTCAGGTCAAGTGGGATATCGATCAAGCACATGCGAGTAGTCCGTCGCCTCATCAAAAAGAGGATGTAGCATTGGCCCCAAACCTGGACCCGCACAGTCGAGCCAAAAGAAGAGGCGTTCATCTCGGCTACAATAATTCGCTTGATTGGCTATCGGATTACCACCATACCCCGTCAATTCCATCCTCAAATCGTGTAAGCACAGCAGTGACCTCATCATCTGCCTTTCAGGGTAGCCCATCAAGTCGCCGGAGAACCAGATGCCAAAGGCGAAATCTATTGCCATTAGAAAATGTGCAGTTTATCTCGCTGAACAATGTTGGGGACCACACTCCTACCTCACATCGTCAGACGACAATTATACAGATCTCACCGCCCCCACTGAGTTTACCAGCTGCCCGACGATTGCCATCAATCGCGGATGATCTAACACATAGCTTGACAACAAAACCGTCGTGTTTATCAACTAGTAGCACTTTGGTGCCTGGTGGTCACAATGGTTGCGAGTTTTGAGAACAAAGGTAACTTGTCAAAGAATTCCCAATATCTTGGCTTGGTTTCATCATGATTATCCATCTCAAAAACTGACCGTTTCATTCGCGACCACTTGCCGCAGGAGTCAAGACGAGATGGTGTGTTTTGATACTTCAACAATAGACAAAAGACGCAAAGTTAAACAAAAATATACGTCAAAGATATCAACAGAGTGTGGTCATGGCTGCTGAGTTTGCTGTATCAAGTTAGGGTAGTTCTGCCAACAGGTATGACCAAATGTTGAAGCCATCAAAGATTTTCTTTCACACTGGTCGACGTGCCTATAGTGTGTTAATAAGTAGTAAAGTTCGGTAATTACGGGTTGACAGATTTAAATGTGACCAATGAGCAGAAAACTGAGATAGGCATCTGTCATTGACGCAGTTGGTACAGCTCTCAGAACTTGATGTGATCGATCATTGAGTCGTTGCACATACCACCCATTTGCATTTGTATTTCCCAAGCAACGGACGTGATTTGTTTACATCGATTTGTTTAAAACACGATCGTACCAGACAAGCTCTGAAAAGTTCATTAATTCATTCACACCTCACACATTCAACAACATTGCATCCATCTGGACAATATCATTCGTTTGTTTACACCTTGTCATTGCTGACCCAAGTCCTGTGCACAGTTTCTAGTGTATTTAGACGAAGATACTGACCATGAACAACTTGCCGCCCATACGTGACGGCCGGGGCCGACGTGCCCATGACAGCAACACAACCAGTTTTACGAGTTTCCTCCAGCACCACAGCCGCGGACGAGCTCAGTCAGAGTCTCCCCAGAAAGGCCGTATCCGAGCCAAGTCGCCATTTGTGCCTTCCTCCGCAGAACGCAAGGCTAGAAGACGACCTACTCCATTGAATTTGGACGATGCCCGAAAATACGGAGAAGAGGTTTCTCATCGCAAGGGCGTGCAGGCTATCCACTTCCCACTGATTACACCTGCCGATGCTCAGCACCGCCATGTCAATGAAGATGGCTCTTCTTCCGTCTATACGGACAACTCACCTTTCAATGACATTCCCACAATCAGCCCGCTCCACATCAATAAGCGCGTCAATGTCTTCCAGTCGTACAATACTTGGAGAGATATGACCATGCCCAACATGCAAACGCCGGCTACTCAGCTGCAGTCGCCTGCCCAGATCCGACCTGCTCGATCCAAGAGTGTTAATCAGGCAACAGACCACCTCGAAACACTTCCTGCTACGACCTATGAGCCGCCGGCCACTCCTCCAACTACCCAAGGCAAGCAACAACGTGGTCTTGTCAAGTCTGCTACGGCCCATGATATTAGAGGAGAGCAGCAACAACCTTCGACATCTTGTACTGACCAGTTCAGCCCTCTCACACCATGGCTCATGGGAGACAAGCACAAGAGAAAGGCATCGAAGACCTTGTTCGGCAATAACGGCTGGCTTGATGACTCAGGTGACAAGAAGAAGATAGAACCGCCGTCTCAGAAACCTACCAGCTTCCTTGATGGCATCAAAAAGAAGGCTCGTGAATTTGTGAGTGCATCCCGTGACTATTTTCTGGCCGGGGAAAATGAGAGCCCCGGAAAGGCCAATATGTACATCTGTGTGACATTTTGCGGGTGATACCACCACATGCTGATAAGTATTCCAGGCGGAGACAGCGAACCTCAAGCCCGCCCGTCGTCTTCCAAGCCCCAATCGCGTCACCATCTCATTGGACCCCCGCGAGCAGTCCCTCTTGTACTGCGAGCTCGAGTTCATCCTCTCCAACGCCCTGGACTTATACATCAAGTCACAGCTCAACGGCGGCCGCCTCGACCCGGACAAGCTCAAGAAAGTCGCCGATGTCTGGTCCGCCAAGGGCCGCCCCCGCGTCGTCGGCTTCCGCTACGACCTGGAGACCCAACTGGAGCTGATCAGCCTGCACGTGGGCCAGTTCCGGTTCTACGGCCACGGTCAGATCAACGAGTCGGCCACTATGGGACTGCTCGGCGCCATGAAGAGCAATGCCCGGACGATTCGTGTCAGAACCCTGTGCCAGCCGGACAGTGTGATCGCGAAGCAGATCCTGGACTCGCAGGCACTGCTCCAGCTCATCGGCAGCACGGAGAGCCTGCAGATTAGCCTCGCAGAGGTCAGCCAGTTCTTCAAGGTTGTGCTGGAGCGAGAGAAGGCTGTGGCTGCCTTTGCTGAGACGCGGGCGCAGTAGTGTGCTTGAGAACGAGACACCAGAGAGACAAGAATGGAGGTCTGTAGGATTACGAGGGATGCAGCTGGTGTTTGATATGTGGTACGTTGTCGTGATAGTCCTTTGACGTCGAGACAGATATTGGAGAAATGGGGTCCGTGTAATCTGCCCATTGGGTAACATCGACTTGGTAATACCAGGATCAATAATGCTTCTCCCTATAGACGCCTTGATAAGGTAGCATTTGAGAGAATGAGAAATTGATAACTAGATACTATAGAGGACCTATGACCATAACAGTGCTCGCCATCTCATGTTTGAAATCATTATGTCGTGTCGGGGCATTCCGTTGAACTGCCTATACCCAAAAGAAGAAATCCTAGACTCAACTCCAACCAGAAACACTTCGTAAGTCGGCATACCGCATCATTAAGCACCAAACGACGTGAAAAGTGGTCTTAATACCGATAGCCATCTCCACTCCTCCGCCTTCTTCTGTCCGGATCTCGCTCGTCGTACACCCACTCCTCGACATTCTGCCAGCTACGCGCATCCGGATCGACCTCTCTCACCCGGCCGCCCCTACTTCCCGGCCGCCCGTCGTCCCAGTCCCATTCCTTTCTCCCACCACCGCTCCTCGGCCTCGTGGTCACCTCCCTCCTCTCGACGACATCCCCCCTGCTGCCCGACGTCACCCCCCACTTCTGGTCCCACCTGTCTTGCTTGTCCCGCGTCTTCTCCCGATTGTTCTCCAGCCGCTTCTCCACAGCGTTGGCGCCGAGCGCGCCAACGGCCGCGCCGACGACGGTGCTCAGCAGCTGGTTCCGCCGCTGCGCCTCGGTCTGGTACCGGCTACCGCGGCCCTTGCCGCCATCGCGGGACGTGGCCTCGGCCGCCTCGTGCGCCGCTAGCCCGCCGACCAACGCCCCCAGCACGCCGACGCCGAGGCCCGTCGTGGAGTCCGTGAAGTTGCTGTCGATGAACTGCTTGGCCTTCCCCACGGGCGTGCGATCGTGTTTCCTGTCTCGGCCCCTATACCTGTCTCTGTCCCTGTCGTCATCGTCATCGTACCGATCCCAGTCCTGGTCTCGACCTCGGTCTTGTCGCGAGCGGCTGCGGCGGTATTCTACGGGTGGCGGGAGGGATCTTGGCCGCGCACGTGAGTTGTCGGGGATCTGCAGGTTGTTGGGGTCGGGCGGTGGCGGGTAGTAGGGCGCCTGGGATTGAGGTGCGTATTCGAGGCGCGCGTGCTGGTCCACGGCGGGGGAGGGTATGAATGTCGTGTGGCCGGGACTGGGGACTCGCGGCGGTATGCCGCTGCCGCCGGCGGCATAGTCGGGCGAATGGTCGCGGTTGTACCGAGACATGGTGTTTCTCGCCTCGTCTTTTCCGTCTCTATTTCTTTCCTGGTTATGTGTGCGCTTGCGCCTCGGGGTGAAAGAGATAGCTTCCCAACACTCGCACGCACCGGCGGGTGAGACAGCGACGCTATATAAGAAAGCTGAACTCTCGGCGCCACACAGCCTGACTCGGATTTGTCAGGGTTTAGCCTGCAGGTATAGTGTTAGGTTTGGGCACCGCCAGAAGTCCTTGGAGAGTCGTCTAGGTTAGCCAATACCGGGTCCGAAGCGACCGCAGTTAGGCGACTCAGCCTCGGTCAGAGTAGAACGGTGACAATGTGATTTGCTAGCTTTAGCTTTAGGACTGCGAGGAGCTTATGCGACGAGAAGCTTTGCGGTTCTCTGGACTAATGACTTGAGGCTGACTTCAAGGCTGCCTGGCTTATTATGTCGTTACACAGTAGACCTCTCCGCAGCCCCTTTCAGCGGTGCTATATTGATTTCGGGTTGACGCGAACAACACGCCCTATTCGTTCTGTGTGAAACGGTCGAGCTCCGACTCCAAAATAAGCCACGGCAAACTGAACACTACTTATGTGCCCCTCTCTCAGCGAAAGAAGAGTCGGCCCTGCTCTGAACCTCCGCTCGCATGTCCATCGCATGTGCGATAGTGTCTTGTAGCTGATCACCTGCAACCATTACACAGTACAGATTATTACCAAGTAGACAGCGTTGGAACGGCGATAGTGGGGTAAGTATGATGTCATGTGGGATACCCGGAACGACGTCCGCTGCAGATATCTGCGGGTATTCGGCATTAGACTACCCAAATCAGCCATGTTTGTCCAAAAAGAGGAGGAATTGATCGAGTCTACGCGGTTTACATGCAGAAACATGTATCCGGTCCAGCAGACAATGGCAAGTCAGGGTTTCGAACGCCAAACACCCTTGCCCGCTCAAGAGTTATACTCGTGCAAACATTACGGCTGTCGACCTTCACGGCGGCAGGGTGCAAGATCTGTGCAAGTTGGATTATAAGCTTCATGATGGGCATTCTCGCAAAGTGTTATCTTCAAAAATATGTTCGAGTCCGTGATGCTATGCAAAGTCTTGTGACACGCCTTCTTTGTTGCTAGGGCTGATGCACTAAATGCTCAGAAGAGAATATCCTCATCGAGAATGACTGCACGCCTCTTCCATGCCGTGGAAGGGGATCTATCGAATGTGTTGTTCCACTCCTTCAACTGTATATACAGCTCCTGCACCATCGCTACCGGGCTCCAGGCTGGCACAGCTGTACCCTGCCCTGATTGTGTCGATGCGGCTGATAGCTTGGGCGGGCCCTTCACCGAAATCATTGACCCGTCACTGCACCATGTTTTCTGAATATCACTCTCCATATGCTTAGAAAAGTTGTTGATGTGTTCGTTCCTGTCCAAAGCCGGGTCGATGTAATAATATTGCATTTCCTCGAAGAGACGCTGCGAGTCAACCTGCAATGTGTCTTGGCCGGTCGCAGCCAGATGTAATACAGAAGACAGGTATTCGTCCGCTGAGCGTGTAAAGTCCGTAAAGGAGTCAATTTCCTTGTTCAAGCCTCTGCCCACCTGGGACATGGAATTCCGTGGCAGACAGAGGTACGCTATGAGTGATGGCCCGAACAAATTAAGCAGCCGGATTAGTTGTGTAAGTGTCTGTAGGTACTCGGCTCTGACACTTGCTGTGGTCAAGTCGCTGAGATGATTGATGGCAGCTGACACAAATTTGAGCAGAGCCAATAAGTCACCCATACTCTCTTCACCAATCTCTCGGTGAATGCACCGCTTACTTGATTCTTCAGCCCCAACAAGACCATCCAGAAGTTCTTCAATAGACTCAACATAAGTGCTGAGAAGTAGCCATGCATCAGGCATTCTGACTGAAGTTCTCACAATAGCAGGCAACAACCGACCAAGCATGAATGAAAAGACATGCTGGTTTTCCATGCCCTCCCGCAAGATTGCTCGCTCTTGCTCGACCTTGCCATTTGTCATGGCCAATTTAAAATTGGAATAGAGGAAATAGAACAGAGTGGAAACTGATCGAGTATCTCCGTCCTCAAGTTTGAGACCATAAGATAAGATCTGTGCTGTTTGTAGGCGCGGGTCTTGAGATGAGGGAGAATACTCGTTGCTGATCTGATAGAAGAAATTGTCGACCGGGCAGAAATCGTGCTTCTTGATGAGAGGGATGATCACCCGCACGAACTGCATATATGGGGCATGTGCAATAGGATCGTGGTGGACCAACGACTTCAAATCGGCCTTGATCTGCTCCATTGCGGTCCTGAGAGCTTTCGAAAACTCCTGTTGCAGCTGCTGTCTCTGACTGGCCACTGCGAAGCGTAGCGCTCTTCTCATGAGAAACAACATCCCTAATATATGTAAGCTGCGTTGCGTTGTCAACTTTTTGGTTTGCACGTACGATCAAATAAGTCCCGGTTAGTCCCGTAATCTGGACGATTCTGGGGCACTTCAGCGTAATCAAAGCAGATATCGCCTTGCTTTTTCAGTGCTTCTGCAAACTTATACTCGTAAGCCAAAGCGTGATAGGGTTTGGTAATAGCACATATAAAAAGCTCCAAAGGAGTAGTGTTGATGCTCTGCTTCGTGTTAGCCATGTATTTCTCATGCTCTCGTACTGACTTACGGTGAAATCCATGATATCACTATCAATAAGGATCGCGACGAAAAGACAGAGGTATCGCCTAGCGTTACACGAGAGTTTGACTGGCAGACCTTGGAACAAGCCATATTTCCCAGTAGTGAAGAAAGAAGATAAACGCTGGCGCTTTTGGTTAGTATAGGGTATTAAGCGATATACTGGTTGACTAACTGTAACACCATGCCGAAGAAACAAGGCTCCCAAGCGGCCTGCAACTACGACGGTCCGTTCTGTATATACCGCCTCGTCATCGATCAGGCTTGATCGATTTTGTTCCAAGTTGATGAGTAGACTCCGGGCCATGGCGAAGAAGGGAACTGAAACATGACGATCGAGGACCTGATCGCTGATTAGCGGGCTGCAGAAATACCGAACACGAAAAGCATACCAAAATCGCATCTTCTCCATGCCAAGCATTACGGGAGTCCATGGCGTTGTGCTCATCGAGAAATTTGTGGATCAGCTCGATATAGTGATCAATAATTTCAACAGCGACGCCTTGAGTGCTCCAGTCAAAGTCCGGAGGCGTTAAAGTGAAGCGTGTGAAAACTTCATGAAGTTGGTCTTGAACATATTAGCGACCTTCGGAACAAGCGGGGACTTCTCTTACATGTGTTTAGAACAGATGATGCAGCAGCAAGTGATTTGGTATGGCGCATCACATCGAGATTACCCCTCAGCGAGAAATGCAAGACGTCGGTAGCGGCGTGCTTGTTCATGTTGATGACCCGTTTCATCAGTTCTGGACTGACTTCGCCCGAGGCATCTTTCGACATCCTTAGAAACTGTTGCTGAATGTCCGATTCCACTGACGAATACTGGTCAAGAACTTGCTTGAAAACATTGCTCTGCCAATCCGCAAACGGCTTATACGCGGCCCTGTCTTCTCCAACTGAGACGACAAAACGTGCCAGTTGATTCCATGCCCTCAAGTTGATAAGACAGGCCTCCTTGTGAGAGCTGCCAGGTATAACAAGCTTCTCAAGCGTCTGTACGCTTGGGCGCAAAGCTTGTGGCGAGCACCAGAACAAAGTACAGAGAAGGTCGTGATGATTTCTCAACGATGCGAGCTCGTTCTCGTGAACATCTCTCTCCTTGAGATATTGGCGGTCATGGTTTGGAATAACCCGGGCGATCAAATTTTTGACGTCTTTGATTAAACCAAATTTCCTGAGTCGTTGAATTGATAGTGCAAGGAGTTTGAGAAATATGTGGAAACATCGATCTTCAGTCTGAATTGCTAGTGATGGTGCGCCAGCTAGATCCTCGAGAAATCGTGCCGACCTATAAGCTTCCTCGTTCCGCAGGTGCGACAGATTTTGAGAAGCAAAGAAGTCGAATATAGTGCCGACTATACTGCTGCATTTTCGCCATCCCCACTGCTCTACAAGGTAGTGGCAACGACCAACCAGTGCACGACAGTAGTCGTTGAAGCTTGGTAATTGTCGTTGGTTCGTCCTGTACATCTCAAAAACCCGGGTTAATAGCTTTTGCGGTAAAGCCCAGCCCTCCAGAGGTATTGTGTGTCGTAACCCAGAAACGATAACTCCGGCATTGTCAAACTCGCCCAAGGGCAGAATGGAGAAGAAAGTATGCCACAAACCTTCGAAAACCTGTGCGTTCACGATAAGAGAAATGCTTTGCTCAAGTAACACAGAGCAAGTCACATCCCAGAATCCCGAGCGGGGAATCCGCGACTCTTGAAGGATTCTGATTGCAGCTACCCAGCCTACGACCACGTAATTGTCTTGTTTGATCCCGTGGACCCTCACGACGGGGTTTCGGAGCTCGTGTGACAGGTTCGTGGTCCTTCCCAGCTCCGGTCGCAATAAAGCTTGTATCATTTGTTTGGCAGTTTTCTTCAGAAGCTCTTCAGCCTGAAGTGATTCTGAGGGCACTAATTTGCTACAGATGCGCAAAGTCTGCAACACGACCAACATACATCGTGTTAGCACTTCAATGATTTGCCGTATATCATGGCTATGCTCTGTGGTAGATGGCTCTAGCCGTTCTAAAAAGCCCGAGACTACCTCAAGAACGCGGTCAACGAAAGGACGCGCGCTCTCAATATTAGGCAGGCTGATGACTTCTTGTAGGTAGTTGACAGTGAAGTCCGCGGCTTGAACCACCGTCACCAGTGCAGGAGCATCCGCATCAATAGAGTTAACATGATTTTGCATCTTGTCCGCTATCCAGTCGAAGAGAACACCAAACTCGGAGGATGTCTGTGCGTCCCATTTACCCCAGTTTAAAGGCTGGCCATCCAGTACCAATGTTGACTGGCAACGGAACTGTAATAATCCATCCAAGTATCTGTCGTCGAATGCCTTCGTGATCCTCCCTTGTCCTATGAGAGTGTTGTCATGGAAAAAGACACCATCATCGAGAGGAAATACCTCAAAATGTTGGGTGTAGTTAGTGCCATATGGGCCTAAGCCCATTAACTTCTGGTCATTGCCTCCCGGAATATGTACAGATTCGGGCACTGAAATATGCTCCTCCGGAAGCGGGTCATTCGCGTGTGTATACTGTGGTGCTGCTGTGTCGATATGTCTTGGTCGTAGCAGCTTCCTTGGTCGTGCACGTCGCCTATTCGAAGTCGCTTGACTGGTTCCGGTGGCACCTGGAACCATCGCTGCTGGTGGAGGCAGTCCAGCCTTTGGCACTTGACCCCGAAAGATTTGCTCCAATTGAGTATCGAGGTCCGAAGCCGGAAGCCTCCGTGACGTGCGGTAAATAGCATCAAGTGCTTTCTTTCGAATGTGGAAAGCCTGCCGGTTGACTTCCTCATTTCCCACTGCCTCCAACTGCGCGGGCCTTAGCGGTGTGTTTCGTGTTCTCGAGCGACCCAGAAGGCGCCCCATCGGTGGGAGTGCTGCCGGCTCTGTTCCTTCAGGTCGAATGCTCGTTGCTGCTTCAAGGCTGGTTGGCCCGGTATCGACGAAGTTGTCAATGCGCGCTTGTTTCACTAGTTTTCGAGAATTACAGAAGCGACTGACGGGCATAGACTTCGGTTTCGATACAGCTTTGCTTTTGCGGCTTTGTGGCAGAAGATTATTTGACAGCGGTTGGAGAGGTAAAGCATTGGCCGTATACAGCGCGGGCGCTGTAGAAGGTAACCGTGAAGGGATCTTGCCATTCCTCCAGTTCTGGAGCACACCGAGGGCGTCAATGTTGTCCTGGCGAGACCCGAGACTGATGTGCTTGCTGGTAGGACTTGATCTCCCTTTGTCAAATCGCCTGCTAGCTGCACGAGCTGCCACACGGATAAAGCGAGGTGCAGTGGTTTCAACAACATCAAGAATACTCAGTCGTGGCGGTACGTTTTTCCTGGCCACCGGGCGTTGGCGTTGTACCTGCGGTCCTGGGACGATTACTGCTGGTTTGTTTTTTATTCTCGAGGCACCGCTCTTAGAACGGTCAAGTAATCCTGTGATCCTCTGCTGTCTCTTACGCACACTTAGCCGACCGTCAAAGGTCTTTTGCGTCTTTAAACGTTTGACAGCTGGACGGGATCCTCTGTCTATACTTGCTCTTTTCCTCCCGGGCAGCATATGATCGACATGGTCTTCTTCAATCACAGAACCTGCATCGTCTTCAAAAATAGGAAACTCAGTGGTTTCCAAAATGTCGGGAAAATCATTATTTCGTAAATTCGTATCTTCATCATCTGAGTCATCGAAATTGATAGGCACATCATTGATGAATTTAGGAGACGCCACTCGCCGTTGGGCAACTCCCTTTCGGCGGAGTCTTTCTGGCGAGCGCTCAGGACTGCGGCGGGCGGGTTTGCGGAGCTTGTCGTGCGAAATTTGCTGATCTAGCCGTATCCACGAGGCTGGCAGCACGCCTTTGATCCGCCGTTGCATTGCCATTTCAGGGTCAGGACTACGACTAGGAGCATGACCGTGGCTGAGCTCCTCGCCATCGCTCTGAGCTGCTGCTTCATCTTCTGGTTCCACATCCGACAGATTGGTGAGATCTATGGTTGTTGCTGTTTGGCGATGTGCGGGCGCGGGCGTTGAATCTCGAGAAGCGTCTGTACTACTAGGCTTGGGTGTCAGGGACTCAACCAGAAACCTGCCTTTCATCGCCTTTGTAGCTGGTGTTTTGGCGGAAAAGGCAGGGCTTGTCTGCGGCGGCGAAGGAGGAATATCGAATATTCCCAAGGGCCTAGCCGAAGGAGAGCTGTAGTTGTCGACATGGCTAGCTTTCTGCAGTTTTAGGGCTTTTCGTTTTGATGACTGTTCAGGGGAGCCTGTTCGTTTGCCATACGTCCTTGGCCTACCAGTCATCCGCTTCTTGAAGAGGTCACCTAAAGCGGGTAGCTCCTCGTCGATTTGTGAACTGTTTGGTGGCTCCTGAGAAACTGGGCGTCGGCGTGGTGAGGGCGATGGTCTTGGGGGGGAAGAAAGAGCTAATTCATCGCGGTCGTCGTCGAAAAGGTCTCGCTGCGGCATCTCCTGGGAATCACCAGTAGCATCCTCTTGCAACGCCCCGGTGATTGACTGACTGTCTTCCTCATAATCTTGCTCCTGAGAATCATCCTCCTGCGGGCGTCGCCTTTCATCTACTGCTGGTAGTCTCACAGGCCGAACACCATGCGACTTGAACATAGTGCTGTATTGAGCATTCTCCAGGAGATATGGGTGTTCTTGTATAGGCTTTCGTGGTCGTAAGGAGCGGCCAAAGCTAGTAGACGCCGGTCGCGCATCTGCTTGGTCGTCTTCCACCGTAGTGCTTGGCGGCATATGTTGTGAGGCACTCTCCGATACAGGGTCCAACTGAGGAAGTAAATCTCGATGTTCAACTGGTGATACATGTTCCGTGGTGTCTCCAGGTACATATTCTGGCCGAGCAGAGACAATCGGATGCTCGTCTTCAGCAATGTTTGTTTTACTGCTCGTGGCAGGAGTTATTGTTTCATCGTCGGTGAAGTCAGGCGTGGAACAGAAGGAAAGTGGTGAGGATACTGGCTCCTGTTGTGTTGACCTCGTGGGGATGTGTATTTCGATCCTCCTTTGTCCTGGCAATGCCTCGTTTCCTGGCGAGTTTGATGGCACTGACGACGGCGGAATGTCCCAAACTGAGGCATCCTGAGAGGCTGCAGCCTCAGCTGGAGGCTTTGTCACGGCATCTGGTGGAATAGGTGGTGGTGGCTGGACCTGCTGAGATTGCTCACTATCGTAGAGACTCTCTTCGTCCGAGTCGGGAACCTCCCCAAGTTCCCTCCATTTCGCCATTGAGCCTGAAATGCATAGCTCCTCGGATCGTTGTCAGAGAAAGGTCCTAGTCATTGTTGGTGGTGTAGCGAGTGTGAATGCGGATTTCTTAAGCAAGGCAGACGCGTCGTTTGTCCTGGGGGACGCGTTCCAGGGTAGGTGGGCGTAAAGTGCTGCCCACACGAAGTTGAAGGTTCTACAGGGCAGACAGGGTAATCCGTACTGAGGCGGCTGCCCCACAATCGCCGCCGATGACCAAGTTCCAGCGCTCAAACGCCCAATCTAACGGCACTGATCCAATCCCCTCCTGGTATCGAGTAAAGTTCAGCTCATCATCCCCAGACTTGGCCATAACTCAAGGGGCCAGTGACGTGGTCCTTCTTCAAGCAGAGCAGCCGTCGCTTTCCATAACACGTCAACGTCAAGATCGAATTTGCCACTATGAGTTTCATGCGAAGCGCTATTCCGGTGGTCCTGGCGGTAGGACTGGGCGTCTTCAACGCACAATATGTCTTCAAGCCCGCGCTCGAAGACGAGGCCAAGAGAAGAGATCAGTGAGTACAAGATGATGATATGGTTACGTTTAACAATCTACTGAATCAAATGCAGACATGCTGTAGAAAAGGGTACAGCCCAGCATGCTGCCGCCGTTGCAAAGGCCGCGGAAGCGCAGGCACCTGTGGCAAAATCATGATAGGCGCAGGCGGCAAATCTGTCAAGGATAATCAACCATACGGGCCCCTCGCTCAAAACGGTCCAGTTTATGCAAATCCATCAGGTCTGGTTAGAGGAATCAAACCAAAATCTGCATGAAGCCTTGATCACTTTCATTGCTTGTGGTGTGGTAGTTGGAACTGGTTGCTAATCAAGGCGACCGCCGCCTTCTGTGCCAAATAGTGCGCAGATAAAGTTTGCGGATAGTCTCAACATTTGACGTTCCCGTACCGCGATCGGTCGTCTAGCAGGCGCAATGAACCCTGGTACCTGTGCCAGATGTCATACATGTACTCTTCCTAGGTTCGTCATGATCTTAGATATGATGGGCGGTGAACTTGGTTATTGCTACAAGGGGCATGCGTCGTCATGATACAGAACTCAATGTGCAGAGGTTGATGCGTTGATAATTAGCAGCGCGGTCAAGAATACATTAATAACCAACGATATGCTTTTGGTTGTGCTCTCCAGCTCTCATATCCCATGCTCCTTGTCTCGCCCAATATACTAGTTGACTATACCTAAAAGTCCTCGATTTCACTAGTGTCCAGAAATTTATTCTTGGGTATCGTTCTCGCCGATATCGTATCTCATAATACTGTATTCATATGCAATCCTTGACCAGACTCCAGCATTTCCTCATTCCGGTCCCCATAGACTCTCCCTCCACATCTTTAGTCCACCTCGTTCTCTTTCCAATACCATCATCCGTTGGCACATGGACCTCGTCCTCCAACGTAAAAAGGTAGACATGCATCGTCAATTTGATATGCGAGAATAACCATGGGACACTGCCGAGCTCTTTAACAGGTTTGGTCTGCTTGCACCAGTCTTTTCCAACCAATGTCTGCACAAACTCAACTGCCTCAGCCTTCCTGGCTTTAGTATTAGTACTATCGGGATCTGGTAACATGTGCGAAGGAAGCTCCCACAAGCCTGCCAGCAGTCCCTTTTCAGGTCGCTTCTGTATCAGATATTGCCCGTCACTCTTTCTTTGAATAGCACAAACCACCGTCTCCTCCTCCCGGACGGCCTTCTTGACCGTCTTGATAGGAAACTTCCGAGCATGATTACTTATTTTTTCGAAGGTTGCTGCATCAGGCCGTTCCGACGATAAGGTTTCTGTCTTCGGTTTCGTCGTGCTGGTTTGACTATGTTGTGTGAAGAAAAATGATTGCAAAGATGCTTGCTTCTTAGACCCCTTGGCTGCGGTCACACCCTTGCTCTTGCTCGAGGCTTTAGTAGCCGTCTCCGAGCCGCCATTGTCCAAGTCCGCGTACTCCTCGAATGGGTTACAGAAGGCACAAGCGTCTTCGATATCAGCTATGCTCTGTACTTTTTTGCCTGGACGTTCCCTGGTAGCATGCTGCAAGCCCTCTGCATAGGCACGACAGGTCGTTGTAATCGGACAAGCCGCGCAGTTGGGCTTTGGCGTGCACACGGTGCTTCCCAATTCCATAAGAGCCTGACCCCAGCGCCCAGGTCTGTCGCTTGCTTCTGTTTGTTCCTGCACCTCTCCTCTGCGGCCCTCGCTTAACATTGCGTTGCCATCGCCATCCCTGGCGACTGCATTTACCAGCGCCTGGGCAGCCATCCACAACAAGCCGATCGTCGCCTTGTCTGTCTTTACATCCCCAAGAACACCAAGCTGTCTGCTGAGCACCCTCAGCACATTGCCATCCACCATGGCGCTCGCCTTTCCAAATACGATCGCAGTAATCGCACCCGCCGTGTACCGCCCCACGCCAGGCACCTTCTTCTCCAACTCGATCACATCATCCGGCAGCAGTCCATTCATGATCGCATCCCCGCAGACCAACTTCGCGGCCTCGTGAATCCGCGTAGCACGACTGTAGTAACCCAGACCCCTCCACATGGCCAAGACGTCGTCCGGGCTGGCGGCGGCCAGATCGTGAATGGTGGGCCATTTCGCCATCCAGCGGTTCCAGTAGTCGATGACCACCGCAACGCGGGTCTGCTGGAGCATGATCTCCGAGATCCAGACCTCGTAGGCGCGGCGCTCGTGTTGGCTGCGCAGCTCTGCCGAGTCGAGGATTGATTTCGGGTCGATCCAGTCTTTGCGCCATGGCATGCCTCGGGCGGTAGATGTGTCGTCGAACCATTTCAGAAGCGCAGAGCGACTGGGTCTCCTATCCAATAGCAGCGGGCGGTGGTAAGAAGTGTTGTGGTGTCTTTGAGGAAGGGTGCATGGTTCCGGTGGTGCTGCTGAATTCGCTGCTGCGCTACCAAAAAGATGAGAACAGAACTCTGATGAGCCATGGTTACGCTTAGGGACTGAACGGGAAGTTTTCTGCCTCTTCACGGGTTTATGTTCCTCGGGTTCGCTAGCTTCGCTCTCGAACGCGTCGGAGTCCGCTGGTGAAGGCCTCTTATTTCGGCTCGATGCGTTCAGCTTCGGTGCCTTCCCTTGCTCATTGGGTGGCACTAATGGGTTTGATATGCCAGCAACGTCCCTTGACGAGCTCACAAGCCTTGTGGAGCGTCGCATGATAGTATACTTTGTCCGATTCGACACATGAAATTCCAGGGCCACGACTGGAAAATAAGTATAGCTCGACGCGTCATCACGTGACATTGATTCGTTAAATGTAAAATAAGCGACAACAAAAATAGAGAGCTTTTCTTTTCTTTTTACCACAGCACTAACTCCATTGTAACTGCCTGTTTCCCCCTCTTTTCTCCTTTGTCTCTCCCTTTTTCCTTGAGCCAGTTCAAACATAGTATCATCTAATGTGGCAACGAATATATACCCTGAGATTACCATCGTTCTATTGACGGTAGGCCTACTGTTTTTGAATGACACATCTAAGGCTATAGATTTCACCAAAATGCCCCCCTGTTTAGCCCTCTTCAGATAAGACTCGAATAATTTTGCTATACTACTCGGAGAGATGTTGGGTTTGCAGTCGTCTCGAAGACTAATGCGATGGTCCACTAATTCCTACCAAAAAAAAGTGAGCCGAGTTCCGCTACCTCAGTTCATTCCATTTTTCTTGAAGTGAACTTCCCAAGATTCTTCCCTGATTCATAAGTTCTTGCTTGTATTCAGCGATGTCGTCTTCAAGTTTCCAATATGTGCGTTCTTGTCGTGGAGGACACCCTGATGTCTTTCACGTATCCTCTGTCGCTAGTCCTCACTTCCGTCCCGTTCATGCTCTAACATCATATTTCGCTTCTGAAGTTCCTGCAGCTGAATGCTCTTGATACTACAATCGTTGAAATGCTTCTGATGTGTTTCAACGGCTGCCTGATGCAACGATGCAACGATGCAACGATGCAACGATGCAACGTGATCAAAGTCAGAGTCATTCTTTGCTGTGAGCCCACGTACGGGTTTTTCCAACTTGGAGACGTTTGCGTCTTCTGCCTTGTTGAGCCTTTCTTTCAACTGTAGTATTCGTTGCTCCCTCATCGCTCCTGTCGTTGCTAGCTATCGTTGATGAGCCTCGTGAGACTTTGTCTCATTTTGGTAGTATCTCTCCTATTCGTGTTGCCTCTTCTTCAAACTAGTGATTTCACACTGCACCTTTTTGATAGTAGCTTTGAACTCAGATTCACGAGAACTCGCTGCTTCACTAGCAAGCTTCAACTTCAGGTCTTTGCCAATCATCTCTTTTCCTTGTTGCTCGATTACCTCGTTCTTCCTGGGGAGTCCTTCTTTCAGTTCGTCGAGCATCAAGTTGGGTTTCTGCTCTACTCTTTAAGAAATCACTACTCGGTCCTTAAACTTGCTGAGTTGCTCAGCGGTAGTCGTACGATGCTGGGACTGGGCTACCTCTAAGGCTTCTCAACATTGCTTCTCGCTGCAATAACGTTGTAGAAGCACTATACCTACAGCCTTCTGCTTGTATGTCATGACAGAACCACCCTCGGGTTCATAAGTCAACTTTGGTCAGGAACTGGTCCAACGGCATTACCATTCCGTGCCCTAGATTGACGTTCGTAGCGCCGAGTTGCTTCTGGCCGAGGACTGCCAAGTCGACAAGCCTGTGATAGGGGGGCAAAGGCAGGTCGCTCAACTCATCAGAGGTGTCAGCGCTACGGCCAGCGAAAACACCATTCAGGCTGGAAGGGATAGTGAGCCAAGGCATTTTACAAGACTGCTTGATGCGCGATGTCATAAATTAGCGGAGAAGAAAATCAAGTCAGATATGGCCAACTGAATATGATGAACGATCTGTTCTGGTGACCTCTGCTGAGCCAGTTGAACTGTTTGCGTCTCGCCAAGCCAGCATGGCTGCGGTGGGTGCCAAACCCGAGGCAATCCAGAGCTTGTTGCAGTATGAGGGCTAAACTGTTTTTTGTAGAAACCTTAACAGATAATTGAGATGCAATTCTGCTCATATACTAGTATCATGCATAAGCTCGAGTTACGTGCGACAAACTCCAAATGGAGCCGGGCACTCAAGAGAGCTTGACCGGCCTCCCATGTTCATCGTCGCCAGAGATAATTTACCAAAGCAATGCCTGTACGTTACGTGTGATTAGATTAGATAGGCCATCTCCCAATATGAGAGGTGCGCTGGATGCCTGACGAGGGCCGACCACCGGCAACGAGTTGTAAGCTGGTAGACATGCAACTACTCCGGAAGAGGCGCTGTAAAGGGACATCAAGACTCGGCCCTCGGGGGAGGATTTCTATGTTGTAGCCGACTGCTGATCGTACGTTCAGAAAAGGGAGCCATCCTCCTGTGCTGATCTAAGAAGTTCAGGCAGGCAGGTATGTATGTTTGTATGTATGTAGACAAGGCATGTACATGGAGCACTGGATCCGCACAGAGCAGTAGGTGTGAAGTGGAGGTGGGTTGATTCCCCGGTCCCCATGGCTGTCCCCTTTTGCAAATGCACGAATGCTTAGTAGGCGTGATGTGATGTCAGTCTGTCTTGGGTCTTCGGGTCGAATTGGAATCGGAGACTGAGCTGAAATGATTATTAGTGCCTCAGGCCGCCAACTGGGGCCCCCCCGAAAGGTCAGAATTGGAGCTCGATCCATTCCGAGCTCAGAGAAATGGCCTGACACATCGTGCCAAAAAAACGCAACCAAATCCCGACGATTCAATTTGTACGACATCACCCAACCCGTCTTATCCACGACACAATCAATTGCAACCGCCCAAGTCGCCCTCCAACTCGCCTTCATCCCAATTGGACCCATCTCCACTCCTTCCGCCTCTCCGGATCACAGACAAAATGATGCGAACTTCGCTCCTGCGCGCCACCCGAGCTGCTGCTCCTTCAGCACGCCTCGCCATGGTCCAGCGGGCCGCCGCCTCGACACACGCCATCTCGAATCCTACTCTGGCCAACATTGAGAAGCGATGGGAGGGCCTGCCTCAGCAGGAGCAAGCCGAGCTCTGGATGGCTCTCCGAGACCGCATGAAGGAGAACTGGGCCGATCTTACCGTCAACGAGAAGAAGGCTGGTACGTGACAATTTCCGCTATCAATTGGGACGAGAGACGCCCGTCGAGCCCGTCAATTGCACTTGCCATACAGCGAAATGGCTCCTTCGAGCTTGCATCCGGCCCGCAATCGGGCTGCTTGCAACTTCCAGATGTGTCTCTGCTATATGCCTCGGATAATCATGAGAAAACGTACGCGTGAGGGCAATACACTAACATGTCGACTCAACAGCCTACTGGATTGCTTTCGGTGCTCACGGTCCCCGTGCCCAGCCACCGGCCGATGAGGGCCGCAAGGTCGCCCTTTACGTTGCCATCGGTGTTGGTGTTTCTTTCGCCCTCTTCGCTACCATGCGCATGTTCGCCAAGCCTCCTCCTTCCACCATGACCAAGGAGTACCAAGAGGCCACCAACGAGTTCGTCAAGGTACGCTCTCCCTCCCATGGCGGTACGTTACCGGAGAGAGCACATACTGACACGAGCCACAGAACCAACGCGCAGAGCCTCTCACCGGTATCTCATCCCCTGGCTACTCGGGCAAGGGTATGGTTCAGTCGCCCCCCAAGCACTAAGCGTGCTACCGCTGCTGCATCGACAGCTACTACTCTACTAATGATGACTCGTCGATACCGATAAAAATCAATATACCAATCTATCTCATTTTCCCTTTGTCATTAGAAAGGAGCAAGCTCGAGAAGCAAGGCAGGGTCGGGGGGCGCGATACAGCGGTCCAGTGTACAAAAGCAATCCAACTGAAAGAAGATTACTAGAGTGGCCGGGCTGCCTGATTTGGCTATCTGATAACTATGAGCAAAATTATTGGAGAAGAGCGATGCAGCTGAATGACTGCCCCGTCCTAACAAACACCAGATAGCGTCATGGCGATCGGGGACGTTGTACATATGTACCAGTGGAAATTTTATATTGTTCAGAAAACCCAATGGCCCAGTCACTATACGTGAGCTCCGCTGTCCCACCCATTTATGGTCACGACCACGAGGAGGCTGTTGGCTTCGCTCAGGCTTGAGGTTTCCTAGGTCGGCCGTATCATAAATCCATCAGTACAGAGCATGCGGGCGATATCCAGCCGAGGTCATAGCGCTGTTAGAAGCAGCCCGATAATTCTAACCTAGGTAAGATCGATCACCAAGTCCTCCAAGCTGCTCTTGAAGGAGCTCCAGCATAACAGATATCGGAGGCATGCGATCAATGTTCATAACCGTCATATTCAATATCGTCTTCAGGTATTACGCCTCTTCGGGTTTCATACTATATACAGCCATCGACATCCGTCATAATTCGTACCATGCCACCAGTCCAAACAAGCAGCCCCGAAACGCCTCTGTTGCATGATGCCATTAGTCGATGCTACCTTGCCATCCCAAAACTTCCATGTGCACCGCTCATTATTGCCCAGATCGCTACGCACCACTCTCGCCCGCCTGGCGGTACTGCTCAAAAGTCGTGCTGCTGAGAACTTCCCTGCCATTAGCTTCTTCGCCAGGTAGATGCCCATCCTCGTCCTTGATGCGTCTCTCGACTTCGAATCTCCCGTCCTTGCCCCAGTAGCCGACTTTATCGGTGCCTTCAACCGCAGCCTTGGTGACCAGAACATATGGCATAGGCGCATCGAACATAGCTTCGGCTAGCACACGCTCCATCTCCATCTTGAGACCACGAGCGCCTGTTCGTGATTTCTCAGCTCGTGCAGCTACCGAGCGCAGCGCCTTCTCCGTGAAGAATAGTTTGGAAGGATATGTCTCAAAGAGGGCCGTGTACTGTGCGACCAGACTGTTTCTCGGCTCCGTCAGGATGCGCATCAGGTCGTCTTGAGACAACGGTGCTAGAGCGATAATATTGTGAAGTCGGCCAATCAGCTCGGGAATGAAGCCGAAACCCTGGAGATCTTCAGGTGTTGTCAGGTCCAAAGCCGTCAGAGCTGAAGCATCTTCCGCATTTGGCGACCGGTGTGGAAGGTGCTTGAATAAATCCAAAGGCAGGTCTGGATGGTTCTTGGAATCATTCGAGCGACTGCGTAACTCGGAGCCAAAACCCATGGATGGCTTAGCGACCCTGTTCATGATAACTTTGTCGAGTCCGACAAAGGCACCACAAAAGACAAATAATATATTCGATGTATCGATCGTGTATTGATCGACCTTGCCCGACTGTGGAGGCTGAGCTTGAGGACCGGAGCTGGATGAAGTCGATCCAGGTCCACTGTAATTTGTCGTTATAGGACTTGCAGAGCGGGATGACCGGTTGTCTTTGACGTTGACTGTGACCTTGGTCCCCTCTACTAGCTTGAGAAGAGCTTGCTGTACACCTTCTCCACCCACGTCTCGGCCGTTCATCGTTTCGCGCTTCGCAATCTTGTCGAACTCGTCCAAGACCACTATACCGTGCTCACAAGCCTTGATGTCATAATTGGCCTCGATCAGTAAGCGTTCGATGCAAGTCTCGACGTCTTGGCCTATGTAGCCCGCTTGTGTGAAGGAGTTGCAGTCACAAATCGTGAAAGGCACGTTGATCTTCTTGCTCAAAGTTCTGCAGGGTGTGTTAGTATATTCGTACGCAACTCAATGATGCCACACCTGGTTCCTACTCTAGTATATATGTTTTTCCCACTCCGGTTGGCCCCAGCAGGAGCAGGTTGCTCTTGTCGATTTTCACTGGGGGCGGCCGGCTTGTGTCTTCTGGTATGTAGAAGTCGTCCACCTCTTCTCTATGTTGCCATGTTTGGTGGGTATGCAAAGCCGAATCGTCATGTACGGAGAAATCATCGTCTTGGGCCTCGTCAGCGGCATACCTCTGCCGTATGTGATCATGATGTAGCGCACCTTCGACAGGATGTGTCGGATTACTCTCACGCACGAATCTGTCTCTCGCCTCGTTCCTCCTAAGAACCTTCTCTTCGCGCTTGCGCTTTTCTTCCTCTTGGTGATGCCTCCTTCTTATGTTCTGGTAGTGATTGAATATTGCCGCTGATATCGTCTTCTTGGCTCGATCTTGTCCGACGACGTACTCATCTACACGCTTCTTGAGGTCCCGAGGATAAAACCGGGGGACGCCGAATGTGCTCTTGTTGAACATGGGCCCGCGCCCCTCTTCGTCCGGGTCATAGGTATTGGAGAAGCTCGACGACAGGTCTCTGGTACGGCGGGGCGCTGTTCGAACGGCAGACGAGACCGAGAAGGTTCGTCGGCGAGGACCTGACAGTGGGATCGCTGCAGAAGCAACGCGGGGTCGCTTTACTACTGATAACATCTTGACCAGTATGTGAGAGACAAGTTACGAAGCCGCCCCTCTCACAGGGTGGCAGGCTGTTGAAGGAGCTCCCGCGGCGGCGTGGCGGCGCATTCAAGGATAGATAACTAAGCACGTTGGAAGGTCTGGCAAAAACGTATGCACGAAATGCTCATTGAATTATAAGTGCAGATAATGCCATCCGCTGCCACGAAAAGATATGTAGGAGGTAAACACTGCTGGACCGGAGTACGATGGAGAGATGATCGGAAGCCGGGAACAAGCACCGGCTGATTACATACAAGTACGTATGTAACCTTAGTAGTTACTGTTTACTGTAGCAGCAGCAGCAGCAAGCAGTGTAGCTGTAGACATGATCCAGAAAACCGCTCCTCATTCCAGATGCGGGGCAGTACTAGTCCCGTCACGCACACATGCAGGAGCAGCAGCAGCAGCTCTTCTCTGAGACTACATTGCACTGCTTCATCTTGCTGACATTTAATCAGAGACTGCGATTGTTTCCAAGAGCAAAGCCCAAAGCGAGGCTGCGATTTACTCGCATAAGAAATGCTCCTGCTTTGAGTTAGGGTTAGGTTAGTCTAGTCTAGAGGTCAAGAAAGGGCTCCGGCTTGAAACAAGAAAGTATTTAGGTACTTTCTTGGGGCGCTGGAGCAGTGGGCTGCTCCGACTTTTCACTTTTACTTTCGCGGGGTGCACCACACCATGCACTTGGTATTGCACCGTTGATGGTGGGGGAGTTGGTGGGATGAGCCGCTAACATCCGCTAAACGGACGGTTTTTAGTCATTGCTGATCAGTGCTCAAGCTCCCCCCATGGGTTCGTTTTGTGGCCAACTACTGTAGGGATCTACGTGCAGTTCTCTGCTCCGTTGACCTTCAATCCATAACTGGAGCTTGGTGATATGAGCGAATAGTGACACAAGCCGATCCCCTCGATTGCGTGTACCAAGTATGCATATGACAGACAAATAGCCCGCATTTATCCAACCGTAGCTGCAAAAGAGATAGCTGTAAATTGCTTGACCAGGGTCAAAGCGGATAGCTACTGCAGTAGCAGGGATAATTCTCGTTGAATTGGTCGGGCGCTGCAAGTTGTTGCAGCATATGCGCGCCCCCCCGACGTCATAAAGCAAGCGGCAACACCGTAGCTCTCGCCGTAGAGGTTGGGTACAGAAAGAGACAGGAGGAAGAAAAGAAGAAGACAAATGGAAGAAAAAAAAGAGCTGTGTACCAGTATCAGCGCAAATAGGAACGGCCAGCATATTACACAGCAGACTAAGAGGATACAACACTGAACCCTTCGTAGTTCTTTTCGATTGAGTTCAGCTGGTGTTGGAGCCGCCCTTGAACCTTAAGTTGTCACGTTGAACACGGCCAGAAGCAAACGACAGGAGGCTGCTTGATCAACCAGATTATCACGCCCAGCACAATCCGGCAAACCCACTGTTGTCCTACATCATTTCATCGATTGACCACTCTGCTTCGGTCCCAGTTCACCCCCCCAGTTGATTTCGCACGCTCACACCACCCGGGAGGTGCCACCTTACTATTGTTTTTCTTCCCCAGGTCGCTAGTGGATAACCTGTCCCCCCCCGACTCGTTTACAAACAACGTCTTCTTGTAATCTCTGTCCTTTGAAATACAAGAAAGCAGTACAAGATGACAGCTGCAGCGGTAGAAGCTTCAAACTCCCTCGTGTCGGACGGGCAGGACGAGATCGGTATGTATACCTACTGACTCGCGTCGATCTGAACTAGCTAACCAACCGTATTTCTCAGGCGTCGTCCAGCTTGATCCCTGGTTGTCACCGTTCAAGGATACTATCAAGCGTCGACACGCCAAAGCCCAGGAATGGATCAAGACGATTGACGACACCGAAGGCGGGTTGGAACAATTCTCGCGAGGTATAGAGAAGTTTGGGTTCAATGTCACCAAAGACAACAGCATCGTCTACAGGGAGTGGGCCCCAGGTGCCACGGAAGCGTACCTCATCGGAGACTTCAATGGCTGGGATCGGGGCTCTCATCCCATGAAGAAGAATGACTATGGAGTATGGGAGATTGTGCTACCCGCCGCCAATGGCGAGCCTGCCATCCCGCACAACTCGAAACTCAAGGTATGCAGAAGCTGCAATGATTTCCATCCATGCTAGCGACTAATAGCCGCCACGACAGATATCCATGACCACACCCAGCGGCGATCGAATCGACCGACTACCAGCCTGGATCAAGTACGTGACTCAAGACCTGTCCGTATCCCCTGCCTACGACGCCCGGTTTTGGAACCCGCCACAGGCCGAGAGATATACCTTCAAGCATGCACGACCAAAGAAGCCTCAAAGCGTCCGCATCTACGAAGCACATGTGGGGATCTCTTCGCCCGAGACACGAGTTGCAACCTTCAAAGAGTTTACCAAGAACATGCTGCCCAGAATCAAGCACTTGGGATACAATGTGATTCAACTGATGGCTGTCATGGAACATGCATACTATGCCAGTTTTGGTTACCAAATCAACAACTTCTTTGCCGCAAGCAGCAGATACGGCACCCCCGAGGATCTCAAAGAGCTTATCGACGAGGCTCACCGTCTAGGGCTTGTCGTGCTGCTCGATGTTGTTCATAGTCATGCTTCCAAGAACGTCTTGGACGGACTGAACGAGTTCGATGGTACGGACCACCTGTACTTCCATGAGGGCGCCAAGGGTCGACACGAGCTTTGGGATAGCCGGCTGTTCAACTACGGTCACCATGAAGTCCTGAGGTTCCTTCTGAGCAACTTGCGCTTTTGGATGGACGAGTACAATTTTGACGGCTTCCGCTTCGATGGTGTCACAAGTATGCTCTACACCCATCATGGTATTGGTACGGGGTTCTCTGGCGGTTACCATGAATACTTTGGCGCGGGAGTGGACGAAGAAGCCGTGGCCTATCTTATGGTTGCGAATGAGTTGCTCCACGACTTATATCCAGAGACAATCACAATTGCAGAAGATGTTTCGGGTATGCCAGCACTGTGTGTTCCACTTTCTCTCGGTGGTGTAGGATTCGACTACCGATTGGCCATGGCTGTTCCGGATATGTGGATTAAGCTCTTGAAGGAGAAGACAGATGACCAATGGGACATGTCAGACATTTGCTGGACTCTGACGAATCGGCGACATGGCGAGAAGACGATTGCTTACGCTGAATCGCATGACCAGGCTCTTGTGGGTGACAAGACCTTGATGATGCATTTATGCGATGCAGAGATGTACACCAACATGTCCACCTTATCCACCTTAACACCTACTATCGATCGTGGTATGGCGTTGCACAAGATGATCCGGCTACTGACCCACGGTCTCGGAGGTGAGGGCTACCTCAACTTCGAAGGAAACGAGTTTGGACATCCCGAATGGCTCGATTTTCCCAGAGAGGGCAATAACAATTCCTTCTGGTACGCTCGTCGCCAGTTAAACCTGCCCGAGGACGACTTACTTCGGTACAAGAGCCTCAACGAGTTCGACCGTCAGATGAACCTCACAGAAGAGAGATATGGCTGGCTGCACACACCCCAGGCTTATATCAGCCTCAAGAACGAGAGCGACAAGGTTGTCGTGTTTGAGCGTGCCGGCGTGGTGTTTGTCTTCAATTTCCACCCAACTAACTCTTACACTGATTATCGTATCGGCATTGAACAGCCTGGTACGTACAAGGTTGTGTTGAACACGGATCGGAAGGAGTTTGGTGGCCACGATCGAATCGATGAAAATACGCGGTTCTTCACTACGCCTATGGAATGGAATGGACGCAAGAACTGGACTCATATCTACAGTCCGGCACGCACTGCATTAATCTTGGCTCTCGAGTAGCTAACATAGGTTGATTGGGTTTTAGACTAGAATATTGGCGCGAATGAATCATTGCATTTTGTCCTAATGATCCCCCGTTTTGTGAAACTGCCAAACCAAGCAAAGCCGCCCGAAACACATGACGAGGCTTGATTTCCTGTTAGCCACTCTTTTCTTTGCTTGTGTCGACTGGTCCGATACCCATCATAGTCAACCGAAACTCCATGTCGAATTCGATCCCGAGAGATACAGCAGTTGACATCGTCATCAGTACTGACAACAAAAGACCCATATCCAAACCAACTTTGCTGCGCACGAACCGATATATTCCGCCCTCGGGCACAGGAGGTGTGACGAAATCTTCTCGTCCGGCCACGTACGTCTGTTTTCGTCGCCAATGCAAGTGGCGATGGTCAGCTTCTGAATAAAACCTCCCATCGGCCATGGACTCCCCGAGTTTCGGGAACGTATTGCCGTCTACGATTCGTTCCGCGAACAAAGCGCAGGTGCTTGTTGTTCTTCTCCACGCGACCGTCCCGATCGCACAATGAGAGAACAGGTAGGCGAACGGAACGAAGCCTGGCCGATGCAGTTGAGACTACCCAGCTTCCGGAGCTATAATGACTCAATCTGTCCGGCATAAGTGACATGTAGAGGTTCTGAAAATGAACAGATCGAAACTTGTGGGAGATGTGTGATTTTACTGAGAAAGTTATGCTTGTAATGATGGTCATGAAATTGGGGGGGGGGGGGAGGTTGAAGGAGAGAGATTTGGGAAACGATTACCAGCGAAGCTTTCAATGAATCAAGGGAAAAGGAATGATGGAGACAATCCGCTGATAGTTTGGATAGCTCAGGGGCAACCTCAACCGTGTTCAGTGCGACGCGGCTGGTCGTTGTGATTACTCGGGTGGCCGCCAAATCTCAAACCAGTGAATGCGTTGTTGCCTACTATTTGACAATTTGCTGGTGTTTTTCATATGCGGCCGAAAGCTAAATAGTCGAGAATTCAAGAGAATGCAAACTGGGTGAAGTGAATCACCACGATATCACTTCTTCGAAAATTCATGAAGCGTTTACCTACATCATGATGGATTTAGCTGGTCTTGCCTGACAATCCTTTACTCCTTGATTGATGAGTTCAGTACACTATCACTCAATCAGCCATTCCTCGACTTCGACGGCCATGCTCCTGCCAATACCCCTGACCACTTCCCAACCGACACCGACTCTCCATCGGCCACCCCTATCCATATCGCCAGCACCAGCACCGGACCCAACTCTGATCAACAGCCTCAAGCTTGCCAGCGTAGCAATGGCCATGCCCACATCAGCGTCAACCCCGCCCACAACCCCTTTTCTGTCGCCGATCTGCTCTTGTCGCAGTGCGACGTAGATGGCCACCATGCGCTCAAGAACAAAGACGCTAGGCCCGAGCAATTTCCTTGCGATCTTACGATGTTTCGACCGCGGGCCACGGTGGGCAGTATTCATGTGACCGCCACCGCGCTTCTTGCGGGCGTGGTGCCATGTGCTGAATAGCGTATGATCATGTCTCGGTGCATTGTGTGAGGCAAGATATGCGGCGACAAGGAGAAGCTTCGCTGTGGGGGGCAGAAGCACCGCAAGGTCTGTGGTTGGGTTTATTTTGGACCCGGATAGCGGTTTGGTGGGCGTGGCGGCTGTTGGTTTTCTAGGCGTGCCGGTTGGTGTTGTAGTTGTGCTCTGCCCTGTTGTGTTCGAGATGGAGGCGAACTGGGACGAAGAAGAGACAATCCCGGGAGCTAGTACGGACTCATCTTGCAACCACACTCGCGCTGCGACAAGGAGCTTGCTGAACTCTCGGGCTTTGTGCGTCCCTGCGGCAACGGGTGCGGTGAAACGAGGCCACAGTATTGTGGTTGCTTGCTTGAGGGACGGCAGCGTTCGGGAGGCGGCACGGGTGAGAGAGTCGTGGACGGCGGCTACGAACCTAGCATATAAATCTGCTGTTTCTTGCTGAGTTGTATTCGGCAAAGCTGGTGGCGGTGAAGCCGAGAGAATAGCCGTATATTGCGGTTTCGTGTATGGCGGAAAGTGTAAGTGTGGCGTCGCGGGCGTACGTAGCAAGGAGGGCAGAGGCGCGGTGAGAATAAAGATTGTGGTCAGGTTGGGAATCTGGCAAGTGTTAAGTCAGTCTATCGTATCGGACAGTAAGGGGTCGAGCATGAACACATACGATCTCAGAGAGCCTCGCAAGGGCTGGGAGCAGTGTAGGCGGCGCTTCCTTCTGGCGATCAATGGCATCAAATACCAAGACAAACCGCCAATCGGTGCCCCTCTGGACATATTTGAGCATCTTGCTCAGTTCCACCGTGAGGGCTGCAAGCGTTTCGCATCTTCCAACCGCCCCTTGCCATTGCAGCGCATCAGCAACGGCGCCAGTTGTCCGCTCGAAAAGATGACGGGCGGTCACGCATTCTGGGGATTTGACAATGGCGTAGGTGAGATCCGTGTCTGTATCCTCGCTCAGTGTGGACAGGAGAGCACTTGTGATTGCGCTCTTCCCGGTTGCCTCAGTACCGTGAATGATCAAGTTGCGACATGGTGCTGCTCGAGGATACACAAGCGTTGCCAAGGATCGAATCTGAGGCTCACGGCTGGGGAATTTGGTGAAGAGAGAGGCGATGAGCTCATCCGGAAGCTGGAAAAGAGAACCCATTGCTCTTCAAGGGCGCAATTGAGGAGCCAATTGTCGTGGGAACGGGGCGTATATCATATAACGTCACTCTTGTATGGTGTTTTCATTGGCTTTGTTCCACTACAGTATGCTAGCTTAACTTACACCTTTGGGAGAGCTCCATGATACATGATTAAGGTAAACCTGAACCGCGTTCTTGGAAAACGCGTGCCCACTAAGCTAGGTTAGGCGGGGTCCGCCAAGTCTTTGCCCTGGGCAACGTTCAACCTACATACAGTACATGCATATGTAGGTACTTGGGATAAACGATAAATGGTTACCTGCCTTGCCTGCTCGTCTCTGAGCATGTACGGAGTAGTAACTGGGGACCATAAAATATACCGATCCAGTTGCAGTATTACCATTCTTATGGTACACCGAAATGTTCCATACACTTTTGTCATCCCGTTTACAAAGCACCACTCTAGAATCATCATGTAGTGCTCGGGCGGTTGTTGGGCTGTGTCCGAGTAAGACGGAGTAAAATAGTCCCTTCAGAGTTACTTATATGCTTACTTTAACGCTTCTAGGTAGTCGGACGAGCTTAACACGGTTAGGTAGTTGCAATTTAGCAAAACTCCAGCTGGGAACACCGAACGCGCATGCGGCGCTGTTCTGTAACTTGTTGGTAGGCCGCCCAATACATGCATATGTACATTCCCTTTAGTGCCGGGAACCGTTAATTGTCGGCGCGGAGTCGGCCTCTCAAACTCTCAAGGATGCCTGCCATGACTGCGCCGCGCCCGACTGGATTAGCGGGTTTAAATCGACCAATACTGTCCTCCTGTCACTCGAGTGTTGACGTAGCCTATACAGGATAGCACCTGAATCCTCCGAACGCAGTGGGATCAACTTGGACCGCTCGAACGTGTCAGATGTGTAGCGAGTACGAGTCCGAGCTGACTTGACCTGATGTGCGCGCTGACTTATGTAGTTCGACAAACATTTCACGCCATGATGAAAGCAGATTTGAATGTTGAACTTGATCTGAATGATCTGGATCTAGACCTGGACTTCGATATCGATGGTCTCGATTCACAAAACTCTGATTTCACTCTACTTGATTCTAGCTCGGGAAATGACCCAGCGACTAAGCTCTTGACCTGGGCAGAGGACGAAGCCACGACAGACAGGCCATATCACAGCAAACGGCCACACAAGAAGTCGAGAGCTGGCTGTAAGCAATGCAAACAAAGGAAGGTCAAGTGCGATGAAGGCAGACCTGCCTGTCGCGCATGTACTCTGCGAAAGGAGACCTGTGTGTACCCACCAGGATCGCAGACCTCTCCATCTTCCAGGTCTGCTAGAGCAGGCTCGGCATCCTCGAGATCACCCAAGTCGTCGAGGGAGCCCTCTCCAGCTTCGCCGGCTGCACGCAATAACATCGACGTCCTAGTCGTGGCAGAACCCATCTTCTGTCCAGTGGGAATGAGCGATGCAGTTGACATGGAGATGCTTTGGTTCTATACAGCAGAAACGTACAACTCTTTCAACATAGAGGGTGGGCGCTCGGGTGCAGTCGATTCCGTGCTTAGGGTCACGATACCCCAGCTTGCCTTCCAGTCGCCATTTCTTATGCAGACTCTCATGGGCCTTTCCGCACTGCATTATAAAAACCTGCGCCAGGAGCTGCCCCCGGAGAAAGCAGCCCATTACCGAGCCAGAGCTTTCGAAGGTTACCGGAGCGCTATAGAGCTCGCGAATCCACAGGATTACCCTGCTTTGCTCGCCTGCTCCTTACTCATGTGCGCCTTGAGTAGCGAGATGTTTCGCGAAGCGGATACGAAGCGACTCTACATCATTGACTGGATGACCGTCTGGAGAGGTATCGGGCTGATTGTCGAGATCATATCACCAAGAACCATCGCCCAGTCCGGATTGGCGGCTTTATTTTACCGTCCACCGATAGATTTGAACAAGTCGCAAAGATGGATTCCAAACAACCTTTTGTTCATGGTGCAGGCGATCCAGCCAGATGACGACGATTATGAACATCAACAGACATATTATGAGGTATTGCGGTACATGGGATCTCTTTACCAAGAGTTGGAAGCGGGATTCAGTCCCATCATGGACTTGAGGGTAATCACCTTCTTTACCTTCATTCCAAAACCCTTTATTCCCCTAGCCAAGGAGTATCGACCACGTGCATTGATCATTCTAGCGCACTACTGTGCCTTCACTAAACAGAATTTGGGCCCCTGGTGGATGAAGGATATAGCAGATCGGCAGATTCAAGAAATCTGCGAAGAGCTTGGTGACGCCTGGGACCACCTTCTGCACATGCCACGAAAGGTCGTGAGCCTGACCGACAGAGTCGAGATTGGGAAAGCTATACTGCAAAACGATACCTGGACACCGCCAGTTCATGATTTATATTCACCAGCGACAAGAGACCCGAGAGTTAAGGAGCTGAAAATGATCAACGACAGCGGGCTCGAAGTTAGGGTCACCGACGATGGATGGGAATTAATGCCGCCTCCTTTGCTCATGAGCAAGTTGAAGATCACAGACCCATACGTTGCAAAAAACGCAATAGTGGGACAAAGAATGACCATGATGGGAGATCTTATTGGCGTACCATCGCCGATAGCTGCCTTTAGTTCTTCATCACCGCAGCGGCCACCGCTGGCTTTTGGTGATGCTCCAGCGTCGCCCAAGCCATTTATGACCGGTGCCGGCCCGGAGTCTGCGGGAATTCTGGACCGAATGTGCTATGATATTCGGGTTGCAGAAGGACGTCTTTCCACAGATGCAGATACCACATAATACAAGGCGAGACTATCTAAGTATGGAGATCTAGATCTGTGCACTACGAGTTCATTATATTTCAGTATAATCCTGACTTGGTGATAGGCACCACATGCTAGTATTTCACCCCCCTTCAAAGATAGTTGTCGAAAGTTGCTCGAAAGGGTTGAAAGGGCGTGACTTGTTCTGTCCATCAGTAGTTATTGTACATTGCTGCGTATAGCAAAGCGTCACGGCCACCGCTAGATGATCACGAGAGACAATCACGACACAGCCATTTGTCATAATAATACTAGTCCAAAAGGGATAGTTTAGGTGCGATGACACACTCCCGATTGTTGAGTGGGTTGGCAAGTTGCTCTATCGACGCAGCAAGGCTTCGATTTGGTGTGATTAGCTAGCTATGCAGCCCGTCACAAGAACCCTGCATGTGGTTGATCTGGATGATGGGCCCTTACTTTATAGCCCTATCGTATGTTTGGGATGAATACTCTTCTTCGAAAGAACTATCCAACATAACGAACACAGGATTGAAGTGACTGTGAATTGCTGATCTGCTCTGCGTCAGCTGCGTATGGATAGGTCGACCACCATCATATTTAGTTCGGTGTCAGTTGCATCAGTCGAGGAAGTCGGCGCGGAGAATAGCCCTCGATGGGTACGTATCAAATCGTCTACTCTCAGAAATCTCCATGGCGCAAATCACTGCACAACAAGGATCCAATACTTCGCGACACTTGAGCATTCTTCAAAATCGGGGGCGAAGGCCTTATCTGTAATACGTCGAGCTTAGGACTTCCTTGGAATGGGCAAAGTGGCAGAGATTACCCTAGCATAGCTAGACCGATACTTGATGTTGTGCAGAGCCTATGGTGGTGCCCTGCTGAGTATGAGCAAGATTACACTGCTTCGGACGAGATCAATGAACAAGTCTGAACCACCATTGAATAGCGATGAATCCGATTCCTTTCTTAATACTGATACTGCTGAGGAATATTCAAGCACCTAAGCCATCATCTAAACAGCAATCATGTCAATTAAAAAAAAACCCCCATACAAATCAGCACTTTTACATTCATCTTGATTCATTCTCGTCTCAAGTCCCAATATGAGCTATAATATCGGCCGTAGCCAAAGTGCCATAACACTATGTATCATCCAAACTTAACGTATAGCCGAAGCATCACTTCCTTTTCATCTCAAAATATGTGAATAATAATGCCCCGGTAATCTGATTGAGCCCACCTTGAATGCAAAAAGCCCAGAATTCGAAGTGTCCAAAGCCTCGTGAACAAGAATCGTTTCCCCAATCCAAAGTCCATCCCCAAGAGAGGCGCCTAATAATAATGATACAGCCAGCCATTACATATGTTGCAAGCATGTGCCTGGACCGCTGTGGCAAGCGGGTCCTTCTAAATAAAAATCAACGTCACCTTGGGCTCAATGGGCTTTTGCCTGGACCCATTGCTCTTCTCAGTTGTCTAAGTTCTTCCTCGATCTTCCTCCTGTTCATTTGTTCGTTCTAAAATGAGAAATGTTAGTGATTGGTTCTAGTACATGGACTGATAGAGTGGGAAATAATTTTTTGCAAGACGTACCCTAAGCTGCTCCTCGTGTTTCTTACGCTCAGACCTCAATGCATCTCTGTATGAATCAGTTAGGATGCTTGCGTTGGGCCGTCCACTTGGCGACAGTGGCATGGATGTAGCCTTGAGCTTCTCTTGGTCAAGCGCATCTTGAAGTTGTTCCTTGTCTTTCCGAGCTCGCTGGTTAGCCTTATCGAGTTCAGACTCGAGTTCAGCAATCTTCGTTTCAGCCTCTATAGCCTGTTTGGTGATGTCCTTGAGATCAGAGACAGTACCCTCGAGCTCCTTTTCTAGCTGGTTGATACGGGGTTGCAATCTATCGACTCTGGCCTGCAATTTGGCTGTCTCAGCGCCGTTGTATAAGGCCGCGGCATCGGCAGCACGCTCACGACGACTACCATAGGCACCATCGAGCTCGGCTTTAGCGAGTGTTGCCTCGATCTTGAATTCTGCGAGCTGGCCAATCGTCTCGTCAAGTTCGTCCTGTTTGTCTTTGATCTCTCGCTCCTTATTTAAGACTAGCTTGTCGGCCTCGTCCCTAGCGTTGTTGGCCTGTTGGAGTTGGGCGGTGATCATGGCAATATTTGCTTCTGCCGCGGAGAGGCGCATCTGCATGTCCTTCGTGCTGGCCTCAAGTGCCGAAACCTGAGCGTTGCGTTCCTTAAGCTGACTCTGTGCTTCTTTGGCAGCGTCTTGTGCCTTCTTAGCAGCCGTGGATTGCTCTTCGCCAGATCGCGCCAGGTTGCTTTGGTGAGTTTCGTAATTGGCAAGCGCTTCAGACAACTGTCGACGAACATCGTGGGCATCCTTCTCTACACGGTCAAGGGCCATGCGAGATTCCTCGAGCTCGGCTGCCTTGGCGCTAAGCGCATCATCCTTCTCACTGTCCGACTTGTTGTTTAGCTCGCGTTGCTGCTTGATCTGTCTTTTAAGCACGGCCTTCTGCTCCTTGAGCTTCGTGGCCTCAGCATACAGCCACTGGACTTTGGTGGAGAAGGCGCTGAGAGAATACGTCTCGTCAGGATCGAAGGGGCCTTCTGTGTCTGACATGTCATCGTCTTCAACTCGGAGACCTTTGTCAATACGAGTTGCTCTCCTATCCTGATTTTGCGCTTGAATATCAGCGTAGCCTGCCTGGATGATGTCCCATAGCCCCATCAGAATTGCATCATTTTGCTCGCCCTTCTGCCTATCAGCAGCACCAGCCAAGGATTTCTCGTTGGCCGTCTGAAGTACTGACTCAAACGCCGATAGCGCCTGATGCATGTATTGAATCTGCTCATCAAATCCAGCATCAGACACTGGTGGGTCTGGGTATGTGCTTGTTTGGGAAAGTAAATCTCGAACCCGAGCACCAAGATCGTTGACCGCCTCCGTAGCCTCGCGGCTATTTCCTGTCCCCTCTCCAATGAGCACGACTGCCTTCTCAAGGTAATCGAGATGACTGTTGAGCAAGTCGCCAGGCTCAAGTTGGCCAGAAGGGGGATTGCTATAGTTGCCGTTTTTCACTGGATCTGTCCTCACAACCACCTGTCGTAACTGGTCGTTGAATGTTTCTAGTTTTCGTTCTGTATCGGAAATCAAGCGCCACTGGTTCGTTCCCTCCTGCTTGAGCTCCTCCAACTCTGCACTGAGGGATGCATTTTGTCGCCTCAGAGAACCCGTTTCCTGCTGTAGTGAATAGTTTTCGTCGCGCAACCTTTCCGTTTCCTCAGTGAGCTGTTTATGTTGTTCTCGAACAGGTGACTTGAGGGGTATTTCAATGATGTTTGGAGGGGCGCGAGTACTGTTGAACGCATCGTCGAAAGATCGGTTCCAGGAATCATCTTCAAAGAGAGGCACGTCATCTGGTTCCATGCTGTTCCTACCGTTTGAGGTGTACATGCTCTCTGGACTTGCTGGGATGCCGTTGACGAGAGGGGCTCTCGGCGTCCGTGTTCCCCTGTTCTTGTTCTTGCTAGGGGCTTTGTGTGTCATCTGCAGGATGCCGGCCGTGTGTTCCAGCAATCTCCTTTGTGGCTCTATGATCCGTCTCTCCAGAACCCAGAGTTCTGAGGCGAGCTCCTCACACCTCTTTTGTATGGCGTCACGCTCTGCTTCAACCTCCGACGCAGAACTACTACTACTGTTGCGGTTCCCAAGCAGGCTTCTCCGCTTCCCCGAGGCGGGTGAGTACAGGCGGGCCATGGAAATGGCGGCATCTCGGTATTTTGACTGTACGGCCAGGTTTGATCGCGTCTGATCGATCATCTGGGACAGCATTCGGACTTGTTTCTTCAGGTCGTCTACCTCTTCTTGAGAAAGGATCTCATATTCCCTGCTGTCGTACAGAGCGGTCTCTGTGAGCAGATGTACCTGTACAGGGTCCTTGAGGTCTACAAGGACCGAACTCTGCATTCTGTCGGCATTCATCTGTCAGGTGTTAGTGACGCTGGGCGGACGCGCCTATGGCGGTGGGCATGTGTGAAAGTGCCATACAGGGTTAAAGCGCGGGTTTTCGGGCTGGAAATCATTCAAAGCATCCTGCCTATATCTGTCGACTAGAGCCTGACCCTTGGGAGCACTCAAAGGGCTGGGCATTTGTGGCCGCCCATTGAAGCCATTCAACTCTCTACCCGAAACGCCGTTCATGTTCGTTCTATTTGTTGCTGGCAAAGTGATGCGCTCTTATTCAAAAAGACATGATCCAACTGGAGAGGCAGAGAAGGGCCCAGGCCGAGAGATTCGTTCGTCCGACACGGGGGTATCACGGTAAAGCAATCGCTCTTCGCTTCAAGGACAAAACTTGTGGGACGGACGGTGTTATTATACGGAGGCACGGCGCTCAAAAGAAAAGATGGGAAAAAAGGAAAAGGATAACGCAAAACGACACGGCAATTAACCAAGAAACGTTTGAACCGAGCAATTAGGTTAGGATGAGGGACGGCATATCCAAAAGAAGGAGAGGCTGGTTGCAAGCGTGTGTATGTAGGAAGTGATCGGGAAAGGAGGCTTTGGACGCTTTTCGATGTACTAAGTCTGAGTCTGGATTCGACGATGCGGTCCCCCCCGACTCAACTCAAAGCGTCTTAACTCGAGCGTCTTGCATCAAGCGTCTCTCCCCCCGAATTGAAAGGTGAACCGCCGGCTGGATGCAGAGGAGAGCCAGCATCCCCTGTTTGGCATGGGCAATGACAAGTGGGCTGCCTTCCATTTCTGGCCCAAATTAGATTCGTAGCGCCTATTTCTGCTAGCTGTGTTGGGTAATGGCCGTGCATGGCCTCTACAGAGTCAACAGAATTAGCAGAATCACACAACCCGTGTGGCTGGGCTGCAGTCCGTTGGCTTTCAAGTTTTAAGGTAATCTTGGAACCAACAGTGCACCTAGAAATTCCGAGGGGTTCTTTTTAGGTACTGTAAAGTCTGTCTGTCCTCCTTTACTGCTGTGGCCTGCCAAACACACACACTTGACACACCGTTGTTCCTGGCATCTGCCGATGATGGGGCGCTCGACCCCTACTGTACTGTACTGTACATAGACATATCCCGCCCTTGCGACTGCATCTCCCATGTTTTACTGGGGACGCCCCTGGGCCATGACTGAACATGCCGAACTATGAGTTGCTTACACAGTAAGGTCATATGTAGCTGTAAGACATCATTCCACCTTAAAACCCATACATTATTTACATCATGCTAGCTATCTGTCTCGGTACTGAAAGTGCGACGAACACCACGTCCGCCTCTTTCTTTTTTTTTTTCTTTCCCTTTTTTTTTTCTCTCTCTTTTTCGTTCGGGTTTTTTCCTTGGCGCGAAGTGGGAGTTTGCGGGATGCAGTGCCTTGCAATTTCGGGCCACATGTCACTTTGGACACTGGGATCTGCCTTCGAAGGAAGACCGAAGGAGCTGACGAGCTTTCGCCTCAACCCAAGGCTGTGCTTCCAACTACGCCATTGGGGGCCTCATGTTATAGAATACCAAGAAAATGATGTTGAATTTGGATATATTTAGCTCATCGACCAGAGCTTTTTGCCGGTTGTCCCTAAAGCCGCCCTCGAAGCCAGGATCGCCTGACGGATGCATATGGGACAGGTTGATCATTGCTCATGAATAATCAGAGCAACCTTTGCTGGAGAACTTTCTTAGCCTTTACACAGCCTCAGAGGGAGATGCAAACATGCCACTCGATATGTAATTGGGCTCCCGTGGCCCTTCCGACAGTCTAGAAACTGGACCCCGTCAGGAACAGTAGCAGAGCTTCGCGCCATAGGGTTGAGCAGCAGCTCCTTTGCTATTTCAGATAGCTCCTCTGAACTGATCTACAATCTGCTGACCTATGTTGCGGCGCCTGCCTACCTCTCCACCATCGTTGTTCTCGATACCTGTTGCGCTGGCCGCTGTCCCCTCTCCTTCTAGCCTTCTTCTGAGACCTTCGAACTCTTCGCTTCTCTTCTGCGTGCGAATTCCAACCATCCAGCCGGGTATTCTCCATCTGGTGAGGGATCTAGGGAGCATCTCCAGCCTCCAGGCATAACCTACAACCCAGCCAATTAATGCTCCCAGCAGCGAGCCTGGCCATTGGAAGAAAGCAAGTTGAACCGCAAGTAGGTATTTATACGACTTATCCGACAAGGTAACACCCTGAAACTGATCGGTCGGAGAGGCTGAGGTGGCTATCCGGTACTTGTACATGTGGGGGACGGTGGCATGGTATTGAGCCAGTATGGCGAATATGATCGGAGTTGGGCCTGCAGGCAAGTAGTTGAAGAGGCCCCAAGTCAACGGTCTCAAAATGAATGCGAGAATGCCTGTCGGTAGTATACTTGTGAACAGCGACGTGACAATAAGGAATGACTACATAACCTCTGGTCAGCAGATATCCATGTCAATTAAGTGTGCATGTGTTCCAGACGGACAGAACTTACTGCGTACTTCCGCGACCCCCACATATGCTCAACGACTCTGAGGCTGTAGAGAGTCATTGCGCCAAACAATACCTCTGAGGAATTGGTGTAGCACAACTGGTAGATGAGTGCGCGCCATGTTTGGTGAAAGCGCCAGAGATGAAGGTCAACCAAGATGTAGAAGTAGTGCTTCAGATCCAGCAGGCTAACGGCTACGGAGATGCCTATCAAACCGTAGACCATAACCCTGGAGACGGGCGCATTCGTGAAGGACATGGTGATGCGCTTGCCTGGTTACCAGCTCATGGCAAGTTTCCGGAGACGCCAACGCTAGTCGTGTACCTGCAGGTGAGTACGATACCGCAACAGTACACAGCACAGCACAGCATAGCACACCATGAAGAACCCAAATATCGCCGCGTTGTACGATGTTGTCGCTCACAGTCGTTGATCTAAGCTGAGGGTGATGGTGGATGTGGCCAGTTCCTGCGCACGCCTGCAATTAAATGCAAGGGCTGTCCAAGATGGTGGGGCGCATGGTCTGGTACCTACATACGGTACAGCAAACTGGAAGCTGTGACCGCCTCCGGAAGTATTTAGAAAGCGCATCACCCATACGAATGAGACACGAAGCTTGCGAGGCAGACAGTCGGCTCGATCTCATCAGGTGCGTCTTGTATTATGTGCAGCAGTGAGCGTTGTATAGACATCAACAAATACGGCCTGCATGGAACATTTGCATGTATGTATTCGACATGTTTTCAGCTATGAGTGACATCATTCTTCAGGTCGTTGTGACACTTTTCGACACGACTCAGCGGCGCAAAGCAAGTACAATGCGCTCTTGAGCATTCCGTTTGACTCTACTGGAAGAAACCCGGGTGAGCTCAAGCGTTGTTAGTAAGGGCCACATGGGAATTGCACACTGATAAATTCGCGGCCTCGAGATTGTTGCCCGGCCGTCCAAAAGCCCAAAAGTCTGGAACGGACGAAGAGCTGTAACCTACTGTAGGTTAGCAGGGCCTGCAGGGTCCTGTACTGTAGAAAGGGTTCTGTAGATCTTTCAGCCGGGCCCAAGCTTGCACAGCTTGCCACCAGTCCCTCCATCCACCACTCAGATTCGCACCCAAGCCTCTTAAGAACACGACGCTCCTGAAAAGTATACCAAGATCTTGCCTCGGCACCGATAGTCGTCGTAATACCCCTAATAATGTTCTGCACATAGCCATCTCTCGCTCATTACAGCTTTGCGCTCCTTTGATATTTTCGTTTTTGTCTTGGCCCGTACCTGACCTGACCGTATGATTCCCGACACCACGTTTGCGATCGCGACGCTATCACCAAGAGTTCGGCACGCAACACAGCCGTGGGACCAATCAACATTGCGAACAATATGTCTTCCAGCCTGAGCAAATGGCTTCTCACCTCGCCACCGATAGAATGGGCGTTAAAGAACGCGAGAGAGCTACTCATTGGGACTTTGCGCCAGGGTCCTATTCCGCAACACGTCGCCTTTGAGATGGACGGCAACAGACGATTCGCCAAGAACCATCACATCGAAGCGATAGAAGGTCACAATCTGGGATTCGAGGCGCTGGCGAGGGTCTTGGAGATATGCTACAAGTGTGGTGTCAAGGTCGTCACTGTGTACGCCTTCAGCATCGAGAACTTCAATCGGCCCAAGTCAGAGGTCGGAGGACTGATGAAGATGGCCAAGATCAAGCTGGAGCAACTGTGTCAACATGGGGAGCTTCTGGACCGTTACGGAGCAAGTATACGCGTCCTTGGGGAGCGAGACTTGATCCCTGCGGATGTCTTACCGTTTGTCGACAAGGCTGTTGAGATGACAAAACATAACAAGAAGTGAGTTCGCCCGACAAGACCATCGTATATACTTGGGAGGCTGACAAGAAATCAGCGCTGTTCTGAACATCTGCTTTCCATATACATCAAGAGCCGAGATGACACATGCTATAAAAGCAACAGTGGAGGAGTTCTCGTCGCCGCCACAACAGCCTTCCACGCCATTTTCGCAGGCACGTATCACCCAATCGATCAAGTCGAATCAGCTGAGGAATTCGGATTCGACGTCATCTCGTGATGTTTCTTCCGACGAGCACACCAAGTCAGACGCAGATGAATCCATCTCGACGGACACAACCCTGAATCCCGACTCGCCGCGCCATGGGCCCCAGGCAGAAAAGCCGAGATCCATCGAGTTCAAAGACAAAGAGACTATCACGGCCGAGACCTTGGACAGCCATATGTATACGGGTGACAGCCCGCCACTCGATATATTTGTTCGGACTAGTGGAGTGATGCGGTTGAGCGACTTCATGCTGTGGCAATGTCACGAAAACACGCATATCTTCTTCTTGAGGTGCTTCTGGCCCGAGTTCGATTTGTGGCACTTTGTCCCTGTCCTTGTGGAATGGCAATGGCGACAGAAGCAGCTGGGTAGAGAAGGCCAGGCGGGACGACGAATCAAGACCGAATAAGACATGCGTCCAGTCAAGGAGAAACAAGGAAAAGAAAAGCAAAACAAAGAACAAGCGGACTGCCCTTCTGAGAGCTTGCCGCTAGACAGGCGATACCACTGATAGATGTCGACCATTGGGCACGATAGCTGGAGTTATTGCGCGGGCGTTTCCGGCAGCTTGTGCAGGTCAGGCGAATATGGCTGTTATACTACAGCTTTGTGGTAATTAATACCAGATGCGCCTCTTATTTAATTATCTGTTTGCTTGCTTGCTTGCTTGCTTGTCTGTCTGTTTGTTGTGGTGTACAAGTCAAGCAAGTGTTGGTTTGCTGGAGTGCCCCGTCTTATATCATTATTAATCGAGTCACCACCTAGGTGGCTTTGTGCTTTGTTCATTGCCTTCTAGTACCTGGCGGTTAGGCATGCAAATATGGCCCATGTCGCATGCTGCTCACCGGGGCCCATTTGATCTCGAGTGTACATACCTATTATTCTGAATGGCTCCATTGTTATTGTACGAAACCATCTGCAGTGGTGGCGGCACAGATACAACTTAGCTGTTTGCACTGGCTCTTGCATACGGCACCTATGTACGAACCCGTACGGTATGTAGACAGACTGCTTGCGGACTTTGTAAACTTGCAGAATCTCAAACCCATACGGTAGGCTTGTATGTATACGGTATACCTAATGGATCGCAATCCCGAGTGACCCCACATGACGTTACTCTCCCGCTCGCTCCAGCCTCCCAAGCCTGAAGTCATGGGGGCTCTTCTTATCTTATCAAGACGGAATAACCAAGTCCGATGCGGAACCCCCTTCGTCAACCTACCAATGAACAGGGAATTTGGGTCATTCTCCCAGTTTGGTTGAGTACGTACAGCATGTGAGTTATGTATGTAACTTAGTTACAGACTTGGTGTAGCGCTTGTGCTTATGATTGTGCTCGTGCTCGTGCTCGGCTCAGTCGCGGGCACTGGGAGCTTTCTCTTGCAATTGCACTTGCACTTGCACTTGCATTCTGCGCGACAACCTCTACACTGTCTTCATGTGATTTCCGCCAGCTCTTGCGTTTCTACGCATCGCAAAATGACTTAACACTTAGCCACGAAACTTGTCATCCCAAAGAATTTCTACCCTTCTCACAATTTTGCTGTCGACGCCCCCAGGACAAGACCCAGGCAGACCTCACCTTTCTGACTTCAACTTGGCGTCCCGCCTTCGACTACAATTACGAATTCCTATTCCACCATTGTGCCGACCCTTCCTCTCACGGCCGACACTTTCCTCCGAGTACAATGAAAACGGCAAAGCCTTCTCAACCAGAGCCCATAGCTGGCACTGGTGCGGCCACTTCGAGTCGCCGCCAACCAGCGCGACAAGCTCGTACCAACCCGCCTCGATCCTCTCTCCTGGCCGGTCCGGTGGCTGGCCGAGATGCTCACGGCCATGACCAGCCTATCGACATCTTTCCCGCTATAACGCATTTCACTGATGCTATAACATCGCTGCCCAAAGACCTCGTGCGCCATTTCACACTCCTGAAAGAGGTCGACGCCAAGATCTTCCAGCCGGAAGAGAAGCTCTTCCAGCTTGTGGGGGACGCTCTGAAATCGAGCCCGCCCGAGCCCAGGGTCGTCAGCGACGGCTCCAGTAGCATTGCGCCTACGTCGGCGCCCATGAGCGCTCAGAACAGCATTAATGGGAGTCTGCCAGCTGCGCCCTCCAATGACCCCAACTACAACGCCGCCATCTATGGCCCTGAAAATGTACCCCGCCGGCAACTATTTCGCGAAACCGCTTTTAAAATACAAGAGATGCTTGTATCACTAGAAGAGAAGAACCACGTTATATCCACGGCGAATGAGGCTCTCTCGAAACATCTTGCCCGCATTGACAACGTATGGCCACACCTCCAAGGCGAATTCAGCGACGAGGCCAAATGGGGAAGCAACACACATTGGGCATACCCAGAGAACAGAATCAGCCGGGCGAATGCTACTGAGCGCTCGCGACGAGATGGCGCGCAAGCTATTACCGCCGCCGCTCAAGCGCTAGCCGAAGAAGCTGCCGCCAGGACCGAGGCAAGGAAACAAGCAGTAGCAGCCAAGAAAAAGCAGCACCAAGACTCGGACGTTGATGCTGAGCACGAGAAGAAAGGAGAAACCACCAAGAAGGCCGGCAAGTCACGGAAAGCAGCTGAAGCCAGTGCGCCCATCGGTCTGGGCATCACCACAGAGACCAACGGCAACCCTCCGCCCAAGAAACGGAGAGTCAACAATGATAAGGACAAGGACAAGGACAAGGCTACAACAAACGGAGGCCAGCCTATGGAGCGCGCCCTGAGTAGTGTGTTCGGCAATAACAACAACCCTAGCTCTTCGTCGAAAACGAAGAACTCAAGCCCACGGGCTACGCCGGCACCAGATGCAGCCGCGTCCAAGAAACGTAAGGCCTTACCCACAGTTAATGGTGGCAGTCAGTCCAAGAAGAGGTGAGTTCTATGCATTCGGGCGTGGATGTTCTGTCTGAGTATTTCTAACCGTATTTAGCAAAAATGGGTTGCCGACAGCACTCTCTCCCTCAGTCACCTCCTCTCCAATTGTACCAAACTTTGATCCTCGAACCATTGGGCGCAATTCTCCAGTGCCGGTTCCTGTTCTTGCTCGCCCAGCAGCTTCGCGAGCCAGAAACAATTCCACTGCCTCGAACCTTGCCCAGAGACCCTCATCATCTGCGTCAAACAGACCCAATGGGACTGCGGTTCCTCTGCCAGAGCTACCTACAGTGCTGAGTGGACGAGTTGTAATTGAGACCAAACCAACCAAGGAGACGCCGATACCTGTTAAAATCGAAAATGTGCCCAAGGAAGATATACCCCAACCTCCTATCGTGGCAAACACGACGCAAAACGGCAGTAGGAAAAACTCAATCGCAAAAGAAGACGCTGAGCCGAAGGCCGAGGCCGTGCAAACTCCGGTGCAGACTGTAACGAGTGTAGTTACTACCAAGAGTGGACGGGCTAGCAAACCCTCAACTCCTGCTCTGGGCAACTTTCCAGAGGCTGCAAGATCTAGATCATCCAGAAATACACAGGCTGGTGGCGCGAAACGCAGCCACAAAAAGGGTGCATCGATACAAGCTGCACTCGCTGCTCAAACCGTTGATGAAGATGCAAACGGTAGCGCTCACGGCGACGATGAAGGTGACATTGACGCAAATGAGCCTCGATATTGCTATTGTAATGGGGTCTCCTATGGCGAAATGGTGGCCTGCGACGCCGATGATTGCGAAAAGGAGTGGTTCCATCTTGGCTGTGTTGGCTTGCGGTCAGCCCCAAGTTCAAGCAGTAAGTCGATCGCGCATCACCTCGTGCAACCTCGAAATAGACGCTGACTCCAGTTATAGCAAAATGGTATTGTGACAATTGCAAAATCCGCATGAAGAACGGCAAGAAAGTGAACGGCAGGTAGCAAATTCATGGCTGATATTTGCCTTGATTGACTGATCCTGCTCAATCTCCATGGAATTACGGCGTTTCGCATTGAAAGGCGTCTGGGAGCGGGGGATATACCTACAGAATATCTGGGCAACTTACTTCGATAATCGGCGCTCACCTGGATACGCACGCACAGCACCAATTGCTAGATGAATATGACCGGCGTTGCGGATTTATGACAAGAACGGGCTCAACCAATCTGTGGCTGCTGAACAGTCATAATTAGGTATGATATGAAGTTTTGGCAACATGTATTGGGGTTCAATGGGGCGGTAACGGACAGCACGGCAGAGCTGTACACTGCATACCATCCAGTAGACATGATTAATGCTAGGTCGGTATGAACGACGTTCCTCTGGACACCAATGTCACAATTCCTGATCTTGCTTCTTTTCTCATGAATAAGAACACTTCAATGCGGAATATACAAGACTTCAATTGCAGAACATCGTGGTTGTGTCCGAGGAAATGCTCATTTCGGGCCCTCGTGCAACGCTGCACGAATGATGCGTTATGAGCCGCAGGGTTATGCACGGCATGCGGCACCACCACCGGATTGGTCGGCAAGCCTTGCGACAGGTTTTAAACGACCCCTGAACCTGAACGACATTGCTGACTAGTATGGCGTATGCCGAGCTCTGATATCATAAAAGAAATCACTGAATCACAGGCAGGCCCAAAAAGGAATACCAGTTAACTGATAAATACTCGTTTGGCCCTCCGAAGCGAGCACGGGATATCCGAACGGGTTTTTCATTCGCCTGCAAACCTCTGACCTGCAGCGAGATGTTTCGTAATAAAGCGTGCTCGGAGTCCGGTCTCTGATGGGATTCTCTGCCCTGCCCGCCCGCCACCAGGCTTCATGCTTCGGCTTGAATCGGCCAAGCTTCAGCATTTTAAGCTAAACGCCAAATCCGAGCACACCTGACAGCTGCTTAGACCGAAGGTGCCAAAGCTCGCAAAGCTTCTCAGGCACGGAGTGTTCCTGAGAGGTCAAGTGACCAATGCCTGACTCGGAGCTAAGAAATTTGCATTCTTCTAGTCTAGAGGCGATTTGCAACATTAGTATCAAAATATGCTAGCTCTCGCCCATGATAACGGTAGGCTTATTATGTCAGACGTCACCCTAATGGATACTGCGATATCGCTCGTAGCGGATATCGTACTTTGGAAAGACTGAGAAGGAATTCAGCCGAGAACGGTGATGTGATCCTGCTTGCACTCCCATGCTGGGTATCTTGGGTACATCATGTTGTGTGTTCTTGAGCAACTACCAGCAAATACCGATTTTGAAGCACACAAAAACGGTTCAAAGCAGCAACTCCTACTCCGTACGTTACAATAAATTCCCCAGCTTGTGGTCTGCAGCGGAGCTAGCAGAAAGAAAACGACAGGGTCTTTACCCCAGATTCTCTTTTCGCCTTACGGGAGCCGCTTCGCCGCCTTCCGCTGCAACCCAGATCTTTGGCGGCAGGCTTTAAAAACTGTATTCTGTAGGTACAATGTACATTTCATATTTTTGCCCCATAGCGTTGGAAATGGTCTCCAACACAAATCTCACTCGACCTCACCGACCCAGAAAAAAAACCCCCCAAAAGTACACAACACCTGGCGCAAGTGAGAAGTCTCGTCATAAGGGGTTTGTATGGCGCTGGTTGTTCCTATTACTCATTCTCGTCCAACCAGAGCATAGGTCTGGTCTTGGCCATGGCCCCATTGCCCTGCGGTCCGTTGGCGCTTGAGAGGGTGTTCAGGTGACAAAGAAGTATTCAAGCCGTCGTACTATCCCTGGTTTTTATTACCCAATCCGTGATCAATGGAATCGCTCCTTTGGTTCAACGTACCCTGAGGCAAAAGTCTATCCGTCCAACATTTGTTATATTTATTTTAGGGTGCATGGCGGAAACGAGCAAGATGTCGTTGCCTGCCTGTGGTATTACTCACCTGCCCAGCCGACTAGCCTACCAGACACAACCACTTACACAATCGCAGTCTTAGCTCGGATGTTTTGCGCTCCTCTCGTTACGTATTCGCAACCTCATCCTCTTGATTTCGACAACAGCCCATGCAGCAATAACGGCCCAGCTCAATAAAAGGAAAAAAGAATACGACCAACGGCTCAGTTCATCATCAGTTCCTACGTGTCACGAATTCCTCGCCATTTCCAAGGACCCTACATCACTTATTCCCCGCATTGCGCCAACCCAAGCTCTTACCTAACAACTCGACGTATTGACTAATAGAAAGTCCATATTGGTCGTCTGTGCCTACCGTCTGTGAAACCGGTACCTAATTACGCATCCGGGGAAGACTCCAGTTGCCAAACTTTTACACTCAGGGCGCGCTGGAAACACGCTATTGAAGAGCAATTTCGCATTGCGCAAGGACCAGACTTGCCTGTCCAAGCTGACTATCCCTTGTCGCAAATATCAGTCATGGTCACGACACCAACCTTCTCTGGATTGGGACCACCCGAGCAATGTTTCTCAACGGAACTTAAGACCGGCCCTACTCCCCAGACTAAAATGGTAGGCCACGACCAGAGCCACCAACCACGAGAAATATCTCCTGACAAATCTGGCCGATCATCCTTCTCGTCAGTACGCGAGAACGATTCGGATCTCGCTCAGACCTTTACTAGCACCAAGGTATCTTCCTACCTCAAAGAGGCTGAACAAGAAGACCAAGCCATAGACGATTTACCGTCACCTCTTGATATGGCTACATGCACTAAGACGCAATTCAGGCCACCGCTTACACAACCACACAGCAGACTGCATGGCAACTGGCTGCCTGCTGTCGCTGCCGATGGCTTCCAGGGATGGAAGCAGATTGGTGTTAAAGGCAAGACGGCGAGTAGAAGCTTCGGTGACTTACAGGCATTGAGGATAGTATGGTCAGCGCCAGCAACTCAACCTAAGCCGAAGAGCCCTGGCCGACCACTACCCGGGCACGCTCCGATTGAGCAACTGCCTCTTGAACTTCTGGGTGAGTCGACGCAAAATGCTTGAAAGAACGACATAACCGCTGACAAACTGTAGGTTCTATTATTGAACACCTCATCCTTGATATACCACCTAACGGCATTTCTGCCCGTAATGTAAGTGGTCTCGTAACTATGTGTCCTAAATGTTTCCTTAACGTTTTCCCTAGAAACTCCATGGGAGTTCTTCTTGTGTGAAATTTCTAGAGAAAGACATCTGCCCCTACCAGCATCAATCTGAATGTGGAAAGACGGAGGAGCTAACCTTTGATTGTGACTAGGTGGATTTGATGTCACTACTAGTGACCTCGAAGACATTGCACACGGCAACGCTGAATGCCCTATACAGGAACATCACGATTCCCCACTCAAGAATCTTCCGAAAGTTCCTTAACCACATTTCGGCAAACCAGGAGCTCGGCACTGTTGTTCGGCGCCTGGATTTCAGCCATTTCAACCCTCAGATCTTCTTCTCGACTGCTTCGGAGCGGCTCACTACTCAGAACCTGACGCCTGAGACTCTATTGAAATGCCTCGAGCTTACTCCCTATTTGAGGGAGTTCTTGGCACAGGAGTACATTGATGAGGAAATCAGCGAGGGCGTTTTGAAGAAGCTCTTTTTCCGTCTCGAGAGACTCCAGGCTATCGATTTTACGGGCTGCCACGCAGCCCCGTTCAAGGATGCCATGTCGTCGCTCGTGGCGGGTGAGTGGCCGGAGACACTGTCAATTTTGCGACTGTCTTTTCACAAATGTACCAACCTACCATCCGAGGTCTTTTCCACTATGCTGCCCAGACTGGCTCAGTTAACCCATCTGGACGTGGCTGGCACGCGCATCACCGACGAGGCCCTCCTGTCAATTCCGCACACGGCTAGGCTTTCTCATTTAAATCTGGCCAAGTGTAAGCTGTTGACAGCAGAAGGTGTCGTCGACTTCATTACCAACCACCCTGCTGCTAAGGAACTCGTCTTTCTTAGTCTCGCTGCTGACGCTACAAGTCATCAACTCTTGGAAGCGGAAGATGTCACCGCTTTGCTCCCTCACCTGCCTGCGACGCTGCGCTCGTTGAGTCTAAAGGGTAGCATCATGGATGCCACCCACATCGACATGCTACGTCCTTTGGCCAAGCACCTTGAGGAGCTCTCCTTGGGCAGACGGATGAAGATCAGCGATGTTGAACGTATCTTCAGACCCGATGAGAATGATGACGACTACAGCATGGAAATTGATTGGGTTCCACATTCTCTCAAGTATATCGACCTTTCCGACTACACAACCTCTGAGTTGGACCTAAGCTCTCTTTTGAACCGGAGAACTTCGATCCTGGAAAAGTACTCAGCGCCACTGGAGGTCGTCGAGGTCAGCGAAGACGCGTACAAGCGTCTGGCGAAATCGTCGAGCGTCGAAAGATGTGGCTGGACGGTTACGGAGTTTGGTAACCGGGCCTGGCTGGTACGGAAACAGGCAGCAGAAGATGATCAGAGAGACTCTGGTCTACGTTCATGGAAATCCGGTGCCTCTTTTTGGGGCATGCGAAAGATACCCATGGCCAAGCAGGAAGTTGGTGGCATGTACGGATCGTACATGTTCAAGCGAAAGTTGTGATTTGAAACATCGGGCCGGCGCCCTCTCCTCTCTCTGGGTTGTTCTCTGTTTCCCTCATACGATATCCTATGGCATGCAATCATCTCTCTTCACTTTCTCCGCACCTTCTCGTTTTTATTTTATTTTCCTTGTCAAGTTTCACGACGTTCAGATCCATGGTTCATTGCAAGAGCGTGGCGCCTTGGGATAACGAAAAGTTCTGTAATAAAAATAGTTCAGCATCAGCATTCATCATAGCGTAGGAATCATTCGTAGGATAGTATGAATCACGAAACATGATTAATGATACCCATCTCTGTGGCTTGTTGTGCCTTCATGCAATTGACTGGTAGAGGCCTGTCAGTACACGACAAAGGCAGAACCCGGACTTTGGTGCAACTCGACCACCCGCCATTTGAGAGCTACCAGACAGCGCGACTTGACGACAGAACACATGTTACTCTTTATATGAGACGTGGTAGAGACTCGGACGAGCTTACCTAGGTATCTACATGGTGTAGGTTGAAGGGGGATGGGCATGCATTGGCACGGTACCTCCTTAAGTCCATAGAGTCAGTAGGTACCTAGCTTACAACAATGTGGAGTAGATTGGCTGGCAGTGCCAACTCCCGAGGTTGCATATGTATCCAAAGCATAACGAATGTTATGACGTTTTGCCCCCAAAACGGTGCCAAGCCACTAGTCTATGCATATATGTCACTCGACACCCCGATATTGGAGTAGCCTAAATCCATCCAGGCTCTGCCAGGCAATGACATTTGTCTTGCTGCTGTGGCCAAGCTTGCAACCTCAACGTTGCCGAGATACAATCGGCATCAATTCTACGACGCAGCTTGGGAGCCACCACCGCCCATCATGGCTCCATCCTCGACGTCCATGTTCCGCTCAGCGGACATGAGCATGGTGCAGCTGTATATCTCAAATGAAATCGGAAGAGAGGTCGTCAACGCTCTTGGAGAGCTTGGTTTGGTCCAGTTCCGTGATGTACGTCAACCCGACGCCCCTTGTCTGGCCTCTTCATGCCCAGCAGCGACAACAGTGCCACGATCAAACCATTCTTTCTAACTTCATATGTAGCTGAACAGCGATGTCACCGCCTTCCAGCGAACTTTTACACAGGAAATCCGACGCCTCGACAATGTCGAACGCCAGCTCCGTAAGTCCCGCCTGTGCACCACTCCACCATGATGGCTCCTAACTATACAGGCTACTTCCACGGTCAGATGGAAAAGGCCAAAATCCCTCTGAGGAAGCTGGATCTCGATGTCGAAAGCCTCGCTTCTCCTACCACGCACGAGATCGATGAGCTGGCTGAGCGCAGCCAGAGCCTCGAGACACGAGTCGCGTCCCTCAACGAGAGCTACGAAACCCTCAAGAAGCGAGAGGTTGAACTGACCGAGTGGCGATGGGTTTTGAGGGAGGCAGGTGGCTTCTTCGACCGGGCTCACGGCAATGTGGAGGAAATTCGACGATCTACTGAGGATGACGATGCTCCTCTCCTGCAGGACGTTGAGCAGCACGGACAGGCTCCGGATGCCGATCGATCCTTCACCGGCATGAACATCGGCTTCGTTGCCGGTGTCATCCCTCGTGACCGTACTGGTCCATTTGAGCGCATTCTCTGGCGTACCTTGCGCGGTAACCTGTACATGAACCAGTCCGAGATCCCAGAGCCTCTAGTCGACCCCACGACAAACGAGACTGTCAATAAGAACGTCTTTGTCATTTTCGCTCACGGCAAGGAGATTTTGGCCAAGATTCGTAAGATCTCCGAGTCTATGGGCGCAGAGCTCTACAAGGTCGATGAGGACAGCAACGAGCGTCGGGACCAGGTGCACGAGGTCAACGTCAGACTTAATGATCTCCAGAACGTGCTCAGAAACACCCAGAACACGCTGGAGGCTGAGTTGACTCAGATTGCCCAGTCGCTCTCCGCCTGGATGATTCTCGTCACCAAGGAGAAGGCCGCATACCAAACGTTGAATCTTTTCTCCTTCGATCGTCAGCGACGTACTCTCATTGCAGAAGCTTGGTGTCCGACAAACGATCTGCCTCTCATTCGCTCGACTCTACAAGATGTCACCAATAGAGCAGGTCTCTCTGTCCCCTCCATCATCAACGAGATCCGGACCAACAAGACACCTCCCACATACCTCAAGACTAACAAGTTCACCGAGGCCTTCCAAACTATCATCAACGCTTATGGTACCGCTACTTACCAGGAGGTCAACCCTGCCCTTCCTGCTATAGTCACCTTCCCTTTCCTGTTCGCTGTCATGTTTGGTGACTTTGGACATGCTGTCATCATGCTGCTTGCTTCGTTGGCCATGATTTACTGGGAGAAGCCCCTCAAGAAGGTTACCTTTGAACTGTTCGCCATGATCTACTATGGTCGCTACATTGCTCTCGTCATGGCCGTCTTCTCGCTCTACACTGGTCTTATATACAACGACGTCTTCTCTATGTCGTTCACTTTCTTCGACAGTGCATGGAAGTGGGACGTCCCCGAAGGTTGGGAGGAAGGCAATACCCTGACCGGTGTCGTCAAGAGCGACTACCGATATCCTTTCGGTCTGGACTGGAGATGGCACGGAACCGAGAATGACCTTCTCTTCAGCAACAGTTACAAGATGAAGATGAGTATTATCCTCGGATGGGCTCACATGACCTACTCACTTGTGCTTTCTTGGTTCAATGCCCGCCATTTCAAGAAGCCTATCGACATATGGGGTAACTTCCTTCCGGGCATGATCTTTTTCCAGTCGATCTTTGGCTATCTTGTCATCTGTATTATCTACAAGTGGTCGGTTGACTGGCCTGCTAAGGGTGCTTCCCCACCCGGATTGCTCAACATGTTGATCTACATGTTCTTGCGACCAGGAGAGTTAGATGGACAACTCTACCCTGGACAGGCTACTGTTCAGATTATTCTACTTCTCCTTGCTTTCATCCAAGTTCCTATTCTTCTGTTTTTGAAGCCGTTCTATCTTCGCTGGGAGCACAACCGAGCTCGCGCTAAGGGCTATCACGGTATCGGTGAAAACTCGAGAGTGTCTGCCCTCGATGACGATGACGAGGGCAATGGACACATTGGCAATGGTAGAGCCAGCTTCGAGTCCGAAGATGGTGGTGGTGGTGCCGCAATCGCCCAGGTCGACGAGGGTGAAGAAGGACACGGCGAGTTCGAGTTCAGCGAAATCATGATTCACCAAGTCATCCACACTATCGGTATGTTCGCCATAAAGGTCGCAAGGTCTCACCTCTACTAACGTCTTTGTAGAATTCTGCTTGAACTGTATCTCCCATACTGCTTCATATCTTCGACTTTGGGCCCTGTCTCTCGCTCACCAGCAGCTCAGTATTGTCCTTTGGCAGATGACCCTTGAACCCGCGCTCGCCAAGACAGGCGTTGTCGGTGTCATCATGATTGTGGTCGCATTCTACCTTTGGTTCTTCCTTACCTGTGCTATCCTTATTGCCATGGAAGGATGTTCTGCCATGGTGAGTCATTTGTCTTGGACACATTTCGTTATATGGCCACTAACATTGTCAATAGTTGCACTCTCTTCGTCTACAATGGGTCGAAGCGCAATCCAAGTACGCAGAATTTGCTGGTCACATGTTTACGCCCCTTTCTTATGGCACTCTATTAGAAGAGGACGAGGGGTTGGCAGAGTTCAGGGGTTAAACCCTTCGATGTTGTGAACTGATTATGTATAGATACAATTGTAGGTTCGAGGTCGTAGTCATAGCATAGAGAAACAACTGTTATATACGAAACGTTACTTGAAGCTTCACTACTAGTACGGATTCATTCTAAACAATTTGCTTACAGAATGGCAGCCATCAAATAAGCTGACGTGATGACCTAGAAGCAATCATTCGGCCGCTGACGCCGAGAACCAACTAATAAATGGAAACGAAGAGCATCACGCGGTGGGCAGGTAAATCCTTCAGGCAGAGCGTCAGCAATCATAAAGTGCGCACCCCTAGTTATTATCGGACCCCATTCAATGGCATTTTTAACCCCGCAAAAGTCGACTTGCCCGTCTCGAAGATGGCGGTCGCTCCACCCTACGATGGGCCGCTCGATATTAAGTCTAAGACAATCGACGTAGGCACCGGCACTGGAACTGCTTTGGAACGATTGGTAGGAGAAGCGAACCCCGATGATGGCGTGGCGAGGCGCTTGGAGACCGTAGCTTGCTACGCTATTGCTATCTCAGCGGAATCCTACTCAACATTCGTGTTGGGCACCGAAGAATTGCGGCGGGAACTCAGGGCTGTTCCGGACACGGGGAGCGGTACCAGGCGCTTGGTAGTGCTCCATGGTCTCCCGGTCGAGTACACAAGTGTTCTCGGCGACGAGTACGGCGTCGATGCTGGTTGGGTTGCATCCTTGTCGGCAGGAAGAGGAACCCGGCGCCAAAGAGCCGGGAGGTCTCCTACTGTCCCTCTTATTACCAGTTATGAGTTCCCTGAACCCATGAAGGGGGCTCGTGCGGAATCCGAGGGCGTCGGTGGCTGGGAGCAGGTAGGAGGGGGTGGGACGGCCCGGGACTTAGATTTCTCGCGCGGTCGCGTTTCCCGCGCCGCCGTCGAAACCTTGTTCTGCCGGGCTACTCTGTTGGAGGATGTAAACGTGAACAGTAAGTCTGGTTTTAGTGTTTGCATAGAGCGAAGCTAAGTTTTCAATCACAGTGTTGTTCCTGAATCGTTCGATTTCGAGCGATAAGTCATGCTTCCTCGAAAAGTCGAGGCCGGAAGACGCCGAAAGCTTCGAGCGTCGTCTCTGGCAATATCTGGAGGAGAAGCAGGAGCACTCCTTCAACCTTTCAGGAACGTTAGAACTGCTCGCCTACGAACAGTGGGTCGATTTCTTCGAGGCGTTGCGACCAGGTGTGGATAGTAGTTCCGGGGAGTTCACAGCTCTGTTTTGGCAGATCCAGAGCTCCTTGGAGAGAAATCTCATCACCTCACATGACCAAAGGACTACAGGCGATAATCCACTCCAGTTCAGGTGGAAGAGACTTTTAGATCGTAGCGAGCGCTACAGACGACTGGTTGTCGATCTACGAGGGTCGCCAGTGCAGGTCGACAGATTGCAGCAGGAGCCTCCTCGCCAAGTTTTACCGTCCAGAAAATTCGATCTGTTCGACAGGCATAGTATAAGTACCGAAGACAACCAGCGAGGCTTGGACCGTGTGAGTTACCTGGGCGGTGTGCTTCTTCCGATCTCAATCGTCTCAGGCATCCTGTCCATGGGCGAGACGTTTGGGCCGAGAGGCGACATGTTCTATGTCTTCTGGGCCGCCGCCGTGCCCTCCACGATCCTGACTTTACTCGTCATCTATGCCGACTCCATACGTCAGGAGGTCGTCTGGGTTGAGACCACGGTGGCAGGAGCGAGCAGCGAGCATGAAGTTTTTGGCCGCCGCCCCATCTACGCGAGAAAGCACAAGAGACTGCATAGGAGCTCGACACCGAATATAGAGCAGGGTGTTCCCTATAGCTACTCGGAGCCTGTTACAGTGCCAATTTCCGAGCGGTTCAATAATCCCGTGCCGGATCACGACGTGCAGTCTGTCGCGTCTGAGCCGACCGCGGTGCTGCAGCAGAGGTTCGGAGGTGACAAGAAGCCAAAAGCGTGGAAGCGGAGGGAGTTGGGTTGGACGGGAGCTGCAATGTGTATATTGCAGTTGTCCAGAGTCAAAAAGACACAGAAATTGCCTTCAGGCATGCGCAGATAAGTCAGGTAGAACTGTACGAGATTTCACAATATTCACAAAGCGTTACATCGCGCTTCTTGCCTAAGTAGCTGAGTATCACAGACTGGGTTAAATTAAAAATCTCTGAATATCGTAGTCATCAATTCGGTTCTTGTCAAGGGCTCGTTGACTAGACTACTCCCAAAGCGTCCCATATCACTCAGTTCTCACTACTCCAATAGAAAGACCTACCGCTTTTTAGCAACCACTTCATTTCACACATTTACGGCTTCCCTTTTCAAAGGTCAAATTGTGACTGGCCCAGCAACTCAGCCTTGCGTCTCTCGAGCATGGAATAGTACTGCTGCATCTCCATAGGCTTCTGCGCGTATGGCTCGGCTGTGTAAGTGCCCTGCCCATGGCCATTGAAGTGAACCTTCCAGGCTGCGGAGCATTAGCGATGGGATTACTCCAGTATATTTTTGGGGGAGATGAGCATACTGCTAGCATCAAAAGCAAGATATGACCAACTATCATTTAGGTATGCTGTGTCTGCTCCGACTCAGATTGTCTTCTGGCCAGGTGCTGGGCGGAGTTGCTTGACATCAGCCGCAAGTTTCACCAGCCCGGCGACGAAGGCGAGGGCTATTTCTCTGCCGAAACACTCGTGCATGCCGTAGCCGAACGCCGGAACATATTCTGTGTTACGGTAAGGGTCGAACTTGTTCAGCGTTTTGGACCTCCTCTGGATTTTGTCCTGCCTCTTCCCGGGAAGCGATCAGTACCTCGGATACTCACAGCGCAACGTGAGACTGTAAGGAGTCCAGTAGCGGTGTCCACTCTGTTTTGGGAACTTACCAACAAGATAATGGCGTACCTGGCTCGACCTTCTGGCCTTCATGCTCAGTTGCTTGCGCCGCAATACGCATGGCATGCTGAGTAGTCGTGAGACGCTACCCTTCTGCAACATATACATGGAGAGTTGCATCTTCACTCTTTTGGGCGATAGTCTGGACCAGATGGATATATTCTCGGGATTCAAGAAGAATGCCAGGACTTCGTAGAACTGCGGAAGTATCAGTATAATTTTATTTTGATAGGCCATTAACTCGTTAAACTGGGATATATCTGTTTCTGCGTCCAAAAGCTTGCTTCTAAATTGGAATGATCTGTTTTCAGTGGAAGTTTCCGTCGAGCTCCCTGAAAATCATTGTTGTTTTACACAAGAACTATGGGAGAAACGAGCACAAAATCCCAAGCCCATGCCCGGGACTAGAGCTTGATACGGCGGTCTTAGATAAATTTAGATGGTCGTACTTACCGCTGTTACTGGCACGCCAACGCCGCCGAATACTGTTAACCATAGAGTGTCGACTACGCGGTACACTGGATTGCCCTGGTTCAACAGTTCCCCAACGAGCAACAGACCGACAGCACGTGGTGAGCCTTTCTTGATATAGGCCTTTCGTGTCACTGTATTGCTAAGAGCCAGAATAACGCCCAATCCAAGTCCACGGCCAAGCTTCACTTCGGTGACCAGCTTGCTGGTCGGTTCAACGATGGCTTTGACACCTTCCGCCGCGCGGCAGCGACGATTGAAGACCTGGCCGGGGTCGTTGTTGTTTGATCACCAGATCCTGGTGTTGAGAAGATGCTTGTACAGCTCAGCTGTACCAAGAGTGCCTTCGGGGTTCTCGTCGGTGCGCAAGCCAAGGTAGAAGAGATCGGTGAGCATCTGGGCGTTCAGAGGGATGGCGATATCCCGAATAATGTACAACTGATGACGCTCCTCCTTGAGCTTGAAGAATTCCTTCTCAATCAACTGTTTACCAACACACTCAATGCAGTCGTGAATGGCCTCGTGCAAGTTCGTGGCCTTGCTCAACGCTTTTGTGATGCTGACGCGGTTTTCGTGGTTCTTCGCATCGGTACCGGAAAGCATGTACCAGTTGTAGTCTTTCTTTCCAGGAAAGATGGAGTTCATAGCAGGGAGCCACGGCACAGGAAACTGCTTCGTGTTTTCCGATACCTGCTTGATCGCAGCGGATGATTTGAGAACGACCAACTTTCGAGGCGGCGTTGGATCATCCGTAGTGAACTGGTCAAAGGTGCCAAGCTCTTTGGCGGTCTTCTCGTTTGCCTGCTTTGTGTACATGGGCTGCATCACCGTGATGGAGTTGAATGGGAACCACCCTGGGAGGCCTCGCTGGATGAGCTTGTATAGCATCGACCCAACCATTGTCATGTAGTCTTGCTGTATTTCATTGTATCCCCAGCTCGTCAGGTTGTAGATAGTGAAGTCTATGGTGTTGAACCTATCAGACCGGATAATAATGACAGCGTCAGATAGGACTGCTCTGCCTACTGTGTAGGTTGGGCAGATACTACTACCGGCATTCAGAGCCGGCTTTATGTCTTCAATCATGAGACCGGGTTACAGCTCGACGCTCAATGCCATCGAACGTACGCACGCTTGGGTCTTTGGGAATACTGTGCTCTAATCTGAGTAGGGCCTGACCTGGTTCAGCCATACCAACATTCTAAAAAACATATGGATTTCTGCCTGGAAAGAGCTTGCTGAAGAATCGAGTGATCTAGGCGCCGTCCTTTTTGGAGATGCACGAGTGGAAGCGGTACAGCAAATTAAATTCGACACTGACCTGGTTGCCGACACCATGCGGGACACCCTCACCGTAAAGAGATGCAAGATCAAGGTAAGACGAAGCACCAGACTTTTTCATTTCTGTTCTGTTCGTCCGGAAGATGTCATGGATAATAATGGCGGCGTGATAGAACAGCATAGAGGAAATACCAGCTGGTTTTTCCTTGAACTTTTCATCGTCAGGAGCCATCAAAAGGTCAAACAGAAGGCCTGCGTCGGGCTTTACACCGTTTAGACGCTTCGTATTCTGCACAGACTTCGCATACTAAGATACACAGACTTAGCAATGGCCTTTTAGTTGCAGATTATATACTTGAAAGAATATTCAATCATCGGAATATTCCAAGGGCAAAAGTTGCCATGCCAAGTAAAATGTAATCCATAACCATTTGAAGAGGGACAAGAGAATGGTGTTGGAAAATACTTCCGGGGGTGCTGGCATGCCCCAGGTTTGGCTGGATGATATTATTGACGCTGCCGTCAGGCATTCGTTATTCATGCATGACATCAAGAGCTTGAGGGACTTGTTCACTAAGAACAATATCGCTATCTGGAGCCTTGAATTTAATAGTATCGTACGTTTTGCTCTTGTCGGCTGCGGCTTGTTCTTTGGAGTTGACGACATCATACTTCACGTCGCCACCAACGTAAGTCAGTGGTAGATGCTGTAGATTCTCCCAAAGCTCCAACCTCAGGCTTCATCTTGACGTCCGTTATCATTAACTATATTTCACAGACCACGCCGACTTTCATAACCCCGAGTGCAAAAGCTTCTCGCTCATGCCTTCAATCCCGCAACGAGAGTTGAGCAATTGATACATGTGACGACAGTCAGCTCGCACACTAGATTTAGCTCGTCTTACCTCACTGCTTATTTATGACCACGCATCGTGACTGGGTGACAGATCATGTTGGTACTGCCGCGCTGCTGCCCCAAATTTATACATTACACAGCACTGTCTCGGATCAAGAACGAGCCGGCTGGATATATTCGGCTACATCCCGAGTTACTCGAGATTCTTAATTCAAAAGTAGGAAGGAAATTAGTTTTGGAAGCTACGAGAAGCCAAGTAAACTCCCAGTGAGGGCTTTGCTTTCTGAAATCTTAAACGCCTGCAACTAGTATCGGTCCTTGAATACCATGGGTCAAGCCAAAGCCAAGCTTGCCGACATGGACCGTGGCTGTCGCCGGTGTTTCTCCGGAGAGCCTGACGTATCATTGAAAGCATATGAGGAACACACGACTTGTAAGAGCTAACATGTATGCCTTCCTGTAGAGTGGCAGACTCAAGAATTGCGCCTTATGCGAACCAGTTGTGTAACAGGCAGCATTTCGCCTTATCGTGTCCCATTCTTCTTCATCTTTCATGATATACTGAAGGTTATGTATCAGATCTACATCTGAGGATTTATGTACCGCAGCTAATGTGTCAACAATTGGAGCCTGGCCCGCTTCCGCATTTACCAGTGAAGGCTGAACAATTTGACTGCAATAATTCACCGCAGCGGCTGCTTGCATGGCGGCGTGGCCAAAATATGCACTGTGATGTTTCGCTTGTATCGCTACTGGGCTGGCAGAATTTCACAAGTGATATCTTGTTGAGAAAATTATTTACCGGTAAGATAGCAGGTAACTTGCTGAGCGACAAACTACGTGTCTCAACATCGGTCCGAAGTTGTGTCACCTAACTTTCATACTTCTGATAGGTACAGCGTGCTGGTTATGGTCGAACATAAGGCAAGAGTAAGATAAAAGGAATTCCAGCTTCAAACAGGCCTGCCCGACCATCTAGAGCTTTGCCTTCCATATGTTGAGCTTCCAATATTTTCAACAAGTCAGATCAGGTTTACGAAATGGGTGATCCTGCGCCAGAACGGGAACCCAAGAAGCTGATTCTATGTTTCGACGGGACCGGAAACACTTTCAGTGGATCTAACGCCGACACCAACGTGGTTAAGATCCTGAATAGGCTTGACCGTAATGATCCTCGCCAATACCACTATTACCAAAGTAAATATCCTCTCCTCATGAGCCTTGGTCTGACTAATGTTTTGTGTAGCTGGTGTTGATACATATGATATTAATGAAAAGTCTGTCAATAAGACTTGGTTGGGCTCGATACAGGTATGTATCAAAATGAACAGCATCCTTAACTTTTTTCCTTTTTTTCCTTTTTGAGTGGATATAAGTTGATGAGCGTGTGCATGAAACCTCTGAAAAATTAAGATTGATGATCTCGAGCAAGACCGAGCACTGAAGAAGTTTACTATCTGCCTTGAAAATATTGGCTAACTGGAATACTTTTGATAACTCAACAGAGTTCAATCTCCCAAACCATCGATCAAGGGATTGGAACGACCTTTGACGCACACGTTATGGCGGGCTATCGCTTCTTGATGCGCTATCATGATTCCGTAAGTCTATCTTCTCAAAGCTTGGTCCAGAAGAGTGAGTCCTCATAGTGACTTATGCAAGGGTGACAAGATTTATATGTTCGGCTTCAGCCGCGGCGCCTTTACAGCCAAGCTCTTGACTCGTATGATCAACGCAGTTGGCCTACTGTGCAAGGGCAATGAAGAGATGGTTCCGTTTGCCTATCGCCTTTACCAGAAGTACCTAGCCAGCGGCAAGAAAGATTACAAATACTCTCACCCACGGCACAGCGCAACTTTTCAAGGCGAGCATATTTCAAGGGAGACTGAACAACTCCCAGGTGACAAAGAATGTGATCGTCACAGCGAGGAATATTACGCAGCCTTCAATGAAATAAAGGCATTTAAGGCCCACTTCTGTCGACAGGACATGCGATCGCTCCCAAACGGGGTAGTCCAACAAACTGAGATCACTGTATACTTCCTAGGGATCTGGGATTGCGTAAATTCAGTTGCAATTCTCGAGCAGACAGGATTTCTTCCAGTACCAGTGACGGGAACTGCCAGATACGTTAGACACGCCGTCGCCGTTGATGAACGCCGAGTCAAGTTCAAGGCCGCGCTACTCGCTCAGGATATTACTACCATCGAAAATAATGGCGAGGACATCAAGGAAGTCTGGTTTCCAGGTACATATGGTGATGTCGGCGGAGGCTGGCCAGCAGTACCTGAAAATGCTTTTGATACCCATCAGCCCATGTCAGTATGGCAACGTATCAAGCACTTCTGGATGACTCGACATTCTGAAGGAGCTACCAAGAATGTGCGCGAGGATCTGTTCCAAATGAGTGACATACCGCTTGCCTGGATGATACGGGAGCTCGAGCTAATTGGCAAGCGCGACGGACTCGCTGGGGTCAAATGGTCCAAGAATGTCGAGGGCTTCAAGAACAACTTCAGAGAGCGTGGCGGACTTGAAGCACTCAAGGGAAATATGCATGACTCTTTGTCATTTGGATGTGGCACTGGGTTTTTCAAGGTTCTTCTATAGAAGATTATGGGTATGCACTGCTGTCTTTCAACCCTGACCAAAGCTGATGAAGCCTTAGAATATCTCCCTATCATCAGACGTTGGGAACTTGAAAAGGGCGCCTGGGTAAATGTGCGGCTTCCCCTGAACGGAGGTGCAACTCGAGATATCCCTCCCAATGCCATGCTACACGAGTCGCTTCTATGGCGACTGCGGAACAATATCTCATATTGTCCTAGTAGCAATCATGGCGACCGGGACCCACCATGTCTGAAGCACAAGAATACGGTTGCGGATTTTGAACTCGTTCAGGTGGACGACGAAATCAATGCCAGAGATCTAGATGACCAAACCCAGGCCTCTTACCACAGAACGTACAAATTCAAGACAGCTTAGAAATGATGGTAGGCAGTCCACGGCTGATTCATCGCTTAATGTTAACAGAATGGTGAGGAGTGCTTTATTCAGATCGATCAACGTGGAAAGTCTGGGCGCAGAAAATTGCACAAAAGCAGGGCTGCTGAAGATTTTGATCAACGCAGGGGTTTCGATAGGTAATTTTGCAGTTTAGCTGAAATTCACACAGCACTCAATCGTTACTCACCTTATTTCTGTTAGCTTTGACGGCCTACATGCACCAGAATACTCACGGGGGAAGTGACGCGTTTCACTTCTCGCTCAGTGGTATTCTACTACTCCACTGATCCTGTTCCGTCCGCGACAACTATCTTGTTGAGTACTTGGATATAAGGGACTTATAAGTAGAAACTTAGATGAAGCAATGTAACTGGGTCGACGGGTTGTACTATGGTATAGAGGGTTGAAGAGGGCAACGGGGTAGGTACTAGGTCGATTGCATGGGTGTTTTTTTCGCGATTTTAAGCTCCGAGCCACTTGTACCTTCTCTTCGAAAGAACTTGCCCCACTGCCCTTGTCAAGGCCTGATAACTTAGTAGGATACGGTCTGTCCCCGATCATGATGTATCTTGCATTGAGTAGAATGGAACAAGCTTCATATTTGGGGAGTGCTGAGAATCTGTGGTTGCGGTCTGACGCTAACTTGTGCCCGGCAATGCCACCATAACCCAATCGTTACAGATAATTAGGTGGGAAACTGAGGCACAGATAGTTGTTTATACAAGACAAATTGGTTAGTGTCGTCTTTGACGGCCTGTCCTCTCGTTGATATGCTTTGATTATGTTGTAAGTGAAGGATCGCTATAGATAAATTAGCGTGGCCCACCTGCACATGCGCCGACATGCCGGCTCAGGGATACCCCACAGCTTCGTACTGTGTACTACAGCATGTACTAGGGTAAGCCAGTCTAGAGGTAAGCAAGGTACATAAGTTAACGTTAGTAGGGGCCACCTGCAGGTCCCACATGGGTCAACATTCATGTGTCGACAAAGTCCGAGGCTCCCTTCCTCTCTTCTACCACTACTATCGACTCTATACGCGGGCACATCAGAGCCCCAATGTTTCTGAACAGCCCTTGTTTGCATAGAAGCGTTGAGACATATAGAGGATGGAGAGTTCGCCAAATGCACCCCTGATTTCTCATCAAGAAGGCTGCGATGATGGCTGCGAGCCTGAGGGCGCTCCGGCATCCGGAGATCACGTCAAAAGTGCTGGCATAGGCGCATTCATGTGGCTTTTGGTGTTGTCCGCCGGCATTAGCGGACTGCTGTTTGGCTGTGAGTTCCCGTGTTTGAATGTTTGTTGACCTCGTTGCTGATGCCAATTCAAGACGATACCGGCGTCATCTCTGCGACCCTGGTATCCATAGATGCTTCGCTCGGCAAAGAGCTTACCTCGTTCGACAAATCCATCATAACCGCCTCCACTGCGCTCTTCGCTCTCATCGCGTCCCCCCTTGCCTCGATTCTGGCCGATGTCTTTGGGCGTAAGCAGGTAATTCTCTTGGCGGATATACTCTTCATACTGGGTGCCATTGCACAAGCGGGGAGCTACAGTGTATCCTCCATGGTCCTGGGAAGATCTATTGTCGGAGCCGCCGTGGGAGCGGCTAGCTTTGTCACACCAATGTACATTGCTGAGTTAGCTCCTGCCGAACATCGAGGTCGCCTTGTCACAATGAACAACATGGCTATAACATTCGGTCAGGTAGTCGCTTATGTCACAGGATGGATGTTGACTGAACTTGGTGACCCTTCTACCGGCTGGAGATGGTTGGTAGGACTGGGCGCCGTCCCAGCTGGGGTGCAGTGCTTTCTCCTATTATTCATGCCCGAAACGCCTAGATGGTTGGTCAAGGCCGGTAAATCATCAACTGCACTGAAGGTCATACAGAAGACTCTTGCCTCCGATTCGTTAAGAAGTAGTCAAGTAAAGGCCATTTTGGCAGATATTCAGACTGAAGTCAGGGACGAAGAGCAAGGAAGATTACTCCTTGGAGGCGGCAAGGAGAACCAGAGCTGGCTTCTTGGACTGCGCGGACTCATCAGCGTACAGAAACATCGACGCGCGCTTACAATTGCATGCCTTCTACAATGTCTGCAGCAACTTTGCGGTTTCGTGGGTTCTCAATCGACCCTCAACTTTGAATATTATTAACAGATATAGAACTCACTGATGTATTTCTCGGCAACTATCTTCAAGCTTCTCGGTTTCACCGAGCCGACTCTTGCCTCGCTCACTGTGGCTACGACCAACTTCGTCTTCACTGTGGCGGCACTGCTTCTTATTGACCGTATAGGCCGGCGGCGCATACTGTTATACTCCATCCCTTTCATGGTCGCTGGTCTTGTTATATCTGGCTATGGCTTCAGGTTTGTCAACCTGTCCGAAGCTCCCAAATCCGGATCGTCATCCTCCCAAGACACGGGTGCGGCTATCATTCTAACTAGCATGACGTTGTATGTTGCGTCGTATGCAATTGGCTTGGGAGTGGTGCCCTGGATGCAGAGTGAGTTATTCCCACTCAGTGTGCGCTCTACGGGCAGTGGTATTGCCACTGCCACAAATTGGTCTGCAAACTTCGTCATTGGGTTGACCTTCTTGCCCTTGATGGACGCTCTTACACCAACCTGGACCTTTGTCCTTTATGCCGCAATATGTGCTATTGGCTGGGTTGCAGTATGGCTGATATACCCGGAGACTGCCGGCCTATCTCTTGAACAAACTGCTACGCTGCTCGAACATGGGTTGGGGCGTAAAACGATGACTAAATAGTGCATGACTATCTACCAGTATATATCTCAATATGCGAGTTATTTTCTCAACGCCCTTGAATAGCCAGTCGTTTCTACAACTGGTGAGCTAGCTGAAAACTGTGTTTAAATCGAGAAACATGTTTCACGCCGGACCTCATTGCTGCGTGATAACAGCACACGATGGACACTGTCCTATACCTCCTTAAACTATCCACACGTCTAACTTTCTTCTATGCCAATGCATACAGTTGTTAAAGCACCATGTACTAGTTCTGTTCCCCAAGGTGTTCACCTAGCCTAGGGAGGATTTTATGGCAAAACCAATTGGGATCCTCATTGCCGATTTTAGTGGCAGTCGTTGTACCCCGGTAGCTGCGAGCCGCTGACTAACAGATCCCTACGGAGCAATCGCTGACGCCTAGAAGCTAAACATGGAGCAAGGTTTATCTCCCCTTAACAAATCTGATTCGCGACGTGACTGCTTTCATCCCCCGGGGGATCATATGCTGTAGTACACAGTAAATCTGCTTGGTATATGATCGGTGGGAAACTTGGTCTACTACGAATGTTCCTTGTAGAAAGAACGAAGAAGCGTCTAGTCTAGTCTAGATTATTCATGCATGACAATCGCGCCCTTTTGTTCTTTGGCTTGCACCTGAATTTTCTATCAATTTCCAACACCCCACTGGTTTATACCCAAGACTGGGGCATTAAGACCGAAGACAACCGCTCCGGGTGGTGCATGGATCGGTATTCGCCCTCCGTCGCCTTTTACATCATGGCTGCTTCATTACTCAGCCACTAGAGTTCTCCACCGGCCAGGTTCGCCAAGTTTGAGACTGGGGTGGCAGCGGTGGTATACGGAGTACTACTGTGCAGACAGACCAGAAAATTTTCTGGGAAGGAAAAAAAAAAAGTTTAAGAAACGCCGCCTGGAACGCGGTAAGTCCGCAAGTATTGGCTGACATGCCGTTGCGAAACGACCCCGCCACAATATGTCAACTGGACAGCCAAGGCGGGAATGCCGTCATCTTTTACAATGCGTCCTCGGCTCATTACTCGAGTTCCTTGTCCTTTCTGCAGCGCAAGATATGTGATGGCTTGAAAATTCTGATCGTATTACACACGTACACATCGACTGTTGCTTCAGTGCTGGATAGAAGCGGCCCGCTCTTCACAACACAAGTCCTGACTCCTTATAATTACCAATACCCCTGGAGCGGAATCCACACTTCGTGTTGCCGCGATCATCAAGCTCCATCTAGTGATGGATCCATGACTCCAAATCCGTGAAGCACTTATTAAAGCTAGTTCCCCCTAGTAACAAGAGTAAGATAGACATACAGCTAAGAATAAGAGACTCCCACTCTTGACCGGAAAGCTCCTGCTCGGTCTTATTTTATTGCTATTGTAATTCGGGACTTGTTACATTTCCCATCAGGATTTGGATTGACTTACACCTCGCCTGTTGTCAACAGTCCACCTCGCCAGCCTCGAGCTCACGACGCGCTTGTGACGTAAATCTCACGATACTTTTTCAAGAACCTCTCATACCTACGAGAAAGGCGCCGAGTCGCGCATACGGGCACGATGGCGACCATGAATGAGGCCGACCGAGAGCTCATACGGGCTGAGGAAGATGCGCAACGATATAGCAACCACAGGAATCAGCCTGTTCGCCGGCCAAGCAATGAAGTTGAGCGGGTCGTCACCAATTCTTCTGTCTCGACTTCCTCGAGCGAAGGTGGCGGTGTTTCCAGGCAGCGAACAGTTGGCATGAGCCGAGTATCAACGCAACGCGATTTAGAGAGGCATCCCACAGAGCTGAGCCGGATACACACAGCACGAAGTCAGCACAGCGAAACGATCGGACGAAGTCTTCGCAGCCGCCATTCCACAAAGCCATTGCCAAGCTTCGGTGCCGGCAAACCATTCCCGCCGCCCCTGCCAGAGCAAGAGGATTATGTTGTTGAGTTTGAAGGGCCGGACGACCCATACCATGCGCAGAATTGGCCCACGAAGAAAAAGTAGGTGCAGCTCTTCCCGTGCGACAGTGGCCTCTTTACTAACACGCCGATTAGGCTACTCACAGCTGCAATGCTTGGCTATACAACAATGACATCCGCATTCACTTCGAGTATCTTCTCCGCTGCCACCTCACATGTCGCACTCGAATTCGGCGTCAGCACGGAAGTAGGTATTTTGGGAGTATCACTATACGTTCTGGGTTTCGCCTTTGGTCCTACTTTCTGGGCTCCACTGTCAGAGTTAAAGGGAAGACGACTACCGATTTGCATATCTATGTTTGGTTTCTCCGTCTTCACAATCGCCTGTGCGACTGCAAAGGATCTTCAGACCCTCCTGATTTGTCGGTTTTTTGCCGGTTTCTGTGGCGCGTGTCCCTTGGCCGTCGTTGCGGCCGTCTTCTCTGATATGTTCGACAACGCGACCCGAGGTGCCGCCATCACCATATTCTCCATGGCCGTATTCACTGGCCCTCTACTTGCGCCTTTCGTCGGCGGCTACATCACCATGAGCTATCTAGGTTGGCGCTGGACTATGTACATCACTGCAATTATGGGGTGGGTCGCATTTGCCCTTGATTTCATATTTCTGGAAGAGACCTACCCTCCCGTCATTCTCATCGAGAAGGCGGCAGAACTGCGACGTCGGACTAAGAACTGGGGTATTCATGCCAAACAGGAGGAAATCGAGATTGATTTTAAGGAACTCATCCAAAAGAACTTCTCTCGACCAATGCGCCTTCTATTTTTGGAGCCTATCGTCACACTCCTTTCCATCTACATGGCTTTCATCTACGGCTTGCTGTATCTTTTCCTGACAGCTTATCCTTTCGTTTTCCAAAGAGTCCACGGCTTCAATTCTGGCGAGTCTGGTCTTGCTTTCTTCGGAATGATTATCGGTCAGCTTATTGCTGGTACGGTCGTCCTGGTTGATCAGCCGAGATATCAGAGGAAGCTTGCTGCTAATAACGGCGTTCCTGTTCCGGAATGGCGTTTACCTGTTATTATCGCTGGTGGCGTTTCCTTCACTGCCGGTATTTTCTGGTTTGGTTGGAGTGGTTATAGAGCCGATGTGCATTGGATCGTTCCTGCTGCTTCGGGTATTCTGAGTGGATTCGGACTCATGGCCATTTTCCTTCAGGCTCTCAATTATTTGGTCGACGCCTATCTCATGTTTGCTGCGTCGGCGATTGCTGGCAATACTTTCCTCCGATCGCTTTGTGGCGCTGGGTTCCCGCTTTTTGCATCCTATATGTTCAACGGTATGGGTATTCAGTGGGCTTCGACACTCCTCGGATGTGTGGCGGCAGCACTTGTTCCTATTCCAGTCATTTTCTACCTTTACGGACACAAAATCAGGGCAAAGAGCCATTTCGCTCCAACACACGCTGGCAACACTCCCAATACAGCGGACGTCGCAGCTAATGATGGCAGCGAAACTGCCTCGGATAGCGCGAATGCAATGGAGGAAAAGACAGATGCTCCAGATCATGCTGCTTTGTCAAATGTCCCCAAGGCAGAGCAAGAGAAGTCTCGAGGCCAGGCTTAGGAACATTTCGCCGAATTTTTTTCTCGAACGAGGGTTGAACCTTGCAGGAGGAGGTCCTCATTATATTGACGGACTTCGCATGGGTGGAAGTTGTCGGCACCTAAGGGGGCTCTGTGGTCAGTATAGGATCGAGTTATTAGTCGTCCATGGGTTTACGATATTGTCTACAGTATACTATACCCCTATAAGTACTTTACATAATCTTAAGCTAATTATCCATGACCAAACGTCGTCACCCTCCATACTTGAGCCCACCCAAACATGAAATTCTACATGTACAACACAAATAACACATCCGATATGGTGTAGTGGCTAACATATGACGCTCTCATTCCTGATCCGTCATGCCCGGGGTTCGATTCCCCGTGTCGGAGGTTATACTTCTTCCCCGTGTCCATGTGTACCGTGATATTTTTTATATTCTTGCACGTTCAGCGTGCCTCTTACAGTATTTTCTGAGCTCTTGAAAATTTTTCATTTTTTTTTCTCTTTGGAGGAATTAATTGGACAAGTGCAAGATAATGGTTGGTGATCGATGCTCGTAAAGTATAGGCCAGAACCCCAGGCGTTGTTTTTCTTCGTTCTGGTACGCCTGGCCGGCATGAAGTGGAGCAATATTGTTGTCGAAGTGGTATGCAGAACGCTATTGCCAAAAGAACCCTTAGATTGGAACACATTTCGTCTGACATCAATTCACCATACATCCAACTAGGTGCACGCAGAATACGCCTTATGAATCGTTAGTGTAAGAATTCTGACAGCCATATATGGAACGGCTAGCTCACTGAGAGGAACCCAGATGGTGACAACGGTTGGGACATCTTGGCCACAAAGTCAGATAGCGTTTGCGTAAAATAATTTATTTTTATTTTTACAAAGGGTCATGCAGACGTGGAAATCAGCGTTGGGTGTCGAAGTCGCTGTCTAAAAGACGAACAACCTTCATGAACACCTGGAGCAGACAGAACGACTCGATGTTAAGGCCCAATTCGAAAAGGGCTCGCGGGTTGTCATATACACACAGCTCTTCACCGACAGGGCCTCAAAAAAGACATAGATAATCGGGCACATTCAGGATGGATGGAGGAACGACGACGGCTTCTGCCCAGCATGCGGCCGGCAGCCATGAAGATATCGCGCGCTATACGAGGGCCTATAGGTCGCTATGAGCATTGTTTCAGCTCAAAACACCTATCGGTTCAAGAGCGTGTGTGTAGCACCATCACCTCATTCGACCATCATAGCTGAAAATTTACACAAGCAGCGTTTTGGGCAAAGTGCAAGCCTCCGTAATTTCATTTGGACGTCATGGTTGGAGATGTTTCCGTCGAACCGCAGCACGGGCAAAAGGTGATTTGCTGCATCCTGAATCGGGCGAGTGTCGATGGTTTTATGCTGAGGCACAAAACCATATTGCAATGCACGTCCATTCCGTTGCATTCATCTTGCTACAGAATTGTAGACCATTGCCTCTCTCGACGATTCCAGACTGCTCACTTGTCTTTAATGATGCACACATTGAGCAACATCATAATGGTGGAGTTTCCTGGTAGCTAAGGAATCTTTTCATTTCGTGTAGACGCTAATTTTATCAATCAATACGTGATTACAAACCATTCGTGGATGGCACAGTTTGCTTGAGAGGAGGCAAGTGGCTCCTTGCGCCCAGACGAGCCATTTGTGCCAGCAAAGTGTCCATGATAACCAACGCCGACATGGCTTCGACAATCGGAATTGCGCGAGGCACCACGCATGGGTCGTGCCTGCCCTTGGCTGCCAAAATACCATCCTCTTCACCTGCGTAAGTTGCTGTGTTTTGGGACTGCCCAATTGTGGCGGCTGGCTTGAAAGCAACACGGAAGTAGATGGGAGCACCATTTGTGATACCGCCCTGAACACCTCCAGAGTTATTCGTCTTTGTAGCAAGCTTGGACCTAGGCAGGCCAGGTGTTCCAGCAGGAACCTCGGGTGCCTTGATGAAGGGGTCGTTGTGGACCGAACCAAGAATCTCTGCACCGCCAAATCCAGATCCGAATTCGAAGCCCTTTGTTGCGGGTATGCTGAGCATAGCGTGTGCCAGGGCTGCCTCGAGCTTGTCGAAACACGGTTCGCCCAAGCCGCTAGGGACGTTCTTGATCACACATGTGACTGTTCCACCGATACTGTCCTCCTTATCCCTTACGTCGGCAATGAAGTCCTCCATTCTTTGTGTTGCCTTCTCATCGGGGCATCGTACGGGCAAGAACTTGTCGACGGTTTCCCGATCAATGGTGTCCAACAGCTTCAGGAAGTCGGGATTTTGGCTGGGGGTAGGCGCCTCGGGCGTGGGTGGGAACATGTGCACAGGGCCAACGGACGTAGTGAAGGCGGTGATCTCGATGCCGTGTGCGACCTTGAGGTACTTCTCGGCCACGGCACCAGCGGCAACACGGCCGATTGTCTCTCTGGCGGAGCTCCTGCCACCACCACTGCTCGCCTTGACGCCGTATTTCTCGAGGTAGGTCCAGTCGGCGTGACTGGGTCTCGGGTACATGTCCATTGTGCTGTTGCCATAGTCCTTGGGCCGCTGGTCCTCGTTCAGGACTCTAAGGCCGATGGGAGTGCCCAATGTGACGCCGAACTCGGTGCCGGATTGGATCTCGACGCGGTCCTTTTCGTTCCTCGGCGTGGTGATGGCGGATTGTCCCGGTCGTCTTCTGGTCATCTGGGGTTGGATGTCGGCCTCGGTGAGCTCCATTCCCGGGGGGCAGCCATCGATAATGCAGCCGACAGAGCGGCAGTGGGATTCGCCATAGCTAGATGCATCTACTTAGTCACGGCGAATTACAGGAAAGGCACGGAGGGTAGAATCATACGTGGTGACCTTGAAGTAATTGCCGAAAGTAGACATGTTGTTTTTGTTTGTTTTCTTATAGTCCAAGAGGTGCAGTTGAGGGGTTGCGGTAGTGGTCGTGGTGGTAGGCAGGTTGCCTTTATTTTATTCTTTTTTTGCCCCAACGTCTCTGACTCAATTCGAGGCTTTCCAGCTGTCCCCTTAATTTTTTTGCATTGGCAGGGTTACCGTAAGCAATGTGCGACCCCATGATTGGCTGGATTCACTAAAAACAGCCCATTTAATCAACTTAGTGACCGCATCGTAAGAGAACTCAGGGCCGCTTTATTTGTTATTTACATTTCGCGATACGGTATGTGTCGCGGCTATTGGTTTCTATGATTGTCCTGCGCGACATCATCAGGAACGGACGACATTCCCAGTGCGCCCATCCGAGGGCCAACGCAAAGTCCCGGGTCCGTACCTTTATTGATCGTTGACAAATGTTGGCCTCTGCTCCGTTTGTCGGAGGAGAGCTTACCCTTTCGCGATGGAGGGGCAGAAGTTTGGAGGGGTTGCAATGCTCAAGATCGAGACTCATCATGACGCATGGACCATGGAATGCCCCTGGCATCACCCTTGCACCTCGACCTCGGATTCCACATTGGCTGGCCGGACTTGGACTTACTATTGCTGACCCACTGATTAGGAGAATGGATGCAAGGCTGCAAAAACTTCCCCGTCGTTTCTCAGCCTCGTAACCTATGGTACACACACTGAGGACGGGCTTGAGGCGACGCTCAATTGACCTATGGCTTCATTGAATCGACTGTTCGCAAGAAGTCGGACCCAAATGCCAAGGTTCTCGCACAGTCGCTGTTTTTCAGACGCGGTTTCTCATCCTTCCAATAAAGTTCAGGTGTACATATCACGCAGTCGAGACCCCTGGCTAAATCTTTCGATTGAGCACTTCCTGTTGCAAAAGTCACCTCCTGAGTCTACCTTGTTATTCCTGTACACCAATAAGCCTTGCGTAGTCATCGGAAGGAATCAGAATCCTTGGCTTGAGGTCAACCTCGGCTTAGTAAATCGGCCGTCATCATTCAAGGAACTGGATTTACTGGAACACCGAAACGAGCAAACACCTGCCAAGGACGATGTTTTGCTCGTGAGGCGGCGTTCGGGTGGCGGCACAGTCTTTCACGACGAGGGAAATGTCAATTACAGTGTAATCTGCCCACCTGCAGCTTTCGACCGCGACAAGCACGCCGAAATGGTCGTGCGAGCTCTCCGGAGCTTGGGCGTGTCAACGACTCGTGTCAACGAACGACATGACATCGTTCTGGACGTTCCTGGTGAAGCTGGCCCGGAAACATATAAGATATCGGGATCTGCGTATAAGCTGACGAGATTGCGTTCATTGCATCATGGTACATGTCTGCTTTCCTCGCCGAATTTGCCTGGCATTGGACGCTACCTCCGTTCACCAGCAGCGCCATATATTGCTGCACGTGGTGTGGAAAGCGTCCGCTCACAGATAAAAAATGTCGGCCTTGACACCCGCGCTTTCGAGGAAGCTGTTGTTGCCGAATTTGGCGCCATGTATGGTGACATTGATGCTGAGTTCATTGATCAGAACGATGCGATCAAGAATGAGATCATTAGAAAGGGCTACAAGGAGATAATTGTGAGTATATATCATTTGATTACTTCACACTACACAGGAACTCATTATGTGCAGGACGATGAATGGACGTACCAACAAACACCTCAGTTCACATTTTCGACTTATCCAAACCCCAAAGACGAGCGTCCAAAACCGGAATTGCCAGGTCATCTTCATAAACAGGTAAGCTGCGTGACGAGTCCTCGAAAAATGTTAGTGCTGACAATATTACTAGTTCAAAGTTCTCATTGAAGCACGGCATGGCGAGGTTCTGAGCAGTGATATTACCGAAAGCTCCCCTAATGTTTTGAACGGCAAGGCTCTTCATGAGATCCGCGACTGGCGCCAGTATGTTGGTGGACGCGGCGGACAGTGGCTGAATGGGATGTTTGGGGTGCGCTCAGGTGTCGAATAAATCCTAGGCTATCAGAAAGGGACGGTGTGCTGTCCATTCGTTTTTTAAATAGAATAGAACTACGAAGCACAGCATCCTGCACAGCATTCTACGTGCAGAAAGCGACAAATTAGTGTGGCCACCCACTACTGTTGGAAATGCTTGCTATTTAAATCTTCGCTGCTCTTGCGGCTTCTCCTTGCGCAGTTTTCATAATTTACGGTATCTATGGAAGGCCACTCATGGGATGAAGTTCGGAGTAATCAGCCATAACAGCTTTGATCTTGGGATGTAAGAAATAACTATTGTTGGATTCCGGGATTTGGGAAGTATTAGTCGATAACATGGGGCTCAGCCGCATGTAGTCAAATGTCGAGAGTCTGATTACATCAGTATTGGGATGTGATATCGAACTCTCTGGGCTGCGAAGAGAGGCCAGAAAAGCTAGATTAGCTACTATATAGCAAATAGTCACGACAGATAGGGATTTACGACAGGTGTAGGCGGTGCTCGGAACCCTACGTGTCATGGTGCGGCCTATCCTATTTGATAGTGGATTTGAAAAGGGGCATCGATCGTTAGTAATGCAAAATTCCTTGACTATGAGCCACAATTCGGTAGGTAGCTGAGGAATGAGGGCGAAAACACACGAGTCTGCCCTGTGACAACATCAAGCTGCGACGTCGTTTGGACTGTCTAAGTCTTAGATACCCCAGCTGTCAGATCCTGACTGGCTCATTAAAGTACTCGTGACAAAATTGTCACGATCTCAACCCCGTTATAGGCCAGTTGATGCGGTCGACAGTCAGAGACCATGAGCGACCCAACGAAACGCAGGCCAACAAGTTGAGCATGTTTAAGGCAGATACAGTGCTAAGATGAACATGAGGTGATGAGTTTGTGTCGAGTCCTATCGGCAAATCTAGATGAGCCATGGAAGACCCTATGGCCAGTCCCAATTTTGAAGAAGATAACATATTGTAAGCAATAATCTGATGGCAAATATTCCTCCTGAAAGAAGTGTATGCATTTGTCAAGTGCGGTAGATTCAGTATGCACGTGTTCGCGGAAGTAAAAAGGTAATATTTGTCAAACCACTTTGAACAAGACTTTGTGAATGTGAAAAGGGAGGCATTTCTGGGCATGGCCGTTGGACACCGACAAAGATTGTAGACAAACTCATTACAGTAGAGGGGGTTTTGTTTTTCTTTTCTTTTTCTTAGTGGACTGGTAACCACGATGCATGCCTACGGTCACGCTCCAGTCAAGTTGACGTAAGCGTGACATTTTAAGTACATCCCATCGGCTCGCAAAACACCGAAATTAGTGTTCCGAAGTAGCACAATTGTCAGCAGTTCAGGGAGTGATATCACCAGTCAACATCGCCATCCTCATTCGTCTCGAAATTCTGCATTGGGAGTAGCTTATCAGGGGCTTGGATAATCAAGCCGCTAGCGCAGGTGAGTCTTCGGTTGCACGTAAATAGCGTCTTAGTTAGCGGCCGGGCCTCGTGCGATTCGCAGCATGCGTATGAATCCATCGCACCTTAGCCTGGCAGCCACACTTCGGCGCCTACACTGTTCCTGGACATGAAGTTTTGAGACTTTTGTCGGACACTAATTTACAGTACATCTCCGAGTTCTGATTCTGACTCGGCCGAATCAGGTCATGCTACTAGTAATGAGATGAATTTTAAGTACGCTTGTGGTGGGAGAGACGCAAGTCGGACTTACCGGTATGTTAGAAATCACCAGGTGCCACTTTTATCATGGCTGATGGAGTGTACGATGAAATGGGGATCGGTGGTAACCTGTGATCCGCCACATTTAGGAATAAAGTGCGACGTTGGACCTGGAGTTTCCAGGCGATCGGGAGATCGTCAGTTGACTTGACCGACCCGACCCATCTGGTTTAAATGGCAAGACATCTTGTAGATCAAACAACACGCGCAAAGTGGGAAGTAATTGCTTCCTTGATGTATATTGAACAAGTATATACATAGTATAGTGGGTATCGCATTTAGTATTATACCAAATCATCAGACGAGTCGTAGGCCACCTATCCGTAGGCATGCCTTTTCTAGGTCCTAGTAGATGCCTTTCTGAATGGTCCGATGCTATAATCACGCCAAGCCGTTGCGCCGCTGGGAAATACTTGCTCCAGAACCATAGCCCATTCTTCCTTCCCAACACCGGGGAGGAACCCGCATATCATATAGTACAAATCCGCTGGCGAAAACACAAAACAATGATGGGAGCCATCTACGTCGGCCATCATACCATGGCCCCATTCCCCCTTTTTGTTGTTGATAAGATTGGCCACTCGTCCTCATCTCCTCTGCATATTGATGCTCGCTGATCCACCTCGCGTGAGTGAATGATGTTGCCATCCTCGGTAGGAGTAGGCGGAACTTCTTCAGTGATGACGCTCGTATGTGTCAATTTTCTTCTTTGGCTTGGGTATGCCGTCATTTGTGTTCCGCTATCCTCGGACTCTTTTTTATGGAAGCGCTTAGGCAGAAACGTTTTCCTCATGTGTTCGCGGAATGGTGCAGTAGTGCCGAAGACGACAAACAGTAACACACTTGGTAAACAGCCCGGCATAAACAGAATGAAGTCGCCTTTGGCTCGAGACGCACTCAGATTGGGAGCATCTGGAGGGATCGTAGTTCTGGTAGATGACACCTGAAATAGGATCAAGAATAGTTCGAATATGCTCAACATAATGAAGGTGATCGCAAAGCGTGTCATGAGCCATCGATCATATATACCATGGCCACGCCTGTTTATATTACCCTGCGAGTTTCGGCTGTTTGGTAATGTCGTTTGTGACTGCGTTCCCGATCTCGTGGAGTTGCCATATTGGACGTTCCAAGAAAGAAATTGTCGTCGGGTGTAAATATATTTGCCGAGAATCGTTAAAAGTAGTAGGGCCCCCAGAGTCAAGCTAATCAACACTGTTTGTTATGTCAGAAAATATACAACACTGCAACAAATATGTGTGAATGGGTGACGGACTGTTAACGTTCGCCACAATTATGAAAGCGGCGAAACTGTTGCGGACCGTGGGGACTCTCAAGAGACTGATGAGGATTGCCGGTAGCACGACTGCAATTATCTTGATGATGGAATTGGTTCTATGCCGTATACGCTTGAAAGATGCTATGTCTGCAAAACCAAAAATAGACTGCGCCAATGCGGCAGCCCAGCAAAGGCTGAGTAGTGCTTCGACATTGTAGGCGTAATATTCTTCATATTGTCAGTAACCGCCAAGTAGTGGTTGGTTGTCAACTTACGAATGTAGAAAAGTACGAGGTCTATGCCGACGGATGGTCCAGCAATTGCAACCTCAACACTTCCGATATGTGCTTTGGAATTCTCCCACTGTTCTGTCTTGACGTCGGTCCACCATATTATCGTATGTAATTGTTGAATGATGCTCGCCAGCGTGCTTATGAATGTGAAGTAGGACAAGAGTCCAACAACTAAACAAGTCAGCCTATTAATGTTACCACGTTGAGGATCATGCATATGCCTACATGAATCACGCTCATGGTGAGTCCAAACCAGCCAAATCATTAGCAAACTGCATGTCAGGCAGATGAGTGAGAAGATGAGCACGCCGATGACGGTCCCCAATGCCCCTTCAGGCACCTGTACGCCCATATTGGCACCAAGGTATGCCACAATGGCACGCGTCGTTATAGTAGCAGTGGTATGGGGGAAGCATGTGAGATCGAAGCAACGAGCTGAGCCCTAGAAGAAAAACAAAGTAATTGTTCGGCAAGAGACCTAAACGATGGTCCCGACACAGCGGGTGAACTCCTGGTGATCTACAATATGGCTCCTCTGTGACCCGTGTCTCGTCACCTGTGGACCAATCCAAAGCCTTACGGGCAAGGTATCCCTGCTGAACATCCATAGATCGTAGGCTTGCATAAGCCTATACAAAGGACCCTAATCGGGGGACACCCTTGCGCTAGCCGACACGGAGCAGGCGCTGCTTCCCGTTAGACAATTTGTCAAGCTCATGTTAATCGTCCAAGGACTTCTCGTTTTTTGTTACTTTATTTATTTATTTTCTTTTTGGTGAAGCATTCTTAGTAGGCTTGACCATTCAGGATAGGCAATGGGTGGAGAAATATGTAGACAACGTGGCTGGCAAGGATGGCTATGGCCATACTATGAACCAGAGATGATGGTTGTTTCCAACCTCAGAAAGCCCAGAACGACTTGATATCTTCAAATGATGCGAAGAATTGCGTTCCGAGAATTCATGTCGCAGAAAGCCATGGAGATGACAACCATGCGCGAAAGTGGCTGACGTTTTTGCCAGATGAGCGGAGTAAAGTTTGCTCATATCCCTGTCTTTGCTAATGACTTGATGTCTGACCGCACCCGCAACTTTGGGATGACGTTTCGTAACGCTGGTTACATAGGCAATAGGAAGTGACAAGCTGAGGGAGTCTCCCGAAGACAGCTTCTGCATCCTGCAGAGGCTGCCCGAAACAGGGAGCCCATGAAACGTAATTAGTGGCCTAGATTTAGCATCAGGAACCGAACAGGGACCGAATGCATTAGAACCACAGCGTCGATCGTCCGACAAAAGTTAAGAGGCACATGAGTTGTGATAAATTGCTGAGGTCGGTGGAACCCCTCTTGCCAGTGTAGCTGCCTCACTATCATAAAGTTGAATCTGCGAAGTACTGTAGAATCGTCTCGGAGGAGGATCTGCAAAGGCCGCAAGCGGCGGCACTATGTATTGGTCAAAACGGGGATACCGCAGTCTTCATAGTTAATGCCCAAACTTCGGCAACTGGTGACCTGGTTTCAGCAACGGGTCCTTGACAAAGCTAAATTGAGCGGACTATTCAGTTGACTGTGCGTTGCCATTTCTTCCTTTGATCTTCTTGATCTGGAGTTGCTAATGTAGATCATGCTTCAGTTTACGGAGTGATTCCGTGTGGCCATCATTTGATGGTCTGTCTTTCTTGGTGGGGCCGGACGCTCGAAAACCGCTGCTGGATTTCACAGGTTGGTGTCACAATTTAAGATCAGTAAGTTCCTCGAAGGCGTTGTCATCAGTCCTTTTCGTAAAGGCGGTAATTGAAAAAGACTCGTTCTTCGACGCTAAAGGTTGAAGGCTGGCAGTTCGTGGGAAACATTCGCAACAACACCCGAAAACATAACAGCAGAGCCAGTGCACGACAAGCGAGCTATCTTTTCCACGTGGGAAGGCAATGTTCTATGTAGCCGAGCACTGAGTGAAAATTGCACAAACCTCAACCCACCAAGATGAACCCCCATTGGTGTGCTAGCGCATGAATTACAGTGGCGGCTCTGTGGTGTGATTATGCAAGGGCAACTTGTGTGATGCACAACCTGCAACAGTGTTTCAGCTCATACTCCATAAATGCCGGGTCAAAACGACCTCGGGAACCTGAGGACGCAGCGAGGTTGTCCGCAACACAGTTTGACGATCGAGTTGCCGCTCGAAACAATTCCGAGTCTGTGATTGAGTGCACATTCATAAATGGCATTTCTCCCGACGGTAAATTAAATTGGAAGCTCCTATTGACATTAAGGGGCAGAACCGTTTCACTTCCACAAACCTTCTGGGCTCTTTTTTTTGAAATCAGAGATCTGAGCGCAGCCCAAACTTTCTTACTAGTATAGCTGGACACGCAATGCAGACAACAAATCTGCCTTGACTAATCCATATCCGCCATACCTGTGCGAAAAGCCCAAGCCATTCCACACTACTAGTAAAGTTACGAGCTTTTCATGAGGGTCCAAGGTAATATAGCTCGGCGAGGACTGCGTCGACTACCATATAGCGCCGATCCACGGTGCTCTAGTGGCTCCGACACGGCCGTGCTATACTTGGTAGCACTAAAACGTCGTTCTATCTTCAATCCCCGGAAACGATCGACTTCGGTTTGTCAGACCACAGCATTACTTGCTAAGTTTTGTCAATCTGGACTATTTGCATCTATTTGACTTTATTGCATCTGTTCATTGTTCTCGCACGCACGTGGGTGGCCTGATCCAAGGTAAGCTACCACAAGGTCGATTCTTGTAGAGTATCTCTGGGGAATGACTCGCACATCGATTGCTTTGCCAATTCCAGGGGCCTTGTCAGGGACATCGTGTTGTGCTAGGTGACGCTTGTAAGACCAACTTGCTGCCACAACACGCTGGGAGGGCTCAAGATCAGTTGTCGGAGGTTCTGGTCGCCAATCGTTCCCCCAGAGTATGTGTAGCCATTGAATGCTCTCCACCATCCACGGTGATGCCAAGCATGGCACTTTGTTAGTTCACTGTGTACTTTAGTATGGCGTCTTCTCGAAGGTCAGTTCATTCTAGTCTCATGTCACAATTGCCTGTGCGGTTCTCGCGCTGCGCCAGAGCCGTTTGCGCCATCTCTGTCTCTAGTCACACATCCACCAGCATACTAGGTTAGATCTGACGTGCGGTCCAGGCTCTGCGTTTTGGATCAATGAAACACTATCTGTCGAGCAAAGAGCGTCGGGAAACGTGCTTGCAATTCAGGGGCAGTTACACGAAGCTTCGTCACTGCATAGCCTCTCGCAGAAGTAATTCGAGATCGAATTTGGCTCAGGCAAAGCGGCTACGGGTGGTGGCAGTATTAGCCAACATATAATACATTAGGACACGAATATGAAGTTCTGTGCATAGGTTTCACTTAGGCCCAGTTTACTGAGCATTTTCATGGAACACAAGTGGTCGAGTGCTGCTCAGATAATGCTATCCAATCCCGACATATAACATAGGAGGACTGCATTTACTGCTATAGAAGCTTAAATACAGGATGCTGGCAGGCGATATCGCAACGAATACATTCGCCCAAACCCACCCAATGCTCTTATGACGTCTGTAGAAGCCTCGTCTTGTACGAATGATAAGTTCCCAAAAGACATACAACATGGCTGTTCACTCTCTATGCCAGGGTCGAAATGGGGATGACTGCGCTGACCCAATCGAGATTTCGAGAAATGAGTTTGCCAAAGCTGGTAATAACACGGAAACCACCCAAAGCGGTCAACCCTAAAACCACACCTGTGAACGCAAGTGTCGTCAACGCAGTCCTCTCAATACCGGAGTGCCTGAAAGCCCCAGTCTTCTGGGTTTGCCCGGGTGCCCGCTCGCCGAGTGGTGTTGTTGCATTTTGTAGGTCAGGCACCCATTTGAAATTGAACTTGGCCTGGTAACCTAATCCTCCCTTTTCCTTTTTATGGACGAGAATGTCGTAAAGTACTTTCCGAACTAGCTGTATTGGTGTGTTAGGGGTATAGTTATTGGTTGTGTTGACATCTCCTGATAAAACTCACTTTGATGTGGTTCTCGTCCCATGAAGGGATTAATCTGTTGTAGTAGCTAGTAATCATGAAGAACAAACACTGTCCAATTACCAGAACTGTATCGTACAAACTAGGTTTCTCAATATTCATCTCCTGGCATAGTTCGCTACCATTTAACCAGTATGTTTCTGCGTTGAGAAATCCCCGTGATGCGTATGTCGGTGGCTGTGCTTCCAACCCGGTAATGATGTTATTGGCCAATGTTCCAGACTTCTTCGTTGGTTTGATCTCTGATACTAATAGCGACTCCATCATGGCCTTGGCCGTCTCGGGTGTGGCCAGCCAGTCATGGGGTGTACCCATAAGATATGAGACGTAACGCCATAGAGCAAGATAATCAGCAATCTCTTGTTGCCTTAAGAAAATACCTTGACGTGGCAAACCTATCCATAAAAGCGTTGCACTGAAGGTGGCAATGGTGCCAATGCAATCAAGATCGTTGATGGGAAGACCGTACTTTTTAATATCAAAGTAGTCAGGCTTCTCTTCGGCAAGCTTTACAATACGTTGTCTCACCACCGCATGCAGCAACCGGACTCGAACAGATGACTCGAAGCCCTCTCCGCCAGGCTTTATGGATTCTATATCTTTGTGAACACCTAGCGTATGCTGCGTCGTCTCCAGAAGGCGTTGCCGAACCACCCGTGCATTGAACCCTCCGGTTCGATCCAGGGTCTCGACAGTCCTGCCGCTGCTCATGCCACCAAGTAACGAAACAAACGTGAGCTATGGCGATATGTCAGCAAGTAAAGATTATGAGATGAAGATAATACCGACAGCTGTGATTGCTGGGCCACCGTATCGCCAGAAGACCTTTTGACCTCTTTCTATTGACTCCCAATCAACCCAGTCAGGTATGTTGTTGATCTCTCTCCAAAGTTTGCCCACGCTTTCGCTCGTTTCTGCATGCTCCCGTACTAACTTGTACAAATTTCGATGTTTTTTGTTGTTCTTTGCTTCAATAGTCTCTTGATTCTCGTTCTGTGATCTGATGGGACCAGGCGGAACAAGTTTGTCCAATGAATTGAGCGCATCCGTGGCAACACTGTCGTCTAGATAACGAAAACATACCGGTCAGTTAAAAAGAAAAATTTTATTTGGAAAAAAAGAAAAAAAAAACCTCCCCCCAGAAATTTCATGACGATGGAAGCACTCGTCGGGCGTTCTACTTTCTTGAGAACCCTTGCCTCACTTCTCAACGAAGGAATCGAGATTGACCAGTATTCTCTCGCAGGTCAAATTTGAGGACGCAGTATGTTTCTTATACGTACATGAGCATGTTAGACGTTGAAGCTCCTCTGGCGCCTGATGCAAAGTCCCCCATTTGAATTTGTATCCATAGACATTGAGTTGGTCGGGATCAGTTGAGAACAGGCCCATCATAACAGATAATAAGTCGTCAAGTCCGAAAGGAGAAATGAATAGTGACAATGTTGATAGAGTACAGCAAAGTTTATGTTTGCGCCCCCGACGACCACTCAATAATAGTCGATGACAGTGTACAGTCGAGTATACGACACTAGACTAGGCCATAAGAAGTATTAATTCGATTCTTTAACAAGCAGCCAGATAATAAAGTTTTTAAATTACCAGAAAAGGCGCAATGGGAATGCAGCTCGTTGGTTGAACCCGCATACATATAGAGGGTTGTAGCGAGGCGCCTTGCCGAAGTATGCACCAAGACACTCCGGCATCCCCACTCCCCCATGATGGATGAATCATCAAGTTAAAAGCGTGGCTCTAGTCTAGGGAAGGCTGTTCACCACCGAGCATCATTCGCCGCCAGTATTGATGTTTGCCAGGCTGCCAGACATGAAAATCTCCTGACCTAGTCCCAGGCAAGAGTTCTGTAGGCGGCGTGGGGTCCTAATCAGTACATGGCTGGCCGTTGAGCGGGAGGACTATAGTACGCACGAGCCAATGATCTTGATGCTGCCACTATCCGCGCTCCCTGGTACCAAATACATAAAATACTGTACAAGTAAGTTACGTGCTGGAGCACTACCTTAGCGCGGTGCAACACTCCCTAACCTTAGAGTACTCCGTAATCCAGACACGCAGGAGCCACATGGAAATTTCACGAGGCGAAAACTTCGACCAGACCTTCTCAACAATCATTCGTGCATCAAATAATCATTTTCTGTGATATTGCGTTTCTTGTACTTCGGGACCGGTACAATCGGTCTTGCATATGATGGCCTGCAACTGCCGCACCTCGTCTCTGCGCGTCTTTGTACAGAGCCTCACACGGGTCCAGCTCTCTGCTGCAAGTTCTAGATCTGCAAGCCTCCTCGACTCACGAGTACCGGGCGCATACTCATCGAATGGCGCATTGAGATCGTTTACTGCTGTCTCAGCAGCTCGCTACCCCAGACAGTCGTTGCGAGCGTCTGCCCTCACAATCGACACGGAAACTACCCACAACGAACCATCACACGACACATTGGCTACATCAAGCCCCGACGATACTACTTCTTCATATCAACCGGCAAACGTTTCAAGCGCCGAGGTGGATCAGGCACGGAGGAATCATGCCATAATGGATCTGTCGGCAGATGCCATCGATGCGCTCGCAGCGGATCTTGAGCGAACAGTGGAGGGACTTGGTGTTGCGAATGACGACCTGGAGCATGAGACCGACGTACGACGGCGACAAAAGCCCGAGTTCTCGGGCCCTAGCAGGCTGAAGAGAAGCAAGATCATGCCTACAGACAGGACACTACAGACGCAGGCACAGGCTAATCCCATCCCACGAAAGAGAGAGACATGGCAGATACAAAAGGAGGCGCTGAAAGAAAAGTTCCCAGAAGGGTGGAACCCACGCAAGAAGTTGTCCCCGGACGCTCTCGACGGTATCAGAGCTCTGCATACTCAGTATCCGCAAATATACACAACAGACGCACTTGCCAACCATTTTCAGGTTTCTGTGGAAGCGATTCGGCGCATTCTCAAGTCCAAATGGAGGCCAAACGTGGAAGAAGATGAGGACCGGCAGCAGCGCTGGTTCAACAGAGGCAAGAATATTTGGTCGCAGATGGCTGAGCTTGGCACGAAACCGCCCAAGAAGTGGCGTGCGGCAGGTGTATCGCGGGATGCTCGATTCAATAAGCCGAAAGGGCACAGGACGGAGTATCCCTATGTTCCTAAGTGGAAAGAAAAGGAGAGCGCGCAGAAGAAGCTGGGCGACAGTCTGTTGTAGGCATAGACCTAGGCAATCATATGCCTGGTTTCTCCTGTTCGTGTATGAACAAAACATAAATGTACAACAACTTCCAAGATCCCATACTCTACTATATAATTCTTCAAGACACCAAGCTTAAAAAGTATTGCACAAGCGTTTCGAACTGCACCATTCGACCATCTGACCATGTAGATTGTCCAGTGCTTGGTTGTGGGTGATGGACAGGATTAAGTGTGTTGAACCATTATTCTCAACTGGGTAGGATCATCAGGGGCCTCTCTCTGATTGTCAGATTGTACTATGTAGTCCCTAAAAACCGGGTTTCTCACCGAGTGCCCCATCAGATCTGGCCCGTGACGTCGAGCGCGGCAGATCTCGAACAGCGGATACCAAAACAATCAAATGCCAGACAAGGCTTCTAAGAAATGCGTCGATGAGCTCATCTGGGACCTGACGAACACTTCTCCGTACTGCCATTACCTGTGAGAACATAAGTAGAGCTAGCCTTAAAAAAAAAAAAAGAAAGAAAAAAAAAAGAAGAGGAGAATATTAAAGAAAGGAGCTGTAGGCTGTGGGTGCTGGGGTTTAGTGTGACCGGCTGGAGGGAGAAGTGCTTGCAGCAAACGATTGTGATAGAACCATGCCATTGACTCCCAAAAGAGCCAAAGGTAGCCAAGGATTAAAAAATTACAGCCAATAGGAAAGGATGACGACTGGCAGACTGCTGAACCGAGAAGCGGTTTTTAATTAGTTTATGCCTTTTCCGGCACATGGCTGCTGCTGATCAGTGCCCAGCCAACCCCGGACGTCCCAGACTCTCGCTAGCGACAACAAAAGCAAATTGAAGCTAAACTGGGTTTGTCGGCTCACCTACAGCATCCACCGATTGATTGAGAGATGGATGGTCTTGAGCCGTTATCCTAACCACCACCTTTTCCACGCGCAAGCCTTTCCCAGCCAACAATAGAGCCTCATTTCCACGCGCAAGGCTTGCGGTTTTGAGGCGAAACCGCAAGCGTCCGTAGACAGAGTCGGTACTATTATGGTCCACATGTTCCCTTGATGATTGCTTAGACCTTGCCTGCTTGCTCTGCTTCCTCACTTCCCCGTCTTGGGGATTTCCTTTCGCGTCATTGTAAGTCAAACACGACAAAGGATTCCGCATGCCTGCCAGCCAATTGACCCCAATAGCGTTCACTAAGCGCATACAATTTACTGCCCGAAATTTTTGAAGTACGGCACCATTTCCTTACCAACAAACAGACGGAAGCGACCCAGCCTCTCCCCTCTCCCCCCTCTCCTCCTCTACTTTTAGAGTTCATCTCAACCACTATATATCACTCGACGTAGAAGTTCTCTCATATCATACCTCCATGATCCCACGGTCCAATACAAAAAACGATCGACTGCCAATATCTCTCGAGTCTCAAGTTCAGATCGCCTCCGGCCAATGCCAGTCAAGATCTACATTGGTCCATGGCTAAAGGATGTCTTCCACCCCCTCCAACCGGCTGAGGTTGACGCCATCCAACTCCCCATTTCTCCAACGTCCAGCGAGATCGCCGTTTCGCGGCCGACCCGCGCCGGACCCCCGCTTGTCTCTGAAGCGTGTCATAGGCACAACCTGTACTTCACCCAACGGCTTCGATACGTGCCAGAATTCCTTCGCATACCTCGCCGGAGGAGCAGTAGTAGTCGTGAATGTAGAAGGTGAAAGGTACCACCAACGATTCTACAGAGCTAGACCGAGTGCAGTGCCAGTCTACAGCACGACGGCCCAGTCACTCGACCGCTCGACTCCTACAAATACACCTAAAGCCAACGATAGCAGAAACAGGTCTTCCATAGCACCCAGAGACTCCTCTTTTGGCGTGAGCGATTGGGCGGAGTCGCCCAGTGCCAAGACATGGACAAGTCGAGAGCGCATCAAGGCAGCAACATGCTTGTCGTTGAGTCACGATGGGAAATACCTGGCAGTCGGCGAGACGGGCTATTCCCCGCGTGTGCTCATCTTCGGACTGCAAGACTGCTCGTCGGACAGGCCACTTGTGTCAATAAGCGAGCACTTGTATGGCCTTAAGGCTGTAGCGTGGTCTCCTAATACCAAGTACTTGGCATCACTTGGTTCCGCAAACGACGGCTTCTTGTATCTCTGGAAAATCGACCCGAAAACTGGTGCTGCAAAGCTCTATCAGCAAAACCGATGCGTCTCTTACGTACGAGATATGATTTGGATGGGGGATAATCTTATCACGTTAGGCGTTCGCCATGTCAAAGTTTGGAAGGTCGAAGAGCCAAAAGCTCCATCGCCCACGAAGACGAGATTTGGAGACGTGGGAGCGTCACCGCAACCCCAGAAGACGTTGCCAGGTCGAAACGCAATCTTGGGAGAATTGATAGAAGCTACTTTCTCCTGCGCCGTTGCGCTCGACGATACCAAGGCCATTATCTGCACCGAGTTGGGGGACATCTGCCTCCTTGACGACAAGGCTAAGCAAATGAAGCTGACAAAAGTCCTAGATATAGGCTTCACGATAACCTCTGTTGCGATGAGAAATCAAGTCATTCACGTTGGAGGCAAGTCGGGCGATTTTGCCACTCTGGACCTGAAGCTATTTCTCGAAGCAGATGCTGGTTGCACACTGGCGACGTCGAAATCAACCTCAGGCTTTCTGAGTCTGGGGTTTCTTGAGAACAACTTGGTGACTGTCGACGAAGATCATTCCATTGATGTGTGGAACGCATCATACATCCCAGGATGTCATGACGAGACGACTACTCGTACGCATATCCCAGGAAACGGGGATGCTATGCATGGTGTCGGCGCGTTTACGCAGCCGAATGAGTCCAAGACCGCGTTTTACACATGGTCTAGTTCCGGTAGCATTAGGTTATGGGATACTGATGGCAATACCATAGAGTCGTTCAGCACAGGTCTTGAGGGGGCCAACTCCCAGAACGAGACCGATCCAGTCAATCAGATGACTGCTGTCACAACCACACAAAGCAATGATTATTTCGTCACTGGCGACAAACTGGGCATTCTTAAAGTCACGGATGCCAAAACAAAAGAGTGTGTATTCGAGACGAAAGCGCATTCTTCTAATTGTCAAAGCGTTGCGACTTATGAGGACGACTCTCGATTTCTCATCGCATCATGTGGTCGAGATAGAACGGCACAGCTATTCCGTCGGGCCTCCAGCAATCATTTCGAGCTTTTCCAGACCCTTGAATTCGCCGCTAAGGTGGTACAAGTCATTATACCAAGCTCGGACAAGGTCATAACGTGCTCGCTTGACCGATCCCTGCAAATTCACGAAATCGTTTCGAAAGAAACAGACCCGGGCGACCTGGCTGCCTTTCCGGTGCAATCACTACCACTGAAGGCATCGCCGACTTCAATGGCCATGGCACCAAATGGTAAACAGATAATCGTGTCCCTACTGGACCGTTCGATCTGCATCTACAATATTGAGACGGGCAAATTATCGAGTTCCTTCAAGTGCGCTGATGAAACAGCAGTTGAATCAGTAGTACTTGACTCTCTAATTTGCCGCCCTGCGACGGAAAAGGAACCTGCCTTCTTGTTGGGACTGTCAAACACAGACAAGTCAATCAGGATCTACGATGTCACTACTGGCAGCTTCCTGGACCGCGAATGGGGGCACACGGAAGCAATCACCGGAGTAACCTTGGTTCAAGAAGCTAACGACGATAAGAAGGTTGTCAGCGTGGGTTCCGATGGTACTATCATGATTTGGAGTCTCGATTTGCAAGACCAGATAGTAGGTTCTGTTAGTCGCGATCCATCACCTGTGAAGGACGTTACTGCTGCTGCTCGAGCTCCGCTGAGGCGTATCCTCTCTAAAGCCGATCTGGCTGAGTTCCAACGACCTCAATCGGCTTCGTCAGGACGGCGGTCACCTCCCCGCACGCTTGCGAAGCGACGGTCGTTGTACAACTTGACCCCTTCTGGTCCCTTACGGACGCCGACTAGCACCGCCCAGCTCAGTCCACCTGCTATTGACGAGGGTACGCCGACTAGAAGGACGTCGACCAGCAGTCGCACAGGAAGCAGCCCGCCTGTTAGTCCCAAGTCGTCGCGGGCTGCTAGGCGCCCATCGCTGCCGGCTCTGAAAAAGACGAAAAGCAGCTCGAGCTTGAGAGGTTCGATGAATCTTCCAGCGACCACCGAACAACTATGCCGTACCTTGCGATCATTTCGAAGGAAGCTCGAATCTGGCGACTCCATCAGTGATAATATCTTAGCGGAGCTGGATCAGGAGCTTCGCCTCACGTCATTAGCCTTGGGCGACAAGGCGAAACACAGCCGTGAACTCGGCAATTCCTTACTTGACGGTATTCTCGACCAGTACTCTACAAAGTTGTCAGCAATGCTCGACGAGAAACTACGTCTCAACAGCCAGTCGTCAGGACGAGAAGACACACCATCGCCAGAGGACCCAACCCGGCCGGTGTCTCCGGGAGTTGGATCCATTTCAGCCAATTCTAACTACAGTCAATAACACACACCTTTCCTTACATGTACAGTATTCTCAATCGAAGCGTGTCTGGGAGCGATCCCAGTCAGGGATGCGCTCCAAATGAAGATAACGCAGGCAAGAAGCTAGAAGACAGAGGGCGTTCTGGAGTTGTATTTTAACATAAGAGTCTTGGATTAGATTCCATGAGGCGTTCAGGTCTGCCACAGGACAGTCATTACGCAAAACGGGCCGGGATACAGACATGATACCATTGGGTAGAGGAAGCGGGAGTTGAAAGAAGCGCACGAAATGCGCGGGTTCGGGGCATTATTTTATCACTTACGGGGCCTTGCTTTATTGAATGCGATTGAATAAGTTCGCAAACTGGACCGAGACATTTTGAGATTGTCGGCTGACATCTATGCGTGTTCATCTTGCATCGTGGTTTCGCGGATTCATCCTCCGGGCCTCCCTACAAGTCTATTTGATAGGTAGGCAACCTCGCGGATCTGTACCTAGTCTTATCTTAGCATGGGGTGCAGGTGCTAATGACGCCTATCTAATGGAGCCTTTCAGTGGATTCAGGCTGTGCCTCAGGCCACTAGCCCCCGTGATGCCGGTCCCATCCAAGACATGATCCCTACCTCATTGGCTTCCATTTACGTGCGCGATCGTCTCCCATAGCTTGCTTACAGTACAGCTGCAATACTGCAGCTAATATCATGAATCCCTAAACCAACTGGGGCTGCTACATGTTCAATCGTTCTTTTCCGCGACGCGTCTTCCTATTCAAACCGCCAATTGATTTCCACCTGCTCTTGCTGCTTCCGCAACTCGTCTGACCTAGCCTTGTCAATGGGTCCCTAACAATGTGTCAATCGCAACGCTCATGACTGAAGGGAATAAACCCACTGGACTCTGAGAAACCCAGTGGCTCTGTACTCCCCATATCCGTACCCGTACTGTATTATACTGTACCTTCATTCCGGCCTGCTCATCCGGCTGGGCGCACCGATTTGATATAGCTACCGACGACGACGACCACCCATAACCATCATGCCTCCTTCGGATGCAATCCCGGGGAACATCCGTGTCTTCGTGCATTGGGACGACAATACCGTGTTCTCGGGCGAGGAAATAAAGTGCCGAATCACCTTCAAAAACGTTGCCCAACCAAATAACCACGAGCGCTCTAGACAGCCGTCCCCCCTCCTAGGCACCCCGAGGAAGCCCACCTTCAGCAGCAGCAGCAACAGCAATGGTCTGACGCCGCCCGTGTCCGGAAGAGGAGCGGGAGCAGGAGGAAGGGGTCACCGTACGACGCTGAGCTTGAACGTCCCCAGCGGCCATTCGAGGAGCAAAAGCGGAAGCACGCCGACCTGGGTGCCGCAACCACCACCACCGACAACGGCAAGACCGGGACATGCGCACAAGCGCTCGATTTCCATTGTCTCTATCGGCTCGACCACTTCAACCGCTACAGCGGAGGACCCGTCACATAGTAATGGCTCACGCATGCTGCCGCCTCAACGGCCAGGCAGGGGCCACGGACGATCGTCGAGTTTGCAAATATCACCAAAGGCGAGCGTCCTCTTGAACGGGCCACAATCTGCAGCATTGCCGCAAAAGCCATACGGAGCCGGCGGCTCTCAAGCGTCTCCAGTCTTCAACAACCACTCCTTCCCGCCCTCTCGATACAGCCAGGGGCGCCTGTCCGGCGTTAACACCATGCCGAATACCCCCGGAGCTGCACATGGGCCAAGGAAAAGCCCACTGCAGATGCCCGATTGGAAGTTCCCAGCGGTGCGCTCGCCCCTCTCCGAGTATGGGGATAGGTCGCCCGGAGGCCAGGACGAAGACTACCTAGGCACGCCGGCCTCGGCTACGGGCGGCCATATCAACCAGCCGGTTCGTTCCAGAGATCCGATTCCTGCCGTCGTAGAACATGCGGCCCCTGCCCCGGCCCCGGTGGCGCGAATACTATCTACCAGTAGCGTAGCCGAAGGGACGCCAAGGAGCAGTGGTGACTTCTACTCCTTGAGCAACAATTCGAGCGAGACATTGGCCTCGGAATATTTGACACAACCACCACGGAATGGTGCAAGGCCGCCACATTTAAGGAAGAGCTCTGGCTTGTCATTGTTGGGACAGCAGGCAAAGTTGCCGGAAGCTCTGATGATGGGTTATGCACAAGTCCAAGGGTCATTCACGTTGGACGGATCACTTATTAATCTAGGGCCCTTCGAGGCGGTCAAGAGAAAGGCCGTTGTTGGCGGACAGGGTGGAGGAGTCATTGGCCTTGAGCCGTCGAAACGCGACAGCGGACTGCTCAAAAACTTCGGTTGGGGCTCCTGGGGCAACTCAATCGGCGAGCTGCTAGGCGCCAACGAGCTGAGCAGCATCAAGGAGATGCGTGGCACTGCAAGCACCAAATCGATACCTCTGCTTTCGACGCCACAGTCAATTCTCTTTGTGGATTTACAACTTGCTCCCGGGGAGAGTAAGTCTTACGAATATTCGTTTAAACTGCCAAAGGGCCTACCTCCGACACACAAGGGCAAAGCTATGAAGATCATATACAGCCTTGTCATTGGCACACAAAGGCCTGGGGGCACCAGGGAACAGCAGGTCAAATCGGTGGAGATCCCATTTCGCGTGTTGGGAAGCGTGAACAGCCACGGCGAGATTCTGGGCCATGATCTCATGTCACCCTACATCATTCTTCGAGACCTGGCAAAAGTGCAACAGCTGGACAAAAACGCGACAAACTTGGAAAGGAAGAAGCCCAAGCCCGCACAGCCGCCGGGTTCAACGCTGCAGGGATTTCTAGGATATGTGGACGAACTTCTTGATCGGCCAAGGAATGGCGCCGGCCTTCTTTCTCCTACAGCTCACGGGCCATCGTCTCGACGGCCTTCAGCATTTGAGGAAGCAGCCACAGCGCGCGATGCAATAGACCTTGCTATCCTGCGGTCGAACCTCTCCTCGTATGACACCGGCCAGAGTACGAACCGCTTCGAGATTGCTCGCAATGGACAGCGTGTCGGTGTCGTCATGCTCGCCCGGCCTGCTTACAGACTTGGCGAGCAGGTCAGCATGGCTATCGACTTCACCAATGCTGACGTGCCATGCTATGCCGTCCATGCATCTCTCGAGACAGCCGAGCGCGTTGAGCCGGCCTTTGCGCTGCGCAGCGAGGCTAGCGTGCACAGGGTGACGCGCAAGATATATGGGAGCTCTAGCGAGGCCACACTCTTTTCGCGCAGGGTGGTCTTCAGCCCTACGATCCCGATCAATGCCACGCCGGAGTTCATGACGAGTGGCCTAAGCCTCGAGTGGAAGGTCAGGGTTGAGTTCGTGGTGCCGTCGTCTGGCGTCGAGTCCGAAGAGGCGGAAAGGCGCCAAGACGGCCCGCACCCGCTGCTGGAAGAGATCTCGCGGGACGACAGGGGAGGCTTGGTCATGGTCGCCGCGGAGAATCTGGAGTGCGAAAGCTTCGAGGTCGCAGTGCCGCTGAGGGTGTACGGCGCTGTCTGCAACGGGCTTGAGAGGCTCGAGCGAGACGAGGCCGAGACAGGCCTGGCTGTATAAATGCATCACGTGGGAAAGCGACACGTAACTACGTGTCTGTAGATAGTACAAAACTTCGGGGATAAATTCATGCAAGCATATTCGGGCTGATCTGGATAAATAGACCTGTCGGTTACAAGAGTCACTTGGAACTAGACCGGCGACATAGCGCAGCGGGAGGATCGAAGGCGCTTTGGTGTCGTGACATACCTCTTGATTATACAAGCTCCGAAAGGGGCGGCCGAATGGCAACTTGATTCTTCCTAGATCGCCGTCCACTAGTCTTTTCAAGGCCAGACAGCGGTAAAAAGGCTGGTCATGGGAACGGAGGTCGTTTCATCTCATCGTGAACTATCTGGATAAGTGGTCCCCGTCTGTTTGTTTGATGTGACCATATACATATATGTAATGCATCGTGCCTGACATGTTGTACTGTCACTAGACGCAACCTGCCGAATACATAGCTTTTCGATCTAGTTCTTGGAGCATCTCTGACTCGAGTTGCTGTCAGGCTTAAGAATTGCTGTGACAGGAGAACTGTTCTAAGCTCACATGCCTCGCCGGTTTCTTCAAACACTTTGAACTATCCGGGTCTTGTCGAGAGATTCGAGAATCTTGTCGAGAGACGACACGCTCTCTAGGAAGAGCGGCCGCTCTTTTGTGCCAGAAACTAATTTGAGTGTAGACTAAGCGATAAAATATCTCGATGATCACAAGAAATGTAACATATCCAGTCACACTCTGGGCTACCAGGACCTGATTCGCGTCCTTGAGGTCGCTCCGTCGCGATTGGTGCATGCTAGATGACTTGGATAGCATAGCTGCGATAGCGTTTATTCGTCGACCTCCATCGCGTCCCCATCAGCTTCTCGCCTGTTTCTCCTTCTCAGGACGTCATATGCTCTCTCCGCCGCCCGGGTGATGATCTCGTCGTTATACAAGCCGTCGCCGACCTCCACCACCATCTCGCCCCCTACATATACTTTGCACCTGATACGCGTCATGTCGTCCTCTTCTCTGCTGACCTCATATTTCACGGTCTTTTCCACAGCCAGCACCCCAAGCTTGTTTTTCGGATGTATGACGTCGACATTCTGATCCAGAACCCTCTCAAGATATGGCATAATTCCAATGCGCTCCACAATCGCTCTGCAACAGTCCAGGTTGCCCGAGTCCAGCCACACGGCACCAATCACGGACTCGAAGATATCGGAAAAGAACTTGGGCACATGGAGATGTGCAAGAAGGGCCCATGGAAAGGTGGGCGATCTCCAGATGGCCTCCAATATGGCTTCACGTTCTAAAGCGTGACGCTCTTCAGTGGCTTTCTGCAATGCACCGATCTCTGGTGAGGTATGCCGCATGAATTTCCAGAAGGGAAACCTCACGGTTGTTGAGACTGGCTGGCCATCAACCACATTCACCGTCGTCTGCGGCAAACTCCATTCCATGCCAAAGAAACCCAGGAGGTCGGCATTGACGCAAGCAGCACGGAGAGTTGTCATCATGCTCTGCGAGAGGTTTCTTTCCCAAAGCTTCTGAATAATAATGTAATCCAATATGGCGTCGCCAATGAATTCAAGCCGCTCGTAAGTTCTGTCGCTAGACAAATTCATGTTATATGAGGCATGTGTTACTGCTTCGACAAGCAAGTTTTTGTAGGTGAAGCTGTAGCCAAGTAGTTCCTCCATAGCCACTAGATTGGTGGGAAGGCAGTCTCTGTGTTCCTTTGATAATAGAAGGAGATGACGACCTTCTTCTAAAGTGTGCCACCTATTATCTGGAATTAACAGACGAAGACACTGCAATGACTTCAGCATTCCCGACTTGTCCGTCCCACCGTCCTGGTAAGATGCACCAGTCAGGGATTCCACAATATCGGCAAGAACTTTTGTCCCTAGTTTCCTGTTACCAGCGACTTCTTCAAGCAGGGCCGTCTCATCCGCATAGAGTGGCTGCCACTTGTCGCCAGAAAACGCTTTTGTTATGATAAACTTGTCTATTCCTGTTTCTTTAGTAGACCGGCAGAGCCGCGAGTTGGACACGATTCTCGCTCTCATTTTGGAAAGATAACCTTCGGGAAACTGCGGATCTTTGGTTTTCGTGTTAGCCTTAGCTTAGGGAAGGGGAGAAAAGTAAAAGAGAAGAAAAAAACATAAATAAATAAATAAAATAAAACCAAGAAGGATCAGGCAGTGGAGGCGAGAATTAGCATAACCGCCTCGAGACTCAGCGTTGATGTTATCCGATACTATGCCAGCAAGTTCATCAACTAGGACCAGCAGGTTTTCTTTTTTCCGTTCTATGAAAGTGGGTGGCTGGTACCCTACACCGGGAATGGCAAGACTCAAGGCAGCTGCGCCAATTCTTGTGTCCACTGCCTTGACAAGGCTGGCGAGAAATCAGAGTACTTACAGTTAACGGCAACGCTGATTGTGGAAAGGAGCTTCAAGATGACATCACCAAGAAATTCCAGCCTCTGATAGTTCTCAGCTTCCCGAGCCGATGAAGCACTGATTGCTGCAAGTAGCAAAGACAAATCTCGGAAGCGAAGCTCTTTGAGGACAGTTTCGGAAAGCTCCTGCGTCACTAAATATATATCTATCATATGGATGATAGAAGGTATCAGAGCACCGAACTGCACATTGATAGCTAGTGTCGAGTCCATACGACAACAAGAGACTGGCCAAGCTGTCTGATAAGGCTTGTCTGAGGCTTTTTGCGTACTTGAAACCGCACGAGATCTGTGAAGGAAATCGCGCCGCCTCGGCCAGTTTCGCAGGGCTAACCAAGGGCCTTCCGTGCTCTCTTCCTCAAGCACTTTCCGGTAGTAGCTACTGAGCTTTCTGCTGACAAGGTTGTCCGAAGGTTGAGACGGTAGCCATTGATCAAAAAAGTACGGCGCGCCATTGGCGGTGTTCCTCACGAGATATGACAAGCGTTCGACGTCGTTCAGCTCTGGAGTAAAGGGGCGACTTCCATGGGGGAGCGTGAGAGTAGATTGTGATGCTGCAATAGGACCTGATTTTGAATGGAAATGTAATACATGTTGGGCCTCTTCTCTAATGTTCAGTCGTCTGTGCCCCATCGCCAAAGCCAAAAGTGCCATTGTGTCTTTTGGTGAGTCGCTTGGTCTTCCTGAGAAAATGTTGCTTGATTCTTCCGAAGAATCTCTTCCTCTTCTTGGTAAATCATTTATTTCTACTAGAGGATCACTTGTAGTTCCTGTGCTGTATGTGCCTGGCTGTATTTCTACAACCCATGGCTCATCGTTCCAGAAAACTTGAAATGGTGGTATTGCTGGGATAGCAATTGGTAGGGAGAGGTCAAATTTGCACAGCAGCCTACCGTTGTCAGCTAAGCTGACGGTATTTCGGACTCTCTCAGTCACACCACAAAGCCTCGCGATACGTGGCCACGGATTCCACCTTTCTCTAACCTCTTCTTCAGGCAGTCTTATCTCAGGGCTTTGGATTAGTTCTTCCCCCTTGAACGGCAGTAAGTGTTCGTTGACAAATCCTTCATCATACAACATCCTATATGCCTCGAATGCTGCGTCTTTGCAGGCCTTTTTCTCGGAATACCAGGAGCAAGCACCATCTATCCGGCGTAAATGAGGTGGCAAGGAGTTCGGTAAAACGACAGTTGCCCTAATCAGGGGTGGCTCTGATTTTGTCCGAGTCGTATACTGCCGGGAGAAAAGATAATAGGGCCTGCATTCCACATATTGCTTGGAGAATAGTGTATTGCAGAGATGTTCTAAGTGGCCCTTTGCATGTTCGATGTCCATTTGGTTTCCTGTTGTGGTAGAGAAGGTGGGAAAGTAGTCGTCTTTTGACTCCTCCAGCTGATTGAGTTTCCAATTTTCCCGGCCCTCCGCTTCATACTTCTTTTTCATCTCCTCTTCGAGATCTTCCCACGTCATTTGAGTATTGGGGCCGTTCTCATGAAGTAGAATAAGTTTGGAATTCTTTTCCCGAGCTCTTCCACGACGTTGTATGAACGACTTCAAGTTGGAAGGCTTATCAAAACAAACGACAAGATTGCAAGCTGGCACATCTATTCCCTCTTCGAGCACATTTGTAGCAATCAGGAGGTTTATTTTGCCCTCGCGAAAATCCTTCAGGTTCAGAAGACTGTCTTCCCGATTCACCTCGCCAATCTCTCCTTTTCTCGACGCGCTTCGGGATAGACCGACCATTGTGCCAATTCTATAACGGATGCGTGTCAATGGATGGGACGAGAGGAGGGCATGCAAGACGGTGACTGTGGCAGTTTCTTCCACAAAGATGATGCCCAATGCGTTAGTGGGACATGCCAGCAGTTGTTCTATGAGCATCGTAACCTTGTGTGTTACTGGAAGGTCGCCAGTTCTGTCTACTTGAGGCAACTGCACCCTCCTCAGAATATTTGCGAGGTATTGCTTTTCCGCAAGAGTCCAGGCGGCTAGAATGATGTCGTTGTTGTTTACTGAGTTCAAGAATTCGGTGATTGCGAATTGTATATAGTAGTCAGCAGCCCAGGTGCCCAGCTCGCAGCGAATTGTCTTGGTCCTCCGACACAGCGATCTTATCTGCTTGATAGAAGGAGTAGTGTCTTTCTGCACAGCTCCGCGGAGCTCCTCTCTACTGCGGTCCACATGTATCCCGCTTTGAATCTCGAGTTTTTTCTGCTGAATATAGGGATCGTGCCTGATATTCATGGCGTTGCGAACATCCTGCAGGCTTTTCATAGCATGAGTAGTAGTGAAAGCGACGGGATCTGAAACTGGATCGTACGGGACGAGTATCATTTCTGGTCGATTCACCTGGGCGAGGAGCTCAGCCCTGTGTGTGATGGGGGTTTTGCACACAGCATCTAAAGTTGCTTCGATCCTTTCCAGACTGTCTTCTGAGGTCTTCATGACTGGACTTGCTGTCAGACCAAGAATTGCCGGGATATGAAGACCTGCTTTCTTCGCTTTTCGATAGTGACTCATAACCTTGCTGCCGGGGTTATTCCCAACGCAGTTGTGCGCTGAATAATTAGTTGTTGAGACGAAGTTTAGAGTTGATGGAATGGGACATACCTTCATCAAGTACAATGAGCGACAATATCTCCATCGTTACAAACCCATGCAATAACGCTTGACTGAGGACTTCTGGTGTAGATACGACGACGCTGACATTGGCCAAAAAAGCATTCCAGACTTGTGCACTTGACCACGCCTCCGGGCCATCGTTGCCACTTAACATCTTGGTTGCTCCAGAGATTTGTGAGCTGACGACATTGAACTGTTGATAACACAAAGCCACCGTGGGGGCCAGGAACCACACAATCTTTCCGGGCAGTGACCGAGCAAGCTCAGCTTGAATACGCAGAACGGCAACTTGGGTCTTCCCACTGCCAGTGTCCATCTGTTGAAAGTCAGCATTACTGTTATGTCTGAGTCTGGGTACTCTGTGTAGGGTAGGGACTGTGTGAGAGGCAAACTATCGTAAGTAATCTGCTATATATTCCATGAAAGGAACATGACGTTTTTGGGAAAGCCTCTTCCTGAATAAAAACTTCCAAACCCCTCCCGGGGCGAATATTTTCAGGCAAACGATATCACGAATCTCCTTCTGTCGGCCTGTCGGAATACGATCATACCAGGTGTGAACGTACCGCGACAATAATGTTCTGATTGAGGCTTGCCTCTAACATCTCTAGTTGGTAGCCTCGTGCGTGCAGTTTTGCTTCTTCCTGGAACTCTCTGTCCCCAGCTGCGGGCGGGGACGGGGCAACAGGTGCAATAAGTTCTTCGACCGCAGGGGTTCCGACATTCTCGTATACTGGTGGTATAGATGATTCTGATGAGCTTCCAGTCTCCCATTCCTCAAACGAGTAGTTCTCCATTGTCAGTTCCAGACTTGAACAACTGGTAGGCACAAAGGTTCGTTGGTGATAAATCGCCTTTTCACGGATGTTACATGGAAATATACCGAAGATTTGCAGATGCCCTCAGTGATTCGGCGGTAGTATAACAAGGAATACTACGAGCGACCATATCCACGCCAGTAGAAGGCCGAGTCTATGCGAATGTGTGGGCTTTTGTAGCACGGCTTGCGTACAAGTTTGAACCGCAATGAGCAAAGACAGGTGGGGGTATTTGTTGTTTTCCGTGAGTAATTTCAACAGTTCGGGAGGGAATAACAAAGAAGGAATAGAAAGCTTGAACAACTCGTGGAGTTGAGAAGCGCAAACAGCCTCGTACTATGTACGTAGGTACTGTGTACGGGCGCCTGCGGCTGGCCTCCTGCATCCCACCTCCAGCTTTGTCTGCGCAGTACCGAGAAGTGGACCAAGCCTGCAGCAGGGCGCCAAATCTGCGCTGCACCGTAAGGTACTTGAGGCAACAACGCATAAAGGCTGGAGATGGAGCTGTACGCCACAGGCTTCAATGCCTGGAGCCAACTTCAGTTCGGCAAGACTTGGAAGCCGACAGAGCTGACAGATGACTTTTACGAGTTTACCAAAGTATTCGTGGACGATTGTATCGTGGGGGTTCTGGCCTCACTCTCTTCCACTAGTGGTTCGTGCAGTAGCCAAGAATGCACCCTTTTGGGATTCTATACTCACGATTCTAGTGCAGTCGGTACTAGCAATGGGTTGCATACAGCGGGTTTTCAGGACTACAGCACCGAGCTGGTTCATTCTATGCTTACCTCAACAGTAGCTAAGAGCGGAAACGGCAGAATCGCCTGTAAGTCGGGGAATAGCATACCGTCACATGTCACTTACAACGAACCAGTCTATGGTCCGGGGAATGTCGCTATCGATGAGCATAATCTTCCTGCCGATGGCGGACTCGGAAGCATCGCCCATTCGCTCAAGGAAATGGGCAACTTAGCCCAAATCGTTGCTTACGAAACAGGCTTCGCAGCCTTGAATGCCAAAGGGGAAGTTTATACCTGGGGCGACTCACGGTATCCAGCGTGTTTAGGTAGAGATACGGACGAGACCAGGTCAGTCGCATTTATTACCGAACATGGCCACAATGACAGGTGCTAATTCATATAGCCCACCATCTACACCGGGCCTCGTGGCAGACCTCGTGGGACTACCAACAGGGAAGATCACAAAAATCGCCGCCGGTGGCTACCTCCTTATGGCAGTGACGGAAGCCCATGATTTGTACGCGTGGGGCGGTCATCCAGGCCAACCTGCTTTGATCGAGGGCTTGTCACATAACCCGTCGCCTGTGGTTGTTGAAGAGAATGATGTGGTGGATATGGCAGTTGGTGCACATCACGCTATCATATTGACCGAAGGCCGGGAGCTTTTTGTTATTGGCGAGAATGCAAATGGACAGCTTGGACTTCCAAAAGAGAAGAAGACAGTGTCTTGGACGAAGGTGCCGTTCCCTTTAGAGCCTGGCAGTTCCATACATAGCGTTGCCTGCGGTCCGCGGAACACGTTCGTCATCGTCCGCAAAGAATAGTGCGCACAAATACCAACGCAGCGTGAAAACTCTTCGCCTTCTGAACCGTCTATGCTGTTCTATGGTACATGTGAGCACAAGCCTCGATATCCGTAACGCCCCATGATCATAGATTCGTCAAATAGTCCTCAATCTCTTGAGGAGTCAGCTTCCTGAAGCGAGGGCCAACAGCACCCGCAACACCCTCGACACCAAGGAGGTGGTCCGCCGGAGGTCCAACGATGCCTGCCAACAGTTAGCGCCTTCGTGGTACACCTGATGAGTGTCTCATGTGGATTCAACTCACCAATCTCAATCGTCTCTCCGTTCATTTCACCCTCGATCGTCTCTTTCAGGGTCAGCAAAGCAATGTGCACTGCGTCCTCGAGCTCCAAGCCCTCTGTGTATCTCTTCTCCAAGAAAGTCTTGGCCGATGCGGCACTCTTGCCAATAGCTGTTGCTTTCCAGGGGAAGTAACTGCCGGAGGGGTCGACCTGGTACAGCATGGGACCGCCCTTGTGAACTCCACCAGTCTTGCCCGAGACCTTCTTCTTGTTACCTTCGGCGTCGATGACCTCGTCTTGTACCAACGCCTCTTCATCTGGCAAGATCCCTTCGTCCCAGCCAGCGATCAGCAAGCTGACACCGTAGGGTCGCACACCACCAGACTGCGTTGCCTCCTGCATCTCTCGGGCGACATCTTGGACCAGTATCCGCGTGGGAGGGTACTCATTGTAGATTCGCTTGTAGCCGGCGTGGGATGCCTTGCGTGCCTTGTCGACGAGCACTCTGTAATCGGGGCCCATTCCGGCATATACCATGCCGATGTTGGGTGTGACTAGGCTGACCTTGGAAAGCGAGGAAGGGTCGGCGAGGGGTGATGATGACTTCTTCTCGGTGGCAAGAACAATACCATTGGTGGCTATGTCGAGTTAGAGCTTGGAGCTTGCTGAGTTTGTGTTGGATCATGATAATGATGATGATGATGATGATGATGACGAAGAAGACGAAGAAGAAGGAGAGGAGGAGGAGGAAGGGAAAGAAGCTCACCCTTGATTCCTAGCGCTGTGACACCTTGATTGACTGCATTGAGGGCATACTCTACAGTTGGATACGATGTCAGTTATCAGTAGTAGTTGGACAGAGGGTGGTTTGGGTGGTGTCGGTGTCGCATACCAATCTGCACGAGCTTTCCACTATCATGATGGTTAGCTATAAACTCAGGCGAGGGGACAGTTCAACATGGAGCTTACCTCGGCGAGAATGTGGTCAGAGAGAAGGAGTAACGGTCGGCCATGTCTGCGGTACAGACTTCAGAGATCCAGGCTAAGCGGTTGTAGAAAATGGACGGTGGGAGAATTGGTGGGTTAGATTCGAGGTTCAGAAGATACGTTTAACCTTAGATAGATGGTGATGAGGCTGGCGGGCCTCGCTCTCTCAGGTAGCTGTTTGGATTGGGACCGGGGGGTTTCGATGGGCCAGCAGGGCCAGGCATCGCCAGTTTGCGTGTTCGAGCTAACCTAGCTAATCACTAACCGCAGTAACCTAAGGTTAGTCTAGTACTATACGTACTGTAATCCTTTCAGCCTGGTCCAGCGTGTGCCAGTGCGGGCCCGAGCTTTTCAATCGTTGAAAGTCACCGGAAATGTCCAGTGTGCTTAGCAGTACGGTATGCAAGGGCCGTGGTCTAACGTCATGCGCTTTCCTCCAGCTGCACATATAGTAGACTAGGTTAGCCTCAAGTACCTCAGATACGCCGAAAAACGTACCTGTATCTTCAAGTTGGAACTCGGACGATACTACTAGTATGTAGGCACTCGAGTGGGTCTGGTTACCTAAGTCTGGGTACGGATCCGTACCTTCACCACAGCTTCCACAAGTTTCTCGCGCAGAGAAAATTGTGCTCAGCTTTCAACCTCTCAAACACCAAACAAGGCCAATTTGATTCTTCTCGTCGCAACGCTGGTTCGAGCTGTCGTCTCCCCCCAGCAGAGAAATAATTTGGGCTTTGGTGAGTCTGCCCATCCGTCGTAGGACCTCCAGCGTCCCCCGTCAGCGATGGGGTAGTGCCCCAAGAATCTTTTGGGGCTGCCTTCCGTTATGTTCCCGAGTTTGTCACCATAAGAGGCACACCTAGGAGCTTCCGGCACTGCCACCTCAAACCTTTGTCTACGTAAAACCAAACATCACCTCACCACATCCTTCTCTGGCTCTCTCCCATCACTTCAACTATTTCATAGGACCCTTGAGATTACGATTTACCACCCCACTATTTTCTTGGCCTGTCCCGTTGGTTTGTCTCGGCCACCTCCCCCCTTCCCTTGCTTCATTCGAGGCCAGATCTGCAATCCAAGATGGACTTTCCGGACGATGGCTATGAAGCCGCCACCGACGGCGATAGAGAACACGACGAACCCCGACCGCATGGCAATCCAGTGGAATGCAACATTTGTCGCGACGTGGTATATCCTACATATCAGGAGCCGGAATTCTTGGATAAAATCCGAGGCAAACCCCTACGAAAGGTCTACGAGAACGACGCAGGCCGCTTGATATGCCCTTGCAAGTGCTCAGGCAGCATTAAATGGACACACGAGTCTTGTTTGCAGGAATGGAGGTATTCGCAGGCTGGCACCGACAACCAGTGGAAATGCAGTCGATGTGGGTACCAGTACCGCTTTGAACGCATGGACTGGGCTCGAAGGTTGCGAAGTCCTGTGCTCGCCTTCGTCCTCGCCATTGCCATCGTTCTCTTGACCGTGTTTCTGCTTGGCTTTGTAGGCGACCGCATTCTAGATCTTTGGCTCGATCCCGTGGGAACTGTGTACGATGTATTCGGCGGCGAAGCTGACACCTGGGACTTGGACATGGATCTCGACGGCGCTCTGGGCGGTATCCCCATTCCTGAAATAGATGAGGAAGGATGGGGTTTTCACTTCCTGAAGGGCCTATTCTCTCTGGGCTTGGTGGGCTTTGTCAAAGCCTTCCTTGCGATGAGCCCATTTCAATGGTGGAATCTCCGAACCTCGGGTATCGTAGGTGGCGGCGCCCGTCGCAGAGGCACAGGCCGAGATCGACTGGAGGATGTCAACCTGATGCTAGTAGTAATCGGCGCCGCCACTTTCTTTTGGGTAAGTTCTATGCGCGTTCACCAACAATCTCATTTTTATTCTATTTTTATTTGCTAACCATTGCCAGGCTGTCTGGAAAGGCACGCGAAAATGGACACAGAAAGCTCTCGACAAGACTAGCGAGAGAATCATGAACGCCCAGCCTGTTGATGATGATGATGATGATGATGACGTTGATGAAGACGCAGCTGAGAGAAATGGGACACCCGATACTCCCAATGCCGCACCTGAGACAACAGAGCCGGTAGAGGCGACCCAGCCTGCGGCGACCGAAGACCCAGTAGACACAGCGGAATTTGATTTTGAGTTGAAACCCAAGCTCAGACGTGGATTCCTCTAAGTCAAGAAAAAAGCAATGGGCACATGCATATATTTGCAGCAGATTGTCTCATTTTCACACAATGAAGCAAGCAAGCAAGCCAGCAAGGAGGCTCGACCAGTACCTATGGAGTGCTCATGATTCAGTGACACTGCACACTCTTAAGTTGCCTCGAAGATTCTCTTCCATATCGTTGCGACTAGTCTGTGTGCAGAGATGGAAGCCTTGTGACTGTCTTGAAGCTTGGGCGTCTTGTTCTTGCTTCGTACAGACTCGGTCCAGGGCTATCAATACTTGGTCCCAACTTGGCAGCTCTTCAGAGCCAATGCTGATCGACTGACATCACTCCATGTGAGACTTGGTTGATTGTTAGCCGGGCAAAATTGATACAGATGATGGAGCAGAATCCTGTGGAGAATCCTGCTGGAGAACCAAAGGGTTGGCGGCTAAGCCGTATTGTATAGTACCTTGAGGCGAGAATTGCATCTCATGTTCCTGCATGCTTGTGGGCATACAGGGATGGGATTCAAAGTGTGCGCTAGCAAAAGAAAGTCCAGCAACCCGGCGGTCTCTCTAGAGTACAGTATGATAGGATTTAGGGGAGGGATACTTCCCTGAGAGCCAACAAGTAGAAATGAATATCCTGATTGATGCGGAATTTTGCAAACATACCTCGTTCTACCTACTGTTATGAAAACACACCTGACGGCGCAGTTGACAACAAGACCCTACTGTAAGTCTGGGTTGGGTTGGGCGTACCTTGGCTGCGGGGGGGCTTACTTGTATGTACTGTATGTAACAAGCCTGTACAGTGGGGGTTGATGCAGCTGCAGTTACTTAACCTAGTGAGCTGGCCAGTAGTAGTAGGCGCGGTGGGTGCAGTCGCCCGGGCTCCAGGCTTGAACCATGCATGGGATTTGGCGAAAAGGAAGCCCCCTTATTAGTCTGGCTGAGGTTCCAGCCAGATCGTTTCTGGACTCCGGATGGCACAGCATAGGAGGCAGTCTGGATGATGCGCAACCCATGAAGTCTGTCCTTTCTTTTGCGCGATAGTCGACTCCAGGTTGGAAGCTTAATTGGTGTTTATCAGCTGTCGCGATAACCCCCCTCCCCTCCAGGGAAGAAGCCCTCCAGGGAATCTTTCTCCAGGGAGTTTCTCCAGGGTCACAAGTAGCAGATTACAGGTCACCCTGGTCGTACGCACCGCGGCCTTTCTGGAGCTATCCCTTTGTTGCAATTGCAATACACTTGGCATTCATCTTGCTCGCCGCGAATTGCCAGAATACCTTTGCGCCAAAAGAAGCGCGACGCTTTTGAGATTCGAAAGCACCCCCGAGGAGAGCCATCGCTAGCCACCAATTCGGCACTGCGATCGAATCTCATCTGGGAACCCATACCGGCGAGACTCGTCGCATCCTGCCCTGTGACACGCCTGCCCGTATCCCCGGCCCGAGAAACCGCTGTTCACGTCGACATCCCGAGGCGATCCAACCCTCACAATGCATTTCGCATACCCACCGAGGAAAAGCTCGAATCCGCCGCCCTTCCGCCCGGCACGCTCGTCGAGGATACCCACACTGCGCAGGATAAAGCCCAAGACCATCGCCATTGGAGGAGCCCTCATTCTGTTCCTCATATGGCTCTTGTCAGGCCACAGCTCGACATCGACATCTGGCGGCACCCCACGCCGCACACCGTCAGGCGAGCCGCCAGTCGTCATAGTCACAGTCTTCGACGAGCGGCTTTGGGGAGGCCACCCAGATTACCTCGAGTCCATCAAAGACAACAGAGAGCAGTATGCCGAGAAGCACGGTGAGTCTGCGTTCGCAAAGGGATCTTTGGGGGAGCACCGGTATACTGACAGACTGGCCCAGGATACAAAACGATGCTGGTATCAGCAGGCGGCTACGAGATCAACGGCGCGCCCATGTCGTGGACGAAAGTGACGGCGATGCGACACGCCCTGTCGGTACATCCAGACGCCAAATACTTCTGGTACCTCGACCAGCACTCGTTCATCATGAACCCCGAGCTCGACGTAGACCAGCACATCATGGGCACCAGCAATCTTGAGAAGAACATGATCAAAGACCTGCCCGTGGTGCCTCCGGACAGTATCATCAAGACCTTTTCGCACTTGAGGGGAGACGACGTCGACTTTGCTCTCACCCAAGACAAGGACGGCCTGTCCACAGGAAGCTTCGTCATCCGAAACGGGGACTGGGCCGAGTTCTTTTTGGATACGTGGTTCGATCCCTTGTACAGGAGTTACAACTTCCAGAAGGCCGACACCCATGCATTGGTACGTCTAAGTTGCCCCTGCCCCTAAGCAAACCATATGGAATTGCTTTGTTTTGTTTTTATCTATTTCTTCTGACACCTCGCAGGAGCACATTGTCCAGTGGCATCCAACGATTCTCTCCAGGCTGGCCATCATTCCTCAGCGACTCCTAAACTCATACAACAAGCCAAAGCATGGACAGACCTTCCAAGACGGCGATTTCGTCATGCGGCTCGCCGGATGTACCAAGGGTGCCGGCGAGAACAATTGTGCCGAAGAAGCCAACAAGTTCATGTCACAATGGAAGAAGGCCTTCGCCAACGCATGAGCGCGGCATCGACATTGAGCACCCACGTGACGATTCATGAAAGCGGTCAACCAAGAACTGTAGAGAAGGAGGGGGGGGGAGGCACGAAGTTACGGGGCACGCGGGCAGATACCTTTACTATACTGCCACACACTGTGTGTGCATCATGAGCGAGACGAAAGGACGAAACGAGAACCGACGAAGAGGAGAAAAGGAGGCCCCAATCTCGCAATGGGTACACGCGAGTTCTCATCAAACCGGCGTTTGGTGCGGGAGGCCTGGTTCATACTGGCATGAAACCCGAGTTAGAGACTTTCTATTGAGGCAAATTTACGATCCTCGCTGGATTGACCAATCTGCTGGTCGCCTTGTGTTCTTCTTTCTTTCTCTCTGGGCATTTTACAGCGATGTACTTGATTCATCCTTTGGCCTTTTCAACGAAATCAAACTTTAACTTTTTTTTTCCCTTACTTTTTTATAAAAAGATTTTATGGTGGGAAGCGAAAACTTCACATTTTCTTAGTATAGCCATGACCGGTCCTTGAGAGACAGGACGGCTGGGCGAGATAACATGACGGCCTAGCACGAAACCCCTTCCCCAAAAAGAATTCTGGGTTCGTGCCTTTCCATAGTAGAGTCATGGGCCCTCACGAAGAAAGGGGAGGGGGGGGGGGGCTTCTATTTACCCAGAGCATTACTATCTCCATACACACAGAATGGATCACATTCAGCGCACCTACGTCATGGGGTCTCGTAGGATACCAGAGGCTCTAGGTATAGCGTTCACGATTGAGCGGCCCAGCCGGCATAACGCATTGTGCCTCCCTCCCACGTGTGGCGGGCTTGGCTTATGCTTAAAATCCTAATCGAGACTTGCATTGTGCCCATATACTAGGTATACTGCTGGTATTCTGACACTGGGAGGGGTATCAGCACGCCTTTCTCCACAAATATCCTACAGAGACTACCCGTGAGTTAAAAGCATCTAGGCCTTGTACAACAGGTCCAAGAACCCATTTGCCAGGTCCACCACGATCTTCTTGTTCGGCAGGCTACCTGCAACACCATAGAGCGCTGCGCTGTCACCCATAGCCTTGCCCCTCGACCCCTTGCCCTCGACGGCTCTGACTCTCTCCTTTTCTCTTTCCGTCTCAATGACCGCCTCGAGATCCGCGACAAGCTTCTCCCACACCTTGACGATGGGCATGGTCACAGCGACGTGAATGGCCGGCGGGTTTTGCAGAGCGTTGAGATGCCAGCCCTTTCCTGACATGCCGTCGGCAATATCGTAGATATTCAGGTTCCGCGCCGTGAACGCCACCACGCTTACTAGCGGTCGGCCAATAATCTCGAGTTCCGCCGAGAGGGGTGGCGATGTGACGATGTGCTCCGAGATCTTCTTTGCGGTTCCAACAATCTTGACGCACGCGTCTATGTAACCCGGCTCGCCAACTTTCATCATGCTGGCCCAGCAGCCGGCAATGAGAGCACCAGGACGAGAGCCAGCAATACCGGGCGAGGCGTAGACACCACCGGACCAGTCAGGGCTGACGAAGTACTGGTATGTCCTCAACTCGCTAGTGCGGTAAAGGACGGTCGAGTTGCCCTTGGGCGCAAAGCCGTACTTGTGCGTGTCGCACGAGATTGATGTCACGCCCTTGAGACGGAAGTCAAAGGGCTCGGTCTCGAAGCCGGCCTTGTCGAGGAAGGGGACGAGGAATGATCCCAAGCAGCAGTCGACGTGTAAGGGGATGCGGCGGCGGAGCGCAAGCTTGGACAGTCCGGCGATGTCATCTATGATACCGTGAGGGAAGTTTGGGGCCGAGCCCACAAGAAGAACTGTATTTCTGTTGACGAGGCGGGACACCCTGTGCACATCGACTTGATGCGTAGGCGCGGGACAGGGCACAAGATGGACCTTGATTTTGAAGTACTCGCCAGCCTTGCGGAAAGCGGTATGTGCCGTCTCGGGGAGAATCCTTCCATAGCGTTAGGAGGGCCCTCTACAGCGGTCAACTTGTAGCAGTCAGACTTACATTTCTGGTTCCGTGATGCCCCTTTCGGCGTATGCCTTGTTCCGTGCACTCAGGCAGGCCATGAGGATGCTTTCTGTTCCACCACTCGTCGAGACACCTGCAGCGGTAGAAGGCGCATTGAACATGGACAACACCATGGCGACCACCTCGGCCTCCATCTTTCTCACTCCAGGGAAGACGTCGGGATGGATCGGGTTTGCGACGGTGAATTTTCCGTATGCCTCGGTTTGTAACTTTATGAGTTCCTCCTCGCCGTGGTACACGGCGCCGCTGACATATCCATCCTCCCATCTCGTATGGTCCATGCTAGACAGGGTCTCGAGTTCGGTGCGGACCGCCTCGTCCGTCCAAGGCTCTTTGGGCAGAGACAAGTAGCGCGACCCGCCGGCGGGCACAAGCTTGCCCTGCATCTTGGTCAGGGCGTCGTTGACCTGCTTGCGGACCTGCGTGCGCACGCCGGGTAGTCGTAGGAAGTATCCATAGAGAAGGCGGCGGATGTCCACGTAGAGCTCGACGATGGTACCGAGGAGACCGCGGCCCTTGAGTTGCCAGAAGGTGCGGCGGAGGATGCGGAGGACGAAGAAGAAGAAGACTGTGTTGCGGAGTCTAAGTATGGCAACAGTTCTGATTAGCGGTGATGTTTCGTACAGTGCAGGCAATTTACATGGGTTTATATTTGTTGTTGTGTTTGCTGTTATTGTTTCGTGGCTGGGGGCGGCGCTCGAGGTCATCGGCTTCCGATGGCTGTTGGTTGACTTACAAGTCGAGATTCACCACGGACCACGGATCCCTCGGCCGGTTTCTCTTGATACTCTCAAAGCTCTCCCTGAGGCTAATGGGCATGCGAGAAGACCCTGGCATGATCGCTGGATGTGCTTGCTATGTTTTGCTTGGAGCATGAACTAGAGACAGAGGACAATGAAGCAAGCGTGCGACAACCAAAGCAAAAGAGAGGAGAAGGCGAGAAAGATATCGATTGACGTAGTTGGAGCAGGTTCGCTAACTGGACGGTATGTAAGTTAGAGTAGATCCCGTCGCTTTTATCAAGTTGGAGACAGACAGTGCGGTCCGGGGGGGGGGGGATGGGGACGGTGACGGGGATCGCGGCAGGCCTGGGCCAGGGTCTCAGTGGTTCCCGACTAGCGTCTGCTCGCTAAGACAGTAGGAGAAGGCCCCTGTCGCTACCGTCGCTACCGTCAAGCCTAAACTCTCTCTCTCTCTTGCGAAAAACACCCCCCGTTCTTCACATGCAAAGACGTAAGTTATCCAAACCTTGGTCACAAGCATGCGGTTTAACCACCAAGACGGCAACAAGTCCCCAATAATACTTTACTGAATCCGAAACCCGAAGCGTCCTGAGCTGCTCCGATGCTACATAAATCTTGCGTCTGAGTGGCAAACCTTGGAGAACAAGTTACAATCGCAAGGAATGTGACACATCGTGTTAGTCGGCCAAGCTTCTCGCATTGCCGAGTGCGAGTTATCTGATCTTATCTGATCCGAGGCCCAGGTCAGCTCAAATCGTATCCATTTGACTGGCTAGACCGACCAGAGCTATCTTGATCAATCCACTGGCATCATGTGCACTATGTACATGGCACATTTGATCAGATACTGCCCAGGTAAGGTTATCCAGAATCTCTCACGTCTTGGAGCTCCGTCTCAGAAATTGACTACGGTCGGCTGTTCCTCTGGACGTGCAGAATCAAACTACAAGGTACCATATACTGCCTCGAGCATTCCATCAACAAAAACCACGCCTAGTCAAGTTCATGTTGTTCAGTGTCCAAACTGCTGGGTTTTTCCTTTTGTCAATACATAGGTACAAGATGTCCCATGTTTCCCGTCAACCATAGCGCCTTACTCCCAAAACATGCGCATGTTTGTGCAAAGCACTTCCGAAAAAGCCTCCAGGTCCAGCGATCTGAGTCTGCCCAATCAAGCTCTGTATCACTTCATGGAAAATATGGCATATTCCTCTCTAGACGTTGGCCGCCTTGCCGTAGATTACGCGTTTCAGCCCACAGAGACAATCGTTGCATCCTAGTGGATCTAGATTCTTTGCAGAGATGCAGCTCGTCACATCAAAGCTCTCCGCCACTATCATCGCGACTATACTTTGAGCCGCTCTCGTTGAACATGGACGCCGTGTCGCCCACCTGCTTTCGTGCAGATACTTCTTGGAACGCTTTTAATCGTTTTCCTCTATTGTTGTACACCTTCGACGCCAATCCTCGGGACATCCATTCCCTCATGACTGCTGATTGCTATTGCAGAGGTTCCGACGAGCTCGAAAGACGATTCAAGTGCAAGTACACATCCGTGCCATATCTAGTCCAGTCAGCCTGTCGGTCAAGATACATCCGGTGGTGTGTGTGTGCGATAGATACTCACCCTTCCATAGAGATCAGCTTCAAATCACCGCCAAAGTAGCGAGCATAGAGCCTCGAGATAGGTAGGCCATAACCGAATCCAGCCATAGGTGCCTTGAAGTCGTTCTTGTCAAAGTCGGGATCTAGATTCGGTGTCCGGTCCACGGTGGTGTACATGTAAGTCCAGACCAGGGGTATAGCACTTCGGGGAATGCCGCCACCTTCGTCCGAAATCTTGATGGTAATATCCTCTCTGCCCTCGGCAATGATAACCTTGGTCACCGGAAACTCTTGCTTATCTTGTCCATGGGTCTCGACCACAGCGCGGAGCGAGTTCTTCAATGTTTCGAAGAGCATGTGCGACAAATGGCCCGGCACGTACATGAAGTTGAGATTGGGGTTGCAAACAAGCTGGATTTTCGGGGCCTCGAATAGTCCGTAGTGGTCCTCGCATACAAAGCGAGCATTCTCAATTGCTTCCTCGGCCAAATCCCGAACGTTGGTCTTGGTGCAGATGATACCGACGTAGGCTGGGTCCCGGTGATGGCTTTGGTCTGTAAGTGCAATGTGCTGTCCAATGAGCATACGAATCCCTATCCGGGACATGTAGAAGCGATCGAGGAAGGATTGTATGTTGTTGTCGATCTGCATACGTTGGCGCTTCCGCTTGTATTCGAGAATGCCCTGCGCCATGGTTGTCACGACGCCGTCGTGCCTCCTCTTGATCGTCTTGAGAGTCTGAGAGAATCTCTGGTTGTAGGCCTTCAAGTCTGGCGGCCAGTCACATGTGTCATCGACCATTGCGAAGTACCTCCTGGCGGCTTGTTGCTTCCGGCCAGCACTGGTGCCATTGCCGTTGTTAAATGAAGTGTATTGACCTTCCTCAAGACTGGGATTCGGTATCGCATCAGACAGTCGTTTACCATTAGAAGCGCTAGGCTTGAGGAGTCTTTCCCGTACTTGGCCGCCTAGCTCGGGCCGTGGGAGGGTAGTGATCTCCTGTTCTCACATGTCAGATGACTCACGCGACACAGCATCCAAGTTTCCCGTTCATGTTTCCGTTACGCACCTCGAATGATTGTGCATACCAGTCGGCAACCTTTTTGACCGAGGGCATTTCGTTGAGTCCATCTGGAAGGGTATGGAGCTCCTGAACTCGATGTGCGAGACGAATTGGGAGTTCTTCGGCGAGGAATTGGGAGGCGCGGAATAAGGTTCCTAGACGAGGAGGAGTGGTTGTTTAGCGACAGGCCCGGTTCGAATAGACGTGGGTGACGCAAAGCAGCTGAAGGTGAACGGGAACAACTCCTCACTCGTGTATGCACGAGGTCAGATTCAGAGAGGTAATGACATACCAGTCGAGGGCTTCTCGCCGAATTGTACCATCTGTCGCAGGCTCACTCCAGTGGCCGGGAAGTTGGCATAATGCTTGATGGTATCCATCAAGCGCTCCGAGGCTTTCCATGCCATGATGGGCTAACCTTAGAGCTGAGCTCGTGGGTCGAGCTCGCAAACAAAACACAAACACAAATGGCGGTCGTGCTTCAGTGCACCCCTGCTGTGCTGGTATTCTCTGGCGGTGAACAAAAGTTGTTGACAGTCCATGGAGTTGCGGAAGCTGAGATGATCGTGTGATGTTTCGTTTCCTTTCGTCTAGTTTTCGGCGACAAGGAAGTTGGATAGCCAGAGATAGCTGTGAGCTAACCTGTGAATGTTATGGAGTGCTGTAAGCTAATTAGCTAAGGTTAGCATTAGCCCAGAGCCGAGCCGACTGGTCCTTGTCACGACCACGACCTTCACCTTCAATCGAATGGGAGGGACCTCGAATAGAAACCCCGCGGCTTAAACTATGCTGACATCTAAGGTATGACGGAGAGTGACAGATATCTAATGCCGAGGAAGCTCCTTGCTCCTTGCTCCTACACTGCCCGAACCGTTTAAGCGAATCTGCACAAATCACCATTCACAGCAGAGCCCTGCAACTTATTATCACCACAAAAGGAACACTCATAGAATTGCTTCGCGGATCATCTTGTTCAAAGTCCATAGCCTTGGCTCAGTCGGAGCTCGGTCTCGCCAAGGAAATCCACACTCAGGAGAGGATTCGGTGAGCACATGATTGACATCTTTTTCTACATAATGCCGGCCAAGTTTGGGGGTCTTGAAGCGCGCCCGCCCTCCCCCCAAATCAGAATCACTTGAAGCAGGGGTTCCCCACACTCCCAAGCTCGATTCAGCTGCTGTTTTCCACGACGAGTAGAGAGCATAAGTTAGAGCGTAGAGCGACATAGTTGCAGATGAGGCCGCCTCCAAAACTGGTCACGAGTCTTATTACCACTTGCTAGTATGATCAGAATATGTCGTAGACCTATTTAAGGGTTTGTTCCACTCTGTATTGCTCACGGTGGTGCTTAAAAGATGCTATTTCCACATACACTTGTGAGTCTCGCTGGGCATGTTTGGTGTTGAAGCCAGTCCAGTCCTAAGGTTAGTAATCTGTAAGTCCGGTTTTGAGCTCGAACACAGGGCTCGGCATTCGAATTAAATACGCAACGCGCCCACGAAGCAAGGGGACGGAAAACACACGAACCAGTCGTGCTTTTTATGAAAAGTCTTTCACGTTCCTAAAGCAGCAGTAACTGGGAAGAATGGCAAGTTGGCTCACCACTTCGCTCCACATAAATCGGCCGCTGGGGGACAGTGCTAAGTGGCCCGCCCAGTTCCGCCTCCAAGCAATCCATCGCACGGTTTCACGCAGCTTCGATCGAAACCACTACGAGAACGTCGGTAATCTCAGGCAAGAATGCACGACATCACCGATTGAGATGAGATACTAGATTGCAACGCTTGCTCATGCGAACCAACCCAATTCAAGCCAGACCCGCACATTTCTCATTTATTTGCCTCTTTGATGTATGCAAATCCAGCTGACCCGGATGCCTCTGTCGCAGTTGCATTGTAATGTCTGAGAGCTCTTCTGCAGACTTAGAGCCGCAGACACTTCCTAGGTACTACCCCAAGGAACGGCACAACCAGAGGGATACAACGCCCACTTTCTCCTCGCCATCTGCATCCCCTTCTCTGAGCTTCCCATCTCCTAGCAGGTCGTTTCCATTCTCTCCGCTGCGTCGGAGCCCTTCACCACCAAACACGAACTCGTTACATTCGCCGCAGGCAGATGCTGGGAACCGTGATCGGCCCCATGTAGTTCGAGACCACAAAGACGCCTTGACCCAAAGGCTCAATGATCTGGCTGCTAGACTCGCGGCAGATGAGGTGATGCAAGGCGAGGATGTTGACTCTATGCATACCAAGGTCGACGAGCTAGAGGCGTTGATGTTTATGATGAGAAGCAAACCATTAAATTACGATCGCGCTCGATCACTAACGAGCGACAACTATGAGGGGCCTGGCTCAGGCTCAGGACGATTAAGGTCCTCGTCGCTCGAACCGCATTTCTCCAAGGTCTCGTTACCTAAGTCGGAACAGACAGTGCCCCAACACCATGGGATCGGCCAAGGATCTTGTTTGGGCCACCCTGAGCATGTAGAAGGAACAAATAAACACCAGGTGACTCGTGTTTTGGCTGAGGCTCAGAAACTCCAAGCCGCCCTGGAGTCCATTGTCAACAATTTGAAGGCCAGGCAGGAGGAGCAAGAAGTACGATCTCGCACACTGCATACTACACTCCTGCTAATCAGTAAAAGCACATCCATGATCTTCTCATCACGAGGGCAGAGCGAGCTGCTCAGCGGATTATATATCTCGAGGGGCGTGTTAGGGACCTGTGAGTCTACACATTTCCTGTTATTGGTTAAGATGGAGCTTATGAACATATCAAAGTGAAAACGAACGTAATGAAGGCGAAATGGAGATACTGAACCTCCAGATACAATTAAAGGCTATTGAGGTTCAGGTAAGCACATTTCGAGATTGTTTTCTACCCTCTTCAGCACATCCACGGAGTGTATACTGCCCATTGAAGGCATTTGGTTCCTCGACGACTGTCTCACAATACCCCGAATACCCCGCAACCCATCATGAAGAAGTAATTACTGACTCCTAATAATGCAGTGTCTGAGTTATGTGCCTAAAGATGCAGATCCAGACCTTCTGCGAAGTATCGACGCTTGGAAGTCCGAGTGGTCTGCTCTCAAGAGGAATAAAACACGCAAGAAAGGGGAGGACGTTGCAGCCCAAAGATTAAGCTCGCCAGTGCCTCGAAGCTCTCGGCAGCAGTTCTTGAGACATCACGCAGCAGAATGACCAGGACTACAGATATCAGAACTGGAACTGTGCGTAGTCCATCACTTTGCAACAGTCGGCCGGCTTAGAAGGTGCATAATTAAACATCTAGTTCTTGAACTGAACCTGCTTGTATGTCACGGAGTTTGGCGTTTAAGATACCCAATGCCGTCTTGTGTATCTCATCACAAAATCTCTACCTGTTTACGTCACTATGCGAATAGTACGTGTTTCACAAGTGAAATATCCTGCCGCCTGGAAATATAGACAGGAGGTTCCGTGACTCAATTGTTTGCCGATTGCTTTAGCTACTCTTTCGTTCTCCGTGCCCAATATACGAAGGCCTTGCGTCTGAACATCTGTCAGGTGCAGGGTACTTGACACAGTCTCAGGTGCGGCAATTTGTTTGTTTGGGGGGGGGGGGGGGGGGGGGGGGTTTTGAAAGAGAAAGAAAAAAAAGTGATAAAAGCAGTTTCTGATCAATCGAGGAGCATAGAACTCCCTATCTGCAAATACCATGTTCGCGTTATGGTCAATGACGGGCACGATATGTGATAGTGGGTGAAAGCTAAACAGCATTCAGTGCCAAGCGAACACTGTTATTGAGATGAATTTCAGATGTACCATAGATCGTTACACGGAGGCCCATATCTCATAAAGACCAAAGATATTCTTCTAATAAGTGTGAACACATAATATGCACAGGCAAACATCCGAAAACTATATGTAGGGCATCCCTCCATAATTCAGACTCTTCTCGCCCGTGGTGCAACGAGATAAACTCATTCTTAAACCATATGATACAATTGACTTCCCTATTCGCAAATTTTTAATTTTTTTTACCTAGTAACATCCTAGGTGTTCTCTCAGCCCAATGGTACCTTGTGATGATAAAAATCCCATGGCAATAATCCCGTAGGCGCGCAACGTCATGTCTGCTATCTTGTCATTGTCCAGAGGCAGTTTCCCGGGAGGAGCGTTTGATAACTCGACTACTAACCGCGTAGGCGGCCCGGTCTTTCTTATTGTCCCGACGTGCCGCTCTCCTGCTGTTGTTACGTCCGCAGGTATTTCCGCCAGGTGATTCCATCGTCGTCGTCTGCCGCCACCGCCGCATTAGCCATTCTGGGTGGAGGCGCATTGCGCCGGTGCTGATGTGTGGACGATCTCTCAGAATCTGTATTCGCGCTGGCTGGCCAGTGGGGTCTGGTGTCTCACTATTAGGATAGCCGCCGCTGCCTTGAACGGCCCGTACGCTGTCGATGTATCTGTTGGCTCTCCATGCTCTGCTGTCAATGAAAGAGAAACAGAGGAGAAAGCCGAGGGAGTCAGAATCACGATTGAAGACGATAGGCTTCCTGTATCCACACTGACATTGGCATTAGAAGTACTGTAGCCTTGTAGCAGCGGGCTGCGCAGTTGCCCGTTCAACTGACAAAAGACTCCTACGCCAGACGGTTCATTCTGAGAATCGGCCATGTGTGATAAGATGTGATGTGAGTATGGTTGTGACCGGCTACCAGAACTCAAAATGGTTGGACGCGGACCGCCAGTCCAAGTTGGGTGTAAAGCATCACAGGATGTTGTTTGGCAATTGTTTCCGGATTCCAGCTTTGCGCCATTGTTTCTTAGATTAACTACTGCAGAACCTCCCGAATGCTGGTGGCTATCATCAAACTCACAATCTTTAGATTCCACGGGCGGATGATCAAAGTTACTAACCACAGCATTTATGACCAATCGACTGCTGCCGGGTGCAAAACACTTCCGGTTACCTCTTGTGTCATTTCTTCCGTATAGGGCGTGTATGGCTTCTGCGACCAGTACTTTTGAACCCCGAGAATACTAGCACGGCTAGCAATACCCGTTTTTGCGGAGCTGGCAGATGAGAATTGGGTCACTTTGGCTTGAAAGTTGGCAGGTTGAGGTCGTATATCAAATCGTCGATAGCACCATCGAAAACTTTTCGTTTTTTTACGATCGCACTTGCCGATAAGTATGGTGTGATAATTGCTCTCGGCAACTTTTCCAAGCCAACATCTGAGAGGACCATATTGATGGACGAGAAGCATACGCTTCACTGTTTTCTTGAAGCGGCGAAACTCTTCGTCAGGGTATGCCGGTATGTAAGTCGCCAAGAAGGCAAATGACAGTACGACCCGTTAACATAGCCAAAGCCATTTTTCGGTTGACAGCCAGAGATTCCAATGGTCGCTTCGTCGACTTCTACGATGATATGAAGTGCCAGCATCATCTTGTAATTATAGAGAGATACCTATACTAGGGTATAAATTCCCGCGTTCACATCCGTGGGCTTTGCTCTGTATCCGACAAAATTTACTCGTAAATGGGCATAGTTCAGAGCTGAATTGGTACATGGTATTATAGAAAGTCTCCTTAGGACCTGACTCAGGGGTTGCATAGCATTCGTCAGATGGTTTACCCCATTGGGTAGGCAGGTGAGAGCTAGGTGCTGTAATTACAAGCCCGCCTGGACGCTTGGGAAATATGCGATGGTCACTGAAACACACAGATGGTTTCTGCGAGACCATGTATGAAGACGCGGCATCACCAATGGTCGCTGAGTTTGTGGCAGATTGGGCGTTAGTCAACACTCAACAATGACAAGACGTACCCTGCAGCACTAGAACCAGAATTCCGCTCATGGAAATAAGGCGAAAACGCAAGCCACCGAGTGCCTTCGCTCAAGAGAACTTGGTGTGGCAACTACGTGTAACAACAACGACCTTGTGAGGGGCTGTGTGCGATATGACTGAAGCCTCTGCGAGATATCAAACGTTGTTGTAACATCCAGGACGGACAGAGAAACCGTTCACACAAAATTCAACGCAATCACACAAGTACACAACCCAATACTTATCTGTATGACTGTCAATTAGATCCTAGGCTATACTACTAGCTGTCCACGGATAACAATCACCAAAGTCTAGTGACCTTTGAGGTATTCCCATGTCACATCAGTGACATCTGCCAGCAAGCAGTCGTGACCATTGTGAACTTATGCGCTTACCACTAAACTCTAAACCATATCACTAACCATAAAACAACGCAGAAAAACAGTCGACATGTTCAGTTCTATAGTAACCCCACAAGCTATTGAGGAAGGTTGAAATTACATCTCGTCCTCACTGCCAGAATTGTAGGTGTCGACATAACCATTGCCTGATCTATTCTCCGGTACCCACAACGAGTGGAAGACTTTTCGCCTGTCCTAAGGATGCTGTTAGCATAAACGCCTCATACGTCAAGGAGCAAATAACTCACCACCCGTGCCCAGTTACCATTGCCCTTCTGCGGTTTGTTACGATCCGTGACACTTCCTGCTGCATGTGCAGCCGAGGCGTTGGTTCCAGTGCTTGTACCACCAACGTCTCTCTGATGTGCGTTACCGTTGGGGTCGAAGGCAGTGAACTTTTGAGCCCGCAGGGCACGGGGACCTTGTACCTCGGACGAAGGGACACGGGAATCCGTCGACATTGTCGGAATACCAGCTCGAGAGTCGCTTGATACCATAGATGGAGTTGAGGCGCCAGATTCGACAGGGCCTGATACATGACGCTGAATAAGGTTCCTCTCTCGAAGAGTGACTTGATTCTCATTCGCCAACAAGTGAAGGGGCATCCATGATGATTTTGATGTTTGAGTCGAGTGTGCTTCAGATGAGCCTTGCACATCAAACGTTGAGATTTGAGTTGAGGCCAAAGCATGGCGGGTCCCGGCACCCTGAGAGACCGAAGTAGAGGTGAATCGGGATGATTGCTGTGAAGCCTGAGTGGATCCTGAAATCAAATTGACCGAAGGTACCCTCAGCGACCTATTTGTGTTGATTATCATGGTGCTCATGGGCTTTGCAATGTCGTCGGCGGGAGCGCAGTTAGCAGTGGTGATATGCTGTGTGCTGTTAGAAAGACATTGCGAAGTCACTATGAGATGAGACATACATCATCATCATCAGAATACTCCGAGGACTCATCGCAAAAATAATGACCATAGCCAGCCACTGATGTCTCGGGGCTGTCATCGTTCTCATTGTCGGTCAACAGAAGGTCTTCACCGTCTGCAAGGCTGGGGATATCAGCAAATTCATCATGCTGTCCATCACGCTCACCACCTTGTACTTCGGGCTGGTCCCCTTGCTGGTCATCCTGGTCATCCTGCTGAGCCATAAAGCCCTCTACTTCGTCAGGAGCGTCGTTCACTTCGTTGGGGGCAGCAATTGGGACGGAATCGTATTCCTGCTGTGCTCGCCATCGCACACAGCTTCCACACCACTACAGGGCAAGTTATTCGGTCAACAATAGGTTTTGTGGTTATAATGGCACATAACTTACACGGAACTTGTTGCGTCTCTGTGCTGTACTGAACTTGTCGCGAGCCTTGTGCAAACCGCAGGGGCCGTTGCACTTGAGTGACAGGACTGGCTCGCCAGTGTGATCACGGCATACAAGTTTGATGTTGGCCGGTGTTATGCCATCGTTGGGAGAACGTTTTCGCTTGTGCCAGATGGCAAGCTGATTCTTTGAGAATCGAAGAATAGGTCGCCACTCGCCACCAACAGCACATTTGAACCTCATTCCCGTCAGCTCAAATGTAGTGAGATTGTGGAACAGGAACATAACTTACGCCGGAGGAAGCGGATAGGTTCGGCTGCTAGATGAATATTATCAGCACGCGCACACGAATGAATCTTTTGTGCTGGACACTTACAAGTTGCCGTCCCAGTTGAGCTTGTTGTTGTTCTTTGAAGGCATTGTAACGAAAGTTCTGACTGGCAAGAAGCCTGTGTGGAACGTGGTTAATCAGTGACGAACTTGATCAGATAGAGCTTTTGTGATGATGGGGGTGATTGGGAAACAAGGAGTTCTGCTGAGCCCGTGCAACTTCCAATACAAACGGATGGGGAAGACGCCGAAGAAGAAAAGAAGGCGCCCGAGGAGGAGGAAGCCGCAGTGACTATGAATGTATGCCTGTTATGCTCAAAGCTATTGTAGGCGGCAAAATGTAGGTCGCAATGTCGGGAAACAATTGTGGTAAGGGCAGAGGGAGAGATGCTAAACGCACCACAGTTGTCTGAAGTATACCTGTGTTACTTGTCAAGAACAGCGGATTCCTAGGGCCACTGGTCAACGTGATGAGAAAACAGAAGGTGGTAAGATCCAGTACTGGATGGAGAGGAACAGCTAGGATTCGTGGGGACAATGATAAAGTGCCCCCTCCAGAAATTGATTTGTATCAAGTTCGTATGGTAGTCTTGAGTGCTGGGGTGAGGTCGTTGCTTACCTGATTTAGTATACTGAAAGAAAGCAGGAACATCTGCAGGATTCATGGGTGCTGACCATAGTTGCCTTTTGCAACTTGAGAAAGCCTGTTAGTCGTGCGAAGGTTTGAAAGGAAGTCACGATCAGTAGAAGCCATAATCCGCTACAAGAATGAATCGAATAACCTGGGTAATTGAATAACCCGGGTCTACGTGAAGGCTGACTAGACAACAGCGTGTTTGTATTCGTTTGTGCTTATTGTAACGAACTAGCTGCAATGAGGCAGTCGTTAGACTAATGCTCGAATCCTTAAACCTTTGACGTGCGGTGTATTCTTCTAATGGACTGTTCATTCCCGTACCGAAGCTGGACTGTGTCTGTGACACAGTCAAAATAAGGCTTGCTCAACACTAGCTGTATGAATATCATGTCAACTTATTTGGAGTATTTCCAACACTGCTACAAGCATCGAACATCCGAGTATTTCTGTCAGCATCAGGTCGCTAATATTGACACAAATTCGACCTGAACGACTCAGATGCTTTGCTACTATCAATATATACCAGATGAGGCATTGCCCCATCTGGCTTCTACGCGCTGTGAATATTCTTGGCCGGGGAGCCACAGCCTTGAGAACTCCACTCGTCTCATGACTTGTTCCATGGCCAAGAGGATTCCAGGAGCAACCATCCCATTAGTCTAGGCCTTTGAATATCAGGATTTAAGTCAAAATTCCGTAGATCTTACGTCCGAGAGGGACAAGGACTGAGGCTCTAACCGACTCCGTGTACGCAGTAGTCGAGCCTTTCATGGCTAAAGAGACATTCTGGCCTGCTTCTTGGCTCTCTTGGGCACCGAATCCAGATATCGTATATACAAGACGGCCTCCCTTAAGTAGAGCCGGTGTATAAATTAGATAACGAGCATGAACGATTGGTCCTTGCGGAAGCCCAGAACCTCGATTTGCAATAGTAGTGCAAGGTCATACGTGCGTGACCATGGTTACTTAGCGATCGGACCGCGGAAAACATCCGACACAAATTGTGCACGGAGCATAATGGCGATCATCCAAAATAGACCTCGAGTTGCGCGAGTCAGAGCTTGTCTACCTGAGGTTATTCCGGCAACGAAGCTGACATGGGATTCAGGATGCACTCGTGACAATTCTGCTGTTGTGGTGGGTTGACAAAAGCAGCACGCCACTTCACATACCACATCACTGTCATCGATGACTATCAGAGCGATTCGCGTGACAGAGTTCTGGAAAATGAAAGCGAGGATTCGACCCCAGATACACAAGGTTTGCGGGCGGCCGCCAGAAGAGCCTAAACCACCGGGAAAGCCTATCATGCACTAATATGCGCTTCTTGAAAATCCGAGGCTACCACGAGTGTTTATCATGTCTCCCACTCGTTCGGTCGTGGCATATAGGTGGCGGTGTGAACTATAAGCCATGGGGCATATTAAAAGTTCATGCGAGCAGGTTGGGCCACCTTAGCTAGACGGAAGGGACACCTTGTTGCCATTGTGAACAATCCAATGCCTGACTCCACGAGGATTTCAATGGCGCGATGGAAATCAACGCTACAGCTACAGCTGCGGCGGATACCGCTCAAGATTGACTAAACTTGGAGACATCGCAAAAGGCATGATCCCATTAAAAGCTGGCAAATTCGGGCAAGATTGCAAGCGTGAAGGCGGCCAGCGGACGAGCCTCCCGGATAGTCTCGTGGCCACTTTAGGAAAAGCGTCCAGAATGTGATGGTCTGCACTACCATAGGTGATCCTTTTTTGGTATCAAGCATGTTCCTTACCAGCCATGACACTGCGTTTCAAAGCCCGACGAAACCATTATGCGTGCCTGCTTGATTCTCTGCCGCGCGCTCTCTAGCGTTCCTGTCGTCTAAAGGCACAACGCTGTCAGGGTTCAATTTTGTTTGCAATCCCCGGAGCATTTCAATACACGGACGAGCAGTGAATTCAAATGCCGTAAGTTGAACGTTTGATTGGCACACCACCATGACGACATCAAAGTTGAGATGCTGGGCATAAAGGCTGAACGCATATTCTTGCACAAATAACAAAGCCCACGCGTTCTGCTCTTGCAAGAACTCAACAGTACATATACCTTCCAGACAGGGGCAATTACCAGGCAATCCTGAATCATGCAAGGTCCAGGTACAGCGCGGGAAGAAAAGATGGTGTGGAAAGGCTGGGAGATCCATCTGTCAGGATATTCGTCCAGTCATCCAACAGGAGGTGCTCTGTGGTGGGCCCGCCATCTTGGCTCAGGGGAGATGGAAGAACCGGCAGAACTCAGACTACATGGTTCCCTGCCTGAATGTACTTCTCATGACCACGTAATTGGAATAATAACCAGGAGTATAGAGATCGATCAACATCGTACCTAATACTCACAGTGCCATTCACATACAGAGGCCTCTCTCATATGTAGATACCTCCGCACAACCTGCGGATTGTCCCTTTCGCCCAGTCTTCATTTGGAAGTTTTCTGGTAACTATCGTGACGCTTGGCTTAATCCGTTGCGCCAACGCTGAAGAAGGCAATGGTTCCTGCAGGTCGTTGGAGTTGGTCAGTCAACCAGCGAAGGCCTGGTCGCACCGCTGAAGCCTTCTGCTTTCTCGATCGCTCAGTTTATGTGTTAGAAGCGACTAGCTCCTCTAGATGATAGCATCCAACCCATGGTTCGCTGTTATTGACGAAGAATTCTAGGCATCAGATCTGGCACTTCTCTTGAAACTTGGAGTTTGCACAGTCGTCACCTTTATCCTAGCGGTCTTGATTGGACTTGGTTCCGCCACATCCTCACGGGCCTCCCCCTTTTGCTCCTTCCGGCATAGTCAGTTCAGTAGTTTCTTGAACTCGGGCTTTTGGGCATAAATCAACAGGGCGCATTTTGTACCGGAAGTGGGCTATTCTCTTAATCATACCCTGAGCACAGCCGTCTGACACAGGCAGAGTTGATGCTAAACGATTGGCTGGTGCCGGCCTATCATCAGCCTCGGTCCAGTTTACTATTACAGGACTCAGGAAATGCATATGTAGAGCAAACAACTGCTACACGCCGCGACATTACTCATGAACAGGTTCACCAACCCCGTCGTTGTGACCAGGTCCATAATGGATGGGGGCTATATTTCCAAGTTGGGGTTTGTAAGCACATAGTCCGCAGGGGCGTCAGAAGAGAATATATGGATAGGGACTCTAATTCTGGATTCTAGACTCTCAGTCCTGGACCGTACTTGAAAGGGTCCGCAACGCGCCTTGCTACTGGTAACAGACTCCCGCGGTTGGTGGTTTGTTCGCAACTTGAGATGTCGGGTGCGCTGGCATTGCGCGAAAACCAGTTCCAATCCATGCTGCAAAGTGATCATCCACTGGCTTCGAGACTATTGGCTTTCACAGTTTTGACCGTCTTTGGGAATCTGTTTCCGGGGAATTATGACTATTGATGTGACAATCGATCAGTGCATCTCGTCACCAGTTCTCAGAGACATTATGACCGACCTTGTCGTCCCCGCCGCCGTTGGAGCTTGACACGGGAATCATGTATGACATAACCTTCTTTTCAAGGGTGCAAAGTACATACATACCTCGAAGCCCTGTTCGAGCACTTTAGAAATGAGAGTGGTTTAGGAGTTGGGTCCCCGTTTAGACAATACAAAAGTGATCCACGCTAGATCCGTAATGAACCTCCGATCCTGAACTGTACAAGTAGACGGCGGTACGGTTTCTTGATTGGCATGCCGGCGCCGCCCATAAATAACCCGCTTTGCTTGTTAGGTCGCAAGGCCAACGGATGGGACGGTTTGATTTAGAGCCTGAGGAGATCGTCCTCCTTGAAGACGAACAAGACGGTCAGTCATCCTTCATGCCGCCAAGAAGAAAAGTGTATCTGCAAGCTGAGGGTGTCTTGTTAACCCAGATGTGTACATGAGGTTGGAGCCAAAAAAGAAAACTGGAAATGCGATAATCAAACTAAAATAATTGCGAACCCGCTGGAGCTGTAACGTATCGAATTTTCTCCCTCCGCCGGCCCCCTTTCACAGCACCCCTGCCTTCTCTAGGTCCCAGCAGCAAATTGCCAGAAATTGGCCCTTGACCAGCAGACCAGTCCCCAAATCACACACTGCCACTAGCGAGATTGGGGTCTTCCATCCCCCCCGTTGAGTCTGTTCATGCTAAGCATTGAGGGACCGACTCAAACACATTGTGACGAAATCTACGACTACATACTAGGTTACATACTGAACCAGAGGACCACCGCTGGGTCCTTTCACTGGCGCATTGCTCATCTCACTTCCTCCCTCTCATTCCACTTTCATCACTCTCGCTCGAAACTCGAAACGGCAGATTCGAGTTCATGGCAATAATCGAGTGCCGCTAATTGGTAGCATAGCATCATTTCGATGCTATCTGTTGTTGTGCTCGTTGCTTGTTCTCTGTCTGGCCTCATCCCAAGTTACTCATTCCCTTCAATCTAGCAACCGCGCGCATCGCTCGCTCACAGCACTTACGAGTGTCTTGTCTTGTCTTGCGACCGGTAGCTTTGCAGTAGCTGCTACACCAAATAGCCACGACACACACATCCAGTCCCTTTTTCTTACTGCACAACCGTTTACTACAACTACAATCAGTTCAATCAAACCCACCGTCATTCATTCTTTTTTCCTATTCCTTTCCCCCCAACGTGCACAATTTCTCCGTGCTCTCGGTCAATTGAAAACCAGTCACTCTCTTTCTTTCTCAGACAACAAGCATTATTCGCGCTAGCAAGGACTGCATATTTCGAGAAGCTCGCAACCCAGCTCATCGAACATCAGGACGCCTTGACCAAGACCCGCACCCCGACTGTCCGGTTCCATATCCCCTGGTCCCCTAATCCAACGTTTAATTCGAAGGGCATCCTGTCTAACTCTCTACTACTATATCGGTTTTCTTTTTCTTCCATCTTAACTCAAAACCTACCTACAACATCCCACCCTCTGTGGCTTGAACGACTAAACAACTCGGCGCTATATCTTTCGTATCTAACACGGATCTGTGTCTCCATCTCGAAAACATACTCGACTTGAATGTACAAGAAAGCATTACAGCTCTGCCAATAGAGCTTTGCTTACGTAGCTCTAGTACTGCTCAACGTCAGTAGCGACCTTCTCACGTTGCTGGCAGGACACGGCTGCCACCAGACATTAATGGGACGCGTATCGGCTTCTTCCCATACTGCTCTATAATACCTACCGAGGAAAAAGAAACCCCCCATGATGACGGTAGCACACGATCTGGCCCACCGCGGGGCTTCGATACCTCACAGCTCAGCAGGAATGGCTCTGGAGGATCGGTTTGAGGTTCTCAAAGAGATTGGCGATGGAAGCTTTGGCAGTGTGGTACTCGCAAGAGTACGGGGTGCTGGAGCAAGTGTCGCTCGTCGGGGCACGGTGGTATGTACTCCCAGATCCGCCACTTTACATGCTGGGATATATATGCTAATACTCCATACAGATTGCTATCAAGACAATGAAAAAGACGTTCGAGTCTTTTGGGCCGTGCCTCGAACTGAGGGAGGTCGTATTCCTGCGAACACTGCCACCGCATGTTCACTTGGTGCCAGCTCTGGATATCTTTCTAGACCCATTCAGCAAGAAACTCCATATTGCAATGGAGCATATGGAGGGCAACCTGTATCAGCTGATGAAGGCTCGAGACCACAAGGTGCTGGATAATGGCAGCGTCAAGAGCATATTATTCCAGATCATGCAGGGTCTGGAACACATCCATGCTCACCATTTCTTCCACCGCGACATCAAGCCTGAGAATATTTTGGTGTCGACATCAGCCCACCAGGACTCGGCAAACTCGTTTAGACGTTACTCGGCCTTGGTAACACCACCATCAACCCCCCCGACGTACACGGTGAAAATTGCGGATTTCGGGCTTGCTCGTGAAACCCATTCGAAATTACCTTACACGACTTATGTATCTACGAGATGGTATCGTGCACCCGAAGTTCTTTTGCGCGCAGGAGAGTACTCTGCCCCTGTGGATATCTGGGCTGTGGGCGCTATGGCTGTTGAAGTGGCTACCCTTAAACCTTTGTTCCCTGGCGGCAATGAAGTTGATCAGGTTTGGAGAGTGTGCGAGATCATGGGAAGTCCCGGTAACTGGTACAACAAGGCTGGCTCTCGTGTCGGCGGTGGTGATTGGAGAGAGGGCACACGGCTAGCTGGCAAGCTTGGATTTTCATTCCCCAAGATGGCGCCTCACTCGATGGATACCATTTTGCAATCACCACAATGGCCTGCGTCGCTTAGTCATTTCGTCACCTGGTGTCTGATGTGGGACCCCAAAAACCGACCGACATCTACCCAGGCCCTGGCTCACGAGTATTTTACTGATGCAGTTGACCCTCTCAGACCCAAGTCATCAGCTTCAAGAATCCTCGGCAGAAAGCCATCCGAGATTGGACGCGGTGCGAAGGATATTTCTTCGCCTACGACTTCATCTAAGCCATCTTGGTTCAGGAAATCACTGATCGGACGTGCGGAGAGCGCAGAGCCTACATCAGCGCCAGCTGTTGCCAAGGAATTAACAGGTCCACGACCTCAACCTGTCCACTCCACGACTACGAATGAGATTCCGGCTATAAAGACACGCCCACCAAATGGTAAGCGCACAACGTGGACTAACGGCCCATCCAATGTCGCACCTATGCACATTCTCCCCACGATCAAACCCATCTCACCTTTATCAGATACTGTTCATGCTCAGGCATCAAACAGAACACCCTCCTATAACGACTCTTACGCGAACGGGGCCCAACGAAATGCTCAAGCTAGTGAAAAGGCCAGCAAGATCGGTCGGCAGTTGTCTGTGGCTTCCAGCACCAACAACTATGCTGAGCTTCACCGCCAACAAGCCGAACGAGCCTTGAACGGCAACTCAGGTCTCGCATCTCCTCCGAGTGGTCACAAGGAGAGCTTCTTTTCTCATTTGCGGAAACGTGCCAGGCGCTTTTCTGGCAGGCATCAGACTCCAGTTTCTCCCGCTTCTGATGACATCGAAGCCCAGGCAGGTTGCGGCCCTTGGGCTAGTAACAGATCCTCCATGGTCATCGATCAACAACCGGGACCTGTCCCTGCTAAGGTCGACAACTACGACTCTCTTGATCGTACACTTCAACAAAATGGAGATTCGCTACACCCGCCTGTCCCGCCTAGCCACATGGTCACTCCTGCAGGGAACCTGAAGAGGCATCATTCATTACCGCATCAGCAGCCACGGTCGATTGACAATCTCATTGGCGCAGCGAGAGCTTCCGGCCCAGTCTCTGGCCGGACGAGAAGGTCGCAGGCTACCCATGGTGTACATCAATACGACGCACCGGCCGAGGAAGACGAGCTGCTCGACGAGGCTCTGAACTCGACTCATCGTGCCATGAAGCGTATGGAAGGGGACGGCAAGCCTCCGTTGCGTCAATCGGCAAGCAACATCGTCTTGCCAAGCAATGTTGCAATGATGAACCCGTACCCTACGCCTTCACCGTCTGCCAGCGGAAACCAGGGAATGCTTTTTGGTGACTCTCATGAGGCGGTGACACCGACACCATTAAACATGAACAAGGCTCCGGCCCGTGATCCTCAAAAGTGGCCAACTCCGCCTTACGAGGAAAGCGAGTGGGCAAGCTCGGCAGCTGCAAGCATCTGGGCTGCTGGCAACAGATTCTAAATCGAAGATGGTACCTACATAAGACTTTCGATTGAGCAACATAACTCGCTTTGTATCATTCTCATCATGGCACGGTGTTCAGGGGCGCCTTTTGTTTTTTTCTGGAGATATCTACATGGCCGGTATCATTGTTTTACAACGCTCGTTTCCGCAATCGGTCATATATACGTTGACTTTGGTCAGCATTCAGATCGTCGACACTCGCTGGGGCGATCTTCTCTTCTATACCCCCAAAAGCTGGATCGACACGATTTCGTGTCGCTTGTTCATCTACTCGTTTCCTTCGACAAATACCCCAAGATATAGACAGGTTGTAAAAGGTTTTTGGAACCCAAGATTAGCGCAATTTCTTTTGTTGGTCCTTGGTGGTGACGGGGCCGCTAGCCGTTTCAGTTTGCACTGCCACCAAGAACTACATACTGTACAGAGACATGTGACTGTAGAGTATGAGTGTTAGATACATGGAGGGATTCAGCCGCAGCTGCGGGCTGGGTTAAGAGGGAAGGATGTAGTTGGGAAGGCCTTGGCCCTTGGTTGTCAAGGCGAGATTTGGAGACGGGACCTATATATATATATACACAGAAGACCTCTTCTATAAATTTGGGCATATGGACCCCAGCTTAGCTCAAGGGACTTTCCATGCGCATATGACTTGGTGAACTGGTTGTAAATTCCAATGACTGTGACTTGATAACAACATGTTGATAATGATGATTTTGAATTGTCATGAAACCAGAAAAAAAAACCGAACAAAAAATACATATGAATGGCTCTTCAAACACTCGAGAAGGTCTGCTGCAACGCGCCGCACAGCGTGATAACTTTATTTACACGTAGCCGCGTGCGTGCATGGTTCAGAAGCTTATCTGCAGCCTACATGCAAACCGTTGACCTACGGCAGACTAACTTAGTGATATTTCTTGTTGTGCCGCCGCAGTCAAGGCGGGTGAGAGAGATAGGGGCGGGACGGAGCTTCTACGGAGAGTTTCTAAAAGGTCAACATTGCGGATAACAAAACGGTCATCTACTTCACAAGCAATAGTTTTCGAGATTCTCGATTTTGGATTTTCGGTCTGCACTGACGTCGTGTGCAGCTGCACGAAAAGATGCAAGCAGCGCCTCGATCAGCCGGTGGGCAGGTGGGCAACTGAAGATAGCCTAACCTAGACTAGTCTAGGTTAACCTAGTCCACTGAAGCTCTTTTAGGGGAGGGCCGAGGGGGGCAGCCAGGGAGCTCTCGGAGCATGGACATGACCTGGAGAGCCCAGGCAGCAGGCAGCAGAATAACTGAGGTCAGCCCTATGTTCCTGGCAACATATGCAGCTCGTAAGGTACTTTACTGGACTAAGCTGACCGAGTCCAGTGCCCGGGAATGCTGCAGCCTGTTGCCAGTACTTGACGTTAACCGTGTCCGAATCCAATCTTTGGTGAAATACGAACTGAGCCGGGCCAAGCGATCCAGGCACCATCTTGTTTTATACTTGAAAGGGATACCACCCACCAGACAATTGGGTGGAGAGGACTAAAGCAACGTTAGGACTGTCAGACGGGAGACGGACCAGACTCGACTTGACTTGACGCCTAGGTACACTGCCCCGCATAGCAACTGAGCGCATTGCTGTGCCACCTAGACCTTGGATGTTCGTCCAACTGAATTCTGTATCGGAATCTGAATCCGAATTGTTCTTCTGATGATATAAAGCTCAATTGGCGATTGTGGGCATAGCGTCAATTACCAACGAATCGACGCTTGAGCCGGAACGGAGCAATTGATTGGGAGCAAACTGGTTCTGTCACTGCGCCGGGCAGGGTTGCCCCCCTCTTAGAGATTGTCCTGCTGTCCGATCGCTCGAGGCTGACGGCCTACGGATCCGTAGAGGCTGATCAACATTCGGAGGGCCTCCAAGATGAGTTTCAACCTTCCCATACGGTCCAGTCGAAGTCAGAGGAATCAGGATAGTAGAGACCGCTATTTCGGAAATTACACTCCTCCTTCATCGACAGAAGCCATCAACGGCCCGGTACGCGAGCTCGCCCCTGCCAATGACCGGCTTATAGTGGGTGTCGACTTCGGTACCACATTCTCGGGGTAAGTAGGTGTCTCTTTCACGATGCGATCAGGACTTCTGTTGGGAAGGGCAGAGATGCGATTACAGCTTAGGCGTCCCGTTGCTGGGAAGAGGAGTCGTCGAGACTGCGGACGGGGCGCACAGCTGTGCAGCATTCCTATTGACTGCTGTCACTACCCAGCCCCCCCGCCACATACACCCAAGTCTGCTACGTAAATGCTGATCGAGATCCAAGCGTGGCTGCAGTGTATACATCGACCCCAGATGACGTGGAAATCATCAAGACATGGCCGGGCGGGAATGGCATCACCTCAGACAAGGTGCCGACAGAGATTTCCTATGATACGCCTGCCAACGCGCCAACCGGCACAGCGCCCACTATCAAATGGGGTTTCCAGTTCAAGCCTGAGGAATCACGGCTTCGATGCATAAAGTTGTTCCTCGACCGGTCACAGAAGCTGCCTTTTTATGTCAGCCCCCAGGAGACGGCCACACAGTTGCGCAAATACAACAAGACCGTCGTCGATGCAGTCAGCGACTATTTGACCCAAGTCTACAAACACACCATGGACACACTGACGCGCAGGTATGGCGAGTCGTTCATGGCTTCCACCAAGGTCGAATTCGTGCTCACGTGCCCAGCTGTGTGGTCCGACGCCGCTAAAAACACGACCTTGCAGGCTGCCGAAAGGGCTGGTATGGGAGCCAAATCGGACATTCAGATGATTAGTGAACCCGAAGCCGCCGCCGTTTATACTCTGAAGGCCATACAACCGAACCATTTGAATGTGGGAGATAACTTCATCGTTTGTGATGCCGGCGGTGGTACGGTAGAGTGAGTCCAGACTGTCCTTGGGCTGCGGCCAGAAATTCTGTCCGTCGGACTTGCTAACACAATGTACAGTTTAATCGCTTACAAGATTGTGTCACTGAAACCACTGAGGGTCGAGGAGTCCGCTGTTGGTACTGGTGGCTTGTGCGGCAGCGCATTCTTAAACTACAGATTTGAAGAGCATGTCCGGAGTCGTCTCGGTGTCAGCCGTTTTGATGAAATGAAGATGAAAAAGGGGAAGACATGGCAAATGGGTCTTCGATACTTTGAAGAATTTGTGAAACGAAACTTCAATGAGGAGGAGTACCAAGAAGTCAATGTTCCGTAAGTTGTTTCTATTCGTAACATGCCGGGGTTGCAGGCTAACTTCTACTAAGCTTTCCCGGTCTCCCTGACGATGAAGACGCCGGCCTTGACTCAGGCTTTCTCGTTCTTACAGCTGCGCAGATCAAAGAGATTTTCGAGCCCGTGGTGAAAGAAGTATGCGATCTTGTACAGGGTCAAGTCAACACTGTACGCAGCAAAGGCGGTATAGTTTCAGGTATCGTATTGGTTGGTGGTTTTGGCCAAAGCGACTATCTGTACCGTCGCATGAAAGCACATTTTACTAGTGCAGCTCCTCCTCCATATACCGAGCGGCCGACACATACAAGTGGTGGTGCGATAGCCGAAAATGGTAGCATCGAGGTCATGCAGCCTGTGTATGCATGGACGGCCGTAGTGCGCGGCGCCGTGTTGAGGGGCTTGGAGGGCAACATGGTCATCTCGCGCAAATCGCGGATGCATTATGGTACTAGTTATGCGACCGTGTATGACGAGGAGAAGCACAGCGTCTCTGAGAGATACTGGTCACCACTTTGGGAACGGTGGATGGTTTCGGACCGCATGCAGTGGCACATTGCAAAGGTGAGTACACTGTGTTACGATGCACACTTGTGGAAATATGTGGCCAGTTTTCTATTTGTTCCCTGTCAAGATCTACCCAAAACGAAAGAAAAAAAGCAGGAATTTCTTTTTTCTTTTCTTCACTTTAGCTGCAATAACTGACCCATTTAAAATTTAGGGAGAGGCTATGTCACCCTTGTCGCCTATAGCATTCCACTACACTCGAAACTTCAGGCCGGGCCAATCGCTTATTGTGACGGATGATCTCATAGGGTGCGAAGCAGATGAGCCACCAGCAGCGTACGGACGGGAGCTTGTCCACGTATGTACCCTAACAACGGATCTCAGTGCTGTACCCAGAAGCCTATTTACTCGTCTTACCACTACAAGGGGTGTCGAGTTTGATAATCTGGATTTCACGCTCGAGATGATCGTCGATAGCGCTGGTCTCGGGTTTGAGCTCAAGGTTGACGGGGTCAGGTATGGCAGAGTGGAGGCAGAGTTCCATTGATACAAATGGACTTCGGGTTGAAGCGACAGAGGAATGCGGGTATATCTTTGGTTTATGCGCTGGCATAGCATCTTGGGACGGTAATGCATAAGCTATGGGGTGAACCAAGTCTTGGAATATACGTCTTTAGTCGATAGCCTCACTATAATCACAAAGAACATTATAAGCATCGACTAAATATCACACTAAAAACTGCTGCTCATGCCGAATGCTTTACACTTCACAAGACGAAATTCTGAGGAAACGGGCATTCTGATCATCATAACCATGCTGAAATGACGTTCGATTGGGCCGAGCACAGAAGCAACACAGCGGAGTGGTAGCATTACCGACACGACGAAGGGGGGGAAAAAGAAGAGAGCGATGCAAGAAACTCTACCCGCCAAAAGAAAATACACCAGACACTGGACCACGAACTTAGTCTGATGTAGGGAGTAGTAGCAGGTCCTTATCTTCCAACACAAGATCGTCCTGAGCAGAAACTCGCGTTGAGATTTGTGCTAATCATCGTGTAAGCGGGAGATGTCTTATACAGAAATATATTTCTTTGACTTGGTCTTCCACGGCTCCAGGCTCAAAGAGAGAAAGAGAGAGAGAGAGAGAGAGAGAGAGAGAGAGAGAGAGAGAGAGAGAGAGAGACAGATGTATATATATATATATATATAACCATACATTCTTTAGCAGCGAGTCCTGCTGTATGGGGAACGGTGATATATCATCGACCTGGGGTGTTTGGAGTTTTGTGAGAGGCTAACCCGCCAGTGCCGGCTTGGCTATATGGCTACTGTTAAAGTTATACTGCCGTATCTGGGCGATATGAAGTGCCTGTCGACCTTGCCGTATCGTTGGTGTAGTATGAATCGCTCGGATGAACAAAGTCCGTAGTAAAATTAAAGTATCTGGGAGCGATCGTGTCTCTAGAACGGAGATGGTATGGAACAAGGCGAGGGTGGTCGGGTGACGCAATCGAAACATAATATCTTTGAGGTATACGAAAAGCGGCTGGGCTTTCGTGTGTACCCCCGGGGGGTTGTGTCGCCCCTTCCGTGACCAACTCCTTGGGCACGGTCTTCTCATGGGGGCCATCTCATGGCCTAGAACCTTGAGCACGCGGGTTCAGTCTACGTCTCTCTCATTATACTCCCTCACTCTAGAGGAACTTTTCCCATCTAGCATAGTATGCGCTACTGTGAGTAGGAGGCTTTCGGCAATCATACGGCGTCGGGAATGCATCGGAAGACTTCCGGTTTCAGGTCAAGGATCAGGGTCCACATACGGTATAATAGACCTGCAAGTTGACTGTGCAATATGCGACCGGGTGTTTGCCAATGTTTCACATACAGACCTAGGATGAGGTGAACATTGCTTATTAACATATATAATGGTTAATCCTATGTATAATTACATGCACATGCCTCTCTGCGAGGGCGGGGACAAGCACTTAGGCAGCAATGCCGAGAGCCGATGTTCAAGCAGTCTGGCCAAGGGGGCTGCCCTCGGCATGACTCTCTTGTTGATAGCATAACTCTCGCATGAGTATGCGAAGCCAAAAACAAGGGGGCGATGGGATCTGTCACATGGTGAGCGTTTACGTTCCGACCGGCAAGGTTGTTCTGCGGCATTGGACGGCTCGCGGACTAATGCGTGTTAGTATCTCTATGACGAACTCGGAGTTTGATGCACGAACAACGATAATTGGAACGTTTCTATGGAGTATTTCATCGGCTCTCTGCTTGCTCGGGCGTCCTGCATATATGCAGACAGCAAACAAGGCTGAAGGCACATACGAGGGGGGCGACGTTCTAGAAGCCCAGCCCCTTCATAAAACATTCTATAAACAAGCCGGGACTCCCACATGCCCGAGGAGTTTTGATCAATTCATGAATCGTTGGGAATTTCACGTTTTGCATTGCAGGCCCCGGTTAAGCGAGTTGAGAACCGATTGTTGCAGCGAATCACCGGCTGTACGACCGAAATCGCCACGAGGCGAAGCAAACACTACGTGTTCTTGAGTAACAACCGCCACAGACGTTGCCTCTGGACTTGAAAGCATATGTCGAGCAGGATTCAGGGAAAATCTATTGGTCATGAGGCTTTTCATGCTCAACCACAAGGGAGTGAATTGCTGAGGCATTGTTGCAGCCAATGTGTTAGTGCCAGGCGGTGGCCTCTGCAACTTGCCACGGGTTGGTATTGGTTATTATTCTGCATCAACGCTAAGAGCCTCAATAGAAGCGGTGAGAAAAATTCATTAATCATGGCTCATAACGTCGTTATATCCTCACTGACCCGTTTCCATCAAGCAATCTGAAGAGTCACCCTCCTTTCGCTAATGTCATAAATAATCAAAACGGATATAGTGTGTCCAGCGCTGAAGGAACATAGCCAGCGGCCATGAGGACGGTCTCAATTAGCTGCAGACCATTCAAAACCATGTGCCAACATGTATTCCACGACGACTAGCTCAGTACGAGGTGAGCTGTCCTCAGCTGACGAGCGTGAGATACTCGTGTAGTGTGGCCGACATCCTCCGCTTTCATCAATCCAATGGGTATCAATTCCGCCGTACATAAGAACATTACACAAACAAATATCTGATGACTTCCGTCTCTTAACAACATGACAGTTGCGACCCTGGCAGACACCACTCGGCTTGCCAAATAAATCATTCCCACTGAGTGGTGAGGCAGAATTCAACAAGCCATGTGTGCCTGAGGAACCACCCAGGATGCAAATCGCAAAACCGCCGAGCCTTTTCAAAGCCTAAAAGCCCTTGAAGTGAGACATGTTCATGCGGGGCCGGAGGAGAGAAGAGAGGGAAGGTGAAGAAGAAAGGCAGCTGATGAAAGCACTCTCCAAATGAAGCTGAAACACCTGTACGCACACTTACGCGAGCAATCAATGACACTCGGTGGCGGTGTTAGCTTTGTTCATGGTCCAAGTAGGCAATGTCTGTGCACACAGATGGTCAGTCTCTCGTTTTCTAAACAGATAAGGACACGCTTACGTGTTGGCTACTTAACAACCCTGCCCTGATGCTGAGTTATGATTGAAAGTATCGCGATCGTAATTGCTGATCTCGGTTGGAATTTTGCCGGTTCGCTGTATGGTCTCGTCGGTTTCGTTCTCTCCTTATCATGACCACGTTTTGCTGGGCACGTTCATCCCTCTGCACACGCTCGAGTGGGATGAAATTGTAAGGATGGATGTCACCCCTACGAGGCGCTGGACTCTCGTTCCAACGCCGAGCGCTACTGAACCTCTCAGCAGAAATCAGGTCATTGTCATGCAGATGCTGCAGGAAGTGGAAGTCGGGGCGAATTTCGGCGATAGTGTAATGATCGTGTCCGATATGGTCACGGATATGCTCCATCCGATCACGGAAGTTCGTGTCGCGGTCACGGCCGTGCTTACTAGCATCGAATATGAAGTCATCACAGAACCAGCAGACACATTTGATAGGTAGGCGATCCCGGAGGTGTGCGATACTATGTTCGATCCACTGTTCAGTCTCATTCAGGGCAAAGCTCTGGGCACAATCGGAATAAAGAGCAAACTCGCAGCTAAGCCTATGCACCCCAGCGTTGGGGACTGGAGCACCAATGTGAGCTACGACGTCTGGTGGAAGTCTAGGGCGGCTCGATGGCGCTGAGAAAGCGGTAGATTCAACTGAGCCCTTGCGAGACGGGATATCGAAGGTAGTGCTTCGGCTGCTCGACTGTGCCGATGCTGTCGATCTTGATGATTGCGTCGTGGTACTGCGAGGCCTTTTAGGATAACGTTCGCTTTCATTGCTGTCCAGGTCCTCGTTAAACGCATCTGCATGGCATTGGGCAGCTTCAGATTGTTGGTGGGGATGAAAACTCCGTCTATCGAAACTGTCCAGGAATTCTCTGATACCGTGAAAGGATGGTTCTGCCATGATGCAAAGCAATAGTAAAGTTGCGGTGCGTAGGTACTCGAATATTTAGTGAGCCTGGTGCTGTTGGAACTCAAGAGCAGCCCGAACAATTCCAGGTGCGACAATAAGAAAACGAGACTCTTAGGGCTCGTGATGGAAATCGACGACACAATCCTGGACGACGACTGGATGTAAGCGACAAAGGATGCCGGAGGACGCTGCAGACTATATGCTCGAGAGGATGGAAGCAAAAGCTCTCTCGAGTCAACCAGAGAATATAGCGGGGTAAAGGACGTTGCTGGGAATGAGCAAAGTCCAATCGAAGGCACTACCACGACGGCTTGCAGAAACTTGAACGAAACAGTGCTTCACACAATCGACAGGGTGATGAATCTGGAGTCAAGTTTGAGTTGTAAATATGGGGATGGTTGCGGTTTTGATCATACGTTTGCCATGGGACCCTGAGTGGAAGCTTCATCATACAATGCACATACCTTGGAACAGGGGTCTCTTTGGTGGATTGATTGGGGGAAGGATCAGTCTGGATACGCACGCACTTCTGCATGTGCTCACCAACCAACCATTAGCATCCCCTCCCCAAAACCCAAAGGCATTATTTATTGACGCCAACGGTGCAACACGGGAACCAGGTTATTAGTCGGGGGGGAGGAAGAGTGTCATCAGCATAGTCATAGCTGCCAGTACGGCTTATGCTGATTAGCGGATGACAGCCGCCCAGAAACTTTGATCAACCTGAGACAGACACACAAACTATAGTGATGATCGACAGAACAAGTTTGCAAGGGTCTACGGTGGGGTGTCAGCCCTTGCCGGCCGTATTCCGTCTCAACCGATCGAGCGCCCCAGTTCAGCCCTAAGGAAGAAGCCTCTGAGAGATCAGCAGCTTCAAAAGTTCGTTAGTCTTCGGGCGGCGCAACTGTGACGAAGCTATATGGCCAGTAGCCTAGACGCATACAACTCTCCTGCCGTAAACAATGCCTCCCTGGCAGGAATCGCCCGTTGCAAATATACTTCGGATCTGATATGGTGTGGCCGCGTTGATGCTGTCGATATGACCCTTGGCGTGCAGGGAACAATTGCATTGCGGAGGGAGTGGAGAGACAATGCAAAGAGCCGTGTTCAGATCTCCACCATCGGCCGCCATGCATTGTTAGTTGTCCGCGTGTCGGGCAATAACCATGAGTTCGTGTGGTTGAACACCAGAGAAATGAAAATGAAACGTTCGCCGGACTCTGAAGCCACAGCAAAGATGTATGTTCCTTGGTTCTTGAGGATATTGTTCGTATGAACTTACTCTGACGAGAGTGTATTAACCCTCGGTAGTGATTCTCTAACGGGGTTGCTAACGGGCCTAAGACTTAATATCACCAAACCACCAAGAAATCGTCTCTCGTATTACTAGCTTATCACACCCCGATATCCGTCCCTAGCAAGCCCCGGCAAGACGAGACGAACTGTGTGGGTGCTATTACTGTGTTGATGCTATTCGCTGGTTAGTTGCTTCTCGTCGAGTCTTGCAGATGTCATCCGGAAAGCCTGCATGGTCTTCCGGGAGCATCTGCACGTTGGGCAGTGAGCTGCGTAATCGGAAAGTTCGCGTACACCCAATTTCTGAGAGAATTTAACCTTAGATGCAATATATTGAAACCACGAATGCAACTACTTCTGCCGGAATACAAGTGTTGGACACGATTTTCTGGTTGGTCACCTTAAAAATGGGATCATGCTGATGCTTGGTTGGGCTGCATCATGTAAGCTTTATCTCCAAGAATTTGACGAAAGGTGCATAATGGCATGGATAGAAACGGTCTGATTCGGCTTTAACTCAGCAGAGCCTCATCTTTCAGGGCCCATGTAGTGCCCCCGCGTCTCTGAGTCACGTATGGGCTGCGTTATTCAAACCGGGAAGTGCGAATAATCTATTGACCTGTCACAGCCCCAGCAGGTCGTGCGGCATGGTAATCGGCGGAGACAGACATCGTGTCTGATTGGTGGCATTCAAGCCATGCCACGTTGAGCACGTTTCATTCCGGGCTCAGCTAAAAGGTGTATTCGATGAAGATCTCCGGCATTGACTTTGATGGCAGTGTAGCCAACGGCTGATACACATACATAGATGTTGTAGATGCAAACAAGGTTTGCCGAGTTAGCTTTTTGGTAAGTCCACCGCTCTTTCCAACGTGTTTGCACGATCATTGGGTATCTCATTCAGGACTGCATAAAACCCTGGCTTTAGATACTATGTTCCTCAAGTGCGAGTGGGAGCCATGCTCGTCGCCGGTTTTGATAACGCTGGGGAATGTCACACAGCATATCTCTCGAGTGCTAAGACCATCCTCATCCTCGCCTCCAATATCTTCCATTTCAGAGGGATCAAATATCGTTTTTTGGTGGGGCAAGATCTGTGGCATTGTCACTTTGAAGACAGCTTTCTGCACCGCTAGCCTTCGTGCCAACTCAATAGCAGTGTTCACTAGACCTCGCAGCGCATGATCTCGTGCATCTGTTGTGTCGACGTCTACAATTGAGCTTAGTATCCGAGTGACTCTTGCGATGACATCTTCGACAATTGCTGTCGTCTCGGCATGCAGCTTCAGAGACGCCTCTTTTCTGACCATGGTCAAAGTTACGGCACGCCACTGATTAGCCGACTCCTCACCACCTATAAGTTGGGTCAATAATTGGCTGAACTTTGACCTTGAAAACTCAAGACTCACTCAAAGACTCAAGACATTCCTGAGTCTGCTTCAGCTTATTAGCCTGGTCCTTTGAAAGACCGACAAAGTAAGCATCAAATATCATCTCGACCAGAATGGTGGAAACAATACTCTGTAACAGCGGAAGCTTTGATGTTTTGGCCAGTTCGGAATACATCGGTACAAGTTGTGAAAGCTCATTTTCGACAGATGGGCTTGCTTTTGATATAACTACACTGGCATCAGGAAAATAGCCAGAAATACCAGGACAAGCCCCTGTCGCTTTCTGGGGGAAACTTACCAATCTTTGTTCTCCGAAAGTGCTGTATCGCCCACTCCTGCAACCCGTTGCCCAGTCTTGCCATGTCGCCCGCAAAGAGCTCATCGCTCTCTTGTTCCTCTGTCCTCGTGCTGGTGCTCAGCCATTTCTTGAGTCCCATAAGATCAGTTCTGAGCCTTCGGATCTCGTCATCTCTTGCCTTGATCTCGCGCTTAAAAAATTCTAGTCCCTCATTGAACTCATCGCGCTCGCCTTCGCGAAGCTCCATCTCAGCACGCAGCAGCCTAAGCTCGGTGTCTGTTCTCAAAAATTGCTGATTGAGGGTGGAGTGCTTCGACTGCCAGAAGGCTGCCGTCTCGCTCTCGTTCTGTGACAAACGCTCTACCTGTCGCGCAAACTCGGCCTCGATCTCTATGAGGCCGCGCTTAAGCTCCGAGATCTTTTCATCTTTCTCCTTGAGCAGCGCTGCGGTGCCGGATGACGAGGAGTAGTCCTTGTCTTTTATACTACCCTCTCGTTGCTCTTTGATGCTCCCTTCTCTCGACTTGATGCTGCTGGCGTCATCATTTTCCAGAACAGACGACGCCGACGCGTTCCCAAGCTGAGCACGTGGCGGCGGCGCAATGATGCTGCTGCTTCGCGAAGAGGCTGTCGATCGGATCGGATGGCTGGTGCTCGAGCTTGCGCCCCGTCGTTTATCGGTCATCTTAGGTGGAGGAGAGTGCATGTCAGGAGGAGCGGACCGAGGGATTGTTTCTACATGGTCTAATGACCCATATATGACTTGCCCTGGATGCTCGGGGCATACGACAACAAATACGACAAGAAATTTACAGTTTTGCATCTGCCTAGGATAGGCTGAGATGTATTGAAGGGAGACGGGCGGGGATCGCCTACGGGGAGCCTTGAATGTTAGTGCTGCCCCTCTATGGTGCAGGCGGGTATAAGCCCGAACAGCCCCCTACTCTTACTGGAATACAAGCCATGATCCAGCTGGTAGGCGCTAAGCGGTCCGACGTTGGGGGCCCGCCTACCCTAAGTGATTAAGGCTGAGAAATCCTGGGGTCGGGGGTCCAAGTCCTTGGTTCTATATATATAAAGTTTGACCAAACGTAGGCCGCAATTCTATAAACTGAATCTGACGGAATCTGACAAGTATGTCCCCCGGTTTGTCAGCAAACATACATGACCCATGTTCTGGCCAAGAGATCACCCTCATATATTGAGGTACATGAACCGTGTCGCATTATGATGTAAAGCCGTGAAGATGATCTGGTTGAAATTTTAGAATTCGGGCCAGGAAAACGTCTTCAAAGGTCGAGAACTATTTGGAACTCTCAGCATCGATTTCTGCCTCTATCTCATAGGCTTGGTCCTGTCCATCTTCAGAGTCCTTAGCTCCCATCCGACAGATTGCGATCTTTTCAAGTGGTATATCTTCCGACCAAATTTGATCTTCGTACCGATCTATAATCTCACGTGCATCGATCGTGACCTTTTCTCGATTCTTCCCTTGGCGTCTGCCCTTTACGTAGATCGTATTTACGATGGTAGCGTGTAGAAGCAATGGCCTCTTGTCAGTGACCATGATGCCATTTTCTTCAAATGCCCCTTTCAGCTTCTCGCAAAACTTCTGTAGTGTGCCATCAGGATCTACTGGCGATGCGTAAAGGGTTGTCGCCTTTGATGGAGATTGCATAGAGTGTAGGCCTTTCAGTGTCATGGATAAAAGCGGCCGTTGCGAACCTGTAAGCGTTTCCGCCTCGGGATTTGACGCTGGTGTTGTGGGATCATCTGCCTTGATTTCGGACAAGATTTTCCGAGGAAGAATCGTCTTGAGTACTTCGACAGCCTTCTCGACACCCTCATTCTTCGGGAAACTCATGACACCCAAAGTAAGATGCAAGGTTCCAACGGGTCGAATAGCCCCGGATGGGATGGCGAAGCTATCTGGACTTGTGACATCTTGCTTGAATATTCCTACACTGGCGGCTAACTGAGGTCTGGAAGAGGCCGTGACTAAAGGTATACACAGAAAGTGTGTCGGAATTGGCTTTGGCGGCATAGTGTCTAACCTTGACCTACTAAGAAAGGCAAGACGGAAGGCGCGTGGGCTCGGTTAGAGGGCCAGATGAAAAACAATAACCAGCAAAAAGAAAAACCCCCTTCTTAAAATTTGACAAAAGTAAAAGAATATGATAGGGAAACGGTAGAAAGATAACAGCAGTAGTATAATGCTGAGGTGGTCCGTCACGAACACATAGTCTACGGGGCTTTGTCGCTTGAAAAGTATTAGCATATATTCTAACCATTGGAGATGACGAAGCGAGTACTTCTCTCGTAGGCTGTCCGGGGCTACAAATGTACCTGGCAAAACCCAATCAATCGTTGACGTTAAGATGCACAAAAGTCTAGATCTACGAGACCATGTAGTTGCTTGTGTCTTTAGCTCCCTAGGAGTAGTCTATGACTGAAAAAAGTCCCACCCTGAGTTCGTCAGCCAAGATCAATATCCTCGGAGTCGTAGTTTGAGTATTGTGCTTGACAAAATCTCAGTAGTACTTGGTAGCATGTGGAACGTGGAAGTATTGCTGTGGCCGGTCTCGCTGTTTTCGGAGAGTGCAAGAAAATATCTCTATGACTGTGTCGGACTCGTGTGGCAGGGGAGGCAACCTGTATAATGTTGGACTATTTCGTATGGGGTGGCAAGTTAACCAACGTTGAGCTCGAGGGTGTTTTTCAAAGTGCAAGCCACACTTATTGTGGCTGTTTCTATTATTAGCCGCCCAGTTAGGGGTCTGCCATACCACCACAGGAGGGGGGAGTGATTGACCCCTCAACGTCTGACCAGGGGTCATTTGGATACTAGTAGTGTGCAATCTACATCTCTGCTGTATAAAGAGCTTTCTCCTCACATTGTGTGAAGACTTCCTTTTCCCCCTCGATTATGCAGCTTGGATGTAAGCAAGCGGTTACCACTCGGCCTCATTCAGTCAGAGCTGTGTGATCTCATAGCAGGAATCTGTTACGTCATTGCGTGTAACTGCAAGTAATGACGTAGCGGGGTGCTTGCTGTGAAGCCTATGTCGTCACGGCACCAATTAGTACGTATCTTTTTTAACCTATGCGACAAGTTGAATCTCCACGTCGTGCGATGTCAAGATACATGGTGGAGATATAGCAAGACCGTAAGGAAGTGTATGTACAAAGCCATTTAACGTCTCGTTCATAAACTCGCATTCGATACCTCCATAAAATGCTATCATATAAAGGAGATGGAGCCTGCCCTGTGCACTCCTTTAAACTGAACCCTTGACGGCTTAATTCCTAAAATGCTTGTAGTCTATATCAGATTGCTGCAGCGAACGCACTACTATCCAGGATACTGGACTTATTTCCACACATGAATCATGTCACCAGCGAACTCGAGGCCCAAAAAACTCGAGGTCGAAACAGACAACGCGGCTGAATAGCCTCCTCGGTCACTCCATGAGGCTCCGTCGTTCCACCTGCGGATTGCGTCCGCAAGATTCCGACGCGTAATTACCGACAACTTTTCTAGAACGAGGTGACTAATACCGAGCGTCCAATATTCTTTGTTGTTTGCCCATCTCATGTCTCTTCTGGAGTTGAAGTGCCAAAGAACTCTTTTAAAATCTTTTCGGCCTCTGCGTACTCTTTCTTGACAGTCTCCAAAGTCTTGGTGATTGTCTCAAGGCAAAGCTTTTCGTCGTCCAACGGGTCTCCATTCTCCTTCTCCATTTTCCCGTACCGTTGAATCTTCTCACAACTATCCTTGATTTTGGTAAGACCCAGGGTGGCAGATGAACCCTTGAGGAAGTGTCCTAGCTTGGAAAGTTCATCTAAATTCTCTTCCTCCCTGCCAACAGAAGCATGCTGTTAGTACAAATTCAGAGTTGGAAAGAAAAGAGGCAGTGTAAAGTTCAACTTTTAACCTGAAACTGAGGTCGGGTTCTGGTGGCTCACGAAGCTGGGCAACTTACAAGGCAGTATCCATCTTCTCAAAGGTCTCTTGAGCTTGCTCGAAGAAGCCATCGACGATAGACTGACTGAACTCGCGCTCTGGGTCATCTTCGTCCATCTCCAGGATCTGGCCAAAGGTGGCAGAGTCGATAGCATCTCCAAGATCGGGGAGATTGGGATCTCCTGCCTCACCCTGTTCAGTGGCATCGTCAGTTTCCAGAATGCTGTATGGTTGACAGCATACGGTCAGATCTCGACTCACGTTGTTGCTAGCAGGCATCTTGTTCTGGGCGACAGGCACGCAAATGCGGTACCCCTCTTCGGTGCTAGACTAAGCGCTATAACAGGAGTCAGAAAATGTCGGCCGAGGGCAAGCGCATGCGTCTTCAAAAATCGGCCCTACGGTTCACAAAATGGCGACACGGGCTGGATGAGTTTGGGTTAGGGGGTTTGCGCAACGTTGGTGGTTAGACTCCGTCAAGCTTCGGGCGCGGTATGCGTGGTTAAATGAACGGCGCACGCCAGAAAGACTCGTCTCAAGGACGAGGAGAAGGCTTTTGGGAGTGGGGGGTGTGGGTGAATACAGAGACAACTAAAGGTTGGGCGGGACGGCGTGTATGAGTGTGCGGTTGGGGTCACGGTTCAGGTTCAGGTTCAGCGAGTAGCGAGTAACGGCCACCCAGTCTACTGTGCTGTACTTGGGCAGGGAAGGCGTGCGTCCTGGTTGGAGAGATTTGAGGGGTGAATGGGCATGATGGTAGGGTATCAAATGGATTGAGACGGGAGGTTGTGGAAGGTCAGGAGCGCACCACTAACCTGAAAGTAATACTCCGTCTTCCTGCAGGACAGACAAGTCAGGAGCCCGTAAATGCTTTTTAAAGAATGGACTCTCACTGCTTTCTAGAAGAAATAACGGGCTTCGAACGTCCTGTCTAGAACCACTTAGCGACAGGTATGAGCGATCCTCACAAGTGCCACACCCTTGCCGAAAAGTGAGACCCTTAACCGTGAAGGAGGAGGAGAATGAGGTGTGGGTTCGGTGTGGTTTGCGACCGAGTTATTGGGAACTGACGTCTGAACTGACTGGATTGAGAAACGTCCGGCAGAAACACATGGGAAGTCAAACTCAAAAAGGCCCGTCGGAAAGAAACAACAAGCGCAGTATGCTGGCGTACTTCGTGCCTGGTGAGCTCTAAAACTGCTTTGAACAGAGGGACGGTTGACGAAATGGATCAATCAGCCTTGGGGTTTTGGTGGCCTTGGGCCGTGGCCCTTGACAGAGAAGTACGCTACTGGACTGCGGGGCTTTCCAACGGACAGTGACTTAGCTACTGTACTGTACAGCAGAACAGGAGTTGAGCCGGATCTACCACGGGTTCAGCAACGCAGGACTTATTCTTAGGTCGTAACCACCACGACTCGAATTGATCCGCAGCTGTACTCCGTGAATGAACCTCCCAGTACAGACTGTCCAAGAAAGGAGGAAGCTGGCATTGACCTGCTACCTATCACTGCCCCCGGTAAGCGGAACCGGCCACCACGACCGCCTTTGTTCATTTCAGTTCAGGTCAGTTCAGTTCAGCGTGGACCGCTCAGAAGCAAGACGACTAGATACCGTTGTCCTAAGTATTTTTAACGTGCCTCGACTCCTGAACACTTAGTTCTGTCCCACTAACCCAAGGACCCGGACCTTCTTTAGCAGCCAATATGTTCTAGCTTCTTCATTCCACCTTCCATTCTGGTTGTTCGACTGATATCAGAAGCCTGCCAGTTTTCAGATCACGAATCAGCACAACCAACACAGAAAACTGTTGCAAATATTCTACGGTACAGCTGCAATGGCTATTAGAATCCTCCAGAAAGGTTGAGGGATCGGCACTCCAAATTTCCCTCCTCTACCTTCAGCGCCGCTTCTTATGGACTTCGGATCTTGTTTTCGGCTGGCCAGAACGTTCGACGGGTCGTAAACCATTCATTTCGGCTGCACGATGACTGTCATTGTGCTCCCCATGATTTCATTGCCATTCCATCGCGAGCTCAGCTACGTCAAATTAAGATACATCGACACTGTAGGGAAAATGGCGCCTTTGAGTTTGTGCCGGGATTCGAACACAGCCAGGACAACTACAACATTTATGATACTTGCACGCACACGGCCAAGCACAAGTATGGGACCAGGACTCTCCAATCACTTTAGTTCGTTGTTCTGACCCGCAAACTCTTCCAGCTTGCATCAAATCACCAGCCATGATCAGAACATTCCTCGGGAGACCGGGATCGGGCTCCAATAGCCAAAAGGATGAGGTTGGTGGCTATCGCGACCGTTACAGACGCCTTGACGGCCGGATCAAGGCTGAAGTTGGGTTGTTGACTTGTGCAGGGTCCCTCCCGAAACAGGGACCGCCTTGTCCTCTAGGGCGCTCAGTGAGGGATGTGAGAGTGCTTGCGGATATGAAGGCTACATGCGTGTCATGCTCTTCATCCGGTCCAGTGTGTGTTAGGGCAGGCTGTCTATCCACAACGCATGGATATGACCGGACACAGCCAGGTAGGCTAAGGGAGTAAAATCCGCGCAAGTGATTCATGACCGCTTGTCAATTAACAAGCGTTGAAACCCAATCTCTTTCAACGGACGTATTACGCCAGACTTCTTCTCGAAGCCCGTCAAAGACTAAATCTGCATGGGATAATTAACGTTCGATGTCGCGAGGCTTCATCCCCAAAATCTTGTGGTGGGGTGACATGCACCAATCTGCATTGTCAGACGTCATACCGCCCGCAAAAAAACCCCCAATCGTCATAAGTGACACCAAGTCGGCGTGTGCTTCCGTGCATGGGAACAGGGTTTAAAATCCCTGTCGCATGACCCAAAGATGTCTACTGTGTCAGCCCGCACTGTACATGATCTCCATAATGTATCATTCATTGATTGGGGCTTAAATTATGTTCAAGAAATGCATCACTTAATTCGAGGTTTTGTTTTAATTATCTTTTCTTAAGCTAATCTGTTGCAATTGAATTATACTTAACCCGAGATAATGTGAGAACAACCGCTACTAAATGGTGTGGCCGTAAAACTTCAAGATATCTACCGTGGTGGTTGTGGTTTGTGATGATTTAAGAAGGGAGGTCACTGCAACAACGGCAGAGTTTGGCGACAACATATGACTAACAAGAGTGAACGGCAAAAGCAGCCAGGACTATGCCTATCTCATCATCATATCGAGCGCTGTTGCTGTTTTATGATTGTACTATGCTTGATAATCCAGAAGGCTGCAGGATGGTAATAACCACCAAAACGCCGCCTCATATTGACTTTGAACTCCGCCTGTTCCCCGGGCAGGCTATTATCGGGTCTGCACGAGTTACCCGCCGTGTCTGCGCCTGCATACGCCTGTGTGTCCATAAGTCCCAAAAACCTGTTTTGTTTTCTTTCTCCATAAAGCGAACGCAAGCATCTTCATCTAGCGTGTTCAAAGAGACATCCTGCGCTCTCTTCAGTAATCAATGACCTCCATATGAAAGAATGTGATAGAGTGTATCACGTGTATCATAGACACTGGAATGGGGGCTGCAGCCGCATGGGAAACCTGCATCTCATAAGTTCTGGCACATGAGCTGGAACGGTCAGCCGTCTCGGGTGATAGAAAGCGGCAGTCACTTCAGCCTCGACCAGTGTATGGCGAAGAAAGAGTCAGCAGTTGAGAAAACCTAGATTACGCAAACCACGACGCGTTCTGATCATGTTATTATTCTAGATGACATATAGTATTATGGACAATTGATGCTTCCAGGAACGACAGTAGAGCTGTCACTCATGCACTGGTGTCTATAGTAATACCTTGGAAGCAACACTTAATAACCAAGCAGCGTCATTCCAACCGCCATCATCAGCTTTAGGTGGAGGCATCCGAGGTTCTGACGCAGACGCGACGTCTTCAAACCGTCTGCGGCTCGGACTGTGAGACAAGTTGCTTCGCACTTCACCTGCTTCAGATTCGTCCCCTTCGCCGATATCCGACTCCTCTTGCTCTTCAACTGAGAACAGAGACCAGCCAATGAGGTTGCCCATCCATGAACCCATACCTGCATTTTCTTGTTTCACCAATCTCCTCACAGTGGCCTCGTCTGCCTGAGATGTGTCGATTTGGACAGCTTCAAGCTTTTCGTCCAAGCTAACAAAATCAGGTCCTTGTATATATTCTTCGGACGCGGAGATCTCCTGGCCAAAGTGGCCAAAGTAGCCATCATCCAAATGATCTCTAAGTGGCGTTCGAGGGATATTCCTGCTCCCTTTCCTGCTGTGAGAACGGCTACCGACATGGCTTGTGGGAGACGTGATAGTGCCCTCGTGGGCTAGACTCCCACGGCGACTTCCACGTCTACTGGCCAATTCCTTTTCCCTCGCAAACTCTCGCGCGAACGCTTCTTCCTCGGCGTCCCGCAGGCCAGCTAGGCTGGTTGAACTTTGCCTGGTAACAAGCCATGCTTGGCCCTTCGATTCACGCATCTCTGTACTGATCAAAGCTCCGGCTCGCAGCATCCAATCGCTATCATTGCGATATTCTATAGATAGCGTCGTATGCTCCTCTCCCCGCCTGCGAGTTGTTGGTGTATACGTGCCCGACGCTCTGTGTTTCTGCCCACTGGAGAAACCAGCTAGGTGCGAAGCAGATTTGCTCTTGGTCAATGTGTCTGCATCTGGTTTGATTTCATGGATCGAGGACCGACGGCTACGTGAGTTGCCCCTAGCAGGAGAACGGGCCAGCAATCTAGGCGTCGTTGGAGCGGATTTGCCTTGAAGATAAGAGACGTTGTGCTGAAGGGGTGAAGCTACAAATTCAGGCAGGTCTTCTGGATCGGTCAGGGGAAGCTTCAATGTGAGGGGTGCTAGAGTCAAGTGACTGAGGTTGGTGGACGAGTGGTTCTTCCGCCGAGCTTGGTTGGAATGTTGTTTGTACGCGACATCCATGGTGTCTGGCTTTTACGGGAATAGACTTGAAAGCAGCACAGTTGGGTAACAATTAGAGAAAGCAACGGGGTATAAGAAACGAGTACCCGTGAAGCCACGAGCGATTAGATTTAATTTAAAGCAGATAGCCAAGGCGATGGGAGCTCGAACGAGGTCGACCGATCTGGGGCAACACGCCAATTTGATGGGGTGATGGGGAAAGGTGTTGCAGATCCGTGACAGGGATCTTCAAGCTTCGAGCCGGGGAAGGGGTAGAAGAGCTATGGCCCTCCAAAAAGCCCCGCGAACCAGGATGGATTCTGCAGGCGAAATTTGAATTTTTGTGCACTCCGCCCGATCTCTGCCGACTTGGTGCATCGAGGTCCCGAGAAACACCTCGGACTGTGTGGACTCATTGATATACAGGCTCATGCTACAGTGCCGGAAGAAATATCTCGCACTCCCAAAATTCTATCAGGCTTCACCAGTGCCAAGCCTCGCATGGTTCATCTCCCAGCATCGCATCTTCGTGAATATTTCGAACAATGCGCAATTTGAGGAATATTCAGCACAAGGTCTGGCGGCCACCCGCTGACGTCTCCAGCAGCGAGCCACCAACGGCATGTTGCTGGGATCCAGCCAAAGATGAGGTCCTAGTCGCCTTTGGCCCGTCCGAGCAGGATGGCTATATTCGGTTGGTCAGGCTCTCCGAGCATGTGACTAGCGCCGCACATGAGCATTCCAAGGTGTAAGTTGGTCCGTACTTGTACTGCTCGCCAGTACTTATGCTCGCCCTTGGTTTATACCTATGAGTAGCTAATCGGCAAACTCAGCGAACACAGCCAAATCGCATCATGGGAGGCGTTGAGCCCAAATCCAGACTTGGAGGTGGATCGGATCGTGAGTCTGCATCACTTCAGCGATACATTGTCCACCGTGTTAGTGTTAGAGGGCGGTGACATCGTCCTTGTCAAAGAATATGAGAATCCCCAGGATGGCGTGCATATTGAGATTATGGGATCCATCGACGAGGGTATCATGGCTGCGAGCTGGTCACCGGATGAAGAGCTGCTCGCTATCTCCACCAAAGCACGGACAGTTGTCTTTATGACTAGAAGCTTCGAGGGCATCACTGATGCCACGATGAGCGCCGACGACCTAAAACTGTCCAAGCAGGTTTCTGTAGGTTGGGGTAAAAAGGAAACCCAATTTCAAGGTCGAGGTGCGAAGGCGCTCAGAGACCCAACAATACCCGAGAAGGTCGACGAGGGCGTGCTCAGCTCTCAGGATGACGGTCGAGTGTCGATCAGCTGGCGAGGTGATGGTGCATATGTTGCCATAAACTCCATTGAGCCTGGTGTCAGACGAGTCATTAGGGTCTATTCCAGAGAAGGCGTGCTCGACAGTGTCAGTGAGGCTGTCGACGGCATGGAAGGAGCTCTGAGTTGGCGTCCAGCCGGAAATCTGATGGCAAGTGTTCAAAGAAAGGGAAGCGGGATTGATATCATCTTGTTCGAGAAAAACGGCCTTAGACACGGCGAATTCTCCTTGCGCGCCCCTAAAGGTAGAGATCTATCAGTCGACCAGATCGGTCTAGAATGGAACTCAGACTCGACGGTTCTTACTGTTACGTTCGAAGACCGGGTTCAATTTTGGACCATGGGTAATTATCACTGGTACTTGAAGCAAGAGATCATGACGGGCGAAAAGCCGAAGAGCTTCAAGTGGCATTCGGAGAAGCCGCTGCGTTTTGCACTCGCTCTACCAAGTATGTAATCTGCTGGCCTAGAACGGTAACCATGCTAAACGATACACAGGCAAAACAGTACTGGCTGAGTATGTATTTTCGGTGTCTCGTGGACCTTTGACGCCACCAAATGACCACGGAGCCGTCGCAGTAGTAGATGGTCGCAGCCTCAAGCTTACCCCTTTCCGAACGGCAAATGTACCACCTCCAATGGCGCTCTATGAACTGGAAACACAGACAGCTATTGTAGATGTAGCTTTTTCTCCAGATCATTCTTACATGTCGGTACTGCATCAGACGGGTGTTGATTTGTATCAGTGGCAAACTAAGGGCTTGCGTTCACTTCGACCAGTGGTCAAAGCCTCCGTTGTATTTGATGACCCACGAACTGAGACAACTCCATTGTTGGTGTCGGTGGACATCAATGGTAACATCGCCATCCTAGGCTTTAGCCATCAGCCAGAACTGCACCGTTATATCTTCGACACTACCTCTGGTCTGTTCTCAGGGCTTAGCAGGACTTATTCCAGCTCTGTCGTTGGCTTTTCAAGCTACTGCGACAACGAGAACGGATCCGGACTCATCATCCAAGATGCCCAACGCCGCTATCGCATGATTCAAGGCGATGGAACCGAGTCTGAATTCTTGATTAGTCCTACAACATCTCAAGTCCCAATTCAGCTTCCCTGGTTTACTCCTGTTCAGACAGAGCCCACCCTGGGAAAGCTGGCAGTCTACGGTTTGTCCAGAAATGGACACCTATATGTCAATGACCGGTTGCTTGTCAAGAATTGTACTTCTTACCTCGTGACGCCTGATCATTTAGTGTTTACAACAACAAATCATCTCTTGAAGTTCGTTCACAGGACGAATGACATTGACGGTGCGTATCCATCTGCACCAGTTTCGCAAAGTTTGCTAATTTGATCGTGCCAGATTTGGAGGTTCCTGCGGATGATCCTGAAAAGGACGAACGATGCCGTAGCCTCGAGCGTGGCGCCCGGCTCGTGACGGCAATGCCCACAAACATGAGCCTGGTCTTGCAAATGCCCAGAGGTAACCTAGAGACCATTTATCCTAGAGCCATGGTTGTAGCGGGCATTCGACAGTTGATCGAGGAGAAATATTACGGCCGGGCTTTTGCTAATGCAAGGACGCAGAGGGTAGATATGAATATCCTTTATGATCATAAGCCACAGCAGTTCTTGGAGAACGTTTCGCTCTTCCTGGAGCAACTGGATGATATCACCTACATCGATCTTTTCCTCTCATCCTTGCGGGAAGAAGACGTTACACAGACTATGTATATCAATACCAAACTTGTCGGAAGTCAAGAAGGATTGTTACAGGGTGGCGTGGAAACGACAATTACACCCACGACAGGCTCCTCAAAGGTCAACACGATCTGTGATGCTGTGCTGGAAAGTTTACGAGCGCGCAAGGCCATCGATCACGGGACACTACAAAACATCATCACTGCCAATGTCTGCAAGAACCCGCCAGCTTTGGAAGACGGCTTGTTGGTCGTGGCCAAGCTGATGCAAGATGATGAGCAACTGGCCGAAAAGGCAGTTGAGCATATCTGTTTCTTGACGGATGTGAACACTCTTTACGACGAGGCCCTGGGCCTGTACAACCTAGACCTTGCACTTCTAGTTGCTCAACAGGGCCAACGTGATCCGCGTGAGTATCTACCTTTCGTGCAAAATCTACATCAGCTGCCCGTCGTCCGTCGCAAATTTGCTATCGATGACCATCTAGGAAGGCACACAAAGGCTCTCACACATCTGCAAAACCTCAATGCGCACCAAGAAGCCCAAGATTATACAGTCAAGCATTCTCTCTACGCTGACGCTTTGAGGCTGTATCGTTATGATGCCCCTAATCTTGCTATCATCACCCGACTCTATGCTGAGTTTCTTGAGTCTCGCTCGCGCTTCAGAGAATCGGGCCTCACCTACGAGTCGTTACAAGACTATGCAGGAGCCACGCGCTCTTACCGTGCCGCCGGTGTATCATGCTGGCGTGAGGCCCTGTTCACAGCTTCCCTGCAACAACCACCTCTGTCAGCAGAAGCTCAATCGGACCTCGCAACTGCCTTGGCGGACGCATTATACGAGGCCAAGGACTATGCTGGTGCTGCCGCGATCTATCTCGAACACCTTTCAAGCATCGAAACAGCCGTGAGGTATCTATGTAAAGGTTACCATTTCGCCGAGGCTCTTCGTCTATCGGCCCTGCACAAGCGCCAGGACCTGCTCGAGAGCACCGTTGACCCAGGTCTTGCGGACTCGCTTGGCTCATCCACCGAGTTCCTAGCCGACTGCAAGGCTCAACTCCGTGCCCAAGTCCCCCGAGTCCTCGAGCTTCGCCGCAAGGCGGCCGAAGACCCGCTGGCTTTCTACGAAGGCGAGAGAGCAGGCGGTGCCGACATCCCCGACGACGTGTCTGTAGCTGCCAGCTCGCGCGTCAGCACGTCGGCCTCGCTCTTCACGCGGTACACCGGAAAGGCCGGGTCGGTCGGCACCGCCGGCACGGGCGTGTCGAGAGCCACGAGCAAGAACCGCAAACGCGAGGAGAAGAAGCGCGCCCGCGGCCGCAAGGGGACTGTGTACGAGGAGGAGTACCTGGTCAACTCGGTGCGGCGGCTAGTGGAGCGCGTCGAGGCGACCAAGGCGGAGATCGAGAGGCTGGTGTTCGGTCTCGTCCGCAGAGGCATGTTCGAGCGGGCCCGGACGGTCGAGGCGCTCATGTTGGAGGTCCTGGAGGGATGCAAGAAGGCTGTTGGAGAGGTGTTCCCACAGGCGGAGGAAGAGAGGAAGGCAGAGGAGGGCGATCAGCATGTTGAGGGTGAGGAGTGGAGACCCCTCGGCGCTGATGCCGTGTTGGCGGGTAACCTGGAGCAGAAATGGAGGACGCAAGCGCCGCCCGTCGTGACGGCGATGGAGAAACTGAGTCTGCTAGGGAGTTAAGGTCGTTTTCAGGTCAAGGGAGTTGGGAGGGAGGAGGGAGGGGGATTCGGACATAGATCTACCTGATTTATGATACCGTGCAATGACTGGATTGGATATGGCGACCATGAAACCGTATTCGTTTGAAAGATCCAGAGGCAATATAGCGCCCGCGTGAAACGACGATACCAACTCGTGGGCTTCGAAGGATGAGAATAATGCTCGTGCTACGGAGGTATGATTACCCGCCATGGTGGTTTTGATTCCAGGCTTGTCGGAAATAAAGGATCAGGAGCCACACATGAAAATCACATAAAGGGGGCCATTCAGACGGAGCTGTTCCAACAAACGAAATATACAGAAGCTGGTGATACTTGCACAGGTCGATCGTTATCTTACGGCTGATGAGATGGGCCAAGGCTTTGATACCCCCTTGACCGTGGTAACGTAATGGTTGCGAGCTCGATACTCTTAGACATTTACCATCACCAGTATAGCACTACGACTGAAATGAAAACCCTCAACTATGCGTGGTGGATAATCATGGACGGCTGAACCAATCAAGGAGGCATAAAACATGTGGATGAGAACACACTGCACAAATGTCAAAGGTAGCTTTCATAAGACTCCTCATTGACGAGGGCGGCTTTCTGAAATAGAGGCAACAACCTATAATTGTATTTTTTGTCGGTCTTAGCCTATGGGCACTGGCCCTGTCACCATCTGCTCCTGCTGCGGTATTATACTGGTTGCATAAACCTCGGCATCGTTCGTGATACCCGCGATGTTGATTCTGTTGCTCAGCGCATCATTGACGCCGTCGATCACTTCTTTCTCCTCCATGACCTCACGCATCAGGCGGCCCTCGTGCTGCCAGTAGGACTGCATCCTCTCCCGCAGCTCCTCGTCCCTGATCGCCGTGTTCTTGACGATGCCTAGCGCATTTAGTTTACTCTTGGACATCATCAGCTGCCTCGTCACCGCTTCCACGCGTTCGGCAGGACCAGGAGGCGACGCGAACGCTCGATTCGTTGATGACAGATACAGTAAGGCTGCAAAGGCGCTGTTTATTAAAGCAAAGGTAACGAGACGGTACAGTCGCGATGTCCAGAAGAACGAATCGATATCGACGAGTCGGGTCGCTCGGGCATTGACTTGATAGTTGTAGCTGCTGACAAGGTAGATATCGATGGCAGCTATGGCGGCACTGACGAGCACGGCTGGCGCCCGCCATTTACTGCCCTCGTGTCCCGTCATCAGGCCAGAGGTCGCAACGGACAGGACAACGAGGTTGAAGAGATGCGGTGCCAGAAGGCCCGGTGCGGCATAGTACAGGTAGGAGCGCGGGTCTTCGGCGTTACAGAAGGGGCAGCCGGCAAGGACACTGGGGCCGAACTGCAGATACAGCAGGCGACTCTCGAGATTCACGAACTTGGCGCGTAGGGTGGCATCGGCGTCTGTGAGCGCATTGGCGGGCCTGAGGGCTGTGAGGCGGGTGAAGAGAACATCGGTCGGAATTTGGAGTCGTGACTGCGTCCGCGCAAAGAGGTTCTCAGGAGCAAAGGGAGGAAGCGAGAGGGCCAGATAGACTAATGCCGTGGCTCCAAGCAAGGTGAGAGCACGTAGGACTTTCGGGGGGAGTGGCTTGAGGGTAAGACCTTGAGCTGCCGGGCCAGCACGAAAGCTGCGGTAGTAGGCGATGGCCTTTGGCAGGAGTATAGGACCAAAGAAGAGCAGGAGGGACTTGATACTGTAGCGGCTGTGTTAATGCTATTTATCGTGTTTTGTGCCGATTGGGTTTCCACGGATTCACTTACGTCCCCCAAGATATCGCCATTATATCAGCTGTGCTTACAGGTCATGTTTCTGACCAGACACGAAGCGAAGTAGGGAAGTTGAGAAGAGCGTGCGTGACCTTCTATGTGCGGCTACGGAGTATTGCAAGTTACAGACTGGCCTTCAAGTACTGTACCAAGGAGCCCAGGCGGGTGGAATGGACCCTCAAGACACATGTCATGCTTGGGATGGAAATCCAGGGACCTTTCTGCCATTTGACCCAGAGGCCAGAGCAGGACAGGCTTGAGGCTTGAGGCTTGAGGCTGTGCCACCGACCCCACTAACGTTAGTCACCACCAACCCACAGGACGCGCACGGCTAATTGTTGACCCACTTGAACCTGATTGGCCCATAATTCCACGGCCATATCTTTTCAACTTTTTTTTTTGTGAAGCAGTGACCTTTCCTTCCCTGTTCTTCATCACTCACAAACCCTTTCACATTGCAGAGAGGTTGCCCAGGCCATCGTACATCATCGTATGCATATCTTCTGCGGGCAGTCAGCTACAACCACTACGCATGCGCATGCGCATGCGCACGTACAGTTACAATCAAAGATATGTCAGGCCACGGTAAGTCTAGTCTGCACTGGGCGACTATGAGCAATGAGCATGTGTGATATTTGGCACTTTCGAAGCTTTATCGATCTTATTCACAATGGTCGTTACAGTCAAAAAGTATGCCTAGAATGAACCCAAGTACTCTGCCAAGAGTCATCTCGATCGTGTTACAGAGTTTTCCAGCGTCCGCGCAATGACAAACCCTGCGTCAAAATGACGAGAGACATACCCCATGTAAAACTAGCAGTGCGTTACGTCGTAGAGAGCAATCATAATGTGTTCAGATTGGCATGCACCGTACATGCATGCCACAACTATCTAGCTGATCTGGACTGGAGCATTTATGAGTCCTTTGTGTTGCCTGATTGTGCCTTCTCTCCGCCGGCGGCCTGACCCTTGACGGGCTGCCCGCGCTTCTGAAATTTGGCTCCCAGTATAAGCCCCAGAATACTCGTGATGGTGTCGCTAACCAGCATGATCACCACCGAGCAAGCCATCTGCCATGACACAATGCTCACACTGCCCAGCGGCGCCCGTGGGAACGAGAGAATCCACTCGACGTAGTAAGGAAACCAGTGTTTCGGTAGCCAGAACATGGCTTGCTTCGAATACCAGAATGGTAGTGCCATCTTCAGACCTCGCGTGAGAGACCAGCGTACCGCTCCCACGGTGCTGTCGAACTTGGTCTTGGTCGCATCGTGTGAAGATTCTGAGCCCTGGTCAGCCCCTGCATGTGTCTGTCTGCCCTTTCCCCCGTCTGGGACAACTCACTCATTTTTTCCAGCTGCTCCTGAAGCTTGTCATGTTGCCGGCGGAGCTTGGCCCATTTCGCAAACTGGTCCTGGCTGCTCGTAGCGTTCAGGTCCCGGCGTATTCGGAGGTACTCAGACTGTACATCTCTTCTTTTGATGGCAGTCTTGGAGGTCTCGGTCGGGAGCATGAGGTACAGGGTCCAGAGCTAGAAGGATGATCATGGCTGGTCAGCACAGCTCTTGGCCTTATGACGTTTGCAACCAAGGCGTCTGCAGTCTACTTGTTCCAGAATGGGGTTCTTTCATACCAGGTTGTTGATGGATGCCGCGCCGATCGTGTTGAAGAGGTGGACGGCGAGCTCCACCAGGAACACCACGAGTAGCAGTGTCGGCATCTTGCAGACGTTTGGGGGTTGTTGGTGTTGCGAAGTTCTGTGAGTCCAGCCAGAATACCTTGGCTTACTTGGTAGGGAGCCGACACGCTCGGGCTCGGGCTTGGGCTTAGGCTTGGGTCGTGTGCTGGTGCGGGTGCCATCAAATCGTGGCCTGTGTGTGGCGGTACATGCCACAATCGGAGAAAGCCATGTGCTTTTTTTGCCGACCTTGTTAACTTACCTCACACCGATTACCCCGCCATGCAGGCCACTGCTGCATCACGCACAGTCAGCCACCACACATCACACTGGATAGGTTAGGGTACACTTATCAGTGTCTCTTCCCTCGCCGGATACATCCACAGCCATAGCAGGGAGGCGCTGCTCTTGGAGGTGGGAATGGTACCATGAATTCGCAGGCTGAGAGGAGAATCTCGACATGTCGCGCTCTCTAGATAAGCACGTCTTGGAGAACCTCAAGTCTGAGGATCCTGCTATAGTCTACCGGGATATCGTCCAGGTGCTCGCCGCACTGCCCCAGCAGGGTGGTCTCTTGGAGATCGAGCTCCTTGGAAAGGCGCATCCTTTGCAGCCGGGCATCAACTTCCTGCAAGACGAAAACGCCATAGCGATCCCGAAGCTGAGACTCACACAGGCTTTCTTCGTTGCGCGTCAAGTAATACAAAAGCATATCACCTCTCAGCTCAGCTCCCCAAGTGACGAGACTGTGGCATCTACTGCAGTCGTGCTGCTTATGGACCCCGAGCACCTTACAGCTGCAAATATTAGGAAGCGGGCAATTCTGTCACGGTTGCATCATGGCATGCAGCCAGAACCGTTACTTCGACACGAGAAACAAGTCCTCGACAGCTTGCTCACAGCTCGTTTGCATCGCCACACCAAATCGCCTACGCTATGGAGTCATAGACGTTGGCTTATGGAACGTTTCAAGCTTCTGCATGTGCCGCTTGACCTTCGGTCAGATATTAAGTCAGTCATCATGGTCGCTGCAGAAAGGCATCCGAGGAATTACTACGCCTGGCACCATGCCAGATGGCTGGTTGGCCATATGAGCCCGGCATTTGACACGCGTTTCCTCGTGGACGTCACAAACGATGTCAAAGATTGGTGCTTCAGGCACCACAAGGACATATCTGGTTGGACCTACCTCGATTTTATTATGTCAAGTATCCAAGACCAAGAGCGCAAAGTACGAGAATGTTCTGCTGTGCTTGCTGAAACTCTGAACATGGCAGAGTCTTTCCGTTGGACGAACGAATCGCTATGGGTCTTTTTGCGCACTCTTGTAGCTCGAAATACATTGAGTCGAGGAGAATTTGCGTCATTTGCCCTTCTCAACAAAAGACTATCTTCTGATGCCAAGGACCAAAATACCAAGGCATTCTTGGATGCTGCTTTACAATGGGCTGACCAGCACCGACAAAATGGAGTTGAGAGGTCGGGGGTGCTCACGGATACTGGCACTTTGCACCCCATTTCATATCGGTATTGATGAGCTCTTGAGATCAAACAAACATTTCACTGGTCTTTTTAGCCCTGCCGCTTTCATACGCGAACCTTCGATTCGCCCAGATAGACATAGATGCCTCAGCCTCGTTCCTTACATGAACCTACATGCCAGCTCGTGTGTCCGAATATCAGGAGAAATCAAAGAATCGAATCTTATTGCCCCTACCCGACTTCACTACACAGCTGTTCCTTGTCATAAGCGGCGACGCTCTAAGTTATTTTAGTTTAGTTGGCGGCAGAAGCGTTGCATTGGAAAGGCGGCTACACGCCTAGTGCACGCAACGGCCTCAGGAACGGCGTCGCATTTCTCCTTGGGACCATTGCCGTTTGTCATGCAAGGGAGCATCTCCCCTGGTGTAGTTCAAATTTCACAATAGCAGTAGGAGACATCATGGCATGACAACCAAGTTCCTGCATGCGGCACAGTCGATGCGCGACTAGTCTAGAGCCGTGGAAGGCCTGATCAGACGGAGTTGGGGATTGTTCGCTGGAATGCGAAAAAGCTATGTAGCCGCAAGATAACCAACTGACTTGTCAACCAGCCGCAATATCAAATTCCCGATTGAGTGGTGGTCTACCCCATCCTTGCGGCTTATTACAGCGTGCTAATTTCTTCCACGATTGGATATCATGAACGGAACGGCTCAGCACCACTGCAGTCGGAATCGGACTTTTCCGGTCTCATCGGCTCTGGTGCCGCGGTCAAGAGGGTGCGTCGATGCCTATGATGCAAGCTAGATCCGCAAGTATTTATCGTGAATATGTGCAAGTACATACGCAAACGACGTTCTCCTTTCACCCTGGATTCTCCATGGCTCCGTCGGAGAGTGGGGACTTGAGAGATCTTCAAAAGCATCCCAATCTCAAATGTTGCTCGACGGGTTCCTCGGCCTCATCGAATGAAGTGGCGGCTCTTACTCCACATATTCTGACTGGGCTGGCACGGGCCACAGCCAATTGACCGCTTACTCGACATCCTTGTCCACGAAATTACCTGTCCTGATGCGGAAAGCCCCTACTTTTTGCAGCATCGCAGCACAGGCGAGCCAGCAATACTACCTAGCTATGTAAGTGGACTTCGTGTTCGCAGCGTCAAGTGACAGTTCTGTCACACGAACACACTTTCTTGGAATACTCCCAACCACAGACGGCTACGGAGTGCATCATACTGTAGACTAGACGTGTCGAAAACAACCCGAGTCAAGTCTCGAGGTCGATCCATATGACCCAATAAACGATCGTCCAGTTAGAGTACTATGTAGCATTTCGCACACAACGCCAGGTTGTCCAGAGATGATCGTTATTTGACTATGACGCGTGCGCTACAGTACTTCGCGCAGGTTGTGCTTGCTATGCAACTCTTGGGTAGGTTAGCATGTATATGAACGAACTGGAGGTATCCTTGCGAGCCATGAAGCCATGCAAAGCCATGCAAAGCCATGAGAAGTTAGCGCTATCTTTCCATCCCATGTCGACAGGGGAGCAAATCTGCCCTTGCGGGGGAAGTAAAGACAGTAGCTGGGCGAGCTGGGCAAGCGAACGAACGAGAACGCAAAGTTACGACCCTCACCTACCAGACTAGGACGTCCTTGGTTATGGCTCAGGCTCAACTGAGAGAAAGAGCGCCGCCGAACCGCACGATAGTGACCTGCATGCATATCCACTACGACTCTACTGCAATCGACCAACGAATTAGACCTTGACAGGCAGAGTGATTGGCTGATCGTCAGTCCTTGATGCGGCACTACGGGATGGGTTGGCTTGTCTTGTGGTGACCTCTCTCCACTCGGCTTAACGTAAGGTTAAACTTTCATGACTGACAACTCTCCTCTACTCTCCGCATCTCTCCTAGCATCAGGAGAGAGCTTGTTCTTAATTCATTCAGTCGCTTGCTGCACCTGACTTTAGAGCGTCATTGCATTGAAGGGGTAGCTTCATTGGAATTTTTCAGCATTGTCTCAATTTCCTGCAATCATATTCCCTCCCAACGCCGTCTCTGTCTTGGAATTGGACGAAACATTGCAACCCCGTTTCGCCAGCAGACAGTACATTCCTCGTAATATACCCGTCGCCGTATTCCCCCTTACTCGCCATACGCTTTCATCGGTTGCTGTGGTCGAGATTACTTATTCTTTCCTTTCCTTGGATCGACACTCGCCCAATGTGGCCTTCTTGTAATCTTTAATACACTAATATCCAGACCGGAGTCTGGCACTCTCGGACTTCTGATTTTCCAACGCATCAGTCAATCACTTCTGCCGTCGTTCGATGACTGTGGCCGCATTCCCGCACGCCAACCCAATTCACTCGACGCCATCTGCAGCTTGTAGGCTGTAGTTTTCACCGACGAGCAATCACTTAGAAAACAGCACACTAGACCAATATCGCATCGGAGGCCTACGACTCCCCGTTTTTGAGACGCCTTCGGGGGTGGAAGCTGAGACTGTTGTTGATAGATGTGCAATATGCATCACGCCGGGGTCGTCTACTCGCTCGCGCTATGGATCACTGCTATTCAAGCTTTTGCACCCTTACCTCCGAGAGTCCTCCCAGATGTCAAAGACGCCGATAAACGCGATGCCGTGGCTCGTGATACAGTGGGGGCCATGGGCTTTGTGACATTCAAGATGGCCAAAGCTGTCTCCAGCGTAAGTACCCACTCACTGCACGGACACCTTGAACATCCTTGTCCATGTATTGACAGTTGTGGCAGAGAGAAGAGGATGGGGAAGACATATCAGAGAGAATCAAGCGGGTAGCTCAGAACCTGGCTCGAAAGTATGGTTCCGAATTGCCTTCACGGACCGAGCACGGCGATACGCACCTCGTGGACAGAGGAAACGCATATACCGTGGTTGCACCAGTAAAGCCGTCGCATAGTAACAGCGCAGGCATCTACCAGGATGGCACCGACTACTCGTACTTCATACAAGCTCAGCTGGGTTCTGCAGGAACACCAATGTACATGCTCATCGATACGGGAGCCAGTACTACGTGGGTCATGGGGACGGGTTGCACATCCGACGCTTGTACCAAGCACAGCACCTACGGGCCGGGGGACTCCAAGACCCTAAAGGACACAGGCAAATCTTTCTCGGTTGAGTATGGATCGGGCGACGTCAGTGGGCATTATGTCGACGATACGATGGCTGTGGCTGGCCTGAGCGTGCCATACGAGTTCGGGTTGGCCAACGTGACCTCGTCCCAGTTCTCCTCGTTCCCTTTCGACGGCATTTTGGGTTTGGCTAGAAACAGCGGGAACTTCAATGACGCCCTAAAGCAGGCCAAGGTGATCGATGCCAACATCTTTGCTGTTTCGCTTTCCAGGACCGCCGACGGTGCGAATGATGGCGAGATCAGCTTTGGTGCAATAGACACTTCCAAATACACAGGCGACATAACTTACACCTCGACCACCGATGATGTCAGCTGGTCGATTGCCATGGACGACGTTTCTGCTGGCGGGGAATCCGCAGGTGTCAAAGGCAGAGAAGCCTACATTGATACCGGTACAACCTATGCCTTTGCACCACCTGATGATGTCAAGGCCATGTATGCGCTTATCCCGGACTCGAAGAGTAGTGATGGTGTCACATGGACCATCCCCTGCGATTCCACTGCTAAAATTGCCTTCACGTTCTCAGGGGCAACCTATTCCGTCAATGCGAAGGACTTTATCGGCGCGTCTACAAGTAACAACCGGTGTATTGGCAATATTTTTGGCATGGAAGTCGTTTCTGGATCTTGGCTACTGGGTGACGTGTTCCTCAAAAATGTCTACTCCGTTTTTGACATTGACGGCAAACGCATTGGTAAGTCTCGTCGATGTCTATCATGTCTCGGCAACGTGCCTTATCTGACTTGCTATGTACAGGCTTCGCATCTAGGGCAGCAAATTCAGGGACAACAACTGCCCTGTCACCATCCTCTACCATCGTTTCAACAGTAACGTCCGAGAACGGGGCTACTACTCTTACCACAATCACTTCGTCGTCGGCCGCAACAGGTGTGCCTTCCATGGGCTTCACTGGCGGCCATGAATCATCGTCTGGTTCATCCGCGAACCCCACAGCTACAGCGGACACAGCGTCGGCAACCTCGTCGATAGGTACATCTTCCGGGGAACAAACACAATTCCGGGGGGTTCCCGTCTCAATTTCATGCATTATCTCCATCATAGCACTGGTCATGTGATCTTCATAGAGGTGGACGCTCATTAGTCTTCTCAATTTGTATTTTCTTTTTCTTTTTCGAAAAGACTAGGGACGCAGCATGGTAGCATTTGCCACCCAATCCTTTGTCGGCAAAAGTCCCCAAGAGAAGGGACAAGCAATTGTTAGAAGAGGACCGGCCAAGGATGGGCACCTAGGCCGTGAGGACATTGCAATAGACGCATGTCAAACGCAGGACTGCTTTCCATTAAAACATAAATGATACCCAGGGAAAGGATAATCGGGAAACGAAAGCCTGGTTGAGACTTGAACAAAAAGCACTGAAGGCTACAAAAGAGAGCCATTGCACGTAGCAGAATATGTAATTACACAAGAACTATCTGATTCTATACATGCTCGGAGGTCGATTACACGACTCACAATTGCCAAGATCCAGGGGTCTCTACCAATCCTTTGCACTTTGAGATTTGTCTACACATTTGAAGTCGTTCGGTCCACTCCGAGGCCTGCTCAGGGCCGCCGCGACCAGGTTCGCGTCAAGGTCCACGTTAGGGGAGTCTAGGTTAGGGGAATGCCTTGACTCGGCTAAGCTCAGGGCTGACAAGCACTAACTTTTAGCGACCGACAAGCCCCTGAGAGGCACGTATCCATCACCTGATGATACCTAACTAAGGATTGCTTATCGCCAGCTTACAACAACATACGCAGATTGACGACGGTCGAAATAATCAAAGGTCAGCAACAAAGGCCGCCAACTCACATTGAAGCCAATCTAAGTCTGTGAGAGCCGTAGCCTCATCTGGGATCTTCTTCAACAGCCATCTACCACAAGATGCGCCCGAGGTAACACAATGGCCAAGGCCAGGACACCGGGCTCTTCTCGCGGCAGGGAGGAAGCCAGCCAGAATAGCAGTAGTAGCAATAACAACAACAGCAGCAGCAGCAACAGCAACAACACCACAAGATCACAGAACGAAGAAGAGCACGGCCTATTGTCAGCCGCTGGCCAGGACTCCGACGATGGCTACGACGACGCAGAGGAAGAAGACGGTCTGATCGTGCACCATACGGACAACGGACTCCCACACTCGGCTCTCTCCAAGGGCAGCGGCAACGGCTCAGTACGAACTCCGAGAACACCGAATAGAGTGCGCTTCGACCTCAATACCACGAGCATACCACCGCCGGCGAACGGCCACAGTGGCGCAGACAGGCGGAGCGGCGAGTATGACGACGACGCCATTGAGCTCGGCGACCACGATCCCCTCGATAGCCCCTACAGCCCCTCGGGTCGCGAGACGTTCAGACAGCCGCTCCTGACGGGCATCGAGGCCCCGTCCGTGACGCTGGCGAACAGTGCCTGGGGCGACGATGTGAACGAGTGGCACGAGGCGGAACAGTCGCGGCCCAAGTCGGGCATGAGGTCTGCCTTCATGAACATGGCCAACTCCATCATCGGCGCCGGCATCATCGGGCAGCCCTACGCCTTCAAGCAGGCGGGCCTGCTGGCCGGCATAGTGCTGCTCGTTGGGCTGACCATCGTGGTCGACTGGACAATACGGCTGATCGTCGTGAATAGCAAGCTCAGCGGCGCCAACAGTTTCCAGGGCACCGTAGAGCACTGCTTCGGCAAGACTGGGCTCATTGCCATCTCCATTGCGCAGTGGGCTTTCGCTTTCGGCGGCATGGTCGCGTTCGGCGTCGTTGTAGGTGACAGCATACCGCACGTCCTGCAGGCTGTGTGGCCGGGACTGAGTGATATACCTGTCCTGGGGTTGCTGGCGGACAGGAGGGTGGTCATTGCCGTCTTTATTTTAGGTATCAGCTACCCTTTGTCCTTGTACAGGGATATTGCAAAGGTAGGAACCTATTCCGTGGTTGGGACAATCGAGAGCGAGTAGATAGGCTAACCAAAGTCACAGCTGGCGAAAGCAAGCACGTTTGCTTTGATCAGCATGCTCATCATTATGGTCACGGTCATTGTACAGGGAGCACTCGTCCCCAAGGAAGATAGAGGATCATTCAGCACACCTTTGCTCACGGTCAATGGTGGCATTTTCCAGGCTATCGGAGTCATCTCTTTCGGTGCGTCTCGATTCCTTACGCGGTGTCCGTCTGAGGAAGGGTACAATCTGCTAACCATGTGTCCTTGTAGCATTTGTTTGCCACCACAACTCTCTACTTATCTACGGCTCTCTCAAGACTCCCACCATTGACCGCTTCGCCCGTGTCACGCACTACAGTGCTGGCGTCTCTATGGCGGCCTGCATGCTTGTCGCACTGGTGGGTTTTATTACCTTCGGAGACAAAACTTTGGGAAATGTGCTCAATAACTTTCCCTCCGACAACTCCATGGTTAACATCGCCCGTCTCTGTTTCGGTCTCAATATGTTGACGACGCTACCACTTGAAGCCTTTGTCTGCCGTGAGGTCATGTTCAACTACTGGTTCCCGGGCGAGCCATTCAACATGCATCTCCACCTTATCTTCACCTCTGCGCTGGTGGTCAGCGCCATGACTATAAGCCTGATGACGTGTGATCTCGGCGTGGTGTTTGAGCTTGTGGGCGCCACGAGCGCTTGCGCTCTGGCATATATACTACCCCCACTGTGCTACATCAAGCTCAGCACCCGCAGCTGGAAGACCTATGTCGCCTGGGCAGTTGTGGTGTTCGGGAGCGCAGTCATGGCCATCAGTCTGTTCCAGGCCGTTGGGGACATGATAACAGGCGGCGGCGAGCCTGTCAAGTGTATGTAAATGCAAGCACTTCTGTAATAACATTACGACAAAAGCTTCTATAGAGGTCCCATTTGATTTTTCCAATACCAGATCTGGTTCTAGAGGGCAAAGCATAGCATAAAGAAGGCGAATTGAATTTCTTACCAACAGACTTACCCAGAGACGTAAAGCAAGGTACCTATCGAACAAGGCTCGTGACCATGACAAGGAACCCTACTGTGCTCAAGAGCATGTGACGTCCACTTGATGAGGTCCAAAGGTTAACTAATCATAGCCAACCGAAAGGTCCTATGTAGATCAGTCAGTCCGCTGCTTATCGCGCGCCCATCCTAGGCCATCCTACAAATCCTTAGTCCAGGCCTCCATCCGTTCTTCTGGTCTGCTGCCCGGGAAAGCCTCACCATGCAATGTGACAACACGCCCAGTAGTTCGTTACAGGACAGGAAGATACTTGAGGTGGGGAAATGGAGGGTAAGCAGCTGACCCTCGCCTATCAATGAACCCCCCCCCCCCCCCCCCCCCCCCCCCCCCCCCCCCCCCCCCCCCCCCCCCCAATCGCACACAGCCAACTGGGCAACTGGACCCCCCCGCAGTAGAAGCCCAAGTGGGTTTCTGGCGTGCATACTGGTGGTGTGCAAAGACAGAACAAACACACGATAGTGGTCCAGACGGAGGTCTCTTCAGATAGGCTGTTTAGTAAAGAGAGAGGGAGAGTGGTGAGGAAATCGTTCCAGCCCCCGAAACTCCGATACCCCGCTCGCGATCGTGTTGGTCTTTTTGGGAATATAAGTGCGCGAGGAGGAGAGGGCACGCCGCGGGGGCGGTTTTATTTAAGAGCTGCTCTATCTACCTACTCGACGGATTTCTCACAAGAGAAATTTTTTATTTTCTTTTTCTACTCTTGCAGAAGTGACATTTCGTACCAAATATCGAACAGATACCGATCCTTAAAGTAAGTCAGAAAGAAGGAAAGAAGGGAAGAAAGAAAGAAAGAAAGAGCGTCGCCTGTTCTCATGTATCCCTCATCACCCCTCTACGTGTTCGAACCAACGTTACAGTGTTATTTTAGCCCTCATGAACATCTCATCTTTGAAGCCTGGCTGTCCGGTCGAGACCATACGCTCCATGTGCAAGATGACATTTAGCGGGGGCAAGGACTAACATATCTCAAAAACGATCAGGTCACTCCTCGACCAATCGAATTTACAAGATAAATAAATCGCCAATATGCATAACAGCGCCTGCCCCAAGTGCGGAGCCAGCTTCAGCGGTTCCAGCAAGAGCTGTGGCTCCTGTGGTGCCGTAAGTTCTTTTTTTCTTCTTCTTCTTCTTCTCCTTCTTCATTTCTTTCCCTTCTTCACCTATAGCTTTACGGTGCCTGTCCTTGAATAAGCTGCAACTTTTTGATCTTCTCATCCGAGACGGCCGGAAGTCCTGCTGCTTAAATTTTTTTAATTCTTTTCTATACGTTCGGTTGGAAAAGCTGCCTCTCTTCTGGTTCCAGGTACTTTTAGGGAGGGATTGGGCTCTTGTTCGCATGTCGACGATATAAGTCCACCTTTTTCTTTCTGTTCCCTTACACTGACGAATTATCTACATACACAGACCTGCCCTCAGTAGACGAAGTCTTTTTGAGGCCTCAGTGTGGGTATATTGGTTGAGATCTCGAAGGACATGAGTTACGTTCCGGTGTGGTGTTTTGGTCGAGTGGATGAGCAACGATATCAGCCAGAGGAGGGGGATAATGACACATTCATTTTTTGATCTGTCCAATGGAGTGTGTATCTAGTTAGGGGCAGCGAGTGGTCCGGCAGTGTTGAGCAATCTGTCCTATTGCCCGGACGGCAATACACCCCTTCTTTTTCTGTTGCTCTATATAGACGCAGTAGCTTGCAAATATGCGGTCAATTTACAACCTTGAACATCCGATTATGTTTTTGAGACCGGTCTGAGTATGAGAGTTCCGATCATACGCCGGCTGTATCTCAAATAGGACATGTGCCGGATATGAGCGGGATTCTGTCACACACACATATATATATATGAAGAGAGAAAAAAAGGGGGGAGGCAAGTCCTATACAACTCTGACCAACTCAAGAACCTGAATGCAGGACTACGACATGATTTACTCGTATAGATATCTATCCAACTTAGCCAAAGAAGCCAATTGAATACATGCAAGACGCAGTCACAGGCTGGATATTAGAACTTGTAACCAAGATATTTCCAGTAGAGCCTTTGTAGATTGGATAACTCGGCAGTTCTACACCTGAAGACACTGAAGAGCGAACGGAGCAGAGCACATAATGTCGGAACAGGCATAAGGGCAACTGAGAAATAGGTTCGTTGAGCGCCAATGGATGTCTACAAACATGAGAAGACACTATGAGATCAAGGGCAGATGGAAAAGAAAACGAGCAGCAAGTGGAAAAGGAAGAAAAAATAAAAAAAGATTTATGATGTAGCCGTGTTCTTGAGGATTGCCATGGCTCGCCAGTCCTGACCAACAAATACGAATCGCAAAACAACAGACAGACCCTAGTTCACTACCAAAGTACCTCACTTTCCGATAGCAGACGTCCCGACTCGGAGACAAAAACAACCGCTCAACCTCTTGGGCTCGTCCCCTTTCCAGTTCCAGTGAGTAGTAGTGGTGATGGTAGCAGTAGTGGTGTAGTAACCGCCATGACGTCCATGTGTACCAAAATATCCGGCCCGTTCCCTCGAGGTTATTAAAAGGAGGAAAAATAGGGACAAGGACATGGGACCAATCTGTCCATAGCAGCACGCCGGCAGCAAGCAGGTACTTAGTAGACGAATCAAACTCCGGCCTTGACCAATGATGCACAACTCCTTGGCTCCCGTTGACAACCATCTCATCATGCCATGGATGGGCAGACACCGTTTATCATCCGAGAACCAAAGCACGCGAAAGCCCGATGGTGGAATTGGGGAAAATATGACGATATATTACAACGGTACGCCGACGAAGTGGGTGGAATGATTTGCAAGCTGAACCGTCTATAGGATCATGCACTTGCCGCCCTTGTGGCCACGACCAGGACGGTTGCGGGACAGGAGAGCGGCACGGGTAGCGTGCTCGAATACCTCCCGGACACCCTCGTTGGTCTTGGCTGAGCACTCGAGGTACTTGTAGGCACCGATCTTCTTGCGGACCTCCTCACCCTGTGTTGTTCGGTTAGGCTCAGGCTCAGGCTCAGGCTGTACGGACAGGTGGTAAGTTTTGGTGGGTAGATCTTACCTCCTCAGGAGAGACGGGCTTCTGGCTGGTCTTGCGGAGTTCCTCGATGGTCTTGTTGTCGTATCGCAGATCCTTCTTGCAACCAACCAAGATGATGGGAAGACCTTGGCAGAAGTGAAGGACCTCGGAGATCCACTATCGGGCACGTGTCAATAGGAACAGGCTTATCTAGGTTGTATGAGTTCGGGGGTTGACTGACCTTCTCTTGAACGTTGTCCAAAGAATCGGGTGAGTCGACAGCAAAGCAAATGAGGATCACGTGAGAGTCGGGGTATGATAGAGGTCGGAGACGGTCGTAGTCCTCCTGTCCAGCGGTATCCCAGAGGGCCAGCTCGACGTGCTTGCCATCGACCTCGACATCGGCGACGTAGTTCTCGAAGACGGTGGGGACGTAGACCTGTCGAGTTGCTATGTCAGTACGGCTGGGCTTATCAACAGAATAGGTCGAGTCAAAAGAGGTGATTCTCCATCAATGGGCGAGATGCGCAAAAGACTCAGCGCAGATCAAGGTATCGCGATGAGGGATGGCCACGGTCGTCGGTGCTTGTCTTCTTCAGGTGCTTGTGTTGCTGTGCCGTCGGGGTCCAGGTGTACATGTACAATTAGGCGCGAGGCTTGGCGGGGAGATAGACAGATGGACAGGGCAAGCGGCCAAGGATGCCAGGCAGAGCGACGAAAGAAAGGGTCATGTAATGGGAAAAGGAAGCTTAGTTTATCTTACCTCAGGGAAGGTGCCCTTGGAGAAGACGCTGTCGTCGGGATTAGCACGAGGTGAGGATGATTTGGAAGACAAGACATTGAATTAAACTTACATCAACAAACAAGTCTTACCACAGGCACCGTCACCGACGATAACCAACTTTCGGCGGATCTCAGCCATTGTGAATGTGCGATTAGGGGGGGATATGGGAGAAGCGTAAGGCTGGGGGGTTATTGTTGGGAAATGCGAAAGAAAAAAGGTCAACTAAGTGGTTAACGGGTTGATCAAGCCGCCGATAAAGTCTCCTTCAGTCGCTGATGAAAGGAGAAGCGGTTGTTGGTTTGTGGTCGTGGAGTTTGGTTTGGTTTGGATGGGGAAAGATGGAAGAGTGAGAAGAGAAAGGTCGGCCAGGCCAGAAGGTCGATGCTTAATTGACGTGGGCGTGGGCAATGGACATGAGCATGAGCTATGGGCATGGGCATGGGCATGGGTATAACTAAGGAGAGAGTGAGAGAGAGGGAGAGAGAGAGAGAGAGGGAAGAGAGGAGCTAACTAACCTAGAGCCAAACCTCTCTGCCCAGTCAGGCCAGGTCCAGCAGCAGCAGTTCATGTCCCTGTCCTACTGTAGGTCAGTGCTTCTCCGGCTGCAGCAACTGGGATTAGACTAGTCCCCCAGCTCATTCCCAGGCAGCCTTCCCTTAAAAGTAGGTCTGACATAGCAGAGAGCGTCCTCTCATCAACAGAGCCACATGCAGGTTGCAGCGCTGCACTATAGCCCACAGCCCCGTAACCCGTTGCCCATAGGCTATACGCCGTAGCCTGTAGCTTGTAGCACAATTCGCTCCAACTGGGGAGGGCGAGAGGAAGGGAAAACAAGAGAGAGAAAGAAGAAAAACAAACACCCCCCCCCCCCCCCCCCCCCCCGACAAAGCACGCCAACCAGCGCAATGCTTGCACACTGTACTTCAGTGGGTCCGACCTACCCAAGCAGGTAGGGTCTTTACGAGCCTGCTCAGCCAGTCTTGTTGCTATGGGGAAACAGTTGCAAACCAAACACCTACCCTACTACAAGCAAACAAGGCGGAAAACAAGGGCAATGGAGGGGCAACATTGCAGCATCTATCATATCAATCGTCACGTCGTGTTCAATTACCTGGCTATCTTACCTGTCCTTGGATTGTCATTAACAACAACGGTCCGGCTCGAGAACCACTTCTACCGGTACAGATCCGTACTGTACGAAGTCATACCGAGATCGTCCTGGCTCATCAACCCACAACTTGGGTAACTACACATACCAAGGTCCGGCTTTGAGGCAACCAGTCACCTTTTGGGCCTGAGGCCATCAGCAACCCAACTTTATTAGCATTGCCCGTCTGACACAGTGCTCATCCGTCGTCAACCATGCCCCCCAATCGCTCGGTATTTCCCTTGATCCACCACGAGCCACTACAGACACGCGTCTTTCAACGTCTCTATCGCCGTTGAAGCTATTTGAAGCGTTTTGGGAAAGATGCCGATTTCCCTTTCCTTGGTTGTGAGGCAACCATAATCTAAAATAATGCACTTCCATGAACCGATTATCCTCAATACGAAAGCTTGAATCCATCTTTAATACGATCTCAGCTCAGCTGAAGCTGCTGTCCAATCTTGATGCATGGCCGTTTCCCTCATCGACTGCCAAGTAACTTTCGCGACTCAGTTTATTACACCTTAACAGGCTAACCCGCTGTCACATGAAAACCATCAATCTCTTGAGTGGTGTCAATCAACACGGTTTGGTTCTTTTTATTCTCTATCGTATATACTTCATCTCTGCATTGATCAACGTGGCAGGATTATCATGTTCAGGGGCAGACGTGACCCATTCACGTGCATCTTGAACACGGACGGCATCAATGGGCGTCCGACGTGTCAGCTCTATTGGACTAGTTTCTATCGATCATTCCTTGGGGTGTTTTTCGCGACCGCGTAAAAGGGAGCTATGATGGCCATTACGGCGACGATCGACTGAAACGGGAATCCTGTTGTCACAAATCATGTCAGAAATAGTTTGCGCGGTCTTATGTGAACAGTGATTTACTTGCTCGGGACTACTGTGCCTACAGCAAGCATGCCTTGCTGTAGGCGCGGCACAGTCTGATAATCACAACAACCACTAAATTCTAGCGCCCTGAAAGACCCAGCACAGAGGTGACTAAGGTTGCTTAACTCGCCGAGAGCCGTTCTGAAGGGCTATGCACTTGATGTGAGCCTCAGGCTGATCACAGCGTCCTTCAGCTGAGCATTGGTGGCACAGTCGTCTTGGGGCCCTGGGGATCTGTCAGGTCCTCCGTCATCTCTCATTTCTTGTCTCTTGGTTCGTTGTTCTTCGTCCAGGACATCCTATGTACTTCAGACGGGGCCCACAAGTCTACCGACTTGAAGCAGTGGGCATCTTTTGTGGAGGCTGAGCCCAGGTGACTGAGCCACTGTGGGCAAGAGAACGTAGGTGCCTCGTGTGAACACGTTATGGGCCGTGGCCAGTTACATCAACTATAGTTTTCTCCTGTGCGAAGCTCGTGGAAGGGTGTTGCTTCTATGATTACAGGAAGCGACTCTGAAACGAGCCTTTAATTTAGCAAACCTGATGTCTATCAAGAACTGGGGTATTCATCAGTCTTGATAACATCCGTGGTGTAGATGAACCGGGGACTTCCTGGACAATATTTACACAGGGAGTGCCGATCTTCGAGAGACGACAAACCATTCCCGTCCATCCAGGAGACGGCCGAATATACACAACACGCTGGAACTTTTTTGAACTGATCTACCATGAGGTATGTGGGAGCAGTTTGGAAGACGACCCCAACCCAAGAATTTATACAGCAACACACACTCACCGCAAGACCTGACACAGCTTATAGGAAGTTATATCCTGTGTGAAACGGGGTCTGCTCAAAAACTCAACGAGCTGGAAGTAACTTCAAATTGTACCCCGAAAGCAGATGACATACTGCTGCATGTTCACTGGTGGCTTACTCATATGTGCTCGTTATCGTGATTTGTCTCTTTGATGCTGGTTGTTGATGAGGCGCCTCAAGCTTCAATAACGCCCATGAAAGCAGAAAGTGGATACCGACTCAACTCTACTTAAGGTACGGAGTACTCCGTATAGATCCAGATCTAGACTAAGTAGACATACGCACACACACGACCAATGGCGGTGCATAGATTTTCCGGCTTGACACTCGGTTCGAAAGGCCCCTGCACATCGAGCTCTCCCCCAAAAATTTGGCCTAGCACTAGTACAGGGGAGGCACCGGAGCAGCCCACAGGACGAGACGAGACGAGACGACACAAGACAACATAATACGAGAAGCCGCTGTTGACCTCGGACACGATTTGGAAGCTTCGGCAGTCTTCGTCACAAAGATGCAGAAGATCCTCAAGCGCGTCGCTACCGCCGAGCGTGTGGCGGCAAAGCGCAAGGCCACGAGGGATTGGCAAGCTTGGAAGAAGGAGCGCTTCAACGAGCAAGATGAAGTGAAATACCAGCGATCCCAGATAGCACTGGACTTTGGCCGGGCAAAGCAGGCGATCAAAGACGACTGGTACCTGGGCCCCAACGCACCGAATATCAATGTCGGCGAAAACGGCTCAACGCACGGTACCATCTCCGAAGCAAGATACCAGATGAGCGCCACATTGAAGGATCACCAGAAAGAGGCAAGGTGCGAGTGGTTGGGAGGTGCAAAGAACTTGAACTTGGTCGAGGGCGACCGAGTTGTCCTGCTCGAGGGGCCCGATAAAGGCAAGATTGGCAAGATCACGACTGTGCAACAGGACAAGATGGAGGTTGTCGTTGAAGGTCTGAATAAGGTATGTACTGCCCCCCCTCCCCCCCGTTGACCGACTCCGTCTCGACCTACTTGGCTCTCCATCCGTTTGACCCAAAACCCCAAAGGGCAGTCACTGACAAGCCCAACAGTCCAATGTGAGAATGCCGATAGCCCTTCTCGGCGAGGGAAAGCCGCCAGGCATTAGCATCGAACTTCCCATTCCCATTTCCGGCGTCCGTCTCGTGCACCCTATCCGCGACCCAAAGACTGGCGAGACCAAGGATGTCATCATCAACCAGCTGCGACATGCCAACTTCATCCACGATAAGGTCACCGATCAGTCCGAATGGACTCGCGTTGTTCCTGGTTTGAATATGGCTATACCGTGGCCCGAGAGTGCCCCCAAGGAGGCCGTAGACTACAAGGTTGACACGCTCCGCATCGACGTCGAGGAACGTACCTTTGTCCCTACGCTACTACGCCCGCCCATGCCAGAGCAGGTCATCGATGAGCTCCGCAACAAGTTCTCGCGGTTCAGAACCAGGCACGAGCCTGAATACATCGCCGCTAGAGAGGCGGAAGAGCAAGCGAAGAAGGACCGTGTTCAGCTCATGGACTCGATGCGCACGCCGCTGCAGGAATTCCACCGCGCCGAGCGCGAGATGAAGAAGAGGAAGGGCAAGCCGAGACTGACGGCCGAGATGCTCGAGCAAATTGGCAAGGTCATTGCCAAGAACCGAGAGAGGACCTTGACCGCGGCAGGCGTGAGCAACGTATCCTCATCATCTGCAATATCAGGAGCTGCTGTACCACCCGAGATCTCGAGCGCAGACCATGGCCGGCGAGCTGACTGAGATCAGCACAGTATCGTCCCGCCGCCCTCGTCGTAATAGCAGTCGACCAAGGACGCAGAAACAAAGCGGGTGGCGCACAACTGGGCCGACGCAATGTAACATATATGTAGATAACACTGAAGCATCTGTGACTGCTGGCTAGAGCCAGCGAGGCGTGTACTCTGTACAATGACAACCATACTTTTTTTTTTTATACAATACGTTTCATCTTACCGATGCACTGCAGCGACATTCCCTGCGGTGCATGGGAGGAGGAAGAAAAACCCCCCGGAGTTGTAGGACAGTTCCTAATAACTGATTAAACGCTACCGGGCCAAGTAGGATCCTGATTACCTGCCAGTTCCCTGGCAGGACTGGCCTGTTTTGGCAAGATACGAAGCGCGGCTACTGCGCCTGAAGTCAAGCTTTTACGGGATGATATGATCTTGCCCGTGTGAGACAACAGCAAAGTTATCGACGCTCTTCTCTTGCAAAACTTGCGTCGGTTCGCCATTCCCATTCCGAGAGCAAGAAAACCAACGCCGCAGACGAGTGGAACTTTGGAGGATGTAATGAAGGAACACTCCTTTAGGCTGAACTACACTAGATGAGATATCGAACGTCACAACCATAGGCCTATCATGACAGGTTCCACACGAGTAGAATAAATAAACGTTTTCCACGGGCGGAGATCCTGCTGCGTCGTCTCGATCTTATGCAAGGCTGGGTGTGATTACTTGTTTACTCTTGACGTTTATTCTTTTCAAGTAGTTAGCTTGTTACAGTGCAGTGATTCAAAAAACCCCCATCCAAAAAGATCGGGCCGGTGCAATGCCTGTGGTTATGTATATGCACCGGGGCCTCCCCTCGTGTCCGTTCTTGTTGCCGCGGTCGCCACACTCGACGCGCTTCCCTTTCTCGAAGGGCCGTCTGGCTTTCCCTCTTCGGCGCTGCGCTCCAAGAAACTTGCCCAGAGATCGGCCAGGGATTCCTTGTTGGCTGATGTGGGCGTGGGCTCCGAGAAGAATTCCGAGCTGAGAGAAGGCGTGCTAGGAGTCCGGTGGAACGGGGACGTAGGTAGACGGAGACTGTTGCCAGAACCACCCGGCCTCGCTAAGCCGGCTTGCTCTCTTTGCTCTTCCGTCCAGTTCAGAAGGCCGGCGATGATCTGCAGAATCTGGAACTTCTTGGGATCTGACCTATCCAGAGCCAGGAACTGCAAGAAGTGGTTCGTGACAATTTGTCTAGACGGCTTATTAGTGAGAACTCAAAAGGGCACAACCACGGACGGATACATACCTATCAATACTATCCTCGGGCTTGGTCTTCTTCAGATACCGCAACGCCTTGGTTAGGTGGTCATTGAGAACAATGGCCTCATGTCTGAGCTTCCCGATCAGGAGGTTCTTCTCCTTGACTTCCTTTTCGAACGGTGCAGTCCTCTCCAGCTCCTTCTGCAGCGAGACCTTCAATGTCTCGGCTTCTGTGGCTCTTGCGTCAGCCTCCTTGACCAGTTTCTTCATTGCCTGAAGCTGCTCCTCAGAGGTTTCTACCATTTCGCGCAATTCCCGTTTGCGCGCGTCCTGGATCTCTTGTAGCACTCTCTGCAGACTGTCGACGGCCTGTGACTGGACATCTCGGTCCGAGGCAGCACGCTCGTAGCTTTCTCTCAGTGATGCGACTTGTTCCTCGAGGGCTGAGGTCTTTTCCACCATGGACTCGCGGATGGAGCGTTCCTCCATGGCCAGCACCTCCCAGTCGCCCATGGCATCCTTGGCGGCTTCTGCCTCTTCCCTGAGGTGCTGCAGCTGTCTCTGCAGATCTTCCTTCTCCTTCAGCGAGTTGTGCTGCGATAGATTGTTGCGACTCCTGAGGCTGGACAGTTCTCTCGTGGCATCCTGCAACTCTGTCTTGAGCCCGTCGATCTCGTCCTGGAACTTCTGCGACCCGTTCTGGAGTTGTTCATTCTGGGACTCGAGCTCCTCTACGCGCTTGGTGGCTTCCTCGAGCTCTTCCCTGTCTCGTGCTAGCCTGTTGCCGAGCGTCTCCTTGATCTTCTCGACCCGTCCCATGAGGGTTTGGTATTGTTGCTCGGCATGCTCCTTTGCCGCCTCACTCTCCTCGAGATCTGCTTTCAGCTGGGCTGTCTCTTGTCCGTGTGTTTCTTGTATTGTTTCGAGCTGTCTGCGCAATTGTTCTACTTCGGCCCTGAGAGCTTCCCTTTCTTGTGACATGGCTTCTAACCTCGCGCTCGTGTCCGGGCCAGCTGGTGTTGCCGGGTTGGACGGGGCTGATGTTGTGACTTTGTCCGAGGGGTCTGCGGCATGCCCGTTGGTGGTTGGTGACGTGGCATGCCCATTCGAAGGTGCGTCCTGTGTAAACGATTAGCACTGGTTTTTGGGTGTGTTCTTTTGGGCTTCAGGGTGCAATTGGGGAGCTGCGTACCACGGCAGGGGAGTCCGAGGTGTCGTCTTCGTCTTCTCCTTCTGGCTCTCCATTCTGCGTTGTATCTATGGCTCTTGCGCCATCTTGTGGCGCCTTGTCCTTGCTGGCAGCAGCAGCATTATTATTGTTCTTCTTCTTTCTGTTGGGTTTCTTCTTTGCAGCTAGAAGGTTGGGAGCGCGGTCAGTGGGCACAATCCATTGCAGGGGCTGCGGTCGTGGCTGTACTGACCATTGCTCGCATCCGTGGGAGACATGATTGCTGGACTTCAGGATGTTTACAGTACCGAAGCTTAGACAGGAGGCATCGAGACCTTGAGGAATAATTGCTGGCCCAAGCCCGGGTATAGTTGAAGGTCCAGGTCTAGGGTCTAGGTCCAGGTGCAGCCTACATACACCTTTGAGAAAGTCCGTTCTTCGTTATTTCAAGGTCGCTATGTGTGTAACCTACTTGTTAGTCTAGCTGTAAATTGCACAGCTATGTACAATGCTACCGGGTAGTCTACAGTACATGTTCCTCTACCTTTCAAAGAAGTTAGCGAGACTACGGATTACACACGTAAGCCTTTACATATGTGCTGGGCTTTAGCGAGTGCCTCCCCCCCCCCGTTCCCCGTCTCCCGTCTCCCGTCTCCCCCGTCTGTACGTGTGCACCTGCTCTGCTGTTAGGCCAAGTTGAAAGCACGTTTAGGTGGGCTGAGCTAACGGACCTATCGGCGTTCTGGCCTCCCGTGGCATGTATGTATTTAGTATTGCTGCAACTGTGCCCCCGAATGCGAATGCGTGCAAGATGCCGTCTTGCAAAGCCCAAAGAAGAGAAGCCGTCTTTGGTTTGCAGCTCTGCAGCATTGAAACGTTGATCGCGGTGCATGTAAATCAAGGTTCGGTCAAACTCGCCTGACCATTGCATTGCATTACATTGATGCACGAGTTGTTAGGGACGCGGCGCGTTACAGTACAGTACGGATACATAGCGCACGTATACATAGTTGAGTCACATGATAGGCGGAATCGGCGCATGGGTGGGGGAGGGGGGGGCTCTTGTCTAGACTAGAATATCGCAAACTTCAAGCCTCTTGGGATTTTTTTTTTCCTTTCTTCCTCACATATTTCACCCTTCGCCAGCAAATTTTTTGAAACTGCCTGCACAACCACGTGCAATTAACTAGGCAGTCTCATACAACCTGGCCGAAGTAGACCAATTATTGCCTTTTAATAATACTACTGCTGCTCGGCTTTGCCCTTAATGAGTGCAGAAGATTCGCTTTAGTGCAAACATACATCTCGTCACGGTTGTGGAATTGTTGCTCTGGAAATGCTTTTCCTGAAATATGCTGCGCCAGACACACCTGCCAATCGTTGCTCTAGATATTATCACGGGAACGTGGTCTACCCATCAATTAGGTTTCAGACTTTCAGAATGCTTTGTTATCGAAGTTCGTACATAAATTGCTTATCGTAACGCCCTTTTGCGCCTCTTCAGTAAACTCAAGCCTTTGCCTTCTTCGCCTTTGCGGGCTTTTTGGCCTTCTTGCCAGCCTTTGATCCGTTCTGCTTGCTCGGCGTGCCGGACGTGGTGGCCTGCTCGCCATCTGCTGTCTCAGCGACAGCCTCTGATTCTGCGACTTGAGGGGCAGCCTCAACGGCCTTGGGTGCTTCCTCCTGGGCGTCTTCCAGTGCTCCAGCCGTAGGTGCGACGGCTTCCTTCAACTCAGGCGCCTCAAACTCGTAGCCTAAAGCCTTGAGCTTCTCAGCCTTCTCGGCCCGCTTCTTGTTCTCCTTCTCGATCTTGGATGCCCACTTGCCCTCGGATAGTGGCTTCTTCAGCTTGTTGCCCTCAATCTTGTTGCTGGGAATGGCCTTGTATCGCTTGCCAGCTCCCTTGAATAGATCATCGTGAATTTGCGACTCTGGCACGGTCCTGCACTTGAGAAGGTGGCCGAAAAGCAAGTACTGCAATAGGTTAGAATTCGCTCGTGCTCGTTCCGGTTCCAGATGGGCCAGCCACTTACGTTGTTCATCGACTTGACCACATACTCGGCCGTCGTCTCGTCCGCAAACTCGACAAAGGCAAAATGCTTGCTTTGGCCGGTCTTCTTATTCCTCGACAGCCGTAACCTTGAGATGTCGCCGAACTGACCGAAATACTCCTGCATTTGCCGCTCGTAGAAACCGTGGGGGATGCGACCGATGTAGACAACAGCCTTGACCTTGCTTCCACCTTTGCCAGACTTGCCTGCCTTTTCGAGCGCCTTTGAAGGCACAGGGGCTTTGCCTACATCCTGGCCCTCCTTGAATGCAGCGCTCTCGTCAACTTCGGCATCGTCTTCTTCGTCCGAAACACCTGCCAGTACTAGAGCCTGGTCGTTGTCTTCCTCGTCGTCGTCAGAGGATGGCTGTTCCTCGTCGTCTACAACAGGTTCCACGGGTACCACGGGCTTCTCTTTCTTTGCCTTGGACGTCGCCGGTCCCTTCAGAGGTTTCGTCTTCTTCACAGCCACGGGACTTGCATCTTCGGCGGCCTTTCGCTTTACTGGAGCGGCACCCTTGGACTTGATCGGAGTCTTTTGGGCGGAGGCTTTGGAAAGCTTGTCAGCGGGTTGCACGTCACAAAGATGGAGTCGAATTTACATACCTGAAGGTTTTCTCGCACGAAGTTCGGGGGCCATTTTGACGTTGCTTGTATTACTTACTTACTGATCGTTGGCGGTCGATGTCCTGGTAGCTCTCTAGACTTTTTAGAAAAATCCAAATTCTGCCACTGATTTGCAGGGACAGCGGGCACACCGCCTGCCATCGACACCCCCCACCACAGCTAACATCAGCACGCTAGGTACTCCGTACATAGGCAGCTATGTGCTGTGAACACCATCCTGTAGCGAGTGGGCTTGTTGTCTACTTACCTACGTAAAGTACTGACGTTACTTCACTTTACGGTAAGTTACTTCAATGTTTGGAAGGCATATCACACCGGCTGTCTTCATCGTTCCACTCGTGCTGCATTTCCGAGGGATTGTCGTCGGATAAGGCCCTATTCACAGTTTTTTGAAGCAGAATTGTCACTGATAGTGAGGCCATTGATCTTTGGTACCTTCTACCTCAAGGTTGGAATTGATTAATAGACTAATGTTAATGTGTTGCAAGAGTCTCCACCCATATCTCATTGACGGCACCCAAAGCTTGTAAGTCAAGTTTTGAGCTATGGTGAAGGCAACTCATTATCTGCCTCCCAACTGAAGCCCGCTTGCTTTTCAACCTCGTTATCTTTGCTCCTTGGCAACTCCTGTCTTTGGTTGCGCATAGCTTCGGCTTCAACCCAAATTTCGTCGTGAAACTCAAGCTCGCCACGGACTGTTGCCTGGCCCGAGAAGCTGGTCTCGCCTTCACAACGCAACCCATCTTCCCTCATTGTCCAGTGCCGCCTGCAGTCTGCAGCAACATAGGCATGGCGTCCACAGAGCCAAACCTCACACAAGAGGAGATATGGGATGACAGCGCTCTGGTTAACTCATGGAACGATGCTTTGAAGGAATACAAGGTAGGACAACAATCTTGCAATGGAGCAGGGGAGGCTATCCTGCTAATCGTTTTCAGAAATATCATAGCATTCACTCCAAAGGCGGAAACGTGGAGGATGTTATTAACCCAAATAAGTCAGTATTTCAAAACTCCGTTAACTCCCTCTGATGCTCACTAACAGATCATTACAGGGTCGGCGAGGGTTCAGATGCCAAGAGGAGAGATGAGCCAGCAGAAGATTGGAACGCCAAGGTAGACGACGTTGATGCGCAAACGGTAAACTTACTCTCACCCGCATCCTGGAAGATCACAAAAGCTTGGCCCAAACGTATCCGAGATTGCTGACCAAAACACAGGAGGGAGTTCAGGAAAGTGAAAACGTGGCAGATCAGCACAGCCAGCTTCCAGTTGCGGGAGCTGCATTTGTTCCAGCGCCATTGCTCGGTTCAGGTATGTTCCTGTTGCAGAACCTACCCTACCTTGATACGACGTCGGCTAACAGGGGTATAGTGCGTGACGAGAGCCTCAAGAAGCTCTTAATGTCGTGGTATTATGCAGGGTACTATACCGGCTTCTATGAAGGCCAACAGGCTCAGCAATGATGAATGGACACCCACGGGTCTGCATCACTATGCTTTATTCCAGATATGGAATTGTCCCCGGCATTATATGGGTGGTGGTCGGATGGGCCAGGCAGCCGGAGCCTGGGACGTTTCGTGTTCCAGGTCCGCGGCCTCTAGAGCATGCCAGCATGCTTTGTCAAAACGGGAAAATGACACGCCGTGTGGACTGGTAGAATCGGACGAAATCATCAGCAGGGGGCCAGCCGTCTTATTATATCACAGCACATTGATAGAAATACACAGCGATACCAAGGACTAGTGACGTGTGTCCCGCCCGTCGTCTGAAGAATTGCAAAGAGACCAGCCTTTGAGATATGCATACCTGGTCTGATATGAATGCTAGTGACTCGTCTAACATACTTTGACAGCTGTAATAGCTTGCTAATGTCGAGGCGCTCAAGCGTCCCATTGCAAAGCGCATGACCAAGCCCATCGAAATCGTAACAAATAAAACTACACACCCGTCTCATTGTAATATACAATAAATACCCCAATAAATGAATAACAGTCATACAAATTGAGTGGATTTCCTTGGATCAACATCAGGAGACCTGTACATTCTTCGTACGTTCCGACGTATGTTCCTCCTACACCAAGACAGTAGTGTTACAACTCAAAGGATAAAACGGCAGTGCCGGAGACGCTTACCTGACTTCGAGGCCTCCTACTGACTTTTACATACCAATAACGATGTAAGCTCGGCTGGTATTATTGGTGCCAGATATTGGTGGAGCTTCTAGTGCTTAAGCAATACCGCTATAGTCCCGAAGCAACACATGGCTGCCAAAACACCAAGGATCATGGTCAAAATACGGGGGAGCAAGGCTGTAATCTGAGATGAATCCATGCTGATGCATTTATTTCATTAAAACGAAGGACTAGTCAAGAGCTTGTCTGCAACAAAGTTTGTATGGAGGCCCGAACTTCACTGGTGGTCCTCTGAATAGACGAGACAAAGAAAGGTCGTGGGAACATTAGATGGCGCAAATACTGGGGGCGCCACGACCAGAGCTGATGCCAAGACGAAACGAATCCTTGTCAATGGATGCTGGATTTGTTTCTTCGATGCTTGAACAATGAAACATGGCCTGATGATGACGGCAGGTTTGTACAACTTCAGTCATCTAGCCGGCTTAAGGAACACGATCGAAGCCGAGATATCCAGAGGAGGCTCAAGTGCTGAAGACAAGCTCCCCCGAGTTTCGCATGCATGCAACTGGGGTCGGCGCTAAGGACATGGTTAAGCTTAATGTGAACGGCAGATGTTACCTTAAGTTAATATCCAGAGCCACTCTCTCCACACGAACGTTGCTGCTGTAGATAATGAGATTCGAGCGATTGTTCGTAAATCATCGAGATGGTGCCCTACGACGAGCCCGTTGTTATACACATGCATCTTTGCCATACGTTCAATGCTCTGTGCGACTTGCAGCGTTGTTCCGGTATTTCAGTTCTGGTGTAGTCTAATTGATGTCGAGGGATCTGTGCTTTGACCGGTGCGCGGAATTTAGCCAGGGGCCCAAACAACACCCGAGACAGCTCTGTCACATCCACCTCCTGAATCCAACCACTTACAGGACCCAGAACCGCAGTGCATACCCCATGCAATCCAGACCCTCCACCTTTTTGAGTTCTGAGAGCCTCCCAGGCCGACAGGGCAAGGTATCCAAAGTGAGATCCGTTCGTGCTGGATAATATGTGAGCGGAACGTCTGCAGGGCCGAAGGGAAGACCCCGGCCATGCCCAGACATATGTGCTTGTTTCGAGACCGGCTCCTAAGCCAGGATGGATTGACCGTGGCTGTGACGCTGGGCATCGATCTTCAATGCTCGATTATAAGCACTCGAGACCCCTCTGAGGGCCTCTCTGACGGTAGGTTGTTTCTTTCGTCTCTTCATTCATCAGACGTATTGTGTTCGCTCCTTTTCTCTTCGTTCGACTCATTCTTTACTTTCATTCCACCACGAGCAGGCCCTCGCCCTTTTCAAGTTACATCGAGCCAGTTCATTACGGTCTTTCAGGCAAACGACTAATTTACCCCAAAAGAGGAGGAGTTCTTGATATCTACGACATCAATTTAATACCTTACATCAGTTATCATGAGGTTGTCAGCAGTTCTCGCTCTGGCCATCGCGGCCCCGGCGCTTGCCAAGTCTGTTCACAATGTCTACCCAGTGTTGAAGAGAGAAGACAGCAACAAGGACAGCAGTAAGGACAGCAAGGACAGCAAGGACGCCAACAACAAAAATGATAACAGCAAGAACAATGGCAACAATGGCCAGAACATCATCGTCCAAGCCCAGACCACCCAGATCATCATCTTGTGGAACAACCCTGGAAACGGTGCTGCCACGACTACCATCAACCAGGCCGTGACAGTCACACAGACTGTCACTGCTGGTGCTGCGGCTACTACCGTTGTTGGCAGTGCAACTGTTGCCCCTGGTGCAACCAGTGTTGTTGCTGGCACTGGAGCTACACACTCGGTAAGCTCGTGAAAACTCGGATTCTTGAGGCTCTCCTTACTGACACGGACAGGTTATTGTTGGCGGTCCTGGCGGTCTCGCATTCTCTCCTGCAGAGGTTAAGGCTGCTGTTGGTGACTCTGTCGTCTTTACTTTCATGAGTAACAACCACACCGCAACGCAATCTGCTTTCGCAGCTCCTTGTGACCCTCTCGCCGGTGGTATGGACTCCGGCTTTGTGCCCAACGTCAACAACACCATCAACCCCCCGCCTCAGGTTGCTATGCAAGTCATGGTTGCCACTCCTCTATGTAAGTAATATTGTGACGTCGGAAAAACCAGCCAGCTGACAGGTTATCTAGGGTTCTACTGCAAGCAGGCCAACCACTGTGGTGCGGGAATGACCTTCTCAATCAACCCCACTGCCGACAAGACCCAAGCTATTTTCCAGGCGATGGCTATTGCCCAGAAGGGCAAAGGTAGTGGCAGTGCCATCACCGGCGGTACCGCTGGCAACGGCACAGCTGCCGCTCCCGCTGCTGCTCCCGCTGCTGGTGCCTCGTCTGCAGTGGCCTCTGCTGCCCCCGCCGCTACCGGAAGCATCCAGCAAGGCCTCGGCACGTTGCAGCCGGGTACCGGCCAGTGCGTCTGCGCTGTCTCTTGCGGCGCCGGTGCTTTCCCTGCTGCTCAGGCTCAAGGTGTTGGTGCATTCAATGGCTTCGCCGGCGCACTGCCCGCCGCCATGGTCGAGGCATAAAAAGGGGCGGCGCAATTCCTGTATATCAGTGCAATGACGAGATGATACCTTGGTAGTGGTTGGTTTTCAAACGCTGTAGATTTCAAAGCTTTTATTCATTGGGAGAAAGTAGTTGGGTTGGGTTGCCTGAGAGGTCGGCATAGACAACGTCCTCTTCCGCCCGTGCCTGCCTGATACTTCCAGATATCAGAGTATGGGGGGCCGGGAAGATATATATGACTGGATCGTATGAACAATTTTTTTTTTCCTCTCGCGGCTCGGAAGCGGGCAACTTAATAGGTCATGGAATGATAAAACAAAATACCAATATCTTTTCACAGCGATTCTTTTTGAACTTGATCCAAGTGGACTAAGGAGTGTTGCCTCTGAGAAAGACATGGAGAAGAGGCATCAAATATATTCGTGAGTATATAATGCCCCAGTCTGAGAGATCATACGTACGGAGTGTGAATCACGCGGGTTGGGGGATGAGAGCTAACCGGGTAAAAACGGCTGATATGTGAGTGCATCGGTTTGAAAAAAGAACTTAAATAATATTCTATAAAAAAAATTAAAAAAAAATTAAAACCCAAGAAAAAAGGAAGAGGAAACAGGAACTAAAATCTAGGGCTAACCTAGCACACTTTGATTCCGTTCTTCAGTGTAAGGTTGTCGAGCAAACAAGGAGGAATGCGCATGTCAGATACAACTGTTAAAATACTCGTTCAGCGGCGCGCCCAACAAGAGTCTCTGATATAGTTGGTTCGGGCGTGCTGCTACCATGAGAATCACAGTGCCTGCAATGAGGGATTCTCGAGCGGTGTTTGTACCACCAGGAGGTTCAAACTGGGGGGCGACGAAATAGAACATAGTATGCAATTGGCTCCATTGAGGTATCTATGCGAAAGACGTTCTATCCAGACGCCCGGAAAACTGCCGTCCCGCTCTTGCCATAATATCATGCAACATCGTGATTCGTGTTCGGTGTCGGTGGTGTAATAAAAATCCGGCGTGTTCTTCTCATTTCTTGCCCCCTGCCTCGGCAGCCTTTTTGGCTTCGGCTATTGTGCAGCTCAAGTCAGCCAAATTACCATACTGGTGCAGAGACGTATAGACAATGGTGGGCGGTGTCCTTACCGGCAGCCTGCTTCTGCTTCATAATAGCGGCGACAGCGTCCTTGTCCCGTTGCATCTCGGAGCCGGTCTTGGTGTTCTTGGATTTCTATAGTGATGAAAGAGCGTGTGGTCAGTGATCTCTCCCGGGCAGTATGATGACTACCAAGTATAATTTTCTTTTCTTTCTTGCGATGCGCAACATGCCCCGTGGGCACCACGCGCAAAGCTCGCGCCTCCCGCCTCAAGAGGGACAGCGCAAAGGGCGCTTATTACGCAGCAAAGACTAATCTCCCCCAGCGAGTCGTACTTACCGTGTTGGCGGCAGCCTTGAGGTTCTTCTCACGCGCCTTGTCGCGCTGGTTGCCGCGAGCCATCTTTTCTTTGAGCTTTTCTTGATCGAGAAACTAGCAGGAGCGCTTAAGTTGCAGGCTCTTCCTGTTCTGTCCTTTCTTTTTTTGGGTTTGTTTTGGTGCTAAGTTGGAGCAAGCGACCCGTCGAGTGAAATGAGGCTTGTTTCGAGATTTATGTCAGCTGGGAAGAACGAGTGGTTGTCTGGAGGCCTTTGTTCAAAAATAGAACCCGCTGTCGGAATTTGCCAAAACGGTTCGCACGACCCCTTTCTGACTCTCTGCCAATCACAGCTTGCTGCCCGCGACCGCAACGATTGAATGCTGGCAGCACATGGGTGCTATCAGAGGGTCGTTGCAGGTCGAGACCGCTAGAATGTTGCCCCATAAAGGAACTGACACGCGCTGTAGAACGCTGTGGCGAGCGCCATGTTAATAACATCTTGAATTAGAACATGGGAGAATGAGTTTATTGCTGCTTCGGATAAGCGCGTGCAATAAGATAGTCTAACAGTAAGGGGCTTTTTAATAATAATATTTTTTATAGAAATTTATACAAATCCACTCCTTGCCAATGAGTTTCAACATCTTTTCAAACCTGGAAGCAAAGTTATGTATATTGAGAAATATCCATGAAGTGGGTTCTACCAGAAGCAGACCACAACAAATGCATTTGTTATGTAAGGAACATGTAGATTGGGTCATGATTCGCACAATAGTATTAGGCCTTCTCTGCCTGTGATACGTAACCAGTAAACAAGCCCGGCGTAGGAGTAAAATCCAAAGCTGCAGTGCCGCATTATATGTCTTTGTTAGTCATGTCGGAACCACGACATTCTTACTAGATTAATACTTATATCGTGACATCCATTCAATATGTACCATCAGCGAACCAAAAAAGAAAGATAATCGAGTGCTTGATCCGACTGGCATTTCTTGCCTTGTAGCAGCTTTGGTGCGGTCTTGGCCGTGTGGTGGCCTTTGCCGCCTGAGTTGAGGTCTTATAGTGGGGTATGGTTGTTGGCTAAAAATGCTGAAACAAAGCCTGTTGGCATGATAGCCAATCGTTGTATAAGCGACAGCGAGTCTCAAAATGCCTATGCCTTAACGCTCTCAGTACCATGCAACAACGGGCTCTTCCGCTTCAAAGTATCCTTCATCATTGGATGTGATGCTTCCCGTCAATGCATGGTTATTCCTGCCCTCCCCTGCGGTTAAACCTAGATCGTGAGGATCCTCCAGGTGAGCCACTTTGTATCGAACTGCTACCAGGATGGTCTTGTCTACGAAGGCAAATAGCGTCAGGGACGCGTCTGTACAGCAACCGCGCGTTCTGCCCTAGTCATCGCTTGAGTCTTCCTTTTCCGTTGACATGGATAATCAGGCTTCATTGGGCTCCAGAATCGTCCTGGCCGTCGGAAATGATTGGCTAACGGTCGAGGAAACGCTTGGTCAATGCGAAACAATCGCAGCGAGTCCTTAGGCTGGACGTGCTATGATTCAAACTGGTCCTTCATTCGTTTTACTGTCCGCCCTTACCCAGGACAATGGTTCTTTTTCATTTTAAACATCGAGGCCCGCCTGTCGAGGTGGCAGCTTCATTATCCATAGCTTTGAAGCAATACACTTCATTGTCCTTGATGGACGTCCATAATCACTATCACTAACAGACAGTCTTTGATATTCACTTCTATTAAACAAGCAGCCACAATCACCTCTGCTTTTTTGCTTTTCTTCTTCTTCTTTTTCTCCTTCCGACCTATTTCATATTCATACCATCTTCTGACGATCCCTACCTCGTCGCTCAGTTTCACCACATTTTTCTCTTTCTTGAACGGACCTGCTGGACAGATCATCGATAATATCAAACCCAAAAAGACATAACTACACTCACTTCCGCTCAGGAGCCATTACGGGCCCACCACAACTGTAAGTACGCATGCTGTAGAGGAAGCACCAATACCGTACATATACATACCGCCCAGGAGTAAGGACCTAATCTGAAGCATAGATATCAAAACATATACTATCCACGACAAAGAATTGCCAACAAGATGTTTAGCTTCAGTGGAGCCGGAAAGGGCGCGGGGTTCATTCTCCTCAACATCGTCCGTGGCTGCAATATCATGGTTTTTACAACACTTGCCGTATCATCAGCCGTCCTCATGGTCGTAGCTAAGATGCCCAACGGCTACACTTTTTTCAGCGACGTTCCAATGGCATTTATCATCATCGTCTGCTCTCTACTTGGCCTGTCGGAGATGGGGGTTTGGTCTACCTGGTTCGGGATATATTGGCCGACGTTTGGACCTAATCACGGCTTTACCTGGCTCGGTGGTTCCATGATCTTGATGGGATCTCACATCCTTGGAAAGCTAAGCGACGATCGTTTCGCCCAAGACAAGATGGGTATCATCTTCTGGAACGTCTGCATGGCTGCAGGTATCCTGTCGTACATCTTTGGCTTCACCAACATTATCATGTCCTGGTGGTTCGGCAAGCGAGAGGGCCGAAACATTCGTACCTACCGAAACTCGGGCGCCATCGAGCCGGAGAGGGGTTGGAAAGGCGACGAGGCCAGCAAGTATAGCGACAGCTACTCAACGAGCAAGGCAAGCCATGCATCAATCAAAGAGGAGAGAACTCGGTCCATTTTTAACCCCTTCGGAAAGAGCAAGAAACACCAGATCAGTGGCCCTGTAGTCTTGGACGACGTGGAGAAGGGAAACTCTCCTGTATTAGACCGGGGCTCCCCCATTGTTCCCTCGATCCAGCGACCTCCTACCCTTCAACACCCAGCTATGCGCAATACGCCGAGCAGATACAGTGAGGCCAGCCATTTACCGAATCCCTATAATCCAAGCATCTACCAGAAGGACAATGTGGTTTGAGTAAGCAACCCAGAGCTTCAAGCAAATACTGGACGAGGGCTGGATCGGGTGGGCGTTTGGTTTTTTTTTATTTTTATTTTTATTTTATTTTAAATGGATACCCATGATACGGAGGATAGCAAATCCTGCTTTGAAAATTAATTAGCAACATGAATTCTTAGAGACATGGGCGAAGCCTATCGTCGTTTGATTCTGAAATTGAAATTGACCTGCATGTTCTACCCTGCGATATTGTGACCTTGAGGTTGACAAAACAACATGTTATAAAAGCAAGCATGACCGTGGTAATATGACAGCCAGCACAAGACGTTGCCTACAGAACGAGATGAGATTACCACAGTAGATTCCGGTCGCAGAATTCAAGATCCGCGCAGTGTCAGATGGCCTCTTGTAAAGGGATGTTACCTGTGTGAAGTGGCCGTAACAGATAGTTTGTTACTGTAGCGCCGACCTATGTAACTTAGGACCAGTCTAGACTAAGGTTATTCTAGACTAGTTTAAGACAACCTTTGGACAAGCAAATATCCCTGGTCCGTGCGTACGACAAGGCTCACTCGCCGCATTTCTTTGCCGTCGTTGCCTTTGCCTTCGCCTTTGTCTCTGCCTCCGTCTTTGTCTGCTTGAACATTGAGAACCACACCAAGAACACCAGTTTTCACACGATACATCACTCGCCTCGATATCTGTGCCCCCATTGAACAACAGCATTTGCAGTCAGCAACGACTACGACTCGCTCGGTATTTCCTGGTGCCCAGCCAGTGCTTGTTATCAAGCTTAGCTACGGTAGTTCGAACCCACACGCGACCATCATCCGCCAAACATCATCTCTACAGCAGCTCGATTGACAATATTCTACAGGTGCCAAGGCTTCGGCACCAGGGCATCACTTCACTGAAGAGTTGGGAAATTCGCGCCTGCCGGCGTCGGAGGATATCGATCTCAAGATCAATTCGGGGTTGTTTGAGGGCTTCTCGGCGGCAGATCTTTTGGGAGGCTGCTCCCTCTCGCTAGGTGACGCCAAGCAGAGGAGTTGGTGAAATTATTACGGCTACCTTTCTTGAGGTGCGCTGGACCAAGAATCCCACATCGCAATATTTGTTTGTTGATGAAGTGATTTTCAGAGGGACATGCAGGCCATCGTGATAATCATCGTTTGACAACCGCTCTTTATTGTTCTCGTGCACGCATACAAGAGGAAGCTTTGTTTCTGAAGAAAAGTCTTGTTCTCTGTCGCCACAAACCGTCCCCCCAAACTTACTACACATTTAATCCTTGAACCTGTCGCTTTAAGGCTAAACAAACACTTTTGACTTCTACCGCCATGGCATCACCAGAAGCTGAGGCTCTGCTCGAAGACTTCCGAGAAGCGCTTGAAGGATTACAGATTAATAGTCGATATGAAATCCAGAACTTGACTCAGATAGCCAGAGAAAGTACAGAGCACGCCCTGGACATCTCACAGGCTCTGCAAGACCATATCAAGAAGGTAGGCTAATTCACCACACACACACACACACACACACACACACCAGTAGTGCATCGCCAACGCTTTACGCCTACGTGTTCCTTGCCTGAACTTTGTCGAGTTTCGGAACGTAAATCCTGAAGCGCAACTCTTGGCTGACTTTTCATGCAGGCCGCACCACATAAGAAACTTCCAGCGCTATACGTGCTGGATTCAATATCCAAGAATGTTGGCACTCCATACACGTTGTTCTTCGCCAAAAGGCTCTACACAACCTTTTGGGAGTCATATGCTGTGGCCGATGGGCCCACACGCCGTAAAATGCACGAGATGTTTAAGACATGGAAGGAACCCATACCTGGCTCCATTGACAGACGGCCTGTGTTTCCACCTGAAGTTACGCAGCCCATCGAAAATGCTCTGATCAGGGCGACGGCGTCAGGCAATGAGCAAGTGAGAAGACTTGCTCATGGACAAGGTCGGCCGGCGCCTCAACAAGGAGTCCCCTACCGAGATACTTCGACACCACCAGCCGTGCGCCCTTCTACTCAGATGAACGGTTATCCTGGAAACCCGACACCTATACCGATCATGAATGGATCACCTTATGGCCTACCAGCACAACCGGCTCCTGCTCAATACCCCTATCAGGTATGTTGTTGCCTTCCCGTAGCGCAGTCTTGGCACTAATATGTGACAGAACCAACACATCCCTTCCACATCTACACCGCAGCCACCGTCAACTGTGAGTGCCTTTCAGCCGCCATCGTATGGAGGTTATGGCATCCAGCCGCAACCCCTGATCAGTGTAGATGCTCTGAAAGATGACATACAAAACCTCATATCCGCTTTCAGGGCTGAATTTGCACGGAACCCTGGAGATCCTAGTATACAGACTAAGCTCAAGGCGCTCTTGGATTTGCAAGGCATACTTCAAGCACATAACCTGCCACAAGAGCAGTTAATGGCTATAAAGAATCAAATTGCTGGCCTCGCCGTGACAGTAAGGGCTACACCTGCCCAAACTCCTACTCCTGTACCTGTACCACAATCTGTAGCAGTAGCCCCTCCCCCTGCACCAGCCCCAGTGTCTATAGATTCTCTTCTAGGGTCAGGCGCTCTGGCTGCGCTGTTGGCGCGGAGTTCTGCCACACCTCAAGTCCCTACGCCGCAACCGCCTCCTGCGGCGGTTGTCATCAGGTCGCCGCCCACCCGGCACGTCGAGCCACAACCACCCGTTGTTGCCACGACACCTAATCCCATGGCACTAATGGAGATGCTACGAAAAGCCGGCGTGCTCCCAGCGGCAATGCCTGCAAGTAACGCGACACCGGTGCCCAACATAAAACCAAGCTTGCCACTATCTTTTCCACCCCCTATTCCTACTGGGCCTCCGTCATTGGAGAACTTGACAAGAGACATAGATTTGAAGCCCTCGTCACTAAAGCAGTATGTATCTCCAGAATGACTCTAAATGTATGGCAACTAAAATGGCGACAGGCACCGACCCCATTTGGTTCCGCTCATGTTTGAGGCACTTGGCTCCCAGTGCACACATTGCGGGAGGCGATTCACTCCGGACGAAGAAGGCAAGAAGAAGAAAACAGCACATATGGATTGGCACTTTAGAGTCAATCAACGGATAGCTGATGCTGAAAAGAGTGGACAGCACAGGAGCTGGTTTGTCGATGAAGCAGTAAGTATCAACAATTTGACATCCATATCTTGGTTACTGCGACCACTAACGAACAATAGGACTGGATCAACAGCCGGGAGACTATTGACGAAGATCGCGCCACCAATATTGACTCCAGCAGCGCGCAGAATGCATCTTCAAAGGCCCCCAAAATGCAGTACATCCCCGTTCCTAGTGATCCAGCTCTGAAGAATAGTATCTGCCCCATCTGTCAAGAAAACTTCAAGCAGATCTATCTCGACGATGCTGGGGATTGGGTGTGGGAAGACGCTATACAAGTTGAAGGGCGGATTTACCATGCCAGTTGCCACCAGGAAGTGACCGGCGGTCTTGCACAGACTGCAACTGTTTATCGGAGTACCCCCGAGCCGGTGCTCGGCAAGAGGAAAGCTGAAGTGAGTCTTCTCAAACTAATCCATGCCAAGCGCTTTCATCAACTCCAACGAGCACGTGCTAATGATTGCTCCAAGCAGGATGAACTAGCAGGTCTACGTGGAAAAATGAAGTTGGAAGCTGCTTGAAAGGATAGATGGATGCCTTGAGCTTGGAAACCAGGTCTAAATAAACTATGGGAGAGCGAGATAGAAGATTTATCTGGTTCAACACGGCTGGAGGCTAATTGCATGAGGACTATCCAGTTTCTCATCGGCGTTGTGGGAAGCATTGCAGTTTTGGGGCATGGTTGGGGCCCTTCATTATCTTTGAGAGCGGCATTCAGGCTTCAAGACGCTGGGTATTTGGCCTATCGCCCTAGTGTTGAATGCCTTTGGAGTCAGTTACTCATACACCATCACGTATGCATATAGTACAGATATTAGTGGCTGCTGACAGAGCCATTATGCCAATCACATTATTCAGTATTCGCTCGATGCCTTCTGCAATTTGGAATATCATTTCCCAGATCCCACCACGTAGCCTTGACTATGACATCCGACTGGCAAGGACGCACTGATTTAAATTGACGAACCCGCGAGCAGCATAGAATATGCATCTTCTAAACGACAATGAATATGATCAGCATCTGTCGGCAATCTTCCGGTATTGTGCGGTACCCTTTATTGTTGCATTCTATGCAGGTATTCCATCAACATAACAACTACATCCGTGGTATCCCCATATCGCCGTTACCTGACAGTTTCACGATCAAGCTACGCCATTCTAAAAATATGTTCCGGCTTCCTTTAAACATCCCCTACCAGCGCTCTGAACTCTTGCAAGGACCTAGTCCATACATCCTTACCTTCATCTTCAGCCCACCGGCCTACCGCTTCGATTCCTCCCAAGTCTGTCTTCATGTGTGACTGACTTGTCGTACCATCTAAGATAGTGATCCCCTCTAGTCCCAAGACCAAGGAATAGTACGCCACCTCCTTCTCCACACCTGCAGAGTCCGCAACCGTGCCGACTATCTTGTTCTTTAGCAAGCGCGGGTTGCCTGAAAGGGTCCAGAAACTCTGAAACACAATACCGTGCTGCCGGCAGAGCGCACGAAGCTCCGACTCATACCCTGTCTGGCCATGAAACCGATTCTGCACTACAGAGGGCTTGGTTCTGATATCTGGTGCCTCGAGCAAGTATTTCACGATCTCGAGGGGGGTGTTGGAGATGCCCAAATGCCGAATGCGGTCAGGTACGTATTTTGACAACGTCTTCCAGACAACAATGGTATCCTCGATGCTCTCAAGGGGCGAGTGCAAGACGACACTGTCCAGGTATGCTTCCTCCTCCGCCGCGCCCGACGGCGCCAGATTTCGCAGCGAGGAGGCAATGGACGACTTGACCTGCTCCGCTAGCGGCGCGTCGGCGTCGTATGGCATATTGTCCAGATCCTGGGCTCCCGTGGGGCTGAACTTGGTTTGCAAGAAGATGTCTCTGCGCCTTACGAGGCCGTCGACGATTGCACGCCGGACTCCATCGCCCACGAGGTGCTCCTGGTAGTGTCGCGGCTGGGCTGCCGTGTCGATGCCCCGGAAGCCGGATTTCAGGGCCGTGTAGACGAGATCCGAGGTGTTGTCCTTTTTCCAGGCGGTACCGTAGACCAGCCGCGGGATTGTGGCGGTTTGAGATTGGCCGGGCAGACTAAGGTCTTTGGAGAGGCTTGAGGCTTGAGACGGTATAGCTGCCATGGTTATGTTATGACGATTGAGCTTCAGAAGTGCTTTAGGATATAATAAAGTGTTGTTCGTCCGTGGATTGTTGCCGATATGTGGTCTGAAGAGCTTTGTTGACATAGCAAAATATTTCAAATTAGTCGCTGTTTCCTCACGTAAATCGACTGACAGAAGTCACTACACGGTGAATGTAATACTTTAGTATATAAAAGACCGTAGCTACAGTTCAAGTTTCAACATCTTGATACCGATAAATTATCAATCACGGCCAATCATTATGTTATTTATGTTCTATATGACCTCTCAGCTTGACAATTCACCAGGAGCATCGAGGGTTCGAGGTGGGGTCATGGTATGTATAAATATGACGTATGTTATCTTCGTCAATATATACACGATATTCAACTGAAATGTCACATTGCGAATCAGAGAGCCTCTGGTAAGCTAGCAGGACTTGTCATGAATATCCACAGGACCTTATATAGCTCGCGACAAACGGAGTTATCGTCATGGAAATAAGATATCTGGGAATACCTCAGGTAGGTCAAGGATCCATCTATTCCCCCCGTATTACCCCACCTCAAGGAAGGAGGAGGAAACATTCGAGGGGGAGCGTCCATTCCGTATTTATCTTTTTCGAAGCAACTTCATATATTACTTCGAAATTTTTTTTTTTTCCACTATTAAAGGTCTTTTCCGAACGAATTAAGCTTGAAATAATTACAAAACCTTGCCCCAAACCTCTTTCTAGAATTCATCAAACCACCGCAAACATGGCTCCGGAACCGCATACCATCAGGTGGGGTATCATGGCCACAGGTGGAATTGCGCAGAGTCAGTTTATGCATATTGCCAACTCATTCACTCATAGATGTACTGATAAACTCGTCTAGCTTTCACCAAGGACCTCCTCACGGACCCAGCGTCTCGTGAAGTCCACGATGTCGCTCACAAGCTCGTCGCAGTTGCCTCTTCGAGCTCGCTGGACAGTGCCAAAAGCTTTCTTTCCAAGGTCAACGCACCAGAGGGAGTAAAGGCTTACGGATCATACGCCGAGCTAGTTGCTGATCTCGACGTCGACGTTGTCTACGTTGCAACACCCCATTCTCACCACTTCCAAAATACGATGCTTGCTCTCGAGGCTGGAAAGAATGTTCTATGTGAGAAGGCATTTACCGTGACTGCTTCCCAGGCACGAAAGCTTGTCGAAAAGGCCAAGTCGAAAAACCTGTTCCTAATGGAAGCTGTTTGGACCAGATACTTCCCGCTCAGCGTCAAGATTCGGGAGCTCGTCCAGTCTGGCGTCATTGGTCCCGTTTACAGGGTCATCGCTGACAACTCCCTTGGCAATGATGGCCCCAATGGTTCTCTTACATTCCCCGACGAGAACCGAATGGTCAACCTGGACTTGGCTGGTGGTGCCATGTTAGACTTGGGTATCTACTCCCTGACTTGGCTGATGCAGATCCTCTACCACTGCCAGCCGGAGCAAGAGAAGGAGAAGCCCAATGTCGTTGGTGCTATCAACAAGTACACTACGGGCGCTGATGAGACGACCACGTTCATCGTGCAGTTCCCCAAGCACAAGAGCATGGGCGTTGGATTAACATCCATGAGAGTCGCCACCGACACCGATGGTCACAACACCAGTGGTCCTGCCATCAAGATTCAGGGGCCCTTGGGTGAGATCCAAGTCATGGGACCTGCGTACTCACCCGTACAGTACAAAATTGTCAAGAAGGATGGAGATGGCAAGGTCGAAGTTGTCGACTGCCCAATTCCTCAGGATAAGGAACGGGACTGGGGTCACGGTATGTTCTGGGAGGCCGATGAAGTCGCTCGATGTCTTCGAGACGGGAAGAAGGAGAGTGCTACGCTGCCTTGGGAAGAGAGCATCACTATTATGGAGGTGATGGAAAGCGTGTTGAAGCAAGGTGATGTCCAATATCCCGAGCTCATCACGACAGACGTGTACGACCCTAAGAGTCCTTTGAATACTGGAAAGCAGTAGGCGTTAGTTAGTACCATGAAAGGGGCAAGAGCACCCTACGGCCAGGAATAGTAATAAGTTGAGACGCCCCAAAGCTGGACCGTTTGGCACCCCCTTGCATGGCAAATTTTTAATCGTACCCCCTCTGCCCATTGTGCGTGTCATTAATGAGGGGTGTAAACATCGCCTGAAAGTTCACGACATGCTGCTACTGCAGCATAGAAGCATTGCATGAACTACGGCCGCATCGAGAACCAATTGCGAATGACAATGCGCAAGTGTCCTGCTCTTGAGGTGACGTACGGCGCGCGATATGCTGTTCCGTCTTATATCAAGCCCTATATTGCTTACGTGGTCGGACGGTCCCAAAACGCTATGCAGTGATGAAATTTTTTTTTTAAAAAAAATTTCACTTTGAGACGAACCTATCCGGAACAGTGTCTATATTTGCATTGTGAGCCGTGTCGTGCAACACACCTGAACTCTAGCCAAACCAGGACGCCAGGTAAAGTTGTAAAACACAATGAAGAAATTTTCAAATTCAAAGCAATCTATCCCACGAGGACTGTTTCTGGCGCTTGCGCAAGCCCAGACAATACCCTGTCTCAGCGCGAGTCATATTCTAGGCTTGGATAGCCGCCCTACTCGATTGTACCGCCGCTGCCGATCAGCACTTGCTTTGGGGCATCTGCCCAGGCGTTTACGACATCTTGAACCGATGTTCTGGAGAACGACAAATAGGGTTGGCGACTTTGTGAGACAGGCACCTCCTGTAGCCTGTGTCAGACCGGAAACGTGAATGTGCAGAGCCAAGCTTTTCAAGCCGGTCACCGCTAAACCCCCCGTAAACCTCCCGCTGCGACCATATGCATAGGCGAGCTCAGAGGAAACAAAACTTTATTCAGCATGACTGCATCAAGCACAACATGTGCATGCCAGCTGTGAGACACTACTGAATGACACCCTTCGCTTCGCCGGATGATACATCCTAGATCTGGAATCGTCCCACCGTGACTGCAGATGCGAAGAAGAAGAAAATAAAGAAAGAAAGAACCGACACATTGTTTGGCATGAACCCATTATGCCGGTAACGCCACGAGGAGGTAGACCCCGGCAGTTGTCGCAGTTGTCGCAGCGGTCTCAGTACTTTGGATCAGCAGTACTCCGTACCTTTTTTCCCCTCTGCCTCCAGCCCTGCAAACGGAAGTGGGCAATCCCCGCAGTAGCTGTAACAGCCGGCGGTAGCCAGATGAACACGGCCACCATGGTCGGCGCACCATTTGCCTTGCAAGCACCGCTATTATTATTAACAGCACACCAAAAGAGGCGGTGACAAAACCGCCCCCCCAAGCTGCAGCACAAACCATGCCGTCCACCGCCGCAGAATCCGGGAAGGACGCAACAGGGCCATCGGGGCCGAGCCAGAGTCGAAACCAGGCTCAGGATCATCACAGCGTTTCCGTGCAACCCCAGCAAGCAGCTGACAGCGGGAATGCGGCCACCTCGGGCGCTCCCGAAATTACCTCCTCAGCTCCAAATGACAGCGTCCCAGCAGCCCTAAGTGAGGATGCAGCGGAATCGTACGAGCAGGAGCACGTGCACAGCGTCTACGAGACCATCGCTCCGCACTTCTCAGCGACGCGGTACAAGCCCTGGCCGGTCATCGCGTCCTTTCTGGAATCGCTGGCCCCCGGGTCCGTGGGCGTGGACGTTGGGTGTGGCAACGGCAAGTATCTGGCCGTCAACCCCAAAGTCCACATCATCGGCTCGGACAGGAGCGCCAACCTCGTGCGCATCGCCAGAGACCACGGCGGCGACCGCAAATGCGACGTCGCTGTGGCTGATGGCTTGTCGCTCCCGTTCCCCGAGGGAAAAGCAGATTTCGCCATCTGTGTTGCGGTCCTGCATCACATGTCTACAAGGCAAAGGAGGCAGGATGGCGTGAAGGCACTCCTGGACTGCGTCCGCCCCGGCTCCGGGAAGATCCTGGTCTACGTATGGGCCCTGGAACAGGCGAATAGCAGGCGAGGGTGGGATGAGGGCGCGGCCCAGGATCAAATGGTCCCGTGGGTATTCAAGAGCAAAACGAAGCCTGCCGAAGGAGGCGATGGTGATACCACGTATCTGCGGTATTATCACCTATACCGTAAGGGAGAGCTGGAAGAGGACGTGGTCGCTGCGGGCGGTAAGGTCATTGATAGCGGCTACGACAAGGACAACTGGTGGGCTATATCAAGCCGAGTATAGCAATAAAAGGTCTCATTCTATGGCATTTGACTTCGTTATTCCAGTTAAATTACACCGTAGGCGTAGCCCACACCTATTTTGTAGCCATCATGATCCGCTGACTGGTCCATGGTCGTACCATGGTTTGCTTGAAGTCTAAGTCGTCGTAACTTCTATTGTGACAATGCAGCTGGAAGGAAAAAAAAAAAAAAAAGGAAAACTTCGAACAGGGTTCCCCATATGCTGTCAAGCTGATATAGGTCGTTCCATACACAGCTAGGCTGAAAAAGCAAAACAAAAACAAAACAAAAAAGGTAGAAAGAAAGAAAACAAAACCGAGTCCGAACAACTCCCGCGTGGGCCTGCTGCCAGTATTGAATGCTACGATTCATGGAGACTTTTCCGATCTCTTTTGCGCCATTGGGTTTGCTATTCAGAGAGAGAGAGAGAGAGAAAAAAAGATACAGCGAACACACCACACAAAATACAACCATGATGTCCGGAAACTCGTTATGACCCAAAACCCTGCGCCCCCATCGTTAGCCTCCTGTGTGATATGCATGCCCAACCCATCCCTAGAAGCCGGTGCGTCGTTGCTCGCCCGCCCCAACCCCTTTGCAAATGCATGTAGACAATGTAGATGCCATGTTCGACAGTTAATCTATGTGGCGATTGAAAAAGAAGATGTAAAGATTGAACGCAAAAATGGACCGACCCGAATGGAACGGTTTCTGGTGTACTCAAGGCATGTGTCTCGGTATCGATGTCTCCAGTGTTGTGTTTAGATGCCTTCTCCTATTCGAGTCATGAGGACCAAGAGAAGGGCTCCTTCGACGTTTTGAGCCAGCTGGATCGAGTGAGGAGTAGGTCATGGCCGGCATGAAGGGGCCAGGACTTGCTGTAGAGCTTTGGGCTGGGCTGAGTGTGGGAACGCCGATGGAATATGCAGGAGTACTGTAGGGGCTGACACCAGTTGTCAATTCAGCCAGACCAGGAAGCATTCCTGGCCTCGACTGACCCTGGCTGGTTTGGATCGGTGCCAGTGGACCCCCTCCGGAATGTGAATATGCATTCATTTGCTCGTTGTGGTCGAGGGGGATGGGTATGTAAGGAGCTACTACCGTTAATAGTTCTGCATTGCGCGGCACAACAGGACCAGGAATCCGGCCTGGGGCCGGACTGGGCGGCAGGGACGGTACGACGTTTCGGCCGTAAGGTCGTGTTGGGTCGATTGCGTCTCGAAATATGCTGCCCTGCGACCGAGAATGTGCATGGCTTCTGTGAGGGTGTCTGTGGCTTCCTGTATGATATTCGTCTGTTGCAGATGCGTTCAGGATGAATGGCGAGACACCTGCCCTGCGGGCCATTTCGTCTTCTCCCATCTTCCAATGCATTGCTTCCACTGCTCGCCATGGTACAGCCATCTCTTCTGCAACTTTCGCCCACATCTCAGGTTTCAGTCTGACTCGAGTGTTAGTTCGCCCTGAAGAAGAAAGTCGTCAAATGTTGTTACTATTCTGCTTCGCGGACCAGAAACATTGCGTATCATAGAGCCGCAACGGCTACGGAAGAAAATCAACGTACCTGTCGTATAATCTAGCCAGTTTTGTCTTGCGCTCTTCATCCCACTCGCTACGTCTCTCCAGATAGTTCTGGTAGTGAAGTCGACAGCTTATGGCGCTTCGTCCAGTCAATCTTTTCGATATGTCCTCCCACTTCATGCCACTTCCACGAAGCTCTATGATTAGAGAGTCTTCTTCAGGCGACCATTTCGTCTGTTTCTTGGCCGGTTGCTCCGCCGGATGTGATGACATACTGCGCTTACCGGCAATTGTCAAACCTGGTGATGGTCCAGGGGCAGGTCCAAGCCGTGGAGCTGGTCCGGCAGACAGAGGAGCCCCCGTGGGCGCCGGCGCTGTTGTGGTGGCCACGGCGGATGGTGATACTGACGCTGGTGGAGTGTATTGAGAAGGCGACGGGATACAAGACTCCTTCGAGTCCGGGCCCTTGAGGAGTGAGGCGATATCCACGATGTCGGTATGTCTCCTACGCAGCCTGGCCCAGGCTAGTCGTCATGGATTTCTAGCAAGCCACTGTTTACAACAGTTTTAACACGAGAGTTAAATAGAATGTTGATATCCAAACCAGGCCGCAAGATTTCGAGTTTCCCACAATGTTTAATAACGACCTCCTATCGCAAGAAAATTGTCTCGTTCCTGGCACACGAGGCTTCCTGACAGTGTGGATAGTTCGAGACCGAAGTTGCTGATTAGATTGTACGTCAGATTTTTGAGTATCTACCAAGTTTTGTTCTGGTGCGTGAGTATTGTTGTATCATTCAATGGGTCAAGTAGATGGTGGTAGTTGGGAAGAAAGTAGGAGGATCTAAGATGGACTTTGAATGGATGAATCGTGGCTCGCGTTTCGAGATATGTTAACATGATTGGGCGTAGTTCAGGCAGCTATCCACCAATGAACGACGTATCGAAGAACAAATGAAGGCTTGTAGGAGGCGCACCGGAGCGGGTGAATACGTCAGTCAGTCTAAGTATCTGTCCAGGGTCTGGCTAGCCAGAGTGACTTGGTCGACTATGAGCATCTTTTGTGGAGTGGCATTATAGAATAAAGAGAATAGAGGTGAGTGGGTAACGGGGTCCCACGCCGGGAACTTGCGTAGTGCAAATTGGGATCTCAAAAATGAAAAAGAAACTATAGAAATATCATTCTGAAGCAACTCACCGTGGGTTGGAGACTGCTAGTTCATGGAAGTGGTTACGGTCACAGCGAATGAGCCAGTACCGGGGGTCGAGGTGACAGGGTTTCAGACTCAAGGGCTCCAAAAGAGGAAGTAGGTGATGACAAGGGAGGGGTGAGTCGAAAGGAGGTGTGTCAAGACACTACAGTTGTGGAGCCGAGGGACAACAGTCTCTATATGTCAAGTCAGACGGCTATAATAGAGCCCAAATATTCTAAGAGGCGGCGAAGAAGATGTCGTCAATGAGTTCAGACAGCAAGCAGTATTTCTAAAGCAGGCGAATGGGGTGGAGCTGGTGTCGATGAAGAAGAATCTCGAGCCACACCCTCGCTGATCTACTCAAGGTCATGGTCACAAGTTGTCGTAGTCGCGAACCGCAGATGGTGTTAGACTCAAGTAGAACAGATGAGTTGTCGACTACCATGGACAAGGGGCGTGAGGGCGTGGCCACGAAATCATGCATGAGCTCCCAGTGAACAAAGTCCACCATTCTCCTCAATGTACCTGGCCATGACGCTAGGCAATGATCTTTCCGTGGATTAATAGCGCATAGTCGAGCCATACACCGAAGAAGCAACGTAAAGCGCGGTATTTCCATCTGAATAGACGCCTAGTGCTCCAAGAAGCTCAAGAATAATACCTGAGACAAGGTACTGCCTGTCAGGCTCGATCAGGAAAGGCATGAGCCCTACACGATATTGGGCATGGGTTGCGAGCCAGCGTGAGGTGTTGAAATGAACTACAGATCCGAACGATGGGCTAGAACGCCTATGCATATCAAGCATCATCCAGGACTTTGCCGAACCGCCCAGGGCCACCAAACCTCGAAAGCCTGGTGTAGGGCATGAGGAGCCCGAAAAGAACGAATCGGAGACTTAAGAGATGCCAGAAATCCCTCCTGGATCGGGACGATCAGGTGTCATGAATTGCATACGTCTGTGGGGACGCTGAAACCACTTTGCTATATGCCCCCAGTGCTAGTTGCTGGCGCAGTTGTAAAGGTGCAGTGATGGCCTTTCTTGGGTTACGGCATTGCTCGGAAGGTCAAGCAGCTTGCTCAAAATAGCTTAACGTTGGAGGGGAAGCCCCCGATCTGGGCTGGCGAAGGACCCTCTTCTGGGAGCCTGTTCGCACCTAAGTATAGATGAAGTTTTAGATCGGAGAGCGTGAACCGCCCAAGCGAGCGTGCCGGGTGCGTTTGTTCACATGGACGATTTCCATTCCCGGCGCCTGGTTCCAAGCAGCAACAAAGCCTTGTCCTTTTCTCCGGGCATGTGTACAGCAAGATAGCCAAATTGGAGGCTCTTGAATCTAACGCAGGAAAACGCACAGAGCCTAATGTCTGTGCGAGCTTTAACGTTTTTTCTTTTCTTTCTTTCCTTCCCCCGGCGTCGTTCCTAAATCATCACACGTACCATGTTTAAGGTGAGGCTTGTCTCGACAACGTCCGACAGCCAGAGAATGCAACTGCTATGTCACAATGGAGTCCCTTTCTCTGAGCCTTGAGTCGGCAATGCCCCGTGAACCGGGAATAACCCTCTTTGGTTGGTGAATTGGCGGTCAACCATGCACATATTTAGGTACTTGTCACCTTGCTGCTACACCAGGGACTGGGGCTGTACCTGTACCCATTTGATCCATCAGACCGGCCTGCTGAACTCCCAGCGATGGCGTGCATCATACTCATGAACCATGATCTCCCGTCAATGCAAACACAGTACCACTCAATCAAGCTACATGGATCATCTCGTACGTAGGTCCTGTTGTGGAGAGGACAAGTGCAGAGACGTGTCCGTATACGATACTGTTGTTGTATCCTACTGTTTGTTGTGAACTTCAACTTAGTTGGAAACAGTGATGCTTGACGGTTCCTTGCTTCCACGGAGGCTGGAATGGGGAAAAGGGTAGACGCATCTTGGCATCGCTGGTAGATTTTCAGGGACCATCATTACGACTCATGCGAGAAAAAAAACACCTGAGTAGTTGGTGGTGCAGTGGGGTACATCAGCCACTGGCTCTTTGCTTGCAGAAGGCCAACGTGCTAGAGCAGCTTTACCTAAATCCTTCATCATGATCATGAGATGGGAGGGCCAAAGTGCAGAGTCTCGACCGCGACGATGGCTTGGATCTGGTGAACCACGTTGTAGCGGTAAGCGACACTATCATCAGCTCTCGGCCAGGTGTATTTGTTGCTGCCCGAACGCATGAACCAGACATTTCCTCCTGTTCCGTTTGCTTGTCGGATCACCAAGCTTACCGAAGCCACACTGTGCGTTTTAGGTACAAGCGCTATAGCCTGGCTATAATTGATTAAATGCAGCAATAGCATTGTCAGCACTGACAATGATTGGCATTGTTTCCATCAAGAATCTGGAGCCGAAAGTTTCAGGGAGAAACAGAGCAACTCTAAATCTTTTGTAGATGGTCGGGCGCATAGCGACTTCGTGTCTCAACGAGGGGATTGTCCAGCCATAACTACCTAGTCTAAGAGCGTGGGTGCAATGCAGAGTCAAGTGAGGGCGAGCATATGCACACAATCTCGACTTCTTAGCCAGACACATCGACGAACGTTGCACACCTCCATTGTCATTCAACCAGTCACTCTTCGGGCCACTGCTTTGGGCTCCTTAGCTCTGCACTTTTCATGCATCTACATCTCCCACGATTGCCCAATGGGTTTGTTTGTGCCCTAACACAGACCGAAGCAGCCTGCCTTACCGATGGTTAGCCTGTCAGCTTCGTTGGCCTTGCGTCAATGGCTAGACCTGGGCAGCTCAGGCACTCAAGCCTCACTGCGCCATCAGTCCAACCACGCGTAGACGTCATTGAGGCAGCCACCAGGGAAGGCTATGAACGTGGCGGTACACTGAGGAAACTTCCATTTCGATCAACTTAGTAGTGACACCCCTTCGATCTCACCGCAACCCAGGACATAGCCGTTAGATTGCGGGCACCGTTTTATGACAACTGGGATCTATGCAGATTCTTGTTACCCAAGAGGCGGTGAACATGTCCTGATTGAGCTGTCTACATGCTCGAAAGATTGGGTTTATCGTTACACCTTTGCTTTTCTTGTAAGGCATGATGAGAACTGGATCAAGGAACAATCTAGTGGCTGCCAGGAATTCCGGGTGATATTCCGCAAAGTAAAATTGATCTCGCAGGAACAAATGCATTGTCAGATATCTCGTGGCACAGCCTCAAGAAAAAGCACCGCCTGACAAGCCCTTCTCGTCGGATGGAGTAGAGTCGAGTGCGAACGCGCTTGCTATGAAGATGGTCTGAATATGGTTTAGATGACTGAGCCTGGCCTGGCCCCCCGCGCTGCCCCACGAGGCTCTGAGATTTGACAGGCAAACCGGGTACGTCAGAAAGCTCTCAAATCCTATTGACGTTCCGTTTGAATATCGTTTGATGTGGGTACGTAAGTCTGCAAGTGCCTTTATGCCTGATATCCCTGGAAGCGGGAAGTTATATATTACCTACAGAATGGTGTGCCGCTATCGATCCATTTAGATTCTAGATAATTTCATTATATGAATATAAGGTCGACGTCGTGGATCTCGGCTCGCCTCAATACAACTAGGCCACCATCATGTACCAATAAAAAATGCCATTTCGGGGAGGTTGCGAACGGTACTGTCCAATGAAGTTATTGGTGCCAGGTTTCCTGCCATTGTTGAATGCAAGCTGGAGCACCCTCGGGGAAGAGCCGACATGTCTGACCGCAAGAGCTGGCGACAAGCTTCCAAACTCTCAAATTTGTTTTCTGCCGTGAATGGCTCCAAGACGATTTCCGGTACTGCTGGAGCAGCTTGCCACGCAGTATCACAAGGCGGTTACATGGGGCGAATGGGACACGTGGGGAAATGATGGCATACATATCTGCCAAAATCGATGTCGAGTGCTCCTAATTCCAGTGTGTTGGAGCCTGCTATTCCCAGGGGGCGTTCTTTTTGTGGCTAGGGTCGAGTGCTAGTTTACCACTGTGTCGGGTATTGTTCACGGAGAATTTGCGTCCCTGCCTTCAGCTGCAGAATGGGGATACCCGAGACAACTTCAACCCACCAAGCACAAAAAAAGCATTACATCAAACTGCCCGCCTTTCTCCTCTATCTCCGGACATTCACCCACTGTTACCAACGGCGGCCCAGCACTCTACACCAAACTAGGTGGCTTCCAACAGATCATCTGAAACTCCAGCTTGGGCTTCAACTGGTTAGGTCACTAGAACCTCACATTTAGGCGCACCCATTGCTTGTGCCACACCTTCAAGTGTCGATTTAAGCTTTCAATACCTATCATTGAGTTGCGGTAAGCGTCGGTTGGCGTTTGCCCTGATATCATCTGGTTTCACTTGCATTAGCTGAGACTGAGGCGTTAGAGATAGACGAAAGATGGCTGACATCCCGCTTCAAATCGTCTCTGACAACTCGTCGTCCGAACGACGCATCACCCCATCCTGGACCATTAGTCAACTCAAGTCAAAACTTGAGTTTGTTACGGGAGTCCCGCCATCCTCTCAGCGACTGTCGCTTAAAACTGCCAATAAGGCTGTCGTTCCCATCGAGGCTGCTGACGAGGACAATGTCTATTTGACCAGCTTTCCCCTGTCTCCCTATGCAGAGCTACACGTGAGTTCGCTATATATAGACCTATTTTCCTTCTTCTTTTCTTTTTTCATCGTTGTGCCGGTTTCATCAGCACATGTTTCTTGCTGGCAATTATTGGCTTCGCCTACAGAGAGGACGCGGCGCTTAGCAGCGTGACTGACCATCCATACAGGTATACGATACAAGACCTGCTGGCGCGCGGCCTAACTACACTGACACCTCCAACGTTGAGAAGTATGTCATGCCAGAGGATGAGTACGAGAAGAAAACAGACTCTGTTCTAGCTTGGAAGAAAGCAGAGAAGTTAGGCCGTTTCAACCCTGATGCACCTAGTCTTGAGCAGGCAAAGATTAACGCCGTTCTCCAAGAGGTCGAGAGCCGTGGCCTCGCGGTGGGCAAGAGATGCCGGGTTGGCGGTGAAGACTCGCGCAGAGGAGTTATCATGTACATCGGTGATGTCCAAGAGATCCCCGGAGGCTTAGGCGCCTGGATCGGTGTTCAGCTCGACGAGCCGGTTGGCAAGAACGATGGCAGCATAAACGGCAACCGATACTGGGGTCAGGAATCCGCCTTCAAACATGGCGTCTTCGTTCGCCCTGAACGAGTCGAGGCTGGCAACTTTCCCGTACTTGATGACCTCGAAGACATGGAGGAGATATGAGCTTTCAAGTTGGTACTTGACCACTCATCCTGGATGGATTGCTAAGTAGAATTCTTAAGATATATCGGTATCTCTTACCAAGGTGCAAGAAGAACTTGTCCATTTCTCTTGCGGTGCATGTCCGAAGTGATTGCTAATGCTAGATGTGGCATATGGGCTTAATGCAGGTATGCATGATGTTATCAATAGTCACCCAGAACTGTTATTACTGACTACTTGGGCGCATTCTAGCCACGAGTAGACGATCAAACACAAGTGTGGCAATTAGCATCATAACCTGGCCACACGCGAAATTCACTCGTATACTTAGCAGAAACGAACTGTTAATATATGACTCTAGGTCATACTGTCGATGATATACATGTGCCATAATAGCTCTCGGCCGATCATACCATGTGCGTGATTTGGAAGATACAGCTCGTTGACTGTATTGATCAAAGCGCAAGGGATATGCCCAGAGGGGTGCAACCTTTCGGAAGGAGGCTCATACGTGGTGATCGGGTAAAAAAGGCCCATTATGTGTCATGGGTACTATGCCTGAACAGGCTTTTGCTCATGATGCATCTGAATTGTATGTTTTCAAGCCGTTATCCTTGTGGTCCTTTTGGACGGACAGTGTTTGTTCAAACAATCAAACGGTTTCGGCGTTTCCAGCAGACTTCCCGTCGGTTCTGATGTGTATGGCTCAGACACATGATGTTCAGGCAAGAGCCGCAAGACAGGGGTCTCAGACGCATAACAGGGTACAGTCAATATGCGAGGCCAGGGTGAAGCGGCCTTGCTCAAGGATTCCATTGAACCTTTTAATAATACCGAGATCCGGATCTGCACATGTATACATGCCTGGCTAGAAAAAGTTTCATACATGACAAGACAACTTTTACATTCAGTAGCATCTGAGCGAATGCCATCTATTCACGAAAGAGATCTTGGGGTAGCAACACCCTGGCATGATACTGAGCACCTATGTCAATGTTCTTCGTCTTCAGTCTCGCGACATGAATCACACTCGACATACCCATCGCATAGCCAATGGAATAGGAGGAAATGTTGTGTTAGATAAATTTAAGCCTCGTTGAGTATGCCGAGGCGACTTGAATGCATTTTTGGTTTTGTTGGAACGGTTTGATGAACGTTGATCAGCAGCGCTCGCTTTAGACAGACATAGATGGCCATGAATATCTGTAAACACAAGGCATGGCTATAAGAGCGTTGTTGGTATACTGTGTTGTATTTAACTCGACGAGCGCTGTGGCTGGCGGCTGCGAGCAGTCAATGAATTGTTGTTATAGATTGCTATGCGCAAGCGCATGATACTGAATTACCTTTTTTCTTTCTTTTTTCTTTTTTTTAAACAAGAAAACGACAACGTTACTCATCCTGTCGTCAACATGGGAAATGTTGAAACATAATTTGTTTTCCTTTCTTTATTTTATCTCTCGGATGTTCTTGATGTTCCATGTAACTGTAACAGTCGTGAAGATTTCGTAGCTTGGGGTTTTGGAAACTTCACCTTCCTCTTTGATGGCGGTCTTACGTGGCTCAGCCTGCCGAGTCCTCCCATCACTAAGCCTTTGGTCAGCGGAGTAGTCGCACACTATTGGCTGCTGATGCCTCTTCATGATCACCACAAGTCATAATAGAAGTGCTCGTTAATAGTTTGAGCAAACTGCTGAACTGCCGAACTGCCGATTGTAAGTCTGACACTCGGACTTTTATCTGCGAGGCTCATCGTCTCGTGCAGACTGGTCCAAACTCGTCAGTCTCAATGCCGGATACGGGAAGAGTGATCGACGCCAAGGGACACCATCGGCACCGAGAAAGGCTAGCCATGCGAGAAATGATGCATGTTAATTGGCCCAAAGTCGCCGTCTCGCTTTAACAAAACCTGACGCTAAAACCGACGTGACGTCTCAGACTCTTGAACCTCTCCTGGAGAGACGCCACCTCAGGTCCGTCTCGGCAGGTACATCAAATCCAATAATTTCTGGGCACGAAACAGGCAGGCAACCAAACGGGCCTGGGTGCGTAGCGCGCACAGTCAGATCGTTAAGCAGTCGAGCCTCAATCTGTCTTGAGTACAAAGCCGAGTTACTATGATTGCGTTCGGAGCACTCGGCGATAGCTGATCGCCCATGTGAGCCATCTTGGCCCTTATGCCCCAGCCCCAAGCCAAGCTGGGGGGCTTTTCTTGGAGTTACCTGGACTCAGTATGTCGTCCAAAGTAGATTCCATCTTCTCCACTTGATCCGAAGCCCGCCAAAAGTCAAGTATCACTGGCCTAGGAGACGTCCATTATGCATACGCATGGGTGACTCCTGTTCCGTCTTCCGTTTCTTTCGTCTTCTCATTCTTCTAATCGTTAACTCTCCCCCCCAAAACGCCAAGGCATCTAGTAGGCGGGCGTTGGAATGCACACCGCTGGCCGCAGAGTCCGGATACTGTATTTCGCAAGTGACTACCCCTCAACTTCCGGTGCCCGAACCTAGAGAGACAGCATGTTCAGCGAGATGCGACAACCTCAAAAGAGTCGAAATTAATCGTCCCTCGCGATTTTAGTATCGCCTCTCGTTTTTAAGACAAGCCTACTCACGATTCGCCGGCCGACCGTGTCAAAATCGAGAGCGAAATTGTGCCTAGGTGCAGTGGTGTAGACGTCGCAAAGATGGTTTGCTTCTCCAAGGTGCTGGGGGTGTTGCTACCTGCAATTGTAGCTGCCGGCGGAGCTTCAACCGACCCAAAATCGCAGCTTCCGGAATACTTTGCCACCTATGAAATGGTAGTCAATTTCAAGCCGTCAGAGACGATGCCAGTCACTGCCCAGTACCCCGTTGTGCCTTTGACGACGGGAGTTGGCTTGAACGCAACTCTGTCCACGCTCAACGTACACAAAACTCAATTCCTTTTTTTGGCGTGCCACAGGCTAAGATGTGATAGGCAATATCCGTTCAGGGTACAATGGTCAGCGTGGATCAGAGCAACTACAATTTGTTCAACGATTCCAGCCGGATCGCTTATGTGTCTTGCGATCCGAATTCAGGAAACATTTCTCCGAGTGATATTCTCAACGGTTTGATGGATCTGCCCAATCATCCGAAGGCGATTCTTCTATACACGACCAATACCGCGATGCATTATTGCTCACTTGTGGGGAACGACCTTACCTATCAGTCCATTTGGAGCATGGTCAGCTCTGATGATGCCTGGGCCGCAAAGAATTTGACTGCAGCTGCTTCTTCGAGCACTTTGGTGGCGGGTATAAGCGGCAACGGCACCACGGCTGGATCAGGAGCAAGTACAGACACAAATGGTGGAAACAACTCTGCCGTTGCTATGAGCATCTTGTACAGTATTACCGGATTGATCACGCTTTTGTTCCTGGTGATCATTGCAACTGGAGCTGTGCGCGCACACCGGCATCCCGAAAGATACGGCCCACGTGCTGGGTATGGGGGCCGCCCGAGGCAAAGCAGAGCCAGAGGGCTTGCAAGAGCTGTCCTTGAGACTCTTCCCATTGTCAAGTTTGGTGACCCGCAACCTGTCAAGGGCGATCCGGACCAAGAATTAGGGAGCGTAGACGGCGACCGTCGACTAGACTCCCCCAAGCCTGTTCCGACAACATCTCCGGACGCAGCAGCAATTCAAAGTGCTGCCTCGACAAGAGTTGAAACTGAACGTCTGCCCGACGTCCCAGCGGCCTCGGGAGAAGCCGGTGCCAGCAAGGATAGTACTATACAGGATGAGCACCTAGGATGTACCATTTGTACGGAAGACTTTACTGTTGGGGAAGACGTCAGGGTCCTTCCGTGTGATCACAAATTTCATCCTGCCTGCATTGACCCGTGGCTGGTTAACGTGTCAGGCACATGTCCATTATGGCAAGTCCCCAAAGATTGAGACTGGCATCTACGAAACTAACATGGCATCTCTAGTCGTCTCGATCTTCGTCCTCAAGGCTCCGCGAGTGATGCGAGGAATTCTGCTGAGCAGCCTGGTACCACCACTGAGGAAGGAGCTGCCCAGCAAAGCACTGAGCCACAGGAGAGACAGGATCGGCGCAGGTCGCGCCTATTGGACTGGAACCGACTGCGACACGCATCCGTTGACGAACGAATCCAGGCTTTGAGGCAGATACGCGAGCAAGGTCGCTCAACCGAGGAAGGCGCCCAGCAGTTCACGCAGCACACAAGACTTACAGACAGGCTGCGGGAAAAGTTTCATATACGCACGCGGACACAGTCGTAGTTCTACGCGCTGGTTTCTACGACATATATATCCTTGATGGGTTAATGGATGATGTTATGTTGAGACGATGGGGTGTGATACAAACGAAAACAACAATGGCGAAGCAGTTATCTGCATAGAGCATTCTCGTGCTCTTTGGGCATGCCTGGTGGTCTTTGGGTGTATCGAAGGGCGTCATTGGATGTAATCAAGCGGCGTTGCAAGGCTGCCTCGGAGTTCTATGATACTAACATCGGGAAATTGTTGGTTGAGTCATACACGTACTCAAAATTGCATTGGGATGGCGTTGGTACAGGGCTGATTTGCCCACTATTGACTTATAAATAGGGGCACTTTTGTTGCAGCCCGTGTAGTGCTGGGACTATGGTACGGAGTATAAGCACTACACCAAACAATTACTTAGGTCAGTCAAGTATATTTACGTATAAATATCAGCATCCCGAAAGCTGGGTCGATTTTTTTTTTCTCGCGTCCAAAATTCAATTATTGTATTAGTGGTGTATAGACAGAAAGGGTTTTTTTATTTTTACTTTAGCTGTGCCAGATAAATCATCAATGTAATCGCCCTGGGCTCCAAATTCTATCATTGAGGTTGGCTCTAGGAAGGTTTGATTACTTGCTCTTATGATATCGACAGTAGAAATAGCTCGGATGTTGAATCCGCCACCGAGCTCGTCGTTTGTTCGTGTTCCATTGTCTCCCGATTAGGACACAACCTGTGCACACTTCTTCCGCGAAGCATTAATCAAATACATGTATTTCGACACCGAAGCTTGTGTCTTTCATTCTACGATTGTTTTGATTACTAACAAATATTTGCTTAGGTGCCTCTTCCGAACCCTCACTTGTCTTTACGGTGGAGAAATATGGAAGTGTGTTGCGTTATGGAGATTATATTTTTATGTATTCGCTGACAGCGTTGATGCATAAATATATTCGCCTCTGCTGTTTGCGTGATCCCGTTAGACATTACAACAGCATCTACAGCCGCACCCATTCGCAGCCAGCCTGGTCAATCGGCCAATCACTACGACGATTACAACATTTATCTTACGAGTCACGGGCAACTATGTGAAAACGGTCATCGACCAATGCGCACTACTTGTGCTTTTTGTGTAAGCTAGCACATGTCGAAGACGAACTTTGGAACGATCTCAGTCATTTAGATGAGTACGCAGACTGCTAACCAATACAATAGGAAGGGTGCTCGGCCGTTATATTCTAATGTGTGTCTCACCCAGCTATGAGCGCGATCTCCAACCCCCCTCTGCTTCACAGATTGTCTCGATGAGATATTTGCACGAGTGCACGCCGGTTGTCGGACAAGAGTGTGCCGCCCCGCTGCTCAGGTATAAACTTTAGATCTAGGATTTTAAGCCATCATCGAAAGAGTTGACACACAGAGCACGAATACAGTACTGATCACTTTCCCCGGAACGTGTCGCTGACCGAATGACAGCTTTCTGGACGTTTCCCAGGTCTACAAAAAAGGATACTAGCATATTGAGTGCATGGTTGGTTAGGAACTTAACTTTCGGCGGCGTCACTACATATGCAGACTACGGCTGTCATGATAAGCTTCCGCGTCTGATGTGCGGCTCTAACAAGGCGTCCTTTCTCTCGCCTCGACATCGCGCGGGGCCTGATTTCTTGCACTCCCTTTCCCCCTGATTTGAACATTGGATAATGACCGGATACAGCTCTGCTTTCTGCAATTGTAACTGCGGTGGATCAATCCCCGAGACAAGGTCCATATCCACAGGGTGTTTCCAGAGTCCTCTGGCAATTTCCTACCAGACGAGTTACTAAACAGCGAAAAGCTATGCTGCTACTAGCAACAGTAGGCGGTCGAGTGGTGAAGTATCGGCAGACAGTTCAGTCAGGAATCTGGAGCAAGTACGAAAACGTTGACCAACCAGTTGGGATCATACAAATCGGCAATATTGTGGAGGATGCATGCAAAACCGTCTTTAGGGAACGGAGCATTTTCAAATGCATCACCGACAAAAGTGTCTCGAGATCGGAATTAGGTGTCAGGGTTCGAGGTAGATTTCATCGCCATACAACACGCCATGCGCACGGCGTGGTCGAAACAATTTCTTGTGATGTAGTATCTTGTTTCCTTGTCTCGGTTTACTGGAATACAACACATGGAGTCTCTCTCTCTTTTCCTCCCTCCCTCCCTCCTGCGGAAGTCGAAATAAAATTAACGGTTCGCCAACTATGACATTCCAAATTGAGCGGGCACATGAGATAGTAAACTAAATCCCGTAACACTGAAATTGGGTCCGTGGCGGCCCAGGGAGTATTGCATACGTACCCGCGAGCAACGACCACATTAGCCAGACCGATGGAAGATTCCTGAACCGTAATTTCAGTTTACCCGGTGCCCGAAGTGTATATACAGTCCTAATGAGACTGAGCGCATGTGATATCATGTAGACTGTACGTATGCCGGTCTGCTGGCCTGCATGCCCATGTTTTTGGAAACTAATTAGTCGACAGCAGAGAACTCAGGAGACGCCAGGTCCCATGATCATAAATACCTGCACGCCAATCAATCAGGTCGAACGCCTGGTACCAAGTAAGAAAATCATTTAAAGAGAGTTTGAAAGACGTCGATGTACCTGAGATAGCCGAACTCTGCTGTTGAGCTTATTCGGGACCGTTGTAGCGGGTGTTGAGCTGATCATGCCAAAGCGACTGGGATTGAGTTTGCGCCAGGCCGACGAGAACTTTGAATGCGACTCGTCGCATTGTCCAGCTTCATCACTGCCCCTGATGATGATTGGGCAGCGCAATAGTATATCCCAAGACGACTGCTCGTCAAGAAGCGCCAAGAATCGCGAAGGGTGATAGTAGTACTATATCACGATGATGGAGTTGTGATTGTTAAGAGCGAATCATTACGTCCTAATCATAACAGTCACGCATTGTTCGGGATTTGTACTCCTTCTCTGTGTTCACTATGCAATGCGTGGCAAGAGCACGTGGTGGAATCTGATTTCCAAAGTAGAGCCGCCTAGGTATTGCTCCTTTCACAGAGATGTCGCATGTTTCGGCAGCCCGAAGTTGGATTTTGGGCTTTTTAATTTTTAACTTCTCCGAGGTTTGTCAGAATGAGCACTCACTAACTTACGATATACAAACACGTGGCGACGTAATGAGAGAAATACAATAGTCACAATGCAACGCAATTCATTCGTGTCAAGTCGTAAACTCATGAATCTATCCTTGATCCTGAGATTTCCTGCCCATCTAAGTCAAAACAATCCGAAATCCTATGGAAGACTCCAAGACCAGATATCCGGGCTTGCCTCTGGTTGTAGGCCCTTTCAAATATGTACACATGAAGTCAAATTTTGTCACGCCATCCCAAATGCGAGATTGCCCCCCTTAGAAGTGGTACAAGAAAAGAAGATGGCTGGTTTCTTCGCTCAAAGTCCTCTATGATGCGGAAGCGTAGATGCTGCCAGCGGAGCTGAGGCTGGAGGTCGAGGACATCAAGTAGCCAGTAGAGAGGTAGAAGTAGGCGTAGTTGTCGACAAAGCTCAAGGTGGAGTTGTTGTCAAGCTGATCCAGGGCGTAGGTCAGGAAAGCCTCCTCATCACCAGAGGTTACACCGAACTCAGTGACCCAAACGGGGAGGCCGGTCTGGGCGTTAGCCTTTACAAGGTAGCTGATGAACTCTTGGGCACCTGCCTCGCCACCAGGACCATACCAGTGCAAGTTGGCGAAGTCGACAGCACAGTCACTGCCACAAGCACTCATGAACTCAGACAACCAGGAGAGGCCTAGGCCGGTGGATTCACTGCTGGTGATGGAGGGGGCGCCAATCTTGATCTGACCCTTGTAGGGGCCGAGGTACTGGGTGTGGTAGCTAGCGGCAGTAGCAGCATCCAAGTTGGCCTGACCAGCATTGTCACACTCGTTGAAGCTGAACAGGGCAGTGACGCCGTCGGAAACAGCGGCGGCGGCAGCAGTGTCCCAAGAGGAGTCGTAGTGGGTGGGCCCCCAGAGCATAGGAATGTACTCGAGGTTGGCAGTCAAACCACCGTTGGTGAAACCCCAATCATAGCACCAGCCGAAGGTGGCGGAAGCAGCGGAGATGATGGTAGAGACGAGAGTGGCATCGTTGTAGGCAAGACCTCGCTTGCCGCCAGTGCTGCCACTGCTGGAAGAGCTGGTGGAGGCAGCCTTGGTAGATGTAGTCGCGGCGGCCTCGCTGGTGGTAGAGACGGCGTAGGTGGTAGGAACAGCCGTGGTGGCCTGAGCAGTTGTGGTGGGCTTCTGGACGTCGACAGCAGCGTCAGACTTGACAGCGGTGGCCAAGGTGGTCTGGCTGGAGGCAACGGTAGGCTCAGCTACAACGGCGTAGGTTGAGGTGGTGGCGGCAGCAGCAGCAGCAGCGGTGGGGGTGGTCGCGGCAGAGGGATGGGCGGCAGCGTAGAAGGACTGGACCGAGGCGGTGCTGGTGGCAGCCACAGCAACAGCAGCGGCAGTTTGCTCCTCGCCGGCGATGACAGTGACGGTCTCGTAGACAGTCTCGATCTCGACCTCGGTGGCGGCGTAGACAATATCCTTCTTGTGCATGTGTCGGTGACGGCTGGCAGCGTCGACGCCGTTGAACAGGGTAGCGGCAGCGATGGCCGGAACGATGATGTTAGACAACATTTTGGCTGAGGGAACTGGCCACAGCAGGTAAGGAAGCTGGCTTATGTTGATGTGGATGTGACGAAGCAAAGAGGTGGCTTTGTATCGTCGAGTTGTTATGGCAAAGTCAGGTGATGCTGAGTGGCCAGGTGAGTCTGAGTCGTGATCGACGTGTGTCAGTTTAGTGGGTGGGTTCTGTCTGTGTTCAGCTTTAGGCTTTGCAATGGCTTTGCGATGGCTTTTGGCTTTTGGTTGATCAGACTCGCAGGTTGACTTGGGTTGAGTCGAGGTGTTTTGATGCGAATGAATGTGTCGGTTCCAGCGAAATCAGTCAAGGAAGGAGGTGCGTATCAACAATGATGGCCGAAGTCCAAGGAGAGAGGATTGGCTATGCAATTGAGTGATGCGAAAACAGAGACCAAATGCTCCGTGACAATGGGTCGAGGCTGGCGACCGGGTAATGAATGTATTTGCGAGAAGTGATGGTGATGCACCGGGATTACGAATGTCCAGAGTGGCCGAGGAGTTCTTTTAAATGAGGATGGGGACATTGGGAGGATTCGTCAGGACTCAGCCAAGCACTACCCAGCAACTACCCAGCAACTACCCAGTAAATGCCCAGTAACTGCCCAGTACATACCCAGCAGCACCCGACGGGGCCTGGCGGGGGTCTGGCCAGTCACGTAGGTCAACAGCCGGTAAAGTGGAGACGCTTCCAAGGAACGAGACTAGCGTCAGGAACCGTCCAGGAACCGCAAAGTACTTGTACGCAGCGAGGTGTTCGGACGGTTGCGCCAGGGGCAGAAGGCGCGGACGCAGTGCTGTTCCAGGCGCCGCCCGCCCCCCCCATTGGCTGGATCCTGAACAGCCGGTGCCCCAATGGCTCCAGGGGACCGGGCATGGGGCTTCAGGCCTGGATTTTGGATTCTGGATTTCAACCGTAGTGGAGTCGTTTATCCGTATTGCATTGGCTCCAATCCGTACCTTGGACAGATACCCACACCGTCCAAATACAACTCCGCATTTCTCCTGCTTGCTTGGACCAGCGCTGGCGCCCACAAACACACACCTGTTTCAACCTTTTTTTCCAAGGAGAACCGTTGTTTGTTTGTCTTGACAGCCCAACTTTATTCTCGTGACAGAGATGACTGAGATGACCTTTGAAATAAAGATAAAAATACCGTCATATGATATTTTAAACCTGTCACCCCCGACCACACCCCATCATGCGATCTCTCATTTCCAGTCATTCGTGACCTGGCTTGACCCGAATCTATGCGCTCGTCATCATGCCGACTTCTTTCGTAATTGATAATGGTCTGGACCGTATTCTTCACCAAGCTCGCCGTCAGACGGTCCGTTTAACGGTCCCAGCTTGCTGCCAAGCCCAAGAACCGCTCTGAAGATTTTGCGCCGTCAGCTCGTTTTTCACCTGCCCATCGACCTCAACTTGATCCGACGGTCGCCTTCTGCCCCACACACCATGCCATTACACTTTCTCACTGGCTGGTCTTATGCAGGTACGCCGTGCTCTGACGGATCTGCCCTGCGGGTCTCCGACACAATTAGCAACGCACAGCCGCTTGAGTGCCAGCACGAAAGCAACCAAAATCCTGTTCACCCTCGCATGCGTCCTTCTTTTTTGTTTGGTTTTTTGCAGCCAGTCAACGCAGGCCAGACTTGCAAGTCTCGGAGTCCCGAGCAAACGTTTACTGCATGCTGTACTAATGTCGTTTCTGCATTTCTTGGTCTTCGCGGACCGTTGCCTCATATTGCACAATCACAAGCACAATGATATCGGCAATGCTGTGCCTATCTTACCCCAGATGGCAGGACTTCAAATTGAGCGACCAATGACCTGTTTGTTCAACGTGGCAATGCCTTTGAGCGAGCCTCCAGTCAAACTCTCTTGAGGTTTTGTTTGGCGTGCCCCTGGTGACTACACGTGCTGCCCACAGAAGCAATTCTCCGATAATGCCATGCCAGCTGTTATGCCAGGCGTTTGCACAAGACCGCCACGGTTGTTTCGGCCATGAACTAGCCCCGTCTTTCGATTTGGGCCACGACTCATGAGTTCGTCTCATTCCAGGTCCCACTGCCTAACCCAGTGGTGGGCTCACACAATGTCTCTTTGGGCCTAGCAACTTACGTGTAAAATCTCCTCATCCCGCTGCCTCTACAATCGTACTACGGAGTAGGGCTACCAAAGCCATCTCCCGGCTCTGGGAACGGGACCGAAAGCTTGGCATCGCGCGACGTCGCCAACGCCCTCTGGCCGCGTGGTGAAACGGCAAGCGAGATTATGGGAGCGCCTCACAGTCTTGGACAAGCCCTGCTCCCCGATTGGCTGCTACACAAACGAGAACTTGATGGCCTGTCGATCCTTTCTTCTTCGGGACTTTCCATGGCTAGAACAATCTTTCATCTTCTACGATTGCCGAAGCCAAGAGCGATATACAACCACACAGCAGGGACAGACACAACAAGGGCAGAAGTTGGCCCAGGGCTCGCGATCTGCGTCCCAAGCAACGGAGGTGATAAAGCTTGGCTGATCCAATTGTCGATCTTCTCGTGTTGATTATACGAGGTGTAGAGTATATGTCATAGCCAGAAGCAAGGCATCGCAGCATTCATTTGCTTTCGTACCATCAGGCCACTGTCCCTGAATCCACAGGCATTAGATGCTTTTTGTACCCTAATCCGCTGTATTGCCAGCTGTCATGTCGGCCATTTGCGGAGAAATATCTGCGGTACGACTCATCACACACATTAGTACTCCCTAGGTGGCCAGTTATAAAGTCTGGATATTGGCGGATGGAGTATGCATCCGTTACCATCAGATGCCTTCGAGGAAACCCACTTTGACCCTCGTCAGCGGGTGTCGCACATGCCAATGAAGGAGTACAAAGCCTTGAGCATTTGGATTATATCACTTCGCTGTATACTATTCCTGCCACCATAACACTCGCAGGAACTCCAATATGTTAGGAAAAACTTGAAATTATACAGGCTCAGATGTTTGGATCTATACACTTGGTTGGCTTGTGCAATATACAAATAAAAGTTGGACTATGTTGCAATAATTGTCCGTCCGGCCCGCCACCTCGATATCCAGATCGCTAGTATATTAAAGTTTTCCCGAACTAATGAGCGTCTTATAGCAGCGTGTGGGAGTCACCCATCAACTTTCTGCTTCGTTTTGCTATTCTACCCATGCTTGCTTCCGCTTCCTTGCAGTCGGAAAATAAGGGCGGCTTAATTTATTGGAGTTCAGCACATGTATTAAGCCCCTTTGCATTGAGCTTCACGTGCAAGCCATTCTCTTTGCAGTCCGTTCTCGTGCTTCGAACTACCGCCACGTCTAGAAACTCCTCTACCGAAAACTTCGACTCCTCTCTCACCATGTTCGGGTTGGATCTGATTGGCCGTGGCGTCGCGTTGCCGTGGTTGTTTTGCTAATCAGCAATCCACATACGATGAGACGAGGCAGGCCAGCATGAAATTCCGATAACGATATATGAGCAAAAACAGCCTGTAAAAAGTTGAAAGCTTTACAACGGTTTCTTTCATTGTGCCCAGTGATCGGTCTGTTCTAGGCCGAAACCAGCTTACCAACTGGTTTCAAACTGATGTGGCGGAGCAGGCTACCCCGGCTTCAAGGTTAACCCGACTATGACTATACGTCGATTCGGTATTCAAGCAGGAAATGCCGCTGATGCGACTTCTCTCAGACACACAATTCCCCCGTGCTCGCGGCGCCCTGGTCAAATTTGTTCGCGCGCGATGGAGGATGTCTGGAAGTGGTTGCCTTGTATGGCGCCTCGCAAGACTGTAAGGGAATTTTAACATTGGATGTGGGAGCACATTTGTGATTACAAAAAGTGCCATTGGTTTTGATGGCAACCATAGCAATGACCCCAGTCAGATTCCATCATGGAGGGCTCAGCACACTGCCACCACCTGCACGTGATCGATACTAGGCGTTCAAGCTATGCTTTTGGTCTGCTTGGCATTAAACATTACAATTCTGCGGCTGATAATATCGAAAAGGTAAGACGACAAAGTAGAAGAATCAAGTGTAGACAACTACAAGCCTTTTCTTTAAATAGAAAGGGGATTAGAAGCAGCCAAAGAACAACTAGCAGATAAAATATCACACTCAACAACGACGACGGAGATAACTAACCTAGAGCACCGGTCTAGCAGTATGGATTCATTGGGCCTCGGTGGGACCGCTCCTCGAATGCTAAGTTTCAATGGCACATCACCAGACTTTGACTATATGGCATTCCTACAGGACGATGGGTTTGATTACCTTGCCGAGGAGAGTTCCTCGAATTCGGCTTCTGCTCCCGCCGCCGGCCCCTCATCTGACATCTCACCATCGGATGACCGAGGACTATCCAAGAAAGGCTTGAGCCAAAGGCAGAGACTTGAGCGCAGAGGACACACAAAGAGTCGACTTGGCTGCTATAATTGTAAAAGAAGAAGAATCAAGGTGATCATCCACTATTAAAGGCTCTAAACAACATCCGCTGATGGTAAACCAGTGTCAAGAGACACATCCGGCATGTGGTCACTGTGTCAAGTCAGGATTGCAGTGTGAATACCCGAATGCGCCAACGGTCATTCACCAGGTGCGTAAAGTGTTTGTATGGTTGGACTAACCAAGGTTAGACTAATCTGCGAGTAGCCTCAACAGCAGGTACCCCTTTTCAGCCTACAAGACATGCGGTTCTTTCAGCACTTTTTGCAGGTCTGCTACCCTCATCATCCATTGGGTAACGAAAGCATCTGGACGCATGAGGTCCCTTGCTTGTCCCAGAACGTGAGTCTGCAAGAATAAGCAAATGATATGGGACTGAGTAGGATTAGCACGAACACCTCATGCACGCCATTCTTGGCCTCTCCGCTTCGGAACTCATGGTCAATGAGCCTAATTTGGCGACCTTTGCCATGACGCATCGTCTAAAGGCCATTAAGGCGATCAAGAAGCAGTTAACAGATGGACTGAAGACAGATCCCGCTGCAGAAGGTAATGCACTGGTGGCGACCTGTTTTGCCCTGACCTTTCAGTCCGTTTTGCTAGATGATGGGATGGCAGAATACATGACGTTTATCCGGGGGATACTTATTACTGCTATTCAGATGTGGTGCAAAGGGGCTAAGTTCATGTTCCATAATTTCATAGGGGAAGACCAGATGGCTATCCTGAAGCCTCTCATGGAGCAAGTGCCTATAACCAATAAGGGCTGGACTGATATGGCAGTCGCTGGCATGAAAGCCTTGCGACCGCTTTGCAAGCATGAAGTCGAGATAGCGTATCATGGTATGATCCAGGAAATCGCGGAGACTCTATATACTTCCCCATTCAAAGGTAAGCCGCATGTTGTTCCTTGTATTCGACATCTACTTCACCAAGCGCTCAGCTAACTTCAATTTGTACTCTCAGCCTATGAGCTGCTTACCCGACATTACGGGTGGTGGATGCAGATCTCTCACCAAAACTTCGCACATCTCATAGATCCGAACAATACGGTCTGCACGCTGCTGGCTTCGCATTGGATAGCACTAAAACAGATTATGGCGTCCATTACCGAAAAGGAGTATGAGGCACGTCAAAAGGAGCCGAACAAGGAGAAGACTATGGAACTTGGTATAGGCAGATGGCTCAAATATCTCAACCGGCAAGTTCCACCCGAATTTTCTCAGTACAACTGGTGGCCTACTTGGGTCGAGGCACAGCTGGATGAAGATGCAGGTTTCTTTGGTAAACGGGCACACTGATAGTACTATAGATGTAATGATATTTGGCTCTCAGCAAGTACAAGATTGCTATAGAAAACGCAGACTCCTTCTCGAAATATTGCCTTGCGAAGCTTTCCCTACAGTATTTTTTTGAGTTGTGTGGAATCGGACATTTGCCACTGCGTCAGATGCCTCAACTTCTCTACGTATTTCTCAAGCTGAGGATAATGATAAGATGACACCGGCGGAACTTCTCACGACCCTGTCTTAATTCAGTCCAACCCGCCAAGCACAATTGTGCCGTCACGGGTGCCCTACCCGTCCCTTTGGCTTGGAGACGCACTGGACCCGCTTTCCCCAGAATACGAAATACGACACGACGAAGCGCAATGCGGGTGAACGCTAGCGGGAGCTGTGAAGATCAGCTGGTCCTTGGCATACATTTCTAGGTTAGGCATATTGAAGAAGGAAACAAGAATTTCCTCATGCGACTCGAGCGTCTTTGTTAGATACATATGCCTAGTCAAGCCTTGCATGAACATGTGCTGTTTTGCCGGTCGCTTAGATCGTATATCAGTGTCATTGGCGGCCATCGGAGGTCTCACATACCGCAAGGTCAGTATAACATAGAGGACAAAAATGTCCAATTTAATAACGATCCCATGATCTCTACATTTTCCATTGACGATGCAACATATACCTACAAAGGACCAGAACAGTATCCCCATGCCGACTGCGTGGCCTGGATATACGAACATGCATAGCGAGATATCCATTCCGAGGACTTCAACCTCACAGCTCTCGAGGCCATGGTCCCATCCACCATCCTACTCTAAGCAACCAGGAGACATGGAACTAAGCGACTGGGCATCATCATCAAACTCCCTCGAGTGGTCTTCACCTTCGCATGCCGAAGCCAGATCGGTGATATCCACACCGCCGCCCTTCAGAGCGACGACCCATCTGCAAATCCAGTCGCAAGGCAAAGCACTACACTCGCTGCCAACACCGACCAGCCCGACGCCGCTCCCGGTCTTCACACTCACACCCGACGGGCGTCTGGACCGCCTCATATACCTTTCCGTGCGGCCCAAGCGAAGCTCGGGCTCCTGCTTCCTAGCCCGCGGCGACGACGAGCAGGAAACACCGCTCACGGCGACGACGTACCGCTTCGGGCCCGGCCGGCCACCAGCCGTCCGTCTCGGCAATCCCGACGACCCCGGGGGTCCACAGGAGGAGTTCGAGGTCCGCAGCCTCGGGCTGTTCACGAGGTCCCAGAGCATGCGGACGAGCCTGGGCACTTTCGAGTGGCGCTACGCTGGCTCGGGGGCGAGGGCCGTGGAGTCTGCCGACAACGTCCTTGTTCTGGAGCGGGTCGCGAGCACGGGTCACCTGGGCGGCACGGGCGAGTCGTGCACGAGGGTTGCGCAGTTGGTGCGGAATAGGGCGTTTCGCACGCCGGGGACGTGTCGGGCTACTGCGGGTAATGGCGGGAGGCTGATGTTGGATCTGAGTGGTTTTGATGAGAAGGAGAGGGAAAGAGTGCAGGTGCTCGTTGTCACGACGGCGATCGTCATGCTGAAGAAGGAGGTTGATCGGAGGAGAAGGGACGGGCCGTATTCTCTTTGGTGGTTGTGAACGTATCTCATTGAGACATGTTGTGGCTGTTCGATATGTAAAGACATGCTCTCTAATTCTGTTTCGTTCGGTATTAAGGAAACTTCTGACTACATTCAACTCCCATTATCATAATCATGGCGTCCCAAGAGTTAGACCTTTCTCAGTTTATTATAACCGGTCTTGGTTATATGAGATAAGAAAATGTGAGACAATAGCCGGATACTGGGACATCAAGAGGAGCATCTATTTGACTCTTCTTGGGGGTGGGGTTTCCCAAAAATAATAATTTAATAAAGGTTCGGGATATCATGGGATGGGACCATTTGCCTTCATTTTACCAGTGTGATATTATTCAATAAACCGACACTAATTCTTGCGCTTACATATTATCTGTCAACTTTCGAACTGTGATAAGAAGTACTTAGATGTAGCTGACTAATTTTGCAACTTTACTAAGGTCTCCTCAACTCCTGCAAGCTCTACACGGTCCTTACCTGCATGTTTAAGCACGGTGTTGTTGCATCCTGAAGAGCAATCTATCGATAGCCTTTGCTGGAAAGGGGCAGTGAGGGAATTTTGCTATCCAAATATCGAAAGAGCACCCACATCATGAGATGTGACGGCTATCAGACCTGCCTTTAGAGAGGATGACTAAGTAATACTGAGTGTGCAAGCATCCACTAAACAGGTGGTAATGATTGGCTGTTGACCAAACCTTGCTCTATTCCTTTTTCTTTCTTCCTTTTTCCTTCTGTTTCCAACAATACCTACCTTGAGCGTTGGACGTGAATAGATACACTACCATCACGTGATAGTCGGCAGACATTCTCTGGTTGATATGTGGAGGTTATTAAGCGTTTGTATTACTCTATTTCGGGAATCCTCGAACCCGTGTGCCTTCTATAGCTCTATTGTAAGTGCCCTACTTTTCAAGCTATAACGATGTGTTTGCCAACATATAATGCTCGGGTATCCCTAATCATCCAAGACTCCATGCATATAAGGGATAAAAGGATCTAATAGAGTTGGGAGAACCATTTCGTGCGTGTCGTCAAACGCCGTGACCATGTTGTAAACCAAAATCGACCGGCTCTCAAACATAATTCAAAAACGCCCAGAATGTACCCCTTCTGCCTCTGCTCGCATAGAAATATCGTATACATAATAAACAAACATACGTCCACTTTCCGTCATCCGTTTGGCATTATGCGTTCTGGTCAACCGTTTTCGAAGGTCTGTAGTCCGGCAGCTCTTCGAACCAGCCCTTCTCCTCGTTGTATTTGTAGGCATGGAACTCGACTCCGTAGGGCTTGGGCTCGATGGCGTAAACCATGCCAAGTGGGACGTCTAGGTCTGCAATGTCGTCCCTCGTGAGATCCATAAAATATGCCATCAAGACCCGGCAAACCGATCGATGGCCAATGACAACGACATGGTCCTTGATACGCTCAATCTCACGTACCATATCCCGGAGTTTGTTGATGATCTGAAGGTAGCCCTCGCCGCCGACTCCAGGGTATACATAGTGAAGTTTGTCGGACTGCCGCTTTACGTACTCGTCCGAATGAGAGCGGGCAATCTCTTCATATGTCAAGCCCTCGAACTTGCCTGCATTGAGCTCATTGAGCATTTCAAACGCCTTCGTGTCATAGTCGTCATCAGCTTCGAAATATTCTGCTGTCTGTATACTTCGTTTCAACATAGATGTCCAGACACACGTGTTCTTTTCATCGAGCTCCCGGTTCATCTCGGGGTAAGGCGGTGATCTGTCACCAGGCAAGGGGGGAAATGTGAACTTGGCAAGCTTGTCCTTCTGCTCAACCAGCCATTCGCCTCGTTTCTGGGTGATGAAGCCATAGAGAGCATGCGCGTAAAAATGACCACGTTCCGTAAGCTCAGAGTTGCCGCCAATCTTGCCCAGATGATTATCAACGGACTGACCGTGCCTTGTAATCCAGATTTGTCTTGGGGCCAGGTTGAAAGACGAGAGATAGTGGGCAATACCGCCGGAAAGGAAGCCCTCCAAGCCGAAATGTGTCAGTTTCTTGCCGACATCAATCATCTGTGGAATTGATTAGCTCAGGGGTGCGGGACATGTTGTCGAACAAGTGAGAGTGGGGAACGGACCTTGATGTATTGCATCCCATGATCCTCTTCGTAGTCGCCTAGTGGCACATAGGCGCTCTCGTATTGTTTGACACGAGCTCGGAAGTCCTCCAAAGACTTGACAGGGTCCTTGTCTTTGTAGTCAGGACCAGAGAGCTTGAGTCGCATGTTTGCCTCCAAGATATCTGGGTTTTGACAAACACTCTCGATGAAGAGAATACCAAGCTTTGGCTCTCTCGCCTTGATATGGTCAAATAGTCTCTGGCGACGTTCAATGGTGCTATTGGTTGCATCGAGGATTCCAACGGCGCCGCCTCCATCTATGAGGTAGTCTAAAAGCTCATCAAGAGTGTCAATAGCGAGCTGCTCTCGGATCCTTGAACCCTGAGAGTTCTTGGGGTCGAAGAAATTTGCGGATTGATCCACTCGTGATCCAGCACTAGAGTCGTCGAGGTTCCATTCAGCTGGTTCCGACGTCGCCTTGCGGGTAGGCGATTCCTGCTTTGCCTCTTTGCCGTTCAGTAGTATTTGTGCGACCTGGGCATGCGCATCCATGGGATTCTCGTGGGCGGGCTTCAAGGGCGAGCGTACGTCGACGGCCACACGTCTCCTGTTTCCAACATTGAAAATTCTAGTGTTGTGTTGCTGCCATGAGAGATATCGCTTGAGCTTTTTGGTGATGTAGGACTTGCCACGAGCGGGCAGGCCGACCATGATGATGACAAGCTTGGCAGCGACATCGCGATCTGCAATTTTGCCGTCGGGTGATATGGTGGACTTGGTCATGCCAGGAATGTTAAGGGTGGTGGCATGAGGGCGTACCCTGGGAGTCTGGGTACCAGAGTTTTGCCTGAGCGGAGGGATCCTGGGGGATCCAGGAGTAGTGGACGATATGCTCTTAGTATAGGGTGAATTTTCCATGGGAGGCGGCATACGGCCTTCGAGGGACAGCTCCTTAGTGCCATCATTAATACCTCTCAGAGCCTGGGCCAAAGAGGCAGGGTTCGGCGGAGGATGCTGGCCGGCAGCCAAGAAAGGTGCGGCGGCTGGTGGCATCAAACCAGAGGCATTACTTGAGGCCCTGGATCTCGAGGCTACCGAGTTCCCTCTCGATCTTTGTGTCTCGACATCTTGTAAGGTTTTGTTGGGATTAGGCCAGGCGCCGGCGTCTCCATGGGTAGGAGTTGTCGCAAATGAGCGGCCATCGGGGTCAGGCACTGATCGTGGTATAATCGAAGGTGAGGTTGGGGTGCTGGTATTCACTTTGTGATGACTGGCCATCGCTGGCTGATGTGTTGTTAATGATGGTGGTGAATACTGCGGCGTCCTGCGGGCTGATTGGAGATCTGCACAAGAGGCGCAAGGATGTCAGTCAAGAGAGGGTCAGAGAAGGTATCGTGTCGTATGGTATGGTCTGGATCGAGCAGGTGTGGGCTTTTGTTATTGACGAGCTTGACAATGGACAGAAACAGGATCATGAACACGGGAAGAAAGCTTTTTCTCCCAGACTATGTGTTTGCGAAGAGTCGTTACTAGCCCAGGAACTAGCTTTGACCAGCTTCTCCAAAGATGATGTATTTTGGGAGGGTGTGTGAGTGTGAGAGTTGGTGTGAGCATCAGCGTGAGCGTGAGCGTGGGCGTGGCGTGGTGTGAACGCAGACAGTTGGAGGTAGTCGAAGCTTAAAAAGGTACCAGAGTACATATCCGACTAATGGAGCGTATACGGATCTGTACCTACAGTACCTAAACTCGAGGCTACCTGGGACAGGTGGATAGCAAGGTAGGATGGGTAAAATGAAACTGGCATCCGACATACCTGCGATGAGTTTATGTGCTCGCTGCCGTTCCCGTTGGGATGTCAGATCCTGTTCAGACGACACGATGTAGACTCCCTGGGGTGAGTTGTTGAAGTGAAGCCGACCTATTCTTCTGCTTGCTACTGGCTGGATTTCCGTCATGATGGCCCTTTTTATTTTATTTTTAAGGGTCTGCTCCCAGGCTTCCCGAAGAGAAGATAGGGTTGGCTCTTATTGGATTTTTCGATAAAGTGATTCTGCGCGTACTCCGCATGCGCCGGTCGCGGCAGCGCAGGTAATTGTGCAAGGGTCCCGGAGAGCTAACGCAGCGTTGAGGTCAGTGAGGGGCCTTCTGATCAGTTCCAAGCGGCAGGCTGCCCTTCGACTGGCTCTCCAAGGGGGTCCAAAGGAGTCCGTAGTGGGAAGCGTACCGAATGGCTCGCTCGCGCTAATGTAGGGTCCAGAAATGTTACGTCGAGCTGCTTGAGGTCCAGGGACTGCTGCGATCTGCACGGACTAGGGCTCTTTCTCCAGCCAGTGGTATGTCTACTGTAAGTACGGAGTTTGTAGGTAGGTACTCTATGGACCTGGTCTTCCTTGGGATGCGATTGTTTAAACCCAGAGTAACGCAGAGGAGCGCAGGACGACGGGGTCTGACTAGGCCGCCACTTTTCTACTTTTCCGCTGCCGTCCGTCCAGTAGGAAGGTATGATTTCTGACTCTGACTCTGACTCCACCGCCCTCAATTCTGGGAATTGTCCTTTCTAGCGTCGCCTCGTCTCGAGTCGAGTCGGGGACCAAGGTTGCAGTCGGTCCTATGCAGAAGGATCTTGAGAAACCTGAGGATCTTGGGATCTGAGTCTGTGTCCTGATAACCCCCTATCTTCTTCGTAGCTCTCAACTGTTGGATCTTTTGAAATTGTTTGGAGCCTTGGCGAAACCGTGTTTCTTACACAAACAGTAAGACGCCGTCTTGGCTGATCGGCAGCTACTATCGTTATTCTTGTCCACTATAATCGTGCTGTAAATAAGTAATGCTCCAAATAAGGGCCGCCTGGACACTCTTCTGGCCCGAGTGCACTCTGCCGCTCGATAGGACTCGTGCCAAGCTGTACTGTATGAAGCACGCCTCGTAGCTGATCCAGGCTTGGGTGGTTTCGGCGGCCCGTGTAAGTGCTACAGGTTCTGCAATGTTTCGCCTCTGGTCAAAGACCTTCATGTGCCAAGTCGAGGAATTACGCAGCCCTGGAGCAAAGGCAACTAAAAGAATTTCACGGTCTTGCAACCCAAACAGTAGGAAAGCCCCGCGCGCAGTTGATTTAATAGAAAGATGAGCGAGAGGATTTTTCTTTTTGACGAGGGATTAGCAAGCCTTGTTTCTTTACTATGTTTGAGTACGAGCATGATGGGGGGGGGGGGGGGGGGGAGCCACGATGACACAACCATATGCGGAAATGTTGGTTGACAATAAGCCCCCAACACACACTTGAACCCAGATTGGTGAACTCTACCGCATTCCATGCTCAACTAAGATGTAGTGTTCGGATACTGCTTTAGCCTGCCGCATACTCATTCGATAGAGGCATTCTTCTTGGACCACGCTTTACCGTTTCTACCGTCCTGTTTTACCATGCCAAGTCTGGCCTTGGCTGACTGTAATGGTCCATCCCAATTTGACCTCAATATAGCTGCGCTGGGCGTTTCGAACACAAACTCATAATGAAGCGTCATCTGAGACGCAGCATTTCTTGGATCAAAATATACCGGAGATCCGGGACATTCTCCCGTCTACATGTGTAGCTGTTCTTGAACAGTAGAGCAGGCGTGGACACCCATTCGGCATTCAGCATCATCACCAGTGATTGAACAAACCCTACATCGGCTTATATAGCACACAGGCTTGACACGCTATCCCACATCAATCAGCGCGACAAAGAGCTCCTGACGGCCTGCAATATTATTACCAGCCTACAGAGCACGCATAGATGCACCAACTCTTGTGTCTACCGCTTGACTGCGCTCGACCCGCCCAGGGCAGGATACCAAAAGGCAAAAGTCAACGCCATTGGTTTCTCCACATGATGTTTCGTTTTCCTGAGCGTTGACTGTCAGCCACCAGTACACGTTACATGTTTCGCTTTCCGAAAGCTTGCACATCGGCTACCGAAGATAAGGGCACACATCAAGACAGTCAAGTCTGACAAATAACACCTGGTGATTGCATGCGCTATCCGTACAGATTGGGCGGCTCCCCTGAAGTGCGACCGAAGACTAAGAAGCTCGAATATACCCTCTGAAGGACGAATGAGACGAGGAAATGGCCCATGTGGATGGTTCTGACCAATTGCAAAGTGGCGTCGACCGGAGGCACCAAGGACAAAACGCATAGTCCTCAACCAAAAACTAACACCAACTACAGTACGGACGCGCCGTGGGAGACCCTATGTCGTTTGTGGAATATTACAACCCCCACACCAAGAACAGTCTCGCCCGTTCAACCGTGAAGCTCTAAAGGGCCAAAAACTTGTCTTCTAGCATGTCCACAATCGAGATTTTACACCACTCCGAATCAAGCTGCGAGCCACGACTTTGTATTGCTCCTTCTAGAACACCAAACTTGATAAAGTTATACCCGATATACTCCACAACTATGTGGAAATTGTTGATGTTTGCCCGAAGGTCAAGGACGCATGCTCTTAAGTCGACATCCTAATATGATCTTATAAACCTTGGGTAGGTGTTGACAGCTGTTCCATTGACACATTGATCTGGACGGGTGAAACTCCTGGAGGGTTGAAACTGGCTTTTGATGGGGTCCACAGCTAAAGTTTCTACAATACTAACATTAAGAAAAGCTGTTTTTTTTTTTTGAAGGTTTTCAATGCACTACATGCTAGAACAGTGTTCTAGAGTTATATAGACCAGAGGTTCAGCCCCACCGACACGATTAGATTGTGACATGCAGATGATAATAACTATTTATATTCCTGACAGCACGAAATTCGAAATCGGCGGCGTAGTTCATATTGCTTACTTGTGCAGCCAGCGCTCTATCTATGTAGGTTTCAAACGCTCATCCGGCAGGCTTAGCTCTCATTCTTACGCTCAAACGATTCCGAGTTCTACTTAGACAAAGCAGATGTAAAAGAATGTCCATCATTGGACGCGCACGCCCTCACAACCTTTGTAGTCGCGCTCGATGTGTACATTCATTAACGACTACGTTGTGCCGTTTGCAACTGTTGTATCAGTCTGGCTGGCTTACGAAAAACAACATGAGCACGGGGGACAGCGACATCTTTGAGCGACATCTAGGGTTTTCTGCATCTGAAGTTTCATGATTCTGTACGTATTGTGACAATGTACAGACATTGTACGGCTTTGTCAAGCATGCTTAATTCTGATACTTACAAAATTCATGACTTGACTTAACCCCGAACCCCACCGCCCCGCGGACGGAGCGGATGTAGACTTCTACCGATCTTGGTTCTACTCAATTTCAAAACGCTTCCAGAATTTGGGTCTGCTGGTCATGCCGATTTATCGATTATGCAGGGACCTCACCACGGGAGCCCCACTTTAAAGTGATTTCTATCGTTGGTAGCTCACTTTTTGCTGCAAGAGCGTGGTTGATATTCACATATCATATCGTTGGTTGCAGGTTGACGTTTCCTGCCCCCAAAAAATATCAACACGGTTGCCAGGAAGTTTATTTGTTGCCCATGGGTATTTCGAGGTGCGTCACTTCCAGGGACATCTTCCTCGCGTACAACAAATCGGGTTCTTCATTTCTGAGACGTCAGCGGCTTGGATGTCATTCCGAAAGTATCCTCTCATCCAGCAAATCAGACTTGACGCTATTCACCGTTTTTTCCCTCTCCTTCTTGGGATAGAATAAGTGGCAAGAACTGCTCACCAGACCATTCACGTAACTTTCCGTTCGTTGAAGGTTTCCTCACTTCCTTCCGCTTCAGCTTCATTCAGAGTGTCGCTGCAACAATCGGCTGTGAGGCATCGCCTTCCAACCCCAAAACCTTCAAGGTCCACCAGTGCTCCATTGCTGGTACACACTACCGCAGTACTCTTTCTCAATTCCCAAGCAAGGAGCATCGCCAGGGTGATTGGTACCTGCCAGATATCAAAACGGTAATTGCAGAAGCCTGCCAGTTCGTGCTGCTATGGGAAGCAGCCTCTGCATACTTCCTATTTAGAAGTACTCTGCTTCTGACAAGCCTTCGACTCTAGAGGACTTGGGATTCCAATAATTTGAATGCTTCAACTACTCGTTCACCCAGAAACCTTCTTTCATCTCGGTTCCCCAAGGTCTAGCTCCAGCGAATATCGCCCGCACCACTAATCTCGAATTTCGCATTGGCACTGCCACTGCCATTGCATCTCTACAAGACTTTTCAGACACCGACCTCATAGAAGAAGAATAGACAAGAGCCTTGTTTTCTTGCTTAGGTATCCGCTATGGGCGATTCCATGAAGGAAGTTGTCGAGTCGCTCGACCCTGTCGCCCGACAGATTATTCCTCACGATATTGATATTGGCACTCTGGTACCTCTTAAGACCACACTTGAGCTCCGCGACAATCTCTCCATCGGCTATGCATATGTTACCCGAGCACCTACTAAACTCACCAACGATGTTGTCAAGTAAGTCTGGATCCTTCATGCTTTCGATGTGGATTTGTGCGATCGTTGTCGTGCTAACTATGCTATAGCGTCGTGCGATCTATGGTCGGTGATGATCAGGCTAAGAACCTTCCTCACCTCCGACGTTGTTCTAAGCCGGCGGATCTGCCGCCTCAATTGAAGAACAAATTCATGAACGAAGGCACATCTGGAAGAACCATACATACCGGGAAGTCCCAGTTCCTCTACATTATGCTTGGACCCCAAGATGAACTAGAATACGAGAACCTTGCAGCAGGCCTATCCGCAATTCCAGGAATCGGTGATGATCTCTTCATTGGCCTTATACCAATACCTCTTCTGGCTCCCACCTCTCAAATTCAAGCAAACCTTTGGTCGCAACAGTTTTGGCAGTGCGTCTACCGCAAGAACAACCCACTCGGCCCTCATCCTAGCAACATCAGCCGTACTACGAATGTCGTCTCCCGAGATGCTTCGATTTGGATGAACCTGGCTCATCAGGTTGCCAAGACGAGCCACAAGGCCGGTTTCGGAGAGCCCATTGGCGCCGTGATCGTCAAGCGTACCATTCCATCCAAGCCCGACCAGACTAAAGGTGATGCTGGCAAGACGGATGGCAACGCCTCTGATGCCTGTACTACAGATACCATCCAAGGCGATACATCTGATACAGGAGATACCAAGTCAGATGACGATAGAAAGCATGGGTTATTTGCAGAAGACGACATGGCTCCAAAGGCCGAGGGTTCAGCTGTCGAAGAGAAGGAGAGGGTCGAAATTGTTGCTGTGGCAGGTGACGCTCGTTGGCACAAGCAGGAAAGAACAGGTCAGACTGGCAATCCCATGGCTCATGCTGCTCTACGTGCCATCAGCATGGTAGCGCAAAAGCTCGTCCGAGCTGAGAACCGTGAACCCGCAGTGTCCAACCCTATCCTTGAGTTCGAGGCTTTCCAGGACCGGCCGCTCCTGACAGACGAGCAGCTAGTCTTCGATGCAGACCACCCGTGCCCAGACGGTTATCTCTGCCACGATCTCGAGCTATACATGACACATGAGCCTTGTACCATGTGCTCGATGGCGATCCTGCATTCGCGCATGGGCAGAATCGTCTTTCGGCAGCGCATGCCGTTGACAGGCGGCATGAGCTCTGAGGACCGTGGCTATGATCTCTGCGGTGGCGAGAGCATCTGTGAAAACGGCCCTTGTGGAGGCGGGCAGGGGCTTGGTCTTCACTGGCGCAAGGAGCTCAATTGGAGCATGTTAGGATGGGAATGGGAAACAGACAAAGCAGAGAGCCTTCCGGTGAGCCCACATTTGCATGCTTAGGCTGTTGGTGGGTTACAGCGTTAATCTTTGAGAACGTGGTTTCTATTTTGGAGGATTCGTTGGGTCTCCAACACCACAGAACATGAGCACCGGCGTTTCGTGGTTTCACGGCAAGGAGTTAGGTAGTCCCCTGTCGGAATTGGCATTGTTGAGGTAAGCCGTCATGCAGAACTTGATCTTTGGACGGTTTCTTTTTGGACATGTATGGATTAAAACCCTGAAGCCATGACAACGCAAGCTCGTCGGACATAGGCAGGTCATTATATTCCACTGATACCATCAGGATGGTCAGGGTTGGCAATGAAGTGCTCTGTAGATCCCAGAAGACAAGTGGGAGAAAGGGATTAGTATTTGCCGTTGATAAAAAGGTAACAGAACACGACGCCAAACATCATATGTTGTCATGCTTGCTTGACTGATAGTGACCGAATCACCTTTTCAACGTAATTGAATACCGGGCAAGATGAAATACCTAGACTAGGCAGTAACCTTAGGTAGGTAGGATCGTTCATGTAGTCTAACTAGTGCCCAGATGCGCAGCGTGCTCCTGGAGTAGGTGTAGGAGTAGGCGAGTACTTGCAGGCGGCGCCGCGCTATCTCAACGCCTAAACCAAGCGCGAACCCCTGCTATCATTGCGCAACTCAACTCAGCTCGACTCATGGAGAGAGCTTCGAAAGACAAGACGATTCCCCCCGCGGCCGTACACAACCCCCTTGAACACAACTTAACAGATACAGGCGCCAAATCTCTCCGACGTGGTTGCTCTTCTCTTTGCACTTATGACACATGAGAAATGTATCCTCCTTAATTGCTCGTCCCCGCTTGACACAACTAAGCGAGCCACCAGTCTTTGCAAGAGCAATTAATCACTGCCTGCGTAGAGACAAAGCCCTTGGTTTCGGACTACGACCTCCGCCCCGCCTCGCTTTTCACCGTGTCGAAACCATCAGCGCGGCACTTTACAGGCTGTCATGGACGAGTAGCATATCCGAACTTATCAACCAGACCATTCGCCCAATCCTCGACAAGATGCATTCCAGCAGAAAGAAGCGCAAGATAGATGACGACGCCCCCAAGTTCTATGCCGTCCGCACCGGCCACCAGAAAGGCGTTTATCGCACGTGGGCGGAATGCCAAGAGCAGATCTCTGGATTCAAAGGCGCGCAGTGTAAGGGCTCTTTCACCCCAGCTATCTTGACCATGCTGACGCCCATTCCCAGTCAAGAAGTTCGACAACGAGCAAGACGCCGATGACTTCGTAGCGGGAAAACCCACCAAGGTTACGGCTGCAGACCCAAAAAAACCACAGAAATTCTACGCCGTGGCTGTCGGCCGCGAGCCCGGAATTTACATGGAATGGACCGACGCACAGAATGCATTCCAGGGCTCCAAGGGCGTCAAACAGAAGAGCTTCAACACACGACAAGAGGCTGTTGAATATATCAAGATCCATGGAGATGAGGCAGCGCAGAAGGCAGTCACGAACGAGATAAGCCAACCTCCTGCCAAGAAGAGCAAGACTGCCAATGCTGAAAGCAGCGCCGTTGCGAGTGGTTGCCTGGAAGTGTACACGGACGGCAGCAGTCGAGGCAACGGCAAAGTCGGCGCGGCGGCTGGGGTAGGCGTTTACTTCGGCCATGACGACCCAAGGTTGGTCCCATGATTGATCACACTTTAACGTGGATGGCATTTCGCTTATCTCGCTACAGGAATATCTGCGAGCGGCTCGAAGGCGAGCTGCAGACCAACCAGCGTGCTGAGCTCACTGCTATTCTACGTGCCATGCAAAAAGTTTCCGTCGACCAGGACATAGAGATCGTGACCGACAGTAGGTACTCTCTGAGTTGCGTCACGGAATGGTACAAGACTTGGGAGAAAAACGACTGGCAGACTTCCGGTAAAGAAGAGGTCAAGAACAAGGATCTCGTACAGGCCATCCGGGCCAAGATAGAGGATCGCGATGCCTCTGGGACCAAAACGTTGTTTCGATGGGTCAGAGGCCACAACGTTACTCCTGGAAATGTCGAGGCCGACAAACTTGCTGTCGGTGGCGCAGCGCTTCCGAGACGCAAGTAATTTTCACGGCCAGAAGCCCCAGGCTGTCGCGTCCTATCTAAGCAGTTGTGCAGTTTTCGTATTGTTTATTAGGAGGAAATTCAAGCTTGTCAAAACTGTTAGCCTAGTCCTTTTTTGTTTTTTTGTTGTTGTTTTTTTGCTGCGGTATGGAGATCTCGTTCGCACTAGATACCCAATTCTTCATTTTCTTTGATGGTGATTAAGTCAACCGTTATAAAATGATTCATCATATGCTCATGCATTGGCAGCGGGTACACAACATACCCATTGTTTCAGCAAAACGCATACGTATCACGATATCACCGATACAGTCATGCAGCAATATCGCCGGTACAGCCCTGCATGACGACGTGTATCGAAATAGATGACATTTAGAATGATAACACCTTAAAGAATGGGTGAAACCTTCAAGCCTTTGGGCAATGTCAATAATTATTGTGCCAAGTTGGCTGGTCCAAAGTGAATGTGATTGAATACGCAAAAGGGCAATTTACAGCTTCCATCGCCATGACTGGTGAATAACGCCAGGCTCTGTCATACCGCTAGAGTTAGCCGGCCTTACCCGGATCGGACGCTGAACTCTCGGCTCCTCACCCCAGTTGAGACTTCTGGTCTGTCAGGTCCTCTCAAACTCTTTCCTGGTTGCAGCACGATTGCACAAGCCATATTCCACGCTTTTCTTCAACGGTTTCTCGAAGAAGCTGCTTCCGTTTTACATTCAAGTGGAATCATTCCTCAGTTTGGGACACAGCAACATTGTGAGCTCTCGAGGTGATTCACCGTCTTGCGGCCTTTGATCGACACCTCACCTCTCATTATACCTCCGGCCTTGGGGAGCATCCGGAGGGCCTGCTTATTCTACCACTTCGAAAGTGGCGTTCAAACGAGCGTACTGTGATATTGCAAAACGCCCCAATGTTTCAATAACATTCGTCCAGTCCCCGCCAGATTATCACTGTCGGCCTGCCTTGCGCACTTGCAAGGACGATTCGGGAGTCACCTAGGAAGACTGCCCTATAATTACTACGCACTGGTATTTTGTACATAAGGTTAGAATCAAGCAACTGCCAAGATGCCAACTTTAGCCTTGACCAACTTCAATATTGTGGCCGCCTTCCTAGGTGGCTTCATCAGCCTCTTCGGCTTGGTATCGTATCTACTGAAGGAGAACTTCTACATGTCAGAAGCCCGTAAGTGCTATACTGGTTGTACTGGCGTGTCTTGTCTACCCTGGCATCCGGGTACGCGGCATGGTACATAGCGACAGTGCTAATACCATACTTAGTGATATCTCTTCTAGCTGGTGTCACCTTTTCTCCTCATGCTGCCAATTTGATACGGCCTTTGGAATATGCTCTAGGAAGTGAGGATAATGTCAATACCATCACTCTCGCCTTCTCGCGCCTGGTACTGGGCGTCCAGCTTGTTCTGGCTGGCATCCAGCTGCCCAGCCGGTATCTCAAGAAAGAATGGAGACCGCTCAGTGTTCTGCTTGGCCCGGTTATGACCTCGATGTGGTTGATCACGAGTCTTTTGATTTGGGGGTTGGTGCCCAGCTTACCGTTTCTCCATGCTCTTGCTATTGGAGCATGCGTGACACCTACCGACCCTGTGCTTTCTAACGTTATCGTGAAGGGGAAGTTTGCTGATCATAACGTGCCGAAGGAGCTCCAGAAAATCATCATCGCTGAATCTGGCGCAAATGACGGTCTCGGATACCCGTTCTTGTTTTTCGCGCTGTATCTCATCAAGTATACTGGCGATGGCGGTCAAGCCGAGTCTGGGGGCGCAGGTTTGGCCATGGGTCTCTGGTTTGGTGAGACTTGGGGCTATACCATCATTTTAAGCGTGATATATGGTGCTGTGGTCGGATGGCTTGCTAAGGAGCTGTTGCACTTTGCTGAGCGGCACAAATGGGTTGACCGCGAAAGTTTTCTTGTCTTCGCATTATCTCTAGCACTGTTCATTGTGGGAACCTGTGGGATGATCGGCAGTGACGATGTTCTAGCCTGTTTTATTGCCGGAAACAGTTTCACCTGGGATGATTGGTTCCGACTTGAGACGCTCGATGAGGTGAGTCAAGTCATCACGAAAGACTTGTCTAAGGGAAGTTACTGACATCTTGCAGTATGTTTCTAAATTAGTACTGGGCTCAAAGACGAGCTGGAAAGATTATGTGCTGACTGGCTTAGCTCGCTGCAACCTACTATTGATATGCTCCTTAATGTTAGCATATTTTTATGGTATGGTGCAGTGTGTCCATGGACACTGTTCGCACGCAACAATGTTATACCAATCTACAGGTTGATACTTCTTGGGATTCTCATCTTACTACTCAGAAGGCTACCGGTGGTGTTCAGCGCACACAGGTTTATACACCAGCTCAAGGATATGAGACAAACCATTTTCATGGGGTTCTTCGGCCCCGTTGGAGTCTCTGGCATCTTCTATCTCTATATAACCCTCGACTTTCTCGAGACGTTGAAGCAAGGTGATGTGCAAAGAACAGACGTGGCTAACATGGGCGAGACCACAACAGTGATTGTCTGGTTTGTGGCCATATGCAGTGTGGTAAGTCTGCGTCCCATCCGCGAAACTTGATAGTCACCAGGTTTAACCTCTTTCGACTAGGTTGTCCATGGTCTCAGCATTCCACTCGGCAAACTTGGTTTCTACCTCCCCAGGACCATTTCACGAACGCTAACTCTGGACGACCCCGAACAACCTCGAGAGTCGTTCCGGGCACGGGACCGAGTGATGAATTTCTTTCCGCCTTTCCGCGCCATCAGGTCTGCTTCGAGGTCGCGCGACAGCACAGAACCAAATTCCCCAAATGCTTCGCGATCTGCTTCCCGAGGCCGGTCCGCCTGGAGGATCGGCGGGACGATCATCAAAGACAACAACCGGAATGCGAACGACTCGCAAACATTTGTGCCGCCCTCCAGACTTGAAGCCGGAGTAGACCACTCCGCGTCGGCGATTCCAAGGGAACCCCAGCCCCGGCCGCCTGCGATGCCTAATCGCACTATTCGTTTCGGTGACGAGGCAGCAGGGGGCTCTAATAGCCCGTCATTGGAGCAGAGGCGCGCTGACATCGAGGAAGCCTTGCCTTCCCCCGCATAAGGCAGCTGCGATCTCAAGGCACCTCTTGAGCAGATGTGCGACTTTGTAACTTGCGGCCAACATACGGCACCATTTCACATCATGGAGAGTATGACGCGAAGCTCCAGGAGTTCGTGCGCACAGGCTTGATATGACAGTCGTCAGCTGGCATTTGCCGGCATTACATCGGTAACGGGATAGAGAAAGGAACTGATGCACACCCGGTTGAGCGGCACATGCGGACGGTGGAAGAAGGAGAAAAACTGGCGAGATGTAGATGGAGAAGTTGGATTGTAAGCGAGGACTGTTGCATCGGGGATGACACATACGAACCCTCGTATCAACCGTACATATAGAACTGCCGATTCAACATCGTCAGTCGTCCTATTTTACCTAAATTGCATGTATTCGGTGCTTTCTAATATGTCTACCCGCACTGGCCTTGCAAGATTCCTTGCTAATTTGCCCCTGATGGTTGGAGGGTTGCCCGTCGTTTGCCCCGGTTTGGTTCATATCGAGATAGTACATCGTTTTTGCCGAGAATCGCTGCTGGTGGGTCAGAAGAATGTAATCAACCCTTGCGTAGCGACTCTCTGCACATGAGATGGCCAGACGCCTGGCTTCTTCCCGACATAAGAAAACTCGTTACGAGTCCAGCAAGTCAGCTATCTTACCTTCCGAAACTTTGCATCTTCGACGGCGGGCAATATTTGTTAAATGCCAAGATAGCCCCCAGGTAACCGAGAAGGTTTTAGCGAACCGTTGATGCGCAAGGTAAAGTTCAGAGTTGCGCCGAAAGTTGGCGCGATTATGCAGCCGTGATCGAGTTCGGGAATTTTGGGGTCGCCATTTCTGTCTCTGCATACATGATGTAGATAACGGTGCATTATCTTTAAGCTTCCCAGTGGATGGCAGTGCTCGGGCAGGGCGAATAGCTAGGCAAGATTTGTTCCGGCCTGATTACGTACGGCTCTGGCGTTCTTGGTTGTTGGCCTCCAAGGATGTGTTTTTACATACTCTTGTGTATGAGCTATACCCAGGTCAACGACAACTCTATGGAAGATACACACACATATATATAGGCGAAAGTCGGGTTCAGCAGGAACCACCCGCATGGCTTGTCCCTGCGTTCTTATATCAATCCTCACTCTGCCACACCACTACAAGGTCAAAGCTGCAGGCGGGCATCATTCATGCAGGCAACTCGCATGCGATGGTGAGATGAGTGTGTTGTACGCGACTACACACGTAGAAAATGCAAGGATGCAGGTGGGTGTCGCACAGCGATGAACGGCGCAGCAGCCACATTTTACAGAAATAAAAAGTAAGGGTCACGGCACAAAGACAGAGATTATTGCGCGGAAAGGACGGGGAAGACGGGAAAAGCGACGGGGTGACGCGGAATGCCTCCCGGGCTAGATAACAAGGAGCCGCAATGGTGACATATTGTGGAGGATAGGTGCTTTCCCCGAGCTGTGCCCCAGAAGGTGCTTAAGGCTTAAGCACCTAACTTAACAGATAGCTTTTCTTGATCGGGTACAGTGTCCTGCTGGCTTGTGCATGGCACAATGTGTAGGGTTGGATGTACCAGGTAGCCTAGGTGTTGGTAGGGCAGGCTGGCAGGGTGCAGGCAAAAGTCCAGAAGACTGCAGCAGAAACGGAGACGCGGCAGGCGGATGATCAGCCAAGGGGACCGACCCTCTCTCTGTTGGCCTCGCTGGATATGTAGGCGTGTAATTGATGTAGATGGAAGTACCATCTAACAATTAATGTATCTTGGGGGAGGGAGGTTTCTCTCTCCTTGGTCTCCTCCTCCTTGAGATGGGGAACTATTGCCCCTGGTATTGTATCCGCGCAAACACAGACTCCTGGCTAACAACTTCTGGGCCACTTGGGTTTGGAGAATAGTTGGGACTTCTGTTACGAAGTACTTGGGGGATTGGTCATTGAATCGCAATGGACAAGGTCGCAATGGGCGACCGCTAGTTCAGTGTGGTTGGATTGGTCCTGTCTTGGGGATCTGCTAGGCATGCTAGGCCTGCTAGGCTGGCTAGGCTGGCTAGCTTTCCAGAGTGCCTCCAGTTTCCATCTCGCACCTCCACTCTTCTGGTGGGCTGTCTGCTGCTGTCCCGTCCTTTCGTGCCCATTTGATTGCGTTTCTATCCTCGAGGGGGCCAACACGGCTATCGGCCTGCTGCCTCGAATCAACTACTGTAACCTAGCTAATCTGACCTAAACCGAACCAGAACTCCTTACAACACAACTACCTGCCCTTCTAATTGCGTGACCTTTTGCTTCGGGGCTGGTTGACTGGCAGCACAATCAAATCCAACTCACCTTGCTCGCGTCGTGATCTTCGTGCTCCGTACTTTGCAGCAGAAGGAATAAGAACGGCAGAGAGCACCCTCGCTCTCGCTCTCACCCTGACCCTGAACCTGACCCTCGACCCTGACCCTCACTCTCACTCTCACTCTCACTCTCACTCTCACCCCACGGCGGAAGGAAGTCTAACCCGTTAGCGGAAAGCCAATCAATCCGCCCATCTCACCATACCGCAATTTTGGCCAATCCTCAAAAACTCAACATACACATCCCCTACTTCGACCCCCCAGCGAAGGACGTCCGTCTGTCACCATCGACAACGAACCACACAACAACAATCCATCATCAGAATCTACGGAAGCCATTTGGTCCGCCACACGGCAGCACCGAGCCTGCTATACCGACTCGCCGGCCCGAACGCACTTCTATTCGGACTTCGGGGGTGACGATGCAGATTCGGGCTTGAAACTCGTCATCTGCCGCAACTTGCGACGACTAGCCATCATATACGGCTCGGGCAAGCCTCGACGACCACTGTCATAGTCCCACGGCATCATCGGCCATATTTGGGCCACGTACGGCTTTTGGAACGTGTCTCGTGATCCCTCCACCAGCTGACTCAACAATTGGGTCGCCAGAGCAACCGGCGATTCGAAAGAAAGAAAAGTCGAGAGATCGAGAGAAAGAGAGAAAGAGAGGAAGAGAAACACAACCGAGCTGGAGGACTTGTGCGTCTGCAAGGCAATGCCATCTACTGGGTTTTCCGACTTTGGTGGGACATTTGAGCCTGACTCGGGACTGCCATCAACGGCCTATGGCGAATTTATGAACGAGGACGAGAACCTTTTTGGCCTGCCTAACAGCGACGCCGACGTGTTACAGGCTCTTGCATCGACAAGCTTCGGAGACCCCAAAGCACTTCTTGCGACAGCTGGTCGCCCAGTGCATAGCACCAAGCCAGGCGCTCCTGGCTTTTCGCCAGTATCGCACAGGGACTCTTCGTCCTCATCCTCTTCCAGATCAAGAAGTGCCGACTCCACCTCACCTAGAACTGGAGGCAGTCAGACTTCCGGAGAAGTCATGATGACAGAAGATGCCTCGTTTACTGATTTCAAGCCAATGGATGGACTTTCTGGGGACCTGTTCCCTGGTGATGGAGCTGATTTTTCTATGCTCGAGGACTCCCTAGATTCCTCCATCAACACAGATAACCACTTCAATGACAACTACTTCGATTTCGAAAGCGCCTCGAGCAGCCCCAGTGCTGCTCCGACTGTGGATGGTCGCGTCGCTTTTTCTCCCCAGAACCACGCGGCGACCACGACGATGCCCATGAAGAGCCCGAATGCAAAGAGAGCTAAGAGCCATGTCAAGGCCCAGTCTGTAAGCATTTTTTTCTTTCTCTTCCAACGGCTGGCTGACAGGGACTGACAACCACGAAGCAACACTCCTTGACCCAGGGAATGCAGACATTGCGCACCAATGGTTCAAGGGAAGTATCGCCCATGTTTGCAAGCCAAGCATCTTCTCCAGCCGCCATATTCAACAACACGCCTTCCCCTGATACAAAGTTTGACTTCACGGCGCCCCATAATGGGTTTGGAGGTGCCCAAGGATGGTCCGCCAGCTTTAACTCAGGCGCTTTCCAGACTCAACCCATGGTGGATATGTCATCATTCAACCATGGACTACCGGGCTACGCTCCCCAACCGCAGCTGTTTCCTTCATCAGCACCTAAGCTGGTCATTCAGTCAACGCCTTTGAAGTCGCGTGTGGAGACGCAGATTCCCATCAAAATGACGGTGTACAACATGCCGCCAATGTACAAGCGCCTCCATCTGCCCATGCACACCATCTCAAAAGCCAAACTTCTTGCCAAGCAGAACGCGGAGCGCTCCCCCGATCTGCTCGAGTTATATACCATGTTGGTCTGCAGCAGTGCCATGCATGACGAGGAGAAACGAAAGAAGGCTTTCGCTCGTGCTGCCAAGATTGGCCACCCTGCTTCTCCTGAAGTCGGCCCTCTAGAGGAAGACGATAAACCACAAAATGGTGGTGAGGTACGGATATGTCAAGGATGCATCACACGAGAGCGAAAGCGAGCGGGCCGGAAAAAGAACAAGAAGCCTGAAGAGGACGAACTATGGGACAGGTTTCAAAATCACCGTGCTATCGTTTTCAACACCAACGAGGTCAAGGAATGGCAAGCTGTCGCTGAACCCGCAGGAGTTGGTATCCGGTTTCCTCCTGGAACAATGCAGGTCGATGCCCCAATGCGTATTGCCTGTTATTGTCGACACCATGGGGAGAAGGTGGGCTTCAAAGTCATCTTCACAATCAAAGACTTTCAAGATCGGGTGGTTGCTCAGGAAATGTCATCGTCCATCATGATCACTGATGACCACAAGACGCACGTCCCGGTCAGTGCACATGCGCAGTCTACAGCCTCAAATAGCACGGACAATGTAACCACAACGGCAACAACTGCTATTGAGTCGATCGATAACAAGCCGCTAGAAGCTCCCTTGCCATTCCGACAAACACATTCGACCTCAGATCTCCAAGCTCTACACCAGAACCCACATCCGTATCAGTCCTCATTGTCTAACCCTGGAAGCTCACAAGGAACTTCTGTTACGGTCACCCCACGGAATCAGTCGCGCCATGCATCGCCCAGTAGTCCATCAGGGCACGCCTCGAAGAAAAGAAAGGCTAGCGGTTCGATCAAAGTGCCTACTGAGCTGGCTATGACGCGGCTCGAGACTGTTCAGCCAGCCCCGGCAGTCCCAATGGGCAACCAAGACAACCCGGCTACTGTATCCGCGGCACAATCGCCATTCTCTCCACATGCTAATTTTCCACCGACGGGCAGCAACAACCCCATGTTTAATCCCGTTGCACAACCTGGCTTTAACGGAATTCCACCACCTTTTACAACCGGCCCGCCGACTCCCAATAGTAACAGCAATGACCAAATACTGTTTTCTGGCGCAAACAGAAACATGAGTATGGATAATCTGGCAATGTCTCAACCAATGTTCTCTGCTCCGGCTTCCGCACACCCTAGCCGAGCGCCCAGTCCTAACTCTCTAAGGAACGACCTTCAACAAAACCAGCTCAATCAGGCGTTGTATCCACAAGCAAGTATGAGTATGAACTCTACACGGGCACCTAGCCCCATGATTCATAAAATCATTCCGGCTGAGGGTCCTAAGTCTGGTGGCATCGAAGTGACTATACTAGGAAGCGGCTTCACGAATGGCGGTTTGGAGGTCATGTTTGGAGACCAACGCGCCACCACAACCACATACTGGGGCGAGAGCTCTCTGGTTTGCTTACTTCCTCCCTCTCCTGTGACGGGGCCTGTCATTGTCACGATTCGACAACCTCGAACCGGCGAACAACCTGCCTTTGGCAAGAACCCACCGATTTTCCGTTACGTTGATGACAATGAGGACCAATTGATGCGCACTGCACTTGCAGTTCTGGGATCGAAGATTGGCGGCAACATCGCGGATGTTGCTGATATTGCCCGTAGCATCATCAGCGCCAGGGGTGGCGGCGGCGGCGGCGGCCAGGCAGGTTGGGGTGCCTCAGCTGGGTCGAGCAGTCAGACCCCTGGAGGCTACAACTTCGAGCACGCTCACTCTCTAGAGTCTGGTCTGCTCAAAGTACTAGAGATGATTGACCTTGATGACAGCATCCATAAGGTGAGGATCAATCTTAGACGGTCAACTGGCCAAACAATGCTGCATCTTGCCTGTTCCATTGGTATGATTCGCTTCGTTGCAGGTCTGTTGTCGCGTGGAGCAAACGCAGGTGCTCGAGACAAGGGTGGCTTCACACCTCTGCATTTTGCGGCTATGAACAATCATCCCGAGATCGTCCGTCGGCTCATCATTGCTGGCGCCGATCCAACGATGCGAAGCCTTTCCGGGCTGACACCAGCTGACGTAGCTCAATCGAGAGATGTCCTGAAGGCACTTCGACGGATCCAGAATCACTCAAGGTCGCGAAGCGGCAGTTCTCTTCATAGCAGGGTCAGCAGCGCTCATTCACTTCGGTCTTTGTGGGATACGCCAGGGATGCCTGCACATCAGGAGTTCTTGTCTGATTCGTCGGATCGGGTCGACACGAGTGACAGCTACGAAGACTCGTCAGAGGACGATAAGCAGGCCGATGACGGGGAGTGGCTTGATATGAGAAGAAGCAGCGCACAGCGGAGCACTCAACAGTTACCTGCGGTTGCACCGTCCCCGGCGGTAGATGTCCCGGCGGGAATGGCCTCTCCGGGCGCCGCAATGACAGCCTTCCGAGACCAATTTACAGCACAGATGCAGCAATTACAACAGTCAATGGCAATGCATCTGCAGAACTGGCCACAATTCCAGATGCCACAAATGCCACAAATGCCGCAGATGCCACATATGCCAGTACTTCCAGAGAGCTACCACAACTACTTGCACAATGCACCCGTTATGCAACGCATCAGCTCCTTGGTACCTAATGTTCGGGGTTCTCGACCAGGGTCCGCTGGCGAACATGCACCCAGAGATGGCGAGAAGCAGTGGTGGGAGATGCCGTCACTGTTTGGTACGCGAGAAGCACCACCGGCCTACGAAGACGTATTTCCCCAGAAGGATCTTGACACAAAGCAAGCAGCCGCGGCCGGTGCCGCTGCAGATTGCGAAGCAGATGAGAAATGCGCCGCTCTATACGACCAAGACCAAGCGTCTACAGAGTCCTCAAAGGTCCGCGAGATACCCGTGCTCCTGCAAATCGGACGTAAGAACGCTATCACGAGGGAGCAACAGGAAACCCTCCAACGTGCCCATGCGGAGAGGCTCAAGACCGGCAGCAGTGATAAGATGCTCTGGTTCGTCTGGGTACGTGCCACCACATGCAGTATAACTATAAACATATTGGCTAATCATATTGCACAGATTCCTTTGCTTACCTTGATTCTCGGCTTTATGCTCTTCAATGGCGCTATGAGCTTCGTGTCTGGGACCACCACCTTCGCCAAATCGACTGCTACATTCGTGGCTGCACCAAGGGAAGCCTTGCAACAACTCCGCGAGAATGCAGCAGCACTTCCAGTCGCTCTTGTACCACCTATCGCTTTGGAACGATAGGAACGCTGGGGTTCTTTCTACCTTCCTTCAACCTTCGTTTTGCAATTTTCTGCGTTATTTATTAAGGACACTTGGTATAGTGTATGTGCTTGACCATACACATGTCGATTTCATTGACTTCTATCTTGCGCGCCAGCTTAGCGTACTTGCACTGTACGTGGGCTTCACAGCCACAGACTCTCTTGTCGATCGAATTTCATGAGGCACAGGTAATGGCTATGCGGACGGGAAGCGGTACGGCAAGAATTGGGAGGTCTAACCACGGGATGTCCCAGAAGACTGGACGTTTTAGAGCGCTTTGATGGCATCGCTCCCCAAGGCGTTCCGGTTGTTCTTTTGGGCATGGACTGGCTCTGGGAACCAGTTATGTATATAGTTGGGATGCTAGAATGTCTCACACGAGAGAGAGCCTAGTGATGCATTGTCGTATGACGATGGGTAGGCCGACTGCGGACCTGATGGGGAGAGAATAGAGGCACAACTTCAATGAAACTATCGATGAATGATACCGAATAATGTGCAACGCCGTGAAGCATGTTTATAGATAGGTCACAAGCCCAAAACAATCATCTAAATCGTAGCACCAGTGCCCGCGCCGTGACAAACCAGTGTATTCCGTCACAGCGAGACTGTTTACAAATATGCAGGAGCTCATGGAAGGGTTATGACCGATATGGACAGGGGGGAAAACCGTCCTGTGGGAAGCCAAACGTCGCACAACAACACAGATCAGTCCTGCATTGCGACATGTCGAATAGACATAACAACGACGGGCGGAAAGATGCCCTCCGCGACAATCGACGACTACAGAGCGATCGAGGCGTGGTAGGGTTACGATCGGCCCCCAGAGGACAGCCCAGCAGAACGTGTTAGAGAGCATCGGAACATCCCTCTGAAAAGCAGTCCACGTATCCGAGATCGAGCAAAAAAATGATATTTGAAATTTAAAAAAAAAAAATTTTCCGACAACACGGCAGTCATGGCTCTCAGCGCCACGTGTTTGATATCAACATCGACCTTCTCATTCCATGCTGACTGGCTCAGTCACAACTACTACTATGTACAGGTCACACAACTATCAGACAAGCGAAACAAAAAAGCCTTGAAAACCAAAGCCCGTAACTCCGAGAACACCCTTCGCGCGCCGATGGCGTGACATGACCATTGCGTTACCGAAACAAAACCAAGTCGTAAGCATCGTGGATCATCGTGAGAAAAAGGGGGGGGGGGAGAAAAAAAAGCATTTCAGACCAGTTGCACCCAGGCGAGTCCCAGCGGAACCGAGCTGTTGACTGATCTATACCATCTTCGCTCGTTGCTCTTCCACAGTATTTGCAGACCCCGTTGCTCCACGGCTTCTTTCTTACGCCACATGTCGCTTTTTATGCTCTGCAATTTTTCCGAGCTTTCAAAGCCGGCCCTTTTCCGTTCCGGGGAAAAAAGGAATAATGCTAATGAATGAAGCTCACAGTGCCTGGCCAATCCACAGCTGCGCGCTGGAGTTCTCGTCTGCGCTCATCCCACCGTGCTTATACCGGTGCTTCGACGCCTGTGGGACGGGCGGAAAGCTCCTGTTCATGTCCGGCATGACGCCCAGGGGCTCCGAAGGGACGCCAAGCACGCCGTCACTCAACAAATAGCTGACGTGTTCCTGCCGAACGCTATCTAGCGAGACACGGTCGCTGCTGATACCACCATCGACGTCCATGGGTTCCCAGTTGTCAGAGGGCTGGACGCTGTGGGACTGCTGCGCTCGCGCCGTCCGGGCAGGGTCCAGGTGCGGGTAGTTGTTGAGCGCCACGGGCGGTCTGGCCCTGTCTCCGCGCTTCCGCAGGGTGCGTCCACCACTCGACCCGGGCCTGCCAGGGCTCAGACTGCGCCTCGTTGCGGAGCGCATCTCGGCGCTGTCAGCCCCGGCCGGGACCATGCGGATCAAGCCGTCGCTCTTGGCCTGGAGCTGACTCGCCAGTGCGCTGGGCATCTTGCGCAGCTTTTTCGAGACGCGCCTGCCGATGCCGGTAACCTGGGTGGCGATCTGAGTACTGGTGGAGGAATAGGGCAGTTGCTGTGACACCATGGACGCCGACTCGGAGGCGTTATCATCCGAGCAATCGGCGCGGGCGCGTTTGCGGCCTCGTAGACCTTTACGGAAACTCTCCCAGGAGGGTTTGGGTTTCACTTGATGGGTTGTCGAGAAGATGGGCGGTGGGGGTGGGAGGCTGGATGGCACGGGAGGTGATGAGAAATCCATCCTGCGCGGCGACGGAGACGGGGATGCTGGTATTAAGGTGAATGAGGGTCGCTTGGGAGCCTGGTCCAACGAGGGGCGGTCGTAGTCGGGAGATGGAATTGTTGGCAAGGTAGGGCCGGCTCGTTGGCGCATATTTGGGACCGAAGTGCCGGGGGCGGGCTGGCGTGTAGACTGGATGGCATGCGCCTTGAAGAAGCCGGTAGCCATGAGCTGATTGTAGGATGCCATGATTTCCTCCCTACTAGGGCGGTCGTTCATGTTGAACCCCGAACTGTGGAAGCTCGCAGGCAGTTGAGGGACGCAGGCTTCGCTGTGGGACTTTGTGTGCATACCTCCGCCCTGTATTGGTATGGGTATTGGCCGTGCTTGGTGATGAGAGTGCAGATGTCTGGGCGGTTGCTGTAGGCTTGTCCGCTTGTCCATCTCGGACTGCACCCGGCCGAGATCAGGCTTACTGGCATTGGGTTTCCCAAAGATGGCCTCGCGGACACGGCCCAAGAATCCCGGACGCCTTTGTGTCGGCACGCTCTGGGCCTCTTCTGACTTGTGCGTAGCTTGCTCTTGTTCCTCGCTTGCGTGGCGCGCCGTGGTGGCATGTGGCAGGTTTTGCACGGGCGCCTGTGCTGACAGAGGACGGTCACGTCGCGTGCTGACGCTTCGATTTCGCTTTGCTGCTTGTTGGTTTCTTTCGTCTGGCGCCGCATGAGTCTGGTAGAACTGTCTCTCGAACTCGGCCGCCTCTTCGGGGCCCAGGAACTGGACAGGCGGTGCGGCGCTGGCTCTGTCGTTCATGGAACCTTCCTGGAAACGTGATGCTTGACGAACATTGTCATCAGACGAGCGCAGAGGTTGTGGGCCGTCTGCAGTCATGTTGGAAAATATCCCCTTGGTGAGTCTGGGTGCTCATCAGATTGGCGCATGTATATAAGCTGGGCAGCCCGGCGGTGGTCGTGGGTGGGTAGCGATTGAAGGCTGTTTTGATTGGAGAGGCAACCAAGTCTTGTTTACTTTGCTTTATTGACAGGGGTTAGCGGCGTTGCCCAGCACTGAGCAGCCCACTCCAAGTATCCGTCCCCCATCCCCATGCCCCATGCCTATCCATACTTCCACGTTGCTTTCCATGCATTCATTACCTTGGCGGATTGGTGGCCTTGGCTGAAGCAAAGCATCTGCTCGTATCACTCCTCAGTTGAGCTTCGCCTGACATGACATGACCTAGTGGCGAAGTCGCCGTTGAAGCCACATGTGTGCCGTGCTGTAGGGTAACTACTGTGCTGTGTGGTGCTGTGTCGATCTGGTCCAAACTGATCTGGTCATTCGATGGGACCCCGTTGATCGCATACGAGATAAACTCAAGCATAACCTCTCTCAGCAGGGGGTCGCTATTCAGACCGTCGTCGGCTCGGCTCGCATCCTTGTGTCGTCGCTCTTATACCTTGCTCTTTCTCATATTTTGTAACTATCTAAGTACTGGTACTACCTATCTTAGGTCCCTCATGAATACTCGCTCGGGTCATTTCAGTCTCCCAAGGCTTCGCCTATTTTGGTCTCGGCAATGGCACAAAGCCGATACCCAAAAGGTAGGTTCATTCTCCATCTTCCAACGGATTATAATGACGTTGAGCGAAGGATGAGCGCCCCAATGCCGATAATCAAACGAGCATGGCGGCCGAATTCGGCATGTCACTTCACTTTATAAACGTTCCATTTCACCATGCCCGACTCTTGATAAGATTTAACATTAACAATGTGCCTGATTCGATGCTTACAATATCGGACTCCGAGCCGACTGTCTTTAGTCAAACCCAGACCGAAACACCCGCGGGTATGGTAATATGCTCCTAACTCCGAAAGTCTCTGCAAATGTCCCTAACCCGACGGCCTGTCAACCGCGTGTAAAATCGAGTGTATCAACTAAAAAGAAAAGAAGAAGAAAATCAAACGCGTGGCGGGAAAATAGCAAAGCAAGCGCCAATTTTCCACATGCAGTGAATGGACTGCCCCTTGCATAACGCGACGTCTATATACAAGGTCTAACTCGAATGGAGAAGGGTGGGGATAAGAAGAAATAGTAGCAAAGAAAAGTCGTGTTGCAGTTTGGTCGGCAGTCAAACTCAATGATTGTCTATGACATCTCGGAAGGATCGTTTGCGCGAGACATACTCATTCTCATGCTCCATTTCACGCTTGCGCTCATGCTCGCGCCTGAACTCGATGAGCTCGCGCTCCCGCTCCTGTCGGTCCTCAGCTTGCAGCTGAGGATCAATCGGGGCGAGCTGAGACTCTTCTCCCATATAACCAGGCGATTCCTTGTCCGCGTTATTTCCGCCCGCTCTCCGGTAACTCAAATTAATCCTCATCTCGTCCCCAGGATGGGTTCCATCTCTGAATTCCTCATAGGCGCTCTTGAGCGACGATGAAACATGGCCCGCACAAGAGCTAGCACTAGGCAGCGCTGTTGTCGTTGGTGATGGCTCGGCTTTGATGATTGGCGCCGGTTGCGAATCGCGACGGAAGCTTGTGTCAATGGGTGGTATCGGAGGCCTTGGCTGAATCGGCGGTCCGTAGCTCGACGCCGCTGAGAGTGGTGCATAAGCTAAGGATGAACGTCTTTCCTCTGGCGGAATGGGCTGTCTATCCGCATACGGGTGGGAGTAAGTAGGCGTCGAGGGGTGAGGAGGTGGTGCGAAAGAGCCGCGATATCCTGGAGTATGTGCAGCTGGTGATACCGGCTCTGAAGACGGTGCGGGCGCAGGCGGGTACGGCCTGTCGTAAGCTGGCCTATTGAAATTCAAAACACGGCTGTTGCTGGGCGCAAGAGGAGGTTGATGTTCAAACCCAGACGGCCGGCGATCCAGACTCGAGTGACTACCAGAACGATTCCTGTAGGCATCTGCTGGAGATTGCGTTCTCGGGGCGTTGCGGTGTTCCTCCTCACGTTGTTCGTATTCATTGGTAGGGCCTGCCTTATTCTCACGTCGGCGCATACGGACGTCTCTACGAATACGTACGCGGCAGCCCTGCTCTGCAACCGTCCGACTGAGCGGCGTACTCTCGGCAAGACCTGGGAATTTCTTGGCACTGAAAACCGTGAAAGGGTGCGACCGGACTTCATTCAAGAAAGTGAAGAAAAGGCCGTCGTCGTCTTCCATGTTGTCGGACTGTTCAACGGGGTAGTCGCCAGCATCCTTGTTGCGCTCGTACAATCTGAATATTAGTTTGTAGCGTCCCTCATGTCTTACTGAGAGGTCCGGGAACAAGAAGTAACCAGCGGGAGAGGGCCGGTCCAGGTAGCAACATGCAGAAACTGGAACACCGGTCAAGACTGGCGGCGATGTCGCAGCCGGAGTCTGGACACGGCCGTGTGCCATCGGGCGAGCGTTCTCCAGGGACACGAAGAGAAAGAAGTCTGAGTTGTAGTCCATTGTGACATCCTTGGCAGTCTCGAAGGTCTCACCCTCATACACCATCAAACGAACAATAGGCGGCGGATCTACTGGGCGACGGTCCGCCGAAGACTTGGGTCCAGAGCCACATGCTCTGGCACGTTCGGGCTGTTGAATGACTGAGAGGTCGTAGTGTATCCTCTTGCCAGATCTGGTTGGCCGACTCCATCGCGAATGCGAATGCGCAAGCGCTTCGGGAGCATGTGTAGCCATTGTAGCTACAGAGATATCAGCGTTTGGCCTGTAGATAAAAGCAAAATAAAATGTTTGTGTCGTCGATGGTTGGGAAGGGCCATCTTAAGGGTGCGGCTGCTGCTGCAAACCAACACCTATGCATGCAGTGCCTCGGAGTGTCGCAACTGAATGACGACTTCAGAGAAATCCATACCTAATTGAACTTGGGTGAGGCACGATAGGAGAAGAGGTGGCGCAAGTGAGTGTGCACTTGAACTCGGCCGCGATAGGACTGGCTAGCGGATCACCACCAATGGTTGCGAGTGCTAGATAGATAGATGGGATGATGGGATGCAGTCCGGTTGCTGATCAAGGCGTCCAAAGGAGACATGCAACAATCACGTCGAGGGGAATAGAGGAAATCAAGTCCAGTAGAGGAGAACCCGAAGAACTGGGTTGCGGGAAGGTAAGATGGGGAAAGCTTAAGGAAGCGAGTCTCAGTTGTGACTGGCAGACCCAAGGTGCTGGAAGCTGGATTTGCTTTTCGGTGCCGCAATGCTGCTGCTCGCTGACTCGCTCCTTGAGGTATGTGAGCAAAGTCCCGGGAATTGGGGTGAGAGTGTGGGTGGACGGGAGACCTTCCAAGACCCGTTTATGCTAATGGTGGAATAATGGGGCCCTCTGGAAATCAGACCGACACAGCCACGACCCAGGTTGTGTATCTTTTGTCGTGCACGGCTGTCAAATGATGGCTGCCCTGTCCAGTCCAGCCAAGGTCGAGTGAGGGTCAGCGTGAGAGTGAGAGTATACCGCGTGCAGTTGTCGACTGATCTCGAGCGAAACAGCAACGAGCGAAACGCAGAAATGGGATCAGCAGTCCTTTCTCTTCCAGCGGCGCGGGAAGAGGTGGGAAAAGAGAGAGGGAGTGAGTGGATTTGGGGGGACAGGCAAGGGATATGGCAGTTGGCTGTGAGTGGATGGTTTGGGATTGGGTGGAACAGAACAGGAACAGGAACATGGGGAATGGCTGGCTGGCTGGTTCCGTGCTCCCCCTTCTCCCCCTACCCTGCAGTCCTGGCTCCCCTACCCTGCTCCCTACCCTGCACATGGGTAATCGAGGTATTGCCCCGTCTGGGTCGGCTGCCCGACTGTGTGGCCCACAGTTGGTATGGGTGGGTCAATGTGATTACCCTCGCCTAGTGAATGGCTGCGAGTCTCGACAAAATACAAGGTCTAATGCAGCCTCCAAAGCCTTCTGACGACGACCCTGCCATCGCTTGATTTAGACTACATGTGTAGTATTCCATCTTCTCGGCCAAACGACACTGGCCGCTGCCCTCTTCAGCGGCACGTTGGAAACGGACAAGTAATAAAATCCAGTGCAGCATCCCACTCAATCTTCTGGTCTTTGCTACGGAGCTATGCATCCGTAACTAGCTGTTACTACATATTACTTGCGACGCCATTTAGTACTATACGTGACCGAACTCCGGTGCTTGGTAGACTCAATAATCTCCATCCTTTCAACCAGTGCGGACCCGTATGTCTTAACACATTGCAGCACCACCAAGGGCAAGCATAACTTTACCAGATTCACGCCATCTCGGATCCAGAGCCCGCGGTGCGCCATCGGGTATGAGGCCACGAAGCGAATAGCGCGCAACTGGTTGTTATGTATAACCACAAAGCTGGGCTGGGTTTCCCGGCGACCTGGAAGCGATGGAACTGCACATTTCATTCGGAAGCGACTATCGAACTACCTATTCAGCTGGTCGTAGGGCGTTGAGAGCAATATCGAACGGGAATTAGTGCAAAGTGTTCCGTACTTCTGTAGGCGTGGAATTTAGCGCGGGTCGTTAACCCATTCTTAAGGCCTCCGCGCGATCTTGGTGGGCTATCCGTCTGAGCTACGGAGCTACCAAAAAAGAAACCCCCACACATGAGCCCATTCTTGGATCTCTCGCCAATCATCCGCGTTTAATAGGATCCAGGGTTTGCAGCCTGGTCCATGTGCATTCTCACAGCTTCACGCCATTCCGCTCTCACACCAAGTCGAGGATAATGCAACTGGCACTGTACATGACTCCAGAGCCAAGGGCAGGGACCACAGCGTTTGAATCGACTACGAGCGAGGGAAGTTGGACATATTTCTCCGGATCCAGATCCTGATCCTTGTCCTGATCCTGATCCCTTTGGATGCTGGGGATTCGGTGAAATCTGCAACACATTGCAGGCCCTCATTTCCTCCAAAAGGAAGTTGTAGGAGGCAGCCGCAACCGGAGTCTCGCACGCTCGCCTGTGTATGAATGGCAGGCTAATGTGCGCAAGGCGAGGCACGAGGCAGGAAACAAAGAAAAGTAAAAGCCCGCTCTTTCGTGTCTGTTGGTGTTCGTTGGGCTATGTATGTCCTACCCCCTATGAGGAACACTGCATAAAAATCCCATGACTGCGAACCGTGAAGGTTTCTCTGCATAACCCGGTACCAATCAAGTCGGACGCCACCAGATGCTACCTGCTCTAAGCGATGCACTTGCGTTGCTTCTCCCACCAGTATTCCCTTCCACAACTTGGTCGCTTCTGCTGCCACCGTAACATGCGATACCCACAGACGTCTGAACGATAGGGATGATGAGGTAGTTTGCAGCCCCATCAGAAAACGGGAGATGGTCCTAAGTTCCATGGCTGGGGCGCTTATTAGATTCTAATTATGGTGGGCCTGGCTGCTTGGTACTGGTCGGCAAGTGAGATGCGCCCGGCACCACGACACCGGTTCATAACTTAAATAGACAAGCTTCGTGTCGCAACGTATGCGTACCAAGAATTGGGGTGCGAGTACCTTGGTACGTGTGAGACAACGTCTCGACCATTCAAACGACCTTCCATTCGAGGAGGCTGATTCTAGCGAACACGTTTTCTTCGTTTAGGTCGACATCTGCATGTATCATGTTTTTTTCCCGCTCCATTCTATGTACCTAACCTTAGTCACCTATGTAGCATTCTTTAGGGGTTTGATTTCTATTCTCGATCCAGCTATTGTAACAGGGGCAATAGAATCCAGAACTACCGTCACGGCTCTTGTCGAGGACAGCCACCCATCCGTGAACGATACAGTGCTGTGCTGCGGTGTTAGGTTACCCACTTACCATTCCAGGTCATCACTTCGTAGCCAAGCACGGCGAGGACCGCGGGGAGATCCGCTTGACAGGCAGGCATGACAGGGTTGACGGATCCGTGCCGAGCAGAAAACAGTGGGGTCTGCGCCCATCAAGCAAGGCAAGCTCATCAGTGTAAAAGTGCAAATTGACTACTGTAGTTTTGGCATTCCGAGCCTTTACAATACTTGTGGCCTCCATCTCAATGTTCCTCCGATGGACCGCAGATTCGACCGCCGGATGTACGATCCTAGTCAGTAGAGCTCGAGCACAAAGAATTCGTGTTGTTACTGAGGTCATGACGGAGACTGATGTGAACTAAAATCTTTATTCCCGCCTCGCTGCCGAGCCATCCACCACCGACACCATCCTTTTAGTTAGTGGAAAGCTTCACGGCCTTACGCACGACAGCTTTTAGCAGCGGCCTCAAAGTTCTGCACCTCGTGTCAAGTAAAACATGTCAGGCGAGGGTTTCAGTCCCTTAGTAATGGCCATACAGTGTCATCGGAATGGCTATGTAAACAGCATCCAGAGAGTTGTAAAATGGAACGACGAAAACCACAAAGTGATGTGAGCGTGTAAGCATGCTTGCACACTTGATAGTCGCCATCCGCCATGGATTGAATCAACCATAAGAGATGACCACACTCTACATACTACAATTCAAATTCCAAAGTCAGCGTGGTCCTCGCGACAAATTTTGCCCCCGCCACGGAGCAGTTTCTTGATATGACCTTGGTTCCCGTGAAGCGCCAAACTTATAGGAACAACATACCGGTAGTATGCCTTCACATGTTTGTGTACACTTTTGAAAAGAAAAAGAATTTTAATGTACAATCCGAAAGACCCCAGAAGTTTGGCACCAATCTTGAAGCTTAACACCTGCTTCGCCAATTGTACCACAGCCAATGCACGGCTTTCTTTGAGCCATAAACACACTAGACTTTGTGCCAGCCAGATGGGCAACCCGACCATGGCGCACTACAATCTGGTGCCGGTTGCACATGATAGGTCAAAATCGCCGCGATTCCTGGACACTTGTATCAGGTCTCACTGCAAGCAAGCACACTCGTTTCGTCAACGTGTAACGATTCCGATGCCACGGTTTAGCTTACCAGGCGTGTGGCAACCTTATTGAGCCAAGATTCTAACACGAACCAATGCCTCGGTGAACTTTGACTTAAAAAAGGCGAATGTGTGACGTGACGATCGTGATGATCACTGTTCGAAGGTCGCGCTCCTTGAATATGAACACACTCGTCGATGCAAACCAGAAGACTTGTAGACAAAGCCTGAGAAGTTATGATGACTCCCATGCCCCACCAAGCCGGTTTTTGATGACCTAAACAATTTCGAGACTGGCATGAGAAAGCGAGGGCGGCGGCACTCCTACAATAAGCAAAATTTCCATGCGCTTGTGGATAAATTGATTGCAACACGTTTAAACGGCGGCCGACGCTGGTGGACAACTCATTCGCCAGTTCCGGGGTCTAGGGTCAACCGTGCCGTGCCCGTGAAACCGGCAGACAAGACCAGATCTGCAGATCTGCAGATCTGCCTGGTCGTTGCAGTCACATACGTTCAAGACGCACAGGCGTGCTTGTCATTCAAACTATATCTTTCACCTGGCTGGGGCGCAATGTGGCTGCATGCTATTGTCCCCAAATCAAACCATCGCGCTTCAGGAGACATTGGTAAATCCTCCGAAAGGGGGAGAAGAAAAAAAAGGTATCAGCTGATTCCCATGCAGGTGAGTTATAGGGTCATCGAAAGTAAGCTTGCAGAGACCCGGCGCGCTTCGTCGAGACCCAGCTCTTCAGAATCTCGTAAAGAGGCGTCATCGTTACGGCCTTTACAGACCTTGTCATCTAGTTTTCGTTGCGTCGGTCTTTCAACGTGAGAGGGAGCTTTGGGAGTAGGATATTAGGCTAGTCTTTGCTGTTATGGACCCAACGTTTCATAGGGTGGTGTCTCTAAATATTAAAATGAATGGGAAAAAAATTCAGTCTTTTTCTGGTAACCAGTTCGTGGGTCACGTGTGGGAAGTATGCGTCACGTTTCTTTTCATTTTCATTTTTTCCCGGTCTGGGTCGCTTCGCCCTTCCCTTTCTAGTCGGTGTGACTCCCGTCGTGACATATGACATGTGCGGCTTCCTGAGACGAATAGAAATGACGAGGAGAGCCGTTTGTCCTCTCTTGTCATTGCAAAGGCAATGAGGCAAAATAGTTTTCACATATTTCTAGCGTTTGAATCCTATGGTACGAGCGAGTTTAATCAATTACGCGTTATCGCTATGCAGCAATCACATAAATTGGGATCACGTTATTGGGGGCACGGTTTCTTTGTTGGCATGAGTCCACTTTGCGAGAGAAATACTGCTGCCAGGCGACATTCTTGCGGAGATATCCAGCTGTGAGAATAAATCTCTACAAACAAATTAGGTCGAAGCGGTGAATGAAATTGGCGCAACTCATTGAAACCACCTTGGGATTAAAGTAACCGGAGCTGTTATGTGATGATCCACCAAGCCACCGGCGCTTCTCGCCCATGTAGATAGAGTATTGTTTAGGGCCGCGGCAAAAGAAAATCGTCTCGCGTTTGCTAGTTGGCTGATTCTCTAGGGACCGCCTTATGGGGGACGACTCTTCTTACTCAGACGCAACAGCAGTACCAAAATCTGATATTTCTTGAAATCGCCGGCGGATGGCTGCATGCGGGAACGACCGGCCTCTGACTTCTGGACTGGAGAAGAACCCCGAGAGTTGATATGGCATGGCGAGCAATCAAAAGATCTCTGAGGTTGGCTTTGCTTCTCAGCTCCGGGACGTGCAGTGAACCACCACTGCTGCGATCCGTCTGGTCACAGCTTCTGCAGCATCGCCGTGGTCTGAGCTATATTGGTTTTGGGGTCTGCATTGAAGCCGGTCAGATCGGATAGTGCCATTCGTTTCATCTTACCTTGCGGGTACAAAATTTCTTAAGCTTCTGCACGATGTTATAAGTGACGGAACCTCGCTTGCGACTCCCTGTCTCTCGAATAAGATGTGGCGCATGTGACTTACCGTTGCTCAGTTTATGGGAGCTGTGGGGGCTTGATAGAGGCTTGCGACATGTTGCACAAGAATGCTTTCTCGAGATTTAAAAAGCAATAGATCAAGCAAAGTATAGACTCGGACAACATATGATCTGCATATTTCTGACTTAGAATGTCATGCGATAGTCCGTGGCTTAAATAACGTATCCCAACATTAGTGTGAAGGACGGTTCTCAAGAGCCGCATATTATAGCTGTTCTAGCGTCAAAAGTAGTGAAAAAAATAGAAGGATAGGTTCAGAAATGCTGTGGTAGATCTTCGTGGCACCAGTAATATAATTTGTATACAAGATTGCGGATGCATACCTTAGGATGTCATCTTAGACCTTTGGCTTTTAGTAATTGAGCTAGCATTCAAGCTTTGCTTGAATTAGTAACGATTAAACCTATAGAATTATTATGATAATTGATGAAAGTAATGGGATATAGTAATAATATGTGTTCTATAAGCTCATATTAAGTACAAACCAGGAATGATACCAAAATGAAACAAACCTTTAGTCGAGGGTTAAGACTCACGTATGGTATTATTCAATCACCGGCCGTATTATTCGTCCGGATCGACCAGGTCTACGATCCTGGATGTCCCTTCTCCCACCATGACGTCTCCTCAACCAACCCAGTTCATTACTACCACGCCGTTTCCCCCTGCCCCGGCGCTTGTGAGCATGTCCGACAGCGAGCCAGTATCTATGGTAGTAGTCCAGCAGCTGCCGTACCTGTACCCAGATAAGTTCCAAGTTGTGACATTATGACAAGTCTACTGACCTGCCAACTGCAGCAGCGTCAAATTCTAAAGCGGTGATAATTGGCCCCTACGCAAGCCTTGAAGCCACAATGGCAGCAATCTTTGCGTCGTCCCGGGCAGCGTTGAGTAAAGTCTTGCCTGGCTCTTCTTGGAGCTTGCTTCTTATTCTGCTTGAGTAAGATTCAGTATGGTGTAGTTGAGCATAAGAACAGACACTAGATACACAGCAATTTCTTGATGGTAACACTCTGGGTTTACCTTAGGCACCGATATCCACTCATCCTCACCAAACGCTGCCCAAAATTATTACGACGAAAAGAATCTGCATTGCTCTCATTGTTCAGCATCAAATTCCGGGAGATATACGAGCTGGGACTATGATGAGGAGATCAACTGATATTTGTGACAGGACTTTCAGGTCAGAATTTTGGGCTCAAATGGTGAGCTACAGTGTCAGATGCATGACCTTTAAGTTGCTGCCTGCCCGTAGATGTCTGCCTCCGTTGTGCGCCACTTCATGGATTTGAGTTAAACTTCGGACGACTAATAATAGATAGATGAGCTTCTATAATTACTGAGGTAAGCAACGAACCGGGTGATTTACGTTCGTCAAAGCTTAATGGGCATGATATTATTTACGGACAAAAGATTAATGAACTAGATCCGACGTACATCTCACCAACCCTAGGCGGGCGAGGCAAAAGAGACTGACCCTGGATTCGGCAGACGTTCCTAGCTAGATTAAAGCAGGAGTCAAGGACCATGAGATTTTTGAAGCTAGCATCTATATTGGATAGTTGTAAACGCTCACAATGCCATTTATGACTCGAAGTGGTACCATAATGCATGGGCAAGCCTAGCACAAAACATACATCTGGCCTTGAACGGGGCCCTCTTGAGGAAGATCTAGCAGCCCGACCAAATCCATCATATCGAAAACATAAGCTACACGACGAGAGTAAAGTGACTCATCTGATTGCGGTCTCAGATCGGCAAGACGAAAAACGCGAGCTAGTATCACGATATGGCCATGTTCATTAAAAGCCGAGATCTAAGAGAACAATCCACTAATCCCGCCGCTGTCGTGGACCGGCTCCTGCCAACGACGCGGTAAAAAGCGAGTCGGATGAAGGTTGCTATGAATCTTGAAATAACGTGCGCATCACCTAGACGTACACACTCCCTGAAATTTGTGAACTTCTGAAACCAGAGAGACTCTTCCATTGAAGGACCTGACCTGTTTTATCTGGCGAGCATTCTATCGAACATCCAGAGTTGGGTCAAGGCTCTACCAATGAATCATCCCATGCTTTTCTTTTCTTTCCTTTTCTTTCTTTCTTTCCCCTCCTCCCCCCGGGAGAACGGTCGTCAAGAGGTGTCACGAATTCACGCTGTTCTGATCAGCAGTACTATCGTCAAAGTGGTATCTCTATAGCATTATTCCCAGCAGTACTCTGTAATACATGTTCTCGCCGGACTGCTAGCCGAACCCGAGTATGAGGGTGTGATCTTGAAGACCTTCTAACCCTTCCGCTGAGGAAGTGGCCTTATGTATAGTGACATCCTGCAGACCTGCTTCTATTATTGCTAAAAGAAGCGGCCAGATCGAAAGAGACATAAACGTGTTCTCCAACCATGAAAAAAAAAAAAAAGGCCCAGGAGATTATTTGCCCCCCCGCCCGCCGCCCCCCCCCGAAAACGCCAGAATAATAACATGGTGAGTTTCGAGTATATATCTCTCATAAACATTACTTGTGGACCTTCCTCCCCGGCACTTTTCTGATCGATGCAGATAGCAACCACCCAAACTAAGTCATGCACATGGAAGCGACCATGACTTCGTCATACCCCCCTCCTGAGCAGTAGGTTGAAGCACAACATCTAGGCCTCTTATCTAAACAGACAGACCCCATTTCGTATCAAATAGCCGTTGTATCATCTGACGATCTAGGAAGCCGGAGCAGGCCCATCTCCCGCGTGGAGACATAGAACCTGCCAAGCAACTTCTCTCGGAGGTCATGCGACAGTGGTATATGAATCCTGCTCCCGGAAAAGACTCATATAGTCCAGGGAGAAGATCGCGTGTATTTGTCCTGTATCATATCAAGTCACATTCGATTGCATGTCTAGCATAGTAACCAATCGTCGTCACGCGTGCTCAGCTCGATTTGATTGCGCTTGACCTGCTAGTTAACTTGAAACGGTATCGGTGCAGAACACGAATCTAAAGAATCAATCGCAGCAAGGCCGGACAACCATCTGTATTCCGACGAAGGACCAACAGGGACTTCTGGGGAGATGTCGACGCAACAATGTGGATTGATTTGTAAAGGCACGAGTGGGAAGGGCTCGGTTTTAGCAGCTTGGCTGATGCTGAACAAATGAGGGAGGTTCAATGGCATTTGCGTAGCAACAACGACGCGGCAGGGTTTTATCAGTAACTTTTGTCTTCATTCCCATATGCAGCATGTCCATTATGAAACAACCATTTTGGCCCTATTTTCCGAGCTGTGTATGCTCACCAACCATGACAAATGCGCTGTAGAAGAGATGTCCAGAACACCAAGACAATTCCTGCCGACATGACCCACCTTGCTTCATATGCGCCAGCTCGTAACAGACAGGTCAAACGCCTGTGTTGTTGTCGCGATATGCTCATGCGACCATGGGCTTGATCCAGAAAGAGGGTAGACCCAATCACGATCGTCCGGACGTGGCGTCGAGAGGCCATGCAAGAGGTTTAGTCCTCATCCATCTTGTCCTCCTCGCCACCAGCCTCGAAGTCATCGTCGTCGTCTTCATCCTCGTCGGCGGGGACATTCTTAGCAGCCTCGGCCCAGTTGATGACCTTGCCACGAGTGCGGCGACCGCCCTCGACGATGTTGTTCAGGTCGATCTCGTCCATGTTGTCCTCTGCCTCTTCATCGCCGGCAGCTAGATAAGTCTTGTCAGTGAATTGATGACATTTCACACGGCCTGTATCGTATGCGCTTACCATTGCCGTCGGCCTGTAGTTACGAACGTTAGTATGAGCTGAGGTAGCACAGCATAGCATAGGCGCAAAGGCGGGTCTGCCATGACAGATGGAGGGCAACTCACCTCGTCTTCAGAAGAGTCATCGTCCTCCTCCATAGTCTCATCGACGGGCTCCTCGGTGGCAGCGCCCTTGCCCTTGCCCTTGGTCTCGATGGGAGCCTCAGCGACCTTGGAGGGGTCCTGGACGGGGAGAGTTGAACCGTTCTGGGCAGACATTGTGGGAGGGGGGGTTTGTTTGGTTCAGTTGGAGAAGATGGAGTTGGTGAGGTGGAAGGGTTTGTTGATTTTTCAGTTATAGAAAACCAATTGAGCACAAAGACTTGGTAGAGTCGCAAATCGCAAATCGGGGGAATGCAGAGAAAGGTGCGAAGGAGGTTGCGGGAGGCGCTTCCAGCTGGATGTAACTGTTTATTACTTTTAGTCAATGTTAGTGCTTCGAATCGCGACTTGGACTCAGAGCTTCCCGCCCAGTAACTGACTTAACTTACCTACGCCCAGCAACTACCAGTAACTACTCCCCAGTAACTACGCTATGACAATCGCCGTTCGCATCCACCTTCAGGTAGGGGGGGCCACCCACAATCACATGAGGATAAGCTCGATAACGACAGCTGATGCCGTGCGCTACCACGAATGAATAATTCCACTGGCAGTGGGCCCAGGTAAGGTACAGACAGTACCCCGTACCTGGGGCTTCTATTCCATGGGCCTCCAGCTGTCCAGGTCGAAGCTCAGGTTTGCTCAGGTGTTGTGACTAGGTTAGCCTATGTAGATCTGCCATTCAATGAGTCGACAAGAGGATCCTACTCCTGTGTGCTGTTCGGCCAGCTGTTCGGCTAGATAGGATCCCTATCAGCAAGTCGGGCGTTCGGAGAAGAAAAGGGGAAACGTTGCAGCCATCTCCAAAATACACTGTTGATGGAAAGAATCATGCGCATTTCGGGTCTCCTGTTAGAATAATCTGCTGAGTCTGAGTTTCCAGCCTGGCTTCGTAGTCTCATGGTCCCAATCAAAATAAATCATAATCACGCAGTTTCTTGCCTCCAAGAAGCTTTGCAGAGGCTTTGTCTTACCCTCATTAAACGCCATCTCCCTGTCTACTGTACTTCTGCGTCGGCCATGCTATTCAACAAAAGGTATCACTATATCAAAAATCGGACAATGGGCGACTGATTGCACTCAGCATATGACCATCGTCCACTGAGTGTCACCCGCTTACTGCCTGAAGGCACAAGAGAAACCCGGGGCCACTTTAGACCTCCATAATATGCGCAGCTCTATCGCTCAGGGCTACCACAAGGCCAGAAACAGTAGAGTAATGTATCAACGCAGTTGGACAGGTGTCTCGATTCAACGATATTGACTTTGCACTATCATTTTCCATCTCCGCCACCGCCAGTGAGTGTGAGCACCATGACAATACCAATCAACCACCAGTACCTGTGTCTCGTTAGCATGCATTGTCCCGTGAACCGACGGCGCCAACGGCGAAGGTACGTACTTCTGCAAGAAGGTCTTCTCCTGCTGCTCATCCTTCAGCTTGCCCTCGGGCGTGAGCTTGACGGGCTTGTTGAGAGAAACCTGTTCTCCCTTCTCCGCGACCCTGATGACGGCCTTGGGGCCAAAGTCCCTCGTCTGCCCGGCGTCGATCCTGACCCCCTTGAGCGCGGCGCCCTGCACGTCGCCGCTCTGGTCCACGCTCAGGATGATGTGCGGGCTGTATCCCTTGCCAAAGTTCGCGACGGATGCGATGCTGGCCGAGCTCTCCCAGGTTCTCGACGACGGCGAGTAGACGCCGACGCGGAAGTTCTTGGTGGCCTGCAGGGACTCGAGATCCGGGAACTCGAAGGAGGACACCGAGGCTTCGGAGGGCAGGTACGGGTCGTAGGTGATCTCTGCGAGGAGCGCGGGAGCCGGTGCCGAGGACAAGACTGGCTGGATGTAGATTGCTGCCGTGCGCTCTGCGGCGCTCGCTAGGGTCGCGAGCGCAAGGCTGGACAAGATGGATGAGAGCTTCATGGCGACGGCATCTGTCTGGAGACTTCAAAGGATTCGGCCGAGGTGAGGGTGTGAGGTGTCGGAGTCGGGGGTTAGGGAGCTCGTTGTTGTGGGTTCAAAGAGCTCTGTAAAGTAGTCGCAGTACAGTGTACACCTGAGTAATGTTGCAGTGTCGGCGTAAATTGGGTTCTGGGTCCCGGGGGGGGGGGGGGGGGGGGTTGCCGCACGCTTGGGTCCCCAGAGTCAATTGAATTGCAGATCGCACGTCAGATCTCACTTCTTAATCCTGCAAAGTTTCTGGAGGCTGGATGACGTTGCTGCGATTCGCCATGCACATGCCAATTTGTCAGATGGAAACAGACATGTTTGCCGTACATAAATCAATTGATCCGGAATGTCCATTGAACAATACTTATGAACTTCCTTTGTTGCCATATGTTCATGGAAAACTGCATGAGTTGCAGCCCTCTATGTGGTTGGATTTGAATACTGATGTGAACCCCCTCAACCGCATGTTTTATGTATGCAACCAGTGATTGAGAGTGCGGTCCTGTCCCTTGACCGCGCCTTGAGCCAGCAATAATAAATGCCTCCTATGCTCCTGTCCAATACCAATGAGAATCATAACCTTCCGGAACTCCAAAGAACCCATGAAACGTAGCCGCATCGCATCTCATCGCATCGCATCGGCCAGGCACTCTTAGCTAGTCACCCCTTTCATTGCAGCAGCCTCATCGCTCTCGTCGCTCTGTCCGATATCTTCCATGTCTTCTTCGAACGCTTCCGAGCTTCCTCCCTCTCCGTCGCTCGATTCTCCATCCTTCTCTAGGGTATATCCGTCGCAGCGCTCGACAAGCCCTTTGTAATAAGCCACCAACACTTCCGGGTTGGGTACAATCTTCCAGTCGACCCGGTACAAGAATTCCAGCTCCAACAGTTTCAGCTCGGCAACTTTGACTCCTCCAACTCGCGCATAAAACGAGTTGTTCCAAAAGCTGTCCGAAAGGCCCTTGCCAGCCACAGTGGCCGCTGTAATGAGGAACCTATGAACCGTCAGGGTGTTGATCGTGAAATCCGGGTAAAGCGCGCATAGCCGATCGATATAATACACCATGGAAAGGAGCAGCGGAGGCGTGAGGGTAGCGTGCTTTGCAAGCCTGTGTAGATAGTCCACCACTGATATTCCAGGTGCTGTCCTAAACGAGTGTTAGTATCTCTCCCGTCCTTCAAGGCCCTGGGATATTTTGACTCTGTCCAATTCCCTGAATAGCGACCTACCTGGAGTGAAATCTGGTGAGATGCCCACTTTTCATGGCTAGAGAGTCGTTTGTTTCGATGAGCTCGGAAAGCATGTTTGCAATCAGAATGACCATGTCCTCAGTGTCGCAGAACTCGTATCTCAGAGGCAACATCTTAGCCGGTCCATGGTCGGTCTTGGATCGTTTTGGAGACGCTTCCGCCTGTCCGTTGCTCGACGTCGCAGCGCCGCCGCTGTCCATGCTGGATGCGGCTTTTGCAAGGTCTTGCGAATTGCGCCTTTTTGCGGGGGATAGCGGATTCACAGCCGCGCTGACATTATCGGGTCTGTTAGGCGATAAGTTCGGCTCGGCAGGAGGCCCTTCGGGTGTCGCAGTTAGCGATTGCGGAATCGTATGGGCCCCTGGCGCTGAAGTTTCTGCTACAGCAGACTTCGCGCCGGCTGCGGAGGGCGAGGATTGCACTTCGGCGGGCGGCGGCGGCCTGGCGTTTTGCACCGGTACCGTCGGGTCGAAAGGCTCCATCGGTGAGTACTGAGTAGCGGCATCGACTCCAACATATTGTTTCGGCCTTGCTTGGTGCGATTGTGGCTGCGGCTGCGGCTGAGGCGGCGATCTCATAGATGCCAAAGATGCTGCTGTCTGGGGAGACACTATAGAGTGCTTGGAATGGCGGCGCGGCAAGTTTGCCGTGACCTTTGGTGAGAGGTGCGGAGATAGACTGTGCGGCGCATAGTGAAAAGTTCGGGGTGATGCGCTTGTGGATTTCGGAGCAACCGGGGAGGAAGTCAACATGATCCCCTGAGCATCCTGGTGTTTTTGTTGCGATACAAGGAGTTCTCTAGATATAGTAGGTTGGACGAGAAGAGGGGTGGTACGAGTGAGTAGAGACGTCTAGTGGTGACAGGCGGAACAGGCCCGCGATTTCGCCAGTGTTGGCCTGCCCAGATAGCCAAACCCAGGACACTTCAAGTACAGAGGCCGTGCCGGGAAATGGGGGTTATTATTGAGCGGTATCTATCAGGGCAAGAAAAATACCGCGGCCAGTGATTGTATGCGAGTGGATACCGTCCAAATTGCGTTCACGAGAGAGATGCAAAAGACGATGAAGACGCTGAAGATTAGAGTCTGAGAAATGTTGTGTCCAAGTCTGCGTTTGAGGCTCAGGTCGCTGTTTAGCTAATATTGCAACATGCGCTCCGTCGTCGCTAAGAACGACCGCCACAAACCATCCGATTCTAGTAGAGCTAGCTGCCTCGACTTGACCGGCGAGCTGAGACTGGCCTGTCAGAACAAGACAAGATGGACGAGCGCATGTCGCTGACAGAGTTGGTCCTTTTCACTGGCCCTATTATTGGTGCTCTGATAAGGACGCAGCTTTGCCGATGCTCCGTTCCGGCTGGGCTGGCCCGAAAGATTCTTGCATTCATACTACAACAGACGGCTGATATTGTACAAGCGATCATGGCCTACGATTAAAGGTCTTTTTACTTACTAACGAGTGAATGGATGCAAGTAGCAGCTGCAAATTGTAATAGTGTTTTTCTTCTTTTTCTTCCTCTTCCACCATTTGAAATCTGCAGAATCGTAAAGCCAGCTTTTATCTCTTGACTGCCTGTCCATGTAGTGTCGTCTTGATCGCTATTTCATACGTGCTCACTGCTGAGCACGATAGAGTTGCGACCATCGTTGAAGAGAATGTGGGGTGTGGAAAGTTTTGCTTGACCGAGCCCTCAAAGCAGTTAGGTCGACACACTTGACATGCTCGTGGTTCATTAAGGATGCCACGAGATATGATTAAGCCCGGCAATTTCCATCGATGTTCAGCGATACTGGTCTAAAAGCCTTGTAACTGAATCGTGTTGTTTTCATGCAGCTCTTATTAATCTGTGAAAAAAGACGGAAACAACCATTGACAGCCCGTTGGATCCCCACGTGTACGGATTACGGCATCGGCCGACCGGCTTCGCCGATGATAAATATTCGTATGTTCTTTGATGAACAAGTTGTAAAAATTTACATCTGATAAATATACTTACTATATCTCGTCATACAAACGTCACGAGTGGCTAGCATCTGATATAGGAGGGCATTATCGATGGTAACATTGTCTAAATTTGGGGCTTAATTCTGAAGTTCATGGCTCATAGAGTTACTCGTTATGGCAGTCATTACTGAATTGTTTTTGGGACAGTGGGCTTGCTTATGTCTTATTACCCCACAAATGAACATCAGACACCATAATCCTTATTGTTCTTAGGTTCGTGATTAATAACTCCTTCAAGTTCATTCCTGTTGGCGTGCGGCCAAGTACCCAATGCTGACTTTTTGTATATCTAGCCTTACCCTCCGCTAGAAAATTTAAATCTATGAATACAACCGTTTCCATTCTCCATACCGTCCATGCTATGCCAGCGGGTAGTACAATTTATAGTATCATAGGTCATGCGAACACTATTAGCCATGCTTCATCTGCCACAGCGCCGATTTTGCTCTTTCACGAACATCCAGTTCCTCGTCAGAGCCCAAGGACTCTAGTTTGGTCAGGAAACCCAATTTTTTGAGTTCGACAGCACGCTGCGAACAAGCTGGCGCATCATTTGCATCGTCTTGCCAAGTAAGATTGTTCAGCAAATGGCACAGCGCAACACGCACCTCGCGGTCCTGGCTATTGAAGAGAGTTGCTAGAAGCTTGAGCAATTCCGTTTGTGCGATCACAAGTTGTCGATGCCTCGGTATGCTCGCTGCCATATGAACAAGGATATAGACCACGGCCTCAATGATCTTCGCCTGAGGATATAGGACCCTAGTATCGCTACCTGTAGTCCCGCGCCGCCCACTAAATGCGTGAAGTACCTTGACTCTGAGTTTGGTTGCCAGGATATTGAAAAAGCGATCCTGACCGAGGGTGTTGAACAAGAAGTCAATCATTTCGGCTGTGTCATTGGTTGAATCAGCATTGATGCTGGATTGAGAGTTTCCAATTAGATTACGAATGAAGCCAAGACCTTGTTCTTGAATAGCAAGGTCATCTTGTCTAGCTTTCCGCACTGGATTGAGCTCTGCTTCTCGTAAACCTGACAACTTTGTGTCTGCAAGTCGAAGAATACGGCTCCCAGAATTTCTCAAGGAGCTCGGACGGCCCACATCGTCCGCCATCTCCATCTCTTCGTCAAAGTCATCAGGGCCATGCTTGTCTCGGGATCTGGAAGAAAACAGAGCCTCATCCTCTGTATCGTCACAAATTAGCTGCACAAGCCAGCCAGATTGCAGCTCCTCCAAACACATCTTCTTCAGCTCTACGCTAGCCGAATGTACTAAATGTTTGAGAGCCCATAATGCATTCAATCGTAAAGCGGCGTTTAGAGACCGAGCATGGTCGCATAGCACCTTGACGACGTTGAATCCAGTCAAGGTATCCCTCATTGGACTAAAATCAGTTACCAGATTGCATATTGCAGCAGTAGCAGCGATCTGTACGTCGATATCGGCATGACGTAACAAATGGTAAATGGGTGCTGCCGCCCCACTGTCGACAAGTGTAGTCCGCAGAGTGCTCACGGATCTCGAAAGCATACGCGTGGCATAGCAAGCGGCAACCAAGACTGATGTAGGGTTACTGCCGAACTGGCCTTTCGCTTCTTCGCTATTCTGATCCTCGGCCCTGGGTTGTTTGGGGCGTCCAGGAGACGGACTCAATGATTCAATGATATAGGGGACGGCATCTTGATCGACTATTATTTTTCGGTAGTCTTCCTTGAAGGCAGCAATAGATCCAAGGGCTTTTAGTGTAGTTTCTCTCAATCTTATCCGATGGGCAAGTACAGGATGGACACCAGGCTCACCCAGATGGCTATCTGCGGCTATGCTTTGTGGAGCCCCCATGTCGTTGAAAGGGGACCACAGTGGAGGTGCTGTGGGCGGCGGAGAGTCGTAAGTGCTTTTCAGCAACTTGGACAGGGTCTTTACTGCATTCGACTCCGATGCTGCTTTTTGCAGAAATTCGCTGTCAGTAATCAAACGAGACAGCACGGCCGGTGTTTGCTCAATAATGAACCATTGAGATGGGGCCAAGTCGTCTTGGTTATCGTAGCCAGAAGCAGCAGCGAGTAGCTGAAGTAGCTTTGGAACAACCAGAAGTCCTAACGTAACTTCTCGTGACTTGTAAGCAAAGCCGCACTTGTATAACGAAGTCAGGACGGATGCTGCTGCCAAAGCCTCAACTCCATCTCGGCTGCGAACCAAATTCACGAGCCATGGAATCAGCGGGGTTTCAGCTTCCTCCTCATCCTCGTTTGCGTCAAACTCCACGTCAAGACCCAAGGACGATTTGCCAGCAAGACCGGGGTTGAACCTCGATGTGGCTACCCTAGCGGAAGTAGAGTTTTGTTGCTGGCGGGTTTGGTTGGGCATATATGGAAGCAGCAAGTCCATGGGTTCGTATTCCTTCTGTTTTGTTGGCCGGAGACCTGCCAGTTGAGACTCGGGTCGCAAAGATAGCATGCCCCAGTCCGAGTCGATGTTCGGGAAGACAGCCAATATCGATGGAGAATAGAGCAGCCGACAAGACCTAAAAGCAGAGTCCGTTATAATAGCCCCGATAGCCCCCAGTATATCCGATAGTTGCACGCTATCTGGTTTGGCTGTATCCGGCATGAATTCGAATAGGCCTTCGGCGCGGGCCATGACTTCGGCGCGTGGTACAACTTGCCCTTCGGCAACAGCAACACCCGCCAGTCTTGTAGCAAGTGCATCGAGTATCCCATGATTGACTAATGCGTATTGGTGTTTCTCTTCCCGGCAGAGTGTGCTGACCAGTCGAGCAACAATGGTGACCTGTGGTTGGGCGTATCGGTTGCCACTGGCGTGCGAGAGTATTGTCGCAAACGACTCGAGACACGTGTCGGTGAATACTAGATCGGCTAAAGCAGTCGGATTGAGGGACACGAGGCTGGGGGCTGAGGCGCATGCTTCGGCAACGTCGCGCAAGACTCGAAGTGCTGCTAGAACAATCTGCGGTTGACCGTTCTGCAAGCAGTTCAGAACAGCAGGCAAGGCTCCTGAAGCATGAATAGGGGGCAAGAAAGAAGCACCGGCACTGGCAAAGCAAGCCAGGAGCTGAAGAGCTGCTAACCGGACTCTCTCTTCACTCCGGCTGTTGTCTACGATGGAGACGAGAGGTCGCAGGACACCGGATCGTATCCATTGCTCTTTCTTTTGTGAATGACCAACGACATCGTTTTTCAAGGCCGTGAGCCCCGACAACCGATCATCATTGCTAGCTCCAGCTGCAAGTTGTGCTATTATATCGACTGACATGGTGATGTTGTGATTAGGGCGATGAAATTCCGAATGACGTCGGCAAAATCGCGAATCGCTCAGCACGGTTGAACAGTGAACAGAGCGCCGTTGGATAGTGGAGGACCGGGACGCTAGTGAATCACCGGTGGGATATCCGGGGTAATAGATAATAAGCTGGAAGGCAACCTGAGAACAACAAACAACTGCTTTTCACCGTTCGAAGAAACTCTAATGCATTGAGTGAAGTTTGGACGAACGCGATATCTGAGAGGATGTCGCAGTCACGAGTCACAAGTCGCGAATCACAACTGCAATCCGGGACGTCCCCATATGGCGCTGAATGGGATCTCTCCAACTACTGCCATGTAGACGCGACTTTTTTTGGGGGGCTAATTATCTGATGGCCACTATCGATAAGCTATAACATGCTTTTAATTACATACTCCGGAGTTTCGAATTTCCACATCAATGCTTATTATTGGAAAAACCTGCCGAATATCGCAGACCCTTACCGCATTACTTCACAGGACATTAGCCACAGCAGAATGCCTTATGGAAACAATGGGACTAAGTGAATCCCCTACCGTCATGGCTCTGAACCAGAGCTTGGAGTACCATATAAGCCTTGGTGTGGCGGCTGTATTCTTGAACCAGGCCCGGCTGGCTCCCGTAAGGCAAAGTGACAAGGTTTGTATGATAATAATTTAAATCTGCCTTCTTCGACTACTCTATTAACTTGAACAGGCGTGTTCTTCTTTTTGAGTAATGAGCTCTCCGCTTGCGGTATATGAAATGAGTGCTTCTTCGGATGGCCTCGAGAGCTTAGCTAAGATCTAATTAACAGGTACAATTGGAACTATTAGAGCCATCCTGCGTTTTCAGTGGTTCAGATTTCTCACTGGCACCACACAAGCCAAATTGAAACTAATCACTAATGCAAGAGTATAGTTTACCGCATGCCAAAGAGGCAACCTGACAAATTATCAATCACGTACCGCAAAGTGTGAAATACAGCGTAGGGTGGCCGATATCTTTATTCAACATTGGCGACATCACGCCAAGCGTTCTTTGGCATGAAGTTTCGGTGACTCTACTATATGCGCCCGCTAACTAAGAGAATCATCTGAAAACATCTGAAAAGATCAGAGGTAAGCACATACCTAGCGAATGAAGTCAGATCTGTCCGTGCCATGCATTATTGCCGTTCATGCTTGTATACTCGGCAGCTCCGGGGCTGCAAATTGCTATTTTGTCCATATCGGCAGTTCTACGGAAGCAGCGGTTCGTCATATTTAGTTGAAATAAGGTGATATGCAATAAAATCTTGTTGAGGTGGCATGACCAAATATTTATCCTCTTTCGGTATCATGAGATTCCCTACCCAGATGGCACCACTGGTGAACATTGATGATGGTGACAGGGTTGCGCCCGCTGATTGAAAGCTACCCCGGCTGCTGCATACCATACTATGTCACTAGTGAGGCTCCTCCAAGTGCCGGGCTCTCCTTGGCTCAAAAGAAAGCTCGCCATTGGACATCTGCAGCAGCCTTGATGGGAAGGTATCGTCGATTTGGTTCTGCGTTTGCAATGTGTCATATTCCTACGAAGACAGCCAACCGAAATTGCAGCTGGTCCTCAGTGTCGCAGGCCCTAGTGTGATGCCGAGGGAATGTCGTCAAGCTGGATCTCGAAATTTCGAGATACCGGGATGGCAGGTGGGGTAAAAGTTACCAAACCCGGGTGCCGGCATAAGTGGCAATCCACTGCCCCCCATCTTTCCCGACTGCAACCACCTCTCGTCATCCGAACATGCCGTTAGCGCAACAATATGGCTCTGTAAGACCGTTCTTTTAGCTAGCAAGTCTGAAGGGCGTATCAACTGTAGCAGGCGAACACGATTGAAGGTATCTTCATGATTGCTAATCCAATTTTTTGCAGTTTGCTCCCTAGATACACTTTAGGCTAGAAAACTGGTAGTGATCAAGCCATTGACCACTTGGTCAGCGAGATTGCTTCTAGGGCATGTCAATGTAAAGGTAATAAACGTGGCACAGCTTTTCATCGTTTCACGGCATGTGTGCCATGCCTCCACAGTATAGAGACATGCATAGGTGTTATGTAAGAGAAATGGCATGTATGCACAAAAAGAATTGGGCAGCGCTGGGGGCTAGGCGATAGGTACAAAGTGTGCCGTATGCTTCGTTTTCTGTATTCCATGACTGCACTGGTACGCGGTGTGCCGGAGGAACAACCCGAATAAACGCTTCGGATTGGGTCCCACAGTTAACTTAAGTTCGCGACTTCGCGGCCCAAACAAGACGACCGACCCATCATATGTCGAAGCTGCTGGAAATCCGCTGACGGTAGGACCACTACAATTGCCGGATTCTTCGGTTCACAGCTTCACTTCGAGGACTGAATGCTCCTTCGCATGCTTTGAACAGATGACGTATTTGAAATGCAAAAAGTCGTGCCTGAACAACCCGGTCAAAGTTAAAGGTCTCTGAGAGCAACCACCAACCGCCAGGTGTGCAACATATAAGAGATTCATCTTTTCCCGTGGTACCGTTTAGTTTCTATCACGAACTATCAACCTCCTCACACTTTCTAGTCAATACTTTTTGGTCAATCTCAACATCAGATTTTCCTCATCAATTATATTGACCCGTCAAGCTTACACTCAAACACCATGGGTCTCATTCTTCGTGATGATGGCGGCTCGCTGTCTGTCAACCCCCCGCTTACGCCGAACGGGTTCACCACCAACGGTTCCAACTGGTTGTGGGCTGTGACAGCCGTCTACGTCGTCATCTTTTTGTTCTTCGCCGCTACCAGCTTCAAGGCTTTCAATGGTGAACGAATCTTCCACTATACTTTCATCGTCCCGCTCCTGGTCGGTAGCATTGTCTACTACTCATGGGCTTCGGATCTTGGTTCCAGTGTCGTCTCCGGCTGGCAGCTGTTCTGGGTTAAATACATATACTGTAAGCTCATCTGAATTAATTTCCCCATGAGACTTTTAGCTAATGTGGAAAATTCAACAGGGGTCGTCGAATTTCCAGCTATCATCGTCGCTTTAGGCTTGTTGAGTGGAATCTCATGGGCTACAATTGTTTACAATGTATTCCTCTCATGGATCTGGTAAGTGAATATCTAGCCTCTTTCTATTGCTTCATTCGACTGACTTGTCTTGTTCCTCAAGGATCGTCTCCTACCTTGTTGCTGCCTTCACAACGACCCAGTACAAGTGGGGTTTCTTCGCCTTCGGAACTGTGTCATGGCTCATCCTTGCAGTCCATCTGCTCACCATCGGAAGAAAGAGTGCAACCCGCGTTGGCGTCAGTGCTCACTACACGGGGCTTGCAGGATGGACAAACCTTCTGTGGCTCGTTTGGCCCATTGCCTGGGCAGTCACTGACGGTGCACGTGTCATTGGCGTCACGCCGACAGCCATCTTCTTTGGCGTTCTGGATATCTTGCTGCTTCCTGTCATTGCCTTGGCCTTCTTCTTCGTTTCTAGGAAATGGGACTATAACCGTCTCAACCTTGCATACACGCGCTACGGCCGCGTCAATGATGGCGGACACCACCAGGACAAGCTGACGACTCCTGCCCCAGCACATGGCGGGGTCAATACTGCTGCACCAGCCGTCTAAAAATATCAGAGTGAGATGCCTGGCCCTATCTTGAGGCCTTCGTGCCTTGAAGAGTTCAACAAGGGATTAATAGTCAGGAGTTGTCCATGAGGAAGTCTCTTTTTTATTGGTTGTTATTATACCCTCTTTCTTGCGTTTTGATTTATATGGCTGTAATACCCCAGCATGTGTGATGGAGTATGTCTCTCCTTATTGGAGTTGATGAACATCCCGGAAAGGGAACCGCGAAAAGTTGGCATCGCTAAAATTTAATGAGTTAATAAACACAGACTTTCTCTACTACTGTACTGCTGTAATCTTTCTGTGGCCTGAATATGATACCTGCGTTGCTGTTGGATTGAACTGTGAGATGAATACTGCTGTTGATTTAATTGTGCATTTTGTTCCGATTCAGACTGGCAACTTCGGCAGAAAAGAAAGTATACGGCTGCTATCCTCTTGTCAAGGGAAATCGTGAACCCTGTAGGGTTTCCTAGTCAGAGATAGGTAGATGTAGTGCCCAGTTCTTTCGATCTCCGGTCACCAGTTTCCTTGGCGATGAATGCAATATAGAAGGCGGGAGCTTGGAAGGCCGCAAGGTATCTTTTTAATCCCATACCTTGGAGGCTCAACTGAATTCTTTCGTTTCTCAACGATCTTTATAATACGCTCTCGAATTTCATAATCATTGTCATGGTTCGAAGGTGGGTATCTCACGAAGCTGGGCTGTTTCCGATTATTTCCACTAGGTGGGATGGGATAAGTCACCAGTGCTGTCAGAAGAGCCATTGTTCGTCTGGTCGTTGCTTTCACGCATTCTTGACTTGGCTTCAAAGAAATCAATATCTCCAACATTGGTGCGTTGGCACAGTGGGATAAATGTTCTGAAGGGAGGAACGAAAAATTCTGTTCTTGCTGTCCATGATGGGAAATGGCTTCTTATTTTACCCTTCCGGTAGGGTTGCGTTGAAGAGCGAAATAGTTATTCTTGGCCGATTTGCTTCCTATTTCGAGAGGATAATATTGTGCTATTGGAATCTCTGGACATGCGCCACCACCCCCGAATCGATAGCTGATCGCGGCTTCCACCCATCTCGTCATCCGTAATACGATAAGTGGGTGATGAGGTCGTTATTTTCTTGTAATATGATGATTGGCATCAAGGTGTGATCATATTGCTTCGTATTAGTTAAGGCACATTCTCGTTGAGCCTTGGTTTCATATCCCTATGCGGTATTCTTCTATTCTTTGAAATAATTCTACAACGCAGAGAGGTACACCAGTAGATATCTTTATATTGTGTAACTCGAATTCCGGTACCAGGTAGCTCTCAATCAGCTCATATAGAATAATCTGCCCATTTCTGAAGTATCAATGCACCTACACGTGAACTCTATTGCTAGCTCTCCACCATGCGACTAAACACAACTCATCTTCAATTGCTGTAAATATATCATTCGTATCTAAGATTATTACATGAGAAGTCATTCAATGGCGTAAGTCGCGTGTTCGAGCATGTGAATATGATCTACACCAGCGATATCGCTTATGACCGCCGCCGGCTGTGTAAAACTATCCGTATGATAAGCCATTAAACCAGGAAGCGGCAGCCCAGTGTGAGAGTCGACATTCGGAGTCAATTGGAAGATTTGTTAATACATCCTTGAATGCCTCGTTCTTGAACCACCACTCTACCAACCCCCTTTTTTGCTAGCGCCTCTTCGAACTTTGTCGTGGAAGCCACTTCCAGCAATTGATCGTCACCATGAAGCTTCATCGGCCGGTCCTCGCTGACCGGAACTTCTGATGGCGGTAGAACGCATTTCAATTGCCCGAGCGCCTTGTCCATGCTACCAAATTTTTTTTATCTTCATCTTTTCGCTCACTGAGCCAGTCCTGCTGTATTCTGGCTTTCGGCATAGATTAACGCGGATGAGCCGCCAGTTTTCAGCATGAAAAATGGCACATCGTGTTGCCGAGCTGATTTCTTTATTTTGTTGGGAGCCGACCTTAGTTTATGCATAGAAGATCCCAACCTACTCATCCCACACGGTCAGCAATTTCTAAACCACAGTTTTTCGGAGTATTTTGGAGCATCTTTGGTGCCTTGAGAGCTTGAATGATCATACAGGGTCTACCTCAGCTCCCGAGACAGTGTAAAAGGAAACCAGCGACCTTGAGTACTGACCTGTGTGGCATACTCTTGCATTTAGAGAAGTGTGATAAAGATATCCGCTCATGACCGGACATAATGTGAAGCTCGGACTGGCATAGGTGGGGTTTCGTGTCTTTAGAGACACAGTAGAGAGCCTGAGCGCCAAATCTATATGGCCAGCTATATCAAATAGAGTCTGTCTGGACCACGGATTTGTGACCAATATAGCATGCGACTGTAGAACTGCTGGCATGATCCATTGGCGGAAGAAGAACAGATAAATCGATCGCAAGGTCCAACGTCTTTTTAGACACTGCAGAGTCCCATGGTTCAGTTAAGCGGCCATGAGTCTTGAGCTGCAGGCTGCCGATTCTCTGGAACTGCACAAGCAATAATACCCCCATATCTCAGACTACCTTGCAGACAGCTATGACCTCCCTACATCGAGCTATGCTACTTGTGAGGCCGAATGCTTCCAAGCATATGGGCCACATAATTATAATTGTCCGCGTTTTCATGACTTACCGAACATTATACATCACACATCACACATCACACATCACAGGGAGAACCGATCCTCATATTGGCAAGAGATGGCATGGTGGTTTGCCAGTGTATGCGATTATACGCATAATTCAAAAGGAAAGGAAACACGACTTCCCTTATCTCGACCATAGGATGCTTGGTCATGTAATGGCAGTCTGGTACAATTGAGCGGGTTCTAACATAGCCCATGAAAAAACTCTCCTCATGAACGAATTCATTCAAGCTATGCAAAGTCGATGAAATGTCTTCGTGGACAAGATAGATGTTGTTCTGACCGAGATTTACGATTAAGGCTTGTGGTGTCGGCGATAAAACCTGCTGTAAAGTTGAACGGGGGCACTATTCTCCACTGATAAATCAGTCGCCACCCCGGAGAGTGTTACATCCTCGGTGACTTTCCAAGACTCACGACGTTTTTCGGGATCTGATTAGTGACGTATCATTGGGAACAGCGTGATATGCAGATGCCATGTGCCTTAATAATTGTTCTCGTTGTTGACATGCCGAAAATCTGGGCCAAGTACATAATTGGTTCCGAGGATATAGGCTTTGTAATAGAATGATGCCATTAGTTGATGAGCTCATTGGTCGCCCTGTGATCGGTCCCCACGAATTGGTCATCAGAAACAACGGTGCAGAGTAATATAAGAACCGCAATTCGTTCGGGACGTTTGGACAGGCCCAGACATTTGACTGTGTATGTTCAAAGTCACAGTTGTAATTTTAGAAAGAGAACTGCTACCGTATTTGATGCAAGCAGCAGCAATATCAGCAAGAAGAGCTATTACCCAATTCGCACACAGCGGCGTGAAAGACATTACGTCGTTTCCGTCGATCCGGAGAGCGAGCAAAATGACGACAGGAATCTTTAAGCACATTGACACGGTGGCACAGCCGCCCAATACCAAGCCTTGGGCCAAAGTTGATGCCGATGCGGCATCGTTCAAGCTTCTCGAGCACAAGCGCTCGGTCCACGACCTGCGAGGTCGTGAGTCCGAGTTCACAACAGATAATTCCGGTTTTGCCGTCTACAAATCACCTTCTAACGAGAAGACCTTCACGGATGACGGTGCCGTCAGGGACGGCTACTATGCCGAGGTCGAGAAATTGCTACGCAAGCAGATCCCGGGGATCAGGAAAGTTGTCATCTTCGACCACACGATCAGGCGACGCATTCCCGGTGCTGCGCGAGCGCCGGTGCAACAAGGTATATAGTTTTTAGAGCTCATGTCCCCCATGTCCTTGCCTGCATCGGTCGTTGCTAACTCTAATACCTAGTCCACGTCGACCAAACCCCAGGAGCTGTTGACGTGCGCGTAAGACGCCACTTGCCTAAAGACGAGGCCGAAGAACTTCTCAAGGGGAGGTACCAAATCATCAATGTCTGGCGACCTATCGAGAACCCGGCGAGCGACTTCCCGCTGGCCGTGATCGATTGGCGGACTACGCAACCAGAGGATTTCGTGCCGGTGGACTTGCTGTACCCAAAGCGTGCGGATGCTGCCGTGGACGACGACGATCGCGGCAAAGAGGTTAGACCTGATGAATCAAAATGGTATTCTACAGAGGGCTACGAGGTGAAGGGTGAGACCATGGCGGTCAATCCAAATCCAGCACACAAGTTCTACTACCAGAAGGACATGACACCTGATGAGGTTTTGCTGCTGAAGTGTTATGATTCTTTCGGTGAGGGTCAGCCTAAAGGCCAAAAGGGCATTGCTGTGAGGACGCCGCACACAGCATTCATCGACCCTTTGACGCCGAAGGATGCACCGGGCAGACAAAGTATCGAGGTCCGCTGCTTGGTGTTCTACGAGTAAGGACCACTGGCAGACACTACCGGTACTCCGTAGATAGCAGCGCTAGAGAAGGAGCTGACCAGTAAATGTCAATTACAGCGTACTCCTCTCGACCAAATGGAACTTCTTTTTTAATAAATCTGAACCAAACATAACGAGCTATATAAACTGAGAGTGACTCAAATTTCCAGCGGTCAAGTGATTCGCTGAGGAGCTGCCATTTAAAGATCTGAAATTGCGCAAATAGGTGATTCGTTGCACAGCCACGTGACAAGCCACAACCAGGTTGGGTTGCAAGGTGTCGTTACTTGATAAACCACCGGCAAGGAAGTTAAAGTCAACAAAGCTTTCTCTGGAGGGAACAAGATAATGCGCCCTCTCAGCCTGTGCTGACCTACAGATCATCATGTCCTCAAGGTGCGTAGTATTTTCTTTTCCTCGCACGTGCAGTTCAGCGCTTCGAGAAAAGACTCGAGTGGAACTCCTCGCCGGCTTGGCCGCCCTTCAACCTCGGGAAATGGTGACGCCACGCCGCAGAATAGGGGGCACCAGCGCACAGCGAAATGAGGGCCAAGCGGCGCCCTCGGACTTGTCGCCGTCCCCTCGATGGACAATGGTCTCGAACACACACGCGGCAGTGATGATGGGCTAACTGGTGGCTGCCCTGCACAGGTTCGGCAGCTCGAATCTACACCAGCGCGACTCGCGCAGCGCGCTCTTCGAGGGCTACAAAGGCGGCGCCGACACGACGCGGAGACAATACAGCGCGAGCCCGGCCTCGGTAGGCGGAGGCTATGGCTACGGTGGATATCCCGGCAGCAATGGAAGCGGCGGTGGCCTAGGCGTCCCATCGAGCGGAGGATTCAGGCCGGCGACGCCCAATTCGAGGTAAATATCCCCCCCCCCCCCCTTCTGCTTACACGGAGCCGTTCCCAACTTTCTGGTTGCGACCTGGTGCTGATATATATGCTTGCACGTACAGGGGTCAATACGATGCCGCGACGCTCGAACAGCTGGAGAGCCAGAACGACCAGGAGGTCTCAGGGATCATGAGCAAGGTCAAGGTGCTCAAGACGCTGTCGGTGGCCATGGGCGACGAGATTCGCGATTCCTCGGCCATGATGGACAAGATGAACGATAGCTTTGACACGACGCGGCTACGGCTTCGCGGCACGATGAATAGAATGATGCTCATGGCAGAGCGAACCGGCGTTGGCTGGAAGGTCTGGCTCGGCTTCTTTGCTGCTGTCATTTTGATCTTCGTTTACGTTTGGTTGTTCTGATGATAGATTGAGCTGTCATACGGTATTGGCGTTGTGGTGTTGTCCTGGGCTTAGAAGAGCGAAGCCGTTGAGTGAAGGCCGGGGTGTATGGAGCACATATGGCATTCGATGATGATACACTGTGTATTGGCACGACGAGAAACGGTTTCTTTCAAAAGGGTTTGTAATCCATGTACGCATAATTTCATACTTGATTCGCGGCATTAGCATCGCTAGACAGCCGGCTTGGTCTAGGGCAAAACAATATCAAGCAACCAGGGTATCAATACTCTCCATCAAATCTCGAACGCCCCTCATCTGAATAGGCCTCTGGAAACGGCCCGACCACCTCTTCCTCGAGTCCCCTAGACGCGCCTTTGGACGTGTGGGCTGCTCCCAAGCAGGCTACTTCCGTCTCTTGACAGGAGATCGCTAAAAGCAAGACTGTTGCGCGTTGCATCAGATCGTGCCAAGCTGCCCCTGAAGCGAACTGACTGTGGTGCCCGTGCAGCAGCGAAGCTAACATCGCCCTGATCATCATCACTGCTGCTTAATTCAGCTTCCGTGTCTGTGTGCTCGTATCCGCCTAAGCTCTCGGCCTCTGGCACGTCGTCATCCAGATCGACGTCCATACCCCGGTCGTCGCCATCTTCACCGATAACGTCGCCCTCTTCTATCATTTCCTGTTGGTCCTCTTCATCTACCTCATCCTCACCCCCAATGCTTTGTCTCTGCGGATCATGGGTACGGCGCATCATTTGCGCCATGAGCTCCCTTTGGAGGCGTGCTGTCCGCGCCGCGCCGGCCGGCGTCCCGACCGGGTCGGCCTCGGCCTCGGAAGAAGAAACGCTGTCTTCTTCGTCGTCACTTTCTTCAGCTGCGCTAAAGAAGTCCCCTTCTGCCTCTGGTACCTCATCATCGAGGTCTCGTTCTCCTGCCCCATCGAGCTGCACATCGTCCATGGCATCACTGCCGACAATTTCCCCCATGACGGCGTCTGGGTCGCTGGGCCCACCTTCAGCAGGATCATCACCCCCAGCAGCCTCAGCTTCGGCAAGTTCCTGAGCGAGCTGTTCGCGTCGCATGGCCTCCTGGTGCTCCTCCTGTTCTCGGCGTTCTTCGCGTATCTGGTGTAAGGTTTTGGGAATACCTGGTGGTTTCAGCCATGCGCTGCCAAAATTCGAGACATTGTGCATGCGGCGTTCGAGGTTCTGTTCATCGGCGCGCAAGCGAGCGAGTGGGGATCTCTCGATGATGTGTACGTTACGGCGCGGGTTCGCTTGAGGGTGGGCGCTGTCGAGAGGCTGTTGCTGATGATCGTGCGTTACAGTCGGATTGCGAGAGGACGTGAACCAGAGCGAATGCGACTGAACCCCCAGCGTCAGCTTTGTACTGCAGGTTGGGGAGGGATTTGAGATATGAACGGAGGACTAACGTCGCGTGGGGCGAGATCAGGCAGTAGAGACAGCATGATGGCGCTTTGTGATGCTACAAACACATGTGAACTCTGAAGCGATTGTGTTTGGTGGGAGAGAAATACTGTGACCAATTCAGGCTTGAGCAGCCGTGAGCAATTGGTCTGGGACAGTAACACGACGACGCTTGGCCTTTCCCCAAGCTGCGGCTTCAGGCATGGGGAGCGGAAGTCACAGCAGACCTCAGTCTCTAATCAAAGTCGTCAAAACAATCCACCCCACTAATCTACTGTGTAAGCTACGGAGTACGTATAAGTACTGTGTACATTTGGGCACCGGCCCCCTGAGCAGTGACCGCCAGCTGGATCCCACCTTGGCTTGCTTGGACGCACTACGGAGTCCAGGGAGTGTGTTCTTGTACCATGGTAGATACATATGTAGGTGCTACCTAACCCATGTGGCTTCAGGGTGAGCCGGGACCATCGTGGGGTAGCGGGGTATCTTATTGTTGCTTGGAACTATGTATAGTACGTAATTAATCCAGGCCGTAATGTTGTCATCTGGGAGGTGCTGAGTTCTGGTATGTATTTGTATCATGTATTTCTTGCACATGTGAGAATACACAGTAGCGCCTGTGAAGTCAGTTGCTTGCCCGTTTGCGGAAGTAAGATGGCCCTAGATTGCTTTCATGTTTTAATATGGTGTTGTGTCATCAATACTAACTCGCGGAATGACTACGACTCTTCGCAATCATTTGTGTGTGAAACAGTCTGCACCATTACTGTATGTAGCACACATGCAGTATATAGCACAGGGCTATCGCAACTTTCACCACAAAAACCTTTCCAGCGGACTACATAGCCAATTCACTTTCGCAAATATCGGCTGACCGGTCCGGGGCTTACCAGGTGGTTTTCGTGAGGTAATGGATGAAAGCCCTGGCTTCAACCAAAAGTCGATCATAAAACCGGTCCTATGGAACCAACACCAGTCAGCCACTCGTACATTTGTGATTTGGTAGCGGTGTGCTTAATTTAAAACTTGTTGTTCGTAAAAAAAAATCACAAACATGTTGATTCGAGTTTCGCCGAAATAGCCAGTCCAGGATGTACTATTGTAGAAACCTAGCAACAGTCTATGACTTGCGGAATTTATCGGAACGTGGATGAAATTTTTTGCTCTATTTGTGCGGAACAGCGCTTGCCGCCATGCTCTCTTGAATGATGATGGTCTGACTCTGGTAGGTCCGGTCACCTTCCCATGCAAGATCCGCCGCTTGAAAGTGTGAGGAGTTGTGAGGGCAAGAAAATTGATTTGAATATCGGCCGATGTCGGGTTGGCCTAGCAGGGAAGACAAACCGCTGGCCAAGTCAAGCGTGCATCACTCGACTCAACGGCACGTGACAATGGTCAATATGCAGGCCAGTTGGTCATAATAGACCTTCACATAGATGTCTCCCATGTGTCTCATTAATTCTTTTAATAAATTGCAGGTTGGATAATCGGATAACCAGGTTCGCGAGATGTCCCAGCCGGAGAAGTCACCGTCTAAGGCCCACTGTCGCAACTTTGCAACCTCGTGGGAAGGCTCTTCTCGGAGACCTATACTTAGTACTTAATTGCAAATTCCATCAGACAAGCCAACAATGACGTTAACATGGTCGTGGGCGAGGTAAAGTAGCATCACACTTCAAAGTTCGTTGAAACGCGAGATAAGAAATATGCTGGTGCTGATTGGTTCCTCAATGTCAAGCTGACAGATCTCTATTACTGACCATGTACGAGGCTGCATGACTGCAAAATGGTCACGAGCGCGGATGCACTAATTCCAATTCATTAGATGCACGATCCATGTATATGTAGCCCTTTGCATTTGGAGGCGAATGCAGGGTCACTTGCATTAAGCTGTGTATACTCGGTTAACTAATTGAAAATGCCGCCCCCATGGGCTCTTTCTAACTGTTCATTGGCCATATATTTTATTACAAGAATTAAATGTGAATAGCCAAGCCGGTAGGGCGTTGGACATTTTGCTTTGTGAGCTTCTGCCCGCAGCGGCCTAAGGCTGTTTCGTTCTTAGATCTCCCATGTTCAAGCATATTTTGCCCTTTGCCTATATCTTGGAACATGCTTTTGGGTATAGTATACCTCAAAGCCCTATAACGACATGGGAGTGCTGCCGATCACAGTCTTCGCTGTTGTGCTTCTTGAGCCTTTGGCCCCTCGAGCTTCTGCGTCCCAATTCATGTAACATTAACAGCACCCCCTGCTGCTTAGCACGGTATTTACCTCGACGCTAAATTGCGTTCGCAGGTATATCCTTGTCGGCCTTTCGCGAGCGGGGCGTCACTTTTCCACAAGGCGACATCGGCCATGACAGCTATGGAAAAGATGCTCTTTCATTGGCTTTTGATAAATGGAATTGCGCCCACCAACACAATTCTAGAGATGCGTGGTTGACTGGACCCCTAGCACATGCTCGAAAGGTTAAGTGTGGGGTGGGGCTCGTACGGCTGAAGCTTTCATGATCAATCTCCGTGAACATGGTAAAGAAGGCAGCGAGTTCGAGCTCTTGAGACCCTCCCGACCGGCGGAAAGCGCCGATATAAGAAGTCATCTGGATTGGTCCAGAAACAGTCTGTTCCGTAATCCTTCGACGCAATGGTAGATTTCGTCGAGACATGCGAGATATTGTAGGAGCCAAACTGAGCGCACTACAGTGCTTTTGCCCTCTTGGGAAAGCTGGCCGGCGAGCAAAACGCCATGTACATGGACGCTTGAAAGTTAATGCATTTGCCAGACTCCAAACCTGCTTATACTAAAACGCTTGAACACAGGGCGACCATACTCGAAACTTCTGTATGGAGCCAAGCATGCTTCAGTCTGCAGCTTATTTGTCGCAGAGTCCCATTGGACGGCCGTATATCTAGCTTGCACCTGAAGAAACAAAGAATGTTGCTCTGGTAGAGCCAGGCGCCTCAAAAGACAACATTTGAGGCTGGGTTTGGTGGAACGTTGCCACCGATGGCTGGACAGAACCATAATTGTCCGAGATTGCTTAGGCAAGTGCCCGCATTCACAAGTAGTCTGCAAGCGACAGCGGAATTTGTTGTATTATCTGTTTGTAAGCATATTGGCAACACACAACGCATAGTCCCCAAGCAACTCCGAATTTTGGAGGAGGCGGATACCACCCCACCCAAAATATAGACCAATAATGGCTGGACTAATTTCACACAATGCACGCTGAGGGTTTTATGGACAGGACCAAAAAGACATGGACATACTGTACCAAGGTAAGCAAACGGACTTCAGCTTCATATGGATACTCCTAGATCGATCACCATTTCCAAGGTTTATCGACATGTGCCAGGTAGGTTACCACATGAACTCTGATTGTTTGGACTGCTTCCACGTCCCTAATTTTTCTCCCCCCCCCCCCCCTCTCGCGGCTATGTAATGTGCATACTCCTAGGTTAGGCCAATCAGCATAGTGCATTTGTAAGTTCAGAGACTGAAGAGACTCCGTCAACGTCACCCAAGCTCGCTAGCCGTTTTGTCTAAACCCCTAGTCGAGGGAGTTGACTGGGGGGGTAACAAAGGTGGATCTAGCAAAGACCTCTCACCACTGGCTGGTTTTGATTGTCTCCCACAAATCTGTGTCCGTCTCTCGGCGAGTTCCCCTCCCCCACTCTCACTTATTGAGAGACTAGACTAGGACCATGGCTAGATGGGACCGATCTGCCACATGTTTAGCAGGGTGGTTTGCGAATATCTTTTTGCTTTATGGCTTTAGGAACGGGACGGTAGTCGGAACGGGGTGTAGGATGTAGGGCAGTAGGCAGTAGGCAGTCTTTCTCCCCATCAAGCCCCTCCCCGTAGTACCATTATAAGCAAAGAAGGTTTCCCAGTTTCTCACCATCTCTTCTCCCTTTCTACTCTTCTTTTGCCAGACGACTCTACTATCCTCTCTATAACTGCTTGAGAGTGCCATCCGTCCAGTAGAGCTGACTCTGACGACAGACCAGAAGAGAGTCTTCTAATATTTACATGTGAGTATAGAAATCATCTGCGCACCTCCCCCCCAAAGCACAGAATATATACCATATGGACCTCGTCTGTGGACGACTTTCATTACCCGGATCTCGACAAGGGTTTTTTCGACGAACGGGCGCAAGCGACATGTGCCAGGCTACTTGATCGAGACGAAGCCCTGCGAAATTAAGGTCATCTGCGAATTTTGTGCTGCGATAGAGGCTGTAAACACGCGATCGCCTCACTCAGGTACTAGGGACCAATGCGGTGCTCTCCACGGTCGCCTCGGTCGCCTCGGTCGTGCGAATGCAACCCTCCGCCGGTACCAACTCTCTGCCCGCGACTCAGTCATTGGATCCATATCGCGCAGTGAGAAAGATGGGATAAAAAATTCGGTGGCTGCCATAGGTCGCGTTAGCTTGTCACCCTTCAACAGGCCGATCTCTTAGCCGCATGAGCAAGTACCGTGGGTCGCAATTGGTTGTCGTCATATCTACCCCACGTCCATTTTTCTCTCTCTCGGTCTCTCTCCCGCTTGCTGGTGTGCTGGGTTCTGGTTGGACATGGATACTGCCAAATCCGGATGCAAGCTGTCGAGCTTTCCAAAAAGCTTTCGGCGCTAGAGCTGTGGCCTTGCATCACATGAAGCGGGATATGCTGGGCAATTGAGAAAATCACATCTCCGTCGAGCGATCTGTGGCTTCAAAGTGGATTCAAAGTCTCAATCTTGCGCAGCCAATTAACACCTTGATTATTCTGTCAAGGACGCACGTTAAACCACATCGCTCCTCCTTCTGCACCGAGACTTTGCCTAGGAATAAGAATAATATTGAGAACAAGAATAAACCGCCTACACCCAAATTCGACGCTGTTCGGATTACTAGCAAGTCAGCATTACCGAGACTCGGAAGGGCTGGTTTTTTTTTTCCTACGTATACTCATCCAGACGACAAACGACAGACGGCATTCGCGCGAGCCATAAAGAGCCATCTTCGATTCACATCAGTTCTTCGGTGACGGAAATTGGCCATTGACCATCATCCTACGAGTCTGCCACCCCTCTACCTCGCCCACATACTCGGTCCCTGCCGCGTTCCACCGGATCTTGTCTACAGCAAACCCTGCTCCCACGACCATGGCTTGACCAAACTCACCTGCAAAAAACTTCTATCTATCTTGAGACGGTAAACTGACCTGTATTTCTCAATTAGACTTGACCTTTGAGCGGCAAACGCTGCCCTCGCCGCCGAAGTTGCCCCCCTGCGAACATCTTCTCGATACCCTCGATACCCACCCCAGTAACATACCCACTTGCCTAGCATGGGCTTACCGGTGGAATTCGACGACAGACAAACTTCAATTGAGTCTGAGGTGGAGACCTACCATCCTTATGAATATCAGACGGAGAACAATGGCTCGTGGGCTGGTGCCCTGCCCGTGAAGCAGTAGGTTCAGATGTAAATATTCCAAGCTGCAACAAGCGCTGACTGGGTATCATTAGGGGTTTGTATGACCCCGAGCTAGAAAAGGATGCTTGTGGTGTTGGTTTTGCATGGTATGGATCCCAAACCTGACACGCCTTCGGAATCTCAATTGACCAGCATGTAGCCATATCAAGGGTGTACCCAGCCACAAGATTGTTAGCGATGGTGAGTTTCGGCCGTGCCTCTCCGCGAAGGTATAACAACTGACAGCGCCATAGCACGAAACCTGCTGTGCAACATGACCCACCGTGGAGCGGTGGGTTCTGATGCTCGTGACGGTGATGGTGCTGGTGTTATGACTTCGATTCCCCACAAATTCTTTATCAAGAACTTTGAGCGCGAGGTTGGCATTAAGCTGCCTCCTCTCGGTCAGTACGCTGTGGGAAACCTTTTCTTCAAGCCAGACGAGGAGACCCTGCAGGAGTCGAAGAGGCAATTGGAAGATATTGCCGAGTCGCTTGGGCTGAGGGTCTTGGGATGGCGAGAACCCCCTGTAGACTCTACTCTTCTTGGCCCTGCCGCAAAGTCGCGTGAGCCCACCATTCTGCAGCCCTTTGTGGTGCTTACTTCTGCATATGGCTCCGGGGATGCTCCTGAAATCACGGACCCCGAGCAATTTGATGACAGACACTTCGAGAGGCAACTGTATGTGCTTCGAAAGCGTGCGACTCACACCATCGGCCTTCACAACTGGTTCTACCTGTGCTCCTTATCAAACAGAAACATTGTCTACAAGGGACAACTTTCTCCCGTGCAGGTCTACTCGTACTATCACGATCTGGTGAACGCTGATTACCAAGCCCATTTTGCCTTGGTGCACTCTCGTTTCTCCACAAACACATTCCCTTCCTGGGATCGTGCACAGCCTCTGAGATGGGCGGCACACAATGGTAAGCACAGGTCCTGTTTTGAATGCACAAGTCGCGCATACTGAGACGAGCATAGGTGAAATCAACACCCTTCGTGGTAACAAGAACTGGATGCGTGCCCGCGAGGGTGTCATGCAATCAGATATCTTTGGCGATGAGCTGGAGCAGCTCTACCCAGTTGTTGAGGATGGTGGTTCTGATTCCGCTGCCTTCGACAACGTGCTGGAGCTTCTGACCATCAACGGTGTGCTCTCTTTGCCCGAAGCCGTTATGCTGATGGTCCCAGAGGCATGGCAGGGTAACACTGCCATGGACCCCAAGAAGGCCGCATTTTACGAATGGGCTGCATGCCAAATGGAGCCCTGGGATGGTCCTGCCCTTTTCACCTTCGCTGATGGTCGCTACTGCGGTGCCAACCTTGACCGTAACGGCCTGCGTCCCTGCCGTTACTACATCATGGACGATGATCGCATTATTTGCGCTTCAGAAGTCGGCACCATTCCCGTGGATCCCGAGAGAGTTATTCAAAAGGGTCGTCTGCAACCCGGAAAGATGTTGCTAGTTGATACCCAAGCTGGACGATTGATTGACGACTCGGAGCTCAAGAATGCAGTCTCTAGTAGAAATGACTTCCGTTCTTGGATTGACAATGAGCTGATTAGTCTGCCCAAGGTGCTCAGCCAAGCAACCGAAAGTGGCCTCGACATTGCTCCTAAGCCCGACCTTTCCAAGATCCAAGAGGATCCTCTTTTGCTCGCCTTCGGCTACACACATGAGCAGGTCAGCTTGCTGCTGGCTCCCATGGCTCAAGACGAGAAGGAGGCTTTGGGGTCAATGGGCAACGATGCTCCATTGGCTTGTCTGTCACAAGCACCGCGCCTCCTGTACGAGTACTTCCGTCAGCTATTCGCTCAGGTCACAAACCCCCCAATCGACCCCATCAGAGAGTCCATTGTCATGTCTCTTGACTGCTATGTTGGGCCCCAGGGTAACCTGCTCGAGATGGACTCATCCCAGTGCGGTCGCCTGTTGCTTCCTAGCCCTATCCTCTCCATTCCAGAGTTCAATGCCCTGACCAACATATCGAAAACCCACCCTCAATGGACGGTCAAGACCATTGACCTGACTTTTCCCAAGAAGGATGGTGTTGCTGGTTACCTGAAGCACCTCGACAACATTTGCGACGAAGCCACCGCGGCTATCGAGGCTCACGACCGCATCATTGTCCTGTCCGACCGCAAGGTCTCCAAGGATCGCGTGGCGGTTTCTACCTTGCTTGCCTCTGGCATGGTCCACCATCATCTGGTCAGCAACAAGTGGCGGTCCATGGCTGCTATCGTCCTTGAGTCTGCCGAGGCCCGTGAAGTTCACCACATGTGCGTGTTACTCGGTTACGGAGCTGATGCTATTAACCCCTACCTTGCCATGGAAGCCATCATCAAGCTCAACCGGGAGGGTCTTATTCGAAAGAAGCTTTCTGACGATGCTTTGATCGCCAATTACAAACACTCGGTCGATGGTGGTATTCTCAAGGTCATGTCCAAGATGGGTATCTCTACGCTCGCCTCTTACAAGGGAGCCCAGATCTTCGAGGCCCTGGGTGTTGACGACGATGTCATCGAAAGATGTTTCCGAGGCACTGCCTCCCGTATCAAGGGTGCTACATTCGAGATCATCGCAGAAGACGCTTTCAGATTCCACGAGCGTGGCTTCCCCTCTCGCTACACTGTTGGTCCTACTGGACTTCCTGAGTCCGGCGAATACCATTGGCGAGACGGCGGCGAGGCTCACGTTAATGACCCGACGTCGATTGCCAATATACAGGATGCCGTACGCAACAAGAACGACAAGTCCTACGAAGCTTACTCGAGATCTGAGTATGAGCAGATCAAGGCCTGTACACTGCGCGGTATGCTCGACTTCAAGTTTGATGAGTGCACCCCCATTCCCATTGATCAGGTGGAGCCCTGGACTGAGATTGTCCGCCGTTTCTGCACCGGTGCCATGTCTTATGGTTCCATCTCCATGGAGTCTCACTCTACCCTGGCTGTGGCAATGAACAGGCTTGGTGGTAAATCCAACACTGGTGAAGGTGGTGAAGATCCTGAGAGGTCTCAGGTCATGACCAACGGAGACACGATGCGGTCTGCAATCAAGCAGATTGCTTCAGGACGATTCGGTGTCACTTCTGCCTACCTGGCCGACTCCGATGAGCTTCAGATCAAGATGGCCCAGGGCGCCAAGCCCGGTGAAGGTGGTGAGCTGCCTGGACACAAGGTCTCCAAGTCCATTGCTCGGACCCGTCACTCCACCCCTGGTGTCGGTCTTATCTCGCCTCCTCCTCATCACGATATCTACTCCATCGAGGACTTGAAGCAGCTGATCTACGACCTCAAGTGCTCCAACCCCCGATCTCGTGTCTCTGTCAAGCTTGTTTCGGAGACTGGTGTTGGTATCGTTGCTTCTGGTGTCGCCAAAGCTAAGGCTGATCACATCCTAATCTCTGGCCATGACGGTGGCACTGGTGCGTCTCGATGGACTGGAATCAAGTACGCTGGCCTTCCTTGGGAGTTGGGTCTCGCCGAGACTCACCAGACTCTTGTTCTGAACGACCTTCGAGGTCGTGTCGTCGTGCAGACCGATGGTCAGCTCCGTACTGGACGCGATGTCGCTCTGGCATGTCTGCTTGGTGCGGAGGAATGGGGTTTCGCGACAACACCTCTGATTGCGATGGGTTGCATTATGATGCGCAAGTGTCGTAAGTTTATGGATCATTGAAAACTGCACTCGCAACTTGAAGCTAACTATTCTCCAGATCTTAACACCTGTGAGTGACTCCCGGAGGCTTCTTTTTCCTTGTCTTTTTCTTTTCTTCTTCTTCTTCTTATAAAGCTTCTATTCGGAGTGCCCATTGGCTTAAATCGTCCTTTGCTCTTGTGTCACAACTTATGTTGCTCATACAGTCTTGTCAAATAACCTGGAAGGAGCAATTACTGACTCTCGATGTTGTAGGCCCCGTTGGTATTGCCACCCAGGACCCTGAGCTTCGCAAGAAGTTCACTGGTACCCCCGAGCATGTCATTAACTTCTTTTACTACGTCGCCAATGAGCTTCGAGCCATCATGGCTAAGCTTGGTTTCCGTACCATCAATGAGATGGTTGGTCACGTTGAGGTCCTAAAGGTCAAAGACGATCTTCGCACCAACAAGACTGCGAACATCGATCTCTCTTTGATTTTAACACCTGCCCATAAGCTTCGACCTGGTGTCGCCACTTTTAACGTCCGCAAGCAGGATCACAAGCTACACGTCCGATTGGACAACAAGCTTATCTCCGAGGCTGAGTTGACACTGGACAAGGGTCTGCCGAGCAGAATTGAGTGTGATATCACCAATACCGACCGAGCTATGGGTACTTCCCTGTCTTACCACATCTCCAAGCGATATGGTGAGGCTGGCTTGCCGTTGGACACTGTCCACGTCAATATCAAGGGCTCTGCCGGTCAGTCCTTCGGCGCCTTCCTCGCGCCGGGTGTCACCTTGGAGCTAGAGGGTGATGCCAATGACTACGTCGGTAAGGGTCTATCCGGTGGTCGCATGATTATCTACCCACCTCGATCTGCCGTCTTCAAGGCCGAAGAGAACATTTTGATTGGTAACACCTGCTTGTACGGTGCAACGAGTGGCAGCTGTTTCTTCCGCGGTATTGCGGCCGAGAGATTCGCTGTCCGTAACTCAGGTGCCACTGCCGTTGTTGAAGGTGTTGGCGACCACGGTTGTGAGTACATGACTGGCGGTCGTGTCGTCGTTCTCGGAAGCACTGGCCGCAACTTCGCTGCTGGTATGTCTGGTGGTATTGCCTATGTTCTCGACATTCACCGCGACTTTGAGTCCAAGCTCAACATGGAGATGGTCGAAGCTTCTAGCCTCGAGGACCCCGCCGAGATTGCTTTCTTGCGCGGCCTGATTGAGGATCACCATCACTATACTGGGTCTGAGCTGGCTGCTCGCATCCTCGTCGACTTCAACAGAGCTCTACCTCGATTCGTCAAGGTTCTGCCGGTCGACTACAAGAGAATTCTCGAGCAGGAGGCTGCCAAGGCCGCTGAGGCCAAGCGTGCTGAGTACAATCTTCCCATACTCCCTGGGGCCAAGCCCAAGAAGGAGGAGCACAAGGCGTCCAAGCTTCAAGATATGGAAGAGGCAGTCGGCGACAATGCAGCTGAGAAGAAACGATCTCTAGTTCTGGACAAGACCAAGGGTTTCATGAAGTACCAGCGACGATCTGAGAAATACAGAAATGCTAAGACCCGTACCAAGGACTGGCAGGAACTGTCCCAGCGCCTCGACGAGGATGAGCTCAAGTACCAATCCGCTCGTTGCATGGACTGTGGTGTTCCCTTCTGTCAGTCTGACAGTGGTTGCCCGATCTCCAATATCATTCCTAAGTGGAATGAACTGGTATTCCAGAACCAGTGGCAAGAAGCTCTCAACCGCCTGTTGATGACCAACAACTTCCCTGAGTTCACAGGCCGTGTCTGTCCTGCTCCTTGCGAGGGTGCTTGTGTTCTAGGTATCAACGAGGATCCTGTTGGTATCAAGTCAATTGAATGTGCCATCATTGACCGCGGCTTTGAGCAGGGCTGGATGGTTCCTCAACCTCCTGAGGTTCGCACTGGCAAGAACATTGCCATTGTTGGCTCTGGACCTGCCGGTCTGGCCGCTGCTGACCAGCTGAACCGAGCTGGTCACTCTGTCACTGTTTACGAGCGTGCTGACAGACCGGGTGGCCTGCTTATGTACGGCATCCCCAACATGAAGCTCGACAAGCGCATCGTCAAGCGCAGAACTGACTTCATGGCCGCTGAAGGTGTCATCTTCAAGACTGGTGTCGCCATTGGTGAGGACATCACCTTGACAGACCTGAAGGCTCAAAACGATGCAGTTATCATCGCTACCGGTGCTACTGTCGCTCGGGACCTGCCCATCAAGGGCCGCAACCTGGAGGGAATCCACTTCGCCATGGAGTTCCTGCACAAGAATACAAAGTCACTACTCGACTCGGAGCTACAGGACAATGCTTACCTCTCTGCCAAGGGCAAGGACGTCATAGTCATTGGTGGTGGTGACACTGGAAACGACTGCATTGGTACCTCCGTACGTCACGGTGCCAAGTCGGTTATCAACTTCGAGCTCTTGCCTCAGCCTCCTCCCCAGCGTGGTAGTGACAACCCCTGGCCCCAGTGGCCCCGTATCTACCGTGTTGACTACGGTCACACCGAGGTCAAGCAGCACATGGGTAAGGACCCCCGTGAGTACTGCATCATGTCGGAAGAATTCGTGGACGATGGCAGTGGCCGCGTCAAGGGTATCAACACCATCCGTGTTGAGTGGACCAAGTCCGCTACTGGTGGCTGGGACATGAAGAAGCTTGAGGAAACGAAGCAATTCTTCCCTGCTGACCTTGTCCTCCTCTCGATGGGTTTCCTTGGGCCTGAGGCCCGAGTTCTGGGTGACGACATTGAGAAGGATACTCGCAAGAACGTCAAGACCGCTGCGGGCTCGTACGCCACCAACGTCCCTGGCATCTTCGCGGCTGGTGATTGCCGGCGCGGTCAATCTTTGATCGTGTGGGGTATCAATGAAGGACGACAAGCTGCCCGGGAAGTCGATCTTTACCTCGAGAAGTACACCAGTCTTCCTGTCACTGGTGGTATCGTCAAGCGCACTGCCCAGGAGATCTTCAGTATCAGTGCTGCTTAAGTGGGCAGGTCAACAGCCGCCAATGTGTAACGCTATGTCTACGAATAAAATGTGATGACGCGGAATAGCTCCCGTCGGTGCTAGATTTGGGAGATGGTAAATAGGGGGTCAAGTGTTTTTTGTTTTATTTTATTTTGGCAAAAACTGATTTTACGATACCATGAGAACGACTGAGAAAAAGTTATGAAACCCGGCTCAAGGGCGGCATTTGCAATAGTGGATTCTTTACGGCCTTCGTTTCATGTTCCTCGTTGCGAAAAGTTTAGATGGGTGGTTTTTCGTTGGGATTGTTCTCTGGGCTTGAGCGAGATGGACATACACATACAGCACAATTTAATAGCACTGAGATACATAGGAAACAATGACAACCACTTGATGAAACTACCCCACAATGTGATGGCCTCTTGTAGTCTCCCTAGCCTGGTGACAATCGGTATAGCGGGAGACATAACCATGATCGCATTACGGGTTTGATGTTTACGCGGGCACGGGATCAATGGCGTCTGTCGTCAGCACAATTTGGCTGCCCCGGGCTGCTTGTCTCATTCATATGATCTGTGAATGACTGGACGGACTCCGGCGATCCTGCGCGTTACCGCACCGTAGCAGAGTACGTACCCCACCGACCTTCGGTTGATAGTTCGAGCACGTGTGCCCAGACGGGCAGTAATTGGTCAATTGGGCCGGAGCCACTGTATCTGCCTACGAGTCTACCAAGCAACCCGTACAAGAGGCATGACCGGGAGAGGCCTGGATAGGCCTGAAGACGCCTGCAGAGGAGCTGCAGTGGGCACTGAGTGCTCTGGTTCCCGCCAAAGCGGGGAGCGACTGGGGGGGCAGCTCACGGGTGACGAAATTATGTACATTAGTTCGTGGTCATGGTCACCGTCACTGAAACTTTCCAACGTGGAGTGAGGCTTGATTGCAAAAACACGCCGTCTTGTCGCGCACCAACTCCAGCAATCCGTGTTGTATTGTATCGTATCGTGTCGCATCGCAGCGCCTCCAACCTGCTCACTGGTATCAGCTTGATCATACACCTCTACACATTAAACCGTCCTTATCGACAGAGGCAAGCCCCCCCCCCCCCCCCCCCCCCCCCCCCCGTCATGCGTTTCGGCAAGACTCTCCGCGAGTCCACATATGGACCATGGAAGGACCAGTACATCAACTACTCCAAGTTGAAGAGCCTTCTGCGCGAGGACGAGCGGGACGATGACACACAGTGGACCGAAGAAGACGAGGAAAAGTTCAGCAACGAGATCTTCAGCGTCGAGCTCGACAAGGTCGCCGCATTCCAAGACAAAACCGTTGCGAGCCTCCAGAAGCGCACCGACGACGCCTTTGACAAGCTGAAGGAGTTTACCCCTTCCGACTCCAAACCAAAGGGCGACATTGCCACCCAGCGCCTCAAGGAGCTCAAGGCACAGATCGACTCCATCACCAACGAGGTCGAGCAGCTCAAGAAGTACAGCAGTGTCAACTACACCGGTTTCCTCAAGATTGTTAAGAAGCACGACCGGAAGCGCGGCGACAGATACAAGGTCCGCCCCCTCATGAAGCTCAGGCTGTCCGACCGCGGCCTCAACGACGAGAAGGCCTACTCGCCCCTGCTGAAAAAGCTCTCGACTATTTACTACATCATTGATTCCCACCTCGAGAGTGGCTCGGAGCAGGGCCAGGCGCTGCCCCCCGACCTGGAACACCAGGAGGAAGTCAAGAACGGAGAAAGATACACTGCACACAAGTGTAAGTTTCATGACCTGTAGCCTCCAACCAATCGACCCACCATGGTCCTGTCCTTTGCAATTTCTCGGTAGCTAACTCCTCAAATCCGATTCAGTCTGGATCCATCCGGACAATCTTCTCGAGGTCAAGACGTACATCCTCCGCCGTCTGCCCGCCCTTGTTTACAGCGACTCATCTGCCAAGGAGCTTGACGGGAAGGAAGACCCCAGCATCACCTCCCTGTACTTCGACAATTCCAAGTTCGACCTCTACATGCGAAAGGTTGAGCGCCAGGTTGATGTGTCGTCCCTTCGCCTCCGATGGTACGGCCAGCTGAGCAAGAAACCAGACATATATCTGGAGCAGAAGATCATCTACGAGAATGGCACCAGCGAGGAGAAGAAAATCAACATCAAGGACAAATACATCAAGCAGTTCATAGACGGCGAGTACAAGATGGAGAAGACCGTGCAGAAGATGGAACGACAAGGACAGCAGTCCGACAAGGTCGAGACTTTCAAGGATACCGCCGACGCCATCCAAGACTTCATCACCAAGAACAAGCTGGAGCCTGTTGTAAGGTCTATTTACACCCGCACGGCTTTCCAGAAGCCCGCCGATGATCGTGTCCGGATCGCTATCGACTCGGACATTGCTTTCGTTCGCGAGGACACGCTCGACAGAGACAGACCATGCCGCGACCCGAGCAGCTGGCACCGACGTGATATCGACGACAGCAACATGTCGTACCCCTTCAAGAACATCAACCAGAGCGAGGTCGCCAAGTTCCCCTTTGCACTACTGGAGATCAAGACCAAGGAGGATGCGAGCCGCAGAAGACCGGCATGGGTTGAGGACCTAATGGGCTCCCACCTCGTTCACTCGGCTCCCCGGTTCTCCAAGTTTGTCCATGGCGTAGCATCCTTGTTTGAGGACCACGTCAACAATCTGCCATTCTGGCTCAGCGACCTAGAAAGGGACATTCGCAAAAGCCCCAAGCAGGCATTTGACGAAGAGGAGCAGAGGAAGGCTCGTCGCGCAGAAGACGCCCAAGTCGTAGGAAGTTTCTTGGGTAAGAGCACTGCCTCCTACAAGGCTGCCGCGAGTGGGTCATATAAACCCGCCGCAAGTTCACCTGTCGGCCAGTCATACCTTGCTCAACGAATCCAGTCCGAGGAACATGCAACGCGGACCAACGAGCTGTCCTCGACGACCATTGGTGAGCATCAGGGCGAAGACGAGGAAGACGAGGAGGCGAATGGCCAGCAGAGCTATGGCACCCTCGGCAAGATTCTTCCCAGCTTCTCCATTGGTAGCTATGCCCGTCTTCGCAAAGATCGCGTCAAGCTTCCTGATGGCGTCGTCGAGCCCACGGCTTGGATCAAGAACGAGGGAGAGCTCAAGGTTGAGCCCAAAGTCTGGCTGGCCAACGAGCGCACATTCCTCAAGTGGCAGCACATTTCCGTGCTGCTTGGCTCCCTAGCTGTTGGTCTCTACACATCGGCGGGCGAGAATTTCCTGGCCGAGTGCATGGGCGTTGCCTACGTTGCCATCGCTGCGGTGACTGGGCTGTGGGGATACATCATGTTCAACAAGCGGCAGAGTATGATCATAGAGCGTAGCGGCAAAGATTTCGACAACATGGTCGGTCCAATGGTTGTCAGCGTTGCCATGATGATCGCCTTGGTTCTGAATTTTGTGTTCGCTTACCGGGAGGCGTTTGGGAAACTGCACGGTGAAGCACAACCGGCGGGCAACGACACAGCAAAGTACATCGTTGGGGAGCTGTAAAGCAAACCACCGCTAGGCTTGCCCATGCAGGTACGGAAACTTGGGTGTATGTGTTGAGGCCGCGAGATGCTTACGAGAAGGGGCTGGTCAGCAGCACTGTATGTATATAGATCACGGTAGGGCTGCTCAGAGCAGACCTTGCATACAAATCACGTCCCACTGCGCATATAGCTCGGAATAAATATGACATACTCCGACTTGAAAATAGAGAAGATGTTTCGGGCAATTCCATCATTGTTTAGTCGTATGACCTAGACGGCCGAGTGGTATTCCCAGTCCATTCCCTCCGCGAAGTGATGAACTGTAATTAGTGTGAACGGCAGCCAACTAATTTTACGAGAGCTTTCGCCGCCTTCTAACCCCAGCCACACATGAGCCAGGCTTACGTAGCATTAGCCTCTCTTTCACAATGTTGATCTACGTGATGTGAGCTACATGCGAGTTACATACTCGCTTCAGCTTCACATCGTCACAGTCGCGTTTGGAAGCCGCCTATAATTGTCATTGTGTCCGTGTACAACGCGGCACGGCGGGTCGAGGGGCGGCTGGAATCTGTCGATGAAACAAGTTTGTGATTCTCATGTTTCCCCGATCAACGAAATCCTAATTGTCGAACTCTAAAAAGCTCAAGTCTCATTGTTCGCGCCAGATCCGCGATCCGAGGCTCATCACGGACGATTGAGATTTTATTTTCGGGAGCTGATCTTACAGCGGCTGACACCATCGTGCCAGCCACCGGAATCCTTCGACGGCTCAATGATCCCGTAGCTCTGTCATTGGATAGAAGGGAACCTGCCATGTGCCATACGGCCTTGTCTGAGCCACATACCTTGTTCCCCTCGTCTACTATCGGCGGAGGCTGGAGAGGCGTGCTGAAGCACTGTAGACCTCCGCGGCGGCGAACATCTTCGTTCCCATGCTAAACTTTCTTGGAAGGCCGCAATAGCATTTCGCATGGTTGTGACAAGATACTCGTGACACTATGCCAGCCTCACCATTATGACCGCATCGATGCCGTCTATGTTTCTGTGGATACATCCTCGGCCCTTCCAGGTATGTCTTAGAGGTCGGGACACGGGATGATGCCGTTGTCTAGCACCTGATGTCTAGCCGGACCTCCCAGATGCCCAGAATAAGCATGTGCTTTCCAAAGCCTGACGGCGGCAGCCTTCCATGCTTATTGCTTGTGGTAGACATTACTGGCTAATACAAGGCAAAATGCATAGTCTTTTTGGATTGCTATTGTTGGAATTAGTAGGGACGGTAGGAAGATTATGTAGTAGCCGTGACCGACCCAACGAAGACTACAACGACTCTGGGAACGCGTAGGATTTGTGACGCTGTTTATAATACTTGCCCGGTTGGTATGTGTTTAGTGCCAAGATGCCAACCATCTCGGAAGGGTTGAAAGTGAAAGGTCAAGGCGGCCCGTTACCATACTACTGAACCTTCCTTTTGCGCCCGAATGGACTTATTCTCGAATCCCCACTCACCTTGCTGGAGGATACGCTAGAAGCCTAGCCGTTGGAAGAATTTGGAACCAAGAGTCATGATAACACCATTGCTGACGGTTCAGTGCGCTATTGCTCTTCACGGACGGCCGCGTTTCATCCGATGTCATGCACCGGCTGCCAAACATCTAGAAGCAGGAACGGCGGGAGTCGGAAATGTCAAAATTTCGCAGTTGCCCGACGTGTCTTATGACTGCATCACAGCTCTCTTCGACCCTTTGAGCCGATGCAAAACAGAGTTTGTGGTGACTGCGCAGCGTGGTACTACTTACTACACAGTACAGTGCTGCTTCCAGGGCACCCACCGGATCTGGCCAGCCCGACACATGCAGGAACATCCATGCCAGCTACTTGGTCGGCGTTGGGTAAGACAGATCCAATTCGTCGGAAAAGAACGTCGCCCCTGCTGGGGTGCATTGTGCCTGAGATGTGGGGTCTGCAGGACCGAGCTTCAAGTTGCAATCAACTTGAACCCCTGATCACTTGGATAATTGATAAGTGTTCTCGAATTGGGCAAACGCTGCGGATAGAGGGCAGATTGCGGCCCTCCAAAGCTCTTGAAGGGTTTCGTAAATCGAAGATTAGAAGATCTGGGACGATCCGGAGGGATTGGTGAGTTTCGCGGCGCATGCCGGCTCCAAGACATGCCAACCCACACAACCTGACCGGTTCAGAGCTTTTGGAGACTTGGCATTTGTCCACCTGGATATACTGTAAATAATGAGATCGACCGCTTCAAATGCACACGCTTGGGCATGCCTGTGACACGGTACTCGTGTAATTCCGGCCTGAAGATCACAGTAGGGTGCGATTGTCGTCTTTGCGAACGCGAGACTGCAAATTGGTTGAGAGGTCAGTACATTACATAACATAACATCGCGAAGCTGTGCTCGTGCGTAACCTTGAGGTCTTTTCTGCATGTCTGAGCGTTGTGATGTATCCATTGAAGGGTCTGCTTGAATCCCACCGGCTTGGAGTTGATTGGAGATCTTGTGAAGCTTAAGCCCACCAAACATGCTGAAGAGAACGCCGGGGAATTTTGTCAACACAGACATAGCGGCGCAGTGTTGCACATGCATATATGCTGTTTAGAAGCAGGTCCAACCTTGGATGACCTGCATGATGCGAACCAGACTGGTTCGGGCGCTGCTTTGCTTTGCCTTGCCTTGTTTATTCTGGAACAGCAGGTGGTCAGGGTATCCTGGACAAGAACCGACTTCATGTCGGTCAATACACACTCAGTGTGTTGTCTGGTGTTCGAGAAAGGGAGGCTGAAATGGACGGCTCACAACAATAATAAAAACATTTCAACAGATCCATTGGTATCGAGGTACGGATCCATACAGTTTCCCAAGGAGGGCCCCACTCACAACGTGGGTGTCGGCGGGTGCTTGAGCTTGCCCAGCTCCCTAGCACCTACTCCCAGCTCCCAGCTTGGCCTGGGCTAGGCCATCTCCAGCAATCCAGGATCAGAATGCCCACGTTTGGTTTGGTTTGGCCAATATTCTCAGGGGAATCCATACCATATCCTAACCATACTTTGTTCCTCAGCGTCTGTGTGGTAACTTACAGTACCTGCCGAGTTTTTGTGAGAGGGGTGGCTTTTCTGTCCTGTTGGACTTCTCTCGCAGGAAAGCATTTTCTTGCGACGGCCCTCTCTTCTGCTTCTGGCCTGCCTCAAACTCCTCTGAGCTCTTTCTGTCGCGACGTTCGAACATCTCGGCATTTTCTTTGCGTTCTGATACCCCGCTGCATTTCGATATTATACATACTCCGTAATTCTGGAGAGCCACTTTGCCAGTATCCATCACCAAGTACTCTGTTCCCAGCGAAGGGACATCCCACCCAGTTTTGGCCTGTTTGCCGACGATACCTTTCCCTACTGGCGTTCTTCGTGTACCTTATTCTTCTTCTTCTTTTTCTTCTTCCAAGGGCCTGCAACAATACGCAACGTTGGGCCGTAAACACACCACCGCATTGAGAGATGATGCGATTGCGACCTTAGAGTCAGCCAGTCGCCCTTACCGTGGTACAACCACTACCCAGGAATTCTTAAATTAGGGTCATTTACACGCAAACTCGCGTTACGGAACAGGAACACGAACAGAGCCATTCGTATGCCCCCTGCAATTCGAGTTGTTTTCTAAGATTCGGTGCATATTTACGGACACGACGTCGCCGGAAATCGATACGTGCGACTGCTTCTTTATGCCATTGACCTTACCCTGAGCCTCGGTGCCACCCGACAAACCATTCCGCAGATGCAATGCCGTGGCAGCCGTTGCCGCGCATTGCCTTCGCTGTCGCGACCTACCCCTTCAGCACCCAAGCCGACAATGAGCTTCCTCTCGAAATTGGCGACGACCTCTACATCATTGAGGAGACCCCCGATGGCCAGTGGCTGCGCGGATACCTGCTAGCACCTCCTTCGCTGTTGGCCGGCCTCACATGCTCCAAAGGCCAGACTCTCGAGGCACGCGTCTTCTCCGGCATCTTCCCGCGCAGTTGTGTAGAGATACGCGAGGTTCTAGGTGAGGGAGACGAGACGTCCACCGATGACAACGCAAGCTATGTAGGAGAAGATGAGCCCGCCCGGTTCGGGAGCGATTCGGGCAAGAGTGGAGTCACGACCATCGAGAAGAAACGTCCAAAGTCAAATATTGACGGGAAGCAAAAAAGAAACGATGGTTTACCCTCGCCCACCAGTCTCACGGCACGAGGTGGCGGTACCACCGCCACCACCACTAAATTCTCTCTGCCAGCGAAAAGAGATCCTGGCACACCCAGGCCACCAGCCCCGGTCCCGATGCTCAAGATAGGCGACGAGACACCCACATCCATATCAGAGCCCCTAATAGACGAGATTGCATCATGCCTACGCGAATGGCACTCTACAAATCTCCATGAGCTCCTTCTCTCTCGCCAGTACTCAAAACTAGAAACCGTCGCGCAGCTAATTAACACTCTAGATCTGTCCCGGCGGCAGTTCCTACACAACGTACTCACAGCGCACGAGTACCACGCTCTGCGCGAGAAGACGGTATGGGACCTGGTCAGAGGCAACAAGCTCTGTGGGGGTGAAGTCATAGTTCGCGATCCGAAACAGCGAGGAAGAGTCTTGACAGGTGAGGACTCGGTCGTTAAAATCACCAAATTACAATCTGTCATGAGTCTCTTGAACGAGCCGCCACAGCCACACGTAGAACTTACAGCTTTGCACCACCTGCTCGTTGATGTAAGAAGCTTCGCCGGATCGTCCAATGAGGTGACGACCTTGGTGGTATATCTTGTGAGCAAACCGATTGGAGGCTTCCCGATAGCTCTATCGGAAACCTACATAATCGATGTGCCGGCAGGTGGCACAATGGGACACATGGCCCGCAATGCACAGATGCGCACGCTTTTCACCGATCTGGCGTCAAGCGAAATCGGGGACGCGCCATCATCGGATTCCGAGCTGTACCTCGTGGTCAAGGTTCGTGCACCTCAACAGATAGTCGTCGGGAAACCAGCATCTCGGTCGGGAACAGTTGCTCAGGCCATGACCGGATTCAACAAGGAAAAAACACCAACATCTGCCAACGGAACCAAGTCTTCTAGAAGGAGTCTGATGTGGGGATCGACGAGGTCTGCGTTCTCTAGGGGAGGAACAAAACTCGACTCACTATCTGAACAGCCCGAAGAGCGACCCAAGACTGACAACCAAGAGAGTCGGGACGGTAGCTTGCCCCCTGGCACTGCGGGGTCCAGGACTGGTTCTGGGCCAGCGGAAGGCAACCAGATCATGCACATGGCGGCGGACCGCATGGTCGGAATGGGAGTCCTGAAGTTGAACCAAATCATGAAACAATCTGAGGAGACCGAGCATGTCATGACCATCTGGGCGCCATCATCCAACTTATCGTCAGAAAAACAGGAGCACGGCGACGATTGGGACGATCTAATACACCACCTTCTGGACAGCAAGTCTGGACAGTACGAGAAATCGAGAAGGGCAGAGCGACTACAGGTGCATCTGAAAGCGTTCAACAGTCCTGACGCAGACGTCCTGATCAAGTCAACTCCAACCCTCCTGGCTGGTATTACCAGAACAAACAAGATGGGCTTCTCTGGTGCCCCTACTAAAACACGATCTGACATTTATGTGACTTTGGACCAGGCGCTCATCTCACGTCAGAACTTAATATCACGATATGGCGGTAGCGCTACATCCATATCGGGGAATATCCTTGGTGGAAATCTAATGCTGACATTGGAGGTTCGGCGACAAACAGGCGAAAAGATTGAAAACTGCATATTCCCGTCCTCGAACAGCGAGGCATTGACGACGTGGAAGTCGTTTGCAGTCGAAAGAGGTGAGCCATGGAACCAGACTTTGCGGCTTTGCTTGCAGCCCCCGGATGTGCTGTCAGCACATTTGATCATGACGCTGTCGGACATGCCAAATACTCCTTTCGCTGTCAGCTACATTCCATTGTGGGATCAACAAGCGTTTGTGAAGGACGGAGCGCACACGCTCTTGCTCTACAAATTGGACGAGTTTACGCAAACACCGCAGGCTGGCCCAAGTGGAAGGGGTGGTTACCTTACATTGCCCTGGGGCACTAGGAGCGAGCCGAGCGATGTTACTGGACCACTTGCTGCGTTGAAGGTCCAGACATATCTCTGCAGCACGAGATTCTCGCAAGACAGAATAGTACTCGGGTTGCTCAGGTGGAAGGAACAACCAAAGGTAGAGATACCGGGTCTGCTAAAGCAGCTGATCTTCGTGCCAGAAATCGAGGTCGTGAAACTGCTCAACGACGTTCTCGATGCCCTTTTCGGGATTCTGGTGGAGTATCAGAACAACGACGAGTACGAAGATCTTGTATTTATGGCTGTTGTCCGCGTTCTTGGAATTGTTCATGATCGGAGGTTCAACTTGGGACCTCTCGTGGACCAGTATGCCGAGAACAAATTCCACTACCCATTCGCGACAACGTGCCTGGTCAGATCGTTCACGCGACTACTTTCAAAACCCACGGAGCCAGAAACCGCAAGGAAACTGAGAGCAACTTTGAAGGTCGCCCGGCATATCCTCAAGTTCATCACTCATGCACGGGATCAGCAGAAAGCAAAGGAAGCTGGTATTGGTATTACGAATACGAGCCCAGGCTTCACGCGGCATCTGCAGTCTATATTCAAAGCCCTGGACAGGATGATGCGAAGTTCCAAAGCCGTCCTGGTTGGTAGTCAGACGTTAGCAGTGCAGCATTTTCATACATGGCTGCCTGAACTGACAGGCCTGATGAGTACGGAGGAAATACTGCACATTGCCATTGACTTCATGGACTCGTGTGCAACGGTCAAGGGCAAGTTGGTTCTTTACAAGCTTGTCCTCATCATCAACTACTCCAAACTCGATCTCTTTTCCCTGCCAGAACAGCGGTCAGCTCTTAGCGCCAACACAGTACGCTGGATCGCGCCTCACTGGGGTTCCCCAGATGCGGTCTCGGAGCAGTGGAAAGATCAAGTGAGGTTGTGCTGCTCCGTCATTGCCAGCCAAGTTGATCATCTCGGACCGGAGATTCCGGACCACATCCCTAAAATTCTTGACTCATATCTCGCGATCCAGCAAACAGAGATCAAGCCGAAAAGCCGGCTCTCCCTACTCTTCCCGTTCTCTTATCCATTCCCCAGCAAAGCGGTCGAAGGCACTGCACGATTCGACGAGGCTCTCATCGAGCTTTCGGCTGTCTTATCAGCACTGTCCAACTCACCCCATGGTATGCAGCTTGAAGAGCTAGATGAAGTGGAGACTCAATCTCTGGTCCATAACGCCCTACAAGTACACATGAGCATTCTTCAGGGAGAGGCGTTCCCGTCAACCTGGCTGAGTGTACACATTTTCCACCACAAGTCTACAATGAAGTCGTTACAATACATTGCTGGCATCATGCTAGAGAATTGTCTACCAGATCCTGATGAAGCAGAAAGCTTCAATACGGAGCTCTGGAAAATGTTCTTCACTACACTCCTCAAACTGGTGAGCAATGGATGCTTAGCACTTGAAACCTTTCCTGAGCAGAAACGACGAGCGGTTTGGAAGATCGCGGGGGATGTCAGAGAACATGGCGCAGAACTGCTACGGCGTACTTGGGAAGCTATCGGGTGGGAGACTACGCATGATGATCGTACGCGTTACGGCCTGGGCAAGATGGGAGGCTATCAAGTTCAATATGTGCCCACCTTGGTAGGGCCCATCGTCGAGCTTTGTCTCAGCGTGCATGAAGGTCTGAGGAACATGGCTGTCGAGGTCCTGCAAACCATGATTGTCAGCGAATGGACCTTGAGCGAGGATCTTACAGTCATCCAGACGGAGATGATTGATTATCTGGATTACTACTTCAAAGACAAGCAGATGACTGAAAGCGTTCTTCAGAAACTCTTCATAACCGAGCTACTGGACCGTTTTGCATCGTTATCGCAAGCTGAGGATGAGCCGCTTTATGCCGCTCTGCAAGATCTCATCAGCACTGTCGATGAATTCCTTGATCTACTTGTTGCTGTCCACAGTGGTGAAGGCAGTAGTGCAGCTTCTCAGCTCATCAGCCGCTTGCGTCTGATGGAATTCCTACGGGATATGCAGAAGGAGGAAATCTTCATCCGCTACGTCCATCAACTTGCTAGGCTCCAAGCAGATGCCAGGAACCACGCTGAAGCTGGCTTGGCACTACGGCTCCATGCCGATCTTTACGATTGGAATCCAATCAAGAGTGCACCTGCGCTGTCGGACCCCGAATTTCCGGCACAATCTCAGTTCGAACGCAAAGAACGCATATACTTTGACATGATCAAGCATTTCGAGGACGGTGAGGCCTGGAGCAGTGCTTTAGCCGCCTATAAGGACCTGCAATACCAGTACGAAAATAATGTTTTCGAGTTTGCCAAGCTCGCACGAACGGAGCGTGCCATTGCTAATATCTATGAAACGCTGACCAAGAGCGACAAGCTTGTACCTAAATACTTCAAGGTTGTCTTTAAGGGTCTAGGATTCTCACCAAATGTGCGTGACAAGGAATATGTCTACGAAGGATGTCCCACAGAAAGGACGTCTGCATTCACCGATCGCATGCAGGAACAGTATCCCGCAGCGCAGATAATCGCAAACGGTGACATTGACAGTGAGGTTGAAGGTCAATTCTTGGTCATCTCCTCACTGAGCCCGCACAGAGACCTCAATCATCACGTATTCCAGCGCGCCAAGGTTCCGCAGGCTATTCGCGATTATCTCCTATCAGCTCACCCGCAATTATTCTCTATCACGTCCAAGCGAGACACGTCTGGTCCAGCGCATGAACATTTTGCCGAGAAGATCTTGTACAAAACTGAGGAAGCATTTCCAACCATTCTACGTCGCAGCGAAATCATTGAAGTCCGGGAGCTCCGACTTACTGCTAGACAGACAGCCATTGAGCGTATAGTCCGGAAAACGCAAGAGATGACCGTGGTGGAAAAGCGACTATCCGAAGATGATGAGGTCGCTCAACTAATGGTAGATGCCATTGCCATATCCTTGAACGTCGAATCCGAAAATAGTGTTGTGCGCTACAGGCAACTCCTGCCTAGTCGGGACAGCGATGGGGAAGAGGATTATGAGATCGAGTTTGACGTTGAGGAGACAGCAATCAAGATGGCATTGGTTGACCATGCTATCATGATCAAGCGGTGTTTGACCAGTTTCTCGTTGAGCAAGAATACCATCCTTGTCCAGGGCTACAAGGATTTGTATCCACGTGAGTCACCTTGTGTCGTCGATTCCTTCAAACTTACTTACTCTCTCAGTCTTCGAGCAAACTTTTGCACCAGAGATCGAGGTTTTCAGCCCGCCTCAGCCAAGTCGCGAAATCACCACATCTACCCCTTCACCAACTTGGCGGAGGAATTCACCTATCACAGAAGGTTCGCCGGTGAAGCAAAATAATGAGGGGTATGCCTTGGTCACTGGCGTTGTTGAAGAGGCTGCTGCTGCACAGCCTATCTCGCTCAAGCAGCGAGGTACGCGGCTCAGCTTTCTGGGCGGCAGACGCAAAGAATCACGAGAGTCGAACGGCGATAACGTCTTCACCTCGGGCGACAGTGAAACCAACACCCTCCCACCAAGCCACATCACCCGTGAGCGCAGCGGGAGCAGGGACAACAGGATGAGCTTCTTCCGTACACCGTCCCACGAGACCAACATCAGTGCAGACCCTTTCCTGCACCACAAGGCAAACGCGGAGAACAGCACACCAGATTGGATGCAAAGTGTGGCTCGCAAGAGCAGTGAGTTGGTCGGTATTGTAGAGAGAGGTTCAGAAAAGAGTTTCGACAACAGCGCCCCCAAGCTCGGAGGCGTGCGAAAGCGCCTGAGTATGTTGAAACTGGGTAGCAGAAGGGGGCGACAACATGGGATTATGGACGGTGTCGACGAGGAATAGAGTCACGTGAGGGGCGGAAGACCTCCGAGATGGTCATCATAACGAGCATTCGGAGTATTTGAACGGGGTTCTTTTCTTTTTTTTGAAGATGATACCCACTGTGACGACATGTTGAATTTGTTTTGTTTTCTAGAAACTTGTACGATCAGGTGTTCAGGATACAGAAGAGGCGATCCTAGAATTGTATTTCTTCCATATTTGTTTCCGATACCATCTTCATTTTTATTATTATTCTAGTCTACTGAACAGGCATTGACGCTCAACATATATTTATGCATTTAATCATCGAATCGTGACGAGTCGTTTTGTAATCTCCGATTTTCAACGGCGTAAAGGGCCAACTATGGGGATCGAGGATTAAAGACACAGATTACAGCTTATGTTCCTGTTGTCATCGGCAGCTACGTAAGAGCATAGAAAACCAAACGTCTTCCTAGACTTCTCTATCCATGAGTATTTGAACAAGGTTCTCCGTTGGATCATTGCAGAGAGATTCCGAGCTTGCTTACCAAGCTGAAGTCAAGGCGCGTATTGCGCGACTCGATTTCGCAGTTTCTCTAAATTTTTCATACCAGATTAATCTGAAATGGTAAGTTCGTGGGTCGCATAGTGCGTGTCTGCGACCGAAAAGGGGATTGCAGTGGCACGTGGTAAATATCCATGCCCAGCACTAAGTGAAACTTTATACTGCGTAGGATCTTCGAGCAGTGGGAAAGTGTATGGCGCCGCCGTTTGTCTCCTGGTACATAGCGGGGCCGTGGAAGAACCAAGTACGGATACTCTGACATCACATGCAGTGAAAGGAGAAATTCTCGCGGGTTCCAAGTCGAATGCAACTCTGCTTCGGAACGCAACTTACAGCAAGTAAGTTTTACCACTGCCCCCGTTCTTGTTGTTATCGCGACGGAGAACCTTAAGTTGCGCAGCCCCGTAGACTCTTTCGAGGGTCTGCATGCAATGGGCTGTTCCTCGATCGGGTGTCTCAGATCACAGCAGGGTGCATCGGGTGCGGGTTCGTAGCACTTGTACGGTCTACCACGGTAAAGGAGAGTGGGCGACCGTTTTATTGATCCGTGCAGATCACCATGCGCAAGGCGTGGCTTTGATTGGCGCGAGAACTTGGATTTCTCAAGTGCCACTAATCATTAGAAGATTCGGGGGGTGTACAAACTTTGGGAAGCGACTAGCACGCGACGATCTGAGCTTATCGAGACTCTCGGAAGTCCGACACGACTCACCATGGCAAGTGGAAAGGAAGAGGGAGAGATGCATTGCGAAGTGCACAACGTAAGTCGTCGTGTCGTGTTCCTGGCAAGCCTGGCTTGCCGTACAATACATGGCCCATGGCAGAAATCCTGGAGAGGGCAGGTCCAGCGGGCCATTCAGCCTGTATTGGCGAGAATGGAGCCGCAATCAACCCCCCCGAACAGATCGACCCAGACTCTGCCAGGAAGGTCTGTCTCCAGCCTACCACCCATCGATACGACCATCGAATCATGGGCCGCTGGGCGGAAGGGGAGGGTAGCGATCTACCGTCTTGGCACCATAACTAGGTGCTCTGGATATGCAAGCATTCTCGAACCCTGTAATTACGACGTAGCGTACGTGTAGCTGCGTCCGAGTCGGCGAATAAATGCTGGCTGGCGGTTTCGAATTGGGAACTCGGATCGCACCTCTGTTTTTTTTTTCGTCTTATCTTTCTATTACCCCCCCGGTCTGGCTGCAAGCTGCCTCCACAAAGCTCGCTTCCCGTTCTTCTTCGCTGGGCTCTGGAAGTTCGCATTGGACATGTTGTGTTTCTCTTGAACAACCTTGTCGGCTGGCTTTTCATCTTCTTTTCGCTCTGAGAACATCTACCCACCTCCCCGGTCTTCTCCATGCCACGCGGCTACTAGTCTAAGTGAACCACCACACAAATACCATGGTCTGGAGCCAATGACGGAGGCGGATATGATGATGATGAGACGGGTACCAACTCGGCCGCTGCTTTCGCGCTATGGGCTCGCGCTGCTCGCAACCCTTTTGATTTATTTCGTCTTGGTGCAGCCTTCCTTCAACAGTCGCGCCCACCATCTGCGCACAAAGGGCCCCGACGATGATCAGAGCAACGTGCCTCATGGCATACCGCTGAAAGATACCAACCCTGTGGGACCGAGCTCGAACCAGCAGCCGCTCGCGGACGAGCCGCGCCAGGACAAAGTTTACAAGCCGAAGCCAGAAACATACCCGCCAATCGAGGACCCTTTCCCCTGGCTGTCTGCGAACAACAAGCCACCTCCCGTGCTGCCCAACAACGCACCGCCCGATCCGCATGTACCGGAGCACACGCCGCTGCTCATCGGTTTCACGAGAAACTGGCCAATGCTCCTGCAATGCGTATCCAGCTACATCGCCGCGGGCTGGCCGGCCGACGATATATACGTGGTAGAAAACACAGGCACCTTTCGTTCGAACAAGGACAGCAAGCTCAGTCTGCAGAACCCCTTCTTCCTCAATCATACCCAACTCAAGATCTTGGGCGTCCATGTCCTGACCACGCCGACTCTGCTTACCTTCGCACAGCTGCAGAACTATTTTCTGCACACAGCGTTGCAGCGAGCATGGGACACATTCTTCTGGAGCCATCAGGATGTCATTGTGTTTTCTGACGAAGACGTGAAAAAGAAGGACAGAGATCACGACTACGAGCATGACCCCTACGCTACCATCTACGAGAGGGCCGTGGGTCTTATGCGTTACTTGGACGAACCCGAGATGCCCGAGTGGGCCACACACTTCTTCGCGTACGACCACCTCACCCTCGTGAACCGCGATGCCTATCTGGAGGTCGGCGCGTGGGACACGCACATCCCTTTTTATGCCTCGGACTGCGACATGTACCTCCGACTACATTGGGCCGGCTACTGGCAGCCGCAGAGCGAGGCTGGCCTCGTCTTCGACGTCAATTCACGTTTGGACGACATCGGCGCCCTGTTCCGCCTGCCAGGGGCCCACGCGAGCTTCGAAAGCGACCCGCTCTTCACAGACCCCGCCCGGCCGCACAAGGAGGCGGAGCAAGAGCGGGAATTCGAGGTCCGCAGATGGGTCGAGAAAGGCGGCGAGAGTCATCAGCACCTCGTTGCCGTCGCGGAGCGCATGATGGATGCCAAGTGGGCTGACGAGGGCATCTGGCGCAACACGTGGCAGACCAAGCAGGGCGGGGGCGAAGGCGAGCCGCACTACCGCGACCCGAGTGGCTTCGAGGACGGCATCAAAACTATGATCGATGCTGGACGCCGCGTGTTTGCCAGCAAGTGGGGCCATAGGGGCTGCAACCTCATTGACTTGGGCATTGAAGCCGAGGACGCCTGGAAGTTAGAGAGGGATTGGGATGTCGTGATGGATGGCACAGGTGCCGAGGGCGGTGATTGGGGCAAGGACTGGACCGGCATTGACTAAGGATCGCGCAAGGGCACGAAAGGACGGGTTTTGGCACGATATAAAAACTTTAGCGCTGGTTGGGGGGGGGTTTTTTTTTTTTTTTGGGATTCTGATATACCCTTTGTTCATATTCCCATGCCTTAGGCATATGTATGATCATAACTAGAAAGAATAGGTTTGACCAAGGAATACATGCATACGTATACTTTTGCGTGCAAACGGTCCTTGAAGAACCAAGTGACCCTACAGTAGTGCCCGTGTGCTTGATGGTACGACCCCCCCCCCCAAGCCATTTTCCTAATGGCAATGCCATGTGTGAAATCAGAAGTGCTCACCCATTGGTAGTACTCTTGTCCGGCAAAACTCTCCCACCTATCCTTACAAGGCTCACAGTGACAGTGTTGCAGAGTCAAAGAGAAAAGAAACAGACCCAGGCGCACAAAACCCGAAACCATTAATACAGTACACACCCGGAATTATTTGGAAGGGCAACAGAAATATGGAAGCCGCCAAGAAAAGGAAACTTCACCAAGGGGAAGGTCAGGGCCAAGTATACCCGCCGCGACCTAGTGCTGTGTTCGTACCGTTCGAAGCATATCCCGAATCCGACAGACACTCAGTGCTAGGATCAAATTGCAAGTTGAAGTTTAGGTCGTTCAGACCACCGAAGAAGAGGCTGTCCGGAGCGCAAGGATCCATAAGAAAGTCGTCAATGCTCGTCGCTCTCGACTCGTCGCCTGGCAGAGCGACATTGGTGAGCTTTGGGGTCGTAGATCGCGAGTCTGGACCTGGCGATATCGGCGTGGACGCTCCCCCCTGCGGGAAGCCTTTGAAAATCTGAAAGATCTCGTCCTGGATTATGTCGGATAGGCCGTGGAGCAGCTCGACCTTGACCCCATCGAAACGCTGCTCGACCCGCTTCTGGACAGCTTGGGGAAGTTCGTCATGGATGTGCTTCTTGAACTTCTTCCACTGCGCAGCCGACTTGGCGATTGTGACGGGATGCCTACTGTCGTAGTCTGGGTCACACTATTGTTAGCCTGAAACCCCTGATAGATTCGGGCGAGACTCACAGGGGCTGGGAAGAGCATTCTTGTTGGATCTCGGGAACAAGATCATATATATGTCCTTCCATTTATGTTCTTCCGTCAAGGAGCCCGAGGTTTTCTTGCGCTCCTTGAGTTTCTTTTCTTGGGCTTCATCAATGCCCAACATCCGAACCACATCGCGTTTGACGCACGGTACGTCTGATCGCAGGTGGCCCTCGAGTGCCAGTGCATCAGCCATTGGCTCACGGCAGCGCGGACATGTGTGCTTGGGAAGGAGATGTCTTCGAGTCAGATGCTCCCTGTCGAATCGTCAGTCTCCAGCGATCAACTAGCCAGAGCGAGGAGTATAACCGAGAAGCCCCAGCAAATGCACTTACTTGAGTCGATGTATTGAAGGCCAGCCTGGCCCTGTGCAAGACCTCTGGGTACAGTGCTGGGTTGGATCCTGCTGGAAAAAAGGGCAAGCAAATAGGAGCTTCTCCTCAGCAGTCTTCCTAGCACGTTTGTTGCCGTTTCTGTCTCCGCCATCACCACCGCCGTCCCCACCAGCGGATGAACCACTTTGGTCGTCATCGTCGTTGAAGTGGCGTTTTGGACGGCCACGGCTAGAGCCGCTACCAGATCTGCCTTCGTCTGACGTCCAATCGCCACTTCCGCCACGGGGATTGCCAGAGCCATCAGCACATTCGTATGCGTAAGATATTACCGAGAGTCTTTTATCCAGCCACTTGTTGAAAACACTCATTACAGCCTCGACCGCTTCTTTCTTCCTGGCAGCAATGTATTGCTCCGGAGTTTGGCTGGCTTCGCTGTCCTTGTCGGACTGATGTTTGCGGGATTTGCTGGCAGCGCTGGCCAACTTTTTGGTTGCCATGGATTCGACTAGCAACCGCAGATTTTGCTCAAGATCTGAGAGCTGTCTTCGGTCGAAGCCGTCAAAGTGAGTGAGCTTAAGCGCCAATTCAATGTCGACTTTTGATGTGCTAGGAGTTTGGCATAGCACAGATAGCAAACAGGTGGATGCACCAGTCCCAGAACGCCTGCAATGTATGTTAATGCCAAAGAATATACCACGGAAGGGCACAGCCTACTTTTCGATCGCGTGGCTCTCTGTCTCGAAAGCACCCGCGCTCGTGGCGTGGACTGATGCACACCGAGATGTTGATCTCGCTGGGGCTTTGGTCGGGGTCGGATATCTGACCACACCTCGCTTACGTCGCAACTCACAAGCTTTGGTCCACCACTTGTGAACAATACTATTCGTGGTAGTGTTCCACGAATATTGTACCGGCGGTGGGGAAAGGCAGAGTTTATGTTGGAGGTGGACGGGAGTTTGCTCAGGAACGTAGTGAGACTGGAAAGTAAATTGAGGGTAGTGCAGCATCGTTCGGTGGCATCAATTCTCAAGTTCAAAGCCGTCTTATTGCCTGGCAAAGGGACATCACGCACTGAGCCGTGATGTTGTAGCCAGAGAAGGTTGTCTAGACGAGTAGCTTGCGATTGTCTTGGTGCAGTACTGAGCACATGAGCATATGAGCATTATTATGTGTTGAGTTACTGAGCTATTGAGAGACGAAGACCTGGGGGGGGACTCAAGCTCTCCGCAGCGCTCGATTTAATACCAGAGGTAACGCGCAATTGCGCAAAATGCTAACTGCGATGTACTCAAAAGTGAAGGTGGAGTTCGGAGTGCAGCACGATGGCCCAATCATATCTGCAGCGAAGCCTTGAACGTGATTGCGTCGACCCTTGGGCAAGCTTCTCATGTGCAGCTGACACTGTCGACGAAGCGCAGCCTCCTCGCATCCTCGATGGTGTTCGAAGCTCATGTGCGAGTTTGCGCTTTGATGCGATGTTGCACACATCGCCACGGAGAACCACCGATGATGACGGGGGTTATATACACACAGAGCCGCGAAGGTGTTGGCTCAAAGGCTATAATATAAAAAGCCTTGACGCCTGTGGTTATACAGGATATGTCGACATGTTAGACAGTTTCCGATCATCTCAGCAGGAAATAAGTCTATGCCCGATTTGATTTCTATTAGCCGTGTCTTTGTATCGAACACATACATACCTCTATTGGACTTAGCCCTGAATCTCAGCTCTGCATCACGACTCCCGAAAGTCGACAATTGCTGCAGTTGCTCGCGCATCGCTGAGCAAAAAGTGGTTCATCCTCCGTCCTGGCCTTCTTGGTCCTGTTCAATTCTCGGATTACCGTGTCAGGATCGAATTTGACGGACTGTGTTGCCATATCACGAAAAATAGGATTGGCTTGAGGCTGCGATGTCTGGAATATCCGGTAGTCTTTCTCTGCCGACTGGAGGCAGGTATGGAAAGCAATCATGTCCGAACGGTTGCTTTGTGCTAAAATTGGTTTAGGCGTGGTGGCCAAGGGCCTTCATTCATGCTTGAATCGTACATTGGGAGCAAGCCAGAAATAACGGAGAGACTGGCTATGGGGGGTACGAAGTATTCCAGCACTCATGGTGATGCCAAAAAGGATGGGCGAACAGCTGGGAATCTGCCAACCCCAAAGTATGCACCAAAAAAAGCTGAGGCATAAGTGATATATTCACTGGGCGACTACGCAAAGGCCTGGGTGGTGTGCACCAAAGTGCGTGGTCTTCATACTTTTATAGGATTAGAATACACAAAAGAAACTGGAGTTGAGAAAGTAGAATCCTTGGCTGGGGAGGTCGATTTAAGCTTTTCGTTCTTGTTCGAGTGGCATTTTGGTACCAAATCTGGCCCCTGCATCTTCACCGCTAAACAATATCACCCTGGTCGAATAGTTTCAGTCCGGGCATACGCAGCCCCCGATCTGACAAATCATTGCTGCTTGAATCTACTCAAATTGTTTTGATCTTCTATTCTGGGCAAGATTGAGGTAAGGGGATGTGTATCTCCACTATTCAAACACTATGGATTGGTCTATAAGTGGTGGTGGTTGGGCATCAAGAATAATGAGGCGCATGCTAGATATAGTTACCTATCCACTTAGACCAAGTCATGTGCTTTTCTTAGGTCGTTGGATGTATTCAAATCTCAGAGCTGGAAAAGAAAAAAAAGTTTTAAAAAAGTTTAATGGAGATCCCTTTACTGTAATGTTCCTCCTCGTCGACCTCAAGCGTGGCAGATTTTTATAATTGAACTTGAACAGGTTCTGTTATAGACTGTTGTCAAAGGTCTGTCGAATCTCTGCTCGACACTCGCTCCCGACTTTTCTAAATCTCAACCCAAAACCAGTTCTGCACCTTCTCATGGCTTCTAGGCCAGTACTTAATAAGCTGCTCTTGACCGTCTCTCAGCACGGTTACTTGCATCATATTCTCCAGAGCGTCATCTGCAACCCACAGCATCCATGAGTGGACAACCTCGTCGCCTTCATGAAGACCAGCTTTTTCTGCGCGGGAGCCTTTGACGAGGTCTGTGATCTTCTTCTTTCGCAGGGAGTTTGGATCGAATCCAGGTTTGAATTTTTCCACGTCGTGTCTGACTAACTTCAGACCATACTTGGCGAAACAATCTGCAACAGGCACGATGACTTTGCCACCTTCCATAACTTCGCGGATTGCATTGGTGTCTTCTTCGCCGATAATATCACTCAAAAGCTCACGAAAGTCACCGCCGTCAAATTCTTCTGGCTGGAGTTGTCTCTGGTATAATGCGAGCACTATATCGTCAACGCCTTTCTTTCCTTTGGTTGCTTGACGGATAAGACCTTGCACCTGACACAAGTAGATGAATCCTCGTCCATACCCACCTTTGGTCATATCATAGCCGTCCCAATAATGGTTGAGTATATATTTCCATTCATGAATGATGACATTGGCTGTATAATGCGCTTGAGCTTGGTTGTTCAAAGCTTTGATCAGGTCGTTGCGACCGACAGCTCCTTGCTCGTAAGACTCAATCGTGGCATAGTAGTTTGCAACACCTTCATCATACCACATATTGTTGATGTTCTCAGGCCATAACAACGGATATTCACTACTACGTAGAGGGTCAGCAATTGTCATTTCGTGACTTTGAGCATTTGCGGGCATACTATGAAACAATCACAAAGAACCCAACTGCTTTTGATATGCGGTTTGCGCTCTAGAGACATGCTATAAAGGGCAGAGAGTGATTCTGAGAATTGCTTACTGTACTGTTTTATGGGCTAGAAGATCAATCAATGCATCTTCGTTCTGCTCTTCAAATGTGTTAGAGCTATATTCTAACAGGAATGATCTGTGTCCCCCAGTGCCCCCATGACCATTCCAAACCCGGCGAATAAAGACGCGGAATGGCTCGCTGGAATCTCCAAAGAATCGTGCAATCGCACGGAAGATTTTATCAGTCAGAGGCGCAATGTGCTCCATGTCGTAAGGCGGCGACCCAATCCAATACATGGCAAATTCTTGAGGACCAGATTTAGTACCTTCAGGCGGATAACGTGTCAGAGGGCCGACGGCAAAGAAACTATTCGCGACCAGATCCCTTGGAGCGCCAATATGGCTGGTGTACAGTCCGTCGCCCAAGGAACTGTCGCCTATGCCGAAGGCCCCGCCCTGGTCCTCTCTGAGGTCGAGTCGCGGCCCGGTGGGCGTGTTCGCGTCTGTCACGCACGGCGCCGCTTTGAATTGAATAACGATGGGGCTTACGGGTTCTCGTTCGGGTTGCCAGGTCCTTGTAGAATCCGCCTCTGTGGTATCACGGTATGAAAGTGGAATGTGTCCGGAGTTATCCATAGCCCTCAAAGTGTCGCCATCATATCGCTGGGTTGGAGCCGGGCCCCTCTTCAAAGGCAATACCAGAAGCGGACGTGCGGCTTTTGAATTGACATCTCGTATGACAACGGCGGTCTTATAGGCCAAACGCAACGACTGCTCCCATAAAATCTTTGGATATAAGCCTATTACTCTTGATGCCAGGCGTGTTGAGCCATTACAGAGGCTGTTGATGCGTATCGCCTGACGCCTCCGTTTAGACAAACAAATAAAGCACCAGCCATGTCCCTGTTTGCGGTCATTTTGGACCAGATGCAGTTTGGCAACTCCGTGACGACCCATGCCAATGCCGAAACTAGAGTAGGTCAAGCTAGGACCTTCCGCGGTGCAAAGCCTGCTTGAAAGCTTGTGACAAAAGAAATTGGAAAATGGAAAAAAGATAAAGAGATAAAAACAAAATATGCTTCTCGGTATTGCCAGCCCTTAACATGAGTACCAGCCGCTTGAGAGCGGTTCATTTCGTTTTTCTCGAAGAAGGTGTACATCAAAATCGCACATGCTCACTACACAAAACAGAGATGGAGCCCTTGAGGCATCAGCCACGAGCCCTACTTCAAATATATGTACTCGAAGGCAGAATAGGCTCAAAACATCAGAAGATCAACCCACCAGATGTATTTTTCCAATGCTAGCTTTTGCTCAGCAAATGGCAGTCGCAATCATAAAGTGAATGACCACTATACAAATTTTAAGGGACACCTGGCCATAGGACAGCACAAGAGCATTTGTCTTGTGTTCTATAGCTATATATTATGCTATGTTTATAACTTCATACCCTTGGTGTTTCAACTAAACCATCCAGATGATGGAAGGTTTCATATAGCTGTAATTGGACATGCACATGAAGATGCTGTGACCAAGCAGTTGTCGAAGGTCGTATACATCTCGGCCAGCGAAATTCAAGCAGAAGTCCGGGCGCCATTTAGCTATAGACCAGCAAATTTTGTAATCCTTTACGACATTAAGCTTAGTCTAGCCTCCACGATTATAGATTTGAGCTCAGATTACGTACGAGGCAAGTAGATTCATCAGAGTGCAAATCAATTTTCCAGACCAAAAAATATATATACTAGTGCTGATGTTACCCATTAGTACGTCCTAGCAAAATGAGGTGTTTTTTGAGTTGATATTACAATTGCAAGGGCAATACTATAAGCTGAAGCACCATGCTTGAGATGGCCGCTAGGTGTAGTATCGACGAATTCATAGCCGACATGAATATAGCACAACCTGTTTGTAGCATTACCGAAATTTTATGGCAGTTTTTCACGTCTACCCACTCGGAATAAAGGTGAGGTCCAAGAATTTTCTCCAACAGGCCAGCCGGGCTATAAAAACAGTAGCCATAAGCAACAACACATCTTTGCCGATGCCTTTCAATAACTAAGTAGAAAGTCAAAACCAGCCCCCCTAGGTCGTCTTATTACTATACTAGTTACTTCCAACAATCAACAATTGTGGTTGGCCTTCAAAGATCGTTCGAAAGAGACGATGCGGTATCTATTACAGGGCTCCATATATGATGATTGTGGCATTACGTTGGCATGTAGTTTCGTCTTCTCTTTATAGCAACCAAGAAATTGATTCAAGGAGTCTGAAGGAATTAGGAAATCACCCGTCTGGTGGACATTTACATGGCACTCGCCGGTTAGCCGAGATATAATACACTTCTTTCACACATATCCATATTCTTCTTTATAGTATATCAATATCCCCAGCCCTGTAGTGCCGTCAAAGTCTTAAGGATATATTGAACTATTGAAGCGATAATAAAGTTATATAACCTACAATTGTTTGAATATTACGCGTGGTCCCAGGAGCGGTGACTAAAATGCCTCCCGGCTTGCCGGTTATGCAACGATATAGCCAGTGGTATGCAAACCATGATGCACAACATTCGGCGAACGTCCACAAGAAGATTTCAGAAGGGTTTGGTGGGCAATTGCGCTTAAGTATGGCTGGAGAATGGGGCATATTCGCATATGTAATAACAGATAAACATCTCTCAAATCCATTACGATACCGGTGCTTTGAATTTGTGAGAAGGGGTGATGCTGGAGCCGCAATAAAGGAGCCGGGAAAGCGCATAGTAATGTGGTCTGCAGGTGGACAAGTACCAACATTTCTACGTAACTTATGATATCACCAGATTATAATATATTTTAGACTCTGCAGCCAACAAACAAGCAGCAACCTGGCCGAATAGGAATTTTGTCAAATCCTTCTTCGTATTTCAACACTTCAGTAAACCGAGGGGATTATATCCCCTGGCGTGTTGGCTGCAGGCGTCACAGTACCGTAAGTACAGAAGTGCTTCTGGGCGTAACAGCAAAATGCAAGGAAAATAAAAGAAGCGATACCGCCACCCTTGTTTTCTACTCGCAGTGCCCCGGTATCCTTCTCTTTTGACTGCATCGTTACCATTGATGTAGCTCACGAGCCGCTTAGATTGTCCCCACGTCAATTTATTTCAGTTGAGCTGGAATGTTCTGTGGCTACTGAGAGATCCTGTTTGGCCTTCCTGCTTCGGAAACCCCTCTCTTGTGCACCTTCTGCCCGCATCGGTGTGTGAAACAACAATTACGCAGCGGTCTCTGAGTGGATTAGGGTAACACAAGGAGGGATTACTTGTAGCTTACAAGTGTTGTACCATGGATCGAGAATTCCCATCCTGACCAGGATGAGGGCAACAGGGCTGGGGAGACGACACCGGCAATAAGGATGAGTTCTGAGCCCTAAAACCTGTCTCAGGAGTTTTGCTCCCAAAACATGAAAACACGCCGGGAAAACGTTGAAGTAACGTGATATTTTGATTGAAAGCGGTAACAAATATCCCGTGTATACCTACAACTTACCCATTATTAGGACGAATCGAAATCGAGGGAGTAAAAGGCCCCGGTAGTGCCTCTGTCAGACTGTTATGTGCATCAAATCACATATAATGTTGGTTAAATGTGGATCGGCTCGTATCAATTCCAGCGACAGATATAGGTCGAAGAGTGATGCTTCTGTTTCAACAATACACCAACCAAGGCCGAAGATCAAAACCCTGCCAATTCCGCTTTTGTACAGCAACAGGGCAACTTTGAATTGTGCAGAAGAGTACTCGTTTTCAAGAGCCAAAAAAATCCATATTCTCTTGGACTAGCGACTATTGAAATCCAACTATATAATCGCCGCCTATGTAACAGTTGTTACAGCCGTCCCTCTGGGGCTATCAAATCTTTGGAAACATGAAAGAACGCCGGATAGGACGCAGGCTCTGATATCGTACAAAGGTTCCTCGACGGTAAGCAGAAAATACTTTTCGCGTGCGATCCTCCTTTTTGTTCCCCCACCTTCAGACTGAAGTCCCAAAATCGTCGACGTTCATAAACAATAACCCCGATACATTGTCTAAAGCAACAACAGAGCATTGACCCAAGGAAAGGAAAAAGAATTTGGACGCGGACGTTGTTGTGTCTGTGCCCTATTTAGATTGATGCGCCGCGACAACCGCTTCACCCCCGAAACCTGGTAGCTCCAAATGTTATGCACCCCACGCCCAAATAGTATCGTGGACATCATTAGTGGGAGAGGTTGTCGTGAATATCGTCGAATCCATCCCCCCAGTTTCTCCTCGCGCCGGGTATATGATACACCCGGAATATAATGTATTATTCAACAATGTCCAACCGAACATGCCAGTTACTCAAAAGACAAGAAGAAATGTTCATCATGAAGCAAAATACATTAATGATGAATGACAAGCGCCGCCAATAATGGATTATGCGAGTGATGGAAATAAGGAAAATAGCGTGACGACGTTGGCTGTTGCGTTGGCCTATGCTGGCAAAGATGAATGAGGTCGGTGATATCGCCGAAAAAGATGAACATATCTGTTGATCTATTTCAGATCAAAATGTTGGTCCTGTGAATCCCGATGGGTATATCCTCCTGGAGATAAAGTGAAAGAAAGAGGAAAGAAGTTGTTATTACATGAGCCTTGTGGAGACTGAGAAGTCGCACAGTGTACGTGCCGAGAAGAATACATGGTCGAGGCGGGTTACATGCTCTCAAGCCTGGCGCTTGGTAGTTGCATGGATGGGTCCTCGAAGTCGGTCTTGATGGCCCATGGATCATACGCACCAATTGAACCATATGACGGGAGTGATCCGATGGTGGCAACTTCGACCGGTGCCTGATAGGGCATACCGCTATACCATTGTTCCTCCTGCTGGGGTTGCGGAGGCTGGTAGTGTTCCTGCACATGATGGACGTGGGTCGGCGCAGGTTGAGCGTGGACTTGTTGCACATACTGAACCATAGGCTGAGATTGAGACTCTACGGGCGATGTGGTTTGAATGGCATATGTCGCTGTTTGTGCTGGCTGGTGAGTGTAGAAGTTTTCCTGGTGTACTGAAGGGCTGCGTCCTGACACTGGCGAGAAGGTGGCTGGACTGCTTTGAAGAGAGCCTGCGATGGTCGTAGCACTATAAGGGATCTCGATCATCGGTCTCTCAACATGTTGCCGTGGTACCTGGTAAGCTGGTATGGAATTTGTGTTCATCGTGGCTATGCCGGGGTTACTATGTTCGGTGACGTAATACGAGTGTTGCGGCATGCTTGCAGTTCTGTGAAGCATGTGTGCACCCGGATGCTGCTGTGGTTGTTGCTGCGGCTGATGTTGTTGTTGTTGCGGCTGCTGCTGTTGAATGTGTTGACCATGGTACTCATGGGGGATACCAGTGGAGACACTGTGGCGATGACCATACGGATGTTGAATAGGGTAACCGTTCATGGCATGACCAAAGTCGGCAAAAGAAGCGGCACGATGAACGGTGTGGCCATGAATACCATGATGGCCTCCCATACTGACCTGGGGCCACGGAATGTTTGACATCCTCGGAGTTGTTGGCGACTCACCACTATCCGACTCTGAAGTGCAATCGTCTAGCTCGGATGAATGGATGCCGCGTTGGTGCGAACGTCGTTGGTGTTTAACCATGGTCGTCTTTCTACAGAAGCTCTTCAAGCATCCCTCATGCGCACATTTGTATGGTCTCTTTCCGGTGTGAATTCTCCGGTGACGCGCAAGACTCGAAGACTGGCTTTTGTTTAGTATGTGTCGTTAAGAGGTCTCCGATTTTGGGAGACTTACGTCAGAGAATCGCTTGCCGCAACCAATATGTTGACACTGGTGAGGCTTTTCACCAGTGTGAGTACGAATGTGGACAGTCAACGCACTGCGTTGGATAAAGCTCTTGCCACATCCTGGTGTCGCACAAGAGTAAGGTCTTTCGTTTGTGTGTATGCGATAGTGCCTTTGCAAGTCTGACTTGCGGTTGAAGCTCTGTGTCCATGTTAGTGCTTCGGATAACTTATCGACAAGAGCAAGAGCATGGCGGCTGTGGCGTACCTTGTTACAAGATTGCCAATCGCATTGGAAAGGGCGAGCCGTAGGCTCATTCTCAACCAGTTCCATCAATTCCATCTCTTCGGTATTCCTTCAAGGGTACAAAATACAAGGTGATGTCTCGAGTGTGCGGATGAGCACTATTTATGTGTTTCGATTAGGGGGGAGTGAGTGCAGCCGACGACCCCAACTCTACCTGGCAGGGTGTTGTTGAACGTAGGGATACGATTGCAAGGGTACTGTGGGTTTCTCAGGGCCAAGCAAGGTGGATGAGACCCTGGCGCGGATGCGTATTAGAGCCGGGCTCGATCAATGCAACTTGGGCAGACGAGACGATCGTTTCTCCACGATAAGTCCGGGTGCGTAATGGTGAATTTTCTTCTTCCTTCTTTCTGTCTGTGGCAAGAGAAGATCACGACACGTGGGAGCGTCCAGCGCGGTAGCAGTGGCTATGAACTTGGTAAGAATGCTGGAAAATATTAGGTGTAGGGAGGATGATTGGAGCAATAAGTCGACTAGGATAGAACAACAGAAGCAAAACACCAGGTGGGTGAAGGATCAGGTATTATACAAGATAGGCAAGGCCTTAAGGTTGTCTCAAGGATAAAGTTTTTCTGGGGTGGCGGAGGACGACCTGATATATATCGAAAGGAAGACAAGAGGCACAAAACAAACAGGCAATGATAGTCGACAGCATAGTGGGGACAAGACTTACAAGCAGCGACAAAGGTCTTCCGTGCACGAGCACTAGTTTTCAGGGTCTGCCAAACTTGTGCTCTGGCAGCCGAGCTGGGAATAACGTTGCGAATGGGCTGGATCGACAGCTAATGGAGGCAATGGAGGCTGATATCTTTCCTGCAGGAACCAAAGTAATCCAGGCTCTAAAGGTCCCAAGGCACTCAGGCTGGTTCTCTTAGGGCATACCCTGCTGTTTCGAACTGCAAGCGTCTAGAAGACCGGCGTATGTTAGGCCTCGGAAACTCGGTACACTTGCGCCAACAAAGTAATAGGCGTATCGACCGCTTCAGAGCGCTCGGACGCTGGGGGTCGTTGTGGATGAAGATCCGCTAGGTGCTGACTAGGTTACAAGTCTCCAAGTATGATGAGAGCAAAATAGGATACAGTGTATCTCACGCCTCTTGGTGGCAGCAAAAATGTTGGTGTTGGACTCCGATGAGTGCACAGAGGTTTCCAAGATTTCGGTCCACTTCGGATATGTTCAACTGCAGATACGGACGGTGAACCGATGGAGTTGACCCTGAAATATCACTGGCGTTTTTTTCGTAACGGTTATGAGAGGCCAAGTGTGGATGGAAGTAGCCGACTTGTTCCTGGTTGTATCATCTGATACTGGGTCGGAACTCGACTTTAATGAGAAAGAGGACTTGAGATGGGCTGGCCTAGTCTGATCCGTGTCTGACTATCCGGAAGGTGCTCAAGATAATCGAGTACTTTCAGATGTAGACGAAGGTTCTGTAATCAACGAGGATTACTGCGATGAGAGTGTAAGGTGGCGTTCCTGGGAGTTAAGTAGACAACGTTGTGGATGTTGGTTATCGTGGACGCATATAGGCCTGTCACTATTACTTGTATGCAACTCCGTCGAGGGATCATCTAACAAGGCTGGTATATCGGAGGTAGCCCTTTAAGAGTGTGCCTGGCAAGGTGCATAGAGTGACTTTCTTGTTTTCGTGATTATAGCCAGAGTAAGGTACTGTGGAGTTCCAACGGCGGGAAAAGGAAAAAAAATAAAATAAAAGGTGTCTGAGCACCTTGAACTCGTGGCTCGGATGGGTGAACAGAAAAGCGACTAAATCACAGGGGCCACAGCTCGACAATGAGGCGTCGACCGGCGGAGATCTTCAGATTGAAGGGGCTTCCCTGTCAGAACGTGGCAGACGCAGAGCAGACCAATCTGGCTAGTGTCGAAATATATACATGAAAAATCGGTAGAATTTTGTAATTGAATCGAGGACCCTCTCGAGCAAATACAAGGCAGACGGGTGCGTCGATCTGCACTTGACGTTGAACGTCCGTGGGTTCCTGAGATGGCGTTTACGTTAGCGTAGGAAACGGCCAAGCTTCAGGTTATCGCGAGTCGTCAATCACAATTGAGTGCGGAAAGGTAAGTCCAAGGGTATCAACTCTGAACTCTGAATGTATACGCAGCGGGAGAAGCAAAGAACATCTAACGGTTGCTGGGCTTGTCTTTTCGGGGACCTGTTACGCGAGCCCTCGAAGTCGTAGCATGATATCACAAATATGGGTGCGAGCAGACACAGGAATCCCTAGCATAGAGTTTGAGACAATTCCTTTTGCTTGTTGCCCTCCCTTTATGGTTATTAACTACTTGCAGGCCTACTATTCCTTTATCGACTAGGTCTCATATATCCACCGCGTTAGAGCAGGCAGGGCTCAGGTACCGATGAACCCTGCTCATCAGTGATAACGGCAGTATAATACTTTGAACGAGGACATTAGCGGCGGCGGACCTGTCGTTCATGAGCAAGGATATAGAAAAGAGAATAGTGCCGGGGAAATTTTGACCAGGGCAAGGGGGACTTGGAACAGGGGCATGACCCTGGGCTGGGTCAGGTGGTGTACTCAACGACGTCGCTGGTCTGCAGTAGTTGCTTGTACCTTTGCTGTGGGGACGGAGAATGGCAGGCGAGAGCTGGCTCTGTGGATTCATGTTGCGGTAGAGTGGCAATCGCTAACTCATCCCGGTCGCCTTTGGTATCAGCACCATGGCTTGCGGTGGGTATTGTGTGTGAAATTGGTGCTTCTTTCAATCCAAATACTGCCCATTGAAACCTTGATCCAGGATGGTCCCTGCCCTGAAAGGGCTGGAGAAACGAATCCAAATGGATTCATCTGACTCGTCAATTGATACGTTGTCAACTTGCATACTCAATTACGACAGCTCTTAATTGTAGTAGTAATAACCCATTGCGATAGGTACTTTGTAATTCAAGAATGCCATGTGCTACAAACGTACCTGAGCTCGTGCGTGTCTTCCCTACGCAGTTTAGCGACTCATGAAGATGAGTCTTGTAGGTGAAAGCAGTTTTACATTTGAGGCGCGCAGAGCGGGTAACAAATACTGAGTTGCGCACACTGCTACTGCAGGTGTGCTTGGTCACCACCCACCTGCATGTTGGGCCCTGCAAGAATCTGTATCGCAGTGTGATGAATGTGATCTTGATAAACCATAATACCACACTGACCTCGACCTTTCAGAAGGGAGGGGGGCAGGAGGAGAATGAGGGGTTCACGTTGTATGCTTGTAATCGGCCGCTGAACCAGCACTTTTCAATCCGCTTCATGAAAGGAGGGGTTGACCGGCATAGGGTAGACGGAAGAAGCCATGTATACGGTAACCATAGCCATAGCCATAGCCAGATAGTTGAGCCATATCACGATTTGGATGATTGAGTGTTTCGCGGCACACAGTCTAGTCAGCTCAAACCATGTTCATTACTGAAGCTGTATTATAGCCTGGAAGAAACATAACACCAGAAACCCACTTCATACCATGAAGACAAGGCGAAATGTTTCCGGCACTCAACATTGCAACCTTGCATTCGTCATTTGCTTGGATTGCGAAAACATACAGTCGTGATGCCAAGAAAGTTATGTCACATGGTTTCCTTTCTACTTTATTTTCCTTAACAGAACTGTCGCATTTCGGTAGTGGGGTGAGTGATCTGCGAGTATCATATCAACTACCGGCTGCCGGCTGTTACGGCACTCTATAATCTGCTACTGATATCGTAAGTCCTTTGCATCGTTGGCATCATTGGCAGTAGCGTGCTTTGTTCCTGACGCGATCATCCTTCAGGTCCCGCACATGTCCACTTCTTTTTTTATTTCCCGAAGTTAGGAGTTTGAGCTAGGAACAGGGCTCAGTGGTAGAGTAGGTAAAGTGTTTCTGTATCTTGCTGTAGCTAGTACGAGATAGGGAGCAACTAGCATTCTATGGTCGACAGCAATAAGCGAATACACCCCACTGCTCTTTGTTCTGTCCATTCACCCAGCCTGTATAACGGGATGATCTAGTGACTCTTAGACTTGATCCTCAGTACTTCGTAACAAAGCTACACACAAGCAACGAACAAGCTATTCAATCTACGCTTATCGGTTAGGGCCGCATACTATGCAAGACACCCTAGTCGGATACCGCGGAGAGATACCGTTTGTACGACCCAAAGTAGCATTCTCCCCCGTTACCTGAAGCCAGGAGGTTCTGGCCTCGGCGGTGATCCTCACTGGGCTTTGTGTTGCGTCGTTTCCTCATGGGGATATCACCCACTGAGTGACTGGCAACGCCAATGTTTCACGGGCGCCGAGAGCTAGACTCAAACAGGAATCATGGCCGGTTACGCATTGGAGCTCACCTATCTTGTAACCAGCGCTTGCCCTCATCCCGCAGCGTTTTGCGCCGCGCCTGGGCTTCAGTTTAGTCATTCTCAAGAAGCCTGAAGAATAGTGTGGGTTGTTCTTGACCTGGGCCTTTGAGTCGTTTGGAACATCATTAGTGGGGCATGGTGGGCGTAGCGCATGCATTACTATGGTACTGTACTGCTGGTTTAGTACCTGGAAGCCGTATTCTGTACTGGGCGACTTCTTGAGATCGCATGATGCATAGTCACATCAACTTCAAACCATCGATTCATGTTTTCGTGACTTTCTCATGTCTAGACGATGAGAATCGCAGGTGCATGAGAGCAGACATGGAAGCCATGCCCCAAAATCAACCTTAGACCAGTACAAAGGACTAGCCTAAGGTGCTAAGATGTAAGAAAGTTTACTAAGTACACTTCTTCCACTTCCGCCGTGTTGTATACTATAGACAGGACATGTTCTGAGAAATAGCCTTCATTGTTCCCCGAGTCAGCAAACCAGCCTCAAATCATGTTATGGTAGATATGAGTACCATGTTGAATCACGTTCCTTATCCGGTTCGCCTCCGGATCAGTTCCCCTGAACCACAAATCCTACCATCTTTCTTCAGATGAAAAGCGCCACAAAACCACTCATTGCAGTGGATGGGGTCGCCTGAAACAACAGTTCTCATCAACCCATCTCTATAATGGGCACGCATGTTGTGAAACCTGCAGCCAAGTCTGAAATACGATATCTGAGTGGCGGCAGGAATCTTCTTGACGGAGCAGGATTGACAGCCGGCGAAAAATGATTTACATGCCTCATTGGTTCTCTTCGTGTAGTGTGAATCTGAACATTTGAGAGTAGGCAACTCATTGTAGCAAGACCTTATCGATAACCTATCTAATCTAGCGGAAGCCGTTGTATTGGCAGTACAGGCCTCCTAGGCCTTACGGATTATAGAGACTGCAATGCACCAGCTGATGTCACAGAGTTTCTTTCTGCCTTTTTTCCTTCCCTTAATTTCTGTTGATAGAGACGTGTAGATTTTAGTTTGACTAACCGTACCAATCCAATATGTCTACTCAGCAGGGACTCAAAAACTAAGAAATCTGGAAAGGATGGTGAAACCTCCTCCAAGTTGTGTATGACGGACATGAACCCCCCAACATGCACGGTGGGCGACCAATGAACAGTAGCTCACGGAATGAGATGAGGTGAGGTGAATTCGTAGCGGAGCGATAATTATACCATACTGCCAAATGCAACCTTCATGCAGGCAGCGCATACAAGGGCGCAGATCTACGCACTCTAGTAATGTAAGTTTTTTGCTGCTTCTGCAGTGCTTGGTGCGCCATTCTGTGATACCTAAAGCTGAACATTGACTTTGACGAGTAGCCCAAAAAAGAGAGTATATCTTAAGTTGAGATTGCGGCCAATTCTCAGCATGCTGGAGTAGATAATTAAATAAAACACAGAAATATCTATCGCGGGAGAAATGGCGTGCCGATGCTGGGGGTGGTTGAAGAGATGTGGCTTACACTGCACAATGATTTGGGAGACTACTTTCACTTAATCCTTACTTTACTATGGCGCAGTCACACAAGGGATAGAGCGAAGAGAAAGAAACCTCCGGAAAACTCGGCCGACTATTGCAGGAGAGCCCAGAGACGGCGTTGTTCATTCTTTGTGGCTAGCCTTAGGTTAGTGCGGATCTGTAGGCTAACCCTCAGAACCTGAACCCCGCTAATTCCTAGGGCTGGGCAACCGAATATGGAAATTCGAGACTAAAACAGACTCCCCAGCACCATTTCGTGATGACTTTGAGGCCAGCAGTTCAATAGAAGAGCAGGACAGTTGGAGAATCCCTTTTCCCCTGCACGCCGACATGGCGGCAGAATTATACGTTGCCTGCCGCTATACCATAATTAGAGCCAAGCCCGTCCCAAGTATTGGGCTTTGTCTTTCTCAAGTAGAAACGATCATGAAATTGTCATTAATAGCATGTAGTATTTCCCCGCAAATTATCTCGAATCGGGGAGGCAACTGTATCTAGTGCATCTGTATGCATTGCGACACGGAGCATAATGGACATTCGTCTGACGAAAACATGCAACACCACGGGGAGCCTGGGTTTTGTACGACGTGGCTTCCCGAAATGCTTCATAAAGCTCTGTGGGCAGATATCAAACCGTTGAATATCCGCCTTTGCATCAAACCCCAGCCTCTTACACACCTACCCTGTGGGAGTAAGCGGCACGTATTGTGGGGGGAGCTGCAAGGACGGCACGATCCTACCAATGACGGATTGCGGGCAGCAAACGATACCGGCACAGGGCTTGCTGTCTACTGTAACTGGAGAATCGGGAATATTAAAAAAATTTTAAAAAATTTAACAAGGTGGAACATCAAAGTTGCATCAAACATGCCTTTATAACCAATATCATTCATCGCTTGTCACGCCATGTGGAAATCACCATCCGTGCGTCGTTCTCTGCATCATCCCTTGAATGCTTAACGAATTTGAGCATGTCGGTTAGGAAGCCGTGCTTGGTGACTCCATGAACCATGGAAAGTGAGCCATTGTTGGAAACCCAGGCCCTAGATTCAGAGTTGTGGTCGGAAAAAAAACCGAAAAAAAGAACTTGCTGGTATTCCATGAAGCGCCTCGAAAACGTAAAACGTGATTGCATCAATGGACTGATTACAATGGGCCCTGGCCTGGACTGGAAAGGCCTAGGGCCTAAGGAAAACAGGAAAACAAACGCTCATAGATCTGCATATCGGACAATAATCCTTGACGGCACACAGTTACATTCATAAACGATGCAGGGGTCAGTCTCTCCTCGTTCGAAATGGTATGCTTCTTTGCAGTCGATTTCAGCCATTATGAATTAATGATGGAGGCGCTGTTTCCTACAATCAAAACCAGGCTTTCATGAATCTCCACCACGGACGGCTGACCAAATGCAAATATTACCTGCAGAAACACTGCAAAGCTGTGCGTTGATGGCAGCGGGCGGTGCAGCAGTAGCGCAATGTCGACTGAACCTGTTGCGTATGACGTTGAGTAAGAGAGTTTGAGCATCGCCTATCGCTACACCCGGGCCGAGAGTATGATAACGGGTGCAATGGATCGCCAGCTTTCTCCCACTAATTTGCGCAATTTGCTCTGCTCAGACAGTGAACGAAGATGATCCAGTTAGTGGCAACCCTTTGTTTTGGCGCGTTAGAATCAATCGCTACGCTGGCAGACGCTGGTCTATCGGGACATTTAATTGCGTGCAGTCGCCAATTTATATTGTTCCGGAGCAGTCAAATCATGAAGACGACTTTGATGCCCACGGTTTTGTTCCCATTTTCGTCTTCTAGAATCTAGTGACAGGATATCCACAACCTATTATTCTAAAAAGATTCGTCGCGGCAATCGTTTCAAGACTGTGTGAATGGACATTATATTAACCCTGGTGGCTCTGCAGGAAGACGTGGATTGACAGGCAGAAACATCCTAGTCTAGTGATCAGCTGCAAGGGTATATCGCCTATGTCACTGAGAGATAACCATAATTCATCCTCGTTACAATGCTTGCCATTCATTGCCGGATTGAATGCATCAAAATCAAACCAAAGGCGATCACTTGATCCTTAGCTAGTTGAAGACTCGCATTGCTCGTTTCTGGGTGGCGACCCGCCCCGTCTGCTATGGTAGCTTGTAGGTGCTTCCTATTGGAACCATTCAAGATCGCAACGCACAGACCATACAATACTAGTCATTTTTTGTTCCCTGCCTTTTTATATGATACTGGTCCTTCCAAGAACTTCGAAGGCGGCCCCGAAGCTGAACCACTCAGGCCACTGGCGCCACGAGGAATTTTTCGAAAATATTAGAGCGAAACTAAGAATCGTTAATTGGAGTGAGCAACATATCGCCGTCATGTGCAACTCCCGAAATTTAGTGGCGTTTCAGTGCACAACAATCAGTCTACATGAGTAATTTCTCAGCTGGCCGCGCTTAGCTACAATATTAAATAGGCGGCCCAAAATTGCAGGTTGGGAAAGTCTTGGGCGCCTTTGCACATGGCGGTGTGCGACTCCGCCTGTCAAACTGACAATTCTATACAAGCTTCGAGAAGAGAACAAAGCTTGCGATACTATCTTGCAGCAACGGAGGTTCCTCCATATGCAGATCCATGCACCACGATGCCTTTGCCTCTTTCAAAGCGTCTTGGCAAGTTGCCCCTCAGTATTCACGGTACGGACAAACCCAATCTCCAAGTGGGGGCAGTGGGTGTGTCATCGGGAGCATTTTCGATGCGGGTATCGCACCACGGAGAGGAAATACACCAAACAAGTATATGGAGCAGACGGTCAATATGCGGCGAGAGACCAGCGTACATACCTTTTCTGTCTAGCGAACAGCGAGGCCAGCGGCTGACTCAAGGCAACCAAGCCATACAAAAATGGACACATAGACGCGGACATTATTCATAACGTCTACCGCGGTACTCCTCACTCGTACATCGAGCACGTCAACAAGGCCGGCATATGAGCTTTCCACCTTACAGGTCAGTCCATTATGTGCGCAAAAGGCATACGTGATTCTGTAGTACTTCGATGAAGCACTGCCTTGACACCAAATATTCCGAAACATGAGATGACCATTCACAAGATGCACTACATAAATCGAAATATCATTCGTTCCCTTCACCTCAACATGTTTTGACTTTGAATGAACGTATGGTTGAGGTGGTCACAGCGCACATTTTCTTGGTCATCTCTGTTACTGCTGCTACACAGCTGGCCTAACTCTGGTTGCTGGTGATGCGTGATATCACGCACATTTCCTGCTTGAAGCAGTACAGGCCGAATTTATGGCCATGACAGGAATCTAACAACAATATCTGATTACTGATAGCGAGATACCCGGGTATGGCTTGACACTCGACGACATCCTTCGGGCGATGTGCCATTTTTGCCACTTCGGAGCTTTTACTAAATGTTGTATCCCTCAGGCTGCTCAGTCGTATAGCGTGGTACATTTTGTAACGCAAAATATAGATGTGCTTCAGAATCGTTGACATGTAGCAAAAAGGCTCCCCCTCCTTCACCATTATCATGGTGGCACAACCAGCTGAGCATGGAGTTCGTTTCTTAACATCATCTTATTGCACGAGCGCATCTGCCAGGGACTAGTCCACCACCGTCAACCCTACATAGACGCTCGGACATATTCCACATGGCGCATGCAGTATTTGGGAAACGAAGGCGCTGTGGAACAAAATACTCCAGTACCTACATACTGTACATGCCCAGCGGTCTCCACCACGGCTGTTCTCGAATCATCTCGACACAACTTGGCGGACTCACAGCAACAAATCAGTTTCAATAGTCTCAAGACGCTGAGATACCACTGCGATAGTCGAGCAATTGAGCGTTGCAAATCATGTCAGTTTTGTCCTCGGATTTCCGTTTCGCCCCCGGTCAGAGAATTGCTACAGATCTGCAAAGAGCTTGGGCCAGGTGTTCGTACCCGTGAGCTTTCACGCGGTTCAGGTCTGCAATTTTTTTTCCCGTTTCTCCGTTTTCCCCGCCTCCCTATATTGTACAGTAGTGCAAGCCACACGCGGCCAAGACGCCATGCGGCACCGCATGGGTGGTCGTCAATTAAAGCCCAAACTGCTGGGAAACTGTGGCTAAAGACTGTCTCGGAGGACCTAAATACCCTTTCAAGTATAGCACGAATCAAGTCATCAGCTTCTCCGCCAGTTGCGGAACAGTCAACTACATATGCGGAACGAGAAAAAAACGCCAACAACTACTATTTACTACCTACTGCTTCAAGCGTTCCCGCATTCGGACAAGTAATCATTAATACACCATATTGAAGATTTGACGGCCCTGACGTCTTTCGCTTCCAGCACATGCCTTGGATGAGCCTAAGCTAGCCAGGCTAGAATCGATCCCTATGGACATTAGTGTTGACTAAGAACACGGAGTCAGGGACTCTAGCTGTCATTCACGAATTTATGTGCCATTTATGGAATTACTAAGAGTCGACTTTCGAAACCGAATTGGTAATGCAATGTAGATAAGAATATCCACCATCGCTGCCGCCAACTTTCGTATCCGAGGTCACGTACAAGATAACAACTGGATGGCAGTTTTCTTCGGATCTTCCCATAACCGGATGCCTCATTGTTTCGAGCGGTCGCCCTCAAAGGTATGGTCTAGGTGGGTCGTGCATCCTGAGACAGTATGAAATTGGTTTTTGGTTGGTATATCGTTTCTGTGGCACCTCGTATGCTTTTGACATCCCTATGGGCACGGGTAAACAGACACACCAGTGAGTTCACCGGTTTGGTATGGTCCATAACCTGGTTTGATCCTCGGGTTAAATGTAGAGCTAAGTTGAATTGAAGATTTATTGGGTAAATTTAGCACAGTGAGATACACAGCGCTCGAAAGGTAGGTTGCAAATATTCACAAATCACGCACATTTCACATAGACGAATGGAATTCCGTACATAGCAGAGCATGGTCGCCTTCCACCCAATTTTGTGGGTGGTCATGTGCATAGATATAGATTCTTTCATGCATTATCCGGTACGCTTCTGTCAACATCCTACTTCTGGACTTCGACGTTGAATTGCCAGGTAAGTTCTATTGAAAGAACCACTAGAATTAAGATGCCTGATGTATATTGTTTTATGAAAAACATTGCTTAGCACGATGGTTTGACACGCTTAGACCATATAGAGGCAGTGTGTCACTATCAATTCATGTCTGTCTTTCGCCGGTATTTCTCTGATAAAGTTAGTAAGGGAGCCAGGGGAAAATGGTATCTGTTACCACCCACCTTACCCATTCACCTCATCGACGCAATTAGCTGTCGTTGTATTCGAGCGTTCGAGGAATCTTAGCCTCAATGCCATGAATTTTCTCACCCAGCGACCAGATATATAAACATATAATATATATAGACTGGATCTGGACCATCTAGGACCATCTGCATATTAGGTAAGCTACGTTAAATCTCCGAGCAGTCACATTCTGCTGCCCATGGATCCCCCGCCCCTTGCGGCGATCCTTACCATGGTATTATCGCGGCTTAACGAGCATACAAGTGACTCTCCGATCATGGGTAATTTTACATTGATGATGGGTCTATAGCGACAGCGTTATAAAAGGGGATACCAGGAACGGTTGACATGAGTCCTCAGGTAGTAACTTCTTCATCAGGGCTAAGTTGTATCGCTTACATTTACCCATGACCGCTATCCCGGTAGGCCCCGTCAATATGTCAGGGGACTATCTGGGTTTTAGCGACTGGGACAGCGTCAAGCGGCTTCCGGTGAAGGGCCTTCGAAACAGGCCCAAGAACTAGCATCTTGAGACTTTCATCTGGAAGTTGGTATCCTCTCGACAGGGCAAAATCCCCGGTCCTGGGTTGACAAACTAATAGCGGGTCGAAGACCTTGTCTGCACGTGTTTTCATTTATCAAATCCGGCCCGCAATGATGAAGCATTTCAACACAAGCACAGCACAGTCACTAGCGTCGCCACACCAAGCGTCAGTTAGCTTTTCAGGTACAAATTCTGGAGCTATTATTCCATTTACGGTCATTAAGCCGTTGAGGATTACCAACTAGCGCTTGTAGGCCGATTCACGTTAATTTAGATCTCACTATCGTTTTAGATGATCGAATGGGCGGCGATCATGGAAAGCTCGCGACATGTAATTGGGGTCATGTTGAGGAGCCTGCGAAAAGGAGGGAAGAAAAAAGAACATGGGGCCTTCCTCGCTTAAATCGTACATATCAAGGACGCAATATGTGGGGAAGCAGGGAGCCCCCTGGTCAGATGAACGCATGGAGGACTACTCACGCTCCTGATCCGTACGTATGTATGTATACTGTGTATTACCTTGATCGTCGCAAGTTGGTTTTCCGTTCCGATCAAGGTTTTCTGTATTTTAACAGCGTTACTTCGAGTGTAACGGTGATAAAATTTATGTTCCAGAGAAATGCATTTCTTGGTTGATCGTTGACGTGATCATCTCCTCCACTCTGACAAAGATCGGTGTGACTTTGAAGGCATATGGTGAATGAGTAGCAAAATTGCTAAACTTACGCGAAAGACAACTCTCAATGGGAAAGGTCGGTGGTTAGGTGTTCCCATTAGCTGAAACCCAAGCAACCTCCCCTCCCCACAAATGAGCTGGATGGTTTGAGACCTGCGACCGAATCTCGGGTTGGCAGTCGTGACAGCCGAAAGGAGAACAATTGCTGCAAAGAAAGTCACCATTCATAGCACTAACGGCAATCAAACGCCGATCATTTGGGAAAATTGTCAGTGAATTGGCGAATCAATGGCTTGTGCCAAATCTTCGTGTGACGTCCCGGCTCTCCGGAAAGCATCCCAGTGGGGCTAAGCGATGTGACTTCATAGTAGACGCAGGGCATATCAGTCAACCCCTGGTCTGAAGTCCATACTAGTAAACGTTCCTCTTTCAAGCTGTCTCACCAATGCTAATTTGGAAATCGTACCATAATTCATCTCAATTGCTTAACCCCCCTGCAACATCTTGCAGAGATGTGACAAGGGGGAAGGCTTAATGAGTCGCGCAGTGAGCACCCAATCCTACCCCAAAGTTTGGGCTCGGCTAGGCAGGCTGCCGCCCGTGGGCATGAAGGCATGAGGGCTCCGTAGCCGAACTGAGACTTGGATTTGTGACCCGCGTTCGGCCTGTGTGTCGAGCGAGACAGCACTGGACAGGCGGACGATGAAGAAGTGACGAAAAGCGGGAGGCTGCATGCCCCGTAGCTACAGTGATGAAATGCAGAACTTTGGTCACCTCCTGCGCCGCCCCATACAGAGTAGCCCGTCGGCACTTCTCCTTACCATAGCCGGAGGCCAAACACGTCAAATTTGACGGTACCGGGCTGTGCGTTGCAGGCACATGCAGCACTGCAGCTGACCTTGCATCATACGCTACGCACCGCACCGCACCGCTCCGAAATATACCCTTGCAGGAGTTCGCAGGAGCAATCACGTTTTTACCCTCTACGACACTTGACCAAAGTGTGCCGCGGTGAACCAAATGCAGTGATTATCACACAATGCAACGACGGTCTGGCGGTCTGGGTCTAGGACACTATTGCGCTGTTTTAGCAGCTTGGGAGGACATCGTGCAGGATTGACTCGGCTTGTGGTCACATCACCAATTTGTTTCGTGCCCTTTTCATTTTTGTTTTTGAGTTCTGGGCTAAGACTCAGCATACGGCTCATGCGGGTTCGAGGAGATATGGTATCGACATCTCTTGTATCCAGAAGACCCTGCTAACAATCTTAGTGACATGAGACTCTTTCACTAATGTCGTTCTACCAGTGATCGGGCGCTAAATTGAAAAAGAGGCTTAAGTAATACCATTCTATGGTTCTGTTCTCCAGATAGGGCATAAGCATCCTTAGAGGCGCGTACGTTCTTCTAGCTTTCGAACCAGACGACATGAAACTAGGAACCTGCATGAAACAATCGATAGATTCCAACGAACCGCTTCTTCTATTGTACCTGTTACTGCAAAGCTTCGATTAGGATGTCTCATACAAGGATCGGTGATCTGATTACTAGTAGGAAAGGGTCATTCTCATCTCTGCACTAAATTCCGGTGAGCTGGAAACTCGTTGCCAACGTTGGCTAGAAGCTGTGGCGTTCTGAGACATTTCTTAGCAAAAGTACTTGACTGACGAGCTCAAACGTTCAACCCTCCTTAGAACTATCGCGCAGCTGAGGCCGTGACGTTATCATTCATCTTACTACCTGTTGGTTGTACAACCACTTCATCGAAGGCCGATCCGTAGGCTAAAAGTTTAGGTGCAATAATCTGATCACGAGGTTGGGGGGGTTAGGGAAATACTCCTACCTATGCGAATCTTTGTTCATGGTGTCATTCTTCTCAGTTCACTTTCTGATTCAGTGATTATCTTAGGACTGTCTGCCATACGGATCGCCGGGGACCACGGCGATGCCTAGCAGCCACGTGCATGGCCTTATTGAAGCCCATCGAAATTTAATTGTAGCCCTACTTCCACGTGCTACGTGAATACGCCGAGGCATCATACCTCGCAAAGAAGCCGGACCTGGAGAGCAGAAGCATTTGTTTCAGTTGAGGCGGAAGCCGCTGCCACAATAAGCAAAACTCTGTCGCCCCCAGACTTCTCTCCGATTTTCTAGCATAGCCAATCGTATTGGAAGGTCCCGCAAGGGCTAGATACCCTGTATACCAGCGATATTTTATTTTCACTCTGTTTGAAGCATCCGAGCAGAAAAATACGGATTTTCGTCGGATGTATCCCACGTAGACCATCATGAGGCGCCTAATCAATACCCAGGTCAGTGGCTGACGCCACTACCAGGTACCCAATGGCTCATGAGCTAGGTGCTAGCCTCTCAAAGTCCCAAAACGCGTCGTGTATTGCTCATACCACAGTGGAACTGAGGAATTATCTCGTCAGCGTTTTCGTATCCTAGGTTCAATCTCATACCGTCAGGCCCGTGGCTTCGTCAGACCGCACTCGGGAGGATCCTCAACCGCTGGCATGCGAAGATACATACTCGAACTAGGGCATTCCTCGTACAGCTTGATTTCAGTATTGAAGAACATAATGTCCATGAACCTAATCATACCAACGCTCACAATATTGAATTATAGTTGAAGAGATCAATAGTTCCACGATTATCCTTACAAAGAGGAGTGCTGAATCAAGCGCAGAGGTATCGCCGAACAATGGCGTAACCAAACAATCACACGATCTTCGTCAAAAGCTATTTGGAAGCACAAAGCTACAAAGGCGGAGAGAGCATGCGAAAACTCAGGTTTTCCCAAAAAAGAACCGGGCTTCCAAGTTTCTTGACTCAGTTGGCCAGAGGCAACTGCCGAAGCTAACTGATTTGAGTTTGCTACGCAATCAAACGACACCGCGCAAAGTTGTCTACAGGATACCGGATTCGGAATCAAACAAGCTCCATAAAAGTTCACATTAACAGCCAGTAGGTTTTCCAAATTTTAG